TCCTTCGACTCGGAGTTGCCATTTGCCGCCTCGAGCCGCCCAAGTCCAGTTACCGGGAGCACCATAGTCATCTTTCGACACGAACCAGGCGTCTGTGTACGTGTAGGACCTTTTACAAGATCTCCTCCGCTCCACTGCCTGCTCATCATCAGCATCTTGTCCCCTTCCACTAGAGCCTCTGCCTTTCACACTGCGCCTCTGAGCTACAATCGGGCAGGTGCCTTTCGTGGATCACCATCAGCCTTCACGTGGGTGCTATTGGACGGGCGTTCACTTCTCGACTTCGTTACTTGCAGCGTCACAGCTGCATCCTTCCCCAACACCTTCTTTCACCCGAAGTTGTTAGGTCATCAGGACCTAACCGGGACACAACCGCCAAAGTGGCTGCTGCAGTGGCTCACCCGGCTTCGATGCATCCTGGGTCTGACCCAATGGGTGCACCTTCCAGCTTTTCCCAACGAAGACCTCACGCGGCGCAATTGGGTAGCTTTGAGCTGCCCCCACCGCCAATGCACAAATACCCCTTCACCAATACCATCAACGCATCGCAGTCATCACAAGCCCCAACCACCATCGCAAGTGTCGGCAACCTGCTTACTCCACCAAACACTCTCCACGGCGATGCTCTGAGTTCTTCGGGAGGATCATCAAGTATTTCGCATCCTACAACCATGTCTTACTCCAATGGCAGCTACATCTATTCTCCCCCAGCCCAAGCCCCAACACATTACGGATATCCACCAGCACACCAGCAGCAACAAAACCAATATGGTCAAGCCCGTGGAGGTATGTTCGCTCAGCTACGCAATGATCGCCAATTCGACCATCAAGACTCACTTCGAAAAGGGCTGAACCCGCCACCATATGAGCTGAACCAGCAATTGCCACCATTTACGCCATCATCGAACGGGCAGAGTATGCCTTCTATGTCTGCACAACAGCAGCCTCATCATATGATGAGCCAGCACGCCCAAACGCCTTCGTCGTCTTCTGCTCCTCAACAGTCTCCGTCGTTGGCTCAAGACTCCTTCCGACAACCACATCCGCCAACCCCGACTTACAACTACCAGCCATCGAGCACGCCACAACACTCGAGTTTTTCTTATTCCACTGGTCCCTCGCCAACTTTGAGCCAACAGCAGAGCCCAATCAGTGCCGGAGGATCCATGTCCCGCATGTCGCCGGCTGTCTCGCAAGGGCAGATGCCATCGATACCCTCAAACCCACAGCATTCTCCATATCCGTACCAGAGACCACAGTCAACATACCAACCAGGCTCAGCACCAGTCTTCTCAAACGTGCAGAACCCGAGTGGACAGCTCTCTCTAGTTGGTGTGCACCCTGGCATGATGCCGGGCTTCAACAGCGGCCACGCTGCGGCTATGCCTCACTTCCTTGGCCATCCGCCTCACCAGCAGCCTACTACGAATGACCGCCCGTTCAAGTGTGACCAGTGCCCACAGAGCTTTAACCGTAACCACGACTTGAAGCGGCACAAGAGGATACATTTGGCAGTCAAGCCATTCCCTTGCAATCACTGCGACAAGAGCTTCTCGCGCAAGGATGCGCTAAAGGTACGTGCCAGGCCCTCTTCGATCAACTTTATCTTGTACTAACTTTTCAACAGCGCCACATTCTTGTCAAAGGTTGCGGAAAAGCTGCTGCCGCGCACGACGACAGCAAACGTGAAAGCGCTTCACCAAAGTCCGAGCGCACTGATTCCAAAATTGGCATCTTGCACGAATAGACATCGTTCATAGTGTTCGGATCCTTTATCTCCGCTTCTTTCGCCCTGTATTAAGTACATATTTTGTCTTTTATGGCACGTGGGCGACTTTCCCCCCAGCCAATACCTTCGCTGCAAGTATTTAGCCACGATCTTCATGTTTGATGTTTATTGTTTATTTGAGGTTGGGATAAGCCCTGGGCACGCATTGGATATACCTTGGGCGGCGTTGTATAGTGTCCAGGCATGGCAACATATCGGTCTGCATTTTTCCTTGTTGATGTTACTTTTCGGTCTGGGCGGCGGATATACCTTTTTGGCTGGTGCAACGCAGGGGCTTGTATCAGGTATTGTGCACCATTGTGCTTCTGCGGGAAGTGCGTGTGTCTACGTGATCGCTTGCGTACATGTTGGAGCATTTCGAAGGCGGGACAGGCACGGTTTCAGGTTTGGGTCCGGGAAACACAGCAGGAAAGCTGCTTCAAAAGAAGGTCCCGCTCGACGCAAGCATACACAGTACACGGCATTGGTATCGCGGGAACATAGGAACAGGGGTTGGTATAAGGGTGCCATAGCGCAGCGTGCAAATACCAAGATGCAATATTTTACTATTCTTCAAACCGCTTGTTCCAGCTTGCTCAAGTCAGCGTCGGATGCTTTGTGTTTTCTGCATGTGTGCGTCGGAGCATGTCGCTGACCATAAACTGTGTGCGATGGAACAGTTCATGCAATATGTGCTCGAAAGAGGAGAGGCTGCGTTAAGGTTTTGTCGTGCTCGGACGGCTGGTCGGTACCTGGACCCAGCAACCTGGTGCTGGAGCGGAGATCGAGAGCGGCATCTTCCACGCAGCTCATGTCGCGCAGCGATCGACGCTTTGGTTCGCGCCCCCCCTCGAACCTCACGTCTTCTCCCTTCGAGTCGTCCCATCTTGTTCGCGACGAAACTATCGTTGTGCATACACCTACATATTTGGATAGCTTCCAGTGCTTATAGCTGTCTTCAGTTCATCTCTTTTAGGTCGCACGTAGGTATTCCTTGGCCACTGTCTTGTTCGTCTTGCCGTCACTCCATTTCTCTACCACACGCGTCTTTCCCAAGTCATTCCTTTTCGCACGTGCTTGTTATCCATAATCTACGCGTCTGATCCATCTTTATCTTTTCTCATTGAGCTCCGTGATGGGCTTCGATATGGTGTGTTGTCCACGTGGGCGCTCATCAGGCCAGGCCATGGCGCGCAAGAAAGCGACGATAGTAGAGGCCCAACATCGTCTAGAATCCCAGTAGTATCCTCGAGGTAAGCCAAGAATTCATCACAGTCACAAGATTCTGGCGCAATTTTTTGCATATCTGTGGAGTTCTCCGAACAACCCATTCCTCTCGTCCCGTTCTGGACTTCAGAAACACCACCCTTCCTCTCCCATCTCCCACGCGATGCTTGGCACATTCTTCCTCCACTGAATCCCCGACTGTCGGCTGCGCTTCTCGGAAAGGACAGAGGTCACACCTGCCTTTCGACGACGATCCCATCGCTGCTGGTGCGTGACAAGAGCACTTGCCGTTTGAGCGTTTGCGCGCCCTCCACCTGCATGAGCCGGCCCGTGCTCTGTCTTTCCTCCCAACATTGCTTCCCCAACATCGACACACCAGCCATTGTATGCCATCCAACACCTGTTAGCTTTTTGGGTCAACGAGTAGGTTTCCTTGCCATCGCAGAGCCTGCCGCCCCTCCTTTACCGGCGCCTGTTTCCGACTCACACCGAGCGGGGCATCGAGTGGTCGCAATAGCAACAGCAGGAACATAACAACACAACAAAACACGGCGGGACAATCATGGCACACGCGTAGACGTACAACCACTGCGACACCCTCCCTCGCCAACACCACCGCGTCTCAGTGCTCGGACGTCGAGCGCATCTCTTATCCAGTGCATCTTGGCCTATCCCCCCTACCCACTAATTGTAATCCGCACTGCACGAGCATCAAGGCGCCTCGTCCTTGATCACTGCACCACGAGTTACCAGCCAGGTCCACAGCCATGGACCACAACTACCAGAGCCAGCAGGGCCGTCCACCGACGCGTCGGCGCGCCCTCGCCGAGACGTCTTCCCGCGGCAATGAGGTCCCGCAAGCTCAGCGTCGAGGGGACAAGCTTAGCCGTGACCAGATGCCGTCTTCCTCACCGCAGCCTCTCCCACACAACGAGTCTCTAGTGCCCAATGGCTCGCTTGCCGTACGTCACGAGCAACAACCCTCGCCAGAGAACAAGCGTCTCTCTGCCGTCCAAGCCCACTACCCCCGCCCACACGGCAACAAGCGTGACTCCGAGGTTTCAAACGCCAGCACGAATGCTTCCAGCACCAACCGGCGACGCAAGACAAGCATTGGCCCATGGCAGCTGGGCAGGACCATCGGTCGCGGCGGCTGTTCGCGTGTACGCCTCGTCCGGCACACTGGCACAGGGCAGTACGGTGCTGCGAAAATCATCTCCAAGGCTACCGCAGAAAAGGTGCGCGCGCTGAGCTTGGCCAATCTGATCAAGAGTGCCGAGCAGGATGTGACCACGGGCAAGGTCATCCCATTCGGCTTGGAGCGAGAGATTTGCATCATGAAGCTGCTAGACCACCCGAACATTGTCCGTCTATATGACATCTGGGAAAATCGCAATGAGCTGTAAGATCCACTCCCTCCATCATCACACTGAATGCTGTCTAACCTCGTATAGCTACCTCATCATGGAGTACGTCGAGGGCGGCGAGCTTTTCAGCTTCATCCATGAGCAGGAGGGTCTAATCGAGATTCACGCTGTACACATCTTCCGACAGATCATCGCCGCCCTCATTTACTGTCACCGCATCAACATTCACCATCGAGATCTAAAGCCGGAGAACATCTTACTAGACAGAGATACCATGACTGTCAAGCTGGTCGACTTCGGAATGGCTGCGTTACAGCCCGTGGGAAAGAAGCTCACCACGCCATGTGGAAGCCCGCACTATGCCGCGCCAGAGGTTATCAAGACCACATCATACGATGGCGCAAAGGCAGATGTGTGGAGCTGCGGCGTTATCCTCTTCGTTCTCCTGACTGGAACACCTCCTTTCAACTACTCGGGCGAGGACAGGCACTTGGGAGCCTTATTCCGCGACATCCAAGCCGCAAAGTATGTCATGCCGGACAACATATCACCCGAGGCTCAGGATCTCATCCGACGTATACTCGTTGCAGACCCGAAGCGTCGGATAGGCTTGGATGATATCTGGAACCACCCATTCATGCGAAAGTACCAGAAGGAGCTCAACTTTGTTGGAGAGTTTGCCACGGTGGACCACTGGACGGGCCCTCTACCCGCGATTGCAGAGTGGACGTCACTCAAGCGAGATACTGTTGATCGCGAGATTCTGCGATATTTACGTACATTATGGCACAGCGAGAAGGAAGAGGTCTTGATACAGCGTCTTCTAAGCAAAGAGTAAGCATATGTTGTGCACATCCTAGGCGCAGCTACTAACTTGATACAGGGCAAATCAAGAGAAGTATTTCTACTCGGCGCTCCGGAATTACCATACCGATCAGCTCGAGAACTATCAGCCTGATGCGCATCATGCTGTGGCGAGGTCAAACAGCGACCACCATCACAACACGCGGCATACCCCTACACGTAAGGATGTCGAAGAGATGCCTTCCCACAAGCATCAACGCTCGCAGTCGGCCTACTCAATTCTCAACAACGAACATCTTTACTCTCAGCACAGCTTCTATGAGTCGCCCGTCTCGGAAGCCAGCTATGACCCTTATCGAGCGTCGAGACAGCCAATTATACCTGAACAAGCGGTCATCAACCAGAACGTTACTATACACCGCGAACACAGCAATGCCAGCGAGCCCCGCAAGCGTCGTCCAGCTACAGCAACGGGACAGCATTCAACGGTCAGCTCTCTGCGCGTCCAGGCCTTGCGCAACAACTCGAAGCGTAGCTCTGCTTTGTCTCGGTGCTCCTCATACCGAAGCACCCCGTCGCACCGGTCCGCATCCATGAAGCGTCGTTCTATGTCACGCGCTTCTCTGGCGAGTTCGCACTGGCCGAGCAGTCCTCCGGTTGTCGCACGTTCAGGTGGCATCGGTAGACGAGGTGTGAGCTTCTCTCATTTGCGCGATAGACGTTCTTCCGTAGCTACTGGTAGTAGCATTGACTACAGTGCCATGGCATACACGTCTGATGAGAACACACCTGTCCATCGTCCTCATACTTCAATTGGCTCTTATGGAACATCCGACTACGGCTCGTCTCATCGGTCGAGTACGCGTCAACCTTCTTCAGCTTATCGATCATCGAAGTCCCGGGCCACTCCTCGGATGGAGAAGCCGCGCCTGAGGCACCGGAAGCCAGAGAGCCCATCCAAATATATTCAGACAGAAGCCCGAAAGGTCAGCACTGAGCTGGGCAAGGCTATGGAGGTCGCCTTCAACCGCTCCTCCATCGGCTCGAGCGTTCGGACGTCAGGCACTGAGGTGCTCCGTGACATGTCCCAGTATGACACTCCACCCACTTCCTTCTCGAACACCAGGGACTCGGGTGGCAGTTCGATTTTGACCCCGAACGTGAAGGGTGCGCTAGCTCAGCGACCACTACCGCCTGTCCCGAACGAGACGCCAAACACGTTCCTGCAGCGAAAATTGGCAGAGACTCGTGCGGAAATTGCCCGACGTTACGAAGAAAATGGCGACAATACTGATCACATCAACGAGGTCCTCGAGAACTTGGATCGTTTGATGCTGCCTGCACCCAACAGCAAGCGCACTGTGTCTGCTCCTGCAAAGTCTCCAGAGCATCCTCTACCTCTGCATGCTATCCCAGAAGAGAGGCAAGACAGCGATGACCGGTTTGAACAGCCCTATAGCCCCAACTATAGAGCTGTTACTGATCCCGTTAGACCACAAGTCAATCGTGCGGCGACCGAGCAGCAGACGATCCGCCTTGTTGATCAATCACCAACACGGATAGCTCCGCTCAACATCCGCAAGCGTAGTGGTGCGAGCATCAACTCCAGGGCTGCCAAAGAGGCGCACTCTGTACCTTGGCCTGAACCAGTATCGAACTCCACCGTGCGGCCGTACCAAGATGTGCAGAACGATTTACATAATGCGCGTATTGCTCAGCAAACCACAGCACTGGATAAGAAGGACCCGGTCATCAAGAAGAAGAAGTCACTGTGGTTCCGTCGCAACACGGAAGAGCGAGATCGCGACGAAGACAAGGAGAACCAAGCCAAGAAGAAGGCTTCAACGGGCCTACTTCAGATCCCTGATGCATGGCACGGCCTTGATGATCGTCTCAAAATCGAGAATAATGAGCCCATGACCTATTTCCCTCCACTTACTGCTAAGCAACCGGCGAAGAGCAATGACAGCGAGTTTCCGATTCGCAACAGCAGCGCGCCAGTGACTAAGAGCGATGGCGCCCTGCGAAAGGGTTTTCTTGGACTGTTCGGCAAGAAGCCCAAGGAAGACAAGGGCAAGCGACCGATGGAGCTCGGCAGTAAGCAATTCTACTTTGGAGGATATGTATGTGGTACTAACATCTCTTCAGCAGTAAACTTCAGCTCTTCGTCTATTCTTTCTGGTTTCGATCTTGGCGCTGAGCACGGCGGCGAAGCGGCACCTCGCACTGGTCCTCCCGAGATGCAGATGAACTGGCTCTCTCGCTTCTTGCATATCAAGCCTGCCAATAAGACTTTGTGCTTCCATATTGGCCGCGGTAAGGTCCGACAGGATTTGGTTCGCTTGCTTCGGGATTGGCAGCGCTTTGGCATCCGCGACGTTACTTTTGATCGAGAGACTAATACGATCACCGGGCGTGTTGACAAAGGCAACCGTAAGTATATCTCCTCCCCTTGTCCGGATCTTTTGTTCAGCGAGTGGCGCATGGAAGACTGGCGTTTCAAGGTTGAGGTCTTGGAGGTGGAGCATATCTTGCGATGTAATGCTGCGTTCTTTTCGTCGTTGTTCTCATATTGCATGACCATTACGCTAACATTGACTTGCTACAGATCTCAAGATTAAGCCCGTGTCCTTCGTCATCGAGCTCTTTGTCGTTCTTGAGCACGGCCAGCGTGCCAACCTCTGCCTCGCGCGATTCACCCAGACGCGTGGTGCCGCATCGAGCTTCCGAAAAGTTGTCGATATTGTCGAGGATGTCTGCCGCGCTCGGTGCATGCTCATCGACGACCCCGAGAAACAGGCGGCCATGATGGAGGTCTTGGATTAGGAGATTTGCGACCAAGATGAAGACGCAGTAACGAGCAGAAGATGTATGGGCGTTCAACGGCATACACATTCATGATAAACAGCATACATTTGCTTGAAAATTGGTATGGAAGTAAGAGGCACGACTGGTGGATGATTTGGGTATGCACACTTCTTTGGATGTAATGTTGGTCACTTCGAGCACGATACCCCCAAACACAAGGATACGGCATCATCAGATCCCCAGCAGCATTTTCATCGACACTTTTCTCGGCTTTCCCCCCACCTCACGACCTCGAACAACGAACATACCCCAACCCTTTTGACAAGCATTTGCACAACCCGGCGTTATCAGCTTCGCAGAGTAATACACGAGTACCTTCATCACGTTTACTATAGCATTGGCGACATTGGCATTGGGTCGGTAGTTTCAAAAGTTATTACAAAGGGTTGCTTTTTTCCTGTAGCATCTGCATGATGGCTCACTGTCTTTATGGGCTCTTTTGAGCTTGGGACGCATAGCCAGCCTGTAGGAGTATAATCATCGATGAAGCATTATTTGAATATCTCTTGCTTTTCTGACATGTGACGTGAGTACTTACAAGCCGTGGGCTTGAAGAACATCAGGGCTTTGCGACACGGGTGTGTAGGATCAGGCAAGATGTGGATTACAGTGAACTTTTGAGCGAGTAGGGCCTGCGTGTGGCTAACAGAGCACACAGGGAAAATCCACATCGACGTTTGTCCGTCTCCTCACCAGCAAATAGACATAGAATCTTGCTACTATCTACACCTGAAACACAGATTGCCTAATCGGGTAGGTACCAAGGCTCTCTGAGAAGTAGTCGGTGGAAGTGTGAAATATCAGCCGAATCGACCCATCCTCACACTCACTCGGTACACGCACCCGTCTACGCGCCCAGTACAACGTCCCCACCCATTGCTTCGGGACGCGCTGAGACACCAATCGGAGCGTCCGGTCCGTCAGGTCACGAGCGTCGTACGCCGGATCTGTGCGCTGGAAGCGGTGGAACATGCGTGATGGTGCGAGATTCGGTGTGGTGGGACGAGGATCGGTGGAGTGGGACTGGGTTTCCGTGGCTGGTGGAGACGAAGATGTATGTCTTATTGGTATTGTGGTCTCGGGATATTTTCTCGCAATGGTGTGAATGCTCGGGCTGTTTTGCTCGACGAGATGTAGTCTGGGCGCGGTCTTGGTCAGACATGTGGCGCGAGCTTGTGGGCTTATATGATAGCATTTTTGTAGAGTTATGGTGGTTAGTTAGATGTAGTGGAAGGGTTTTGGTTGAGGTTTGTTTGGGGGAGGACGTTGCGGAGACTTTGATGCACTATCTCGAGCTGGAGACATTGGAAAGTCGCCGGTAGTGTGTGATCGTCGTAGACTACCGGCCTTGTATATGTATATATCATGACGATTGCAGGCAGCTACAGAGAAGTCAACACAAATACCCCGCTGAGTCCCACGAATAGACTTTTCCAACTGCTGTCTACACACCCTGATCTGAGCACATCTAGTGTTTCCATCGCCATGACTGATTCCGAATCATCAAAGCCGCCCCTCCCTGCATTCGATCCAGATAATTGCCAGACGTATACAGCAAGCTGCCATTGCGAAACTATTCAATACACGATCCTTCTCTCGCCCCCACTCCCCCAATGGAAAGTCGTATCGTGCAACTGCAGCATCTGCAGTCGCAATGGTTACTTACTCGTCTACCCCGAGAGATCACGAGTTCACATCAAGAGCGGAGAAGAAGCCCTGAAGAACTACTCCTTCGGTGCGAAGCGGAACTTACACAAGTTTTGCGAGAAGTGTGGGAGCAGCGTGTTTTTCGATCCGAGGATGGACAAGTTTGGAGAAGCGCCACCGGATTTGTTGGGGATGAATGTGAGTTGTCTACAAACAACCGCCATGTCTAGATTGCGTGGACTGATCCGCTGTGTAGGTTCGCATGTTTCATGGTGTTCAGGTTGAGGAGCTCGACATCAGGCACGTAGAGGATCCTCATCCGGGGCGATAGTGATACGCTGAGGATATTTCGGAGCTATTGAATTCAATTAAGATGATCGAGGAATATACAGTAGGATACAATCGTGTGGACAAACACCTAAGAGCCATCATGTCGATGCGAAGTGCATACTAGTGCCAAGCCACTAGTATATATGCCTCGGCGAGCGCGTAAATGTTGTTGCTGCTATCAAGCTCTTCACCAGCATTATCAACGACACAACGCCTGGCAGCCATGTCGCGACTGCGGTGTATATTTCGATCGCCGGCTTTCAGATCGTACTCCCAGAGCCGTGCAGGCCGAAAGCACCCATGTCTTGAATACCTCGAACTGCCCCTCCAGTCTGGCGTCCGCTGGTCGTACTTTTGGTACGCAGGCATTCTCGCCTTGGGCGTGACCGCAGGCCTGGGTGCACGGCAATTTGCTGCTCCGCTCGGTCTACCGAACCCCGGATCGCCAGAAGATAAACTCATTGTCGAGTCTTTGGGTGCAGATGTCGACAAGTTAGATATCGTGCAATCCCTGCGGAAACAGAGCTTCAACCTGCACTCTGACACTGCCCTGACAGGCACCGGAGTCGCAGAGAAGTCCAAGGTGAAAAGCTGGGTGGAAGTAGATTTCGACTTCGTGAAGGGCGAAGAAGCAGAAGGTAGGACTGGCATATTGAGTGCTCTGAGCGGCACTAGGGGGTTTGGTGTACAAAGAGCGTTCTGGAATGCAGAAACGAAAGAAATGGTCGCGGTCGTTTGGATTGGAGGAGGATTGGCCGGATGGCCTGGTGTTGCTCATGGAGGAGCCATTGCCACGATCTTTGAGGAGACCATGGCGCGGATGGTAAGAGGACCAAATGGTGCTGTAGGTATGTATACAATTCAGTCGCGCTCCCACGCGATTACGTCCGCACGAGTTTGATCTGGTCAAGGTGAAGCTAACAGTCGTTCCGCAGAGGCCATTCATCGTCCAACTTCATTAAGCATAACGTACGCAAAACCAACCTACAGCCTCGACTTCTACATCCTTCGCGCATCGTTCTCACAGCCGAACTTGTGGCAAGCCGCGCCTCCCCCGGAACCAGAATCAGAACCTACAAAGAGCTGGCTAGGTTGGCTCTCACCGAAGAAAGACTTGACCAAGCAAGTCGGGTCGCAGCAGTCAGCCGAGATCATCGGAACACTGGAGAGTGTGAAAGGCGATCTGTGTGTGAAGGTTAAGGGAACATTTGCCGTGGATGGCCCAGGCCAATAAGGTCCAGGGAGATGTGACTAGCCGTTCTAGCGTTGGCATATATAAGTACGAAGAGATACCCTGATCTAGAGGACAATCCGCTTGATAAATGTTCACGCTTTGCCAAAAGTGCTAGAGCATGAGCATCAATGCTCTCTTGGCCATCCGACGGCAAGTAACAAATCGAATTGCTCATTATCACAACTTGGCAGTTCTGATCGGATCTCCTAAGCAAACAAGTAAATCGTTATGCAAAAAGACATCGAGACAGACTGCCAATTGGTGCAGATCTCGCGACACGTGGGGTGTCGCACTTGTGGTACACCACCTACGAGGAATGACATCAGCGCTTCCAACACCAACACCACAACTCCAGTATTCTATCAAGCTCTCCTCTCGTGAGATACTACCAGACACGATGTCGCGGGTCGAAGTAGGTCACCCCGAGCACACATACTGACTGGGCGCTGCTGATACCCCGCACCAGAAACAAAACCAACAGATCCAAGAGATCGTCTCGAGCAACGACAACGATGGCGTGAAGATTGATCAGATCGCTAAGGTTCGCGGATGGTTCCGGCCAGAAGAAGGCAGCTACTTCTTTGCCGTTGTCCAGGATTATCTGAAGGAGAAGCTCAAACTAGAAGATGCAGCCAAGAAGATCCTCACACCGATCGATGAGAAGATCGCCGCAGAGAGACTGGATGATGTAAACTTCATGGACTTGTGGTTCAGCATCCTACATGCGGCAAGAAGAACACACTATCGCGATGCCGACATCCATATTTCTATCGTCCGCCTTGTTGCAGCGTTCAAAGAGCACTCCATCCCCAACAACGCGCAGTACAATTACCTACATAATGAACAGACCGATCTGCTCATGGCCTGTCGCGAGGCATACAACGACCAGCCCACACCCGGATCATCATTCGAAGTCGAAAACCAAGCATGGTCAAATCTCAACTTCTTCCTCGCCCTGCTTGTCCGAGAAAAGCTCGCAGACAACTTCGTTTTCGCCATTTGGGCCATGCGCCAAGCCCTCGAAACACCCCATCAGGACGACGAGGACTCAACCGCAGTCCAGAAGTACGAAACTTATGTGCCAGCCGCAGCAGTGTGGGTCTTTGGCGCTCATCACGCCCTGTTCGAGAAACAAGAGGATCTTACGCCAAAGGACAAGAAGCATGGTAATCCTGGGAGAGGAGGCGAGCTTTGGAAGGGCAAGGCCGAGTTCAGTCATGCGAGGTGGAACTTTTGGAAGGACAGGTTCGCTGAGATTGCGACGATGGATGGTCTTAGTGAGGACACTAAGGTTGTAGCAAAGGATGCCGTGGAGTCTATGGAGAGGGCGGCGACCTTTGAAAAGATGTGAGCAGGTTCCTGACGCTCTCACACGTCAAGAGCAAGCAAAATATGTGCATTGCAGCGAACTTCTCAGTCTGTAAAGTCGTTACATTTGTTTGCGTTCTCTACTTCGTCCTATCTACTGTTTTACCCACATCCTGCTTCCCCTCTTTCGCGCCCTCCATATCCCTCCTCCATTCCTCCTTGACCTCCTCCAACAACCCTGGCGTCCTCAACACATCCACTGCCGTCCCCGCCAACGCCTTCGCCACCCTCAGCGCCCTCTCAAACGCCTCCCTCGTCCCCGCCGCCCCCTCAAAGTCCGGCGTATGCGGCGGCCCCGCGTGCAGCCCAGGCGGAATCGAAAAACTCGCATTCACGCTCGGCATCGCATAGCTGATATTTCCCTGGTCAGTGCTTGCCTTGACATACGTGTACTGCTCGCCCGACGGTATCTGCGGCTCAGGAACGTCAGGTAAAGCGTTCCAGTACTTGGTATACGAGGCTGCGAGGACGCGATTGGGGATATGATCTGCATATCCAGGCGTAATTTTGATCTCGACACGCGCACCAGTAGCTTCAGCGCCGGCACGGAAACATGCGCTGACTTTTGCTTCGAGCTCGCTGAGACGGGCAGATGTGTTGGTGCGGATCACACAGGTGCCTGCGGCGTATGCGTGGATGACGTTTGGGCGTGCACCGCCGTTGGTGATGTTCATGCCGATGATGTCGGTGGGCATTGTTTGCTGGCGCAGGGCGGAGATCGCATTGTATGCGATGATGAGAGCGTCGAGGGCGTTGATACCTAGCCAGGGGCTGTTTGCTGCGTGGGCGGCACGGCCGAAGTATTCGACTTCGATTCTGGAGAAGGCGGTGGTTCGCACGCGGGGACTATTGTTGTATATGCCGGGGTGTGAGATGAGAGAGATGTCGACGCCTTTGTAGGCTCCGGCCTTGAGTAGCTGGATCTTGCCGCCGCCAATGCCTTCTTCTCCTGGTGTGCCGAATATGATCACTTTTCCTGGTAGATCGTGTTTCTTGATTATGTTGGCGGTTATTACGCCAGCGGCGAGAGATGCGATTGCGATCAAATTATGACCACACGCATGGCCCATTCCAGGCAGTGCATCTGCAGACAATAAGTGATCAGTTATGAGTATGTGCGGAGAAATGATGCACCCATCTCAGCGTTGAAAGAAACGACAGGCCCGTCCCTTCCACTGTCGTATGTTGCGATCCATGCTGTTTCAATCCCATATGCTGATATTGTCACCTCCCAGCCAGCGAACGAGCGTATGTACTTCGTCAAAGCATCGTGCGCCTTGTACTCTGCGAATGCAAGTTCAGGATTATCGTGGATGTACTGGTTCAGAGGCCACAGTGAGGACTGTAGGCTTTCAACAGAGTCATTAATGTCTCCGAGGTACGTATGTGTGTTGTCTTCCCTGTCTCGACCTAGCTCTTCCAATGTCTCGGACAAATGATGAACGTCGAGGAGCTCATCGCTTCTCTTCTCTACCTTACAAAGCATTGAGAAATCCGCATAGGGTTGTTTGATGCTTTCTCAACACTCCAGTGTCACGCCACTCGCGACATTTAGGACGCCACGTGGAGTTTGGGGGACTAGCCCAGTGTCCATAGGTCATCGTGTTACAATGCGCGGATATTAATTCGACTTTACCAGGATTAATTACCGCGGCAAAGCGAATTATTCCGAGAGAGTGTGTATGCAATGCTCAATCCCGGCAGTTGCAGACGCCAGCGTATCTTCTTTTGAATTGCCTCGCAACATCCACACTCTGAGTTCTGAGAGACGTATCCATTCGTTCCAAGTATTGCCAAGTTGAAATGGATAAACCACTAAAGCCCAACGGCCATTCCGAACACAAGCATCATGTCGAAACAACACTGAACTACTGGGACGATCCTGGAGATGGGTCACCGCCCACGCCAATTTTTATAGGAAAAGGTCATATCACCAACGAACGACCACACCTTGCACACCCGTTCGTCGTCCACGATATTAGTGGGGACGAAAGACAATACTCTCTCGACACCACCGGGTTCCAATATTGCCGTCACAAAAGCCTGGAGAAGACCTTCACGGACGAGAATGTAATCACATCAACCTACTATGACGAATGCAAGCAGCTCCTCCGCAGCGTCACAGGCGCATCCCGCATACACATCTTCAACCACAAGGTCCGCCGCGGCCCAACCCAATGGCACCACCTCGGCTTTTCCAACCTGAAGAACCGCGGACCCGTCACAAAAACTCACGTCGACCAGTCCTATGCTGGGGCGGAAATACGCCTGCGCTGGGAACTCCCTTCTGAAGCTGAAAAATTGTTGAAACATCGGTACCAAATCATCAACATCTGGCGGCCGATTGCCACAATCGTCAAAGACCCGATTGCAGTTGCAGATTCACGGTCAGTCCCGGATGCTGATCTCGTCGAGGCGGATATGACGGAAAACGGCTTCCCGGGCAAGCAGTGGGTGGTAAGGTATAATGCCGATCATCACTGGTATTACAAGTATCGTATGGAGCCAGAGGACGTGTTGCTGATCAAGTGCTTTGATTCGAATAAGGGGGTTGCACGCAGGGCGCTACATAGCGCGTTTGAGGATAAGGTATATGCGGGTGACGTGTCGAGACAGTCGATCGAAGTAAGGTGTATTGTGCTTTATGATGATTAGGCAGGTGTATGCTTGGCTGGAGGGAGACTGCAGGCCTAGTATCTTACGATTGTTGTCGAGTTCACTTTCCTAAATATTATACCCTCATACATCAAAATCTTGATATATCATCTTCTTGTAGATAGTGTATGGCATTGTGTACTCCAACACTCTGTTTCTCTTCAATAACAATCTTATCGAAAGATGAAGTCCTCCGTGCCGTTGGCTTGGCGGCCAAGAGTTCTTGCTGGACCCAGTGGGGACGAGAATGAAATGGTAATCTCATTGGACTCGCTGATGTCGGCATGCTGTGAGGTGCATGAGGATCTGCCGGTAGCGTGAGCGGACCCACTACTATGGGAGCTGCCCCACCACCGTCATTGAGACAAGGGAGAGCGGGGAAACCGCGAGGGTACTTTTGAATAATCTCCGTGGTTGGTGGTGTTGTACAGGATTGCAGTTTATCCGTCATATCTCCTAAACATGAGTTAATCAGGGTTGTTTATCCCATGATCAGTAGACGTCCATATGCGGTACAACCTCGATAGGCGATAAGTGAAGTCTGGGCTCTATGTATATAAGCCCACATGTAGGTACTGCGAGGAAGTAGCGAGCTGGACTCACTTGACAAATATCCATATCCTTCTCGTCATTCCAACTTTTTCTACACCATCAAGATCAACATGGCTCCCGTAACCGAGATCCCGCAAACGGTCGAATGGCAGGGCAAGCAAGTGCCTGTCTGGTCCATGCAGACTGTCAACTATGCACTGCTCCTCTCGCAGGACCCCGCCGAGGTTGAGAAAGTAACAAAAGCCTGTGAAGAAGAAGGTTACTTCTACCTCGATCTCCAGTCAATCGATGGCGGACGCATGCTTGGCGATCAGCAAGAGACGCTGAAGCTCATGAAGCGCTTCTTCGATGCACCAATTGAGCAGAAGAACGAGTATGGGCTCATCTCGTCCCATTTGGGCTACGAGCCAGTTGGCAGTCGTACTGGTGCTTTTGGCCCTGGTACCAAGGATGGCTACGAGATGCTCAAGGTCTCTCGCGACGAGATCCAACGAGGCAGCCCCAAGGTTCCTCAGCCGATCAAGAACAATGGTGAACTGAGGATCTTGGAGAACACTATTGGGAGTTGCAACACGATCACCAAGGTCATCTTGGCGGCTTTGTCGAATGGTCTAAACTTGACCGGGGCTTCGCGTTTCGAGAACTCGCATCGCAACGATCGTCCGTCAGCTACCACGGTAAGCAAGTCTTTCCAGTAGCAGGCAACATGACTAATGACTGCCAGCTCTCCATGATGCACTACCTTCCTTCAGACATTTCTGGCAACAACAAAGTCGGCCACCAGAAGCACACCGACATTAGCTCCCTCACCCTTCTCTTCAGCGAGCAGTGGGGTCTTCAAGTCCGTCCACCAGGCACTTGCGGTGCACGGGAGATGGGTTTCGTCGCACCAAAGCCCGGCTGCGCGTTCGTTCATGTTGGTGATTCTCTGCGCTTCGCCAGCGGCATGAAGTTCAACTCATGCATTCATCGCGTCGTGCCCTTCAACCCGTCTGAGCACCGCTACTCGATCGCTTATTTCCTCCGCGCCGAGGACGACACCATGTTTGTAGACAGCGAGGGCCGATACATTACCGCTGGGCAGTGGCACGACGAGAAGTTTAAGGCGTTCACTGATCCGTGGCAATGGCAGGCTATGGCTCCCACCTCGATGATTCTGGGTGGCATGAAGGAGGCTGGTGCGGATGATCCGCAGGGCGAGCCGGCGCAGTTTGCGCCCAACGCTATTGCGCTTCAAGAGGAGCTCAAGGAGGTCTCAGTCCAGGCATAGGGGTTTCGTAATGAAGACAATCTGCAGATAAGAATACCAGTCAATTGCATTTCCAATCCGTGGCGAATTTAGAATGCACTATGAAAATGCAAATGGTAGTTTCACATATTAGATGACTGATGGTGATGATTGAAGGTGTATGCCGCATCTTGAGATGATATGGTGAGTGATGGTCGTGTGCACTCGAGACTGTGAAGATCGAGACAGATTCAAGGGTCCAGTGACGTCATCTTTGGGATATGAAAGTGATGATTGAAGAGCACGAACTTGCGGAGAAATGATGTTGATGAATTTCTCAGGTAATCTTGTTGTCTCAGGGCAATGCGCACTTAGCAGGTATCCTCAGTGGCTGAATAGAGCGGCAGAATAAGGTGTACCTTTGTCAATGTCGGACGTCTCGAACGTTTAGAACGCCGCGCCTTCCCTAGAACGGGTTAACGCGGGGGAGTCGCCGCCGAATCTCCGCGTTCGGCAGCAATAAATTGTATACACTAAGACTCATCTCTACTCCCTTCACTTTGCTGACACGTTGACACAATTGAGTCATCGCCTATCTTGATACATAAGGAACCCCAAACGTGTCACTGTTCAGTAATTGGACATACTTCTTCACTCATACTTCACACAGCCACTCAATCGCAACATGGACGGCATCAAGAAGACATTCGCCCAATGCAAGAAGGAGGGCCGTGTATGCTACGAGATACTTATGAAGGAAGAATATTCGCTAACAGAAAGTCTAGTCGGCCCTCGTCACATATGTGACTGCAGGCTACCCCACCAAGCAGGCGACGGCTGATATCATGCTGGGAATGGAGGCTGGCGGTGCCGGTAAGTACAAAGGGCAATCGAGCAGCGGAAGTGGTTAAGACGCATCAATTGACTTTCGCAGACATCATCGAGCTTGGCATGCCCTTCACCGACCCCATCGCCGACGGCCCCACCATCCAGACTGCGAACACTGTACGTTGAGTCATTCGCCACGTTCGAAGCAACATCTGACAATTCCGAACATAGCAAGCGCTCAAGAACGGCATCAACACAGGGGATGTGTTGCAGATGATCCGCGATGCGCGAAAGCGCGGCCTTAAGGCACCGGTCTTGCTTATGGGATACTACAACCCCTTGTTGAGCTACGGCGAGGAACGCATGCTCCAGGATGCTAAGGAGGCTGGTGCCAACGGCTTCATCATGGTCGATCTTCCACCTGAGGAGGCTCTGCGCTTCAGGAACTTCTGCCGCAGCTATGGGTCCGTCTCATCTCGGTCGAGATGCAAGATGAAATTGCTAACAACTTTTCAGTCTCTCCTACGTCCCTCTTATCGCACCTGCTACCTCGGAACACCGTATGCGCGTCCTTTGCAAGATTGCCGATTCCTTCATCTACGTCGTATCGCGCATGGGGGTCACTGGCGCATCTGGAACAATGAATGCTGCGCTCCCCCAACTGCTCGAGCGAGTACACAAGTATTCTGGCAACATTCCTGCTGCGGTCGGATTCGGTGTCAGCACACGAGACCACTTCGTGAGCGTCGGAAAGATCGCAGAGGGTGTAGTCATTGGAAGCCAGATTATCAACACCATTGCCCAGGCTGGCGAAGGCAAAGAGGCGGAAGCAGTTCAGAAATACTGCGACATGATTTGCGGCAAGAGTAGTCGTGCGACCACGCGCGAGGTCGGCATTGTTGAGACTCTGGCAGAGGCCAAGGAGCCCACCGGTGTTCATGTCGACAAGGTCATCACAGACGCTGACACGCCTGATGGTCCCGGCCTTGCTGACCAGCTCGAGGCGCTGAACACTGGCTCCGATGGATTCGACGAGGACCATGCGCATCCGCCTCGATTTGGCGAGTTCGGTGGCCAGTATGTGCCTGAATCCCTTATGGACTGTCTCTCCGAACTCGAAAAGGGCTTCAGCGCCGCAATTGACGATCCGAAATTCTGGGAAGAGTACAGGTCCTACTACGACTGGATGGGCCGGCCAGGGCATCTGCATCTGGCAGAGCGCCTTACGGAACATGCTGGCGGTGCAAACATCTGGTTGAAACGCGAGGATCTCAACCATACTGGAAGTCACAAGATCAACAATGCGCTTGGCCAGGTCTTGGTTGCTCGCAGACTTGGAAAGACGGAGATCATCGCAGAAACAGGAGCCGGCCAGCACGGTGTTGCAACTGCCACAGTCTGCGCCAAATTCAACATGAAGTGCACCATTTACATGGGTGCTGAGGATGTCAGGCGCCAGGCGCTCAACGTCTTCCGTATCAAGTTGCTTGGCGCTTCGGTCGTTGCTGTCGAGGCTGGCGCGCAGACCCTACGTGACGCTGTCAACGAGGCTATGCGTGCTTGGGTTGTACACCTCGACACGACCCACTACATCATTGGATCTGCTATCGGGCCTCATCCGTTCCCTACGATTGTCCGTACCTTCCAGTCCATCATCGGAAACGAGACGAAGCAGCAGATGCAGGAGAAGCGTGGAAAGCTCCCTGACGCGGTTGTTGCTTGTGTTGGCGGTGGCAGCAACGCTGTCGGCATGTTTTACCCGTTCTCTAAGGACCCGTCTGTCAAGCTACTTGGTGTAGAGGCTGGTGGTGATGGCATCGATACTGAGCGCCACAGCGCCACGCTCTCTGCTGGTACCAAGGGCGTGCTCCACGGTGTGCGCACCTATGTCCTCCAGAACAAGCACGGACAGATCAGCGAGACGCACTCTGTCTCTGCAGGCCTCGACTACCCTGGTGTTGGTCCTGAACTTGCCAGCTGGAAGGATAACGATCGCGCCAAGTTCATCGCTTGCACTGATGCCGATGCTTTCAAGGGCTTCCGTATCCTCTCGCAGTTAGAGGGTATTATTCCAGCGCTCGAGACATCCCACGCTGTCTTTGGCGCCATTGAGTTGGCGAAGACCATGGGCAAGGACCAAGATATTGTCATTTGCGTCTCAGGCCGTGGTGACAAGGATGTCCAGAGCGTTGCTGAGGAGCTACCCAAACTTGGACCCAAGATTGGCTGGGATTTGAGGTGTAAGTAATGCCACAAACTTGGTTCTATGCTTCTGCTAACATGTGAACAGTCTGATCACGCGACGCTGGAAACGACGACGTCATATGCAATCTATAACAATTGAATGAAGCTGACCCTTTGCAACCCCCACATACATAAGATGATCATTTCCAACCCCCACGTGCCTGAAGTATCTGAAGTGTGACCCGACAGACTATGACGACTTGGACACTTTTTTTTCAATCTAGCGTGGACGGGTAAGGAAAGAGACTAATTCACACGTTTTCACCGGCCATTGGGCAATGATATAGCGGCGAAGTTAGCCGAATTTGGGCTAAGCGAGCTTCGAGTGTCGGGTTATCAGCAAGGTTCATGATGCACGGCAGCCGCTTGCTCATGCATGAATGTGCTTCGAGTTGACTCGACGCGACTGTGAGACACGTCGTCAGTAAAGATGCCTTGTGATGAAGAAGCCAAGATGTATTGCGCGGTGCTGCGAAGTGTTCCCGAAGGGGTGGTCGGCGGGCTCGAACGGCAACCAATGAATCGGACCCGTGCACATCCTCTTGGCTTCGTCACATCTGAAGCTCACGAGCCAAAAAGAGCGACACCACCAACCGCGCCAATCCCCACACGCTAGAACAACTTGCAGGTAGCCTCCGAATGCCGCACCTCCACCTGACCCACGCCATCCATTCACCGATCTAGCGCACACGCCCGTCGCGCCTGCCGCCTTGAGCTGCGCTCTTTCCCACTTCCACCACCACGCTGGACGCCTTCAACCAGTACCGTACCGTTGAGAGAGCCCAGAGCTTTGAGCTCCAAGAGCTAGACACACGCACACATACAGCACAAGAGGGCGCACGTGAGAGCAAGCGGGACAGGAAGAGACGGGAGAAGCTCGAGCAGCTTCGCGAGACCGAAGAGATGAAGTTCTCCCACAGCCTGCAGTTTAATGCGGTGCCGGACTGGAGCAACCACTACATCGCATACAGCAACCTCAAGAAACAGTACGTCCCACCACACATCAGACGAAAAGCAGCGCATCACCAAGGTCAGCAGCTGACATGCGACTTTGCACAGGATATACACACTCGAGACGCAGATCAACCAGAAACACGAGCACGCCGATCCGGAATCGTCGCCCCTGCTAGTTGGAGACATCGATGACCCAGACAAGATCTTCACAAACACGCTTGATGCAGAGCTGGAGAAGGTCACGTCTTTCTATCAGCTCAAGGAAAATGAGATATACGACGAGCTAGATGCCTTGCTGAAGGACGAAGAGTCGTACGACGAGGAAACAGATGGGTTCGAGCAGGAGCAGGCGCACATGCCGCCAGAACAGCGATTGCGCAAGAGCAGTATTTTCAGACAGGTCGGCTTCACCAAGCCCCGCACCATGAGTGCAGCAAGCGGACAGTCCACCAACGACGATCACGCCGAGGATGACGATTCTGACGACGACTTCAACGAGACATCGCGGTTACGGAAGAAGAGCCCAGACGGACGTGTGCGCCGCTCGCGGACGCATGACGAGAACATGGCAGCTTCCACCGACTACTCGGCGTCACGGCGGAGAACAAGCGTGGCTTTCGAGGACTACAACGACATGGCGTTTTCTGCGTTGTATGACGAGGGCGTGTCGTTGAAGAAGCGGACAGTCAGTGTTTATGTGTCGCTGTGCGAGCTGCGGTCTTTTATCCAGCTCAACAAGACTGGATTTGAAAAGGTGCTCAAAAAGTACGACAAGATACTGGATCGCAAGCTCAAGAGCCACTACCTCAACAAATACGTGTACCCAGCACACCCATTCCAGCAGAGCACCATGGACCAGTTGACGGCAAACTTGGACCGCATCGAGTCTGCATATGCACATTTATGTACTAAGGGCGATGTCGCCGAGGCGAAGCGCGAGCTGAGATTGCATCTGCGAGAGCACGTGGTCTGGGAGCGGAACACTGTCTGGCGAGAGATGATTGGTATCGAGCGAAAGGCGCAGGCAGCCAACATCGGTATCACCCAGACGCTTCTCGGACGCGACACAACTGGCGGGAAGATCCGACGCCAAGGTGATGATATTCAGCCAGATCTCAAGGAAGTGTCAACGCCGATTGGAAAGTACAGGTGCCCACAATGGCTAATCAGCAAGACTTTCTGGATGCTCCTGGCCTGTATAGCTGTCTTCGTCGTGCTGCTGGTTTTGCCTATCATGGAAAAGCCGGAACAGCAGAATTGCTTGGCAATGGTGGTGTTTGTCAGTTCGTTGTGGGCTACTGAGGTACGAGCTCGAACTCGAATGAAGATATCAACGCTAACAATCGCAGGCGATCCCGTTGTTCGTGACATCACTTCTGGTGCCGTTTTTGGCTGTCACGCTTGATGTCGTTCGAAGCGATGACACGCACGAGCGCCTCGACTCCAAGCACGCTGCCGGCTATGTGTTCTCGGCCATGTGGACTCCCGTCATTATGCTGCTGCTCGGTGGCTTTACCATTGCGGCTGCCCTGTCAAAGTACAACATTGCAAAGATGATGGCCACGTTTGTGCTGAGCAAGGCTGGAACGAAGCCAAGGACCGTGCTGCTCACCAACATGTTTGTCGCCATGTTTGCAAGTATGTGGATCAGTAACGTCGCGGCGCCCGTCCTTTGCTTCTCTATCATCCAGGTATGTTCTGTGCAGAAGATCTTATTACGCAACTAACAACCGCAGCCAATCCTCCGAAATCTTCCCGCCGACTCCGATATGACGAAAGCGCTACTCCTCGGTATCGCTCTATCCTCGAATATCGGCGGTGCAGCATCTCCTATTGCCTCGCCACAGAATCTCATTGCTCTCCAGAACATGAACCCTGAGCCATCGTGGGGTGTGTGGTTCTTTGTTGCACTCCCTGTATGCATAATTTCCATCCTGTGTATTTGGGGCCTGCTCCTCTTCACCTTCAAGCCCGGTCGCGGTACCACCATCGTTCCCATCCGCCCCATGAAGGACAAGTTCACTGGCGTACAATGGTTCATCACCATCGTTACACTCGTCACCATCATCTTGTGGTGCGTGAGCCACCAGCTCGAGCCCATCTTCGGCGACATGGGAGTCGTAGCCATCATTCCGCTCGTCTTGTTCTTTGGTACAGGCATCCTCACCAAAGAAGACTTTAACAACTTCCTCTGGACCATCATCATTCTCGCGGCTGGTGGTCTGGCGCTCGGCAAATCTGTCAATTCGTCTGGCTTGCTGCATACCATTGCCGAGTCAATCACTGTTGGCGTTGAGGGCATGAGCCTGTACGGCGTCCTCGTAGTATTTTGTGCATTGATCTTGGTGGTCGCGACGTTTATCAGTCATACAGTCGCCGCCCTGATCGTACTGCCGCTTGTGCAGCAGGTTGGCCAGCAGATGGCCGAGCCGCATCCGAACTTGTTGGTCATGGGCGCGGTGCTTATGGCTAGTGGAGCCATGGGGCTGCCGACTAGTGGATTCCCGAATATGAGTAAGTCACTTCCCACCACGCCTGTGGTACTTCTTTATTTCGACCCCGCTTTGCTGACCATTAATAGCTGCCATTATGATGGAAGACCAACATACCGGACAACGATACCTTGAAGTTAAGCACTTCTTGACACGCGGCGTGCCGGCGTCGATCATTACGTTTGTTGTGATTATCACCGTTGGGTACGGACTCATGTTGGCGGTGGGATTCTAGGCGTCTTTAGCGCTTTTGCATGTGGAGGTACTTGTTGATATAGTGACATGGATTTAGCGTTGTAGCATTTCGATACGCATCGTTTAAAGCGATATAAAGCTACTCTCTTCATGCTTAGACTATGTGCCATTGCCTTCTCCTTTCTGAAGATTTATATCATGAAGAAAATGATTTCCCTTCCCTTTATGTCCGTTGAACTCCTACTCCCGGCTTGCCTGACCCGTGGGCACAGACGTCGAGCTAGTACATATTTCCTATTTGAGCCTAGGGCCTTGAGTGGGACGAAGGATCGTGAAGGTAGGTGCCTGTTTGTATTACAAACCCACAGATTTCTCAGCAAGTCGAGGTACGCTTCAGGTAATATAGATGCGGCGGTCAAGCTATTTAAGTTTGATGTACCTACATCATTTGTAGAGTATCGCCACTAAAATCTGCGATACGCAACGAGCCATCTAACATCCAAGAAACTACATCAGAAGGAACTATCAAAGATGAAAAGCTCCCTTAACCTCCTCTCCCTACTCCCTCTAGCCTTTGCAGCAAAGCTCGCAACCGTTCATCAATTCCCCAACGGCACCTGGATCGAGAACATCGCGTCCACGCGGAACTCCTCTCTCCTCGTCACCGTCATCGGCCGCGCAGAAGTGCACATCATAAACCTTCTTCCCTCACCCCCGACATCCTCCCTCCTGACAACCTTCCCCTCCCGCAACTCCGTCACCGGAATCACACCAATCTCTCTCCCAACCACTTCGCCATTGCCGTCGGCAACCTAACAGCCTCCAACACCCCCGTCGCCAACACCAGCCAAATCTGGACCATCGATGCCTCGCGCACACCTCCGCAGATTGAGCTCGCACGAGACATTCCTACTGCTTCCATGATCAACGGTATCACGAGTCTGGATTCGCATACACTCCTGATGGCGGATAGCTGGCGCGGCAACATCCTCGCACTCGATCTGCGCACGAACAAATACGCCGTCGCGCTCGAGGACGAGAGTCTGAAGGCGAATTTCTCCCATCCTACGCTGCCCCTAGGCGTCAACGGGATCCGGTACCACGCACCAACTAAGTATCTGTACTACACCAACACGGTGCAAAATTTGCTCGGGCGAGTGGCTATCGATCCGCACACTGCCATGTCTAGGGGCAGATTCGAAGTCATTGCGCAAGGCGAGATGATTGCGCAACCGGATGATTTTGTGGTGCGGAGGGATGGGAGTGTAGTTCTTGCGAGGCCGCTGGCGGATCAGGTGGTGTGTGTGAGGGGAGGTGGGAGGGTGGAGGTGCTGGCGGAGGGAGGGTTGGCGAGTGGGGGTACGTCTGTTGTAAGCGGGGGAAGTGAGGGTGAGTTGTTTGTTGGTGAGAGTGGATTGAAGGGGGGTGTGGTGGCTAGTGGGGGGAGGGTGGTAAGGGTGGAGCTTTAAATGATGGATGGTGAGGGTGCGGTTGGGATGTCTGTGGGAGTGCGAGATAGGATTTGGTGGGAAATTGTGCTGGCTTTGCCAATATGTCTATATAGGAGATAATCTTCGATGCCCATGCTAGCAATACGTGTGCTTTGTCTTGCTGAGTGAGAACTATTGCATACTTTGATAGAGAAGCTTGAAAGATCACACGCATCTAGCGCTTCCCATCTTGAGTTTATCCAAGGACGTTGTTCAGGAGTTTCTAGATGAGAGGAAGTTCAGATAAAGCCTCAACGCAGCAGAACGGCTACAATTGGTGAAGAGCATCTATTAACGATAGTATACTAAGGCAAGTTATGGTACCTAAAACGAGGCTTACACTAATTTTTCCTGTCGAAAAATAGTATATACAGCATTTGTGCTTGTTGCTCACATAGATATATGATCTATTGTTGTAGTGTTTTCTTCAAAGTTCAGTAAGTTGTTAGAAGAGGGGCTTTTCATCTGACCAATCGATCAAGCGCAGCTGATGTACCTGTACGCTTATCACCATCCACGTCATCAGGCAACGAGGCTGAGGAATGTACGCGAGTTCTGCGCATTTGCGTGAAACTTTGATTGTACGATCCCGTCTTCATGTTCTAACGTCGCCAACGTGCGTGAGACACAACGTTCGACATTGATTCTGCATGCAGTCGCAATTACACCGATATTTTAGTAACGTGCTCGATCGGCGTTGATCTGCGCCTACTTCTTAACAACATGAACAACCCGAACTATCACTCTCAGTACGATTACGAAGACATCAAGCGACGTCCCTCAAAGCGCAATGAGGGTTAGCAAAGTCCTTTTCAAAGATGTTGATTATCGCTAACAAGAATTAGCAGTACAAAAGTGGGAGTTCACCGATTCTTATGACGGGCCACAGCTGAGCATATTCCAACCAATTTCCAGACGAGCTGCGCCCTCGCGTTCTACAACATTAGAAGCTTCTCGGATAGGCGCCCCTTTGATCGTGGTTCCTTGCCGGATGTCTCGCCGAACATTGTTGAACAAATTGAATGTCCACCACCGCCGCCTTCGCCATCGAATGTTTCTTCTCCTGCTCTTCCGTTTACTCCCAGCACAGCGGAACCGTACCTTCTCACACAAATCTCGTATGCAGATTTCCCTAACGATGATTACGATTTCCCACTGAGCCCTTCGTTCTTTGATTTTCGAGACACCGTCAACATCGACGCCCAGACGTCTCACGGAGGTGCGGATACAGCTACGCTTCCTATCATGCACAATGACCGGGCGAATACACCACAAATGGTTCACGAAGTTGTGCCTGATGTTGAGGAGAGAAGAACTTCGACCAAATCCTGCACCACTGATGATGCAGAAACCATAGACGGTTCGTCAGACAGTTGCGAGATGACCTGGTCCACGGACGTCGAAGTACAGAAGGAGCACATTCTAGACCATCTAATGGTAGCTGTCTACGAAATGTTCAGCTCACCACCCTCCGATGCGACAGGGTTCACAAGCACAAGTTCGTCGGATGCCTCTAGGCAGACGGGTGAATCATCTACCTCCAAGCCAGGAAAACGTGTACAATCAAGACGCCGGACCTTGACAGATAGAGATAGTGAGCACAGTGAAAACGAAAACAGTCATTCCAAAAAGCGTAGAAATACACAGGACGAACCAGAAACACCACATTTGTTGAAATCTACGCGAAAGCTCGCATGTCCATACTACAAGCGCGATGCGCGCAGGCAGCATCATTCTGGAGCGTGCTGTGGACCGGGATGGGATTCAGTCCATCGGATCAAGTACACGTCGCCTCCTTCTTGCAAATTGTGAACCCCACACTAACAGGACAACAGAGCTCATCTCTATCGTGTGCATGCTGTACCTCTTCACTGTCGACGATGCTACGCCACATTCAAGACTGAGTCTCTCTTGACAGAACATCAACGCTCCACCGAGAGCTGCATAGTGAGAGATGCGATTCCTATGGAAGGATTTGATAAGGATCAAGAAAGAGCTCTAAAAAGCAGAAAATCCATGTTTCGGGCGGAAAGCGAAGAAGCAAAGTGGAAGATTGTGTATCTCATTCTGTTTCCAGACACGGCGCTAGGCGAGTTGCCTTCTCCATGTAAGTGAAACTTATCCAGGAACAGATCAGAGCTGATGTAACCCTAGACTACGATTGGCAAGCCGATACGGATGGCGATCAATCAAGGCGCGAATCCCCAAAGCCCCCTGAATTAGAACAGTTTGACGCTTTTCTGAAACGAGAGCTTCCGAGAACCATACGAAAGACGCTACAAGCGGCTTTGGAGAGTCGAATTGGTCCCATCGAAGAAACGTTGAAGAATGAGCTCGAGGGTATTGTGAGAGACGCCCAAGAAGCATTAACAAGGAGCTACCTAAGCTCCACGCAAAATTCAGGCCCATCATCTGCTAGCGTTCTAAATTCAACGGACGGGACACTCCATCCCAACGACTCTTGCGCGAATGACTTAATGCAAAAGTCGCAGTCTACCACAGATTCACTGTCTCAATATCTCGTACCCCCAGAAGCAATGTCTGCGTGGATCCCAGATGTGCCCCATCCCATCGACGATTCGAGTACGTTGACAGACTCCGCATACCATTCGCTGTCTGGCACTGGACAAGACGACTCGCCTATGGAGGATGCATGGCTTAGGAACTTCCTCGACGAAGACGTCTTTCTTGCAGATCTCGATGTAGAAGAGGCAAACTCTGACCCACCGAGGTCAAAATATCCAGGTTTCCATGATCAATTTAGTGAAGGGAAGAATGGCAAGGGTAAATCAAAGGCATATGGTGATATTTGAGACATGAGTGTCCGGAACTTAGCGGTATGGGTCATTTGAACGCAGCTGATAGCAGTAGAGCGTCTCTTACACAGTTCAGCCACAATGCCCTACTTCATGAAATCTCAACAAGGAGACTCCTCATGGTCCTTTATCTACGGCTGAGACATGAAACCCCTCGAGACCACACTCAATCCTCTTCGCTATATTGACCGCTTGTGAAGCCCTTTTCCCCTGATGAGCTTTTTCAACCAGACTTTGTGCTCCAGCTCGGTTCCGCGCACGTACTTGAAGCACCCATTTGCCGACCTCGTCGCTGATGGTCCAACTGTGGCAAACTTGCTGACATTGGCGACGTCAGTGTCGTCACTGAAGGACGATAAGACGCCAAGATAACCGCAGGATCTTGTTTAGAAATATCCCCGAGATGCAAGTGCGGCTGGAGGAGTACATGATCCTTTGAGCATGAAGTGGTAGTCTGAACGCGGGACTGTGATTCAGGTGAGGCCCATGCTCCGATATGAGCGAGCGCTGAGGAAGACATAATAGAAGACAGAATTTGGATCGCAGCGGATGGATGATTGCGATGGGAAGAGATTTTGACTGTTTGTGTAAGAGCATGTAGGAGGCAACGTATCTAGATATATATTTCGCAGCTAAAGAAAGGATACAATATCTGCACCTTGGGCATATTCATAGGGTTGCTCATGTTGCTGAAATAACGAAGTTTGCGCGCGCTCAAATTACGCGTAGGGGATCGTGTGAGACTTTGTGCACATTTTGGCACATTGCCTCAACAAAAGGATTGAAAAAAATTCTGAACGAAGGAATTTAGTCAGATATGCCAGGTTGGGCGACGGTGAAAGTTTGGATATGCACATATGCGCAGATATCAGTAAAATGCTGCTGCTCGGTTGCGAATCTTGAATTGGCGGTAGGAGATGATAGACAAAGGATTGAACATCATGCATCGTCATTCTGCCCATTATCATTTAATCAAGGATATGGTACTTTCAATATGGCGGCACGTAAGAGGTTGAGGGCAGTCCGATAAGATTGCGATGATGTCAATGATGAGGCTGGTCGTATTGAGAGGATCCTCTTAGGTGCGAGGTTGTGTTTTGTTTTCCGCAGATCACAGGGCTAGAGAGTTGAGTGATGCCCTCTTGAAACGCGGTGAGATGGAAACTGTGACTAGTCCTCGACTATTGAATTCATACGACAATTTAATGTACAATAGATCACTCAGCAGAAGATGAGTACATTTGGCTACTTGACCTTCCCCAAAGAGCTCTGGAAATCTCTCTTGGACGTCCTCCCACTGTCCTTCGCCTTTCCGCACCAGTTCCTGCTTTTCAGGTGACTACCATGCCTCATGCGTCTTCCACGCCTGGCACAAGAAATGCGCATCCGCGACCTGGCGGATGTAGGCGTTGATCTCCTCATTCAGAGCCCGACGCTTGGCCTTACAATGCGCCTTCCATCGCGCATGAGCTACTTCCTGCTGTCGCCAGTTAGCTTTGACGGGCGTATTCTCATTGTTCCAATTATGAAAGTCGTTCCAGCTCCTCCCTCGCCGTGATACGAAAGAACAAGGGGAATTGCGGTCTTCAAGATGAAGACGTTGCTTGCATCCATTGTGGAAAGAATAAACGACCGTGTGCGAAACTGATCACGCACAATGGAGAGTCGAAACTGGCTTGGCTGCCGCTTCCTGATGCCACGCGAGACGAGGGGGTCTCATGGCAGGATCTGGCCTACTGGGTTGTTATATAAGCTGCGAAGAGGTATCATAATACGATGAGTAGATGACGAGTGTAGTCTGATGTGATTGATGTGAACGTGAAGATGAACTAGATATGGGTGTGCAGTGCAAGATCCGTTCATTCAGTACGGCTTCGGATGGAGGAGGGTTCTTCACCGAGAGCGTGGATTTGACATGAACACCAAAAAATCAAATTAGAGTACACTGATCCTCTGGAGCCAGGGATTTCAGGGTACCCAGGAAAGTCGATCGATCACACTTGTTGTACACAGAGATTGGGGAGGATGATGATGATGATCATCTTGATTACTATGACATATAGATCTATCATAGCGTGGCACACGTTGAGTTGTGTGAGTGACGCTTCACTTCACTCGCTCGCCTCGCTCAGCAGTGTCTTCATCACTGCTTTCACCTTCGCCGTCTTCAGGCTTTGCATCATACCCTTCACGACATCCGACCGCCTCACCAGAGCTTGCGGCCTGTTGTGCCCTCAAAATGGGAGGAGGAACCAGTAACAAAGCCTTGAACTTCCGCATGAGCTCGTCCTGTCGTTCTATGCTCCTTTCTCGCTGTTCCGTGAGCGCACGCCGACCGGCCTGGATGCGTTCCTCCTCCTCGTCACTCCGTATGAAATGTGACTTCCTGCGGGCGACAGGAGTTTGCAGTATACTCTTGACCCCTTCAAGCACGCGCTCCTGCTCATCTACGATAGCCTTCATTGTGGCTGCTAAGCCCTTGAAGTCGATGCGGTCACGTTGCGCTTTGAGATTGGCCTCGAAGTCGGGCAGGTAGTCGTATAGCCTTGGCACGCGGCCTGGCTCTGACATGTACTCGCTGGGATCGCGCCTTCTGATGGTCGGAGGAGCATTGACTGCTGGACCTGGCGCTGCCGTGAAGGCGTGGCGCTGTTTGCCGGTTTCATCTGCGAAGCTGTAGCTGTTGCTCCCATTTCGCCTCGGTGGAGCGAAAGCAGGTTGCTATGCAGCTTCGAAGTAATACATCGGGGGAGCGAAAGCAGGTTTCTCTGCAGCTTCTACGCTGTTGCTCTTGCGTAAAGCGAAAGCAGATTTCTCTACAGCTTCTGCACGTGGCGCTGTGGATGCATGCTCATGCAGTTGCTCTAGGAAGCTGTTCTGCGAGCCATGTGGTTGTAGATTGTGCGCCATGAGAGGCGTTGCTCGGAAGGCACGACGGCCGCGCTGCAGGTTTATCACGGTCTTCCATGATGTCTTGAAATGTCAAAAGTGGGAGGAAAGTTGCAAGGTGAACTTGAGCGTTGTTTGTGAGCAAAGTGGCCAAGGCGCGCTAGCGTCGAAGGGTGTACTGGTGAGGAAGGAGCACCCACATGTGACAAGTGAGAGACGCACGTATGATAATTGTCTTCATTACTATTACATCTAATGCTATCATAGTGTTACAAAGGACTCGGCTCTTTTGGGGTATCGTTGGGTTCGGGCATGTAACTTTGCGCAAGCTCGCGGCTTTGGTTCAAGCATCGTGATGGCTCGTGGGCCGCGTCACTTCAATCGTGAGAGTCAGCGTGGTCTCCTCCACAGTCTCCGGCCGTCGGCCTTTGAGGCGATCGTCGTTTAGTTATCATTTCGAGTTGGTCTTGTTGCCTGCACGCAATGGTGTTGTGTATCCTACACAAAGACCGTGTCGAGGCACAACCAGACTTCTTCCTTGGGTCTGGAGTGCTCTGTGCTAGAAAAGCACCATGACGTCGTGCGACAGGAATTCATCCTCCGTCGCCTGACCTGGTGAGCACTCAGCCACCGAGAAGTTTCCGAAACTTGTTGTTGTCCATGATAACGTTCTCGAGGAAATTGGCCGCCTCGGTCAGAACACTGCTCTTACTGAGGCCTCCATTGCGGATCTCTGGAACAAGGTCATGCAAATCGTCGAATCCGCGCTTGATCAAATTCCGTCGCTTCTGCTCGGACAGAATGTGGTTGCTGCGCTTCTGCTCCTCGGTCAAGTTCTCGCGCTGGAGCTTCTGGGCAGCCGCGCGCTTTCTCTTTCCCTCCTCGACCGTAGATGCCTTCCGACCCTTGCCGTTCCGTGCGCTCTTCTGCAGACCATCTTTGCCAGCTTTGCTCTTTCTCCGCTTCTTGGAGGGCTTCGCATCTTCCTCGTCTTCAGAGCTGGGCCTCCTCTGACTGTGTCCTCGTCGAATTGCTCACTATGGGAGGGCCCGAAGATTCTGCAGCTTCCGTTGGTAGCACCGCCCGAGAATAATGCCTCGGCGTGGCGTGGGGGAAAATCCCCCTGAAGGGGGCGCGTGATTTGGCCGGTGGTCTCCAGTCCTTGAGGCCTTGAGAATCCTGTAGGATTGCTAAACGAATCGTCGGTGCCAAAAGTGTATGCTCGCTTGAGATTCGGGCGCTCCATCTCATTTTCGTACATTTGTATGGCATTTGTGCCGACCCACTGCGCGGCGAATTGGGCATCCAACGTACCTTCCTCATTGTGGTTGGGGAGGAGCGCAGAGAGCTGTTCGTTGATCAGTCCGTGAGGGGTGACTCTCAAGGGCTTGCCGTCTCGGTCCACAGTAGATGACGACTCGTTGGCAGCCAGAGGTTGGCTTGTCGTAGGAGTGGCGTGAAAGCTGTGTGACCTGTTGTTGTTCGCGTATGATGCCTGTGAGTTCTGGAACAGGGTCGATGCCGCCTGCAAGTCATCCTGTGTGTTGTGTGTATTTCCGTAGTGGTTCACTGGTGGGGGTGGCTGGGCGTAGGTGTGGTCGTTGAAGAGGGCATTGTGATTGTGCAGATGCGCCTGGTCCGGGATGGTCGCGGAGACGCCGTGGACCGTGGCGGGCTGCATGAAGTTGGTCCAGTCGGTGAATTCATCGAGACTGTGCTTGGTGTCGGTCGAGGTGGCGGGAGGGAAGTGCTGGTCGGCCAGGAAGGGATCGGTGTTGGAGAAGAAGTCGGCGATGGACTGTGTCTCGCCCTCGGTAAGCAGGGAGTGGCTTGCGTCATAGTTGTTGAAGTCGTCGTCGAACAGGCTGCCGGAGAAGGTATCTGGTCGCATTGTCAGCAGCGGGGCTTCTGCAGCACGGTGGAGAAGATCATACAGCCGAATGGCGAGGCGTCCTTGTCGCCCATGCCGGCTCGAATGCGCCCTCTGGCCGCGGCGCCCGAATGTCTTAGGAGAGTCGCCAGCTTGACGGTCTGCGTCGTGGTTGAGAGAGGTCGAGGGCTGACGAGATGCTGCCGTGAGCACGGTCCAGCGCGAATACCCGCAGTACGACTAGGCTTAAGCGTAGATTTCAACAAACGCTGGTGACAAGTGAAATGCTTGTTTGCGGGCCTTTGTTGGGATTTGGTGCGCGCAATGACGTGGAGAGAGGCGCGAATATGGATAGCTACCAGGACTGCCTAGGAGCGCGCGGGGAGAGCAGTGCCTGATATGCAGTCACAACTCCAGCCAACATGGCCAACAAGACTTTCGCCGGCGCAATGCAGGGGCCTAGCGGCGGAGAGACGGATACGCAAGCTTGGTGGTAAAGCTGCGCTGTCGCGTGTAGCAGCAGAGCCTCCCACATGTTCACATGCCAGAGAGTCGACGAGCTCTGCAACCAGCCGACACGTGCCGAGCGCGCGCCGGCTGCACCTTCCCTGCCACAGCTGCTCCGCCAAGCCTCCCCATAGTCTACCCCAGATTGCACCTGGGCTCTCGACTCAACGGTTCACTTCCCAACGACGTTCCCTCATGCCGCACTCTGACCCAGTAGCGAAACCTTGCAGAGATGCTCGCTCTCTGCGCATAACACTGCAATCTTCTCAGCATGACTAGTGCCTCCGACTGTCTGGTAACATCCCGCCTCCTCCTTTACGATGCGCCGTAATGTGTCATAATGGGCAGTTCCTCCGTAGGACTGCTGATCCATCCGATACCTTGGAAGGGCATCCTCGGCATCCTCGAGGCACTTGATTGGTCCGGCCTCGCAACCTCTCGCGACAACCATCACCAGACGGCATACTCCATCATCTTGACCACCTAGCTTACCGCATCGCTCCGAGTGCTCAAGCTTACCGTGGCCATCTTGCTGACGTCGACCTGCTGCAGTGTCATTCTGCCTTCCTTCCCAGGCGCGTCAGCCGCTGGCTCCTGCCCACATTGCAACAACGGTCGAGTCCTTTTAGTGCCGGGAGGCGCTCCTAGTGACCTACATCCAGCCAATCGTTGTACGTCTCAAATTCATACTCGGAGTCTCCGATCCGTCACTTGATGCTGTTAGTTGATCTTCGGTCATTCCTTCTTCACTGATGTGAACATGCGGTACACTTTCACAATGTTCGAGACAAGCGGATACTTTGAGAAATCCAGCAACTTGTCTGTGCAGAATGGTGACTTTGCAAAAGGAACTAGGATGGAATGCGTTGCGGTCGAGCTTGTATACCTTCCAGGGCACTTCAACCAAGTGTGTACTGTAAGCCGTAGGGTGAGCTTCAACTGCCTACGTTGGCTACTATATACTCCTGCCAACAAATTCCTGTCTTCCAATCACTCTCTCCTGCGATGCAACCAGACCTTCACCCTCCAAGCCACTCTCTCCCTCATCAGTCTTCTCCAAGTTGACCTCTTCATCTTCACTTGGATCCGACGCATTAGACGCTTCCTGTTTACGCTGTTGGTTTCGTGCTGGTCAGTGGGCGATTACGAGTCTGAGAGCCACACAGCACACGCTAACTATGACGTGAAACTCCATACAGGCTCATACGTGCAACGACTAACATCCAATTCCCAGCGAAGCGTCGTTGGACTTGAAGTCATAGCCATGCTCCAGAACCCCCAAAGGCCCAAAGGATCCGTTCCACAATACACGCCCCACAGCAATCACTGGGCTCAAGTCAAAATCATCGCGTTTATCTGCATTCTCCCGAGCGTTAACTCTAGACAGCTTCTGCATTTCTCTCCCTCCACTCCTCGTGCTTTCCCATTCTACAATCTCTAACTCTTTCTCCATGTCCTTGGCACATCATGATATTCACTCGTCTGCCATCAAACACATAGGGTTTTCCGTATCATGTTCATTTATCCTGTCCTAGCCTATCTACCACACCTATTTTCTAACTACCTCCCGCGCTCTCGTTCTCCTTACTCTTTCCCTCCCCCTCGTCCCCTCCCTCCTCACTACTATCACTATCATCACTACCCTCCGGCCCCTCCCCCTCCTTATCCGGCGTCCTCTCCGCATTCCAATGCCGCTGCGCCTCCTCCTCACTCGGACTCCTAACAAAGCCCCTCGGCTCCTCATCGCTTGAAGACGCGACATCGTCGACCATCCCCGGGACCTCATCGTCTTTTGTCGCGCTCGAGTTTGCTTGGGTTCCCGCGCACCCTCGTCTGATGCAGGCCAACTCGTAGTTATCTTTTTCTCCACATACGCGACATGTCCACTTTGAGGCTGTGATGGCTTCGTCTCCGCTTGGGCTGTCGGATGAGGTGTAGGGGTTGTCTTGGTCGTCTGCTTCGTTGCCGCTCATTGTGCGGGTGGGGTATCGTGGATTGAGAGATGTGTGGATAGCGGTTTGGTAATTGAATTGTTATTGTTGAGCACATCATCACGATACTGCAGCTCTTTATACACTGCTATATGAGTCTACGATTGTTTGCTCATAGTCGTGTTACTCTGAGAATCTGGTGACTGATATTTGACAAAGTCAGGCATGTGTAAAAGTCATCGACTATTCCAACACGGCGCCTTGCAACTGCCATGCTCAGACACTTTTATTCTACAGGATGAGCACAACGATCGATGCGTTGTCTGAACAATCATACTGAAGAGTCGTGTAGTACTACCTCGTGATGACTTTCGCTGTGTCGGACTCGCAACCCCAGTGCTTGCATCAGCACAAGTCCAACGCCCAACACACGATACACAACACACAAATCTTGACTCATGCCACACCCATTCGAATGTCAAAATCATGTAATAATATTCCTACTCAAACCTACTTCCCCCTCTTCCTCTCCGCCTCCCTAATAATCCTCTCTGCCTCTCCCATCGCATCTCTCCCCACCCTCCACGTCCTCAACACCACCCCCCGCTCGCGCATAATCTCCTCAGCGCGCTGCCACCTCTGCCTCCACAGCACCTCCCTCTTCGTCCCATACTCGCCTCCACCAGCACCGCCCGCACCCATTGTCGACCCCGTGCTCGTGCGATTAATGCCCTGGCGCGCGCTGGACGAGAAGGGCTGGGATGTCTGTGTCGACGCGACTTGCGGGCGCGAGTGGTACGGTACGGACGGCGCGTGTTGCCATGCTGACGACGCTTTGCTGCCGACGTAGGACACCGCGCTGGACGCGTTGTCGCGGCGGCGAGGAGGTGGTGGGGGAGGCGCGCGACGGACGCTGCTGGAATCTGATGCGGGCGCTTCGGAGCCGTCGGAGGAGCGCAGGGCGGGCAGAGCGCTGTATACAGACCACAATTTTTCGCGTGCCATACCAGCGTAAGATTGCTCCGCGTCGGATTGCTCTGTGTTGATGGAGCGCGGTTTGGGCGCGATGGGAGGCTTGGATACAGCAGAGGTTGGAGTGCGTGCTGATGTTTGCTGGGATAGGGGGCTTGGTTGCTTGACTGAGTTTGAGAGTTGGCGGGGTTTCGGTGGACGGGGCGGACGTGGGGTTGATGGTGATGGGTTCGTGGATGAGATTGAGTCGTTTGAAGGAGTTCGTAGTGCTACAGGTTTCCGCGGCGGCGGAGGGGCTGATTTGGTGCTTGTTGTCGAGGCAGTTGACATGCGATGCCCTTGGCTCTCCACTATCGTGTCTGTGTTTACGCGCCGCATCGCGGGCGAATGCTCCAGCTCGTCGTCCGAAGAGAGGTCGATGAGGTTGTGCACTTCTGGCGTTGGACCAGACGTACGCTCAGGAAGCTTTGGACGCAACTCAGGATGGTCCCTATCACTCTGCGCCGATGTAGACTGAGTCCGCTTCTTGTCATATTCGTCCATCTCACGCAGAGATGCAGCTATCGCAGCCTTGAGCTCTGGGTCGTGTTCTTCAGAAGCAGGTCTCGCTTTCGTAGCCGCACTCGCTCTCGCACTTCCTGCGCGACTTGGCGACGACGAAGACGACGCCGATCTGTTTCCAGGCATTGGCCCCATGGACTGATCAAAGAATCCACCGTGGTCAGATGTCGTAACATCGCGTATGAACACCGCTGCAACACGTCCGGGGTTCTCGAGGACAAAGTCCGTGTACACCTCCAAGTCAGCCTCGCCACTATCGCCAATCAGGATGAAGTTACGTTCTGGAAAGTCTCGTGCAATCTTGTCCAGCGTAACCTTCTTCCTCTCCGCGACGGGCTCGAAAATACCCTGAAGCATGCCGCTGTATTGCTTGAGGTGGAAAGAGCCCGGCGGCAGTCCGGCTAGCGCGAAGTATTTCGATATAACGGGGTATAGCTGCCACGGTGAATTGGAGACGTAGTGGAATTTCACGCCTTGCTCAGCCATTGCGGTATACCACTCACGGACGCCGTCGATGGTAAGATCACTCAGCTCCCGGATGAAGGTGTTGCGGAAGATCTCGCGCGCACCATTACTGATGGCAGAGTGCTTGATTGTATCGTCAATGTCAGATATGACACTAATACCCTGCGAGTCCGTGACGATGACCTCTTCAGTTGCTGACAGCTTGTCTGAGGCTAGGATGCGGACGTGCGTAGGTATAAAGTCCAACGCCGCAGACATGCTGAAGTGCCCTGCGGCGTTGGTGTATATAGTCCTCTGCTTCGAGATCTGCTCGTTGTAGAAGAAGACACTAATCGGCGTGTTAGCCATGGGGACGGCAAGGAAGTGTCGGAGTCGCGCCATCAGACGTGCGTTGGCCTCTGCAAGCTCTGACGCATTCATGTCGGCTGGCTGGTTCCATGATGCTCGCTTCTGCAGTGGTGTAATGTGCTCGTCGTCTTTGAGAGAGCCGCGTGAAGTAGCATGTGAGAGCTGTCCAGCCTTGAAGCTCTCCACGGTGCGTACACTCTCACGGCTGTTTGTGCGGTACAACGAAGTGTCGTCATCATTGCCTCGGGATGGTTTCTCGCTGTAGCCGCCCTTGGCCGCGACCGCTGCCTCTTTCTCGCCCTTGCGGAGAATCTGCTCGGCTTCGCGTGCGGCCATCTGCTCGTCGCGCTGTGCTTGACGCTCCCGGTGTCCTTCCATCATGGTATGGCCGGGGCTTGTGTCGCGGCTGCTCGTGGCCGACGTCTGTTCATTGGCACCAGCGGGCGGTGCCTGGATACCCACCAGCTGCCGTGCGAGACCGATGAAGAGTCTCTGCTTCCTTGACATCTGGCCCTTGAAGGGCGAGTATATCCAGCCGCGCACGTCGACGTCAACCACAGCCTTGTCGTCCTCGTAGTCCTCCCACTGCTTCTTCCAGAACTCGGCGTCTCCGGCGCCTACCGAGTCTCTTGCATCGCGGCCTGTGCCCTCAACTTCCTGTATAGTCCCGGGCTGGGCCTCGGGCTTGCGTCTGATATGTTTCCTGGCGTAGCTCGGGAAGAGTATCATCTCCTCCTCGCCACTGCGCACGACGGCACCGTCCGGAAATCCTCCCGGCGTGTCATCCTCGAACTTGTAGTTCTCCTCATTCCCTCTCCAGCTCGGCGCATATTGCTGTGTGTATGTCTGTCTAAGTTCATTCGCAGCCTTCAGATATCCCGCCAGCTTCCGTCTGCGGCCCCCACTCTCGCGTTGCTCATAGTTGTCCTGGTACGACATGGCTCCTTTGCTAGATTTTCCGACTCCAGAACCCTTTGCTATCTCGCGTCGGCGCAGTCTTGCTTCATTTTCGAGGTAATTGCTGCCTATAAGCTTGCGGGTACGGCTGCGCAGGCGTTGGAGGATGGTCGTCTTCTTCTTGAGCTTCTGCGCCTGGCGGTAGACGATGTATTTGTATATGCGGGCCTGCGCGTGGCGCTTTAGCGAAGGGAATGTCTCGTGGCGGAATCGGGAGAGGCGGTCGCGGGCGCGTGCTCGAGTCTGCGGGAAGGGGAAGAGGTAGCGGAGGAGAGAAGAGGCGCCGTGACCAGAGGGTTTGCGACGGAAGGATGGTTTGGGCATGCAGCCGATCGCTGTCTCAGCCTTGACGTGCGGATGATTCAAGGCATGCGATAATTAGGGAGGAATACGTGCGCATCGCTGAAGCTTGAATCTAGCCTTCGCCCACGTACGTCACTCGCATAATCGGCACGCTAGCAGACCCCTGCCACATGTAGATCACGGATCAGGCACGAACGGCTCGTTCGACAACCAAGACTCTTTACGGTTGTCATATTGTCCAGCTATGTGATTTGTACCTACTGTATACTACATCTGCTACCTCGTTGACAGAGCATCCGTAAGGACTTTTTGCACATCCAGTCCACTACCCCTCAATGCCATGAGTATCTCCTCAAAGACTCTCCTTCCAAGATCCTTCATCTCATCTCCCTTGAGACACGGCGGGATCGGTTGGATCTTGTCGTGTCGCCAGAACCTGTTGTGTACCATCTCTCCCTGTGCCGTGCCCGAGAGGATCATGTCCGCTCCCTGTGCCGGCGTTCTCATGAAGAGCAACGTGAAGATAAATATTATGATGAAAAGACCAGGGAAGAAGTGGTCGCGACCAAGGTTGGTATTGACCCAGCCAGGGCAAACAGAGGTGATGATGACATCTTCCGAGGAAATGTTGTCCGCCAAGAAGGTCGCGACATACATCTGAAAGGCCTTGGAGAATTTGTACTGGTGGCCCTCTTTAAATTGTTCTTGCTGGTTGTAACGACCCAGCACATTGGACTCCCTCCGGATCTCAGGCGGAACAACGGCGTTTTGGTGGAGGCCAGAGTTGACGAACTCGAGGATGGGTGTCCTCCCAGTAATGCGTTTCGAGTCCCTCAATTTCGGGAGGAGGAGCATCGCGAGGAGAGCCGTTGACAAAGTATTGACCTGAAGATCCTCTTCCCACCCGTAGTCCGACTTGTAGAACTTGGTTCTCCATACGCCAGCATTCAGCACTGCGATGTCGAGATGGTCCAGTGTGTTTGCTCGCCTCGCAAACGCCACAACACTTTCGTAGGACATCATGTCTAGCTGCCATACTTCGAGCTGACCTGGCTGCTGTAGTCGAGCCTCCAGTCTTGCCTTGGTTGCTTCGCCCTTCTTCTCATTGCGAGCCGTGATAATGACCTTTGCGCCCAATTGTGCAAACTTGAGCGCTGCTTCCTCGCCGATCCCTGAAGTGCCACCTGTAATGATGATATTCCTTCCAGAATAATCAGCATTGACAGGCTTCGGCGGCGTGATCCATTTGTTCGCAAAGACTTCGTACATGGCAAGCACGTTGTAACGAAGCGGCAGAAGTTGTGTTTTGAACACGAAGAAATTGATACGAGCAAGGTGAAGAAAGCGAGGCGTGAAACGTTCACTCTTATAGCAGATTGCTCGCGGATGATGAGGTGAGGTCAGATAGTCAATAAACTCAATATTTCACCGAGGCGCGCGGTGCTTGTACACTTCCGATTCGCTGAGCCATTGAGATGAAATCAACGGACGAAGCAGTCACTTGGTGACGTCTCAGCATGTTCATTTTGGCTTACATATAATCGTAGACTTCTTCGTCAGTACGACTTCTCGGTAGATGGTGGTATAGAAGCAGCGGGAGGCGCAACAGCAAGCATGCCTTCTCACTGCGAGATTTAGCGGCTTGGCATTGGAAACAGTGACGATTTCGAGCAGCTGCAGGTACCTCGAGGTAAAGGCACAACGACACGTGCAACCGCCATGATACCGATTTCTCTACACACCCTCCAGAATCGCTAAACCTACTAGCCCACCACTCAATCCTTCCTCAGACATCGCCCAAGCCATGTCCTACAACCAGCGCCAACCCCACGGTGGCCCCGCAGGAGCTCCCCCGAACGCCGCACCCGACTTCAACGCCATGTTGCAGCGCTCGCTACAAGAACCGGGACAGTCAGAACTCGCCGTCGAAGCTCCCGGGCGGCCATCGTCCTCAATTGGTACGGTCACGTAGAAGCCAGCGGTACACAAGGGCGCACAACTGACGCGACAATGCAGGATATGGAGGTGTATACAGTGCCACTCCACCACCACAACAGGGACCAAACGTCCTCGGCGGCGCACGAGGGCCCGGCCCACAGCAAATCCTCCCCGTCGACCTCCCCCCGCAAGCCTTCCTGACCTCTGCCATGCTGCTGGATATGGTAGACAGTACGCCCTCACGTGTCGCACAACCAAGACCTAGGTTAACACATGCGCAGAAAAGGTCGACGTCTTACTCCGCGACGAGAAGGAATACATCGGCATACTCCGCTCCTATGACCAATTCGGTGCGTCAGCACATTCCCAACCCAATATCTCTCTCTGTAGTGACCCGACTAACCGCCACTCCCAGCCAACCTCGTCCTCACAGAATGCCACGAGCGCATAGCCGCCCGGAATCCCGACGCGGAACCTTCGTCCGCCCCCTCCGTGCCCCGCTGGCTGATCCACGACGTCAAACTCCCCGGCGTCATGACAATACGAGGCGAGAACGTGACCATATGCGCGACCGTTGACTTAGACCGCGAAGACGCACCGCGCGGCGCTAGGTTCGCGGATGTAGATGAAGTAAGGGCACTGGCTGCGGCGCAGAAAGCTGAAAAGCGCGACGTCGACACGAGGAAAGCAAAGGCGTTGAAGGCGGCGGGTATTGAGCCGGGGTTTGGCATGCAGACGGCGTGAGTGGGGGTTGGTGTATGAGTAGCAAGCATAGCACAGTCATGAATGAGGAAAGAAAAGCGCAGTGCGCATAGATGAGGATATGAAGGGGGGATGGGCTTGGATAGCATATGGCGAGGTCATGATATCAATGATACCAGGACGCTAAATGTCCAATTTTGACGACTCGACCTCCTCTGGTGTCTCCCCTGCTGCATTGATAGTATCACGGTGATTCACCCTGTCGTTTAAATGCGCGAGACTCCTTTGACTGGCGGTCCACATTTCAATTTACTACCAGCATATCATGCCTACCTGGACTTCAAGGGGCATATCCCTCTGTACTCAAACGCTGCACACCTGCACATACTTGGACGAGCACAAGGGATATAAATTTGAGCAGAACTAGGTCATATATTGGAAGAGTCGATGAGCCTCGTCTTCATAAATGCGGATGGTATTCTTTCTACCCAGCAATGTAACTCATCCATGCCATCATGGTGCCTAAAGCTGCCTCATGTACCAGGCTCGAGTGCAGTGGGAGTCAGAGTATCCCGGTATGATCAGGCCCATATCTCTTGATCATGGTGACAAGTATTGTGTTGGTGGCTATGTAGATTATGCCATGGTTGTACGTCTGCGATGTGTTTGCAATGGGTGTGGTTGTGTGTGTGCTTGCGTGCTTGCGTGCTTGCGTGCTTGCGTGTGGGTGTGTGTTTCACGGACGGCATGGCTAGATTGAGAGGATGTCTGGTCGACCTGATTAGAGTGCGATGTACTGAAGCAGCATACAATGGGAACGAATGCCACGGTGTGCGTTGAGACAAGGACTGCCGCGTTAGGAGGATAGCCGTTGCGTTGAGACGACAACCACTGCGTCCAGACTTGTGAAAGCCTCGCCTAAGGTATGTCAGGTGCCAGTGAACCTTCCTGCAGATGTGTTAGCCTCCGCCCAAGCTCTCAAAAACCAAGGTATTCTCCGTATAGGGCTGTGCACATGCGCAGAGCCGGAGATGGCGGAAGATTGGCGCAGGACACGCTGTGTGGAGACTGCCAGCACAACGTGTCTACCAAAAGGTTGTCCTCGCTCTAGCTTCATGGCGCCAGGCCACTTTCATCTGTGAATGTGTATGCTATGCGGATATCGGTCCGTTTTGTATAGAATCCACTATCTCGCGCGCCTTCACTACTCCGGAAGTTGCTCTCCCGTGAAAGTTGTGCAGTGTATGTGTAGGCGTCGTCGTCAACGGGGAGTGACTTGCGAGAGCGTTCGCCCTGCGAAGGGTGTTCGGGTCGTGATCGACGACACGATGGCGGGAGGGGTCGCTTTCGTTTCGATCGGGGTGCGAGTGGGGAGGTAGGCGCCTGTGATGATGAGTGTTCACAAGGTGGTAGCATGACCGGCCTACTATCGGAACCTGTCTTCCGGCCGCATGGGCATGAGCTGTCTCTGTGGAAACTGATACTACAGATGGATGGCAGTCTGTGAGATGCGTTGGCAGTGCAGGACCACAGCCTGAGAGGGCCTCTGGGAGGCTCAGAGGGAGGCCGTGGCCCTGGTCTCGACCATCTAGTAGAGGCTTCGATGCTGATCAGCATGATCGTTCTGCTTGCGGGGTGGAAGCAGAAGAAGTGGGTACGTGTACATATTGCTCATGCAGCAGTCAGCGCGGATGCTGCTCCGCATAGGAACGGCCACTAGGGTCCGTCTAGGCGCCGTGAAGGGTCGCTGGGGTCATGATTAGTCGTTAGGACTAGCACCAGTCTGACAGTAGTATATAACGGGTACTTGTCAGCTGTATACGATCGTGTTGCTAATGTATACTTTTCCTCAAGGACATTGTTGCTCATCCGGCTGTTACAGGAAGCCATCCTGCTCACAATTTGCAGATTTTTGCTCGTAGCCGCAGCTTTGCGCAGTGCAGTGCTTGCCATCTCGCCGGCCAACGCACACATGCATTTGTTGAGAAGCACGCAGCGGGAGTGAGGCGATGAAGCCATCGAAGACAACATGAGAGAATTCTCTGCCTCTGTAGCCGTCGTGGCCAGCCCTTGGTTTCGAACCAAAAGCATCTGCTCGAACATGGCAGCAGATGAGGTCTGGTTCGGCTCCGTCTTCCGTTGAAGACTTGAGTGGTCTTGAGTGGTCGATCTGTCCCCTTGAATCGATGCTGTGCGATGGTGGTACGATGCGAAGGTGGTGTTCTACGCGTTTGGGGCGATTCATCTCCCTTGCTTTGTTATACCGACCCCGGATAACGTAAGAGGCGCGCTTGAGCGCGTCAGATAACCGGTGCAAGATGAAAGATACTTGCAATTGATGGAAGCACTCTGAATGACTTTGGCGGCGACCATCGAATTGTCCTTGCTGTTGCCGTTGATGCATCACTTGTAGCGAAGCCTCACCTCCGAGCATCCGAACCTGATGGAAATCACCCACGGACGCGACGAAGAAGACGGGGAGAGGCGTATACGACACTGGAAGGATCTGTGTCGTCAAGAGAAGAAACGTGGTTGCGGGTGCTGCCGCCGACTACTGGGATTAGGGCTGTACCAAACTTGGGACACTTGGAAGGCAGTCACGACCAGGCCTCACTCACGTCACCCCGCCAGACTAGTCCCTCGCGCCATCTCCAACTCCATCATTTCTGTCATCAGTTCGTCTCAGCAGCTTCGTGCTTCCCTTATGATGATCAAGTGGTCGTAGCAGGCCGTGACTTGATGCCACTCCAGGAGTAGAATCACGCTACGCGTCCTCAAATCGCCCCTCGCCACGAGAAAATCGGGCAGCGCTGCATCTGACTCGTTCCACATGCAAGTCTATGGGCTTGTCATACTGTTGGAATAGTGCATCTAGAGTGCAATGGCGAGTATGCCACCAGCGAGTCTGTCCATGAGCTACAAGTGTCTCATTGCCCCTCCGACTGGGATTGACGCGTCTATGGAGGAGAGAACGTTGTCCACAAAGCCAACTGATCTTCGCTCTTGGTTAGTCTCAAAGCTGTCTCCGTACGACCAGCTTGCTCGTCCTCGGAACTCCTTCGCATACACGCCGCGCACCTTCCTACCGTCGACGCCCTCGTACCCCATGATCAACGGTGCATGCCCCGCCAGGATGAGGAGAATGATGAGTGGGTAGGAACGTTGCTTGTCCAGACATATCAGACACATCTACGAAGAGAGTCCGGCCTACAGAGATCACACCACAAAAGTGACGAAGAGGTGGAACATTCTAGGAAGGTGCAACGAACCTGTACCATTGGTACCGACATCATGTCTCATGAGCTTTAGGAAAGGAGTTCACTGAAGACACATACTCTTGAAACTAATAAGTAGAAGGGGTGCAATATTGGAGAAACATGTCGTGCCAAGCGCATACGGCGCGCCCACTGCCATTTCTTTGGCACGAAGAAAACTAGAAACACTGAGGACCGAAAGACATTCTAGAAAGAAGACAAGCCGTCTCAGAGGTGACCTGACAAGGAAAGAGCTCGGTGGAGAGTATGGAGATTTCCTCGGCTACGTACCAGGATGCTTCGCACCACGTCAGTCCGGCCCTGCTGTGTAACAGATCCTTGCTCTTCCAGACTCCCGACTGTGGGTATATTTCTCCATCGAATCGACATTTCTAGCCGTTGTCTCCTGTTGGAAAGGTTCGAAACCACGACCTGGTTGGCATCCGAATAGCATTGGTCTCGTCCGATATGCTCGTCTTATGGGTTGGTCTCAGCCTACAACCCGACCATTTCTCGCCCTTCTGGGTATCAATTCGAATGCCAGCTCCATTGCAAACGTCCCATGCAGCATGTGGACGTGTCACACAAATAACAAAATTCCTCCAGTGTTGATGTATTAGACGTCCCGAATGGGGTCGTACGGGCGCGTCTCGCTCGGTGAGTGCTCCGAAGGCTGTGGGCTTAATGACTGCTGCGAAGCGTTGTCCGACTGAGTCTGGACCTGCATTTGCGATCCCGAACTCGCAACGGTTATCCCTCTCAGCATGTCACCTTCGGCTAAACGTTCGTCACAATTAGCTGATAGTCCATTTCAGGCTTGCAGCCCTTTCGGATTGTCTGGGTTGCCAATGTATATAGACTGGTGCGCCCGCACTTACAAAACTTCCGCTGGATGTCTCTCAGCAGCTGCGACACCCGCCACTTGAGTATAATCATTTCGACCGGTCGTATGCCTTCGGCTTGTAGTCGCGCATTGATGCGCTCCAACATTTTTTCTTTCTCATTCGCGGGGATCAGTATCCATCTTGACCAGTCCTTGTGCGCTTCCGACAGCTGCTTCGCTTCGTCCTTGGTTATGAACTTGTCCTGTTAGTCGACCGCAATCCCTGGGCTCGGAGCGACAAACGTACATAGAAGCGGTCCCATTGCTCCTTAGTGTGGCCTGCAGCTGCCCGGGCTTCATGGACGGTCGCATTTATCCGAATACTCATCTTTGGTGGGCGGCTCGAAAACAACAACAATCTGGCAAAGCCCTTCCAGGCTCTGGGACCACGGAAAGCAAGAGGAGCAAGAGAATTTAGGGTACAGCGGTCTACCCCCCGCGCTCGCCTAGCCTTGGCAGGAGTTTGTTTTTGGATAGAGGCTGAGGAACGAACTGACGCTGTTCGCAGGGCTCGGACCAAATGGAGTCGGAATCGGCGGTGGCTGAAATGCTTGTGCGTCATGCTCGAACGATTGCCATTGGCGCGGAAAACATCATGTCACGACGGTCAATTTCCTTGTCTATTGCTTTTCTACGTTTCTTATGCGAGACGTTGCTTCTCACGTTGTATCGCCTCGAGGCTAAACCCGCAGATGGCAAGAGAGTCAGCTCTCCTGGTCAGGTTCATGCTGTGCTCCCACCATCCACCGCCGCACATGCACATCCTTTTCGGTCGTGGTCGGCTTCCAACCATCAAACACAAATTATCGAAGGGGCGATCGAGCCTCCTTTCCCAATCATGGACAATGAGCTATCGATACCATGCGTAGCACAGGCACTAAAGGGGCCATCCCGTCCGAGGAACAACAAACCACCGTTTTCCACGCGACCTCGGAGGCTTGGACCGCGCCCTCAAACCAGCACTAAAAGTCTGCAAATAGCCACATTTACCCTGGCAAAGAGTGACATAAGCTCTCTAGCAGGCAAGTCCCTGTCCAGCCGAGCGACAGAACCTCAGACTCTTCGGCCACTATTTGGACGATCAGCCGTCTGACAAACGAGCAGCCAGTCCCGGCCCGAACCATCAACGTGCTGCACGTGCCAGGATTGTCCCCGGAGGCCCGGTCGGCGGCTGGCCCACATCTACAACACCTTTCTTTCCTTCATACTTTCATGAAAATCTCATTGCTGTGGCTGCCGGATCACGCAAGGCAGCGTCAATCATCTCATTCCTGTACTGCCCTTGCTTTGTTTGTGCTACGTCCTGCATTAATTAGCGGCCGAGCTGCATGCGACGCCACCGATCGCAGTTGGCCAGACGTCACTCATCTCACGTTGGTGCTTACAATCCTCTACAATACTTCATCTCAACACACCGCTATTCATATGCGGCGTCATGAGCAAGGTAAGTTAGACCGGCAACACCCCACGCAATAGAGACTTCATAATTGCCACCTGTACTCCGTGTTTTGGCACGCCACACCACCGATCACATAGTTTGCACGTCGTTACACAACGTCAGCTCCTCGGTAATAAGCAAGATCTGGTTGCACAATATGGTAAACGCGCGACTTTTGTTCAGCGCCACCCCGCATCAAATCTTGCATGACCAGGGGCGTGGCTATATGCATGCTGCCTTCTTTCGAGACAAGTATGCTTCTCTTGTGCTTCTGGAAGCAGTTATCAGTCGTGCATCGATGCGGCTGTGCTTGACACCCCAGCATTCCAATGTAGGCGTTATATCACTATGATCGGTCACATGTGGCTTTGAGTTCCGCACGCACGCCGTGGTGAGTGTAGTCGCGGTAGCTCTGATTCTAAATCGTATACTACGTGAAATGTCAACGCATTAACTACAGGGGCGATTTACCAACAAACTATGTACTACAACTGCTACTGCACACAGCATATGACGGAGCAAGCGTGGTGGCTGCGATGTTTATCCTCGATGGTAGTGGCCTGCAAGGCGAGAGAATAGTTCAGTTACACCAAACGATATGGGTACTTTTCCAGAAGGAAGGCCGAAAAGCACTCATGACTTGTCCTATTTACAGCACCCAATACGTGGTCGAGACCGGCACATTGAGCAAATTCGATACACCAGTTCACAATTCGCCCATTAGTTCGATACGGGTTCCTAATTTGGATGCGGCAACTCCGGTGAAGCAATACCGTTGTACAACGGCCGCGCATTGGTGCATGTGGAGCACCTCAGGCACGGAAGAAGCACCATATAGTGACATCCTTGGACTCGTGTTTCCGGTCGTCCCAGTTTTTTCAGGTAGAAGACTATCGGAAATATCATGGCCCTTAAATTGCAGTCGCAATAGTCTAATCTACGCCTTCTAGCGCGACACGCTCAACGGTTGTTTGACTACATGCAGAGGCCGGCGAAAATCTGGTATCGTGCTCTGATACAGTCGAGTCCGAACAGCACGTCAATATGCGTTCAGAGAATATGTGTTTGCATCAATATCGGTGTTTTCACTGTTTCCGGAGCTGTTACATAGGCCGAGCGGATACCTTAAACCATCGTGGGGTTGAGGAAATGTTGCTGAGCTGCCCCTGCGCCTTGTCACCGCATGTGACAGGACTTTTACCAGGCAATTCTCACACACCTCGCATGGAAAGCCCGCATGCCATGGCTAGCTACTTCAAGAGAGCACAATCAACGCAGACGTCTCTTTGAAGGTTGAACATTGCAGTCTGGCCCAGCTGATCCAGTTGGAAAATTCACGTGCGTCTGCGACATTGTCCAGAAGAATAAAGTATGCAGACACGCTGCATCTGATTTCAGTGCATTGCACATGACTTTCTGGACCTCTACAATGCGCTTCCTTGTCCATCAAGAGATAGGAGTGCGCGCATGATCGACATGTGAGCAAGGTGAGTTGCATTGCATGACGAAATGTGGAAGCACAGCATGATGAGAGCAAACCTTCATGACGCTTAGATGGAAGCACGTGCACGCTTTGCTCAAAGAAACACCATTAGAGACAAATTCGTTATGAGGACAGGGTATATCGTAGTATTGGTACGAAACCATCTGATATACGTGCATCGATCATGGGTCCAGACACGATTGTCTTTCATCCTGGCAAGAACAACACCGTGCGGCAGGGCTTAGCGGCCGACATTTGCAGAGGCCTTTGCATGCTGCAAAGGTTTTCAATTTGAGGAGGCTAAGCGCGTCAGACGATGCGTGCGTATGCTATGACAGAGGTGGAACCTGTCGACCTTCCTTTATGGTTGATGCGGTGCGATCCTCCACGTCGTTTGCCTGGGGTTGGCGACAGGGCCCAGAGCCGAAACCACCTCATGTCTGGGCCGCAACTCAACTACACGTACTGTAGTACATCAATGATCAGCCGGCGCCAGCCGCATCGCCATGACCAGCCAGCCATATCAAATCGCACGGTTTGCTGCAGCCAGCAGCCTGACCCAGCAGGCCTCATACCGGGCGTGGGGCGGCGCAAGCTTGCAAACCCGCTTAATCACTGCAAACCACAAAGCGCACATCATTCCATCCACATGGCCCAGAGTGTGCAAACAACGTCATTGAAGCTTGCAAGTATTTCACGGCTTACAGCCAAGTGAGATCAGACAGCAATGGCCCTTTCAATCCTTCGTTGGGGGCCGTTTGCTTGCGCCACGCGCGGGATAGCGCAAGACGCCGCATGAGCTGAGCTCGCACTCGCAGTGAGCACGAACGTGCAAGCCGCGAGCCTTGTCGCTCAGGCTCACTGCTGTCTTCACTTCTGACGCTGTGTCTCTCCACTATACTCATTCTCAATATAGGAGTATTCATTGTGGGATTTCTCATACAAAAGCACTTGCGGCGCAGCTGCATACTCCCGCGTAGCACAAAGCACCCCAGAGGGGCCACAGACGCAGCAAACCCTGTAGTGTGGTAATAGCAAAAGAAGGCTGAAACTCACTTTAGGCAGCAAGAGAAGGCATAGAACGTCCTTCGCCAATTCCGGACGCAATGGCTGACCGACGCCCACTCATCCAAGAAACGTCGGACATATCTGAAAGTGCAGGGAGCACGCCTGCTTTGCAATTCACAGACAGTCCCCGGTCCCACGGATTTACGCACATTCCGCCTCCGACGAGCCCGCCGATCTCACGCCCCGGCTTCTCGAGACTCCAGAGCGAGGCGACTGCTGTCGAGCGGCACAGTGCCCCGAGCATCATACACGAGGAAGGAGATGTCTTAGGCGGCTTCCGAGGCCATGCCGGAGACGGGCTGGGCATAGGGCCAACGATTGCGACAGCACGAAGAGTCAGCATCCAAACCGTGCCACAGCGAGCTGTTGGTCCTGGCCCCAAGAGCCCTCCCCTCAAAAGCCCCGGCACTCTGTCTCCCCCCGGGTCCTCGAATCCATTCACTGATTCATTCCCGAAAGACTCGTCGACAGAGAACACACCGGATCTGCGCCGCGAGCGATACAGCCCAAGGGAAGACGTAGGCTCGTATGAAGACTTCCGTCGTGGCGTGCTTAAGAACGCCCGCCAGAGCACTAACAGCGTCAACGAGTACCAGCAATACATCCACACCTCCGACACAGACAGATTGCGCGCCGCGCCTTCCATCAAATCGGCTTATGAGAGTGACTTCCGCCCCACACACGAATGCCCAACCACACGTGACTTTTACCAGTCTCGCTTCACGTGGCTGAACATCAGCATCATCATCATATGCCTGTTCTCCTGCATCTTTTCGGGCATCTTCGTCGGGCTGGCGATCCGTGAGCAGTTCTGGGGAAAGCGGATAACGAGCCATGGACCGCTCACGCCGGCGAATGCGAACCTGCTCACACAGGTGTTTGCGAAACTCATCGAGTTGTCATTCATCACTTCGTTCGTGGCGTTTTTGGGGCAGGTGCTAAGTCGACGAGCGTTCATGAAGGATCATGGCAGAGGGGTGACGCTTTCTGAGCTTAGTATGTGGAGATGGGTTGTGCAGCCGGGGACGTTGATTACGCACTGGGAGACCGCCAAGTATGCCGGGTTGTCGTTTTTGGGCATACTGAGTCTTGTGTGTGCGATTTTGGGTACGCTGTACTCGTCGGCATCGACTGCTTTGGTGCAACCGACACTAAGGCAGGGATCGTGGAAACCAACTGTCATGAGTGGTCTTGTCAAGACAGACTTCGCGAACATGGACTATGTCAAGGGTCAATGCAAAACGCCGATCCGCAACGATAAAGATCATCAAGGAAACAGCTGCCTTCAGATCGAACATGCCGGACAAGCATACCACAATTATCAGCGCTACCTTGCTGACTGGGCTAATGCAGTCGCTAATGGCAACGGCTCTACGGACCAACAAACGCGGCCTCGCGGCTTTGGACTACTTCATGAGAATACTACCATTACTGCACAGTGGATTAATACCATCGATACTGCTGAGGTGTCAAAGAAATATGGACGGCCCATCAACAATGTTTCACTCGCAATGCCCCACTCTGGGGTATTTGAGGCAGCACATTCCCCAAGAAACGGCATACTTCAACCAGAAGACCTGAATTCCGAAGGTACTTACTCGCTCAAAGCATCTGTTCCTTCCCCCGTCATAAATGTACTCTGTGTGAACATGAACGAAGAAGAACTTGCACCAATCGTATACGATAAGTGGAACACTGATGTAGTGAATATATCGTCTTGGAAAGAAGGTGGCCTCATGGACAAAGCCACAACTACCAGCAAGACCAAAGTGGACGAACTATTCGGATGGAACAACGACAGCCGCCTACACTATCCGCCGGTATTTGCAAAGTATCCAAAGACATTCAACACCATCATGAACCATACTAGCAAGCCATGGGGTAGATCTGCCATCTATCTGCTCGCCCAAGGAGGCCCTAATGACGATGTGAATATGACTGGTGTTTACTCGCTTTGTAAGCTGGATATGTCGATAACGTCAGCTTGTGTGACGCAATACAACGCTCGGTCTGGTGGAGGCGTCATGGAGAGTTTTTGCGAGGACAAAGCCGGCGACATGGCGTATGGGAAGCGCAATCCGGATGCTCAAACCAGAACAGGAATCCCTAATTGGAGGGATATTGGCTTCGACTGGTCCAATTCTCTTTCATTGCAAACTGGTATCATGGATGGAGACGCAAGCAATTCCAGGATACTGAGTCAGATGATGCTTAGTCCGACGAATCCCGATCCCGAGAACATGCAGGTCAATTTGAGCCCTGCGTTACCGAGTATGGGTGAGGCTTTGGCGGTCATGGCGGGCTGCACATTGCTTATGAGTATGTTTATCTGTTCTTGTAATCGGCATCTTATCGGATGCCCTCAGGCTTCCGACACGGAATACTCTAAAATATCTCACTCAGACAAACGCTAACTCTACTCACCAGGCATGATGGACGCGCCATTCGTAACCCATCCATGGAACTACACCTTACCCAAAATCGAAAACGATCAATTCCAGTATTTCCACGCCTCCATCCAAGCCCAGCAATACGCCTCGGGCGGCGTCGACAGCGCCGCGGCACGCGCCTGGGTCGTCGTCCTCATCCTCGTCTTCTTGCTCAACATCTTCGTCCTAATATACTTCATCCTGCACCGTGGCCTCGTCACCGACTTCTCCGAGCCCCCCAACCTCTTCGCCCTGGCTGTCAACTCGCCGCCCTCACACGTCCTCGCTGGCAGCTGTGGCGGCGGCCCCGAGGGCAAGCAATACATGGTCAACTGGTTCGTCAACCGCGAAGGCAACCACCTCTTCATGGAACCCGGGGAAAAGACGGCGCTCTTGGAGGGCGTGCATGCGCACGGGCCGGTCGAGGTCATCGGTCCGCAGCAGCATCAACATGCGAACGGCGGGTGGATGGCGACGGTCAGAAGGCGACTAGGCATGAAGAGCCAACCGCCGCAGAAACTTAGCCCTGCTGCGGGTAAGATGGAGAGTCTGAGGCAGGAGCGGCCGGGGAGCTTGGATGGGGGAGTGAGTACGAGATGAGGGATGGGTATGAGAGGACGAGGAAACATTATAATAAGTTGGCGAATCGGAGGAGTGTTTTGTGAGGGGGTTATTTGATTGGGTAGATTAATGTCTTGTGCTTAATGACCACAGTTCCATGCCACGCTTGAGTTGATTGTTGCGATAATTGTCCACCGGTTTCATGCATCACTGCTTCAAGTCAGCTTTGTCGACGGGTGAAGTATGTAGGCTGGACATGCCTCAGGTTCCATCCCTAGGCTGTGGGTTGTCAGTGCCCTGTTTGGGTCTGTATCCTCGATCGCGAGGATGAACCTCATTGTCCTTCAGCTTGTACCCTTCACCACAAATATGGTTTCCCATATCGTCCGCGAACATTTCGAGAGCTTGTTGTTATTGTAAAAAGCCGAGGTTCGTGTAAAGAACAGAAGGTGACACGCGGACGCAAGGGGAGGTGTCTGCATGATAAGACATCACAAGCTCAAAGCGGGGTAATGTTGATCGGTGAACGAGAAGTCATGTGCATTATTGCAAGGGGGATTGATTGGGCTGTCGCTGATTGCTAGGCGTGTATGGGTTAAGATAAGGCAATGAGAGCCTTGGTTGGGCTGAAGTATGGAATGTGGCTTGGGACTGGTATACCGATAAATGAGAACTACAGCACTTCATTTTCAATGAAGCAGGTTTGGACGTCTTGTAAAATCTGACCTTCTTGTTCTTACAAGATCCATGTATGTTCAGAACGTAGTCTGATAACGTCTGGATGTAGACTTAGTGCAATACCGCGAATGTGCCTAGTAACACTCCCTTGCGTGGGGATTTAAAGTGAATATTGATGATCTTCAAGCTGCTGTGCACTAAAGTTCGGGAGCTAGCACTGTATTGTGAAGGAAGAGCATGATCACATTATAGCAGAATGAAACAGCTTTGGCTGTACTACTACGATGATTGTGCATGTTCCTTCACGCGATTCTCCTAGTTATGTAGCACGAAGAGGAGGCTGGCTTAGAGTTCAGCCTTACGGGCGCTATCGACCTTCCGCACTACCTCAAAGGCATGGAAGGGAACGTGCACGCGCGCCATAATACCAAAGTCATGATGTCATATTCTCGTCTCGTACCAAAACAAAGCTAGCTGCATATACATAACACGCGACCGCGCTCAGGAACCAAGCAATTGACAATCCTTGTCTTCAGATCAGACCGAAGTAGCTGATTCTTTAATCCAGGGGCGCTTCCTCATCGCACGTTCTTCATCATGCCTTCAAGCAAGGGAAAGCCAACTGATCCTAAACTTCGCGAGAAGGTGAAGGAAGAAGTGAAACAGGAAACAAACAAAGACGGAGGCGGCAAGGGCCAATGGAGCGCATGGAAAGTGAGTTCATCCGTCGCGTTACCTTGCTACAATTGGCTCATGCCCTATCCAGGCAGCCAAACTTTCCAAGGAGTACGAGAAGAAAGGAGGCGGATATGAGAATGAAGCAGGCTCCAAAAATGAGCCTACCAAGGGAACGCCGCAGCCCAAATCATCGACCAAGAAGAAGTCTGAGGAAAAGAAAGCCGATAAAGAGCCCGAGAGCCCCTCTCCGGATGACAAGAAGGAAGACGCGCAAGAACCGCCGCCGAGTGAGCAGAAGCCCAAGGCTAATAGCAGCAAGAAGAAGGATCAGGCCAGTGATGCAAAGAAGGGCGCGGCCAAGACCGGTGCGGCTAAGAAGAGCAGTGCTGCGAAGCCTAAGAAGGAGCCGACGGAGGGATCTCGGAAGAGCAGTAGGATTTCTGAGAAGAGGAAGACAGAAGACGATGCTAGTGAGCCAGCGAAGAAGCGGAAGTCGAAGTAGTGTGCTGCTGCTCGAGAAACGGTAGCTGCGAGGTCTTTCCATTTCATTTCTAGATGGTTTGTTCAGCTGCGTATTTTTGTAATACTTTTCATGGTCTCTATGGTGGATCGGGTATTTTTATAATGTGTTCCATGGTCTGTGGTGGAGTGGGTATCTTTGTAATGTGTATCGTGGTCTCCATGGTGGAGAAGAGCTCATTACACCAAAGTGTTGTTGGCATTGGGGAGTGGACGTCCAGTAGCAGCAAACATGTATTTATACCCAGGTATGGTCGCTCAGAATCATACAGGAAGGTGCTTTGCGTGCGAAGACATAACGAATTGTCCGATCACGATTTTTGAACTCCGAGTTCCATCCTACAGCGAGAATAACACCGCTGACGTCTGAACAAGCTCCCGCGCCTGTCTCCACCTGGAGCTCCACTGAAAAATTCACCAGAGCAGGGCAAGCAATTGTTCCGCGCCGGTTCAACACCCGTGCGATATTGCCAAGCTCTCACACCGATCATGCTAGTCGTTGCATTCATTCAGGCGATGCCGACTGACTTGCATTGCCGCTGGACATGCCGAACGGCCAGCGTAGTCCAAGCCAAAGCTCGACGGCCACGGCATTGGGCGATTTCTCACTTGGTCCCCTGTGTACCAGCGATTGATCGATGCGCACGATTTCGCACTCTTCAAAACCAGCTTTCGCGACAAGTAGTGCGCCAAGGGGTGTGGCAGACACACCCTTGTTACTGTCAATCATCTTTCAATGACAAAAGCCCTGGCATCTTGGAGGCTTACCAAGAGAGCGTCGTCCAGGTCCGCGAGCTGGGTACAGAAGCTGACAAGCCTGGTAGCATGGCCACGACGCCAGTATCCCGGAGCTACGGCTATTGTGCTTAGACGCATCCTACCTGCCAGGTGTCTGATGCCTCGGTGTCAGCCTCTTGTCTCAGATGGTCGCAATTGCGCGTACCGAGATTTGGGAGGGCCCATGACCGATCGGTATATCTTCGTGGCGTCGGCACATTGATCTCGCTTCAAGTCCATGTGCTTGAATTGGTGGATGCTCTCTGGAGAATCTGGAGATATTCAACGTCTCTGCCCGAGGTGTCATGGTTCTGACATGCTTACTTGTAGACTGGAAATGTCCGGTGTATGAAGAACCTGGCTTCAGGAGAACACTGCAAAGTCCAACAATCACCTTCCTTCCCGGAGTTGATGGCCTGCAGGCAGACTTCAATGCCTCATAAACGTGGTCAGCTTCGTCAGTTTCGATGAAATCTTCGGCTACGAGCACAACGTATGCAGGATCTCTAATCGATTCCTCGTACTCGTTCCAGTACGAAGCCAGCGTATCTTTCGGATATTCTCCGTAATGAGGTCTCTGGTATCTGAACGTCGGGGACCAGAAGAAGGCAGATGCAGCCACGAAGGCGATACGAGGCAAATCATCCAAGGTTGCTATGCGGACGCTGTGGACTTGAGGTAACAGCATGTTGGGAGGACAGAGAATTGACTCTGGCATTCGAGAAAAAAGGCAAACGCGAACTGAAAGATTGCAAACAGAGTGAGAAACCTGCCTTATGACAAGAGACTATAACAGCAGCAACATGAAGACATGATTTTCAGCTTGTTCGAAACCGAGCGCGACCATCATATCGGTACCGCTCGAAGCATTACTTTCAACAGTGCTGTTTCCTGGATTGACAGCATGAGGACGCTTGTCCGCTCGTGACGATCGGGGCGACAAGAAACACATGCCACTGCAGTCAACCAAGCAAACTTCTGGTCCGATAGTCGTGCCTAGGTGATGACATGCAGTAACACATTATCGCAAACGGTGAGAAGGAAGTGTCCACATTTGGGGCGTTGAAGTTGCAGAGAGGGGTCAAAGACAGACGGTAGGCGCCAAAGCCAGCGGTTCGTGCGATGGCTGCGCAGACACAGCCCTACACATAGGGGCCCAGACCAGATGGGAGCTAGAACATGCAGCCCTCCCGACAGTGCGTACCAAGCCCGCCCCTCGACCCGCCATCCACGGGACTTTGTGCCTTTCAAACCAGCAAACAACAGCCTGCTATTCACAGCTTGTTAGATGGCCCTTCGTTGCTGTCGCTCCATGCTCCACGGCGCCTGATCATTTCCATCGCAAGCAAGCGAACAAGAGTCCTGAACACCCCAAACTCTAAAGTTACGCAGTCAGCCGCCCGCATCTATGTCTGCTACCAGCTCGCAGTTCTACAGGAGCGCCGACACGCATTCGCACTACCCAAATTTCCCAGCCAACAACAGCGAGCATCTGTATGCTCTAGCAGCGTCATGGCCTACTGACCCTAATCACGCTTCGTACGCCGGCCCGCCTTTGCCGCCGTTTCTCCACTACTCCAACGACGGAGCTGATTCCGTCGAACACCCAACTTCGAGCGCGCAAGCTTGGCCTACTAATTACAGTCGTGAGGATGTCCAGGAATGGGATCACGTTGTGGGCGACCATGCTTACGCGTCGCGTCCTGGCCTCCAATTTGACGCTGCTGAGGGGAACCTGCCTGCGCCGCCACGACCAACCTCTGAAGCCTCGCGACACTACCATCACCAACAGACTTTGAATGGCGGACCAGAATTGCCAACGAGTCCTCGTGGCGATGCATTTCGCAGCGCAGACGCACTTCATGATCTTCGAGTTGCCTCTGTATGTTCGCAGGAGTTTCTATCTCACACGGGATGGGCTACTAATGGTTCTAGGAGTCCCCCACAACCGCGCTCGACCCACCTTTCACGAATCATGCTCAGGGACAGCACCCGTTTCCACGGTACTCACAAGCGCGAGCGCGCATAGCGCCCTTGCATCTGAATAGTTCAGAACAGGCGTTGCGACCATCCACAGACGCTGCCTGGGAAACCGGGGCTGAGCTGCAAACTCTTGAGTCGCATCACTATCCATCCCATGCTAGTAATGCGATAGTGCCCAGTCATCTGGCAACTGACCGAGCTATCCATACAAATCCAGGTGGCGCATCATGGCCTGCCATAGGCTTGAGCGATGTTTCTGTTGGGCCATCAGGATATCAACGTGAGCAGGAAGAAGATGTTCAGTGGGGAGTTGTCCCGACAATACCTAACCATGGTCCCTACATCCACCAACCTCAAGCTCAGGTCTCTACTGATAGACCGGTCCTCTTGGAGCATCTCAGGAGACCGGTCAGGAGAAAAGTTGCCAAAGTTCCGTCCTCCTTCGTAGAGAGGCAGGAGAAGTTGAAGGTGTCGAAACGAAAGGGCCCCCTTGCCGAGAGACAGAGAGAAAAGACTCACACCATGCGCAAGACCAAACGCATATGCGTGCGTTGCAGATTCTACAAATCTGGTGTAAGTGAAATCATCCATCTAGCAGAGCACAGCTAACGACCAAGTGCGACGAGGGTGATCCTTGCGAAAAGTGCGACAAGATAACAGGTCATGCCAGATCGTTTCGAGAGCCTTGTTATAGAGAGCACCTGGAAAACACCAGTCTGGTCCGCCGATGTATGTACGTCTGTGTTGTGTGTCTGGTATCTACTAATTTCGCGACAGGCAATGGTCGCGAACATCAAGAAGAGGCCGAGTTTCTAGCATACGAGTGGATCCATAACAGTCAGCTATACAAGATGGAGCTCATATGGAATCTGCCTGGCTATGGCCCCATACCTAACGCGCCACCCATGTGTGTCACATTCCGGCCTTACAGCCCAAGGAGAGGGTCTATGGATGTGGCTGCATCAGTATGGACGAACAAAGATGGAGAACTCAAGACCATCGAACAGCCGGCATATGCCATCTACGATACTGCGGATCTTGTACCAGCTTTTGAGAGGTACTTTTCCAGCCTTCAGCCCGCCATTGAGGCATGGATCTTCGCCCGCATAAGCCAGGACGAAGTCGCACGTCTCACCTTCACCGAAGTGCAACGAATGCGCAGTGTTCATGGATCCAAAGCACTCGACTTGGCGATGCGACTACAGTGTCTCTCGGTTGTCTCACAGGGCTACGGTTCCGTCTGCAACAACAACATTCCCGGTATACGCGAGTATGACTATCGTCGGCTGGGTAGTAGTGACTACGAAGCATATGACCGCAAGTCGTACGACCGACCTCTGCCTGGCGCCATTACCCACCAGATGGACGTTGCTGCTGTGAAGTACCTCAGGAAACTAGAGAAAAAATTCGTGAAGGAGCTTGCGCTACTCATCTTCAAACCAAAGATCAAGCCCTGGTACGAGCTTTTACTGGCTCTTTACGTCATCTTCTGGAATCTTGAGTACATTCACCACGGTGCCAATGATTACATTAAATCGAAAAATGGCACGGTAAGTCCGTATCGCTCTCATTGGCGTAAACCTACTGACTCTTGTAGTTGATCGAGAACCAAGTGAACAATGTCGTAAAGAGTCAGATTGCTAAATGGGAATTTGCATTTCCGGTCCTACTCTATCATTGGCGCTGCACGCTCCGTGGATATGCTCCTTTCAAGCTCGCTCGCGAAAACCCGGATGAACTTGAAGAGAAGGGCCACATCGACCACGAAGGGTTCCAGTACGTGAAGAGGATATCGAGTCTGTTCGATCGAAGAGATCCAGGTGAGTGCGAGTTGTGGGCGTTTCAGATTATGCAAGCCAAGCCTCTGACCCTCCTAGATCGTTTCCAACCGCCGCTCACAGGCTTTGCCTCTATGCACTACTCAACGTCCAGCGAGTATATTGTCAAACTTTTCAAAGAAGCTGGTGCTTGATAGTGTGCCATGCTTACAGCACGCTGCAATCCTATACCCAAGCTTGTCAGTTGCGGCACCTGAAGAGCAGTTTCGGTTTTTTTTCAACGGATTCTATTAACTGTTTCATGCTACAATCAATCGCATGTAAGATGCGAATCTAATGGAGAAGCAATTTGAGGAACACAGAGAAGCAATGATTCCACCATGAAAGCACCATACTCCTTGAAACCCGACAATACCTCCTTTCATAATGCCTAGTGTCGTTTGGACTACTATCAGTAACCCACTGGAAGTATTTCAGTGAACGTCTAACCGTGACTCTCACGGCCGCTGATGATGCGCCAAGGGTCGTTGTCGATGACCGGAAGGTTCTGTGGGCGGCCAGGCGTGAAGGGATCGTCGAAGTTGTTACGGAACCGGGCTGGCTTTTCCCAGGCATTCTGGGGATCACGCAGGAACATGCGGAGGAGGTGGCGAGTACTGGGCTTTCCCTGGGCTCCGCGATACGCTTCTCGAGCATGCATGACACTCAGGTTGTTGATGAACTGGATGTCACCCTGCTTGCGGTCGAGCTTGGTGCAGAAACGCTTTGCAAGCTCGCCAACAGCGTGCATGGCATGCATCTGCTTGTCAGAGACGGAGGGCATGCTTGGGTCGCGATGAATCAGGGGGGTACCCAGGAGCGGCGCTTTTACAAGTTGACACATGGGCTTGCCCTTTGAGAAGAAGAGGGTTGGTCCCAACTCAAGGTATGGCTCCTTATCCCTTTTTCGCTGTTAGCATGTTCCGATTCATCATTTTTGCACATTCTGATTTACTTCTGCTTCAGCTCAAACGGCCAATCCGCCTCCGCCATCGTCTCCAAGACCTCCGGGTCAAGCTCGAGAAGTTCGTTGTAGATTCGCCAGAAGCTGGCAACGTATTGCTCGCCGCCGCTACCAATGCCGCCATCGTTACGAACATGGAGAGCAATGACGTCGCCAGAGAATCGGTCGCTGTGGAAATCCATTGCTGCCGTGATCTTTGAACCAGCAAGGCCGATATCCTTGGCCCAAGTAGGCACCGCCTCCTTGGTAGCATCGCGGACATGGCCTGTGAAAAAGTTAGACGGTGTCTCTGCGAGTGTAATAAGGCTTGGAAGCATACTCAGTGTCTGGTTGGCATACGAATCAGTGGCTCGCTCTGGGCACACGTACGCGCACACTCCAGCGAACGCCACGACTGCCTCTTCGTCGTTGAAATTGGCAGCATCAAGACCGCGTAGAACGACAACGCCCTGACCCTGGTGGAGCTCTTCACTGACCGAGGACAGCTTGCGAGCCAAGACTGGATTGTCCAGAACGAATGTTTCTTGTCGGATCTCGGCTCTGGGCGTACCCGCAACTAGCAATAATTAGCCTGAGGAAGATTACGATGGGCTTGTAAACTTACTCTTCACCTTAATAACGGCAGCGCGGATGTCCTGAACCTCACGAGGGCTGAGATCAACAACGTAATCAGATGGGTCGAGCTTTTCCCAGACCATGGGGCCGGCCAGCGCAGGCGCGAGCTTGTCTGGGGATGAAGCAGCGGAAAATCTGCTTTGCAGACTGTCATTCGACGACTTGGGACTAAGAGTATGAGTGGACATGGTATCGGGTTTTGTGCAATGTTTCAGAATTGTTGAATAACTAGTAATGTGGAGTAAGTTTTCCGTGTCTGATGGATCAAAAGTAGTGGTTGAAAGGAATGTTGTGGGAAGAAGAAGGTTGCGGTAGCTGAAGTAGAGTTAAATACCCAAAGATCGTAACAGTCACCGCATTTCACGTGTAGACAACTCAGAGCGAGGGCTATTTCGATATGCTAATATCGGGGCTGACTGAGCCGCACTGATCGAGTTCAAGGCGTTTGACCAGTTGGCCAAGTCAAGGAATCAGTGCAGCAAACCATGCCAGCTAGCACGCCGCCGCGGTAAATCATGTGAACAAGGGCGAATCCCACCAACTCCATTCGTCACCTGACGCCTGCACAATCGACGTATGCTGGTCAGCACGAGGCCATGCTAGGCCTTTTACTAAAATTTCCCTACAATCGGGTCCAGGCTCTCAAACCAGACTACGCGGACACGCGCAGCGGAACGCATCGAAGCTTTGCCACCCGGGCGGAACTGACCCCCTGCCCCATACTCCTCCCTAGTCTCTGACTATCACCAGCTTACTGCACCGGTATTCCCACGAGTACTCATGGCGCATGGCTCCTTGTGTAGGGTGCCCCTTGGGCTTTCAAGCTGACTATGGCGGTGAAGATCCCACGTTCACGCAAAAAGCATTCAGCGTGATTTGAAGATGCGGTCATAAATTCCATATGGATGGGCTCTTGCATGCCATAATAGTGGGCGATCCATGCACGGTACTCGCTCCGGTTCGCATTGCACTGCAACTTTCGATGATCGTTGTTCTTGCATCAGCCCTACGCCACGTTCTTCACTCGGCGCTGCTGGTGCGAGGGTCGCCAGCAGTTACACCTCGCCTCGAGTATGCATGCAAGTGAACGTGCATTGCAATAATAGCGGCTGAATACGCCGCTTGTTCCTGTCAAGTGCTCCCCTTACATAGGGTAAGCTCGGAAGGGCCATAGAGGGAAGGGTGAATAGGCGAAGACTACATGCATGTCGAAGCTGCTGCAGCTCACTGCATGCGGGGTGTATCACGCGGCGCATTTTCTATGGCAGTATCTCGAGGATACTGTTGTCTTTTGACGAGCTGTTCACCAGTAAGGTCTGGCGCGCTGCAAATCTGCGATCTGACCTCGTTCACCGGAAATTCTTGTGCGATAAGACTACACCTATGTGATAACGTGCATGCGGACCTCGGACACCACAGGCAGGCTGCAGCGGTCAATGATACTCGATTGCAAGCATGTGCAACCATCCTGGCGGCAAGACTTCGTGACCTGGCGAAATGATCGCCGCGTTGTGTTGAATTTGCGAGTCGGAGTGGGCCACCGAGCCTGTGTCTCATGTCCTCGCGCTTCTTCCTATTGGAATTTTCGTTTTTCCAACTCAGGGCAAAAAGCATATCCGGGCTGATCGGTGAAGCTCGTTCGATGAAATGGCCCTAAGAGGGTTGCCATGCACATGACGCAAGCGCTATTGTCATGCGAAGACTAATGCCTGTGCCACGACACGCCAGTAAGGATTCGACGGCTTTGCCATGGAACGGCTGTGAATTCCGCAAGTGTTAGGTGGCGCCACATACGATGCATGGAGCAGACGGCGAAGTTGAACAGAGCGATGGCCACATGTTTGGTATGAGGAGACAGGCTCAACATTATCCGAGCCGCATTCTCTTGTCAAGGTTGGTTGAACGCCCCCAAGTTTTTACCAGGGGATAAAGCCTCTGCAGGTCGCTCAATCAGGAATTCCGAAGAGAACATGCCTGATATAGCGCCTCAACGCGGTGTTTGCACCCTAGGACTCTGGCGCATATCTCGATAATGGCGGGCTTCACAGCTGTTCGCTACGTGAAGGTGTTATACTTGGCGAAGATATGGGTTGGAGACCATCATGCATGGAAAGAGGGCGATCTTCCTTCGCCCGTCTTCTTGCAGCGAACTTCGCTCATCACTGCCTGAGCCGCGAGTCATGGCATAGCGCCTAGATTCTCGTTGACCAAGGACTCTTCTCTGTATGTTTGATACCTGAGGAACAACTACGAAACAGCCGCAGTTGTTCTGCAGATAAGTGTGGCCTGTGCTCACGTATCGAATCTTGGGGCTGAGTACCTAGGCCAAGACCGCATCAACAACTTTGCAAGTTCATTGCTAGGTCCTGGATAGAAAGTGGGTGCGCCGGGTTGTGTTGTAGAAAGCGACGTGAACTGCTAGTTGCGCAACCTTGCGTCCGACTTCTATCGATCCCCGCTCTTGAGGCATGGCTGCACCAACCGCGGACCGCATGGTCGACGCTACTGCGCGTCAGTGATCAAAAGCTATGCTTCCTGATCACTACAGCTTGGAGGCTGTCGCCAAGTCGTGTCATGGCAGTGCCTCTAACCTCCGCAAACGAGAACTCGCGCACGCCTGTAGTTCTCAGATTAGGCACGGAAGCCATCTCGTACTCATACAGTTGCATTGCTCGATGTTCGAAGAATCTGTCTCTAATACTGGACTTTATGATCAAGCCGCCGGAGCATGCGAGATGAGGCACGATGTTGTAAACAGCGGCAATTGCCGTCTATACGCTGCTGTCGCCGAGGGGAGTGAGGCGACGCATTTAAGCGCGCAGTGTTGTTGGAAGTCAGCCGAAGCACAGCGGCTGGCGCAGGGTTCGAGACGCATGAGTGTTGTGGTCACGTGAACTACTCTTCCCCTGACATTGACATCAGATCTCCTCATCGATTTCGTTTCCTGGTGGCAAACATGAACTCGTCATGACACGTTCGAGCCGAAAGATGTCGGTGAGTGCTGAGTGCGCGTGAGATTCTAGACAACATCTGAGGTGATGAACTGGAAGTAAAATGACATCGCGCTTGAGGAAGCTACTGCGTGTCAGTCAGAGAAAAAGCGGGACCCATGTAAACTCACAAATTTTCCACAAACGCCGAATACGGATAATTGAGCCGCAACAACGAGTTTCCAACACGGCACGGTCATGCTGTTGGCATTGCAGAGACGAGTCGTCGTTTCCACGAGCCCCCCGGTTTATCACTTATGTCATAGCCTCCACTAGCGTGTATACCGGTATTCCGAAGGTTCGGTGCTTGTCATCGCGGAGGTTGTCGTTTGGAGTATAGCAACCTCGAAAGCGACGAATCCCATTTGTGCCAAACCAGCATGCCTACTTGATCGGTGAGCGCGCACAAAAGCGGGATCTTGAGTCAGGGACGTCAGCGTTCATGCAGGATCGCTACTCATAAGCCACAGTCTCGCGTCTTCCCACACCCTACAGTCCCAGGCAGGTGGCTCTTCAAATGTTCCTGGTACCTGTGGGATCGAAAAGCATCACGATGTGGACTGTCGCTGCTGTCGTACCAAGCTTTCTGCTTTCCAGAACTGGACTAGCCCAGTGGAACCACCCAATTAGCTCTTCACGGAGAACACCTGCGAAGAGTGCCTCGTGCTTTCATGCAAGACATACATTCTAGGTTGGCTCGGCCGCACATGATTCATTGCATCGTCAATCCGATTAAGGCACTAGAAATCGCGGTGTGCACGAAGCATCAAATTGTGCAGATCTTCGGCAAGTCCTCGCTAGCTAGAGACGGGAGGGTAAGGCGTGATGTACCATATGCTTCACTCGATTCTATTTGATGCTCGGACTCATGCCAAGTCGTGAGCCTCGTCAAGTGCTTCAAATACTGTCAGCAACCGGTCAATAGACCAATACAGAAGTGTCTGGCTTATGTTGGTAATGACAGCTTACACAGTAAGACGGCAGTGAATCTCGTGACATTTGCAGTGACCGCTTCTCTAACTACGAAGCGGTGATGGTGCTGATCTTCACTAAGAAGCAATGAAGTGTTGGCCGAATTCAACGTGTACAATGCTTCGTCGTTTCCTCATCGGTGGCCAATTCAGATGTTGACAACCCCGAGTATACGCTCAGCCGGCTCAGCTAGCTGCACAGGACAAGTCTCCAACCCGACACCATACGTTTCGTACTTGAGCTCGCCTGTGGTCGAGTTTACCACGATCCACCTTCTGTTCAACAGGTCGCCGTCTTGAGCCCGATCGAAGAAATTCTGTGGGGCAAACACGATGCTGCTATACGCCTCGGTGTACAGTGTGACCTGTGCTTGTTCAGCTCATGCGCGTAGACCAAGCCTGCTTACTTACCGGCACATCCTCACTCCGTGTGTAGTGGTGCATCCCAAGATTGAACCAGACAACGAGATCTTCGTCCTCGATGTTTTCGCCATCGAAGAATTTGCTAAAGTCTTGCTGCGGGGCCCATGGGAGGTTGGCGTTCTGCACGCTGTTTGCGAAGACCTCGTTATCGTGTTGTCGCGATACTGCGAGATGAGTCTTTGCGAACTCCGAATTCTTCAGAGACCACGGCGAGCCCAGGGTGGTTAGGTGTATGTCGGATCGGCCGGGAACCAAACGATACCCGCGCATCTCGCCCCATTTGTTTGTCGCATTCGGGTTCAAGACGACATACATAGCCTCATTGTTTGGTGCCCAGTTGAACTGCTTCTCTTCTTGCATCATCGAGACGTCCAGTTCTATTTGCTCAAATACGCCGAGCTCCGGAAACCATGGCTGAGATTGGTTCACAGCCTTGAGCTCAGACACTTGAAGGGAATTACCAGTCCCAAGGACATCGAAATCTCCTTTGAAAGTAATGACATGGTCATGAAGTGAGCCTTGGATTGCTTGCTGGATGCGTGGGCCCCACTTTCCTTGATTCGGATAGTAGTATGAGCTTTGCAAGTATCCACTTGCGCGGACGCTGACTTCGAGAGAACCATCCTGATGGAAGCCGTAATCGAACATGTAATCTAGAAGCGGAACTGATGTTAGTGTAATTCTAGATGATGATTATAATGAACACAACGTACCGTAGTTGCCCACTGTAGCAATCGCCCGAACGGTGAGCTGTGCACCTTTGACCGTACCCAGGCTACTGAAACCGTACTTATTACTCTCACCTGTTCGGTGGCGCGAGAGCGGAAAGTTCATATCCGCTTCAAACATGCACAGGGAGTTAGTGTTGACCACAGAGCCGTTGTTAGAATGGTAGGTCAAGTTCCAGAAGGTAGATCCCTATCAAGCAAAGTCAATAGACGTTCGACTCCAATCCGGCTTTGAGAACTTACCCAAGGACAGTCATAACCTTCGATGAGGGTTCCCATCTCCATCCCGAGACTGTAGTAAGTGTCGTGGTAAACAGTGTTTGCTGATTTTGGTTGGTTGCCCCCGTACTGCGCGGTTGCTTCTTGCAACGAGAGCTCATATAAGATGCGCTCGCCTTTGAACTTGATGTCGTAGAACATGATACCAGTTGTCCTCGAGAATGCAATATAGAAAGACCAGCCCATATACTCGACGTACTGGTTCTTCTCATCGACCTTGTATCGTTTCCCGCCAATCTCCAGAGTAGCTGGTGCCAACCTATCCTCGAGATCGCGAACACCGAGTTCAGGCTTATAATCAACCATTGCCCAGTCTGCATCCAAAGTCTGGTCAAACTCCATGCCCAGCTCACCAGCTTCGAAAGCAGTGCGGAGAGCCGAAATGGTCGGGTAAAACTTCTCGCCGGTGACAAACCCTTTCATTTTGTATAGCGATGGGTCGGTTCCAGTGCAGTCGATGAGAAGAAAGAAGTCCAACGGGGTCATGTATGTCGCAGGACCTGGGATGCGAAACATGATGTTTCGAAATGCCTGCGTTCCATCGAAAGATCGAGGCTCACCGGACGTCATTGCTAATGTAGCTACATCATGTGAGCATATTTTGATAGCATTTATCAAAGTGTCTGTCGGTACACATACTTCTATTGTCTTTTGCGCCATAGTAGACGGCACCTTGGAAGAGTGATGCAGTGATGTCGGAGATGTTTGACATGATCGACGCAATCAAAGGATCCGTTGCTGCTGTGCGCGGCTCGTCCCAGAATCGAGCATTGTATGGTATGGAGCCCCCCTTGCCTCCATTATAGATATAGTCGAGCTTTTGGATAGTTGTTGTGTTGGCGACTGGCAAAGGACCAATCATGTACTCTTGAGAATCTGGATCACTTTTGCCGCCCTGGAAGATGATAGCACGAGCATATTTAGCAGGCATTGCGCCAGCCCCGTCGATGAAAGGTAGCACATCAGTCTTATTGAGAGGAAGAGTGTCAATCCAGAACCTATGCTAAGTAAGCAGGCTATCTACATGCTCGAATGCAGTACTTACACGTAGTTGTCCGACGGTATTGCCTTGCTTGGATGCGTCAAGTTCAAGCCTGATTCTGGCGCGTGAAGTAGGTTCCAAACGGCGAGATTGTCTTCGGGTGGGATCTGGGCCCATATATTCGGCTTCGGGGCAGAAGTTACAGGTGCTGCGTCGTTGAGGCATGAAGAGCCATTGTAACCGCGCTTGCCAAGTAGGTCATGGAGGAGCTTTCTTTCAGCTCCTAAAGGCGGTAGAGCTGAAGACAATGCTAGACTGGCAAAAGTCAGTCCTGCGAAGGGAAGTATCATCATTATTCGAGGATTGGAGAATCACGAATGCTGCTTGAGTGTGCGAATTTCCGTCCCTTAGTGGACCTTTATAGCCCTCTGATGTAAGGTAAGGACTGCTAGTCATTGGTTGCGACATGTATCTATCTTGCTTAACAATGGACATGATAAGAGAAGGTAAAGCGGAGTCCTGCGAGCATGGTAGACGAGAGATGGGCCGAATTCTGCGAGTCAGGGCGACAGTTGTGAAAGCACATTCTAACTAGATTTAACAATCTTAGAGCGTGGGTATCTAGTAAATGAAAGCATGTGTGTCAATAGAAGATACCGGTAGCATCTTAACGATGAGTAGAGCATCTCGCATGCTCCCCCGACGTGATGTGAGCTCATGGCTTCTTCTACAGTCATACCCGAATATAAGAAGCGATTCCATCGGCCGTTTGTTATCATCGTTCGGCAAAAGTGCGGGGTGTGGATGGGTTCAACCGTACCATACCTTATCACTGCATACTCACCCATGTCGCCAAGGACGCTTGCTTCTCTTCAGGCTTTCCAATGCACGAACGCCAAGATAGCCCGCAGAATCGCGTGACAATGGAAGCGAGCTTCTTTCAGATAAGCTGTTCAATAGAGCCTCCGTGAATACATCGGAAGCATATTGACGAGGATGGGTTGTGTGAACATATTCGGCTGTGCCTCCGCAAAACCCTTGATCATGTTTGTCAATACGCCGATAGGTCACCTCGCGCGAGATATGATGCAGGAGAGAGGCCGTGGTTACGAGTCACCTGTAGGCTGATATTATAAGAGACGGATGAATACATCAAAGAATGATGGAAAATTGTGAGTCTGCAGTCCCCAAATTTGCTACATGGGGATTGAAGTCTTCTCGTTGACGCTTTTGTCAGAAGGAGATCATCCTCGCCAGAATTCTTCCACATGCACGCATAGCGTCGTAAAATCTGCTGCTCAGAGATGGCAAGGTTCAGGGCGCCTTCGGAGGGTTTGTAACAAAGTAGGCATGTAGACAGCGGCTACAATATCTAATCCTGGACAGGACCCTTCTTCCCCGCCGAAGAAGAGCCCACACCCATGGCATGTATTAGAATCTATGCCGACAAAATTTGGAAAGGTATGTTGATAACGTCCTCGGATCACGGATGGAGGTTGAAGGTTGATGTTGGAAGGTCCAGCACATTGCACGTTCCGGAGAAGTCCGGAAGTCCGGAACTTGCGGCGTCCGGTCAAATATGACGTCGCTTTTTGAATGCATAACTATAACTACTTGTGCAAGCATTACTACTGCTGTCAGATAAGATTCTATGTATGATCTGGTTAAGAATGACAATCATGGTTGTTTTCTAATTGCGGTGCAGAGAGGCTTCAACGGCGACTTGATGGCCACTTTTCGCCCCGTTTTGCATTTGATCTTTCTCTTTCTCTTCATCTATAGATATAGCTTGAAATGTCGATGGTAACGATGCTATATATCTCGGAGACCAGCAAAGATACTGGATGTACGGCTTTGAGTGAGGAGACGATTACCTGATGTAACACGTGACCAATAGTCGTGCGGTGAAGGTGAAAGAGTTCACAATATGCGTAATCGCAACATTTGGACCCTTTACTCCGTTCGCCTAACAACCAGCCTCGCGAGTAATCACCTAGAGCAAACACTCGTCGGCGGACTCCGTTTGCCTATTGACCTTCTCAAACCTCAGTGCTGCTTTTGGTAAATTGATATGCGAAGGTGAGACAGCAACAAGGCTCACATGCAAAGATATCTCGAGCCAATCTTTACCACCTCCATTAAAGAGCTTACCAGGAGCATTAGGCAACCCCAGGCCATACTGACAGTGCCCGCCTGCGCTATATCTACCGGACTTATACAACTGTTCGGCATCCATCTTATCACGATCTGGATCTAGAGACATCTCGAAACGCCTTACCGAGTCACAAAAGAAGTCCAAACGGCCACGCAAGATGCTTGACATGGGCAGCAAGCTACACGCAAGGTTGCGAGGAATGTGCAGTGGCTTCAAGAAGCTGGCGATCACGAAGAGCACAGAGGATCATTCCGAACAGGATGTCGATGAGGCAATGAAGGATTGGCAAATGCTGTGTGATACAGAAGTGAGCTCGGGAGAGGGACTAAGAGTCAAAGATGAGAGATCGACTTCAGGAGATTCAGATCGTACAGAGGAGCTTGTGTGGGAAATCACGCAGTTGATCGACAACGGCTGCGAGGAAATTGGGTGTGCCGAGTGGGACGAACTGATAGCGATGGTGGAGAACTAAGTTCCACGTGAGATGCTGGGGCCCTGAAATAGATGAAGCGAACGTCTTGACGTAGCTCCTAGAAACACAGCACGTCAAAAAAAGTCTTTGCCGACGGACATTCCTGTGCTGCGTGTCATCAGATATAAGTAGATGATCGGGGCGAAATTGCAGCTGGCGCATCTAGTAGCCTGGTAGCATGCGCAATACTTTTGCGCAATGAATGAAGTTACGAGGACTCAGTTATACTCTCGTATAGCTGGCAAACGGCAACGTGTTGGAAGTGGAGGTAAGTTTGTGAGGCGGGACGGGGTGCACCAGCCACTGTGGCTCAGCCGCGCCAAGATAGCGTGCTAGCGCCACTTCCAGCCTAGCGAGATGACCCATCCGCACACAATCAATTACGACCTCCTACCGCGACCGACGACAACCCCACGACTAACACCACAGGTACCGCCCCAACACCGCCAACATGCGTACCTACGACGACTCCTTCAGCGGTCAAAAGATCTACCCTGGAAAGGTGCGTTATGCCGTCCCCCACAGCGACCCGCCAGATGTCGATATTCCGCGGTCGCGCTACCACACACCATCTATGCCTGGCGGAGGGACTGTGACCGGGCAATTGAGGGCATAGACGCTGACGGAAACAATAGGGCAAGCTGTACATCCGTGGTGACAGCAAGATCTTCCGCTTCCAGAACGGCAAGACCGAGTCCCTCTTCCTGCAGAGGAAGAACCCCCGCAAGATCTCATGGACCACCCTTTACCGACGGATGCACAAGAAGGGTATCTCTGAGGTTAGTTTGCCTCCATTCACGAATGCGATGGGAAGATGGAAGTGGGCGCGCTCCTAGTTATGACATCAGTCGCATCGCGAGATGTGTGCAGATGGCGATGAGCGCAGCCCCAATCCAGTCCAAGACCCCTGGCATTGCACCACTGCGCGCAAATGCTAACCACCGTCATCGTACAGGAAGTTGCCAAGAAGCGTACCCGCCGCACAGTCAAGCACCAGCGTGCCATCGTCGGTGCTTCCCTCGACGTGATCAAGGAGCGCCGTTCCCAGCGCCCCGAGGCCCGTGCCGCCGCCCGTTCAGCCGCCGTCCAGGAAGGAAAGGAGAAGAAGGCCGCTGCCGAGTCAAAGAAGAAGGCTGAGAAGGCCAAGAGCGCCTCCAGCGCTGCGCGAGGCCAGGCATCCAAGATCCAGAGCAAGCAGGGCTCCAAGGGTGCCGCACCCAAGGTCCAGGCATCCGGCCGTCGTTAAGCTAGCTGCTGTTTGTGCATGGGTCGGGGTTTACTGGCAGTTTTTCGGGATGACTCGGTGTTCTATTACTCTCTCTGAACCACTCCGATAACAGCGGGAAAATGGAATGAAAGGAATGATGATTCACATCTTGGGACCGGTGTATCGGACACTATTCCCATGTTAGGGTTCGGCGTCCCATAGGGAAAATGCAATACCACGTCCTCACGAACATCGTTTCCAACGTGACGGGTACATGATGTATTTGAAAGTGAGAGAGACGCCATGACGGGACACATGCGCTACGTGAGGGCGCAGCTATCGTTTCAACTTCAGCCTACGACATTTGCATTTCCTTACCTCACCACTTGCTTCTTGCCTTAGTCATTGTATTGAACTCTCACACTGCTGTCATGCCGCTTCTCGAAGCCCTATGTAGTATATTTTCCTAGTTTCTGTTGTAAAACTTCCATTCTGTCTCACTGCTCCCCTGTCGATCTGATCAATCCTCCAGCTTTCTGTTGCTAGTAAGCTCAATCAAGACATCCTATTCAGCGAGCACATGTAGATTCTGACACTGGTTTTCGACGTTATCGAACATGGTGCAGGAATCGGCGTGGTGACGTGCTACGTCCTGCCCTCGTTTGCACGCCTCTACGCGTTTGCTCACCTCCGCCGCCCACGTTTTCACTCTGAACCCGATAATTTTAATAATCGAGCGCTTTGTTATCAGCCGCGACAGCTTTTCTCGTCATCGCTGGGTTCTTTGTTCCTCACCACACGCCACACCAGTCCACACAACTTATGGACGGCCCACCGGCAAAGAGGCGCGCACAAGCAAGTCCTGAAAAAGGCCTCACCTTCTCAGATACGATGTCGGAATCAGTCATACAGCGGCTGGACGACACGCGGAACGGCCCCGAGTCGCTCAAGGTCGAGGCTGACAGCGAGATCGAGATGCCTCTCGCTCCACTACACCCCGATCAGATCACCACAGACTCGCTCAAGAAGCTGCAGTCAACCAACGAGCGCCGTGTGCTTGATGTAGTCGACAAGCTCCGTCGCATTGGCCTTAACGGCACTATCGAGTTGCCACAGCTAGTAGTGTGTGGTGATCAATCATCGGGCAAAAGCTCTGTGCTTGAAGCTGTTAGTTAACCTATAATAAGACATCAACAGCCATACTGACGCAAACACTGTACAGATCACCGAGATACCCTTCCCGCGGAAAGCTGGCTTGTGCACGCGCTTTGCGACTGAGATCGTCCTACGACGCCAGCCTACAAGCTCAGTCACAATCAAGATTAACGCAAGCAAATCGCGCTCATCCAAGGAGCGAAAGAAGCTATCCACTTTCACCTGGACAGTTATCGACCTCAGCGAGCTCCCTCTAATTGTCGAAGATGCCACAGCGGCAATGGGACTGGGCAAAATTGGCCAATCCGCGGCGTTCTCTCGGGACATTCTCAGTATTGAGATCTGTGGCCCTGATCGTCCTCAGCTGTGAGTAGTGCCTGTGTCCGACCTCCTCACCTAAATATGCTAACATACCCAGCACACTCGTCGATCTTCCCGGACTCATCCACAGTGCAACGAAGGCTTCCACAGAGGCGGACAAAGACTTAATCTTTGGGCTTGTGCAGGAGTACATGCAGAACCCACGCACGATTATTCTTGCTGTTGTGTCTGTCAAGAATGATGCCGCCAACCAGATCATTCTCAGCTTGTTCAAGAAAATGGACCCCAAAGGCTCTCGCACGCTCGGTATCATCACGAAGCCTGATTGTCTGAGCGCTGACGACGAGCAGTCCTGGCTTGATTTGGCTATGAACAAGGAAGTCTTCCTGCAGCGGGGATGGCATGTGGTAAAAAACAGATCGGAAGGAGAAATGCAGTACACATTCGCGCAGCGCAACACTGCGGAAGATGCCTTCTTTGCGCAGGGACAATTCAAGGACCTAACCCGTACTAACGTAGGCATTGAGACGCTTCGCGACCGCCTGAGTAACTTACTGCATCGTCACTTGGTACAAGAACTACCTGCGCTGAAGCAGGAGTTGAAGACCACTCTGCGCGAGACCACGGAGCAATTGGACAGCCTTGGGGACCGACGCGAAACGCCACAAGAGCAAAAGATGCTGCTGACGACGATCAGTCAGAAGGTCAACATCATACTGAGAGATGCCATCAATGGTAGTTATGTTGATCCCTTTTTCGATGATGTTGAGCTAGACGAACCGACTACCGTGGGTAGAAACGTCCGCCGGTTCAGGGCACTTGTCCAGGACCTGAATTCTCGCTTCGCTGAGAACATGCGCCTACGAGGCCACAAATACGTGACGCCGAGTTCCCAGATCAATGAAGAGCCGGCGCCACCCTCATCACCTGTGTCCGAAGATGACAGTGATGACGAAGACGACAGTGACGATGAAGACGAGGAAGACGAGGAAGGCGAGGAGGACAATCGTGAGGTTGAAGCCGAGGCCGTCTCTGCCAAACATCACGACAATGACCTCCCGGAACCAGAAATCTTGACAGATGAGGAGTACCTAAATTGGGTAAGGAAGGTGATGCTGCGCTGTCGTGGACGGGAGCTTCCTGGCAGCGTCAACCCCGAAGTTACCAGTCATCTCTTCTGGGAGCAGTCTAGACCTTGGAAGGCGCTCGCCGAAGATCATGTCGAGCAAGTGCGCAGCATGGTCAAGTACTTCATCCAGCAGGTTCTCGAACATGTTGCACCTGCGGAGTTCAAGAAGCCGCTCGAAGAGCTAGTCGTCAATGTCGTCCTAGATGATACGTTGGGAGATGGCCAGGAAGAGCTCCGTAAGCTTCTGCAAGATAAGGCGCGCCATCCCAGCACCTATAATCATTACTATACCGACAATGTTCAGAAGCGCCGCCAACAGAAGTACGAAGCTTTTGTCAGGGATGCACGTCAAGCTGCTACTTCAGGCACAGGCCACTTGGATCACGGTCGATTCAAGACTGAGATGAACAAAAGCGTCAGTCGTGATATGGAGGTTTTCAGCGCCGAAGAAACGCTTGAGAGCGCCAAGGCATACTATAAGGTATGTCGCACTCACCTCCCTTTCTTTCTGGATTTTCACATGCTGACTGTCTATAGGACGAGATGAAGTACTTCATCCATGCCGTTACCAAACAGGTGATCGAGCGATGCATGATAGAACCTCTTATAAGTAGGATTCTGAGTCCAACTGGCGTTCAAGCTATGACGGACGAAGAGGTCTCCTTCATAGCCGCTGAGCCTCCCGAGAATATGGCACATCGTGCGTTTCTGGAGGAGCGCAAGCAGATGTTAGAGAAGGGTGAAGAGATCTTCCGTGGGGCGATGGGTGGAGTGAAGCGAAGCAGGAGTCGTGCATTCGGTGTGTAAAGTATGGAAACTATTTGGGCCGCTTGTTGAAGCCCTCCGCGTTGCCTGATGCATACATGTAATAGTAAACTACCTAGGCAAATAATCGCATCTCTCCGGCTTTCACTGATTATTGCACCTTTCCTCTCGAGTCCACCGCCCATATCTCCTCAATGACACCCTTCCTGTATGCAAAGTATGTATCATGCAAATTGATTGTCGGATCAATATGGCTCGGCACCATTTCCACTCTATCGCCGACCTTCAAAGGCCGTGCATCCGATCCATCCTCCCATTCCAAACTCCCATGCTCATCGCCCAAGACCCCATACTTATACCCTGGCGTCTTACACTCAGCCAGCCCGCTGTCCGTCGTCAAGCTCTTGAGTCCAGCGTCGATGGTAATAATCCTCGGCCCTTGGGTTGAAAGGACGGTAGACAAGATAGTAAGGCTATTCGAATACGTCGTCCCAATAGCAGCGCGATAGTCCGTGTCCATGAAGATGAAAGATCCAGGCTGGACTTCATTGACGCCCGGTACACTTATGCAGAACTCAGCCGTGCCTGTCCCGCCTGTCGTGACCACATCGATCTGATGTCCGGCCTCTCGCAAAGCATTGGCAGTCGAAGTGAGAATCTGCATCGACTCCAGGCACTTTGCTTTCCGCTCTTCGAAGCTGTGCACATGCTGGAGATGTCCCTCGTAGCCCTGTACGCCTATCAAAGCCATGTGATCTAGCTGAGCAATGCACGCCGCAAGCTTCAACGCCGGCTCGCCGGGCTGTATGCCAGTGCGATGCAGACCGACGTCGAGATCGATCAAGACTGCGATTCTGCCATCCACCCCACTCTTCTTAAGCTCGTCATTGATCGCTCTGGCGCCGACTTCACTGTCCACCACGATCCTGATCGACTTGTGCTTCTTGAACAATTCCGCTAATCTCTTAACTTTCGGCGCACCGATGATCTCACACGTGATCAATAAGTCGTCAAAGCCTTTTGCGCACATTACTTCAGCCTCGGATAGTTTGGCGACGCATCCGCCCTTTGCGCCAGCGTCAACAAGTCTTTGGGCCAACAGTGCGGACTTGGTGGTTTTCAGGTGTGGCCGAATGTTCACGCCTGTTGGAAGGAGGCGCTCCATGAGCTTCTTGATATTTGCTTCCATCAAATCAAGGTCGACAATCATGGACGGAGTGTCCAATGAGTCGAGCGAGTCGCCGACCTTAGGTGCATAAGGCATCGTGGGCGAAAAGGATGGGTGGTATTTGGTAGAAGATTATGAATATAGTGAATGACTGTTTTTGCATTCGCAAAGTTTGAGAGGACAAACTGTATGGGTACGAGTGCTGACTCGGATATCTTGGCATGAAATGGACCGGTGTTCGGAGTGGTCACGTTGGAGATAGGCGACTCGAAAGTGGGATGCTGTTCTGGCGGGTCTGTCCAAATGAGGCAAGCCGAACCGGTGCCGTCTTTTTGAACGGCCTCCTCCGCTCTCTCAAGTGTAAGTCGAAGCCATCTGCAGCTTCCGCTCGACATGAGGGATTCGGTGAATTCATAGTCCAGAGCCATCGTATCATTCAATTGAAGTACGAATGATTTCTTGTGGTGCATATAGCGACACACTACCAAAACACATCGCTAGGATCGACCACCTATGCTTACTATGACGATTTTCAAGCTCAACCCATCTGTTATATCTATTGCAACCTAATCACACCTTGTTTCGACATCCCTTGGTATTTCTACCTGATATGAACATATGGCCAATCTCTTGCCAAAATCCGAGAGGGGCTCGTCGAAAGCCTCTTCATACGCATCAATGACAGGCTTTTGCCATACCAAATCGGCCTCGAGAGGGTTGACAGATTTAGTGCGCTTGAGCAGTTTCCAGCCAAAGAACAGAAACGGCGCGAGGAGTACCAGGAGGTAAAATGTGAAGAAGGTATCGATTGCCCAGTGCCCTTGTAGGAACACTGGGTACCCGTAGCAGGTGACAACGCATGTCAGGAAGATCAGAGCGACCCAGGTGGAATACGGCTAGAAGTACGCATAGTAAGGCATCGCGCGCCTGTCAACTCCTTGTGGTTTGCAGGCGCGGTAGAAAAAGAGGTACGTGATACAAATGACGATGTGATCGATGATCTGGGCAGCCGTGACGATACTCGTAAAACACGTAAGCACTTTCGCGCTGCTGCTTGATACGTTGAGAAACCCCAGGAACAGGAAGATGCATGTGCCGATGAGACAATAGATGGGAATGCCGGACTTGGTACACTTTCTCAGAGCTTTGGACGCATGGCCGTCAAGAGATAGGGCGTGGCGCGAGCGTGTGCCGTAGTATGTGTAAGCGTTGCTGGCAGAAAAGATCGAGGTGCAGGGAGGTGCGTTGGTCAGGTGAGGCAAGCCGGTAATGCCTATGTCCTTCATCGCAATGACGTATGGCGATGCAGCTACTGCAGCTGCATCGCCTGAAAACCCGCTGAGAATCTTCAGGAGGCTGGTATCGTTGTACGCGATGACAATGCCGACGCAGAGAACGATACAGACTGCGGTAACAGCAGCGACTGGTATCTTGTCGCTCCAGTATGTGGGACGGAGCGATGGCACCGATTTGAAGATCTGGCCATTATTGAAAGTGTTAGTGCGTCTTCATATTGCAGAGTGATGGTAAGATGTGATATTGGCACGTTGATTCGTACGTCAAGAGTGATCAAGAGCGAAGTTGTGATTAATTTATTATAGCGCCAGTCCTCAAACGTACTCCAGAAGCTCCAAGGCACATCTAGCACACGGCAAAGTCCTTGGCACGGCGCAATGTCTTCTTCAACTTTGCCTTCAATCGCTGAAAGCGTGATGGACGAAGTGCTTGAACACCGCCCTCATGGTTGTTCTTGTGGTCTTCACCCAAGAAGGCCGAGAACTGATGTTGAGTCGGCGGTCGACGGATCTGCGGCCTAGAAGTGTATGCTGCTTCTTCGTCCTCGGTGAGAGGTGGTGAACTAGGTCGAGGAGCCAGCGTTACTCTACGCGCAGGGCGAAGCGAATGCGCCCCAGCACGAAAGGGGGGTTGCGAAACAAGTCGAGGCCGTTGCATAGATGTGGCGGAGCAATCTTCATCCTGACATTCCAGTACCGCAGGCACCTGGATTTGCTTAGGCGCTATGCGTGGGGAGTTCGCAGCTGCGAGGACGAGCCGGTTGGAGCTGGCATGGTGCCACGGCAAATCTGATCTGCAGTGGTTCTCATCCTCTGGCGGTGCTGATGGTCGGACCGATGCAGGTACCGGCCTAGGTGCTGTCATTGTTCGCCGCGAAAGACGAGGAGAGTTGGCTGCTGCTTCCACAAGCTTGTCAAATGTGACATAAGCTGGGACCTCGGGACTGAAGAAGAAGTTCTCAAGCATCATAGAAGGCTTTGTTGCGGAGTTCTTTTGAGCGTGGAGTTCCTGTTGCATGGAATAGATCAGGGGGAGTCGTGAGGAGAAGAATAAACAAGGGCGGCATATTGAGAATTCATGTGATGGAATAGACTGATGATGTACAAAGACTTAGATCTGCAGTGGAAATGGGTTGTAGGTATATAATGAGGAAGGCAGTAATGAAGTATACTCACGATGCATGAGCACTATTCATGCACTTTACCAGGTTTTAGTTGTCTCAGACAGTCTCAATGCAGACAAAAATTAGATAGATCGCAAGCAATGGAGCTGGCACAGTACTGAATATTCTATTGAGTCAAGGACACAATTGCATTCTACTGTATCATATACCGAAGGCGCAGGGTTCAATCACAGTCCCTCCGCATCTTCCCCTTTCTCATACTCTGCCTCACCAAAACCTAAACAGGTTTGGAAAGCATCTCCCGCAAAATCCTTCCACCAGGGTAATTTTGCACGACGAGCTTCCCTCTCCTCCGCTTTCACAGCCTTAAAGGCCTTTTTGGTCGGCTTCGGTGCATTGCGGACATCTTGAAATTGTGGCCTCACTCATATCTCACCATTCGGTCATTAGCTCATCTCGGGGCCGATGTAACGGACCTCTGGCTCGTTCATAGTGAAGCGAACAGTCTTCTTGGGGGTTGCAGTGGTGCGGTTTGCCTTGGATGGTGTTGGATGCATGGCTTTTGTTTTGGTGTTTTTTTATGCATATTTTGAAGGGTTGGATCTCTCAGGGATGCTCTGGGAGTTTTGGGTATGATGAGATTGTGTTGGGTGAACATGTTTCACTCGTGGTCTTGAGACTTGGGTCTGGACTGTGTGTACGCACAGTGAGCAGTCATTATGTGAAATGCCTTATTGTTGAACAGCATCCTGTGGCCAACTACAGCTGCACCGAGACTTTCACCGAGGCCTGGCATAGCTTGAGAATGTAGAGTAGATCTTTTGAACATACTCTATATAGATGTTTTCCGAGCGTTTCCAATCACTGAGCTTGGAATGCATTTTTGCTTAATGGGTACCATGACAAGTACTCGGTGATGTAATGTAAACATCTGAATAAATACTATCTCCAGTAGTATGACTTCACACAAGTGCCTGAGCTGCATAACAGCGAGCTACACTAGGTAGCTGTCTCCCAGAATTAAACCTAAGTACCAAAACACTCAAGAGTAATCAGAAACCAGACATACATTTGAACTTCATACTCGAAACAACGGTACCAACCCACCATCTCTGTCTACCAAACTCAAGTCCATTTCGCCACTACCGCGCGTATAATGTAGACAGGTGTGGATTTTCAAAGGTATCACAACCAGTTGTCTACGTCTTGCCATGATCAGATATGACCCAACATCCATCACGAGCATAAGTAAGTTACCAAGTAAGACAGACATAATGTTAAATTCAATAAGGAAATCTAGAAACCCACCAAGGGCTTGACGTCTGAGCGAGCAACTACTTCCTCTTCTCCGCCATCTTCACCGCCTTCAGCCCATACTTCTTCATGCCATGCAGACCCTTCGTCGCGAGCACCTCGAAAGCATGCAAGCTCGCGCGGCGCTCGCGCATGTCATCTTTTCCGCTCGCCACCTCTTCCGCGTTCAAAAAGCCACGAAACAGGTGATTTGTCGCCGGTCTCAGTAGACGCGGCCGAGTCGCAAGTTGTGGCGTTTGAATCGAGCTCATCGCCCTAGCTGGTACAGACTTACCGCCTGATCTCGCTGGAGAACCCGGTCACTGCTTGCGTGACTAGCGCCGGCTGGGAGAATTGAAAAGCATTTTTGTGCTTTGCACCTGTCGCTCCGTTATGACCTCGAATACACGACCGCAGTCCAGGTGTTGGGCCAGGCCGATAAGTCGCATGCTGGCTGCTAGTTTGACCATCTTTCGCCTCCATGGCTTCAGCCATAGCGTAAGACTCGTCAGACAACGCTCTACCTCTAGCTCTGATCGTATCAGAGACACACTCATCTAGCTCTCCAACCGCCCAGGAGCCCATGTAGTCTGGAACTCTGCGGACTTCTGGGGCTGAGGTGGTGCAAGGCCATGGTTGCTGGAAGAGTTCTGCTGGTGTGCAGGAATCGGGAGGTTTGAGATTTCAAATCTAAGCAAATGTGTATGTAGATGGTCAATATTCGAAAAGTTTATTGAATGTTGAGGCGAGAGATAGAGTTGTATATGGCACAACATGTTTGCGTGGTTATGATGAATCATGGCCGAGAGCGTATTTGAATGTGTATATACAGCGTAAAGTATTGTGAGTGTATAATGTTCAATGTGGATATACAATGTAGCCCACAGCTCAACGATGACCGTTTTTTATACTTCTCATTATCAATACGGACCATGTTTCACCTTTGCAAAACACGCAAGCACAAATGAGATAACACGTGAGACATGCACGAAGTGATTAAGTTTTTTTTTTAAATGTTATTCAGATATTTACAAATCTCTAGAACAATCTCAGGTTAAGATAAGACATACATCATACCGCCCTCTAGACGGATGCTATTCAGCCAATCCCCCACTAACCTTCATGACCACCCACGCCTCGATGCGCTCACCCAGCGTCTTACGCCGGCGATGCGTCTTCGCCACCTTGGCCTCTTCCTCCTTGTCCAGATCCGCCATGGTCTTGAGCTTCTGCTTCGGCACCGTCTGCGACATGCACGTCGCGGGCTGCGGACGGGCAGGCGGGAGAGAAATATGAGACTGTGTTTGGCGAGTGTTTGATGACATGTCTGTGGTGTATGTTGTGTTGTGTGTTTGTGATGTCAACTTTGTGAGATTAGATTTTTAGTTTTGTGAGTGTGGGGATCGTTTCGACGGAAGGAAATGGGGGCTCTTATTTATGGTGTGGGAGGAACATTTTGTGCAGTGACAATGCTGGAAGCGAGTGGGTCACAAGAATGGCGGTGATTCATCGTGCGTGTACAGTGTAGGCCTGTGACAACTTCAAGTAGAGTGATTACTTGTTGTGTAACTATAATTAGTATCGAACGTGTTAGTGAGGCTTGCATGTGAGGACACTGTGTAATGCTCCGTAGTTTGACTTGTCAAAACTCCAACAATGCTAGTGTAAAGAAATTCACCAATTGCAGTGTAGTGCGCTTTGGATTTCTTTTTGAATATGGGTCCCGGCAAACGACATTGTCTGATTGGTAGAGCTTCTTTGTCCCAGCTCTTTCTCCATCTGTGATGGCCCTCTTTCGACTGTATATTGGAGTCGATGATGAGTTCCCGTTGAGCGTAGACGATGAAGTGTCGATTCTATATTGCGCTGAGCCTGCATTATGACTGAATAATATGTTAGAAGAACATGATGTATCAGTTGTAAAATAAAGGTGCAACGAGAATTGTTAACCTCCGTCCAATCCCATATTAGACGAAGCGGACAGGTAAGACACATTGCGGTACTGTGGAGACCCGCCCTTGCCTCAAAGTCTCACTCTGACTATGCTCGATCTTTTTCGTCGCAATGGTCTTTCATATGGGGCCGAATATGGCTGTTCGTAGCATATAATGGCTCAGACGCTCACTCTTGGGCGATGTCAAAGACTGCAGAATGTTGGGAGATGCGAGTTTCAAAGAAAGGGGCACAGGTGTAGTGGCGGTGGCCAATTGCATTACTGCGAGCCGCGAGTGGCTTTTGGTGCTCGCGTGCGAGAGCGCACATGCATCTTTCTACCATGGAAAAGCAGCCACGACGCCAGAGTAGTGTAAGAAAGTGACAAAACCAATGTCTAGAACCCCCTGAGCTTTTCGAGATGCAGATGTGATGCAATATTAGAAGAAAGAAAACCAGCCAATCCGGGTATATGTCCGAAATCTTTCGGCGTCGTGCTCGAGTGCGATGTCTTCAATCGCACCTGCGAGCAGCGGTCGGTGCTATGACCTGATCATGGTGCAGCGGTCAAGTGCGTCGAGGAGCTCCGGCCTCTCGGCTAGTGCCTGCCTGGCCTGGGTGTATGTGAACCAATTCCTCGAGCGCTTGTGCTGCTCTGGCCAGACGGCTTCCTGCTTCTCGACGGTGGCTTCGAAGAAATGGTACGAGGCCTTTGGGGCCGTGGCGGTGAGCTGGTCGGCTTTTCGCTTCTCAGCGATGAGGCCAAGATCGTAGTTGATTTTGCATATTATGCCGGCCTCTTCCCAGGCTTCACGTTTCGCGGCATCTTGGGCGGTGGCCTCGTCTGTCTCCCAGCCGCCTTTGGGAAGCACCCAGCCACCGCGTCGGGTGGACTGGATGAGGAGCACATAGTACTTGTCGGTAGAGAGCGGGACCACGCCGGCGACTAGGCGCTCGCCTTGGGAGCCGTATCCTGGGCGCAAATCAGCCGCGAATTCGAGGAAGACACCGTGAAAATCCAGTTCAGAGGTCTCGGGTCTCGTGGGCAGACTTACGCTGGTTCACGCGACCAGTGCGTGACTGCATGGGCATTGAGGCGGATGCTGTGGCGGCCATTGTGGGCGCTGCAGTGCTCAAAGAAACACTCGGGCAGGTGCGAAGCACACAAGACGTGTGCTAGTCGCCCTGGCGCAGGCCGCGGGCCAAGGAGGGGCAGGCGGTGAAAGGAAGCCGAACAAACAGCGAGGGCGTCTTCACAGAGGTGAAATGTGCACAGGTGTGGAAGGGGGATGGGGATGGGGATGGGGATGGGGGACGGGGCAAGGCAGGGCTGTGGGCGTGGGTGAGGCTCAGTCCCGCGGGGGACGGGGCTGAGGATGCTGGGGAGACCTGCGAGGAACAAAAGAGGTCGACATGGTGGATGGTTGGTTTAGTAGGTGGTTCGGGTCAGGGACTTTTTACGTGGGAAACTAAGAGCTCGCGGAGCGTCTCTTGCTCCAGCCGCCAAGGCCGGCGTGCAGGAAGGAGCGAGGCCAGGGACCCTGTCGTCCGCTGCGCAGTGCTCTGCAACGCTCTGCACGAGCGACTGCACAGAGAATTGGGAGACGCGCCCGCACGACTCCAGCGGACGCCTGCAATTGTCCCGCGGGCGCTGTCGACAGGCCGGCCACGGCCCCCAGCGTGCAGGCCGCTGCTTGCTGAGGCAGAGCCGGCGGGGCACGCGAGATGTGCGCGCCGCCGCCTGCAGCGTCAATGGCCTCGCAATTGCGCATGACGTACGGCCATTTAAAGCGCCTCCTGCCCACTAGAAAACGTGCAATTGGCCTCGTGTAGAAGCTCCTCGAGAGACTGGGCCGCTGCTGCTTCTCTCCGCCGCGCTGCTGTTCTGCTGTGATACCCTCTGCGACCGCCTTTCTCCGCCACCAATACCCAGCTCCTCTCCAGCGGTCTGGCCCGCCCAGCAATCCAACACCCTCACCACCAGACGCCGCCGGAAATTACCACACGCCTATTACTCACATCTCCAACGGCTGCCAGCGCCCTCGTCAAGTCCAGCACGCCGTCTCCGCCCTGGATCCCCCCACCCGCAACGCTTGTCTCCCACGCTTATGCTGCCTCCATGCAGTCTCGTGTGACGCCCTTCGGTATGTTCTCGCTCCAACCAAGGCCCTGGGATCCGGCTCGTGCCTGTCTGGCTGGATGTGGACCCGTCTGCGATGCTCCAACGCTGCACATTCACTCTCCAGACCCTGGCCACTATCAACCCAGCTGCTGATGCCCTCTTCCAGGCTACAGTAGCGAGTCCTGCGGATACTGCAAAGACGCCTCGAATGGCCGTCGAAAGCCCAACGCTCGTACGTGCATGTTCTCTCTATTTCCTCTTGGAGACCCACCGAGTCACGCGTGCATCAGGTGGCAGCCGTCAAGTAGTCCCAAGCAGCAACGTTGGCGTCGATTGATGCATTGCTCCATGTTCTGCTAATAAGCTGGCTCGCTTTGCCGTGTGTTGCCCCGCGCCGCAGAACGTCCAAGTCGCTTGCTGCACCAATCGACCCAATTGCGCACCTATCGTGCCAAGCTTCCTTTCATGCTTGAGCAAACTACGTGCAGTACTTGACGATCGAATTTCGACGCAACGGAATAGCTCGTTGTCGGGCGGCCACGTCACGGCGGTACCATGTCTATCCCGTAGCCTAGCGGGAAGATCCGGAAGGTGCACGCATTTCGATCTACATACTGACGAGCCTTACATAATCAGGAGCAAGTTACTACTTTTCCTCCAATTCCTTGACTGTCGAAGTATACCAGATCCTCGTGGATCGCGGATGGAGACGGTGTGCATTCCAGCCACTTCATCCATGGATGCAGCTGCTGATTAGGACTCAGGTCTGGTACCATCTTCTACAAACCTGATGTGCTTCGACATTGCTGTCCACACTACACTATACGGTAGTGACAAGCCATATGTGCTAGTTGTGACAATCGTGACTGATTCCATGTAGTTTGCCGGCCGCATCGTTCAAGCCGTCGAAAGACCAGCGAAGAACAGTCAACAAGTGGAACGACCATGTTCTAGGCGAAGAATATAAAACGGCCGCTGCGAAGCTCTATCCTGTCTCTAAGCAGTGCGTGCAACAAGCATTGATCATGTCGTGCATGCTGACACGACTGCAGAGACAAGGCTCGACTCAAAAACACCTTCGACTTTGTCCAGGAGATCCAAAGGAGTGACTACGACAATGTCAAGCGGCCGCCGGAACCCGCCCACCGCTTCGAGGTAACACTCGAACCAGCTGGCTTCACTGCAGAGAAGTACGATCTATTCCGCGACTACCAGCAGAACGTGCACAAGGAAAAGCCCTCGGAGATCTCTCAATCCGGGTTCAAGCGCTTCCTGTGCGATTCGCCACTGCCAAAGTCCTCGAGAGATGTAAACGGCAAGGAGCAGCTTCTTGGTTCTTACCACCAATGCTATCGTCTGGACGGCCGACTCATCGCAATGGGCGTGCTAGATCTGCTGCCGCACTGTGTAAGCGGCGTGTACTTTCTCTACCATTCAGATTTTGAGCAGTGGCACTTTGGGAAACTGAGTGCTTTGCGGGAAGCAGCACTTGCCCTTGAAGGTGGATACCAGTACTACTATATGGGCTACTATATCCACTCCTGCACCAAGATGAAGTACAAGGGTGACTATAGTCCGCAATACGTCCTCGATCCGGAGTCGTACGAGTGGCACCCGCTTGAAGGCGAGCTGCGAAGTCTTCTTGACCAGAAGCGATACGTATCCTTGTCAAGAGAACGTAGACGGCAGGAAGCCGGCCAAAAGGACGATGAAGACAAACTCGAAGACTATCCCTTGCCGACTGCAGCGGAAGGCGGGAAGGCAGTGTCTGCTGGAATGTCTCTCTTCGAATTGAAGGTGCCAGGACTCATGACACCTGAAGAGATTGAAGAGCAATTAGATCTTGGAACAATTCCCATAAAGATTGGTGGCCGCATGGCAGAAGCACAGGTAGGCGCTAACGATCACACAAATCGACCATCAACAAGACTAACATGGCGAAGGACTTGGTCTCATGGGATAGCAGCAAATTGACAGACTCACGCACTGCAAAGGGCATCATTGGCGAACTCATTGCCTGTATGGGGCCTGAAGCTGCATGGCAAATAGTCGTGGAGCTTGGTCGATAGCTCGTCATATCCCGGAGTCCCTTGGCAGAGACCAAATCGAATAATGTTACTATGATTCTATTATTGCGCCCATGAGTTAGTGCACGTGCAAATGATTGCTGTAGCCGTAGTGAAGGCAACCCATCCTAGCCAATCAGCGACATGGACACTACCGAGGCGCCGGTCGCTGCCAGATCGTACAAACTTCCAAAATCGCCAGAGAGCTGCACACGACAAACATCACCAGGACATAGCAACATGTCTACAATCACGCTTGTCGTGCGCCCTCGCGGTATGCCTCATCTACCTTAGACCAACAATGCATTTGAGACACGTTTTGTTGGAATTGAAATATGCTGACATCCCACTTCAGGCCGCCCGATCAGGAACCTCCCAGAGTCCATCGATGTGAGCCCCGATGCTTCCGCAGCAGAAATCTATAAGGAGATTGCCAAAGCCTCCAAGTTCGACATCCATCGCCTGAGGGTCACGAAGGGTAGCGACGGCGCGGCAATCCCCAATGGGTCCGATGTGAAGGTCCACGACACAGGTGTCCGCAACAAGAGTGCCATAGATGTCAAGGATTTGGGCACGCTCTTCGCTCCTCATCATCCATACCATATCTAACATGCTCCACAGGTCCCCAGATCTCCTGGCAGACCGTCTTCATCGTCGAGTATCTCGGCCCCCTCCTGATCCACCCGCTCATGTACCTCGCCCGCCCCATCCTCTACAACACCCACGGCGCCCCCGCATCCTCTCTGCAGCGCCTCACGCTCCTAATGTGCGTCATCCACTTTGCAAAGCGCGAGTACGAAACCCTCTTCGTCCACCGCTTCAGCAGCGCCACAATGCCCATCCGCAACATCTACAAGAACTCAGGCTACTACTGGATCTTCTCGGGCCTGAACCTGGCCTACTGGACATACGGGCCCAACAGCCCTGCCGCTCAGCCTTCAAACGCGCTGATCACATACCTCGGTGTCACGCTGTTTGCGATCGGTGAAGTTGCGAATTACATCACGCATACCACATTGCGAGACTTGCGCAGGCCAGGCACTACCGAGCGCGGCATTCCGCAGGGCTTGGGATTCAATCTGGTCACCTGCCCGAACTACATGTTCGAAGCGATTGCGTGGATTGGTGTTGCGCTGGTCAACTGGAGCTTGAGCACGGTTGTGTTCATCATCTTTGCTGTGGGCCAGATGGGCGTCTGGGCGTGGAAGAAGGAGAGGAGATACCGTAAGGAATTCGGAGACAAGTACAAGAGGAAGAGGTATGCGATCTTGCCGGGTATCTGGTAAGCTCCTCGGTGACCGAGGAGAGAGGGGAGTGAAGGGCGAGTGTGACAACAGGGTCACTGTGGCGCGATGATGAAGGACGATCACATGCGAAGGACGATGATCGACGTCTATGGCTTGTACGGATTCGCGACGGGTGATGTAAGGCTGCGGCGCGCATTGATCAGATAGGACATTTTTTGGGGCCGAAGCCCTCCATACAGCAATACCAGCATATACCTAATATCCAACTATGGTTGCAAGGCGCTATCTACTCGCCGAGGTCTCACGCCTCGTGCAAGGCTGAGTCAATCCAAGACGGCTTGATGGGGCGGAAACCCAATCAATCGATTTAGTTGCTGATGAGTTATCGATTTATGTATAAGGTCATGGTACCTGTGATGATGGACCGGTGTACAGAGATGTAAGCGCCACGCGGCTGGCAATGTCTTGTGCACGTTGACCACATGATGAACGTTTCGCCCGTCAGCTAGGAAGTAACGGAACGTTGCCAAAAGTATGCAACGAGGACAGCACTCAGGTACCCCCCCTGATCACCGGTTGTACAATGGCCATAAGCGTGCACGCGGCGCGTCACCTCGAGTCCTTGCTCGACGGCAGGTCGCACATGATGATATCGGATAAGACGCATTTGGCCTCTATGGAATATTGCCAAAAGTGTACACGATTACGAGGAAAATAAGCGCCACGCGCTTATTATCAAGGACAGCGGAATGGCTGCCTGCCATCTCGATGGGTATCTCCACGCAAAAGAAGTACCCACAACGTCTCATAGAAACAGAACATCGCCAGAGAACAATCTGTATCCACATATCGGAGCTTATCACTCGCAAGGCTATGTGTGTTTGACGGTTGGAAGCGGGCGGGGAGCGGGCGGGCTGCCTGCGAACCTGCATGGAACGCTGAAATGCCTACACCACCACACACACATCCATCGTCCTCCTTGCTTTGCCCGCCCTCAATATCTGGCCAGCGCGACATGATCAGCCGTCTGCTGGCTTCGATCAGCAGTCGCTGCCTTGTTGCAGGCACGGCGAACTGCCTTTGCGAGCTGCCCATTCGCGCACTGCGCTGCAGCAGTCGTTCGCTTGGGCGGTCAGCGCGCGGGCCCGTTCCCGCATGCAGCCTATCAAAGCGCAGGCATTATGATGGACTGAACTCGGCAGTGCGGATATTCAGCTATGAAGGGTGTTCAGCTATGAAGGGTGTTCAGCCGCAGGGTGGTGGGACGAGACGAGGCTGACGCCTTGGGGCCAGAATGGGCGGGAGAGGTATAAGACAGTTGCTCATCCGGTGAGAGATGGGATGAGAGCAGCTATTGAAATTCTTACTTTGCTATTTGCAGCGTCGTATTGGATTTTAGCGTGTTGTTTGGAGCTGCGAGCGGACCCCGCTACTGTACATCATTGTTGGTTGCTAGAACTGAAGGTGCCATCTAGCGACATTTCGATTCGACTTGTTGGTTCGACAGGGAAGCTGTATATATACGATTGGGAAACGTAACGGCTCGAGTCTTGGGGACAGATGTAAGTCGACCATATACCTACTATTGTCACATAAGCTACGGAGACTATGTTCCTGTCTCTCGCATAGCGTGTCTCCATACGAGTGCGGTTTTGCAATTTCAAAGAACACAAGATAGTCCTGAGAAATGGCTTGTAACATTTCAAACCTCATCATCATTCGATGCACCAATCTAATCAACTTGTAGCATCGAATTCATAATGGCGTCCGACGCAAAAGCTGCATGGGATAGCCATGTCGACACAAGGACTGGAATTACACCACCAAAGCCAGATGAGCCGTCTGAGCTTGCGAAATTGAGAGCCTCTGTGGGAAGCAAGTTCGGAGCATTTGCGGCTCTCATGGGAGCTGCAGCAGCGCCGGTACCACAGACTGGAGATGGCTCCAAGCTTGCAGAAGAGGACCCAACTGTGCTCAAAAAGATAGAAGGTATCATGCGCGACATGTCCCACCTCCGAATTGAGAACATGCAGACTCTCCTGGAAGCCCAGAAGCACAAAATGACCGGAGAGCTGATGGACGACAAGACTTACTTCATGGAAGGACTAATCCGAACTGCTGCTGCGTTACCGGATGGCTCAAAAACTAGAGACACTGTTACCCATAGTTTCCTGGAGCAATTGTGGAATGATCTAGAGCATCCACCTCAATCTTACCTTGGAGCGAAGTACCAGTATAGGTCGGCTGATGGCTCGAACAACAGCTTGAAACATCCCCAGCTCGGTGCGGCAGGAACACCATATGCGCGCACCGTCAAGCCCTCGATGATGCAGACTCCTGCGCGACCAGATCCTGGCGTTGTGTTCGATAGCATCATGACGAGAAAGCATGCCGAGCTGCACCCAAACAGAATCTCAAGTATGCTTTTCTATCTGGCCTCCATCATCATACACGACTGCTTCAGGACCAGCCATGAAGACTACTCCGTCTCGATGACATCGTCATATCTGGATCTTTCGCCTCTGTATGGCAGCAATCAAGCAGAGCAGGACCAGATGAGAACGATGATAGACGGAAAGATCAAGCCAGATTGTTTCTCCGAATCTCGTCTGCTGTTCTTCCCACCTGGAGTCGGCGCGCTGCTGATCATGTTCAACCGTTTCCACAACTATGTAGTGGAGAACCTCGCACTTGTCAATGAGCAGAACCGCTTCCCGAAGCCTGCTGCAGAGGCGCCAAAGTCTACTGGTGATGAGGAAAAGGATGAGGCAGCCAAGGCCAAGTACGAAAAGTCCAAGGTAAAGTACGACAACGATTTGTTCCAGACTGGACGTCTCATCACGTGCGGTCTCTACGTCAACATCATCCTCATCGACTACGTCCGCACTATTCTGGACCTCAACCGCACAGACAGCAACTGGCAGCTCAATCCTCGTGCTGAGATGGAGAACGTCGAGCTCGGTGTCGGTAACCAGGTTTCTGCAGAGTTCAACCTCGTCTACAGGTGGCACTCGACAGTATCTGACCGTGACGAAAAGTGGACTCAGGAGATGTGGGACGGCCTCTTTGGTGAAGGCCGAGATCCAAAGACTGTCGGAAAGTGGGAGTTTCTCCAGCGTTTGAACGATGTGTACAAGACAACCGATCCAGACCCGTCGAAACGAAAGTTTGCCGGGCTGGCACGCAATCAGGATGGCACTTTGCCAGATCAAGAACTCGTCGACATGCTCGTATCTAGTATTGAAGACTGTGCCAACTCTTTTGGACCGAACAGGGTGCCGTCAGTGTTCCGCGCCATCGAGGTCCTTGGTATCGAACAAGCGCGAAGCTGGAATCTGGGCTCTTTGAATGAGTTCCGAAAACACTTCGATCTTGAGCCTCACAAGACTTTCGAAGACATTACCAGTGATAAGTATGTTCAAGAACAGCTCAAGCACCTCTACGACCATCCGGACAAGGTCGAAATCTACCCCGGTATCGTAGTGGAAGATGCGAAGAAGCCCATGGCACCTGGCTCTGGTCTTTGCCCTGGATACACGACATCGCGCGCTGTACTGTCAGATGCCGTTGCTCTTGTCCGTGGCGATCGCTTTTACACCAAGGACTACAACCCCAGCACACTCACGAACTGGGGCTATCGTTGTGTGGATAGCGATACTGACATCGACAATGGCTGCGTCTTCTACAAGCTCTTCCTCCGAGCTTTCCCCAACCATTTCAAACAGAACAGCGTATATGCCCACTATCCGCTCACCATTCCATCCGCCATGCAAGAAGCTCTCAAGGATTTGAAGAAGGACAAGCTATACGACTTCTCGAAGCCGACGCCAGCAAGTACTCTGCATGTCGTCAAAGAATACAAACTCGCCACACAGATCTTGCTAGACCAATCCACCTTCAAGGTAGCCTGGGGCAAAGCAATGGAATTCATAATGGGCCCATTCGGCAAAGAGTTCTCGCTCGCCGGCGACACCCCAACCAACACTGCGTCGCGCGAGATGATGTCCAAAGCTCTATACGTAAAAGACTGGGAGAAAGACGTGCGAGCATTCTACACCTCCAAGACCAAAGAACTCCTGCAAGAAAAATCCGCACACATTGCAGACTTCAACCAAGTCGACATCATCCGCGATGTCGGCAATCTCGCCCACGTCCACTTCTGCGCGGAGCTCTTCATGCTCCCGCTCAAAACCGACGAGCGCCCGCACGGCATCTTCACCGAGTCGGAGCTCTACCTGATCCTGTCCAGCGTGTTTGCGCTCATCTTCTTCGACGTCGACCCCGCGGGCTCGTTTCCGCTGCACGTCAAGGCGCGCAAGGCCACGCAAGTCCTCGGGTCGGTCATCGAGAAGAACGTCGAGGCCATCGCGCACGGCGGCCTGCTGCACGCCGTCACAAAGGCCATCTGGCCCGAGCAAGGCGGGCTGCAGAACTACGGCATCCACATGATCCAGCGGCTCCTGCAGACGGGCATGCCCGCGCCGCAGCTCGTCTGGGGCCATATCTTCGGCACCGCGGGCGCCATGGTCGCGAACCAGGGGCAGTTGTTTGCGCAGACGCTCGAGTACTACATCCTAGGCGAAGGCAAGGCGCACTGGGCTAGTATCCAGGCGCTCGCGCACGACGAGAGCGAGAGCGCGTTTGCAAAACTGATGCATTACGCCATGGAGGGCGGGCGCTTGAATGGCGAAACGGCCGTCATGCGAGACGTCGCGCAAGACTCGACGACGACGACGATTAGGGCTGGCGACAGGGTTTTTGTAGACCTCCGTGCTGCGTCGCATGATCCGAATGTCTTCCCCAACCCGGACTCCGTCGACATCACACGCCCGCTCGACGCGTACATTCATCTGGGCTTCGGCCCGCACCAGTGCCTTGGGCTGCCGATGGTGCGCGTCATAATGACTGCGATGCTCAAGGAGGTCGCGAAGTTGAAGAATCTCCGGCCCGCGCCGGGGCCGCAGGGGAAGATACATAAAGTAGAGAAGGGCGTGGGCGAAGAATATCCGTATCATGCATACTTGACGGAGATGCAGGATATGTACTTTCCGTTCCCTTGTTGTAAGTTCTGAAATCCGCAGTGAGTTAGGGAGATATGCTAACTTGATTGTTGTAGCGCTGAAGCTTGTTTGGGACGACTAAAGTGAAGGGTGCAGTTCGGACACGGTCTTTTCAGTAAGCGTATGCCAACGTTCTGGAGACTGTGTTGGTCGTTTCGGTAGAGTATATTTATTTCTTGTCTAATCACTGATATTGTGACCAGTAAATAACGTCGTTTCCTTACATCATATCATCACCAACGTTATTTCTTTTGCAGAAGAATGCAGTCAACAACGTTTTCTCCTTGTCGATAAATCTACCAAAGTTCTTCCTATCTATAGCTCTACAATCAACGTTACACATTTGACCTCGTCTCCACACTAATACGACCGCTTCATTGGCGGCACATTCTGACACTCGGCCTCATCCAACGTGCCCATCACCACGCCTCTCGTGCCCCAATCCACCTTGTCCCCGACGTTCTTCTGCCACGTCAGACTATGCTTCATCCACTCCTTGTCGTCCCTTTCTTTATAATCATCGCGCGCATGTGCGCCTCTACTCTCCGTCCGCGTGAGAGCGGCTTTACTCGTCTGAACCGCATTTGTCAATAGATTGCGCAACTCCAGGGTCTCGATGAGATCCGAATTCCAGATGAGCGAGCGGTCGGTGACGCGCAGATCTGTACTGAAATCATTTTCAATGTCGCGGAGCTGCTGATGGCCTTCTGAAAGGGAGTCCTGCGTGCGGAAGACGGCGGTGGTTTTCTGCATGGTGCGTTGCATGGAGTCGCGGAGGGAGGAAGTAGGTGTGTTTCCTGAAGAGTTGAGGAAGGAGTCGATTTCGGAGATGGAGTCGAGGCCGATGTTTTCGGGCGCGCTGTGGTGTGCGGCCGAGGGGGCGTGGTTGGAGGAGATGTGGTGGGCGGATGCTCGACCCTGGATGTGTTAGTATTGAGGTGGTCGAGGGGATTAAGGACTTACAAATACTACAATGTCAAGCAGAGAGTTGGCGCCTAGTCTGTTTGCGCCATGCACACTTACGCAGGCTGCCTCGCCTGCTGCATACAGGCCGTCTACTACGTGATCTTTTCCGTCTCTTACATCTAGAACTTGTCCGTGGTAGTTTGTCGGAATTCCACCCATGCAGTAGTGGACTGTTGGTAAGACCGGAATTGGCTCCTTCGTGATGTCGATGCCCGCAAAAATGCCTGCTGTTTCGGAGATACCCGGTAGACGTTCCATGATGATCTCCTTGGGTAGATGCGACAGCTGCAGATGGATGTGGTCCTTGTTCGGTCCGCAACCTCGTCCCTCGATGATCTCAAGATTCATTGATCTACTTACGACGTCTCGTGATGCGAGGTCTTTTGCCGTTGGTGCATATCGCTCCATGAATCTTTCGCCTTCGCCATTGATCAAGTAGCCGCCTTCACCACGTGCGCCCTCGGTGATCAGTACCTATCCGGTTTGTTAGTTTTGCTTCGGTTATGGATATTCGTGGAGATATTGAACATACGCCAGCGCCATAGATTCCAGACGGATGAAATTGTACAAACTCCATATCTTGCAATGGCAACCCTGCTCTTGACACCATTGCACTACCATCTCCTGTACTTGTGTGGGCGCTAGTAGCACTGAAATATGCTCGTCCATAGCCTGATATCGTCAGCACAAGTCAACTTCTCTCGCCCAACGTTTCAAGTACTCACCACCAGTCGCCAAAATCGTATTCTTCGCGAACATCCTATGACACGTTCCGTCCTCCATGTTCATCGCCGTGACCCCTACGCACTTGCCCTCACTCATCATCAAATCCAGGGCGAACCATTCTATGAAGAATTGCACTCCCTCTTTCAAGCTCTGCCCATATAGCGTATGCAGCATGGCATGTCCCGTTCGATCCGCGGCACACGCTGTACGATAAGCCTGTCCTCCCTTTCCATACTTCAACGACTGTCCGCCCAAGGCCCTTTGGTATATCGTGCCATCGCTCGTGCGGGAGAATGGCATGCCGTAATTTTCGAGCTCGACAACGGCGGGAACAGCTTCCCGGGTCATGTAGTGTATGGCATCCTGGTCCCCAAGCCAGTCGGAGCCTTTGACGGTGTCGTACATGTGCCAGCGCCAATCGTCTTCAGTCATGTTACCGAGGGCAGCGTTGATGCCACCTTGGGCTGCGACGGTGTGGGAGCGCGTAGGAAAAAGTTTGGATACGCAGGCTGTTTTGAGACCCGCTTCTGTCAGGCCTACGGCTGCGCGTAGACCTGCACCGCCGGCGCCGACGACGATTGCACTGGGTGTGTTAGTCGAGATGAAGTTGGAATTCGCCATGACCTACTCGTAGTGGTGATCAATCACAGTCAGGCCTTTGACGGATTGAGCGTTTACTGTGGCAAAGGTCCGGTGCTGTTTGTTAGATCGCCGTAGGAACTGGCTACGAGCACCGAACTGCTGGCGTTGGACTGCCCGCGCAAAAGCACGCATCATGAAGGCAGAAGTGGAGGAGAGGACATCGAAAAAATGCAATTGGATTGTATGTACATGTATACCGGCAGAGCCATGGGGAATCTGTAGGATGGTGGCGCTAGCTTAGCTGTTCGTCTGTATGCCCCTCTCATCCATCCCTCGGTTGTATCAGTTGGAGCTGCAGGATCCTGGGGTAGACGCCTCTGTCAATATGTCGGCCCGGTAAGCATCTGAGCTCCGAAATCTGGTGAGAATGCCTGTCCACAACTCGGACGAAGCCACTAGTCATCGTGTGATCCGCTGACACATGCAAGGACGGTTGGTGTTGAGTGTTGTGGGTAAGGTCGAAAGTTGGGGAAGCCGTCAAACTTCCCACGTTCGCTCGAGTCGCTTATTGCCGAAGCGCGGAGATAACAGTCCGCCAATCAGAATTTGGTCATATCAAGCATCAAATAACCGAAAACGTTAGCTCGGTTATATGGGTATGTATCATCACACGTCGTGGCCAGTGTACTAAAACATTGTCGGGAATGACATTACCTAGGTACACGGTGCATTCTTGCACACGAGAGACCACAAGCCCAGCTCCGCGGCGAGTTGCCAATCAACTCGACACTGCAAGAAGCTCAAGGTAGTGGCCGACCACGTCCGTGACCTGCTCTTCATGACTTAGGTACTTGAGACCAAGAGCCTTCTCCGAAGCAGAGGCGTCAATCTTCTGCGGCACAGACAGGATCGTGCCGTTGTTCTTGAGAGTCCCAGCCTTAACTGCCTCCGGGAAATAGCGCGCCACAAAATCAAGAGACTCCTCCCAACGAGTACCCTTGAGCCCTCCAGAGAAGAGAAGGTAGCCTTGATTGCCTCCGACCTTGAGGTTCAGGCTCTTGACGTGGGCCAGGGAGACATCGCGAACATGGACGGAGGCGCCAGGGGTGTAGCTCAACTCTGCACCGGTCACTGGCCCAAGGACCATTCTGTTTGTGCCTCGCAGGGCGTCCTGTGCGTCGGTCACTAGTTCGTCTCTGCCGATGACGAAGCCAGGGAAGATGTTGACGATGTCGAAAGAGATGGAAGCCTTCTCTTGCTCCAGCCACTTCTCACTCTCGTTGAGTGCAGCGATCTTGCTGGCACAGTACGCTTCGAACGTATTGTCATAAGGCTCCTGCAGGAGCGGCGTTCGGGACTTTTCATTGTAAGGCATGCCCTCGGTTTTGCCAGAAGTAAAGTCCTTGTAGGATATGATGGCGACGACGGAGGAGGTGATGACGACGCGCTTGATCGTACCGGCCTTCTTAGCTGCCTCTAGGATGTTGAGTGTACCTTTGACCGCCGGATCAATCAGAGTGGTCTGGTACGACTCGCCCTCCTTGTGAGTATCTGGGATCGGAGACGCCACATGGATCACAAGGGTAGCTCCCTTGATGGCCTCGTCGTATGCACCTTCGACCAGAAGATCTGGGACAATAGCAAATTCGAGCTTCTTTCCAGGGTTGAGCTTCTTAATGGCAGGGATCGAGAGGATGCGGTCTTTTTTTGCGTGACTGCGAACGGCGGCGCAGATAGAGTACCCGGCTTGAAGAGCGTCGATGATAACTCGGCTACCGATGTGACCTGAGCCACCGGTGACGAAGACGAGCTCGGACATTCTTGAATTAGTTTGGAGTTCTTATAGAAGTGAGGAGGACTATGGTTGTTGATAATGAGGTTGTTTTATACTAAGAAGATGCGATATTGATGGGAACTGTTATTATAGTGACGTTGTTACAGTCGCTAGCGATTGCGGCCCACCCCATCACACTAGCTGCAACATGTCCTGCTCAACCCCCTTTTATTAACAAGTTAGCATTGACTACGGAACGCTGAATAGACAGTTTGAATGGTCAGCCATCCACAAAAAGTGGGCTGGGTCCTTGCTAGCACATCGGCCTGACTTGGTGTTGCTGCCTGCAATGGTAAAGCCGCAATCGCTAGCGACTGCATCGCGCAACTGCCTATCTTCTTATACTTACTTCTCAAGTTCAACCTGCGCAGAGACCCGTCGTGAGGTACAATATGGCGTCTGTATACAGGTGCTGCTTCGAGGTGCTTGATGATCGCAAGCACTAATCAGTGGGAGAGTGGTTCACTAATCAGTGGGAGAGTGGTTCACTAATCAGTGTGAGAGTGGTTTACTAATCCGCAGTGCAAGCGGCGATCACGCCGCTCGCTCGAAAGCTTGTCAAGTTAACTAGTCTAGTTGCTCTGATAGGTGGTAGCCGGCTAAATAATCATAGGGTTTAGATACCTACTATTGGCGCTAATGCACTCTACAGCGGTCACTGTTGTTTGCTTTTCGCGCGCGCCTCTATGCTTTCGTTTATCATTTTAGTAAAGGTCTGAAGTTCAAAATCGTCCTACCTCGGGGTACGTCCCGTGACCCAGGGATGGACATTACAGCTTTTCAGATTTGGTGGATTACAATAACAATAGCAGTGAACATATATGCATGATATCAAATGCCTAAAAATTGAACTATCGCAGAAAGACACAGCGCACGGAAATCAACAACTAATATACCTCCTCATGCCCCGCTCCATCGTACGCAGGAAACTGCACAAACCCCTCACCCTTAGGAAGACGAAACCTAGCCGCAATCTTCCCCTCCGGCTCAAGCGGCAGCAATACCCCCTGCTCATGAAAATACTCCTCGGCGAGATCCAAGTGCTCCTCCACAAGAATCTGCTCCGCGAGAAACGGCACTGCATACTTCGCCAGATGAGCTGCTGAAACCCTGGCCTCACTCTCCGGCTCCAGCATCATTTCATACACCTGGTTGAGCCCCTCGCTGTACGGCACATGGGCCTCAATGTTCCGGAAGGATGAAGAACCGGTATCAATGTCCCACTTGTCGACGAGCTCGGAGAGCGAGATGTTGAGCGGGCGGTATACGACTTCGCGAAGTGCGCGCCAGTACTCTTCTGCCCAAGCGGGGTAGTCTTTGATGTCTGGGTAGGATTCACCGGCTTGCATGCGATCGGTGATGAATTTAACCTTGGATATGACGGGCGTGATCCCCAGCGCGAAGCCCTGGACTGTGGCGCCGAGGCCCCAAATATCTGATGAGGGCTTGCTGGGACCCAAGCGCTCGGAGATGGGGGGCGCGAACTCGAATGTGCCGGCCCATTCGCAGAAGCCTGAGACGCAGTTTGATGTGCTGGGATACTCGAGCATGCGGCTGAGATCGCCGAGTTTGAAGGTCGGGAGCACGGTGATGTCGCCTCCGGTGTAGGTGGGTGGCGTTACGACGAGGATGTTGTCGGGCTTGATGTCGGTGTGGACCCAGCAGCGGCTGCCGTTGTGGAGGAATTCCAGAGCGAGGATCATGTCGTGCATGAATTTCAGGATGGTGATCTCCGGTATGCGTTGTGACAAGCCGAGAGTTCCCTGCTGGCTATGCCATCTCATGCAATAGCCTATCAAATCGCCCAGATCGGCAACCTGGAAGAAGATGGCGGGGGCCATTGGCTTGAAGTCTTTGCATGAAGCTAGCATGCCAAGAATGTTGTCATGTTTGCCTAGGGTCTTCAAAAGAGCAATTTCTTTCCTGATAGCGTCTTGCGCGTGGGCTGCGCGTCGTGAAGATTCCCCCTGGCGTGGAGTTTTCACTGCGACTTCGGTATCAGTGTATGAATCAATGTACGATACGACTTCACCGTCTGTACCTTTACCAAGCTCCACCTTCTTCGTAAAGCGCCTGCTAAAGAGAGCATAGGATTGTAGATCTCTGGTAACCGGTTGCTTAGGCCCTGTACTCATACATGAAGTTTGAGTCATCGTCGAAATGGATGCCATGACCGTGAGACTGACCCAGTGAGATGATGGAGAATTGCAAAGAAGGTTGTGGAGACATGAAAGCAATATAAGGAAGTAAAAAATTGTGAGCATAGTGAGCAACACAATGCCATGCATTGTGGATGAATCCTAGCAACAGTGAAAACCTCGTCAGCGTTGACAATATCGACCGACACATAGTGGCACTCAATCTTCTCTGCCTAACAGTAAGCAAAACCCAGCACGAGCGCAAGTACACTGCACCGACCTTGTGTTACCAAACCTCAAAGCGTAGCAGCAACAACCATCGGCCCCGCAACCTCATCTCTCTTCTCCTTGCCCACCATAACCTCCACAATCGTCAACGAAAACAGCAGAGCCGTGCCTGGTCTACCCTCACACATTAGCCTCTGACACACGTACACCCCTCAATCCAGCAAACTCACCCTCGACTAGTAACAACCTTTCCATCCACCACAACCCTCTCCTCACTATACTCCCAGCCCGCCCCCTTAATTTCCTGCATAACACTCGGATGGCTTGTCACTATCTTCTTCTCTATTCCCGCGGCGACAAGCGCTGTTGTGCCAGCGCAAATCGCAGCGACGAATTTGCCGCTTCGGACGAACGACTTGATAAGCTGAAGGACGGAGGGGTTGGTGCTGAAAGTCTTCGCGCCGGGGCCGCCACCGGGGAGTATCAAGATGTCGTAGTGCTCGTGGGCAAGTTGGTGCGGGAAGGAGGTGAGGTTTGTGTGGTCGGGGACGATGCGGACATTGCGGGTCATGCTGAGAGACATGCAGTCAGTAGGAATGGACATGTATGGTGGAATTGCATTCGGCAGGTTCGTTCAAGAGTCGACAATTGATGCGAGACATTGTGTGGAAGACGGACTGTGCATAGCCTTCGTTTTTTAGATCGACACCCACGGATTGAACTTCAAAGCCGGCTCGAGTGAGTACTGAAGGGGAGGGTTCATTAGTACATATACTTTGAATTTGCAGGTAAGGTGCTCCGGATACATACCATCATACGGAGTGACAAACTCAATCTCCTCCGAGCCGTCCGCAATCAGTATCAATGCTTTTGGCATTGTTTTCGGTTTTTTTCGCACAATGAATTGCGGTTTTTCTCTCTTGCTATTATGCCGAAGTAGGCAGAATTGATTGTGTGTTGAGTGATGCTCAAGAAGTTCAGTAACGCAATGTTCCTCCCCAATCATCGGCGTATGACGTATGTGGGGTACCGTTCGGGGCGAGGAAAGCGAAGGAACGAGCCTTCCCATGTGGACCTGAAACTGCCATAATCGCAAAATAATAAAGTTTAGTATCCGCACGACTGATAGTTGCTGGGCTAAGTCTCGAACCATCTAGTGCTGCAATCCACAACGGATTCTTCGGGAGACCTGCCTTGCTAACCTCTCAAACAGGTACAAAGCAGAAAGAGGCTAGATGCATCAGCTAGCTCTTAGCCATACAAACCTTTATGTCAAATCACTGATACTCTTCAAGTCGCCATCACATAGAAGCAGAAGAGGTCATAAAGTGAATTTAAAGAATAGCATTTGCTCATCGGATCCATCATTGGATCAATACAGGTTCATCAGGATATCACAAAATCGACGCACGCAAACCCTCTATGTACACACGTATATGCGGGAAATCACCACGTAACATATCCATCCCTGGCCATACCGTAATTAGGTGAACGCCTTGCAGTTGCGCGTTCCAAAGAAAAAAAAAACATCGTAAAGCAGATGGACCATAGACAGAACGCGCAGCCACCTCTGTATGCATCCAACGGTATCTTCTCGTAAGCTCATGCAGTAACCGAAATCGCTCGAGACTGGACGACATGCGAGGAGATCGATCAGAGGCCCCGAGTTCTCGACTCGCATGCTCGTGCCCTCGAGTGACATATTAGTGCCATGTGTAGCTCGATGGAGCGCCTGCCTCCTCCATCCAGCGACAAAAGCAATTCGATCGAGTAATGCGATAATAAATAGCGACCCTTGTCTATCTTAGCCGAAGCGTGTGACGGGTAACGAGGTATCGAAAACTGGACAGAAGGGAAAGGAGAAGCACATGGATTCAATCAACCCATACACCTAAGCGCTTGTCGGTAAATGACTCCGAACGCCGGAAATCGACCATGACATGATTTGAAGTCGTCAAGGCTGTCTGGAGCTTACAAGCTCATCGTCAGCCATTCCTAGGTATTGTTAGCGCATGAATGATGGGCGAGATTTATTCTACTTACCCATTCTGCGGGTCCAGAAGACTGCAAGCCCTGGCCCATGGCACCCATGGGCAGAGAGCCAAGGTTCTGACTAGGAAATGCGCTGGGTGTGGCAATTGCTGTATCCTTCCTGCGCAGTGGAGGAGCACGCCCGTTTGTATCATCCGCATCAGCCATTTCTAGCTCTTGCGATCCGCTCTTACTTTGGGCACGAGCGCGTCGTGGCGCCACATTTCCTCCACGAAGCTGCGGGGCAGTCGTTGTGTTACCGGGCTTGGGTGGGCCAGGGGCAATCGGGACTACACCACCAGTCTTCGAGTTCGGCGCACTGGAAGCTACTGAGACAGCCGTGTTAGGTCTTTCACCTATGGAGCCTGTGGATTTGGGGGATTCGGAATCGGCCGCCTTATGCGACGTTGGTGTCGTGGCCGGTGTTTGCGCGATCGAATTCTTGCGGGATGGCTTCTTTGATGACCGTGTCGCAGCTGAGCCGACTGGGGCATTGCCACTGCCTCGATTGCGCTTCTTGATGACATCAGTCTTCAAAGACAGAGGACGCACGACGCCGTGCAGCTTCAAGAATAGACCACATGCGTTACAAAGCGGGTGACCTTCGGGATTGCGGCGCCACAATGGCGTAGTTTGGGTAAAGCAATTGGTGCAAGTTGTAGGTGCACTGCCTTCGCCCTGCTTGGTGCCACCCGGGCTCTGAGGCCGCGAGGGCGCTGCAGAATTGAAGCCTGACTCTGGTGGTGAGTTTGGTGAGGATTGCGGGCGGCCGTGCATCCCTGCATGCACCATTCCGGCTGCATTGGGTGTCGAGCTAGTGCGGGGTATCTTCTGGCGTCGGGGATCATTCCCACGATTGCGAATATCGCTCACTGAGGCAGCTGAGCCGTGTGTCCGTCCAAGGCTGCCCCCGGAGCTCCAGTGGTCTTGCGGTGAGGACACCATTTCGGCCCCTCCAATGGTGACGGTCTTGCGTGGGGGTCCTGCCGGGTATCGCGCTTGCATCGGATTGAACTGGTTGGAGAGGTTGGTCTCCCACTGGAAACCAGCGGTGAAGTCCATGCTGCCGTCATCCATGGGCGAATAGTCTGGGTTTGGCATAGTGCGGTCTGCAAAAGCGCCGCCCTCTTCGTCCTCGTTGTCCGAGTCTGCGCCAAACGTGAACATATTTTCTTGTCGCTGCATCTGCAGCTCATGTTGCTGTCGTAGAGGCAGGTTGTTGTGGATCACCTGGTTCGGGTCGACGTGGTTGGAGTGCCCGAACGAGGGTGCTGAGAACGGCAACGACGAGCTTGTGCTTGTGACTGGGCTGAACACAGAGTCTTGACCACTAGGGTTGAATACGAACTGTGGCTGCATGGATGTGGAGAGGTTGGAGGGGCGGTGGGGGCCGTACGAGGAGCCCCCGTGGGGACCCCGAATGTCCATGCCAGTGCGATCGAAGTACATCTGGCTGTCGTCGGGCAATGGCTGTGGCGTCGAGACAGCAGAGGGGAAAGCGGAGCTCGGCGGAGAGTAGTAGTCGGTCGAGTTGAGGGACGAGGCCATGGAGTTGGGGTTGAACATGTTGGTGTAGGAGGCATTGTGGTTGTTCATCATGGGCGAGCCGACGGGCGAGAAGGCGAAGTTCTGCTGGAATGGGCCAGCCGAGTTGATGATGGGGTCCTCGTGCATCTGGAATGTGTCTATGGAGAAGGGCACCTGGGCCTGCGAGGCCTGCGAGGCCGGGAAGGTGGGCGGGTGCATCGGGTGGTCGAGCGAGTACTGGTTCAGGTCGGCTTCGGACTGGGCGTCGGTGGGGATCATGATGCTGTTGACGGGAGGGACCAGTGGAGAGGCCTCAGCGCGCCGCTTGGGTGGCTGATAAGCATGTTAGCATGGCTGTGGAGAGGCACGATAGTCGCACGATAAGGAACTCACTCGTCGCTCGTCAATGCTGGTCTTGCGAACGTGGCGAGGAACGTAGGCGAACTCATTCTCTCTGTTGATCAGGGGAGGGACCGAAGGAGCAGATGCGCGGGCGAGGGAGATATCTTGGTCGCTACCCTGATTAGGCTTTCTTATCGGGATTGCTGGGGCTGTTGCATGAAATGGACCAGGCGTATCATTCGACGGTTCTGGCGAGAGGCCCGCAGGACTACCGACTGACGAAGGAAATATAAAGTCGTCTAGGTTCATAGTGTCGGAGTGGGCCTGTGACTGCGCGTGTGAATGCGCCTGTGGTACCTGCGCCTGCTGCTCCGACGACTTTCTCAGCTGCTGGGCAATGCCGCTGGGTGCGGTCCTGGGCGGAGGCCTGGCACTCGCGCTGGGCGGCGGCATCAAGCCGTTGCTCTGGCTGTTTGGAGCATTTCTGCGCAGAGGGAAGGCGTGGTTAGCATGTGTACAACGAGTCGCACGGAGCGGAGGCTGCAGTCAGCACGAGGAACATGGCGGCATTCGTACCCTTTATTGCGATCGAGCTCGGCTCGTCGCATGTTCATGGCCATCATTCGCCATGTGAGATTCTCCATGCGCTCTGCATTGGGCAGCTGCGTCTTTGCGCGCGAATACAACTTCCAAATCTGCGTGCCGAGCGGATCGTTCTTCTGCATCTGCTCGGGCGACTCTACGCTAGGGCTGCTGGCATCGTTGCCAAAAGCTGGGAACATGGCGTCTTCAAGCATGCCGCGGCGGGCAGCGTCTTCAGAGGGTGAGAGGTCCATTCTGCCCTCTGGCACTGCAGAATCCACGGGCGGCCGATGGGATTTGGCCTGTGCTGGAGAAGAGTGCGTGCCTTAGAATAGGCGATGATGTCGTTGGTAGCTTGCTCGGCGCGTGCTTTCGATCCCGGAAGAGACCCCACGCGTTACATGCGACCACAGCCGGCGGAGGCCAGAGTGCTACAGCAGCGGAACCAGGGAGCAGCGGGCCTTCCAGAGCGAAGGGCGGAGGATAGCGAGCAGTAATGGCAAAGGTGGAATATGTGACTATGGATATCGGTTTTGGCACTGCTTTGACGACGAACAGCAACCTCTCTCGGACCACCAGTGAGCGGCCGAATAATTGGGAATGGACTCTGGGTCGACCTTGGGTCTACCGGCCTGCAGCGTGCGACGGCTGCTAATGGCGCTTGGGTGGGTCGAGTCGTGAATGGATACCCCACGTCCGTCTCCATATATTTCAGCCAATCAGCCATCTCTTCAAGGATATGCTAGTTCGGCAACCAGAGGGACACTGTTTGGGGCGCAACCCCTCGCTTTCTCTCTCCGCAGTCGTGAACCGCGCATGCGCCCAAAAGCAAGTCCAAGGGCACACGACCACACGACACCTGTCTATGCCATGTTCCGTGTTGCGCGGCTTGAATGCCGTGGGGAAGGCTCGATCGAGGGCATCAACCGTCCGGGGGGCTGAACGGGAGAATGCTCGCCTGCTTTAAGATGCACACATGCACCCCTGTCCATTGATGGAGACCGCCTGAACCGTGCAGCTCGAACAATTTGGTGCACTGGGCAGACGTCGTTGCGACAGCCGCCACTGGCATGTGGGAGTTTTCTCCGACAGGTGCTCGGTCTAGCAGCTGTAACAACAACACCGTACACCGCCAGAGTCGACGTCCGGGTAGATGCATGGACACGCGCACAACTTCCTCACGAGACAGCCACATCTCAGAGAACTGGCTGCTTGCATGTCTCCGTCGATCTCAGGACGTCACCTCGCACTGACGGCACGCCCGATCTGGCGGCTCGCTTTCCTGTTGACGTCTCCTACTGCAGAGCTAGAACCCACCACCAGCCGGCTTGGACTGCGGTAAGTATAGCACCGCTTTGATATATGCTCATTGGCTAGCCCAGGTCTACTATTCCTCTACATCGACGCCTAGTGTCTCTACCGGATCAATGTAGCCATACCTGCAATCTTCAGCCACCACGGATATGCCGACTTCTAGCTGCGCAAAGCACGCAACTTAGTCGCCTAGTCGCCACTTGCTAAACAGCACAAGACATGGGTACAGTGTACGCCTCGTTGCGACGACCATTTTGCGGTCGACATGATTCAAATCCCCATTGCGCATGACAGCCTCTAGTTGGGGTAGTCGCTCCGATCGCTGCCGAGAGCGTGCCCAAGGGCGGTACTTGCCACCCTACAATTCCCGACTACATACCTATTTCAGGGTCCTTCGCTAGTCCCCACTGCTTAGACTGCGCAACAACTCCACCAGGACGGCTTGTCGCGTGGACTTCGAACACAGGAGGATCTAGTTCCATTCAACAGACCTCCTCTGGCGAGTACGGCGTGTCTACGAGCAAAGGCAATATTGACAAAGCGCTTACAACGATTTTGTACACGACTGCATAATTCAGCAACCGGGAATTCACTTCGGCAGCAGTACACGGTGGAGCATGCAGATAGGTTTCCGCCAGGACAATATCTTGACATGTGCAGATCCTGGCTTGGGGATCTCGAAAATGACGTGGGCCGTGGCTTCACGCCCAACGTCTACGGATTTGCGTTCGAGAAGCAGACGAAGAAGCCCGCTGCAACCAATCCAAACGGCCTTTGAGTCTCTTGTTCGGTGGTATTTTTCTTAGCTCCCGCCGCCGATGAAGCTGTTGCACATGGCGACAATCACAGGGTCCGAGGATCCACCGTGCCAGATTCAAAGCCCGTTCATGCAGGCCCTCGCTCAGACCATCTTGGATTTTCAGCCCTGGAATTCGTTGCTGCAAACATGTAACCGAAGAATTAGCGATAGTTCGCGCAAGAATTGGCGACATGAGGTCAAGGCAAGAATTCAGAAATTTCTACTACATGCACATACCTGCTTCGATCCGGACTAGATTTTAGCCGGTCAAAGTTTCCCATAACGGCAATATACGATTGGCCGTAATTTCTGACCGCTACAACCAGATCGGGGCAAAGATCGGATGCAAACAATCGTAAGGCAGAAAAAGGTGCGACTGCGGTGGTGTTCAGGGCCCGACTCACGAGCAAGCTTCGATGGGGTTGGCCGACATCGTAAGATCGTCTAGACCCCTGCATACCGGCGCTTTCACATGCGAACTCGGATAACAACAAGATTTACTCAACTCATGCCACTACGCAAAAGCTCGTGTGCTGCATGTTCAAGTTTCAATTCACGGTGGAGTTCGACGACTTGGGCCTGCAGCCTCTGAACCAAAATGCAGCATGCAGGATCCTAGGTCCGTATAAATTGGATGCATCCCACGCAATTCCTCCATGCGGAGCATGTCAAGGGTGTCATCCTGGCACCTGCAAGCCTCGCGCGCCACAGCGTCTGACTTGCATTGACGAGGCAGGGATGGCATAGCCTAGACCACATGCCAATACCGACAGAATCCGCTCCACTCTGGAGCATGTCGCCGAAATTGCTGACTGTCACACGCTACGGCTGCAAGAGTTGTTAAACACTTTTAGCTATTGCACATGTTCGCGTGTTCTCGCCCTTCGGGAGGCGATGCACTCACCTTCGGAGCCTACCTCCGGTGTCGCATGTTAAGCTAAGTCCTAGGAGGTGCGGAAATGCCTGGCCAAGAGACTGATGTCCGAAGAGCCGCGTGAAATCCAGCTGGCCAACACTCACATGAATAACATGCGGTCCAAAAGTAGCATTCCGCCGGAATCACGGACTACTCTCACATGACCAATGCACATTGCATGCTGTGTATGGATGTGATCCCAGTTGTACGAAGCTGAGACACCAATGGGCACTGTTCCCTGGTACGCGCGTGGGATACGCGTGGGGGGAAATACGTGATTTCATTTAGAAGTTGTTTGGAGGATATTCGACCAGCCGTTCTTCGATCTCCTCCACATCTACATCAGTCGTAGCGATCGGTGGAGAAGGGTCCTTCAACGGGCCGGCTGTGGGCAGAAAGGGTCCTGCTCGTGTGCTTCGCTGACGTGGAGGCTCGTGAGCTTCAATATCCATATCCAATCGGTGGGTGGGGTGTGTCGGCCTTGGCCGTGGGATTGTCACTCTCTGACTGCCTTTGGTAGACATCGCCGATGGTGCTGATCTGACGACTTTAGGAAGTCTCCGCGAGCAAGTCGTTCCGCGGACATTGGCTCTGTTTTATGCTGGGCGATCTTCGCAAGGCGATGAAGCATGCCGTGCGCCTCTCAGCTCAACAGGGCTTAACGACATTGCGATGCGACCAACAGCAAGCCTCCTTCACCGTTCAAAAGTTCCTATCATCCTCCAATGTTCCAGGCCCAACAGGTAAAGTATGGTGTGGTGTTCGAAATGTTGGTTAGTCTTGGCAGCAAGCGGAGCGCAAGACCTTTAGCTGCGGATGTGGAAGTCGAAATGGCGTTTTTTCCCCACCAAAGTCCTATGTAAACGTGGAAGAAGCGGAAACAACGTTTACTTTATACCAGGACCGCTCAGACACGTCTCTCTGTAAGGGATGCTCACCATTGCTGCTTATCATTGCGCAATTGATAACGACATTCTTAGCGGGTGCCATTCGCACGCAAATTCACCGCGCCCAGCCAACCCCCTTTACATCAGCCACAATTGGAACCTCAGCATCCAATCAGTAGATGTGCTTACTGCTCGTGTGCCCATAATCGTGGCGCAACCTTCCTATCGTGGACGTGAAACAGTGTTGGTATCTTATCGGCCGTATGCGGCTGTCAAGTATGCATGGAAGACATGCGGGCTTTTGCCTTTGGCGATGGATAACGGAGCTGCGCTGGCGAATCACTGTGGCTGATAACAGGGAGGGGAATCTTGCAAAGTGCGCTCGTGGTCCTGTGCTCACAATTGTTGGATCTGTGCAACATGGCCGTCGGCGAGAGATGGGCATTGAGGTACTCCAGTGGACCAATTCGAACACTCTGCGAGTGTCTGATCTTCAGTGTGGTGCTCAGTCGACCCCCACTGAAGCAGAGTTGAGGCTTCGATACCTGAAGATTGCCAGCAATTTTCGACAGCCTGTCGTATGTGTGAATGCCATACCATCGACTACGTCCACCTTTTCCCTCTCCGAGTTTGACTGTCAACTACCTCAATACCATCTGCATCGTGTTCCTCGCCGAATATCCCTCGTGCCCCGGCCATAACGTGCTCCTTCCTCTCGCGGCCAGGAGCGTGCTCTGTATCTCCTATTTATACCACATGGTGCGCGTGTCTCACACGTGGCCACCCCGTCCGCGCCGATACGTTATCGTAGCCTCCCTCGGAGGACTCGAGGCATCCTGATATGCGCCTCTTCGCTACCCATCCATCAAGCAGCCTCACTTCTCGCTATCTTTCCCGCCCTTGTCATCCCCTCCCTTAACCGTCTCTTCGCCCAGGACTTTCGAAGCGGCCATGAATCTACTCGCAATGAATTAGCAACACGAAACACGTCCATGCCAACTGTGACAGTGCGGATCTAGGACCCAGGCAGACTTACAATCCACCGGCATACCCTCCCAATCCCCGCATATCCTGCGCCTGGCCTGCAGTCATCCTCATCAGGCTCTCCAGATCCGCCATATTCGCCGTCAGTTGCGCGAGTTGCGCTTGTAGGTGCGAGAGTTGACGCGGCTTCTGCGAGGGCACGGTGCTGAGGCGCGATTGCGACGGCTGGGAGCGCGGGAGGTTCGACATCTCGTATAGAATCGCGTCGAAATACGGCGCGTATCGATCACACCGTAGGTATCGTTTTGTAGTTTCGTGGTTGTTTGTTTGTTGTTCGGAAAGCGGGGAGGAAGGCACTCCCGCGGCGAAACGAAACGGGTCGGGCTTGGCGGGGCTGAGACATTTTTGCACACCACCTGGGCAGCTTCCGGCGTCGTGAGGTTGAATCTTTGTTACACTGTACAACTCCTACGTCTTGGTCGAGCCATCATGGCGACCACACAGCAAGCTGTCCGCAGATGGATTATGACGGGTGGCGTCGCGGCTGTTACGATTACTGGGACGATTTACGGCGCCACGCTGAAGGAGGATGTTACTGTGCAGAAGGTATGTCACGACTGTCTTCAGGACGTCTCTGGTCTTTACTACCATCAAGTCCAACTGAATCTTGCAAGTCCGGCAACAGTGCTAATCCAACTTCTACAGGAGAAGAAACGCATCCTCCAAGCCACCCCCGAAGAACGAATTGCTCAACTCGAATTCTCGCGCGCCGATCTAGTAGCAAAGAAGCATGAGATGGAGCTGAAGATTGCGAAACATCATGAGAGGGTGAAGGCGAAGGAACAGGCGAAGGTTGAAGGGTCGAAGTGAAGAGTTTAGAGTACATGACAACATATGGGGAACGGAACGTCGAACCAAACCTAGATTTGGAGGATGGATTATCCGCATGAATATTCACGGGGGTCTTTTGTCGGTTCAGGTGCCAGTCACCACGGTCTGACTTTCGCCATGGCAAGGGACTTGAATCGAGGCAAAGATACCTGGGACACAGAAAGAGCTGGCATTATCGGTAAGAGGACGCAGTACTGTGGCTTGATACGTCATTTCTGTGCTCGATACGCCAGAGCCTCGAGTATTTCGATGCACATACTGCGGGTTATCAACTACTGGGGAAAGTGAATAGGAGCATTGCCCTAGCCCGAGGCTATACACAGCGTCATTAGCTTCGAAATCCAACGGCAAGGCCCTGTACATGGCCTCAGGCTACGGAACGGACTGCCTACTGTTGCACCCTGGTCGCCTTCCGTCGTAGTTGAGAACCTCTAGTTTGGCGACCCGGGAAATCCACGACCCCAGAAACTTGACGAAGCTGTTCTGAACAAGCAACAAGACACATATCAGATGCAGTCGGCCATCAGATCCCTAAAAATCAAGCAGCAATCCAGGTTTATTCGGACCCAAAGCTCCGCGTCCTACCTTGGAGAGATATCCCTGGCCTCCAAATATGGCACCCACGATTCGACCTGCAGCATCAAGCAAATGGAATTTTATGCGCATACATTGCGTCATATTATATTGTTATATCCAAAAGTCAACGGCCGCCTATCTTATCTGCAAGCCTGCATGAACTACACTGGCGTACCCGTTGTACGATCCTTCGCTCCTTGGCCCGACGCGAAGCGTCTGAACTTCGCTCACTCGCGGCACCTCGTACGGCAATTGTTTCCGCTACCACATGCACGAATGATATCGTTCCGCAGATAGATTACGATACCGCCCTCGCTTGGGGCGGGAGTATGGCCGCTAAGGACGATGTAAAGTGCACGCAAACGTATAACGAAGCTTTCGAACAAGCTTCGATCACGTGGAATTTCCTAGTTCGCCACCGCTGAGATATCAGCATATGAACACAGTCATTACTTTCGACAAAGTTGCACAGTAATGCGAAATAGCGGCCTAAAGAGTCAAACATCAAACTTATTCACACTACGCTACTTTCCCTCATTCCCCCCTCACTCTCCCGTATCCCCGCCACGCTCTCGCCCACCTGCCACGCTTTAGACTAAATTGCCCATCAGGAACTCGTCTGAGATTCCTTTTTGTAAGTGGAGTGCGACCGGAGTTACTTATTCGTCTCGCGGCGGGATATGGTGAGGGCGGGTAGTTCATTCTGTCGCGCCGCATAGTGTTAGGAGGATACCAGCCCTCGACTCGATCTGGATAGCCCTGGCTGGACTGCTTATTGCCCATTTTACTGAGTGCAATGACGAAGTTTACCTAAATCCTATTTGTTGGGCTCGCGGAGGTGGGATATAAAACTCTTGTTATGATTCCATCAAGAGATTGTGAGGCTGACAGCAAAAGACTACAGGACGCCTTTTTATAATGCCAGCAGACATTGAAGGCTCACAAACAGTGAAGAGTAAACGATATGAGTTGGTGGTGGGTTGTGACAGATTCGCATGATGATGAGGCGTTCATGACTGGGAGCTTGTATGGGAATCTGGTGTCTGATAGTTGGAAAGTAAAGGATGCTCGCCAACTTCACGTCCTATCGAGGTGGTTTTGTATTCTTGGGCACATACTCACTATTCCATAGATTCTTCATCACGAAAGTCACGATACATGAACTGTACATGGCCACCACCACATAAATTCTACATTCCAGTACATTTCCAACCCATTGTTGCGCATATCAGAGTACATCTTGAACGAAATCGAGATGATCACCGATGCGTTGCGAGGCTGGTTGCCGGTTTCTTCCGATTAATTGTACGATTCCACATCTCACCCCAGGGGCACATGAAAGTTACGCAACACAAGCGTGTGCGGAGATGTCCACCGTAGGCGGAGGTGCGGGTGGCATACTACTAAACGCAGTCTTCGCACACCTTGATGCTCAATCGAGTAAAGAGTCCGATATGCTCCGCTTGCGCTCTCCATGGTTGAACCACTTCCATGCCAGCGAAACGCTAGCGATTAGTTGTCAGACTCAACATCTGACTCGGAAGCCAGGATCCGTTGGCATGGCAAGTTTTGCGGCTCTCGATCGGCAACTAAGCATTTGTAGCGCTTAACGTGGTTGCGAACCGGCGCACACGCCACTCCCGCCGTCTTGTTGGAAGCTTGTAGAGGACAAGTTTCTTGGCCATTCACTGTCCGAAGAGTTTCATTTCCATCAAAGAATTACTCGATACACGATGTACCAAAAAGCATCTTCATGTTACTGCAATAGAACCAACCCCACCGGAAAGACTATCGGAACGACCTAAAACCTCAGCGCAGAGCCGCAAGTGGAGCCGCTAGAAGCTTCTTTGCACTCAAGCTCCACCAAGTCGTTGGCCCGCGTGCTTCGCTCCCCACCGATCTTTACTCCTCTCAGCAATATTATCGATAATCTTGCGACGCCAGGGCATTCGTTTCGTCTTGTGTCCTGTGCAAGGGCCACGCGCTGGCACATTGGGGAAGCAGATTTTGCGTGCATGTGCCTCGAGACGCGACATGGGGACTCCACGGACTACGTCACTCCATGGTTTGATGAGTACCATGGGGATTTGCTCCATGGGCATATGTGGGTTTCGCTGGGGTTTATAAGGGCGGAGAAGCCTGCTGGGAGGAACCGGTTGAGCGCGTCGTCTTTTTGCCTTCCCCTATAGTCGCTTTTGTTGCGCAGGCTTTCTGCCCAATCTCATTTCACAATGGACGAGAAAGATACCAAGGACGTGATGCCGCCATCAACAGAGTTCAAGGAATCTGCTCCGACACAGCCCAAGACGGAGATTGAACTCGCGCCACCAAAGGACTATGAAGGCCCCAAGGCGAATACCGAGAAGATGGAAGATGCACGCGGTTGGGAGTCGGAGAATTTGATACAGAATCTGGACAAGCAGCTCGAGCAGGAAGGATACAAGAAGGGCTTCTTCGATCTGGAGTTCAAAAACCCCAAGCACTTCACATGGATGCTCGTCGCGTTTGCGTCTATGGGCGGATTGCTCTCCGGACTGGACCAGTCTCTGATCTCCGGTGCCAACTTGACGCTGCCCAAGGACCTCGGTCTTACAGATCAGCAGAACTCGCTTGTCAACTCTGGCATGCCGCTTGGAGGTATGAATCACGTTCTAAACCCCAATTACGCACACTCTGACTCTACGTAGCTGTCGCGGGAGCTTTTCTCATCTCCCCATGTAACGAGTACTTCGGCCGTCGCTGGGCCATCATCATCTCCTGCATCCTATACACCATCGGTGGCGCGCTCGAAGCCGGCAGTGTCAACTACGGCATGATAGTCGCCGCGCGAGTCATCCTGGGTGCCGGCGTCGGTCTCGAGGGCGGTACCGTGCCAGTCTACGTCGCCGAGACAGTCGAGTCCAGACTCCGCGGTAACTTGGTCTCGCTATACCAGTTCAACATTGCGCTCGGCGAAGTCCTCGGATATGCTGTTGCAGCCATGTTCATCACTGTCGACGGCAGCTGGCGTTACATTCTCGGCAGTTCGCTCGTGTTCTCTACGATCATGGGCGTTGGTATTCTGTTCATGCCTGAGAGTCCTCGGTACCTTATGCACAAGGGCAAGCCGCTCGAGGCATACAAGGTCTGGCGCCGTATCCGTGGTGTTGCTACGCATGAGGCTCGCGAAGAGTTCTTTGTCATGAAGATCAGCACGGAAGAGGAGCAGGCGGAGGTTGCAGCTGGTCGCACCAATCGTTTTCCATGGATGGATTTCTTCACAAAGCCTCGGGCTCGTCGGGCGATTATTTACGCCAACATAATGATTTTCCTGGGCCAGTTTACTGGTATCAACGCTATCATGTACTACATGTCAGGTGAGTCAAGCACTCCATAGATGTCCTGACATCACCAACCATTCCGAACGAATGCTAATTTTCACCCCCAGTCTTGATGTCACAAGTCGGATTCGACACGTACGACGCAACCTACATGTCGCTCGTTGGCGGCGGCGCTCTCCTCCTCGGCACCATCCCCGCAATTTTCCTCATGGAACAATGCGGCCGTCGCTTCTGGGCCATTGCCATGTTACCTGGCTTCTTCATCGGCCTCGTTCTCGTCGGCATAAGCTACCAGCTTAACACGCTGAGCGCCCAGCTCGGCGTCTACCTCACCGGCCTGGTCCTCTACGAGCTCTTCTTCGGTTCCTACGCCGCACTCACCTGGGTCATTCCCTCCGAAGTCTACCCCACCTACCTGCGCTCCTACGGCATGACCACCTCGACCGGGTGGCTGTTCCTGTCCTCCTTCATCGTCACGTACAACTTCACGGGCATGCAAAACGCAATGACGCGCACCGGTCTGTCGCTCGGTTTCTACGGCGGCATCGCGGTGCTGGGATGGTTTTACCAGATCTTCTTCATGCCGGAGACCAAGGACAAGACGCTCGAGGAGATTGATCAGCTGTTTCAGAAGCCCACGAGGCAGTTGGTTAGGGAGAATGCGAAGAATGCGATGGAGGTTACGAGTGATTTGATGCATTTGCGGTTCAGGAAGGTGTTTATTGAGAACAATCAAAGGAGGTGGGAGGCGTAGATAGCGGGATGTTACGCGTTGAGCCGGAGCGGAAGGTCCATTGAGGATCTTTAAACAGCAAGTTTACTTGTTTCTCGACCTGTCTTGACTCTTGAAGGTGTTCGCAGCCGTTTGGAGGGCCCGAATATGCATAGATACCCTGTGAAGGTTTTCAGCCTTTGCTATGCTGCAATCCATTATCAATCATAATTTTAAGCCATCTGAGAAGGTGATTCATCTGAAACAGGTAGCAGCAGTCCATCACGTAGGCCAAAGATAGACGCTGGGCCTTGTTGTCTAATTTGATGATTAGTCTTGCCATTTTGTTCTGTATCTGGACTTACCCGTCGTTCCATCGCACGAGCATTTGCCAATAGACTAGCACATGGAATATGACCTTTTCGAAGATCAACACGAGTTCAATCTTTCCAGACATGCTGCCTGGTAGACATTTCATATGGTAGTGCTGAGTAGCTTCCAGTAGGACAAGATGCTAGATCGGGTATTTGGCGAACAAGGACCAGGCACCCTTAAATCAGTTAGAAATTGGCCGTGGCAGTAAAATGCGCAGATTTCTCTCGTTATCTTCGTAACCACTGCTCAGCTTTCGGCCATATTCATTCCCATTCCTTGTTATGCACAGAACTGTGCTTGCAACAATGATCTCTCTTATTTGCTACGCAGCGATTTTCGCCTTCATGTTTCAGAAACGATAGTCCGTTCTACTCAGTAGAGTTCACAGATGAGCTACCAACCTGGGTACAGTGGAAAATAGTTCGTGAGCAGTGTTGTGCTAGTTAGGCGGTGTCGTGCTACGTCTTACTCGATGGAGGTCAAGAAGGCAGCGGCTTGAATAGCGCTCTGGAGCAAGAGCGCGAAATATAAGTTGACAGAACCAGTAGAAAGTCTCTTAACCACGACGATCCAGCGCCGTATTACTCCGAAACCTCGGGACCTTCTCAGAGAAGAGTCTATGAGAGTAAAATACATTTTGAGACACCAGAATAAAAGTAACACATGCGATCTATCCATTCATTCATCGCTCCACTCAACTACCTAAGTGTGGCCGAACTACATAGCTACTACCAACTACGATTCAGCTTCGCTTTTTGACCCGACATACTCATTCAAAGTTAGGGTTGTGTTGAAGGCAGCCCAAGCTCGTTCATTCAAAGCTAGCTGGGCACTGAAGACAGCAAGTCAGCTGGAAGCATGGACAAAGCATGCTATCAATGATGTCTGGATTTGCATTTGTAGACCGTGCTTGCCATCTTGTACGAGCAGACTTCCACCACATGCTTCAATGTCGCATCTTCACTTTCTATCACCTGAGTCACACAACACTTGCACACAAAAATAAGCCTACAAGTACAATCCTGCAACTCCTCTACTGATTTTGCGATTCCCTAATCTCCAAAAATCCCCTCTTCCCCGACTCGCTTAGCTCCAAATGGTCCCGACGCCCCCAAACCTACACCCACAAATCCCTAACCGCTACAGGCCACCAAAAAGACCACCACAAAAGCAAAAAGAACGCGCTCGCGCGCGCTTGATGACTCAGCCGAGGTTTGAACTCGGGACCTTCAGTGTCCGAGGGCGAGTGCCTTGTTAGACTGACGTGATAACCAACTACACCACCGAGCCAGAATATGATTTGATGAAGTACACCTGATTTAGATAATACATAATGCTAGTAAGGTGAGATAGGGATGCCAGAGCTAGATATCTCGGGCATGTGGGAGGATGCAAAAGTCGAGAAAAGTCTGATGGTGGGATAGTGTTCAGCGGTTCAGTGTTGTGATTGGTCGAGTCAGGGGGAATGCGGCCGAGTGAGTGGGGGACCGGAAGCGGGGGATTTCATCTTCGTCAGCTACAGCTTGTGCGTGATGAAAGCAATCAGAGTATCAGGAGCGTGTTTGCCTGTTGGTAAAATCATTTGTGTTTCTACATTCTAACAACAGAATTATGCGTGAGTTCAAACCTCGGCTGAACCTTTTCATTGTGTGCCATTCAACATTTGGGATCCCCGAAGGGGGAGGGGGGCTTTTCTATCAGATGCTGCGATGATTCGTGCGCGCTCTGCTTAAACTTAATAGACTATTAAAAAGGCGGTTGTTATGTCAATGTACGAGCCTGGGTCGACTTGAAGGCTTATTAGTGCGTTGTGAAGCGCTGAAACTGCCTTGAAGTCAGATAGCTTAACTTAACTGCTCTTAGCATTTAGAGTACTTCGACACAGTGCGCAGGAATTGTTGCAGGTACTAGGTGGGCCCAGAATATCGATTGAATTGCGAACATTTTTTTTCAAGCGTGAGTTCAAAACCTCAGCTGAACTTTTTCAACACTGGCATATCTCTCACACTGCCTCACATCATGCAATATGCGGACTAATTTTACATTCTGCTATAGCTATGAGCCTTCGCGAACAAGCATTCTGGGGGCAATGAACATCTTGCCGCCAAGGACGTCACGCGCAACGATACATGCTGCGGCTGCAACCAAAGACTTGAGACCATGAAGAAAGGCGAGTACACTGCAATCGCATAAAACACGCTCGAGGAAGCAAAGTACAACTTCAGGAAGAATTAAAAAAGGGCTGTGCAACCCCCTGAAGCTTCGCGTTCGAGTGCTAGCTTAATTGAGATGTCCTAGCATGTTGTTAGATGAGGCAGAGCAGTAAGGAAAGCAGCAGAAACAGCATGTTCTTGAGGACGACAAGGGCGACGACGAAGACTATCGCGGTGAATTAGGCAAGGTCTATGGGCAACCCGCGGCTCAATCCGTGCCAGATGTCGTCCAAGCTGCTCCAGGACCTTTGCATCAATCTGGAGGTCAGAGGCACGTCCTAGTCCCACGAAGACTGGTGCTTCTTTCTGTCGAGGAAGAAGACGAGGACGAGTGGGGTAGTATACCAGACTAGAAAGTGCAACATCGCTGACAGAGAATACCAGATCAATATGCGTATCAGGTTTGTGTTTCGTGAAAAAGACATTTCATCATTCAGCAGAAGCGCACAAGCAACATCAAGAGACCTCAACATTGACTTCTGTGACAGTGATTCAACGTCTGAATCATGTCTCATTTTTCTTATCACTGATACTACGCTAACAAGCTGCAAACATGCCACGCAAAACACCGCTCGTACACTTATCCCCGCCGTCCAACTAAGCAGGCGTCGACTTGCTGAACTGAATCAAGCGCTTGACACCAACCTACAGACCATTAGCTCACATCCGCATCGAAAGTGATGACATCACTTACCAGCCAATTGCTGCCCTCATCGTTCTTGTTCGTCATCAAGTCCTGGAAGATGGCAATTGCCTCGTCAAACTGCTTCGCCTGGATGTTGCTTGCGAGCTCGTTCATCTGCTGAATGGTGTCGGGCTTAAGCAAGTCCTCGTTGTTGAGATGGTCGAAGAGAATGTTGAGGCGCTTCTCGGTGTCGGTGACGTGCGCCTTGTACTGTGCTGGTGCCTTCGCCTTGACGCGCTGGATTTCGGCTCCGAGAATTTCGTAGATCGGACGTGAGACCATGGGAATGTGCTCACGATCGCCGGGAGCTAGACAGGTTAGCTGAAAATCAAAGGAATTGAGAGAACACGTCTTACGGTATCTGGCCGCAGCCGGTGCAGCGGGTTGGGACTGTCCGGTACCGGGCCGCGACTCTGGCCTAGGCGGGCCGCCCTGAGGAGGACCGCCTGGTGGAGGACCAGCACGTGGCGGGCCCTGAGGTGGTCCTCGTGGTGGTGGAGCTACAGCTGCGGGAGCTTGTTGGGCTGGTGACTGAGCGTACGGTGATGGTGCATAAGCAGAGGCCCCAGGAGTGAACTGGCCAGGAGGTGGTGCAATGTTGCGAGGAGGCGGCATACCTCCCATACCTGATGGTGCAGAAGGCTGTGAACCTGGTGCGGGAGCATAACGGTTCGAAGGCGGTGCTGCAGATTGGGGCGGCTGGTAGGGCGATGCTCCGCGCTGCACGGGAGCCTGCTGTGGAGGCGCAAAGCCACTAGGAGGCGGGGCATAATTGTTTGCTGCAGGAGACGGAGCGTATGGGTTTGGTGCATTTGGCGGGGCTCCGCCTGCCTGTGAAGGTGGGGATGTCATGCGAGGCGGGCCCTGTGGGGGTCCCTTTGGCGGAGGTGGAGGGGTGGGTCTTGACTGTGGTGGGAATCCAGGAGATGCACCCCCTGGGGGTCCGTAGTTTTGCTGCTGGTTCGGGAAAGGCGATGCTACAGCGTTCAGGGGAGTACCACGACGCGAGGCTGTCTTGGGCGGGCCAAAGTCTGGGGTGTCATTCCAAGCAGGAATGTGGCCGCGATTGGCTGCTGGTACAATTGACGGTCCGTTAGGGTTGGAGAAATTTTGTGGAGGAGGAGCAAGTGGAGCCTGTTGTTGCTGTCCATAGCCACCATAGCCTTGTTGCACAGGTGCTGGCTGGTATCCAGCTGGTGTGTATGCGCCTCCGGCTCGTGCTGGAGGTTGCTGAGTAGCCTGCTGTGCTTGTTGCGACAATGGGTTGACAGGAGCGTACGGTGAGTTTGTTTGGGCTGGGGCCAGCGGGTTGGCTGGAGCATATGGTGAGGCAGTTCGCTGGGCTGGTGTGGGCTGTGGTGCGGGAGCCCCATAAGCTGGTACCACACGTTGTCCTCGCTGAGCGGCAGCAGGCTGAGACTGTCTCTGACCAGCAGCGGCTGGTGCTGCACCCTTCCTGGTCGCCTGCTTGACACGGTTCCTTGCCACATCTGCTGCAGGATACTTCTGTGGAAGCAGGTCGAGATACTTCTCGGCGATAGCTAGCTGACCATGTGCAGAGGCAATGTCCGCATATTCGACGTACTTTGCGTACAATGGCTCGAGCTTCCAGTCATTCTCTTTTGACTGTTCAGTATCCTTGAACTGCGTCACCTTGCGGAATACAGTGACTTTCTCGATGAAGTCCTGCAGTGACCGGGCATGAATTGAGAAGCTGTTGTCGGTTTCTGATTGCTCCAGACCAGCGTTCTCGTTCTCTTGAAGCTCTTGAGCCCAGTTGACTACAACCTTCTCCAACTTGGAGCCAGCCAAGTAGCAGAAAGACGCATCCTTGCGGTACGAAGTCGTGCCTTCAGCAATCGCTTCCTCTAGGCGGTCACCGAGAGCTTCGCAGAGGTCCGGGAACTCCGCCTGGTCAGCAAAGGTGCAGATGGTGGCCATGACTTCTTTCCAGTCTTTGAGGTCCGCGTTATACACAAAGTCCCAGAGGTTCTTACCAACGACAGAGGCGAGTAGTCGCAGGTAATTGGGCGCATCAGACTGCCTCTTAAAGTAAGCAGCTTGCGCCTTCGCAACGCACTTTTCACCGCCGCAGATGGCGATCATGAATGCATCAGAGAGACGGTTCTCCTTCAGGCAAACATCTAATGCGGCGTCGAAATTACCAAGCATAAGAGCACGGGTGATCTTCGTGTCAGCCTCAGACTCTGATCCAGTATACACCTGGAATGGGTTGTTCGTCTTTGCGCCCTTCCTAGCTGCCAGATCTGAGAGGAAGTTACCCTCATCGGTCGCATTGTCGAAGAATGATGAGCCCTCGTCAGCGTCACCGTTGGTTTGCGCCTCCTTCTTGACCTCAGCAGGCGCTTCCTCCGACTGGTCAGCGAAGCCAAGGTACTCGACAAGCTTGGTGCGCGGGTTGTCCGAAGTCAAAGTCTCGATGACGGTCCAGTCTGCCTTTTCTTCGTCGGTCGCGGCCTTGGAAATCTTCGATTCGAGGATCGAGGTCAGATCGCCCGTCTCCAGCGCCTTATCGAAGTCCTCGCTAGCCTGGCTGATATCTGAGTCTACTGCAAACGTAGAGATGGTAATCTTCGACTTCGCATCAACGACACCAAATCGCACAAGCTTGCCGCCAAATCCGAAAGCCACACCAGCTCTCCTCTTCAGCCACTTGGGGGGCGACTTGAGCGAGAACGAAGCTCCCTGCGGTTCCGCATGAGTCTGTGCGAAGAAGTCCTCGCCTTCTGGTGCCTGCTTGGCTGTCTTGCTCTGGTCTGCGTTGGCCCCAGTGTTTTGGAGTGTCTGAACGGCAATCTTGCCATCGAATGATGCGGGTCGCGAGTAGGGTTCGGGTTCGACGGGTTGAATCTGGTCTGGAAGGTCCAGTTTGTCACGACCGGAAATTCGTCCCAATTGCTCTCCGCTGTGCGGGTTCCATGCAATTGTGCGGTTGTCCTTTCCGCAAGACAGCAGAATGTCGCTATCCTGTGGACACCAAGAAAGCGAGAGGACGCCCTGGTCGTGTGCCTGAAGCGTCTTCTTCGGGGCGCGTTCGTGTTGCGCAGGTCCCAAACCAGAACAAGCGGGTTCTGGTCCGTGGGGATAGCGGTGACCAGCCTCGTAGGAACATCTGGATCCCATGATACTGCGCTCACAGTCTTTCGTCCAAAGTGGTTCAAGGTAAGATTCTCCTTCTTGCCCTTGACGTCCCAGACGGTCACAAAGCCTCCGCTGCTTCCGGTGGCCAGAATGTGTGCGACCTTCTTGTTCCAGTCCAGTGTAGTGTACTCGTCAGGGTTGGCTCCTGCCTTGCCGAGCCTGAAAGACTTCGATTCGTCGTCGAGGTCGTGCACGAAGAGCTCGCCTTTGGCGCCGGCGGATGCGAGTATGTTGGGTCGGAAGGGGTTGAACTGTATGGCCTGGATTGGGCCGGTGTGCTTGTCAATCTGGTCGATTTGCGCGTCGCTGCTGCAGGTTAGTATTCTGGCAGTAACAAGTTGTCGTAATCCCTGACCTGGCACCTGTGCGCAGCTTCTCCGCGTCCCATAGTACCAATGCGCCGCTGTCGAGCGCGCCAGCTATTATGCCCCTCGGGTGCTGTTCACTGGGCTGGCTCCAGGCAATATCGTTGAATCTGGCATATTGTTAGCCATCCCATGCTGCACTACAGGTTAGTGGCTCTCTACCTTGAATCTACGCTCACCGTAGCAACGGGCTGAAGCTCAACACCCTGCTCGGCATCGTCCAGCTTGAGCTCCCAGAGCTCGAGCTGCGTGTCATTTGAGAAATCAGCGTCAACAGCGCCAGCTTTTGTTCCCGTAGCAATCAACGGCTGCGTCGGGCCCGGCGACCAGGCGAACGTGGCCGTCCTCGGGATTTCTCGTAGGCGGACCATGATGGTGGGAGGTGGTGATCGCACCGAGGCGTCGTATTAGCGATTGGTGAGTGCCTGACAAACAAAATCTTGGGGGAAGAAAGGAAATCTTGAAGAGCGTGTGTCGGAGATATTTACGTCGAAGCAACCGTGTCCGCAATGTGTCAATGGTGAGCTGGAGAGCAAGGCAGCGATGCTGCTTCTACCCAGAGCATCCACCTGTCCTTCCCTGGACATCATCGCCTTGGCAAGTGGGTCCGCTACCATCGTCTCGCCTACCGACACGTGATATCGAATTCTCAGCCCAACCACGCGCTCGCATCACTTTCACGGCAACACTCCCTTGTCGCTTCTCGCAATGTCAAATCTCTCGGATAAGTCGCGGCTTAAAGCCACTGTCTTCGTCGGCGGTCTCGATCAGGCGGTAACACAGCAGACTCTCTACCACGCCTTCCTACCGTTTGGCGACATTGTCGAAGTCAACCTACCGAAACCGGACTTGCCCGGCGCAAAAGAGGAGCACAGAGGATTTGGATATGTCGAGTTTGAGACTGCCACCGATGCAAACGATGCCATCGACAACATGGACCGAAGCGAACTCTACGGCCAGGTCATCAAAGTAGCAAATGCGAAGCCCCAGAAGGATGCAAATGAAGGTCTCGGCAGCAAGACAGCAGTGTGGGAGCAGGTATGTTTTGCTGTTAATTACGTTGGTGTCGACTACTAATGTCGTGTAGGAGGGCTGGCTGGCGAAGCATGCTGTCACCGAAGAAGATCGACAGGCGACTGAGCAGGTGCAAGAAGAATCGAATGGACCCATGGACCCCATGCAGGGGCTGGAGGGTCTTGATGAAGCTGGTCCAAAGCCTGCGTAAAGGGTTATTCACGGCTCCAGGCTCGGTGTAGCGAAGCAGCAACATGGTGTTCAGGCGTAGCGTTTTTCATTAGATACCACGGATCTATTCGGAATCATTTTGGCAACCTCAATCAGTTTTCGCTCGTGCCAAGATTTTGTTTTGTCTAGAACGTCTGCTTCCTTGGTCAAGCTGCGGTATTGTTCGGTCACGTTACGTGCCATGTACGCTCTGCAGATGATCGCAGCGTCGAATTTACTGCAGATGCACCCAACAGCTTCTGCAAGTTAAGTAGACTATAGCTCTCCACGATCTAGAAATATAGTCTCGGCGGTATTGCCAGAGACACAGCAAGTGAGACGATCACTTTCACGTATCACCGCATCCCACCGTATCACCCCACATTCTCAAGCACATCACCAGCATACTCCCAGCTACAGTACCAAAGAAAACTTGATGCTTGATTCTGAACTGCGACATGTTCATGTCCACTCGATATGTTTATACACATGTGCTCGCGGAGCATCTATCCCCCTTCGCTCCTCAAATTGCCCAATTCAATTCCCCTCGATACGCTTATTCGTGCTTGCCTTGCCTCTTGAGGCGAAGCGTCTTGTCGACCCAGAGCTTGCGGACCAGCGAGACGGCGGCCATGACGACGGCGACGCTGTGTTCGTTGTTAGATATTGTAAGTAAACCCCTCGGTACGTGGAAATTCACCCGAGGACGAGAACTGCGCGACAACGTTAGCATAAACGTATACAAGCGAGATCAGAGCGAAACGTACTCAAAGGCCAGATCTCAGTGGGGATGTTCTTGAGCTGGCGGATGCGCTGGGAAACAGTGTGTGCTATGCGACGTGTCAGTGGGGGGTCTGCGGCGCGGTGGCAAGGCCAATTGACGTACCGCCGTGCTCCTCCTTCTATTATTCGGATTAGCAAGTTTTTCAGATCTTCAGGTAGTGTAAAGACGTACGGGAACCGGGCTGCGCAGGCGCAAAGTCTCCCTCATGACGAGCTGCGGACTGGCCCTCATGAACGCCTGCTGCGTCGGGCGCATCATCATCATGCGCGTAGGCTGCATAGCCAGGACCCTCGTAGCCTTGAACATGATTGCTTTCGGTGTGGAGTGGAGATGTGTCTGCTATTGTAGTTATTGTCGTGAATGCAATACAATCGCTTCGCTCGTCAACTCGCAGCTCGAACGGACCGGAAAAAGCCGAGTCGCTAATTGGCCTGCGGGCTGTGCCAAGAGCGAGGTCAGACCATCGTTGCCCGTCGACTTCACCTCGTCACTGCAAAGCTACCACCCCCCATTGTCGCCACACCAACACCGAGCACAACACACAAACACCCGCAAATATGTCTGACAACGAGAACAACGAGGGCGGCGAGGGCGAGATGGTCACCAAGCCCTTCAAGTTCGTGACAGGTGAGTTTTACATCCCCACGACAAAGGACAATGAGCTAATCACCCCACGCCACAGCTGGTACGCCTACCTCCTACATCTGCCTGAAAAGATGCGCTGGTTTCGCGACGGATTGACTGACGATACAGGCTTCGACGCGCGCTTCCCCAACCAGAACCAGACCAAGCACTGCTGGCAGAACTACGTAGACTACCACAAGTGCATCATCGCTAAGGGCGAGGACTTTGCTCCCTGCCGCCAGGTGCGCCCTCCCAGTCTCTCCGACCACAATCACAAGTGCCAGGGGCTAACGCAGTGGACAGTTCATGTTGGCATACCGGTCCCTTTGCCCCAGCGGCTGGACTACACGATGGGACGAGCAGCGCGGTAAGTTGGCGTGTAGACGAGGGGGGTTCATTGGCTGACAAGGGACAGAGGCCGGAATCTTCCCCCACAGACTCGACCAGTAGATAGCGATTGCGAGAGAGGGATGGAATGGACGGGTTTGGAGGGGATATTAGAGTCTGGCATTGGTGGCGCAGAGAACGTGTATCATATCTATCGACAATGGCAATACAGCTCTGATTCACGGATTTTTCTCCTCATGCTCGTGCTCGTGACTTGTGTTGATGATGACAAGGCATGTGTTGGTCGGTCCACATGTGCAGATAAGAAGACAGAAATATCCGCAACGACATTGTCACTGGCCTTTATGGTCCGGTCATGCTCTCGCTGCGAAGCTCTGCATTAATCTCGCGAACCAGAGCACACAACTGATCACACTTCACATGTAGCGGGTGCACTCTCAATCTTTGCAATTTATGATTATGATTTATCAAACTACTGCTACTGCTATCAAGCAACAGACCACTTGAAGGAAAAATATACATAGTCCAGTCCAATTTTCACAAACCCCCAACAGTAAGAGAGACATTGAGCTCATCTCGGATAAAGAAAAACACTGAATAGGAAAGATAGCTGCTGAAAATATCTTGGTGCAGCCCGCCTCTATTGGTGATAGGTGCAGGCCTTGCACAGGGGAGCCCAGAACTGGTGCTACAACGAGGAAACATTCTACGACCAATTGAGATAGTCTTCCTAAGACTTCTGCTCGACTGGTGTGGGGGCGTGAGATGTGCCGTTGGTGGCGGCGGCGGCGCGCGGGCTGCCGCGCTCGGACGTTGGCGCGGGTGCCTTCGTGTCTTCTCCTTCGTCATCGTAGTTCTCATCAACATCCATGTGGCGCGCTGCCGGCTCGTGCTGCTCAGGTCTCTCTTGCTTTGGGGTTTCCGACATGCGGGGAGGGGGTGGCGCCGCAGTGTTGGATGGTAGGGAAGGCGGATGGTGAGCGGCTTCAGACGGGTGGTAGCCGTCGTTGAAGCGGCGTGCATCTGGAGTGCCATGTGGGCTGTGACGCGCAACCTGGGGCGACGGCATCGGATGTGGGGGAGTCGGACGACGGCTGTGTGGCTCCTCAAGCTTTTGGCGCTTCTCCTCGTTCTGAGGAGGCTTGGTGCTGGTGTGGTCATTCTCTTCCCACTCGCGGTGTCGCTTGGGTGGGGCGGTAGGAGGGCGGTCATCCCGGTCCCGAGCCGCAGCTTCTGCAGCGACCATCGCAGATGCTGGCGGGGGAGCGCCGCTCGCAATGCCGCTGCTGGCAGAGGAGTCAGGGTGATGCTGGTATGGTCCTTGATATCCGTTACGTGGTGAGGTTGGGCGGTTTTCAACGATTGGTCGAACCTCAGGTGGTGGGCTGGCAGGACGCCCGAAAGGAGGAGGCCCTTGAGTTGGACCCTGACCTGGTGGGCCACCCAGTCCGGTGGGTGGCGGTGGTGGAGGTGGAGGCACGCTGCCTGCCTGGGGACCGTAGTTGGGATTGGAGATACGGTTAGGCTGGGGTGGCAGCTGATGGTGCGGCGGAGGAGGTGCCTGCGCCTGAACCGGCTGGGGGGTAAGCTGTGGCGGAGGAGCATGGTAAGGACTTGGGGCGACGTGGTGGGTCTTTGGCGAGGGCGACATGCCGCGACGCATGGGTCCAGGACCTGGAGGTGGAGGGCCGACAGGACCAGAAGGTCCAGGACCGTTCGTTGGTGGACGAGGAGGCTCTGCGTAGGACCTTGGAGCCTCCTGTCTGGGGCTGACAGGCCTTTGAGGAGCGTGTTGCGTCGGAGGACGAATACCATCACGTTGCTCATATGGGTTCAGCTGCTGAGGTGGTAGCCCGGGCTCGCGGATCTGAGCCAATGGTCGATCCCATCCAGCGCCACCTAGAGCTGGTGGAGCCGGGCCCTGAGGTGGCTGTTGGGGTTGAGGAGCGCCCCACTGAGGAGCAGCTGGTCCATGTACGGATGCAGGCTGGTAAGCTTGAGGGTGGATATCGCGAGGAACAGGAGCAGCGCCGTTAGGGGCAGCAGCAGACGATTGACCATTCTGAAGAAGCTGCAGGCGAGCTTTGATGTGGACGTTTGACGGATCGAGATCAGCGGCACGCTGGTAAGCGTCAAGCGCATCTGCCGTCTGGTTGTTGCAAGATTCGTACTGAGCCATATTAGCGGTATGTTCAGGGTGGCGGCCCGTCAAGTACTTACCAAGGTACCAAGGTCATACCAAACCTCGGAGATGTTGGGATTCAATCGAATAGCGCGGGAGTACGCGTCAAGCGCATCACGGTACTGGTTGATCTGGTAGTACAACACTCCAATGCTGCACCAGAAAGTTGGGTTGCGACCGTCACGGTACACAGCCTGTTGATAAGCTTCGTACGCCTTGGGGTACTTTTGCTGTGACATGTAACACCGGCCCAGAAGGTACCAACTTTGTGCATCGGTTTGGTCTAAAACAACGTTAGCCACACGCAGATCATCTATCCGGGGTACAGGAAAACCCACCCGACGCCACCGACTTCTCAAGGTATTCGATAGCCTGCTCCTGGCTGGTGTAGTTGGTGCTCTGCTGGTGGTGTAACCAGCCTAGCTGCTGAAGAACCTTGGCGTGGTTGGGGTCACGTTCAAGAACCCGACGGTATGCGCCCTTTGCTGCTTCGAACTGCGACATGATCAGCCGCGGGAATGTCAATTGGTCGAGTAAGACATACCTCTTTCTGTTGTTCGTACACGTGACCGACCTGGAACCAAATGTCCTCCTCGGTCAACGGGCGAGGCGGATTGGTGACGATGTACTTGAAGCACTGTAGCTAGGTTAGCCAAATCCAGGGTTCGTCATCAGCAATTACTTACATCCAAACTCTGGTTGAATTTCTGCTGTTGCTTGTAAATTATGCCCAGGCGGAAATAAATCTCGTTGGCCTTCTCAAAAGTTGGCTCCATGCGCATGACTTGCGAGAACGCCTCTTCGGCATGCTCAAGGGAGCCATAGCGATCGTAAAGAATACCAATGCCATACCAGAGCTTGGGTTCCTATGTGGCATCAGTATGGATTGTTGCAACAGAGTTCTGGAAACATACCTTTGGATCGGACAGGTGATACAAAGCTTGCTGATAAGCAGAATATGCCTGCTGCAGGTCGTCCATCATCAGGTAGCAATGGCCTGCAAGGTTAGAAAGTCTCTCGCAGCGCGCGACGTGTAAAGAACTTACCGAGACTGCCCCAGACATCGCCGTTGGCGGGGTCGACCTTCAAGATTGTGCGCAAGTACTCGACAGCGGCAGGGAAGGCATCCTTGGTGCGCAAGATACATGCGATGCCGACCATGGCTGGCACAGACCATTGATTGAACTTGAGCGCCTGCTCATAGCATTGCATGGCGCCATCGTAGTCATTCATCTGCTCCGACAGAGAGCCTGTGCGAGGTCAGTCAGCTAGCCAATGTTATACTGGATGTTCTCTACATACCCATCTGTGTCCAGACGGCCTCTGTCAGCTGGGCGAGGTATTGCGAAGGTGTTTTTGGCGGGTTCGCGTGCGGTGGGTGTGCCGTTGACCTGCGCATGTGCTGGATGAGGGCCGCCATGGTGTGGAGGTATGCCAGTGGTAGGCGAAGGCTGCTGGTGGGCGGCCATGGTGGTGATTCGTGATGCAATGCCCGCCGAGAGCGATACGCGCTATTCGAACAAGGACGCGACAGTTAGTTCCAAAGCTCTCCAGGCTCGAGACGACTGTGACGTCGCTGGTTAGCCTCGCATGGCAGAAATCACACGTCGGACGTGCAAGCAATAGAGGCGACCTACTATCAAGCCTCGTGGTGGTCGCGGGCCTACTTGGAGGTGCAGGCGTGGGGAGAGAACGCGGAGAACGACAGCAGGGCGCAGAGGAACACCGAGAAGGTGGACCCGAGCACGAACAGACGAAGTGTCTGTAATGCGACGGTGTTACGGCTGATGATGCGGCCGGGCGCTGTGATGGTCGGTCGTGAGAGGAAGCCTGGTGTAGACAGAATGGGAGCGAAGAGGCCAAAGACGCGAGCGAAGGACGAAGGGGCAGGGCGGTCCAACGCTCCTCATGTCAAGCAACCTCAGAACCCTAACCCACCTCTCGCTTTAGCGCGATCCAGGATGAAGTGTGGTCAAGAATCCGTGCGGGTGCCGTGGGTCCTCCATCCTTGTAGCGCCAAACCCCGTAGCGCCAGCCACCGAGCATGGATGCCGCAGTCTTGTGCGACCCGTTGACAGCAAATTGCCAGCCCTCCCGCTAAAACCTCGCGAGTCGGTCCTCGGTCGTGCCTTCCTCAGCCTGTGGTACGCCGCGCCTGCCTGTTCGAGCCTTTGTCATCAAATCCTGCCCCCATAGTGGAGGTTGGAGATCTTCGTTCAGAAATTGGGCTATATCTGCATCGTAATAATGCGGCCAACACCGTCAGGATGTATTATTGAAACAATGCACTTCGCAAAACGTCCCGTCGTCGGTGCCAGAGCCGTCTGTCCTACCTACTTGCGCTGCACCACAGCATCCACGCCTCACATCCCACCTCCACCAGTTCCTTGCACTGCACCACATCCAGATGAAACTGTCCTCCCATGGTGCATCTGCATACTTACTTTCCTGATTTTACAGATTGAGAAGTTCAAAAAGTTCAAGGTTTCCGCTGCGGGTCCGTCGCCGGATCGAGCAAGGCGATTCCGCACCGTTCGTCCCAGGTTTGTATCGGCTCCGCGCTTCGTTCCTCAAGGATGAAGGGTAGTGCCGCCGCATCGCATCATCCAGCTGGATGCGCATCAAACCATGCTATTCCAGCACCAAACTACATTGTTGTCCAGCGAACTTTTGCAACACGCGATGAAGCTCCCCACGCAGCCTCAGTCATATCATTTGCTTACTTTTTCTTCTCTGCGCCATGGGTAATTCAAGCGATCGCGCGTTCATCGCCAACAGGCTGCCGTCTGCGTCCTGCGACTGGCTGAGGCTTCATCAAGCTGATGGGGAGGCGTTGGCGGTTACCGCACCCCCAACCACTCGCATTCTCTACAAGGCGGAATGCTCAGCTGCACAATTATTCGCCGGCAGCACCGCCTTCTCACTAGGTATGGCGTCCAGGCATCGCGAGCTTCATCACTCTCAAGAAAAAGGGGCCATGACCTCTCCTTCATCTATCCGCATAGCGCAGATCCCACGGCACTATGCCGCACACATACACCCACATGTTGTGTGCTGCACTACCGACGGCCTCGCCAAAGGCTGGCGCATCGAGGCAAACGGCGCCTTGCAGCGCTTGACGGGACAAAGACTGGTGTTACGCACGAGGCAATGATCCGCGATGGGCATCGCCAAGAAACACACGTCTCCTCCACATCCTCGCATCACTGAAGCTTCCGGTGCTCTGCTTAGCTCGCCTGGGCGTACATCCGTGCAGTGACGCAGCCTCCACTCCCGCCTCGTCGGCAGAAAGCTCGTGTCACAACCAATCCAACCCTGTCGCAGCCCTCAATCTGACAACAGCCGGCTTTGCTGTATCTGTTGGCGCGCATGAGCACCGAACTGGGATGGTGCTGCGCCAGCTGCAGCGGCCAGCCGACGTGCCTGGCCCTCGACGAAGCTTCGGGCCCTTGACCGATGATTGCGCCCACTTGGTCTGCTTGGCAGTTCTGCAGCCGGGTCGTGACGAGAGGCGCATCTGTCGATTCCCTTTCGGGCGCTGACTCTCCACCGAGGTAGCATGACCGAAAAAGAACAAGAGACCCGCCGCTAGAAGAAGCCACAAAAAGCCTGGGCGGAGCTGGGGTCCCTTCCAACCGCCGCCACGTGAAACCTTGCTCCAGAGTTGGTGCAAAGCCACACCAGTGGAGCCAGGGAGGGCCTGCGCGTCATCAGTGCCGTGCCGGCTCAAGCGAGGCCTGCTAAGGGCCCTATTCTACGGTGACACGAATCCTAATGTCATGTGACTCGGTGCCGTTTTCGCAGCCTCCCCATTAAAAGTCTCGAGAATTGAACACCGCGTGGTAATGTGTGCTCACGAACAGGATGTTGGGCTACACACGCTTGTAAGAAGGTTTGCTGACATGCGCAGATATAGCGCGACGGCCGACCGGCATGACGCGAAACGCGCCGATGAACTGTCGCATCGTTTCATCGTGTCAGAGCGGACGTCAAGGCGCAGATCCCCATCGATCCCGCTGCCTGAATTGTCCTTGTTCCGACAGCAACCCGTGCGCCCTGCCCGGTTTGCATAACATCTCCCTTGACCACTTGCCGATGCGACAAGATTTATGAAGCCTCGCTTCAGGCCATCCGCGAATAATCATTCGATTGTTTTCTTTGGTGTTTGTCATCTGCCAGGCTCTATCATGGAATTCTGCTGCCTACAGACATTCAACCCTAGAAAAGCAGCCAATCCGCCAGCAACTCTCACGAATGATCACGTGGAGACTATTAGGGTGTGCGAAGCGCTCCTAGTATTACTCCGCATTTGCATCAAGGCTGCGCGCAGTGGGTTGAAGAGCTCTATCCATACGTGCCGAGATGAAAACACGCGCCATTCCGTTCGAGTCCAGAAGTCTGGCAAGCAAGCAACTTCAAACAACATGTTCTGTGCCACGACTGCTCGTATCCACTATAACAGCAAACAGAATTCACATCCGGGCTTGAACACAATCGGTCCCTGCTCCTTGCACGCCCACTCTCCCTACCCCGAATTAGCCAGCACCCACATTTCCAGGATTTCGGGACGTGCTGACTACACCAGGTTTCGGCTACTTTATCGCGCCCCTCACCTGCTACATATCCGAACGTTACGCGACAGCTGCAAAATAATGCTTGTGCTCCTGCACCAATGCATGCACGGTAATTTGTATCTGGCGCTTGGCAGCTATGTCGTATGACGCTGGGGAAGCAGCCAGGCCATGCTTGCCCCATTTACATTATCGCAATCAACGTTTCGTCTGGCGCTGGATCCACGGCTCTGCGGCTTGATATACTCTACCCACCCCTCGTGCGACGCTTTCCCGGAGGCTTGTTGCGCTAATGCGGCCGATCGACGGACCCTGTGTGGGTGAGGTGATCTTCAGTGGTTGCGGTCTGCCGTTGGCGGACACGGCTTTTGCATGACGATGCGATGGAGCTGGTCTTTTAGCTGATCAGCACCAGATCTTGTCTTATGAGCCTTGCTTCGAGCCTGCCATTGTGGACAACAACGGGGGTGCATGCGACCCAACTGATTCGCCACAGCGGCGGGAAGCCGCAAGCTTCTCCCCGCCTCTCGCTTCGCTGCATCAACACCCTCATTCGCAGTGTTACACCGAGGGCTCCGGAATGACGTTCGCCTACCGCGGGTATATGCGCAGCGATCTCAATCCGACCAAGAGGAAGTTGCGCTGGATTAAAAGCAGCAGAGCAATTAAAGATCCCTGTTAAGATCCAGCGTCGAACAGACCGGGCGCGGCGTTGAGGCTGCCACGTTCTCAGCGACGCCAATGAAATCACCTCCGCGCTTGGGCAACTTGGCGTGGTGTTCTCATTGAGGTGCTACAGGCAAGTACCTTGCCGCTTACATCGATGCACTACACCAACTTTTTTTGTTTGTGTCGAACTACAAGCAGCTTCATCGTGTCAAGGGCATCGGCATACCTGCCTGTGGCCGTGATAATGATGCGCGCGCAGCGCTGTCAGTCCCAATTCAGCCCGAACACGCTAGTAAACTAGTACCTGAGAGACATAAGCACTACTACGAACTCCTCCCAGCCCTGGGGATTACTGCATTAGAACGGTAGCAGTGGAAAGTTCCGGGTCGTATGACTTCTTTTCGAATTGACAGCTTCATTGTCTTCGCAGCTGTGCAAACACTAGATTGCATGCCCGACGAGAGCCAAAGAATAATCATTCTCACAATGATCTCGTCTTTCGCGACGTAGTTATATATGTGTGCCTTCACTTTATTCTCTTTCCTGCAACAATTGCAGTCTCACAGGGCAGATAGTAAGTACAGAGGAACCTACAGCGCAAAGTATCCTTATTATTTCTGTCTACACCACTATCTGTCCTTTCGTATGCTGCATACCTAGATGGTCGATCTGACGGCACCAAGACACCCAATAGGTCATGCTGTGAACCACATACCCAGCGGTCTTTCATGATTTCGATATGCGCATGGCTTGGAGGTTACTAGGTAGGAGGAACGTACTCTGCGTCGTTGCTGCCGTTGCTGTCGTCCTCAATGCTGCGTGTGGTGAGGATTTGGCCTTGTATACTTTGCATTCCTTTGGAACATCTGGGGAAGGCTTCCTCGGAGACGGCGTATAGAGAACTACTTATAACGCTGTGGTTTACCACAAACGCGATGTTGCCGGTGATTGCCTTGTGATTTGTCAGTACACTATTTGATGTTTGGGCATCCTGGGTAAGGCTTCCTTAGAGACGACATCGAGATGCATGTAGACCACTTTACGGTGTGGTAGCATCGCGATGCCCTGGGATGAAATATTTACCTCGTGATTTGTCGGTACAGTCTTTGGCAGTTTGCTCTTCGAGGAAGGCTTGCTCACCAGATATTAGCGTGAGCTGAGCACCCCGTATATTCACTCAGTGTACTATTAGAGAGCAGCTGCTGTCTGATATGTGAGCCTGAATAAACTCAATGGCTTATAAGTACCATGGGAGGCTCTGAGAATGTATTGAAGAGAGACAGGGTGATGTAGCTCTTGGATGGTTTTCAGAGGCAGAGTAAATGAAGTATTGCAGGTACTAGTGTCCTTAGACAACAAATGAGCTATGACCGTGATACTACGATGACTAGCTCTTGTGCGCGTTGAGATTGCTCGCGTTGAAAGTGCTACTATGAGTGCCTGTAGGGGTGGACAAACTGGTATCTATTTGAGTTGTTTTGTACGCGATCTCAGGACATGTCACTACGAATGGCCTTCCACGTTACCATCCTACAATCTGTACTACTCATTCGAATACACGAAGATCGCTTGACGAAAGAAGTTTTGGCGCTGTGAACACTACATTTACTGACGACGACAGAATGCAACAGCAGACAGCAGATCCTAAAGCCTAAAGATATATACAGCGTCGTGCCGATACAACCAAAGCCTAGCAATACGGTTCATAGCTTTCGGCTATTTCATGTACCTGTTCACATTCTTTCATAGGTGATAATCTGTGGTGTTCTCCTTGTGGAATTGGCAGCATCCGTCAACGTTGCGCTACAGCCCTACCGCAAGCGAGCCGCGTCTACGTCACAGGCCCCAACTTCACCTTCAGAGCTGTCAGACCACAAACTATACACCACCCCACGCGCAATTGAACCACACCACCACCACCGCAGCAATCATGTTCAAACGAATCTTCGGAGAGGTATGTGGTGCAGCTACTCGAGATCTTGGAGCGAATAATGTACTGACGCCCATAAACAGCACGGCGCGAAGAATGTCGTAACCCTCTTTCACAAGCCCAGCAGCGAGGCATCGATCCGCGTTCACACCATGCTCAAGCAGGCCAACGCACAAGCAGTTTCTCATGCGACAGAAGACCAAGCTGCTGCTCACGACGCGCAGAACAAGGCGGAGAGGACCGAGTTCGAGCTCGACGTAACGGAGGCACCGCCAACCAGCGACCAGCTCAAGACGATCCTGGAATACCTCGGTGGCTCTCCAAGCAAGGTCATTGAGGGGGCTTCGGACGAGTCGGACGCAATGAGGCGACTCAAGGCGGACGGTAACACATTCAAGAGGCCTTTGGTAAGTCTCTGCTGCTTGTCAACATGGACCGAAACTGACTGTCGTAGGTGGTGGACTGGAATCAAGGCAAAGCAGGTATGTCGAAATTAATTTGGACTGCTCTATCTACTTCAACTAACCTGTCGCAGTGGTTGGAGACAGCGAGTCCGAAATCATGAAGCTGGTGCGAGCCATCCCTAAGGAGACTGGCAAGGCGTGAATAGGATTGTTTAGCATGCACCATACCCCACTCATATGAATTTGCTTTCCATTCATGTAGTACTTCGCTTTCCCAGTCGCGCGGTGGTTGTACAAACGGCAGGACGGCTTCCCTGCCGCACCGAGACACATGTCGCTAAGCGACGGGTGGCTGCACATGGCCAAAGCCTGGTCTTCTTGTTGAGATTGTAAAACGCGTGCAGGAGAATTTTCTATTGTGATATGTTTGTTGTAACTCCCACCTCCTCTGTCTTCCTGTTCCGGCATCCGTACTTTCACGGTGACTGCCCTTTCCAGTCTTTCTCTCCTTCACCGTTACTAAGAGCATGGGAGCGGACGCGATACTCTCTGTACTGCGCTATATGAGTGCTCGGCGGCCAGAAGCAACGCGTTTGTATTGGTTGCCGTGGTGTCCATATCAACCTCAACACCAGCTGCCCCACTAAAAAGCGCCGCCAAGAGGTTGCTCTTCCCTTCGCAAGCCCCGCAAACGTTGCGAGTTGTTGATTTGTTTCTCTCACCTGCGCTCAATCTCTTCAATTGCATCAGAAAGACCTTTTCTCTGGCGTTGCGGCGTCATACGGCTTCGGCTTTCTCGTGAGCTTCTACAACTGAACTTTCCTCCCCTGCCTCGCGATCACCGCGCGCAATCGCACCTTCCTCCTCAATTGAGCTGTACGCACAATCATGTCTGATTTGGCAGCGCCGTCCCCATCTGACTCGGATGTGGCAGCGACTACGCGTATAGATCAGTCACCTCAACCTCCAAGCAGCCTAGGCTCGGCTGTTGTAGCACCTATATTCGACGACATGGACGACCAGACATTGTTGCAGCCTGGTACTCATCGCGCGCTCTTCTCTACCGACTTGGGCAAGCGCGCAAAGAACAGCGTTTCCACGCCCCCGCCACCGGTCATTGTGCGCAGCAACAAGGCTTTGAGTGTTATGGAGACTGTGGACTTCTGGCGCAGGAAGTATCCTCACTTCGCCTGGTCCATCTTCCCTGAGAGCGGCTGGACAGTCGAAGACTTGTGGGATGCCGCGGACATCCACGTCGAAACCCGCGACCACTGTAAGGAGGTCCTCTATCTCCTCTGCAAAGACAATGCTGTCACTGCTGGTCTGTTTGCCCGGGACTGGTCTCTCAAGAACACTGAGCAGTTCGTCAAGTTCATGGCCATGCATGAAAAGGTGGGCATGTCTGACCCGCAAGACCCTCTCGGCCTTGTGGATATGCTCTTCGTCAACGGCGAATTCAAGAATTGGCCTCGCAAATTCCTGTGGCACACAACGCAGGCTCTGCGCACCTCGGTAGTGCAGTATTATCAACCAGAGGAGAATGCTACAGTAATGGCTGAGAGCACTCCGACGTCGCCTACAGCAAACGGCAGGATTCTTGAGGCTGAAATGCAGCCCACTGCGACAGCAAAGGTCGATGAAGCTATTTTGCAACCTGGTCTAACGATGGAGAAGGCGCCGCGTAAGACAAATAGAAAAGTTACTCGGAACCGAAGGCGAAAGCTGACAGAATCCGCAGGTTCTTCTACAGTCCGCAGCACTGCTGCCCCCTTTGTACCATCCGTGGCTTCCGTCAACGAGACGCAACAACCGTTCAAGCGCGCGTCATCACATGGCCCGACCCAGTCAGGTCCTCCATACCATGGACAACCAATCGGCCACATTATGAACGGCACGTCAACGCACCAAATGGTCTCGCCTTCAATGGGTGGCCATGCCTTGTCAAACCCCAAGAGTAGACCTGGACGTCAAGACGCATACTTCGCGTCGTCATCAGGTACATGTGGCGAGAACCTTCCTCGCATGCCTTCTGGGGGCTATGCGTTGCGGCCGCCGCAAGGAACAATGCCTGCTCATTCACCACACTTCAACCCTGCAGCAATGGCGATGGGTCCAGAAATGATGCCACCTCATCCCATGCACGCGTATCCTCAAGGATTTCCACCCATGTCACCGTCCGCCTTTGCTGTTCAGCCTTACCCTCCAGGACTGGGACACCCTATGGCGATGCCTCCACAACACACGCATGCACAAAACATGTCGATGCCACCAGGCTATGGCCACCAGGGTCCCAACCATCGCCGCCCGCGAGGTACGTCGATCGGAGACGTGACAAACATTCCCTACTATTCCGGTTACGCAGCGCCTCACAATTCAGACTCGCGCCGATCAGATCGCCATAGCAGCTTCTATGGTAACAGCAATACTCCGCTCTACGATCCGTACAACGGCTCCAGGCCTACGTTCAACGAACACAGTTCAGGCAGGAAGTCGAGCCGGGGAGGCTTCATGGATCAGTCAGGTCGGTCCCGCAAATATTCAAGTCAGGACAACCGTCCCCGCAATGGGAGCTATGGGATAGAGCGGCCAGATGCAGTGAGCTACAACAATAATCACCCGCGAGGAGTAATGTTGGACGATCCCAAGATTGTCGGAGATGCACTGCGTGGATGCCACCATGGGTGGATTGGTCCGGACAATCACAATGTCAATGAACTTTTTGTGTCTGAGCTACCCGATGGGACTCAACCGATACAGGTGCAAGAAATGTTCGTACGCGAGGTGGGCGTCACTCCAATGAGGGCCGTTATCAAGGTGTCCTTCGGAGGCCGCTCTCACGCGTTCGCATTGTAAGTTAGACGTTCTGATCACTATCATGTTGCTAACAATCCCAGATTCGCTTCGACTGGTGACGCAAAACTGGCACTACGAGTGGCAGAAGGCAATCCAAAGATCAACGGTGTTCCTGTCCGAGTCTCTGTTCCCCGCCGCTTTTATCAGTACCCGAGGGAAGATGAGTATCATCACAACGCCAAGCCCCAAGTTGCAGATGGTCAAGCCACAGAGACACGCCATGCTCGGGGCGTTACTCGCATGTCATCGCATGAAGAAGAGGGCGCTACGGTCTTGACAGAAGAGCAAAAATCCAAGCTTCAGTACTCTCCTCAGGATGCTAGAAGCGACCTGCAGAAGAAGGCCAGCCGTCCTTCTCCCGAAGCAAACCCCGTATTCAGAGAAAGCCCCCAATCACAGAAGACAAATGTGCGACAGCCTTCTCCAGGTGCGACAAAAGCGTCTCAAACAGAGCAGTCGTTGGAAGGAGAGAGCATCAAGGCAGAATCCGTTGTTCAAGATGTGCAGCAGCCTAACTTAGTGGCTGCTGTGAGCAATAGCACAGAAGCAGAACAACCCATTGCATCTATCCAGTCTAGCGACAGTGATAGCCTGGAAACGTCACAGGTCTCGTACGCAGAGCAGACGGTAGAAGATGATGCGCTTGCGCCTACTGAGAAACTGCTCGCTGGAGCACCGACGCAGCTCAGGCAAGAGCTGGGCCAGACCACGGGACATGTCCGTGTGGAGTCGCAGACGAAAGCATTATTCGAGCAGATTGAGGACGACTCCGGGACAAGCGACGGCGCAACCGTGGTTGTCAAGGTTCCAAGCCCTGAAGATGTAGAGACACTAAATGTCGATCTTGGTACCTCACAGGCTCCAGAGACCGGCTCAGATGAAGAAGCAGGCAACGACTCAAGCTTCATGTCTGCGCAAGAGGTGGTAGACAATAACGATGCAACCACGGTTCACAAGGTGGAGCCTACGAGCACGAACACTGGTACCGAGCCTTCCAACGCACTTGTCGCTGAATCGCCTGTAAAGGAAGGGGCTGCTGCCTCATCACCGACTGCGCACCCAGAACCTCAACAGCACTCGGTCCTTCCAGCAAACCAAGACATCACTTCGCCGGTCGCTGTAACTGTCGACACCAGCGCGCACACTACTGACATGTCTACTTCCGCGAAAGACATCGAAACCGCGGTCATGACCCCCGCGCCACCTTCCGCTGCTCCTCTAAAGAAGCAAGGCCCGCAACAGACCCCGTCACTCAACCCCTTTGCAAAGCCGACCAAATCACAGCGCAAGAAGGAGAGAGAGCTGAAGAAGAGGGAGCTGAAGAAAGAGCAAGAAGGAAAGACTGTGAAGGCGAAGACTAGTACAGCGCTTTCCACGCCTTCGGTCCTCGAATCTACCGTTGAGGTGAACGACAAAGGTAGGGCAACTGTGGAGACGTCTGCTGTGGACGCCTCTGCATCGATGACAAAGGATGCAAGCAAAGGGACGACTTCTGGTAAGCAGACTGGGGCTGATACCGCCAACATTTCCCGCGAGATCGGCTCGGTAACTCAAAAGGCGAAAATGGAGTCCATGGATATTTCCGGTCTTCTTTCTCATGTACAGTCTCCTAGGTCTGGTGACGTACCCGTGCCCGAGCAAACGGCGGCACAAAATCTGGACGTAGTCGCAGCCGGATCGGTGGTGAAAGCCGGATTACCGCAAAACGACCGCCACCAGGGCTAAAAAATCTGTTGCGAACCCAAATTCTTAAGCTCCAGGCTCCATCGTCCTCAAATCGTCTACAAGCCATCCAATCTGATTCTACCGCATCTTCGCAAGTAGAGCCCCCCAAATCGACTGGCACTGCAGTCGACCAACAGCCGTAAGCCATCTTCTGTAATTCCCCATAAGACCCATTTACTTACACATCCGTACAGATCCTTCGAAATCTGTGTCAGAGCCTGGCCGCTATGTCTGCTGGAAGCTCTGCCCACCCCGCTTGCGAGCGAGGGCGGCCAGCCTTCACCTTCGCACACCACCCCAAGCCTTTCCATACCCCGCTTTCAGACCCCCGCCCTCCCGGACGCAGCCCAAGAGCAGGCAGACAAGCCCAAGAAGAAGAAAAAGAAGAGCAAGAAGAAGAAGACTCCCGCGACCGCAGTGGAGGCAGCCGACCACGACTCTTCCGTTGCAGGCTACTTCAGTCGCGGGTGGCGACCACCAACACCCATTCCCCCACCGGAAGAATTGGAGGATCCCTTTGGCCACCAGATGTCACACATCGATGCTATCCGAGCAGGGCTGAAGAATCCAAACACCTACTACAGCCAGGTGAACCGCGCGATGGCTGAGCGTGATGCAAAGTTGGAGGCTAACCGCGCTGAGGAGCCCGAGGTCATGAAGGTGCGTGGATCATGAATATGACCGCGACCTTCGGGTGACTGACTCCATGAAGGGGATTGGCCTTAAATCGGCCACCTTCCGCGAGATACAGGCCTTCCTCATGGACAAACCCGAACTTCTGGAGAAGCCGGGCAAGAAGGCGTCCAAGTGAGGTTTTGAAACCAGTCTCGGCTTCAGGGCTCACGGCGGTCACGATAATGCATTTGTCTACGGCGTTTGGGAGGGTCTACTTCCATAGCTCTTGGGGTGTTGAGTGGAGGATCAACTCTGTTTTTGCCCACTCGATGACGTTAACAGCACTTTGCGTGCTGTCGGGTGGTCTTCTCTTTCCTCAGGCATGGAGTGGCGTCTCAATGATACACGCAGCTTCACGGAAATAATAATGGAGACATGTTCTCTCCCCACCACTGCCCATTCTAATCTTGCAACGTGAGCAAAATGCGCAGCTTTCGAATGATTCCCTGAGCAAGCGGAGATGTGGGACCCCCAAAAACCCTAGAAAATTGGCCCCTATGCGTGAGTAACGTGAGTATACAAACGGCGTCACTGCATATGCGCCTAACTACGGAAACAATCACAGCTTCAAAACACGCAGAGTCGAGCGAGCAACTCATACCCACTTCCCGGCCAGTAGAGACCCACTTCGGCAAGACTAGACTTGGACCCTTGCAGGGACGATGTCGGAAGCCTTGCGGTATGCCGATTTCCTTGTGTCAGTGTGTGTGCATGGGGAGAACGGGATGGCGTTGTGGTTAGAGATAGCAAACGAGGCCAAAATCTTTGTAATTACAGTAACACTAGGCTTATAACAGCTAGCGGATTCTCTCTGCCGGTAATCAGTGGATACTCTTGGCACACGTTTGTAACCGAGTGCTATCTCTTGTGGTACAGTGGAGCAGGGGGTGTGCAGATGGACTGAGCGTTGAGCTGGCGCAGTGCGAGGCGAGTAGAGCACAGTTGACGAAAAAGGAAAACAGAAGACAGAAAAAGCAGTTAGCCTTCTCTGCAGGCAGTGATGGGAGTCCGGCTAGTGTGCCGCATCGTACAGTGAGAAGAATGTGGCTGCCTTCTGGACAAGGGACATGCTTGAGCATGCGGTATGTTGTGCGCGTACTACCGGAAGGATCCACCCAACACCCGCTAGGTGGAGATGTACATGTGCAGCGCGGGTACGTGATGCGATGCCTGCGCGGTAGGGAGGATTGGGTCATGGCCGTCCGGTGAGCTTGATCGGTGTTTGCAGTGGGTGAGAAACATGTCCAACGATCCTGAGGCAGGCGCTGGGCTACGAGCTTTCTGTGTTGGGAACTGCAGGATGGGCCAGTGCATGCTGGAAAGAGGAGAAATCATGCAACTTCAGCGGGCAGGTACTTGGCTTGGCTGTGGTTGTACTGCTTTGACTTGCTTTCACCGCTTCGTGCCACCTAAAGGAATGTCGATTGCGATTGATCCCAGGCGAGTGAGAGGGAAACGACAGCTCGCTGCATCAAGGAAAGAAAGAAACCAGTGCAACGTCACCGTATGAACAGGCTTGGTCTTTTGTACGACCCTTCATGCTTGTGTTACCACACGGACTGGTGTCAATCACCGTCAGAATACCACCTTTTCCGACTCTGATGTGAGACCATACCCACCAGCTCACCAGCAAGAGATTGTCGCAGTCCCTGCGTATCTGGTGGATTTTGCTTTTTTTCTCTCAAAATCCGATGTGTCGTCTTCCTAGGCCGTTGTGCCAGCCCAGCTTGAGACTAGTGCCATTGCGCTAGTCATCGCGGGGAGCGTTTGCAAATCTGCCATCACTGAATCCTGGTCCTTGCTATGTATCATTCATCCTGCATGTGTTTCTAGGCAGGCATGCTCGCGCGGATGCTCGACGCGGACCAATCATCGGAGGTCGCTCAAGCCGCTGAGGGGCACTCCCGCAGCTCGCATGCGAGAAGCCAGTTCTTGATTGCCGTGCAGTGGAGTTGAATGAGCAGCTGGGATCTTCTCTCTTTTTAGTGGAGAAACATGTATTGACGGCTACCAGCATATGTTGCGATCATCTGTGCCAGCGCGCTCCGGTGGTTGGGTTCGACAAACGGGTGGGCCTTTGACTCTGGCGCTCTCCATTTGTAGGTACTTGTATTGTAGCAGGTACTTGTATTGTAGCAACTTTATATGCCCTCGTTGTCCTTAGAAAATCATCTTGCATCACTATTGACTCACGTTCCCTTGTCGCTACAACACACTTCAGATCCTCCACAGCACAGCGGGTGCCACCTGCAATTGAACCTGCTATCTTCCAATCTTCTTCTTGCTCAAGCACCTCTCACACAATGCCACCCAAGATACGCCTCAAGACTTCCGAGGAAATGCAGGCTCAAAGTCTGGCACCGCCGGCAGAATTATCTCGGAAACGACCAGCAAACAATCCAGCTGTTAGCGACATGTCCAAAAAGCAACAGCGAATGTCCAAAGAATTTTCCATAGATACCAGCGATACCGGCAGGAAGTTGACGGAAAAATTCAAAGAAGTCGGAAAAAATATGGGCGAGTTGCAAGACGAACAAGGCAAGATTGTGGGGATATTGGAGCACAATTCGAAGCAGCTGAACGACGTGGAGGAAAAAGTCGAGAAAATTTCCTCGCAAAACGATGAGCGGGAGAGAGAATTCAAAGATGAGCTAGGAAAGCGGCCTACGAGCGCCGCTATCAACATCACTTTCGAGAAGTTGAAAGTGGAGCAAAGGCAATTCCACGGCGAGCAAAAGCAAGACAACGAGAACTGGAAAAATGAGCAGCTCCAAACCAAAGCTGCTGAGAAGGATAAATTGGACCTGGAGCAGCAGCAGCAAAATGAAGCGATTCAGCAAGTTCGCAACGAATGTGGGGAGTGGGCAAATAAGCAGCAGCAGCAGAATGAAGCTATACACAACAATCAACGGCTGCAGGGAAAAAATGTCGTCGCACTCGACGTGCGTCACCACGAGCTAGAACTCGAGTTCAGGAATGCCGAACTGAGAAATACGACCCTAAACCAGATCGTCGTGCAAAACAGGAACGACACCGAACAACTTCGCAAGGATATGGAAGCCCGCTCCGTCACCACCACGGCTGCCATGGAAGAAATCAAGCGCGATATTGCTGCCCAGATTGAGCAGCGCGCCCAGGCTAATTACGAAACTGCTCTCGCTAAACTGCGTGAGGACTTCTCAACTACTCAAGCGTCACTAGATATGCAGATTGAGACACTGTCAAGCCACCTCGAGGCGATGGCAGAAAAGGACAAGGAGGTCAACAGGCTATCCGAGGCCCTCAAAGTTACGAACAAGGGGCTCGAAAAACAAATTCAAGCGAACACTGAGCTGCAGAACAGGGTGGAGACATTGGAAGCCAGCGCAAAGAATGCCAATACCTTCATCGAATTAGCCAGAGAACAAATCGAACCCGCACAGCGGAAAATTGCCGATCTGCAAGAAAAGCAAGCGGATTGTGCTACGAAGACCGAGCTGGGCGAAGCAAAGGATCGAATCTCCGGAGTAGTCGATGCAATGAAATCACATGCTACCAAAGAGGACCTGGACGACTTCGGGACCGCCATCGTCAAAGCCCTTCAGACTCCACCTCCACAAAATCGACCAGACGTGCTATAATAGAACACAAGGTACCCAAGGAACTCCTCCAAAAGCCAGAAATTCGTTGCCGTAAGCCTCCAATCCTGAAATCCATTCGCCCAGAAAACTAACCATACGTCAAGAAGATCATCCCAACGCACAACGTACCGCCCTTGCAAACCAAACTCCTCATCATGCCCGCCCCAGAAGGACCTGACGAATTCAACTTCAACATCTTCCCCTCCCCACGCCCCGGCTCACGCATGACTCCCAACGGCACGAGACCCTATCCGTCTCCCCCAGCCGCAAAGCCACAGGACATGTACCCCTCGCCCTCAACCCCCACAGTCACACCTCAGGCATTACCGCGCGCGAATCCACAGGCTCCGCCTCGCCATCTAGGCCCTCCACAATATGGAGCTGAACACTACGCCAACAACACACATGGGCCTTACATGCAGCAGCAGCACCAACAGCACCAGCAGCGCCAGCAGCAGCGCCAGCAGCGCCAGCAGAAGCGCCAGCAGCGCCAGCAGCAGCAGCAGCAGCAGCAGCAGCAGCAGCAGGGGCATCAGCAGGGGCATCAGCAGGGGCATCAGCAGGGGCAGCACCAGGGGCAGCACCAGCAGCAGGGGCAGCACCAGCCGCAGGGGCAAGCACCAGAGCGACGCGTTTCTTGGGTTTCGAGTGGACCGCGACATCCTTTCGAGCTGGAAGGCGACGCGCAAGCTGGCGTTGTGGATTTGACGCGCTGATGGACTGAGGGTTTGGGGGTGCTTGATGTGTTTTCCTTGTGTCACGATGGGTATGGTTGGATTGGAGTTTGTGTTATCTCATATCATGTGTGAATGACATCTGTACGCGAAACATGATAGGTATATCCCCCCCGTCCCCGTTTTTGTTGTTTTTCTTGAGAGTTGGGCGGAGTTGGTGGAGTCTTATGTATTTCCCACAAAACAAAAATTTCAAGTATTTTTATTCCAACACTTGTGCTTCTGTTAAAAAGGGGCTTGTCTTGCAGCATTGATAACTTGACACGAGCGCTTTGCGACCAAGAAAGTATCGTCACCATCAAGCGCCACAAAGAGACATTGAACTCATTCGCCATGCTGAAAATCTGCATTCAACACTCCGGAATGCCCACTACTAATACACGCGACGCCTACGAAGAAACAATGCAAAGCGCCCAGAAACCGTGCTGAGAAAACCCATCAAATGCCGAAATGCTAGTGTATTCTCCCCACCGTCATTACTCGTCTCAAGTGCACAAATGTCCGTATGCTTCAAAGTGAACTGCTCGATGCGAGCGCGAAAGGTATGAAAGAGCGTCACAGCCAGCCAGTGTTGTGACGCGAAGGCCGGTGATGCACCGGTCCTTAGAAGATTGTACCGTAGCTTTCCTCCTCCATTGTGGGAAGCGGTTTGCGAGGACTTGCGGGTTTGCCGTCGTCGGCTGTCTTCTTGTGGCGGAAAGTGACTGAAAGTGTATTAGTGCTGCGTCTTGGGTTGAGAAGAATGTGTACTTACATCCAACGAAGACACCCTTGTTCATCTTGTCGTCGCGGTCCTGCATAGCCTCCAGCGCAGCCTGCTTCTCGTGCACCTCCTTGTACTTGGCCATGTCGGCCTCGTTGCCAAAGTCGTCGAAGTAACCAGCATCGGTCTCGCTGTCGAGCTCTGGCACGAATGGCGCCTTGTTCTCTCTCAACTTGTTCCAATCGACCTCTGCAAAGTATGCGTGGCCGTGAATCTCAGAGATACCGCGGAAACGGGACGTCTTGGATGCGACGAGGCGTATAATGAGATCCCATGTGCGTTTGGACAAGAAGTATGATGGGTCTTCGTAGACAGGCTTTCGCAGGACCTTCTTCCAATTCTTCAAGTTTTGCCAGGTCTCATCCACGGTAGCGCCTGCGAAGGGCGGGTAGCCTGCAAGCGCCTCGAAGAGCATACAGCCCAAACTCCAGTAATCAACAGTGAAGTCATACTCATCGCCCTTGAGAACTTCTGGGGCCATGTAATCTGGGCTTCCGACGATACTCTTTGCATAATTGACATCTCGTTCGCGGAGAGAGCGGTAGTTGTCACGGCGCTGGGCAGCGGATCGCTCCTCGATTGGCCGTCCAAAAGGCGATACAACGTCGCTGACAGATTCGAGCTTGATGCGCATCGACTCGATTTTGGATGGGGCAAGAATGCCAGCGGCCAGACCGAAGTCGGTGAGCTTGACGTGGCCAGTGCTGTCTATCAGGAAATTCTCGGGCTTCAGATCACGGTGGATATATCCTAGCTGATGCAGAGAGTCGACGCACGAGAACATTTCGGCAATGTAGAAGCGTGCGTGTCTGTTGTGGAGGACACCAGTGTTGTTCAGCAGTGTGCGGAAATCGCCTCCTGGGACGTATTCCTGCTTTTTGTTAGCAGTTGCTACAGAGCATCCATGTAAGACGTACCATGGCGAGATATATGCTCCTATCGTCCTGGAAAGCGTAGAGTAAGCGGACCAGCCACTCGCTCTTAGCTGTGGTCAGGATGTCGCGCTCGGTCAAGACATGGCGGATCTCGTCAAGCTTGAACAGCAGCTTCTTGCTCATGACCTTCAGGGCGCACACCTCCTTTGTGTCCTTTTTCTGGGCCAGGTAGACCTGTCCGTAACCGCCCTGCCCGACCTGGGTCAAGATTTGGAAGTCGCCCTGCCTTAACCGCGTGCGTCGCTTGCGGAGATTGGCGCGCTCGCGGCCCAGGTACTGTGTGAGGGCATCGTTGTATTCGGCCTCATCCGTGGCGGGAGGAAGAGGGTTCTGCGCTTTGAATTGGGTCAGGCGGTTCTGGCGCACGTGCACGTAGGTGAGGAGATCGTAGTAGTAGTCGAGGAAGTCTGCTTCCCGTTAGCCGCGTCCTCGGTCCTCCCGACAGCACATGTACTCACACAGCTGCGTCACGTTGGCCAGTCGCTTCACCGAGGGCTTCCTCGCCTTCTCGAGCTCTTCGGCAGACAGTCGCTGTGGGCCGGGGTAGTAGCGCGTTGACTGGTCGTCTCGCTGTGTGCGGTAGGGCTCCTGGCGCGATTGGGCTGCGTGTGTAACGTAGCTGCTCTCCTTCTGCATGCCGGGGCGGGCATTGGGTGGCGTGTTCTCCTTGTTCGACTTGCGTGCGGGGCTGCCAGGCGTCAACGTGGTGGCGTCGCTGGCAAAGGGATCGCTGTCGTCGGCGCCCTGGAGCTTCGACTTGTTCGGTGATGTGGGCGTGCCTGGTTTTGACCTCGAGGGCGAACCCATGGTCGGGAGCAATTTCATGGCATTCTCGAAGACATGGGGCAGGTCGAATGCGCCCGGTGGCTGGTGATGCTTGCTCGGGCTGCCCTGTGGAGTCTGCTGCGGGCTGATGAAGGCCTCCTGCGAGGGAGTACCGGGGCGGCCCATATCGGTGCCCCGAGTGTGAAGGGCAGGTGGGGGAGCGGGAAGCTGGAAGCCGTCTCTGTTGGGGTCGGACGCCATGTTGTTCTTCTGCTGCGTCGATTCGCAAACAATTCAGCGTAGGCGGAGGAAGCTGCGATAGCGATTGCAGGCCGCTGTCGTTGCGGATCCTAAGACGGAAGGAACGATGCAGTGCTGAATGCAAGCTCCAATGTGTACAGTGGTCAGAGAGGTCGCCGAGAGAGCGGTAGTTTGGCGTCCCGTTGGAGTGTGCAAGTCCTCCGACGAGCAATGCGAACTTGTTGATGCTCTGCGGGGTGTTCATCTGTCATGGCAACCAATCATTCCTGTACGCATCATAATAGTGGGTCCGTCTCGAGAGCCGCAACACCACACCGCACCATCTCGCCTTTCCTAATATGGAAGACAGTAAATCCACATAGATTTAGCTATGCGCATGCCGCCAAGGTACTGACGAACCACATCATTGATTCTTACGACTACGTTCAATTATACCATCTCGATTATCTGCTGTCCATCATCTTCGTTCCGGATCAGATGCACAAATGCAAAAGTATGAGCACCTGTGGAGCGGGCCCCAAATGCCAGTTAACAGTGCCCTAGCAAACGCCATTGACTCCTGAGCCATGCAAACCCAATTCGTGACATTCCCAAAATTTCATACCATCCGCGCCGATGCCGGGCGAAGATGATGAATCGTTAAATTTCTTGACCAGTTTGAAAGAAAAACTCCTCCACTGTGTTATGCATTCTGGGCCGTTGCTGTTCTCCATCTCTTCATACGTGCGCAAATTCCGCCCGCAGCTCGTTAGCAAGTAGCTCCTGCAGTGCGGGGTCTCCGGCCCGGGATATGGCGTTGAACAATAGTGCCGGATTGAATCGCGAGCCGGGCTCGATAAGTTGTTTGCGGCACATCGGGCAGGTAACTTTGTTCTTGTGCTTCTTGCAAGTGTCAAACTAAACATCTGTAAGCAAGACTTTTAAAACGTAGCATGACATCAGACTAATACACACCCATTCGAAGATGCAGAACTCTCCAAAATAATGTCCACATGGAAGCTCAATCGCAATTTCAGCCTCCTCGCACGCCTGCACACTTGTGCTTGAGTAGTCCTTTGCGCAAATGTCGCAAGTAGGCGATGTACCTTCAGGTAGCTGGCCGAGGAGACGTCGAGGAAGCTTATCTTTTAGGGCCTGGACCTGTCGGGAGTTTGCAAGATTTGGATCGTAAGGTTGCGAATGGATCGAGTGCCGCACGCGGTGCTCTCTTGGTAGCCGACGGGTACGAAAGGATGGTGGCACACGCGCTGCAGCCTCCTCTGCTTCCGACGAGTTGATGGAGCGAGACATGTCCTGGATGAAACTGTCGTATGTGCGCCGCGCAGTTGCCGGTGGCGAGTCATCTAGCAGACGACCTTGACTGTGCAAAGATCTATATGCACGTCGCTCTGCTGAACCGAGTGACCAGCGGCTGCCATTACCATGGTGGTGACGTACACCTTGCTGCGACGACCTTTGGGCGATCGGTTGGGGCTGACGAGACGGATCTGCAGTTGGTCTTGGAGGTCTTGCTTCGGAGCCGGGTCCTAGAGGATACTGTGCCTGCATTTGTTGGTCTAGTGCTCCATAACCCTGCTCTTGTGCAAATGGCCACACAGGTAGCGTTGGACCGTAGTTCATCTCACCTCCGTGGAGGTATGGATGAAGGGGACTTGGAGTACCTCGCATCATGGGTTGGCTAGGCGGACCGGGCATATGGCCGGCCCCACCGAACCAAGTCATCTCTGGATGCGCGTCGATGGGGGAGAATGCAGGTCGTCTTGGCACCGGTGGTTGCGCCACTTGGTGGGGGTGCATGCCAGAATAGGACGGCCGGTAATCGAAGGCTTGGTGGTGGTTTTGTTCGTATGGATTTGGCAGTTGCATTGCTGGATGATCAGGCTGCGGTGCATAATCCGTGGAATGATTCGCTGCAAAATGATTAAAGTGTCCGTATGGATCGTAGCGTTCTCGAACGGGCTGAGCGAATGGGACTGCATATGCATTGAAATGTGGGGGAGACCGTTCTGAATCTTGAGTTACTGTGCTTGCGGATGTCGAACTCCAGTGTGGACAGAAATCTGATGCCGACATGACTGCGCTTCAAGGCGAAAGATCGCGTCGGTCGTCTCTGATAATGTGTGACAGTTGTGCTTGTGCTTATGTCTGGTGACCGGAGACAGATCGGCGAAGATGTTTCAAGCAACCTGGAGACTGAGGTAGAAGTATGTGTGAGTTTCAGTCGATACCGCCGCAGCTTTCTCTGCTGACTCTTTCTGCTGCTGGTTTCCTCAAGAAGAGTATCGATTAAGTTTGTGGAAAGACTGAAGCCTTATCGGTAGCCTTGACGGTGGAGGCGGTGGACCGTTCGTTCCGGTGATTCACAGCGGCACAGGCCCGAAGACAACCAACAGCTTCAGCAGGCTGCAGTGGATTAGTAGAGTGTGCAGAAAGCAGAAGCGTTTGCTGGAAGGATGGCGAGGAAGTCAGAGGAGGAGTTCCCCTCCAGAACTGCGGGGGTAGCAGGTAGGACCGTCCACGGGTGGATGATAACTAGTCAATGCGACGTAGCTGGCACGCCCCGTCGAGAGCTATCCCGTGCAGGAATATCGGTGACGAGGGCAGCGAACCTTGGAAGGCGAGCCATTCCGAGTCAATAAGTGGACAATCAATCTAAAGACGGTCTCGCGCCACGCTCGCTCGGAAGCGGGTTGCCCTCATGACAGCGCAAGGAGGCGGCTGCCCGAACAGGCGCCTGGGGTCCTGGATCACGCCGAAGAGAGCAGTACTTGAATCTTACCAGGACTTTCTTCTTCTTCGTCTGGGCCATGGCGACAAACGAATGCATGCCTCCTACAATTACGACCAATGGACGCAATTCCCAGCCGAGAACGACAAGCATGCACCATTGCCAGTGGTGGACGGCGCAGTCCAGACCCAGGCATCGATCCTGTCTCACCAACAACGCGAGGAAGCTTACGTAGTACAGCTTGGTCGCGGTAATGGAGCCTCAAGTCCTTCATCAATGCATATTCGCGTTGCTGTCGTTAGTGCATTAATGCAGTGCTCAACAGTACAGACTGGACTCTCCAACTTGGTCGGCAGCAGCATCCCTAGCATGCACCAGCAGCAGAGACCGCTCGACGTGCGGCGAGCCACTATGCGTGCTTCCGCAAGTGATCGGGTCTCAATGGGTTGACCACAGTGGTGGAGTGCGGCATCCCACCGCGGTCCACGCAAACGGTAGACCGACCCTCATTGCATGCAGACGCAGTCTGAGGGCGGTTGCGAGATGATACGGTAGGTGAGCCGGATATCGGCCCGTGGGGAGAAGAAGGCGAGATTTCGGTCTGCTGGTGAAGAGACCTGCACGTGTCCAGCAGATGTTCCGTGGGTCGAACTGGATATCCGAATCGATTTTTATTTTCTGCTGCGAATAAAAATCGCGATGGACGAGCAGAGCACACGTGCCAAGGCTCTCGGACCCTTCGACTTGCGAGGCCCGATTTCTCCCGCGGCATAATTTTGAGCTCTGAGCTCCAGACACTTGATATTCCAGAAATATCGTCGTGAGGCCTCTTGTCTGGTAGGCAGCTGGCAATAGCGCTGTTCCGTCCATTATACAACACTCCCCGTATAGCCACCCCACACAACCTCCACCATGTTCCGCACTGCGCGTATCACCCTGCGGCGTGCCGAGGCCGGCGGAGCCATGCGCTCACTGGCACATGCGAAGACCAACCCCTCAGTCATCTGCGGTACTGCCAAAGCACGTCCTTTGTCCACAGCCGCCCGCCATCCCACCAAGTTCACGCCATTGGGCACCCAGAGCTTCTTCCAGCGCCGCCAGTTCAGCTTCACCAGCAGCATGGCCAACACCCGCACCGAGAGCGATGCCTTTGGCGAGCTCCAGGTAGCCTCGGACAGGTACTGGGGAGCCCAGACAGAGCGGTCCCTGGAGAACTTCAAGATCAACCAGCCGCAGGACCGCATGCCCCCGCCGATTGTGCGTGCCTTTGGCATTCTCAAGGGTGCGGCTGCGACGGTCAACATGAAGTTCGGGCTGGGTACGACTGCTCCGGCAACTTCACCACCACGTGGCTGACGAGATGCAGACCCAAAGCTTGGAAAGGCCATCCAGCAGGCTGCCGAAGAGGTCGCCTCTCTCAAGCTCATCGACCACTTCCCCCTCGTTGTGTGGCAGACCGGCTCTGGCACCCAGTCCAACATGAACGCGAACGAAGTCATCTCCAACCGCGCCATTGAGATCCTGGGGGGAACAATGGGCACCAAGAAGCCTGTCCACCCCAACGACCATGTCAACATGTCTGCCTCGTCCAACGACACATTCCCCACCGTCATGCACATTGCCGCCGTGCTCGACTTCGAGGAGTCGCTGCTGCCCGCACTCAAGAGCCTACGGGACGCCCTCAAGAAGAAGAGCGATCAATGGGAGAACCTGATCAAGATTGGCCGGACACATTTGCAGGACGCAACCCCGCTGACTCTGGGCCAAGAGTTCTCCGGCTACGTGCAGCAGCTCGACTTTGGCATCGAGAGGATACAATCTTGCCTGCCTCGCCTGAAGATGCTTGCCCAGGGAGGAACTGCTGTCGGAACCGGAATCAACACCTTTGTTGGTTTCGCCGAAGACATTGCGTCAGAAGTCAGCAAGATGACTGGCCACAAGTTCGTCACTGCACCCAACAAGTTCGAGGCACTCGCCGCTCATGACGCCATCGTCGAAGCCCATGGCCAGCTCAACACACTTGCCACTTCTCTTTTCAAGATTGCACAGGACATTCGCTTCCTTGGCTCGGGTCCGCGATGCGGTCTTGGTGAGCTCAAGCTGCCGGAGAACGAGCCTGGATCTTCCATCATGCCTGGAAAGGTCAACCCCACCCAGTGCGAGTCACTGACTATGGTCTGTGCTCAGGTCTTTGGTAACCAAGCCGCGACGACCTTTGCCGGATCGCAGGGTAACTTCGAGCTCAATGTCTTCAAGCCTGTCATGATCCGCAACCTTCTCCACAGCTCGCGCCTCCTTGCAGACGCCATGACAAGCTTTGAGAAGAACCTTGTTGCAGGGCTTGACGCCGATGAGAAGCGCATTAGCTCGATCTTGACCGAGAGGTGAGTTGATTCTCTGACAAATGCAAGTAATAATGCTGACTCAATATAGTCTTATGTTGGTGACTTGCCTCAACCCCGTCATTGGTTATGATGCGGCCAGCAAGACCGCCAAGCACGCACACAAGAATGGTATGACACTGAAGGCTGCTGCTCTTGAGCTCAAGGTCATCAGCGAAGAGGACTTTGACAAGCATGTTCGCCCCGAATTGATGATCGCTCCCAAAGAGTACAAGCCCAAGGCATGAGCAATGAAAAGTAAAAAGTATGTACAAAATGTAAATACAAAGTGGACGAAATATCGTACCAGTGACCAGGCAAGCATTGTCCATCTGCAAAGCTAAAGTGAATTCCACGCGCTATGACATGACCGCGTCGCGCACGGACCATATCCCTCGACCCCATCAACGGCCCGCACCATGCCCTCTATCATCCGGTCGACTTTCTGCAACCACTGTGGGCACCACAACAATGCCCGGCCTTGTGCAGAATGTGCGGAAGCGCCCGGCGATCGCGCTGAGCGATGACGACGAAAACGAACAATCCGATCGATCCTCCGTATCTATGGGCAGCAAACGCGCTCGTCATGGTCGCGACGCGTCCGAAAGCCCGCCTCAAACGAACGGCCACCGCAGCCACGACCGCCCGGGTACCCTATCAGCCGACGACGAGTTCCCACCTGGCACACTTGTCCGAGTCAAGCTAAAGAATTTTGTCACATACACGGCTGCCGAGTTTCACTTGGGGCCCAGTCTCAACATGATCATTGGACCCAACGGAACAGGAAAGAGTACACTTGTCTGTGCTATATGTCTGGGTCTTGGATGGTCAAGCGAGCATTTGGGTAGAGCAAAAGAACTCGGACACTTCGTGAAGAATGGTAGTGACGAGGCTATGATTGAGATTGAACTTGCCGCAGGTCCTGGAATGAAGTCGAATCCAGTTGTACGCCGAATGATTCGCAAGTCAGATGGCAAATCAATCTTCTGGATCAACGGCAAGAATGCAGGCAAGAACACTGTGTTGTCATTATGCAAACAATTCTCAATTCAGATCGACAATCTTTGTCAGTTTCTGCCCCAGGACCGAGTTGTGGAATTCGCAAGGATGTCAGATGTGGACCGTCTAAGAGAGACTCAGCGTGCTGCAGCCCCAAAGCACATGGTGGAGTGGCACGACAAATTGAAAGAGCTTCGCACCGAGGAGAAAGGGTTGGAGGTTAGGCAACAGAATGAGAAGCGTCATCTGGAAGGCCTCGAAAAGGCACAGAACGCGGATAGAGACGATGTCGAACGTTTCCATCAGCGCGAGGACCTCTTGCAAAAGTCTAAATGTTTGCAAAAGGTCAGGCCTATCATCGAGTTGAGCCTGCGCAAGAACAATATAAATCAGGCGAAGAAAGATCTACAGCATGCCAGACGAGAGCTCGACCAGATCGAAGCAGAGGTTGAACCAGTCCAGCAAGCCCTAGACGAAGTGAAAGCGTACAAAGACCAAGTCGAGCAAGTTGTCAAGCTCCGCCAGAACCGCGTCGACGCGACCAAGGCACAGGCAGATAAGGTTTTTGTCAAAATCGACAAAGACAAAGGGGCTATCAGTGGATTCTCTGCTCAGATCACTGCTGAGGCCAATTCCAAGAAAGAGCGTGCCAAGGATATTGCACGCATGAACGCCGAGATACAACGCCTGGATCGACAGAGACAAGAACAGCCTGTGGATTACGATGCCGATGCATATGCACGCCGTAAGGCTGATTATGGAGCGCAGATACGAGCAGCTTCGAGCCGCCAAGTCGAGTGCGAAAGTGCATTACAAAGCCACAGACAAAGATCTGGCAACCTCATCAACAACTACAACTCAGCTACCGCACAGCGTGATACTCTCAACACCCAGAGTGGGAAGCAGGCAGGCGTGCTAACAAACCTTTCGCGCGATACGGCGAAGGCCTGGGACTGGTTCCAACAAAACAGAGGTGACCTGAATCTCAAAGGAGATGTGTATGGGCCACCAATTCTGGAGTGTTCGATTCGGGACCCTCGTTACGCAGATGCTGTGGAGAGTCAATTGAGGAAGGGCGATTTCTTAGCGATTACCTTTACGAACGCAGACGACCGGAAACTGGTTTCAGATCGCTTCATGGGCAGAGACCATCTGGCTCTTCACGACATCTACACACGTACATCACCGAAGCCTCTCTCCGAATACCAGCCTCCTATTGCACCCGCCCAGTTACAGAACATGGGGTTCGAGGGTTATATGATCGATTACATCGAAGGTCCGGATGCCGTGCTGGCTATGCTTTGCGACAATGCTCGTCTGAACCGCATTGCTTATGCCCCCAAACCAATATCTAACGCGCAGCATGAGGCGGTTTCGAGCAGCCCAATTCAGAAATGGGTCAGTGGCAGAGACATTTACCAGATTACAACACGTAGGGAGTATGGTGTTTCGTCTACCTCGGTCACACAGATCAAACAGGCAAGGTGTTTCGTCGACCAGCCGGCTAACACTGAAGAGAAGCGGCAACTCGACGAAGCCATCAAGCAGATACAGCGAGATACAGCGGAGCTGCAAGAGGAGATGACAAATTGCAAAGCAGAAATTCGTGAATCGAGACAGCAGGTGGAGGACTTGAAACGGGCGAGAGATGATGTGCAGGAGGAGGAGAATCGCATAAAGAGGGCCATGGCCGAGTGGGAACTCTTGCCAGACAAGATCAAATGGAAGCAAAGAGATCTTGACAAACTGAAACAAGATAATGCCGAAACCAGCAATCGTATACGTGCGATCAAGACCGATTCGCAGCAGGCCTCATTGTCTCTTGCGAAATTGACCATCGACTATGCCAAAACCGTTACTCAGCTACGGATATTCCACGAATCGCTTGTTGAAGCACAGATACGCTTGATAGAAGCTACATCAGAGTTCAACGCGCTCCAACATGAGAACAGCGAAATTTTGGAGAAGCTGCAGAGGAAGAAGGCTGAGATTAAGGACATGGACAATCATTTCATGACACTTCGCAGAGAATACAAGCGTCTGACGGATGTTATACAGGCGGATCTGAACAGTCTACAGCCAGAAGAGAAGGCCATGGTATTGGAGTACCGGGAGCTGTCGTCGCTAGAGGCTCTTGAGCTTGAAGTTCAAGCTGTTTCCGCCCGGCTTGATATGATGGTTGAGGGTAATTCCGGCATCATCAAGGCTTTTGAGAAGCGCCAAGAAGACATCATCAAGACCCAAGACAAGCTTGAGGAGCATACTGCCAGTCTCGAAGCCATCAGGACACAAATCGTAGAGATCCGCTCTCAATGGGAGCCTGAGCTCGACGCACTCGTTGCAAAGATCAGTAATGCGTTCGCGCACAACTTCGAGCAGATTGGCTGCGCAGGCGAAGTCCAGGTCTACAAGGACGAGGAAGATTTCGACAAGTGGTCCATTCAGATTTCAGTTCGGTTCCGGTAAGCTACTAAGAAAAAATCTGCAGTCTTCAAATACTAACAATTAGTTCAGTGAAGGCGAGACACTCTCGGTCCTCAACGCACACCGCCAGTCTGGTGGTGAGCGCGCCGTATCAACCATCTTTTATCTCATGGCTATGCAGGACCTTGCACAATCGCCGTTCCGTGTCGTCGACGAGATCAATCAAGGTATGGACCCACGCAACGAGCGTATGGTACATGAGCGAATGGTCGACATTGCATGCCAAGAGCGCACAAGTCAGTACTTTTTGGTGACGCCGAAACTGCTCACCGGACTGAAGTTTCATCCGCGGATGAAGGTTCACGTTATCAATAGCGGTGAACATATTCCAGACGCAGAGGCGGAGGGTACGTGGAACATGAGGGAGTTTGCCAAGATGGCACTGAGGGCCCGGAAGGGTATTACGGTGCCTTAAGGATATCTACGATCCGCATTCACGGATTTATCGTCTCACCACCAGATGATACGACTTTCATGGCGCAATAGGTTACATAGTGGGAGGCAACGTATATGGAGTTGGTAATGCTGCATGATGATACCCGGGTGAACAGGCGTAATGGTTCGTGGCTAGGCATTGATTTACGTTATTGTCTTTGACGTCAACAGACACTAGCTACCTTGTGCCGCAATGCTCGATAGCGCACGCGGAATACATTACCCAGCAGGTGCATGTCTCCTCCATCGCACACAAAGCATATATTTCCACGTTACTGTCCACTTCAACTGTCTTTAGCGCCTCTGCTGACAATGCTTCGTGTATCTTGACCCCCTATCAGCTCTTCTGACGTTCTCGTGCATTCATGGTTTGCGTACCGTCACTTGTATTCTTGTACCCTAGTTGGTGATACACGAGCACGGCAAAACGGCGATTTGTACAACATGCGCCATGATGATCGCTCTTTGAGTTACATCATCGACGAAGGCTTTCGTTCAAAGAAGCGCACGAACCTTCCGGATATCAGAAAACGAGAGAAAACTTGGTCTTGAGCTACCTCGTTGTCATGGTGGTATGCCATGCGATGTTGCATCGTGCTTCGGAATATCCCAACTGACATGATGCTGCTTCTAGAAAAGCATGTATATATGCTTTTCAAGTATCCAAAAACCACACTCAGTACCAAGGCATTATCAGACTGCGCAAGCACCCTGCTACCTCCCAAGACCAATTTCACCCCCACTCCAAATGCTCGCTCTACTCGCCACCCTCCTCAGCCTCCTCCCACTCTCCCACAGCCACCCCACAACCACCGATGGCATAGGCCCCGAGGAAACATGGACCATCCCGCGTCTCGACATGCACATGATGTCCAGCAACACCGGGCTACCAGGCAACACCTGGCCACCCTCTGCGCACTTCAACTCCACCATATCCTTCGACGTCACCATGCCCGTGCACAACCTAACATTCCCCTCCAACCCCTCCAACAACATCACCACAACCTGCACCGCCTCCTTCGCCAACGGCACGCTCCCCTCCGGCCGCAACTTCTGCAACCCTCCCGGTCCGACGGAAATCCTCTGGTTTGAAATGAGCACCATTGACGGCCTGGGTCCACGCCGCCCGGAGTTGGCGTTTAGTTTGCATTTTCATGGCGCGCTGGAGTGGGATGGGGGTCGGGTCGCTATGACGTGGTTCGATGGGTATCGCCATATCACGGCGAATAATGCGAGTGAGGAGAGTGGGTTTTTGACGTGTCTTGAGGGCAGGCCGTTGGATGGGTTGAGATGTGGGATTGGGAGTTATTTGAGTAGGAGGGAGGCTTTGACGGTGAATGTTGTGAGAATTGGGGGGCCGCCGATGAATGGGACGGTTGGGGGTGAGGGGCGAAGCCAGTGAGGAGATAACAGGGATGAGGGGGATGAGGAATGGCATATGCTCGATTGGTTCAATGGACTTACAGGTTGGAGTTGTGGCGAATTATAGATTGTGTTGTGAGTGCAGCTATTGTGATTTTGGATTGTTTCTTGATCGACTCCCTTGGTGAGCTTTGGTTATGGGTCTTACATGTCAAATGTCTCACATTTGCTTCACCGTGAAGCCATTTGAGGTGCGACAGAGCTACTTTGAGAACAGTTCGCATCGACATCTAATGTTCTACTTTTGTGGCTTTCTCGACAAACAGGCTACATTGCGAAGTACATGTGCGACTAAAGATACATCTACAAGGGCTTGGTTAGTGATAATATGTGTTCATCGACCATTCTCTTCTAGCCCAGTTAGATCTACCAAGCTTCACGCGACCTACTGCACAATCAAATCTAAGCCCACAGTCCCATGCAAAAGACATTGTTGTTGTGGTGATCGCGGGGTGTGGAGACAGGATCGGCAGCCGTTTTTCGCTAGTCAGGTACACCACATCTGTTGTGCGCGCAATGGCTTTCGCACCGTTTCATCTCCATCTTTGGGCTGAACAACAGCAGCTGGACAAGATGCTGCATTGACTCATGGTTTCTGAAGATATGGTTGTGAATCCTCAATTGATGCATCTTCGCCGTTCAGGTGATGAAGATACGTCTGCCAGCGCATCAGACGTTTAGTCACTACGCAGTGGTGCGATTGTGCCGACCTGTCGGATTCGACCTCACGACGCGCGAATGTGCTACTACAGGTAGTTCATGCAAAACAAGACGCAACCGGTTGTTTGTCTTGACGCGTAACATGACTTCCGTCTTCCTTGCTCCTCTTTTGTGCTTTTGTTCCTTTTGTTAGCCAACCCCATCTTTTCCATCCTTCACTTCTTCTCATACTCAGTCATTCATCATGATTGGAAATTTTGCATCATTCGTGTTCATTATGCTATTTGCGAGCGATATATGGGCAGTGTATGGTCTTGGGCTTCCTCAGCCAAATTCCATAGTGTGCGAGGTAAGTGGGGAAGGTTGCGTGTATGATTGCGACTAACGAATAATGCAGGACTGTCAAGTCACTTCCGCCTCTGGCCATTTCGTGGTTACGAAGGTGTTTGAGACACCCGTACCTGCACTATCGACAGCTGCAATCACTCCAACAAATGCGTTACCACTTGCCACTCCACCACCAATCGCACCACCTGCGAATCTCCAAGGCCCTACTGCCTCTGACACCCATGACCTCAGCGATGGCGTGAAAGCCGCCATAGGCATCAGTGTCGTGGTGATCATCGTCCTTCTTCTCGCCTTCCTCGTCTTAGGCATACCTCAGATCCGGAGCAGGCGCCGGACACAGGCGCTGCAGCGTGCTGTAGAAGAAGTCGAACGCGGCGTCGAGATGCAGAAACCCGCGGACCATGTTAGTGAAGCCATGAGCGACGGGAAAGACAACATGGTGCTTGAGAGTCGGGTAGAGATCGTCGTGGAGGATGGCGCAAGCGAACGAAACGTGGTGGACACCTGGGACGGGTGGAACGCGACTTACGAAGGTGATGATGCCGAGCGAGGAAGGCAAGGCATGAGTCTGCCCAGGAGAGAGTATTGAGTGCTGAGTGCGATCATTCTGTTTTGATTAGGGAGCAAGTGTGTCGGTGGCTGCTCCTCGATTTCGTAAGCATCACAGGCGAGCTAAGCGGGAGTAGCTGACGTCGTCTGGTTAGTGAGTGTCTCTTTAAAGAGTCAGATATGAGTGCAAGAGTTATCCATGTCTGTGACTGCTTCTGTGGTTCTCATCTTGAAGAAGCTACTGCGCAACCCAATAGTACCTTCCTTGTATCAGAATGCACATCACCTCATCTCACTTCACGTAGCTCGTTTACCCATTGCTTTCGCATTGGGTGCCTGTCTCATTTCACGTTCAAAGCGTTAGCACTGTTCTGACATATCTCACGTGTACGATTATCCGGCGGATCATGAATTCAGACCAACAGGATGTTCACATGACTGGTCAAAGTCCATTGCCGCAACCTTCAGAGCTTCATCCGCCAAACCCGACTGTCGCCGAACTTCAGACGTGTCCATCACCGAACACTGTTGGATTACAGATCATCGCTAACAAGGCCCAATGCCTTCATTCGAACAACGACGATGTTACCCGTGCATTCAAATCTATCCTTAAATGTCGCGATGATAAAAAGGGCACGTCTTTTACTCTCTCCCTTGATGGTGGCAGGTATGAGAGGGATGTGCCATCTGTTCCTACCCTGGATCAACAGCGAGGCCCGCGTCAGGTACACCCACAGTGGTTAAGTAAACTACTTCAGCACAACATGCCTCGAAAAGACAGTGCGTTCTTCTACCCCAGAATCCAGGACCAAGGCGATGTGGATCAACACCTTGTTGACCTCGTCCATTACGTGCAATATGAAGACGTGCAACCCCACCGCGCACTGACGAGCGTCGTTTTCGATACTCCAATCACACACGAACTTGCGAAGCCACGATTGTCACACGAGCCCACCGCGAGTATTTTCCCACATAAGCTCAGCAATGCCATGTCGATCATGCCTCGCGGATCTACCTTGCCTCTCGAATGCAGTCCGTTAACGCACACCACGGAGATACACCTCCTCAGCGGCGTCCGTGTTTATTTCGTCTGGCCACCACAGAAGGACAACATATTTTGGTTATGGACGTATTTCATGGATATAAGTGAAGAACTGCACGCATCGACCTTGGAGAAATTGGAGAATGGTATCACCTTTGTCCAGCGCCCCGGCCAGATCGTGACTCTGCCGCCATATTGCCCAACATTGGTGTTCGCAACGAAGAACAGTGCGGCAATACCTTTTGGCTTCCGCCACATTGAAACCCTACCTCTGCGACTACGATATCTTCCATTGTTGGTTCAAAATAAAGGAAATAATCCGCATGACAACTACCAATACGCTGCAATGCTTGGAGCTCAAGTTAATGAGCTATACGAAGACCTCGAAACCTTCCTAAGGAGCGAGGTAGAAGCCGAGTCACACAGGCATCTCGTGGTAATGGAAGCGCTGGCCGCTGAGTGGGACGATGTAGTTGACTGGCTTCTGTACCACCTCGGAACGTCCATACCACCGCAGCTATGGCAGCACATGTTCAGTTCTATTCCAGTGTTGTGGGAGCGTGCAATGGATTTTCATCGCATGGAGGTGTGTCCCATGTGCAAATGGACAAGGGAGTACTGGGCTGAAGGATCAGCACGATTCCATATCGCCTCGAGCCACTGGAAGTGGTACGTTGTTCGTCTGGTATAACATCCCAGAGATATGTAATGGGCCAATCGTGGTTTTATTGAGGCTTGTTTTCGATTCATCCTCGAATTCGAAAGCACGATTTATTCTTGCGTAGCATTGCAAATCACGTTAAACATGTCGTGCGCTGTTCCTTGCCCGAGTGCCCTGAAATACGTCAATGCTACACATAATCAGATTAAGGATGTGCAGGTTTCGATGACGCGGTGATCTGTTATTTCGTGTCCTTTGATTGGCATTGTAAGCTAAGTTTCTTGTCAAATGATAAGCAGTGCAAGCTTGTGGTCATCAAATTGTGGCTGACAGCGGTCCGCCTTCCTTCCCGAATCGTACGCTCGCTTCGGTCAAACGTGATGCCAAGTCACAGCACGCCATGTATCGTACACACCACGGGACCAAACGCTGTAGTCCTCAGAGGCCTCGATTCGGACCTATTGCGCGGCCAAGGCGCGCCACTCTTAACGTTCATCATGCCTGCCCAGTATGGTCTAGCGTCGCGGCTCCGGACCAATGAGAAACACCTCAGCAGTTTCCGCCTGCATGCGCCAAGTCGGCGCTGATATTACGCGGCCAAACAAGTGAGTCGTATCTCCTCCGAATGTATATCTCCCGCAAGTGCACCAGGCACTCCCAGGAATATGGGGCAGGGACCTGCCTAATGCATACGGTACCTTGGTGGGCTGGTGTAAATAGCGGAGATCAGACGAGTTGGGCAGGTGAAATATACGCGTACGACATGAACAGAGCATAAAAGCAGAAGAGAATCCTCAGGAAACAAACCACACAAGCACGGTTGTCGTTTCTTGCAATCATGAAGTTCCTCCTCACATCGGCGCTGCTTGCGTCCACGACTTTGGGCTCCGTGGTTCCAAGAGCTGGACAGAAGGTCGACTACAATGGCTTCAAGGCCCTTCGCATCACCTTGCCAGAGGGTTCCGAGAGTGTCAAGGCTCAGGTTGAGGACCTCGTCGCCCACGTTCTCAACCCTGGCAAGTCTGCTGAGCTTGACGTCGTTGTTGCGCCCCAGGATGTCGAGGCTCTGAACGCTCTCGTTGGAGAGAGCAAGGTCATCGCCGAGGATGTTGGTGCTGTTCTTGCAGACGAGGGCGAGGTATCAACCTACGCTGGTGCGTTACTTCCCGAACTTCATCAAGCGGTATATACTAACTTTCCTCAGTGCCATCGGAGTCGTGGTTCACCGCTTACCACCCATACGCTGACCACCTTCAATTCTTGCGAGACTTGCAGGCCGGCTACACCGGCAACTCTGCTATCATCACAGCCGGAACTTCCGTCCAAGGCCGCACCCTTACCGGTATCCAGATCTGGGGAAGTGGAGGCCGCGGATCCAAGCCAGCGGTCATTATCCATGGCAACGTCCACGCCCGAGAATGGATCACATCCATGACCACCGAGTACTTTGCCTGGCAACTATTGACCAAGTACTCCTCGGACGCAACCATCAAGTCCCTGGTCGACAAGTTCGACTTCTACATCACCCCCATCGTCAACCCGGACGGCTTCGTCTACTCCCAGACCACCGACCGTCTCTGGCGCAAGAACCGCTCCGTCGTATCCGGAAACTCCTGCGTCGGCACCGACATCAACAGGAACTGGCCCTACAAGTGGGAACTCACAAACGGCGCCTCCACCAACCCCTGCTCCGAAACCTACAAGGGCACCTCCGCCGGCAACACGCCCGAGAACCGCGGCGTAGTCGCCCAGGTAAACCAACTCCGCGACTCGCGCGGCATCCGCCTGTATCTCGACGTGCACTCGTACGGCCAATACATCCTCTCGCCCTACGGCTACGATTGCAGCGCGCGCCCAGAGAACAACGCACAGCACCTGTCCCTCGCGCAGCGCGCGGCCGCCGCTATCCGCGCTGTGTCCGGCACGGCGTACACGACGGGCCCGTCATGCTCGACGCTGTATGCGACGACGGGAAGCTCGACGGATTACACGGATGTTACGGGTAATGCTACGTACTCGTTTACGTACGAGTTGAGGGATAAGGGCACGTTTGGGTTCAGTCTGCCGGCGAATCAGATTCAGCCGACTGTTGTGGAGACTTGGGCCGGGCTGGTGAGTATGTTGAAGGATGCTTAGGGGATGGAAGAAGGGATTTGTATATATTGCTGAGATGTGAAATCGACATATTTGTATGAAACTTGGAATAGTTGCAGTGAGGTCCTGTCTCGGAGCTTTGTTGGGATACTACTGACATGGCATGAACTTTGAAATCAAGCGTATCTAACTGATGCACCTAATCACGTGCGTGCTAAAGGGAAGGATGAATGCGAAAATGTAACGCTTCTATCTCGTGTGTTGAAATGGAAAATATGTTACCCGGCATTCTAGTCGTACAAACTCATTGAGGAGCTTCATAGTTTCGCTCCCGCATCCCTAACAGCCTTCAGCACCTCCTCTTCTCACATACATCAACCAATACTCACATATGCTTATGAAAGAAATCCAGCACCAGCTTATACCCCCGCTCGTACGCCTTCTTCACCTTCTCCTGCTCCAAATCGCCCCTCGCCGCCATCCACCCATGCACCTGATCTGGGAACCACTCAACCACATTCGGTGTCTTAATGCCCTTCTGCCACTTCTCGACATCCTCCTTACTCTCATCGCCTGACGGGAGCATGATGTAAGGAATTTTGACGCCAGGAGCGTCCTCGCCAGCGACCATGGCGGGATGGCATGCAGCTGCGACTTTGAAGGGCGTGCCCTCCATTGAGGAGAGATTAACAATCTGCCAAGTCAGAACGATTGCGAAACTTCAAGATGCGTGCGATAACTCACCTTCCCACCCCAACAATATCCCAAAATCGCCCACTTCTCAATCCCCCTGCTCTCCCCCAACTCCTTCACAATCTTCGGAATGCGCGGCAGCGTCTTGGGCGGTGCGGCCTTCGTCTCGAAGAACTCGCCCAGCTTCTTGCCCTTCTCCTCGTTGTCCGGCGGGTACCATGAGATGTCCGCGGGCTGGCCCTCGAAGAAATCTGGGATGAAGACCTGATACTTTGTGTCGTCGGTGTAGGCGAGGATGTCAGCGCCTTGGAGGGTCTGGTTGAAGAAGCCGAAGATGTCGTAGACAACTAGGATTCCTGTCTTTGCGTCTTTGGGGCCGGTTGCGTCTACGATGGGGGTTAGGAAGGGGGTGGGATGGGGATGGGTGAGGACTGACAGGTCTTCAAGCCGTCGACTTCGATGTAGTCGCCCTTCGGGGAGTAGCCTTTACTGACGACGGCGGGCGTGTTGCAACAGGCTTGCGATTGTGTGGATGCCGAAGACATGCTTGCAATTTGCTTTGTCGTGAAGCTCTGAGTCGGTGTAAGTGTCTTGGTGTAGCTTTTGATGGATCGTGTGGCTGCAATTGGTGTTCGCGAGATAGAGCAAAGTGACGGCTTTGCGATCGAAGCTTGGAGAATGGATGTATGACGAGAGAAGACACGCATTATGTGTGCTCCCGGTATTTGTCAAGCTGGTCGTTACTACTTCATAGTGGGGCACGAACGACGGAAGCTACCCCGCAAGAATGATGTCACGGAATGCATCATACTGGCGTCCATGGGAAGACCCGTGATAACTATTGTGGTTTCTACTATGAGAGTGAAGATATAGAGTCTTGACTCCGTGATACTTAGGATTTGTGGATGCCTGTGTTGCGTTTTGATTTAAAGTTTACTTGTGCCACACCAACCGCATGCGCGCGATGCCTGTCATATGCATGATGCACGATGGATGAAGAAAATCTAACATCGAACTTTGAGATATGGCAATTAAATGATGGCCCACGCAAGGATAAATGTAGACTCCTGAAGGCATACGAACGTGCGAAACGTGTAGACCATGTACCTTATACAGCGACGGGGAGAAGACAATCACGCAAGAAGACACACTTTGTGTTCATTCGTATCACCGAAGTGATGCGGGATGTATTCAACTATGCATCTAGGTTCAGCTTTTCCAGCAGCGCATCGATCTTGCCCAGCAGAACCTGATAGTTCATTGCGTCCTGCAAGAACTCATCTCCAACTTCCTCACCATCTAATGTTCGTATAGTACCAGTGGCAAGCTGCTCGTGAACAAGCGCCGAAGTCTTCTCAGGAATCTTAGTCTCGAGCGCGAAGTCGCCCATGGAGTCTACAAGATCTCCTTCGGTAGCATCAGCCACCGCTTGAATGGCTGCGGACTCGTCCATCATCTCATCCAAACCACTATCCTCAAAACGCAGCCTAAATCTTTCGCTCAAATAAAACCTCAAGTCATCTACCAATTCAACAGTGTCCGTCTCTTGACGTGCCTTGACTCTGTTCGCAGACTCCAAGACCAGCTCCGCAAATTCTGGCTGATCGATATAGTGTTCCAGGCGGTATGCAATGTATCGAGCCGCGAACTCCTCCAAACGTTGAACACGTGTATCCCATCCGGCTCGCATAACCTCATATATATCGACAGCCTCATCAGCATCGGCATCAGTCGCGCCACGCGGATTATCCGCCTCAACGGCTGATGTGGAGCCGTTTCCAAGCGCAGAAATGATAATGGCAGCACGTTGCTTGAGTTTCTCGATGAATAGTTGATCCGCAGCAAAAAGGACGTCAATGGCAATGTCTAGGCCAAAGTCGGCTTTTTCGGTGTACATGAAGGTCAAAATGGTCTCCAGAACTGCTGGTGAGCAATCGATCGTGATAATTTGCAGGTGCGGCGTGTCCTGAGCCTCCTTGAACTGCGAGCTGAACATGGTCAGGAAGTACTCTGAGCGTAGGAGCATAGCGCGGTGGGCTGGGAATATCGTCGACCTCCTGGGCTTCCTATGGCGTGATGGCGAGCGCGATCGTACTGGGCCAACGGGTATTCCAAGTAGCGCGCCAGGTGTGTTCCGTACGCGTGGAGTCGATGAGTCAGATGGTCCGGGAGAACGGTCTGTTTGCTCCTCGTCACCCTCCTCGTCCTCGTCTGCGCGTAACAAAATATCCGCGAAGATGCTGTTTTCTCGATCCCATCTTATCTTGTCCACCTTGTCCGTGTCTACCGTCGTCCTGTGTCGTAGCACGTTGTTTCGGAACCAACTATCCATCTGATCTCTCCCCCTCTCCAGTTCCTCGCCACGACGCTGCCGTAGTAGCCGCCTGTCCGATACTTCGGTAATGTCCTCGAACAGCCGCTCTATTTCTAGTTGCTTGCCTATCTTATCAATGCCACTTAAAACCACTAGCTCTTGCTCGTCATTGAGACCAAACAGGGCCCTCCGCACCGAAACTTCTTGGAAGTAAAGGTATTGCAGTGCCACGCCCAATGCCTCTGCAGGTATCGTGTTTGGTAGCTTCCATGTTGTCGTCGACGGCGCGGCTGCTAGCTTCTTTGCAAAATACGGAGATCGAGCTGCTAGGATAAACTTGTGAAGGTGGAATTCTTGGTCGTATGCGGTAATCGTGATATCGGTCGTCTTTGGTTCAGACCGGGTGAGGAGCGAGGTGATGTGTGCAGCGAGTGGTTGCAGAGGGTTGGTCGACTTCGCATAGTCGTAAGATAGTAGGAGATTTCTTATGCGATCGTTGAGGGCGTTGTATAAGCAGCGTTCGCCTTGGAAGGTGTCGCGCTCGCACAATGCGCCATTCTCGAGTAGCAGGCGGATCACTTCGAAGTGTCCGCAGAGACTAGCCTTCATGCACAGCGGTCAGTACCTCGACAGACAGCAAGCTGCAGGCAGGCAAAACCTACTAGAATGAGAGGCGTGTAATCGAATTTATCCCGTGCGTTTATGTTGACGCCCTCAGAAATCTTCTCCTGGCACACCTTCAAGTCTCCCCGCCGACATGCCTCGCAGAATGCTCGAAAGTCGTCGGACAGGTCTAGCGGGTTTTCCTCCTTGAGATGCCCGGCTGAGATGGCCTGCGCCTCGTTCGCGAGCGCAGCCTCAATCTCGTACTTCTTCTTGACGTCCATCGTGGCGAATGCAAAAAGAACGTCAAGACGCTTGAATTCATCGAGTGAATCGAACTATGACGGTGGCGGCAGCTTATCGATAAGGATAGGCGTGTTGCCAGGGCCAGGCCGCGGCTCAAATTGGCGTGCAGCGTGGTTGCTGGTCCAACGCGTGTCATAATACAAGGTTCCAAACATCCAAGGATAGTCCTGAACTAGGACCACCAATTCATCCCACCAGCCTACTAAGCATTGCATACTCTCGCACAACCCACTAACACGCCAGCATTTCCTCCTCCCTTAAAAGCATACTTCTTTGCATGTTTCCTGCACAATAGCACTACCATAATCATGCCCGAGGACGACAAGTACGACGTGCTGGAGAAGATTGGTGCGCACTGAGACATATGTTTGCTGCATGTTCGACATACTAATACGTGTGCAGGCCATGGCTCCTTCGGAATCATCCGCAAGGTCAGGCGCAAGACAGATGGCTATGTATGTTGGCGGTGCATGTTGGCGCGTGGAAATGGCTGACCCTCCCATAGATCCTCTGCCGGAAAGAGATCAGCTACCAGAAGATGTCGCCAAAGGAACGCGAACAACTCCAAGCCGAGCTGTCCATCCTCAAGGAACTCCGACACCCAAACATCGTCGCCTACTTCGAGCGTGACCACATCAAGACGTCCCAAGATCTGCACTTGTACATGGAATACTGCGGGAATGGCGACTTGGGTCGCGTGATCCGCAACCTCAAGAACAACAACCAGATGTGCGAGGAGGAGTTCGTATGGAGCATATTCAGCCAGATCGTCAGCGCGCTGTACCGCTGCCACTTTGGAGAAGCACCGCCAGACGCTGGTCCTTGTGTCATGGGACTGGGCGCGAATGCGAAGCCTGCTCGTGACCCCCGCAAGCCCATGATCCTTCATAGAGATCTTAAGCCTGAGAACAGTAAGCGCTTTCATTGTCTTGCAGCACATTGTGTATACTAACAGTGCAGTCTTCCTCGACGAGGCCAACTCCGTAAAGCTGGGCGACTTCGGCCTCTCCAAAATTCTCTCATCCCACGACTTCGCCTCTACCTATGTCGGAACCCCATTCTACATGTCGCCAGAAATCTGCAAGGCGGAGCAGTACGGCCCGCACTCGGACATCTGGGCCTTGGGATGCATAATATACGAGATGTGCGCAAAAGCGCCACCATTCAACGCGAAGACACACTTCGACCTGATCCAGAAGATCAAGTCAGGCCGCTACCCAGACATACCCGCATGCTACTCGGCGGAGCTCCGCAAGGTCATTGCGAGCTGCCTGCAGACCGTGCCAGACCACCGACCAGATACCGCCGCACTTTTGAACCTGCCCATCGTTAAGCTTATGCGCAAGGAGCAAGAGGTTGTTAAGCTCGGCCAGGACCTCAAGGACCAAAAGGCGCAGGCCATACAGCGAGAGAAGCAGGCTGCCGAAACCATTACCCGCATGCGAAAAGAGATCGACGATCAGCTGCGACGAGAGTGGGAAGTGAAGGCACAATTGGAGATTGAGCGACAAGTAAAGATCCAAACAGAGCAGCGAGTCCAGCGAGAGCTTGGCCTCTTACAGTCACGCTTCGAAGACGAGGTCAACAAACGGGTAGATATGGCCCTTAAGAAGTTTCCTAACCGTCTGAGCACATCGCCCAAGCTCGCGCCTCGATCAAATACGCCCATCATGTCGAGTTCCGAGCAAGGTGTGCTCTTCCCTGCAGAGGCAGACACAACCATCATCAATGGCTCCACGAGCACGCTCGGCACCAACTCGGACTTCGCCAGCGGCACCGACATGTCTTCCCTATCGCTGGAAGACTCTACAGACGACACTATTACCGCTGCAAAGCCGGTGAAGGCAGCTAAGCCAGCGAGGCGTCCTCGCCAATCTCTTGCCCGTGCGCAGACCTTCGCTGTTGCTCCTGTACCTGCGTCGCCCATGGACATCCAGATGGCGGATCAGTCTCCAGCACCAGCTTCGCTCGCCGGTCTATCGCTCTCTCCTCGCCGCAACGCACCACAAGCTCGCACGAACATCTTTGCCGCAGCTAGCAAGAAGTGGGAAGCCGAGCTTCCCCCATCGCCGTCTACAGAATGGCCAGGCTTTTTCGACGATGACGACCTGCCCGTTCTGCCATCCCCCACCCGCGCCCGCAGCGCCTCAGGCGGCCGCCTAGTCCACAACGACGACCCCTTCAAGCAGCTTGCTTTCGCCCAGCGTCCTCTCGTCAAGCAGAACCAGCGCCTGGGAAGCACGCCCAACCTCACAAAGCCCCGTCCCGTCTCGTGCGTCCCGGTCATCGCAACCTCGCCAACGCGCCCCAAGTCCCGCTCCGCCGAAGCCCTCTCAACATCTCCCCGGAAGAACGGCCTCGCAGCAAAGTCCGCGCCGCAAAACGGTGCTCTGCCCACCAAGCGCGGCAACGAAGCTATCCGCATCCAAGCAATGCGCAACAACACCGGCGTCCAGGGCCGCACCCTCGTTGAGCTGCAACAAGCCCGCGGCATCCCCCCCAGCGCCATGAGCGAAGACGAGGGCAGGAAGGGCTTCGGCTTCGGCCGCAAGAGCCCGAGCAAGTCACGCAGTGCAGGCCTGCCCGCACCGCCCCGTCTGGGATCCCGAGACCGAGCTCGAAATGCCGAGTCCCTTCATCGTGCGCACGAAGAAGATGGTCCGGTGAGGCGGGGGTTAACGATACATCATGAAACGATTTGGACGCGAGATGGAGATTCGGGGAGGAGTTTGGAGTTGTTGGACCTAACATTCTCGTGGTCCTGTCCTTTGACTACTTTATCTCTTCCTTTTGTAAGGCATTTTACTGTCCCTCCACACATTTCAGCAAAAGGCATACTAGCATCTTCTTTTTTTCTCTATTCAGCGGAGCATATAGGACTGGGAGGCATGGCGTTTTTGTTGGATGGCTGGATTTCAAGTCCGCCGTAATTCGCTTGGGCGTTTGGTTGGATAGTGTACTTTATCTCCTGGCGAAATGTCATATCATCTTCAGACATATTCCGCTGGTTCGCTGTGCTTCTTTGTGACGACTCCATGGTGATTCGGCGCTGACGGTAGGGAGCTGATGGCTCGTGAAGACTTTCATTCCGGCGTGATGCGGTGCGTTCGTTGCAGCCCTTCCACTCTACCCATCCTCACGCTCTCCCACCCAGCGCCTTCTCAACCTCCCTGCACCTCTCTCCCGCCATCTGCACCAAGTCCTTCATGGCCTGCCTTCCCACAACCCCTCCCCCACTCTTCTCAATCCGCAACACCTTACCCCCATCAACAACCACACAAACACTCTCCCTACACACACCCTCCTCAAAGGCATCCGGATCGCTCAACACCCACTGCACATCCCCCTCATCCTCACTCTTCCCCTCAAACACCGCAAATGTCGCCGGAACCGGCAAACCCCTCAGCTCCAGCGTCTTCGCCTCCACCGGATCATCCGAGCACAGAATCCCCTCAAACTCCTCATCGAACCACGCGCGCGGGAGTTTCGTATCGCGCAGCGCAGCGAGGAGGGACAGCCACGCGGCGTCGAACGCGCTGCCGTCAATGCTGATGAAGAAGACGTCGATGTACAGCACCCAGTATCCCTTGACCACCGTCTGCGGCTCTTCATCCACATCCTCCGTATTCGCGCTCGGCGTGTAAAGTATGCGCAAATCCCGGGCGCGCAGGAGCCGCGACGACACAAGCAGCGAGCGCATGCGCGTGATTAAGCTCTGCGCAAACGTCGACGGCGCGTTGCCGGGGATGTGGTTCGGCGTGCTTCCCGTGCTGAGCTCGACGTTGGGCACGACGAGGCGCAGGGTATCGATTTCTTCTGCATCATCGCCATCTTCGCTGTCAATAGCGCTGGAGAAGTCGTTTGTGCCCGGTATGTCTGCTTCCTTGAGGATTTCTGCGCGCACGCCGCAGACGACGCTCGTGTTGCCGAGGCGCACGACTGCGCTGCCATTGGCGTGCGTGAGGCTGCCTGTGTTTATGCCTGGGCGTCGGAAGGCGTGTGCAGAACGGGCGTTGGCGCGGAGTGGTGTTTTGCGGTTGGCGGAGAGGTGGGCTTGGAGGAATGGGTGGGGGGAGACGGCGGCGAAGATGGGGCGGGGGAAGGTGAGGGCCGGTGGTTGGGATTGCTGTGTCGTCGCCATCTTGACGCTGTGTACTGGTTTTGGTGAGGTATGTAGGTAGTCCGTAGTTGTGGTGGTTTTGAAGTGGTCCTGGAAATTTTGGAGCTTGAGCTTTGAGACCATGACGCGCTAGCATTTAAGCTTATTTTTGGTGGGGGCGTGGGGATCTGTTCCGCCTTCGCAAATATCTCAAAGTATGACATGAATTAAAAAAAGCTAACATTCAATTACAGACAATCTCACTTAGGGTATTTCAGTGCGGTGAAAAACAAGCACGCAAGCGATACAGCACAATCCGACCTAACCGGAGCTCAGCCCAGCCTTTCCAGCATCCTGAATGGGCGTCCATTTGCCTTCCTTCTTGTAATTGTCACCTCGCAATGTACCCTCTGCTAGCTGGCTGATCATGTAATCTCGTCCCTTGATCGCCCACACCATCTGACTCGGTACCCGGTAGCCGTTGAAAGCACCAACACCCTTTTGTGTTCCAATGGGCACGATCTGCTGTTCCTTCAAATTGGGAGTGAAGTGACGGTCGCCCGTGGGCGCGTTGCCGGTGAGATGAGCGATCAGATCGGTCTTGAGATTCGTCATGGCCACGGGGATGTGGTCGTACTGGTCTGCGAAACATTAGTGCTTGCCTTGTGCCAGCTTTTTTCAAACTACGACTTACCTATTACACCACCACGAGTGTGAGAACCGACATCTCCAACAACGTAGACTCGCTGGGCAGAGACATTGTCGACACGGAGGGTCTTGGGGTTGGTAGCGACCTTGTTACGATCGCCGAGCCACTCTTTGGGGAGGAAGCCAGTGTTGGGTCGCGTGCCAGTCGCATCGATGTAAATGTCTGCCTCGATCGACTCGCCGCTAGAAAGCTCGACTTTCGTCTTGGCTCCCTCCGAATCACCAATCTTGTTCGCTGAGACGACCTTGGTGTTGTAGACGACTTCGCAACCCACGCGCTTCAGGTACTGTTGTGCGGTCTGGCCAATCGCTTCACGGAGGACGGGGAGGAGCTTCTTGTCGCCACATACAAGCGTAACCTTGGCTTTCAGATTCTTCGGTGCTGAAGCCATAAAGCCAGGCTTGCCGTTCAGAATCTCAGCTACCTCGCCAGCCGTCTCGACCCCAACTGGCCCTCCACCACCAATGACTACCGTCTTGGCGGTCTTCAGACCAGCTTGGAAAGCGTCGTAAACGTTCTCCAGCGCAGCAGCGTCTGTTTGCTGCGTGAACAATGGGCTCGGCGTGCTGAAGCCGGTAGCGATGACGAGTGCCGCATACTGGATTGATTGCTGCTCTCCATCGACTGTAGTGACAGACACAGTCTGTCCAGCAGGATCGACGTGTGTTGCCGTACCCTGCACGAACTTGAACTTGGGGAAAGCGTAGGTAAATGCCGGCTCAATTGGGTAGAATAGCTTGTTCGAGGGCATCATCTCCTTTGAGGCACATGCACGGGGTGCAGCGATTCGCCAGTAGAGGTCCTTGGAAGGGTTCACAAGCGTGAGGTTGTATGTGACGCCCTCCTTCTTTGGTAACGAGGGAATTACATGCTTGAGGCAGAAATGCGCGGCGCCTATGCCGGCGAAAGAGCCTCCGAGGATGAGAATGGTTTCTGTGGACATTGTGATGCTGATAGGATGTGTTGGAGTCTGAAAATATTGGAGGAAATTAAAAAGAGGAAGCAAACTCGAACTCCAATTCTGGAAGAAACAAATAGTGCGACGCGCGCTTGAACAAAGTTGTGGCGCGACTCGAGGGCTCACGCGTTAGGACTCCGATGGGGGAACCGACGTGTCGGACGATTGAATGCACTTGGATACAAACGATGACCTTGAAACTCTAGCTCGAGGGGAGGAGCGCCCCATCCCTATATATACATGTTATATACATGTCGTGTCTTTAGTTCATCGGGCTTGTCTTACTGCGTCACCTAGGCCGTGTATGGAACGCCCTTAAGAGACGTGCCACTCGAGGTGGTGATGGAGGAGTGGGCTTTTGAAGCTATGGCGTTTTCAGGTTGGGGCTAGCCCGATCACGTTAATCATATTTCGGGCCGCGATTCTGAGCATCCGAGAGCTCCAGCTGGCTGACATAGTATCGCCAAGTTGCTTACGGGAGGACCCTTTGTGGTGCGCGATCTATCAAACTGGCGGACAGATTCCGCTCTCGAATTTGTCATAGCAACTTTGTGAGTATAGCGAAGAGCTCTTACCCCACCGATATTCGTCCTTTATTGGTAGCCGAGGATTTAGTAAGCACTTTTGCTAGATGCACACGTACAAAGTGATCAAGGTTCAATGGGCTGTGATCTGTCAGCCCATCATGGAGCCTTGATAGCACAGAAAGTCATGGTGCATGCTTGGAAAATTCTTATTTCGTTTCTTTTGTAGCCCTGACGCCTACCCGGTATCCGCACGTAAGATCCGTCGCAACCGTCAATCGGGAATAGGTCATTCGTCGCATAAAGCGCGGAGATCCTCCACATCAGACTATATTCCACTTGACCATCACTGTGCCAGTGGTAGGCCTACACGTGCTGTCGCCTCGAACGCTTGCAGATCGAGCATTTACTCGACCTCAGTCTTCGACTCGAAGTTGTCGCCGGCGACGAGCTCGGGGATGTCATCATCATCCTCATCGTCGTCGTCCTTCTTGTCACCGTCCTCACCCTTCTCCTTTTGCATGCTCTGGTAGCTCTCGGCGAGTTTGCGCAGCGACGCGAGCGAGTCTGGGCCGAGCTGGTTGAGGATACCGGGGACGAGCTCGGTGAGCTCCTTGTCCTCACCGTTGCCGTAGATGGCGAAGGTGTTTGAAGGTACCGAGGCGTGGACTACGCAACGTCTGTTAGCAAATGCTTGGGCCAACCTTCGGACAGTGGAATCAAAGGCCACGGGATCAGCCTCCAAGAGAGAATTGTATCCGTTCAGTCGATGGAGAAGAGCCCGTGCCTATGAGGACTGCGCGTAGACGTACCCTTTGGTGCGGAGAAGTGGATGACGTTGCCGTCGCTCTTGAACATGTTGACCTCCTCGATAGCCTGGATAGGCTGGACATTGAGCTTCTTGAGCGCGGTCTGTAGCTTCTTGTCGTCGGTGCCGGAGCTCTTGTGGACCTTCTTGACCTTTCGTCGTGGAGTACCCTTGCCTCTGTAACAACAATCAGCTTCCAATCCTCATTTTCTATTCCCCCCCCTGGTCGGTCTCTGGCCGCAATTAAGAATTTTACGGCGTGTTATCGTCGTTGGGTGCTAAAATGTACTATGGCGGGGTGCTCGAGGCTGGGGGAAATCTGCTTACCCTGTTCAAATGTGTTAGCCAATTGTCCGTGATATAATTACTGAGAGGCCTCTCTATGAGGCTCGCCATAGCAATATTGCCGTTACAACGTACCAATGCGTACCGACGCCTGCATGCGCGCCAACTTGGCCTGATCCATATTTGCGGTGGATGGAGGTGGATGAGTCGGAAAAAGAAGCTATCGGGGCCGGCGTGTCAGTTGACGGTCGAGCAAAAATTCGGGGTTGATGAATTCGGACTGGATAGTGATTATGAGATCGTGTACGCACCTTATTAGCGACCGTGGGCGGGGTCAGAGACTGAGGTGGTGGTGAGGTTGTTGCAGGCAACGGGCATCGGCGAAACTGTTCGGAGGGGCCGATTGTGTGTGCCTCGCTTGTGCTTTTGGAGCTCCATCATCGTCCCCTGCACACTGCGTCCCACCAACACATATACATGTAAAAGCAGCACAACTACACACATCAACCCCAGGTTCTGCCACCATATGGTATAGAGGTGAAATCAGATACAGTCGCTTCTCGCCGATCCACGAATTCACAAATATCCACCAAAGCCTGAACTTGATCTATGAGCAGCACCCATACACACGCGCACCTGAATTGGAGCTCCGCCAAACAGTCTCCGGTCGACCTTTGCAATCTCGACGAGTGGAACTAGCACCCTGTTCTCTCCGCTTGTGCATCTCTAGATGGACGTTGTCACCAATCGAGGAACCACACGGACAGAGACGAGGCCACATAAGGGCGGTGACGTTCTCGTCGCATGATACCAGGTCCTCGAGGCTCATCTACTGCACTATTGTCTAAACCTACATATCATCACAGTCGGGTAATTGAAGAAAATTGAGAAGAGACCTCTGAGGATGTTCACGTGGACGACTGCAGACATAGTAAGCACTATGTACACGAGACATTGTCGAGACAAGGACCGAATACCATTAGTCTCGCTCGAGGGCAATTTTTCTGGCACAAGCAGTTGTGTTCTTCATCCTCGCTTTTTAATCATTGAAGATCACGCAATTGGCTTGTCGAGAGGGACGACAGAGGATAAAGACCAGTGTTCATATCGCAGGTCATGCTTGGTGTTAAACATGACCAGCCACCATCATCGGCTGTTCTAGTTGATAGACAAGCGTACGGAAGCCAGCGGGTGTTTTTCAACAGGCGTCCAAGCACTCCTGGCCATGATATACACGAGCCATAAGGTGACGTGGCTCACATGCTTCCGCCCGTGGGATCCTGCCTTCGCCGACCACGATTGATGCGAAACATTACTAGGAGCTCCTATGGCCCTGCATAATGCATCTCTCCCAGTGCAGTGTTCGGGTCGGCGAGCTAAAAGGTTATGAGTCTTGTGCCACACTGTAGCATTTATCGAAGACTTGGAGACGTCGACATCGTATGGCCAGGGGCACAATCCTCATGGGTCTGTCGACACTTCTTAGCTTTCCGACGACGACCTGTATCACTCGACGATACAGCAGACGTGGAGTAGCTGTAGACACGTCTTTCTGTCTCAATCTCACCGATATCATGCCATTAGGTTTGATTATTCGGCGGTATCGTTACGTCTACTTGATGAATTGCCTGAATGGGCAGGTACGCTACTCCACGATGGACGAAATGTTGATTGCGGTAATCGCCGACTGTTTGCTTGTGCCTCACATTTCGCACCCCGACTGGTTCGCAACTCAGTGCCTGGGATCAAGCTACTCTTGATCTCCCGAAGTGGTAGGAATACTATGTGTGCTATAGGGGGCGTGGATTGTAGTTCGCCGACGCTAATCAATCGTGGGATTTCTGCACCAATGCTGAGGCTTGACAACTGCAGTAGAGTTGTGTATGCATCACAATCGTACGACTCAACTTTCCCGAAGCGGTAGGTCTGGTTCTGCTGTTGATTGTAGAGTCGCCGACTGCATTGCAGTACATGTCAGCACTCGCGCGTCAACTGAGCTCGACGCAGGCGACCCCGACTAGTTTGTGGGCAGACCACATGCTACCATGCTGTACGCGAGAAATTTCGCCGTGGTAGGTCTGGTAGTCCATGGTGGTTGGCTCGTTGATTGCAATAATCGCCGACTACACCTTGGTTGTCTTACTGATATGCACTACGCCGCAGACCGACATGTGCGAAGGATTTCGTGATCCTTCACACGTCACCCCGTACATCCTGAAGCAGTAAGAACATACCTTTGTGCGAGACTGTCGATTCCTGTAGTCGCCGACTCTTGAGGTTATGCATGACTTCGCCGCAAATATGCCTACTATGGCTTATTTGCGTTCAAACCAGAGGCTTTCGGACTCATCACACCGCTATTCAGAATGCCTAAAAGAGTAATATAGAGCTGTATCCAACAGGTCGTCGATTGCAGTCATCGCCGACCATGAACATAAGGCACAAGGTCTCGTTCTAGGCGCACTTGTAGCCGAAAGCCACATCTGTGGACGGGAATAGCCCTCCAGCAGCGTGTTTCATCACAGCGAAATTCCCCAAAAGGCAGGAAACCTACCTGTTGACGTTGGCGTGTCGATTGCAGTGGTCGCCGACTGTACGCTAATGTCTCACCTTCACACAGAGGGCGGCGAGACAAGTCGTGCTTAGAGTTTCGAATAATCTATACGGTCGCCGAAGCTCTTTGCCGGTTGCTAAAATGCATAGCGTGCACGCTTGTGGATATTCTTTAGAGATCCGTAATGAATGGCGCAGGTGTTGGCCATGCTGCAGAAGAACGTGGTGCAACATGTCGTGCCGTGAGGCCTTATAATGGGGTTCACAACATCGTCCCTCCTTACCGTCTGCTTCAACGCCTTGTGCGCAGTAGTGCATCAAGGGTAGTACCAGGCTGCGTAATTTTCCTTGGTAACTAGCAGCTTAAGGCTCGACTGTTGTTTTGTCTAGATCGTGTTGCTCATGCTTTGAGTTTGATGGGCGGAGTTCGGCCGTGCATTTGGTGACGTTGCCATGGTCTCCACGTCGGAACATTAAATAAAGATTGCTTGCAGTGCCGTTGGAGCGTTGAAGGATTCAGTGGACTATCCGTCCTTATCTTGGCATGCACCTCTATTTCCGTGATCGGGGCGTCGATTCGACGGCAAGGCCACAGGTCGCCGAGCTGGAATGGGGCAACGCGAAAGACCGAGTAAGCAGGGGAGGGCATGACGAGCCGTCTATGAGGCAGGTTTCCAGATGTTCTTTGAGATGAGCGTGGGAAATACCGTCCATCTGAATTATTATCGCGAGACTCCGCTGCAGTGCCAATTTGACATAGGAGAATTTCCATCCGAGAGTCTGGTCTGCTACTTGGTGCTTGCCTGCTTCAGACCCCACCACCCCTGACTGCCTCGGACTTGGCGGACCCTTCCTCACTCTGATCCAGCACCGCGTCCTCGGCGCGCAATACGTCTAGTAATTAGGCTTGCTGTAGGATCCCGCTGGCACTGCATCACATCGCCGACATTCGTAATCGGCGAGCTTGACGGTCCTTCTATAATGTACGGAGGCATCTACTCCGCCTTTTACACCGACGCCGAGAGAAAACCTACGTGAGACTGCCCATGACAGGCACCAGATCCACTGAAACTCGCAATACCATCAGCCTCATTTGCTTAGATGTCCTCTCGCCAAAGTACACGGTATTTGCAGTCGCCGAATAGCCCATGCCACCATGCGCGGGCCACGTTCACACCGTGCGCTAGGCGTCTCCAACCGATGCGCCACCATCCCGCTCTCCAAAATGTGGGTAGTGAACGCCGGCTAAACCTGCGCACTGGCAGTCTAGTCGGCGACGTCAAGAAAATGCATTTTTACGATTGGTGAATTTGTCGTTAGCGACGTTGATCTAGCGTAGTGCAATGGGCTTTAGGGGTCCTTGGACGGCGTGCTAAGTAAGAGCATGTGCCGCTGAACTGGCGTGACAATTTTCTTGCTTTTTGTTAGGGCGCTGCGTCTAGTCGAGATGGAGTACATCATGGACGCTTGAAGCCGTTGTTGATCAAGAGGGGCCACAAAAGAAAAAAAGTTGTTCAGGATGTTCACACCGGTCGAGACGAGTATCGGTGCTGTCTTGCTACACCAAGCGACGAGCAGCCTGCTATATCAAAATGGAAACATATTGGGAGCTTCCGGTTTCCTGCGTCAAGTCCTTACTGCGCCTACCAAAGAGACTGTAGCCTTCTTTGCTGGCATGGCTGCCAGCTATCTTCCCTTGAAGACTTTCATGCCACAAGTAATGACGAGCTATCCCACGGTTCCAATAACACTCCCGGCCGCTCTAGCAACGGTCACTGTGGGAGCGCTGATCGGACTGGGAACGAAGGTATGTTAAAGCACTGAGGAACGAGCAGACCGCAGATAGCTAACACAAAATAGATGTCAAACGGATGTACTTCCGGACACATGCTGTGTGGACTGCCACGACTGAGCGGAAGATCTACCGTTGCAGTTGGCACATTCTTCCCCATTGCTATCATCACACACCACCTCGCACATCCTACACTGTACACTGAAGCATGTCCCGGTGGCCTCCCATGCTACACGCCCACATATCCAAGCGCTGCAACAACCATGACTCTAGTAATACTTGCCGTGATCAACATCATCACTGCGCGAACCGTCCCGAAACTCGTCGAAGACATAGTTGCGAGTACATCAACCGACAAACGCTCAGGAGAGTCTCGCTCCATCGCCCGCAAAGTGACCCTGTTCTTCTCCGGTCTATTATTCGCTCTCGGCCTTCACATCTCCGGCATGGCACACCCAGCAAAAGTAGCCTCCTTCCTGTCGTTCCCCGTCATGAACCAATGGGACCCATCCCTCGCCCTCGTCATACTCTTCGGCGTGCTACCGAACCTCGTCGAAATACAGCGAAAGGGCTTCAGCAGTCCGCCATCATTCTCAGAGAAGTTTTCGCTACCGACGAAGACTTTCAAGGACATTGATGCAAAGTTCGTGGCTGGAGCTGCGGCGTTCGGTGTGGGGTGGGGATTGACGGGTACATGTCCGGGTCCAGCAGTGCTGAGGGCTTTCGCTCAGCCAGTTTGGGGTGCTTTGTGGATGGGTGGGTTCTGGCTGGGTGGTAAAGCCATGTCTTGAGGAGACTTGTTTCCAGTTTTGTACCGATACCCCAGCAGTTGATAGCGCGCGGTGCAATATCCCATGATTCCTCATCCTAGACGAATGTTCTGCGTGGCAATGCTTTGAGCTTCCCATTGGGCCTTTCGCAGTTCTATCAGGCCTTTCCTGTAGTAAACACCATTCTTGTGTTGCTCAACCGCCATTACGAGATGAGTGTATTCGACCCAGCGATAAGTTCGAATAGTTTCCAGTCTCCCGTTCCCATCAACGATACCGAGGAGAATACATTGTGTGACCTCAGGTATTATCTCATTTTCGTCAAAGTGCAAAGTTTCCGGATGTGCATCAACACAAAGTAGGCCAAGGTTGATGTTGGCCAAGTTGGCGTTTATGACCAACACACCAGTCTCAAGGTGGTCCGAGGGTATATCAATACAGTATGTTTCATCCCAAGGGCAAACGATCATACCGTCTACCTGGCGCTTTTTCCGCCATCGAATTCCGTATATATTGTTGAAAATCACGCCTCCGAGCCAGCCAACCCAAGACCAAGAGGGGAAGAAGATGCCGTCTGGACGCGGAGCCCTTCGGAGAAAGGCAGGCTGTGAGACACTATAATCGTCGCTGTGTTTGGTCCAGAGCAATGTACGTAGGAACTCGTTAATTGGCAAGCCCCAGCAGAATTCAGTGTCGTAACGTTCTCCGATTTCGTCCAACACCGCGCTAAACGCATCGAGGATGTCGTGTTCAAACGTAAGCTGACGATCCTCGTAGTAAAACAAGTGATGTTGCAACAAACCCAGTGCCGTTCCCGTAGTTTCGGGGGGATGATATGATACCTTCATCGTAAGCTCTTGTGTAAAGTCGTGAGGCATAACCTCACTTCGTGTGCTGGACCGGCACTCGTAATAGGCCCTCTGATTGGCGAAGACTAAGCAAAGATCTGAGAAATGATACTCTTGGTAAGTCCATGCACGTTTATTCCAAGTTGTTTTGAGGGTTTGGAATGTCATTGTTGGCTCGCTCTCACAAAGACTCACTCCTTCAACGACCTCCTCTAATAGGTGAATGCTTCAGTACCCTGCATGTAATCCAGGAATTCCAGCGTCAGCATTGTCGCCATAGGTCGCTGCAATCGTTAAGTTTGCATGAGAGTAAATCCGATGCATCTCTCGGAGGTTGTGGCGGAGATCCTCAAGATCATCTTGTATGATACACAGGCTGTCCACCCAAAGATATGTCTCGCCGATTGAAGCTACCACGAACATGGCGTCAACAATGGTTCTTGGTAGTTCATTCTTGTCCAACAGAGCATACGAGTTCTGGAATTGCTAATCGTGAATTGGGTCGTATCGAATGTCTGTCATCTTCAATCTACTCGGCACCCGCCCGCCCCAGACATAGCTTAGAGCAACGTACTCACAATTTGCTGGTGCTGGAACGACACGACCAAGTCTCACATCGATCAGGCGGAAGGACGCTAACACGCATCCATCAGAAGCACTGGACCACAGTCCGCGAGACTCCGAGCTGGGTATATCAAACTCCATCTAGGCGATACTATGACGTCAAGAGTATGGCATAGTCTTTCTGGTGCAAGAGCGGTGCGCGTGGAGGCTCACTCGAGCGTTGCTGTATAAGAAGGTGAGGTCTCGTGGTGGAAGCAAATCGCAACAAAGTGTCAACACCAAAACCACAGAGGATATGAGGGAGAAGTTTCCGTTAAGATACTGAAATGCGAAAATGTATCTAGAAGGTGGGGTAATCGGGCTTTGGGGCTGACCAAGCTGAAGTTCATTGGCTTAAGTGTCAAGCTTGATCACGACTTCAGCTCGCTATATTCGCATGCATATCCCTCATAGTGTATCTCGTAGCTGCGATGCATCTCAGTACCTAGACTCTCAAGCTCATATACTCTGTCAAAGACACACTACCTTATGCTATCTTATCGCACATTGACATGGGTAGGGAGATCTCAGTATATAAATTCCACTTTTAGATGACATCGAGGCTTCATATACTGGCTCAGGAAAGAATTTCGTAAGATTGCAGGAAGCTGCGCGCAAGCTCCGGTGTCTACTAGAGATAAGGTCCGCCTTGACTTCGATCTGGCTTTCCTGCGCGCATCACTCGGGATTAATAGTTGTGCCCTGCGCCGTCGAACTTCGAGCCACAGCCGCTGATCATGTGCATGTCTATGTCTGAATTTGGCAACGGATAATACCGAACAAGACTACGAGCCATATTACATTTCGACCGAAAGAAAATTTGGGAGATGAAGTAAAGAGAGCTAATCTCGCTATCTATCGAATCCGTTATTTCATTCCAATGTCGTGTAAGTTATGTGTCCTAGACGCGGCCAGGCTTTCGTCTCCCGTGAGACTGATCACCGCCGTACTCTAGAATATCCAGATTTCAAGCTAGTTTATCAAGATCATTTACACATTTATGAACACGCGTAGGCTCAACGCGACATTGCATACTTGAGCAGCAAACATTTGAATTCATAGCAGTGTAATATTAGGTTAAAATAGGGAGATCCATATCTGGGACAGATACTTTGTCCCAGCTGCATAATAGCAAGCAATACTTGCAAATCAATGGAGCAGAAAAGAATTCACCTTCCATCCGAAGCTCACACGCTGTTGACTAGCATTCCTCTTCGCCAAAGCAGAGGGCATAACCAAACACCTGGCAGTCCGCTTTGAAATCTGCACCAAATTGCTTCTGGCATGCTGCGTCGTTGAACACACCAGCCATTCTGTTCTCTTTCTGTGCCGATTTGAGAGATGTCTTCTGGCACTGCATTGAACAGTCAGTCAGAGTCTGGAGCAGCGATTGAAGAGTTTTAACTTACCCAAACGAACCTGCCCAGGTATGGGTCTGGCTGGGCGGGAGGGTAGATGGTCATGTCGTTGCCACCAAAGCTGCTGCAGATTGGCTGGATAACAGGAAGATCCTGCGCCTGGCTATGGCAACGGCAGCTCCAGACGTCGGGGAACCATGCATCACTATTAAAATGCGTAAGTCATGACGATAGATGAATAGAGGTGTACGATGCTGCTTACGGTCCTTGTTGTGGCGCGGGCGCGGCCCTATACGTAAGGATTAGCTTGATAATATGCTTGTCGTCAGAGTATGAAGAACCTACAAGGCGGAGGCCAGGAAGACAGCGAGACTGAAGATAGCGGACTTCATTTTCGGAATGGATGATGTGAAGAAGAGTCTTGTCGTGTATCTTGTGGATGAGCTTGTGGGTGAGGGACAATGAAGAGCGGACGCATCGTCTTTATATACACAGCCATGATACTTTCTCTTCGCACTCCTTCAGCAACTGTGTTGGCAAGTTGGCCGTCGCATCGCGCATAGAGGGCAAGGTGCAAGGTCTAGCATATTCGGTCGGTCGCGTGTCCAAAGTTGGTGCATCTCCATTCTACCGTGATTAAACGATAAGAACCATCCAACAACACGAGCGAATGAGCAACATTCGAGCCATTCGGTCATGCCACTAATTCGATCGCGTACACATTTGTCCAGGATAGTGCCCTGCTCGGCTACCCTGCCACCTATCTAGTTGGGTAAATCTCGGCATAGAGAACAGTGTTGCGACAGCGGTCAAACCCCTGCTTTGTGCAAAATACCGGCGCGCCGCTCGGATGCAGCCGCCGCCCCTTTCTTGTCTTGCCACTTGTCGGCAGCGAAGACTTATCAGATGGAACCCCCATGGGGGAATTCCCTAGCATAGCTGATCGTCCCGTTAGCTCCGCATCATCTTCGCCTGGTCAAGGACCTTCATCCGAGGAATGTCTTGCAGCGACAACTTGGCAGAAGATAATGTGGAGATTCTTGGTATTGCCAAAGGTCGTATGTCCAGACTGGGAGCAAAGTTTTTTTAATCATTCATGCGTTGAATGTAGGTAGGATGCTTCCGACCTCGGGAGAACATCATGAAATACGGACGTAAACACCAGGGCGAGAAGCACAGCTCTACATCTTATGAGATCTTTTACCTCGCGATCGGTCATCATGTTTCGAATCCCAAATGAACTGACCTTTCGCAATACTCGCCGTGCTCTTCATGTTGAGATCAATACCGATATCTATGCACTGACTGTGTCTGAAATAATTTTCCTTTTGTATTCCTGACGCTCATTTCAACGTCTAAGCCGACATGTGAGGTAAGCATCAGACTGTAAGTACGAAACGATGGTGACAGTGGAAAGCCATGCCTAAAGCCCGAAATGTGTTAGCACGAAAGAGTATCCGCATAATTATACTGCGGAGAGATTTATACCTAGGTATATACGAGTAGACGGGGTTCGGGCGCATGAGCTGCAGCAAGTAACTCACAATGCGATATCATTGGCTTCCAGAAGTGCTCGACTATGCGGGCTATGGCGCAAGAAGCGGGTAAGGTGGATTCCAACGCATGCAAGTTCATCCGATTGGGTAGACTACTTCACTTTGATGGAAACATCCGGCTCGAACTACCGAGGCCTGTGTCGAGAGATAATAGTGCGCATGTGCCCTTTGACGTCCGCAGCCTTAGGCGATGGAAAGTCTCAGAAATAAGGGGAAGGTCCAATCAGGCTCGCAATCGAATGTCTATGACTCTTGTTAGCCATTCTGGCTGCGATCTTCGCCATTCCAGCTTCAACCAAGATCCCAGGTATATCAAAGAGTAGAACGGTAAGCAGGCGCCTCAAATAGGACTTAAGAACGGCCTCAATTGTCTGCCATGTGGTGTCGATAGGCCCATCAACTCGGACGTAAAGTGGCAAGACTCATCCTGTCCTGCCAACACAATCATCAATCTCCTCTAAGGGATACAGCTGGGTGCAAGGAGAAGACGAGTGATGGATTCTCTTTTCACCCAATCTGGACAGGTCGACGATCGCGCGGACGATCGCAAACTTGTATCGTGACAAGCACCTGGGCGGCGGCTGGTTTGGTGAGTGAGAAAACAACGACGACGTCCAGGTCAAATTGCGAGTGCGCGTAGTATCACGATCTGACCTGAGGTACCGCTCCGAGACGTCTTCCCACTTGTAGTTCTTACTTTTCTGCTAATAGTTGAGCAGGTGAGACTTCAATTTGATCTTAATTCCGATAGGCCTAACCTCAGAAGTGTGAGATACCCAGCTGTGCTGAAGACGTACCCCTTCCCAAGCTGAACTCCACATAAAGGTCAGGCCCTGACACATCGTAGCAAGCAAGATAATAATCTAACGCGTCTTCTCATATTTTCGCTGGACATAGAACACATGTGGTAGTGGGTAGGAAGAGTTGGGTGTCTAATTGCGTACATATCTAAACCATCAACCTATATAGCCAAAACCGTGACGTCAAACCCTTCGAGATCAGGCTTAGCCGCATGGGCTTCCAGCCTCCTTTGGTAATCGACTGGACCAGCGGCCCAGCCTGCCAGCCTAGCCTTCCTGAGCTTCTCCTTGTCCTCAACTGGACGAGCCCAAGCTTTCTCCCTCGAAGTTGAAGTAGCTGGGAGTACAGTTCTCAAGTGCGAGTATACCATGCGGCGGCTCTTGCCGTTTCATTGCCCCACTTTTCTTCCACTGCCGGGTTGGCTTGCACAAGAACTCTCTCGCCATCTTTTGCCAGCTTGTGTGCCTTTTTGATGACCTGTGCGGTAAACTTCGCGACAATATCGTAGATTGAAGTCATATTCCAGGAAGCTGCAGCGCCGGATGAGAAGTAACCAAAAAGATTAGGAAAGTCGGTTATGGCAACACCGTATATTGGTGGATTCTTTGTGGTGTCGAATTTGTGGGAGATTGATTCTCCGTTGTGACCTTTGATAACGGCGCCCAGTTTCTCAGCGGGATCCAGACCGCCCCCAGAAGTAAATCCTGTTGCGAGGATCAGAGCGTCGATTTCGTATTCTTGGCCACCGAAGATAAAGCCATTCTTAGAAAAGGCCTCCAGGCCCTTTCCGTCCGTGTCGACAAGTGTGACGTTGGATTGATTGAAAGCTTCCAAGTAGTCGTCGTGGAAGGTAGGACGTTTACACCAGCTGCCGTACCATGGCTTCAGCTTCTCGGCAGTGTCCTTGTCCTTGACCATGTCATCGATGCGCTTGCGCAACAGGTCAGTGCGCGGTCGGTCGATCTTATGGATTTCCTCGATGTGTTCTTTAACCTCATGTGGTCCAACTATTTTCTTGCTTGAGCCGAGAAGACCGCAACCAGCAGGAGTGTGCGTCCACCCGTCGTCCACCAGATTGGGGCCATACCCCTCGGGATTATTCGTAACCCAGGCATTGAAGTTCAGTCTCCGGTCACTCTGCCAGCCTTTCTCCTTCGATAGGTTCTCGAAATGCTCCTTGTTGGTCAAGCGGTTGCCGCGATATCCACAGTACGATGGCGTCCTTTGGATAACGTACACGCGTTTAGCCCATTTCGCCAGCTCAGGCACAATCTGGACTGCAGTTGCACCTGTACCGATGATTGCAACTGTTTTGTCTTTGAGTTTGACCAAGTCGTGCTGCTCCTGGTTGCCACCGGTGTAGTCGTAGTCCCAACGAGCTGAATGGAAAATACGTTTAGAATTGCGAAGCTCCTCCCAACCTGGGAGCTTTGGAACTTTCGGTATGCTGAGAGTACCTCCAGCAATGAAGATGAATTCCGCAAAGACGGTAATAGTTTGAGGCTTCGTGCCTTCGCCGAGCGTACGGGTCATTGATACGACCCAAATCTTTCTGTCGTCATCCCAGATCTGGGATTCAATTTTCGTGCAAAATTGGCCTTGAATGCCGAAGTGCTTTGCAGCTCGCTCATTTTGGCCTCGGATCTCAGCGCCAAAAGAGTACTTGTGCTTCGGAACGTAACCCGTCTCCTCAAGCAGGGGGAGGTAACAGTAACCCTCTACATCACACATCAACCCAGGATAGCGATTCCAGTACCTAATACCGTCATCAGCTGTGGTCTAGTTGCAAACACAATGGAAAGAACGCACCAGGTGCCGCCGAAGCCACCAGCTATGTCGACGCAGACAATATCGCTTCCGCTGAAACCAGCTTCTGCTAAGCGGCATGCGAAGAGAAGTCCGTTATGTCCAGCACCACTGATTAAGAATTTGACACTACTCCCGTCTTTCAGAGGAGGATTCTGAATTAGCGGATCACTGTAATCTACCCATGGGTCCCTGGCAAGATCCTTGATATCTTCCGATCGAGTGTCAATATGTTGACCGCGGCCAACTTTCGTGAGGCGCTTGGCGCGCTCCTCCTTATATCGTTGGAGCAACTGCTCTTCATCGTCATGTGAAGTTGGGACCTGGGACATTGCAATGGTGTTGAGGTATAGTCAGTAACTGTTATCAAAACCGATTGGAAGAATGCTCCAAGTATTGTTTGTGCCGCTGGGAACAGCTGGAACGATTGCGCTATCGAAAAAATTGTGTAAAAAAGTGGGATTAGGACTGCGAGAACTCTTGTGATGAATTATTGTGGGAGGAAAAGGAACCTATATGTCTAGAAGATACCTGGCATGATCTATACTCCTTACGATCGCGTGCGTGGAAGGGATGTGAAAGGGACGCACTGGCGTTTCGGTCATACCAAGCAGGATGAATTCTTTCTCATAGTTCCGAGTCGGCAAATCCGTCAGCTCTCGAGGGCATCATCGTTGTAGGAAGAGGCATACGCTAAAGTTACTGTGTGCTAATTGGTTGGAACTGCGATGTTCCGCCATGCCGTTCAGGCTAAAGCTACGACCAGCGTCACGTTCCAGCTATCCGCTCGATCCGCAAGTTACATTCCCAGTATTGATATGCGCTTCTTCGCTCTACCGCTCGCACCCCCAGCTATATATCAAGTACCTAGCGCACGCTAGACTCACTGTAGGATGACATAGAGTCCGCTAGGTTACAGATCTTGTCTCGCACTTCCGGATTTCTGCCGTCCAGTCCTATTATTGGGCATGAAATCCTTGCCAGCTTATACGGTATACGGTTCACCGTATACCGTATAAGTCGACCTTCAAGCTCGTGGGTGTATGACAAGAAAGTCATACATGTTGTAATATTTTGTTGGGAGAAGGGAGAGGAGCGCGTACGTACAGCTTCCGAGATCCGAGAACTCTTCCCTGAAATTTGAGAGCAAGACGGACCGTCATGACCATCCTCAACTTTCCTGCAGAGCATCTTGCATGCGAATAAAGCCAGACAAACTGCGCTAGAGATTCTCCACTTCTAGACTAGCCGAGTTGTTCAGCGGTCGGTGGGTCGACGTCAGATGTCCCTGGTACTCTGCTTTTCACTGAGTATATATTGCCTCCATGCAATCAGACCTTTCACATACGACCATAGGACGTTGAATAACAAGGCTTCCCGTCCGCTCAGCCATATTTAAGCAACGTACCGGAGGAGTAGTAGTTAAGTGGGTGACCATTAGCGAATTCCCTCTGTTGTATGTTTTTGCAATTTTTTTAGAGGCCTGCTCCAGCGGTGGGTCGAGCGTAGGGGCCGTGACTCGATTAAGCATGGCTGTCTTGAACCTAGCCAGCAACCAGTGTACCTTGGTAAGCATTTTCTCGTGCAATATAATTTTGGCTGCCTCAAAGAATTCGATCACCAGTCTGGTATATCAGTGTCAGGACTTTGCTTGTACATTCATCGCTCTCCAAAGGGATTTCAAACCAGCACAAAGTCGAGAGGGAAAGTAGTGGGTTGTTTGTAGATTGAAACAGTACATCAGAATCGTGTTTCTGTAGTCATACTGGCTTGGAATCAATCTACTGGTGGTCGATGGTATACGCAGCGTGATCGGTAACGTCCTTGAAGCAAGGTGTGGTGCTGTCGTGTAGCAACTTGGGTGGCTCGAGCGTACCGAGGCTCAGACATGCGATGAGCATCCCCACCGATGAAGTATGCCACCACTTCTCATAGACGTGAGAGATTCTATCTCATACTCTCACAAAGAACCTTTCGCTACCATTTTGGCGGATTTGGAATGCATTTGGACTCAATGCAGTCGGATGACACTCCGGCGTCCCTGCATCCACAGAATGCCATCGATGATGCAATGTTGATCATCTCGCGTCACCAATGGAACGAACGTCACTTATAAACGCATAGAACATGCTCAGCTGAATCGCAGCGTATACCAACTTACCAGTCCGTTGAAAACTTCTAGTAACACAATCCACAATGGCACCATCCGGCCTCGCAATCCTCATCGGAGCTGGCCCCAACACAGTACGTACCTTCTTCCTACACACTTATTCAACACCAAACTCACATACACAATCAGGGCTCCGGAATCGCACGCATCCTGTCCTCACCATCCCACGGCAACCTCGCCGTCGCGCTCCTCGCCCGACGCCCCGACTCCATCAGCTCCTCCATCTCCAAAATCCGGCAATCCAACCCGTCCGTCGTGCTCGAAGCCTTCCCCTCCGACACATCCAAAGCGAGTCTCGAAAAAGCGTTTGCGGATATAAAAGCGCACAAAAGCTTCCAGGGCTTGAAGCTCAACATGGCGATTTACAGCATCAAGCACAGCAGCAAGAAGCCGTTTTTGGAAGAGTCGCGAGAGGAGTTTGAGGAGAGTTTGGAGACGTATGTGGGTGGCGCGTTTACGTTTGCGCAGGAGAGTTTGAAGAGGATGTTTGTGGATCATGGGGAGGAGGGGTTGCAGGAGGGTGGGGGGAAGAAGGGGGTATGGAGCACTCATTCCTATTGTTGTGATGCCAATTGCTTACTGACGCGATCGTTCAGACTATCATATTCACCGGCACCCTCGGCGCTCTACGCTGCAGTGCGCAATTCGCTGCGTACGGTGCTGGCCGCGCATCGGTCCGCCAACTCGCGCAGACTCTGGCGAGGGAGATGAGCGAGAAGGGCGTGCATGTCGTACACACCATTGCAAATGGCAGCATTGCTGATGAAGACGGTGAGGCGCAGAAGGCAGGGAAGAAGATGAGTGCGGATGCAGTTGGCGAGACATATTTGTGGCTGCATAATCAGAAGCCGTGTTTGTGGACGCATGAGTTGGACATGAGGCCTGCATGCGAGAAATTCTAGTATAGCAGCAGTGAGTGTTATCGAACTTGGAATTACCAAGAGATAAAGTATGGAGAGCTTATGTCATGACGATGCGCCCTAGCCGGTGCAAATCAAATACGACCTGAGTCGCAGTATAGGTATCTGGCGCTGCGCCACACAAGGCCGCCAATGTCGGAGTCAGCTAGTGAATACACAGTATATAAAGCAATGACAGACACGCTCATCAGGTCTGAAGAAGCGATCCAAACGAACTTGAGACTAAAAAGACACCCGTCGAGAACCCACACGACGAAGCAGTATAGTGCACCAAATGCGTCAAATGCATCAAATGCGTCAAATGCATCAAATGCGTCAAGAGGATGCCACAGTGAGCAAAACGAGCTCTACTTCAGCCATTCCCAGTATGGAAAGCAGACTTCTCAGTCTGCCACTCTTCGTTGTCCAGGACATTCTCGCGCACGTAGTGCGCTCATATACCATTGACCACGACTTGCCAGTCTTGCAGCTCCTGCAACTCCGTGGTGTAAGCAGTCAGTCAGGCTCCCTCACCCCTTTTCAACAAGTTTATTTACATCTGCACAGAATTCTTCGACAATGAAACCACGAAGGTCTTGGGCCACAACCTTGACTTGTGAAACAAGACTGAGCGCACCAGATGTACGCACGAAGCCCCGGCAGACTTTCTCAAGCGGTTACTGCAGTACCATATTAATTACGGACAAAGCATATTCGCCAAGCAGATGCAGTCGGCAGTAGAAGTCTTGATGGATGCATTTGAGACTGTCGGCACGCCTAAAGAGGGGCACGAGGTATGCGGACTGGTCTGCGATGCGCTGGCAGAGACGCTGCGCCCCGAGAACTCGTTTTTCCACAAGAGGCCGCAATATTTGAACCCGGTGCCGACGGCATTTGCTATCGCCTTGAGGGAGAACTTTACTGATCTCATTGACGATATGTTGAACAGGTTTCCTATAGTGTCGTGTGGTGGAAAAGGAAGAAAGACGAGGCAATGTCCGCTAGCAGCTGCAGAAGCATACGATATATCTCCCAAGCTACCGCTCGAGACGGCCATGATGCATGGACGAATAGAGCAGGTGAAGATGTTGTTGAGCCACGGCGCGAGGATCGGGAAAGACCCAGAAGCATCGCCATTCGTTGCTTGTCGAACAGCAGCGAAACATGGCTATGAAGATGTGGTCGAGTCGTATTTGGAGCTATTGCCATGGGACTACAACAATGTCACGCTCCATAGCACAGCAAGTCTTGTTTCGACGGCCACCATCGCGCATCACTGAGACATGCTGTTTTGTATGTTGAGGCGATGCATGTTGACTTTGCGGAACAGGTTGAGATATGTCGACTGGGGCGATTGTCTATACGATGCTGCTATGGACGGCCAGGACGAACTTATTCGCTACATCCTCGATGCGCTCCCACCATCGCATGACATAACATGGCCTTTGCTCGGCGCAGCTCGTGGGGGGTGATTGGGTACTTGCAGGCTCTTACTTGAGAAAGGTATATTAAATGACAACCGCTGTTTCGGAACAGATGGAGCATGGACCCAGGGGGTTGTTACAGGTGGTAGCATCGAAGTCTATCAGCTGTTAGAGGAACAAAATTTGTGGATATCGGTATTAAGGTCAGCGATGACTCTGAACTTGCCGAATCCCAAGCTCCGCTCTGTGGAACTTGCTTATTTTGCTGATGATAGCGAGATGGTGGAACTGCTCTTGAGCTTGGGAGCGGAAGCACGGCAAGGTGTGTTATTGGAGCAGTGTGCGCGATGCCAGAAAAAGACCGAAGACGTGATAATCAGGTATCAGCAAACTTTTCATCTTGGGGATCATGGGTACAATCAACGCTGGTGTCGTAAGAGCAGGAGCTAGAGTGCAGACTTCGTTTGTTCGGAACTTCAGGCCCGTGAGGCTTGTGGTCTTTTCTGCTGGCCCTTCTGAAACGGCTTTCGAGGTGGCGTTTGAATAGGCTTTTGGTAAGATGTTGGACGATTGCTTGTGGGCATGGAGGCCGCCAGGATGATGTCGACTGTCCTTCCAACCTCAGCCTTGACTTCGGTGAACTTGGCGGGGATGAGTGGCGGTTGCGCATGCAGCCTCAGACTTCCTTGGATGGCCGGACTACTGGGAAATGTGCTCCTCAACGCGGTGTTGCCGCTGTTAAATTTTTTGGAGATTATGGCTTTGCCATTTTCATCGAACCCTCGCGCTCGTAGTTCCTCGACAATCGCATTTCGTAGACGCCGCCGGGACCAGGATCGCACGCAGCTTGATTTACTTAGATCAGCAGCAGTAGTCACGTGCCACCAAAGACCTTCCCTGGGTCGCTCTTTGAATCTTCTCTTCTGCGTTTCGTGGACTGGGTGCCATGGGTCGGCCAGTATATGATTCGTGATAAAAGTCTTGTACTCGGTCGAATAACTGACTCTGAAGAATTTCGGCTGCTGCTTTGCGAGCTGCCCAATTATCTTGTTCATAATGCGCCCTCTACACGGGTGTACCGAAATAGTTGTGTGGATGAATGTTGCATGAACCGTGGTTGTGAGTTCGGATGACTCAAAAGCGCTAGGCCCGAATAAGCGAGGCAACCGCCCAACGTCAAAGGCCAACCCACAGAGACAGGGAAACCAGAAACGAAGGCCGCCACTACATAAACTCCGCGCCCAGCGCAACTCTTCTCACCCACGAACACCCACCACCCACCAACCCCACCCAGAAGTAGTCTCTGACAACCACAACTACTCGACAATATGCCTAAGAACAAGGGAAAAGTGCGTACATTCTGTAAGAGGCGAGGAGGGGCTGCCCCGCCATGTCTCTCGACGCGATGGCGCTCTACACCGCAACATGCGGTCGCGGTCGCAGTCGCATAGGCACGGCGCAGGCCCTCTATTCTCTCTTCTCGCCCGCTTAACAACTCAATACTAACAGTTCCTAGGGTGGCAAGAACCGACGTAGGGGTAAGAACGAGAACGACAACGAGAAGCGCGAACTCGTCTTCAAAGAGGAGGGCCAAGAATATGCCCAAGTCGTCAAGATGCTCGGAAACGGCCGTCTGGAAGCCCAGTGCTTCGACGGCGCTCGCCGTCTCGCCCATATCCGCGGCAAGCTCAGGAAGAAGGTCTGGATCAACCAGGGTGACATCATCCTCCTGTCGCTGCGAGACTACCAGGATGAGAAGGGCGATGTGATCATGAAGTATTCTGGTACGTTGAATGCGCTGGCGTGGTGGGTGACGAGGGTTTGCAGTTACTAATACGTGTGAACCAGCCGACGAAGCCCGTTCATTAAAAGCCTACGGCGAACTCCCCGAGAACGCAAAGATCAACGAGACCGACACGTACGGCGACCAGGGCGACGAGGGCATCGGCTTCGAGTTCGACGAGGACCGCGACGACAGTGACTCGGACGAGGCTGACGGCACCGGCAAGAAAGACATTGATATCGACGATATCTAGAAAACCGGAACAAGAGGACTCCGCCATGCTGTCTCGGTGCTCGTTATGGCTCGTGCTGGCTGTAAGAGGGCTGGGCGGCTCAAATGCTGCTTCTTGCGAGCGGGCGGATGAGATGAGCAGTACGGTAGTGAAGTGAAGCGGCAAGTGAGGATCTATGCGGACGGCTTGATGGTCGTGGCGAAAAGCGTAGATGGAGGAAGAATAGACACATGCATAATTCTCTACATTGACATGACTCTATTGTGTAGTTTCTATTGCTGAAGAAACGACGGCAACCCCTGCACCTCCTCATACACACTCCTATTGAAAAACCTCCACACCCTCCTCCCCACATCCGTCCCTATCAGCCAACAAATCTCCCTCTCACTCATATTCGCCAGCTCCTCCACACTCTCCGTCCGCAGCATGAGCGTCATGACAATACTCTCATTCACGCCCGGCAGCGCACGCAACATATCCTGACTCGTCTGGTTGAAGCTGCGCATCTCGTCCTGGCCCTGCATGTCCGGATCGAGGCCCAACTGCACCGCGCGCAGCGGATCCGGCTCGTCCTGCTGCTTCTTCAGCTCGTGAAAAATCTCCGCCGTCTGGTACGGCGAACTACTCCAGACGATGCGTAGACGAGGAAAAGCCAGCGTCAACATGACCAACTTGCCCTGCAGGTCCGGCGCAGCAGCGAGGCCCGAGGCATTACTCGGCGCGCTGAAATCCGTAAAGGGCTCGAGGGTAAACGACTTGTTCTGGTCGAATTCGATGAGCAGCATTGGGTGTTTGTAGTGCTCCATCATGGACTCGACTTGGTTGAAGAGCCGGCCGTTGGCGAAGGAGCCGATCAGGTCGCGCACGGATTTGCGCTCGATGCAGATGTGCGGCGTGAGGACGTAGTCGCCGACGGTGAGCATGCAGGGTACGATGACCATTGCACGGCCGTGAAGCAGAGACGGTAAGCTGGAGCGGAATTCTCGCACGTCGACAACTACGCGGGGTGGTTCGGCGGATGCAGCGAGACGGCCACCGCCTGCGATTCGCGTGTTGATTGTCCGCAGGAAGGACTCTTCGGGTGCGAGGTTGGCGTTGGTGTTTAGTGTTAGGGCCATGTTTGCGCGCTCTTTGATCAGCCGGGTGAATGCGTCTTTCTCGCGGCGGACGGCGGAGAGGTAGCGCTGCTCTTCCACGCTGCCGCCGTAGTACATGAAGAAGACTTTTACAGTACGGTCGGTGTGGCTGGATCGGTAGACTTCGACTCGTCGGATGAAGGCGGCGTCGGGCTCGTACATGATGATGTATCGCGGCTTGGTCTCCTCCAAGATGTGTTCGTCAAGATCGCCAGAGTATGGGTGTACGATGATGAGAGAGTTGGTATCGAAGAGCTCGTAGTAGGATTCCATGTTATCAAGGGGGTCATGGCCGATCTCGCCGGGCTTCTGGGCAGCTTCCAGCTCAGTGGGTTGAAGCTCAGCCATTAGACTCGCAATATGCGCGTCCTTGTCTCCAGCAGTACGAGCAGCCCCCGAATCCATTCGAGACGGACCAGTACCAGCAGTTCCACCACCTCGGACACGTCTCCGCTTATTAGGTGGAGGTTTGCCGGAGGGTTGACGCATGCCACTCTGCACCGATTTGTCGTTGCTGTTGTTTATGGCCTTCTGATTCTCCGAGAAGAGTGCTGCACTGACCCTACTGAAGTCACGCTTCCATGTGAGGTAGCTTCGAAGCTTCCGGCGCATCATGAACCTCGCGGAAGGTTCATCATTGCCCTCGTCATCCTCCGCGCCCGCCTCAGGTATGACATACATGGTTTGCAGGTACTCTCTGAGTTGTGAGCAGGTGCCCTGGTCGCCGCACATGATGAGTATAGATCCATTGGAAGTATCCTGTGGTGTGGGATTAAAGTATGTATCCTGTTCAATCTCTTGGAGGATCTCCGCAAGTTGTGCCCACTTTGGGAACTCTTCAAGGACAGGCTCAAGAGAATCCGGGACCAGATTCGTGCTGTTTACTAGGTCTGCGTTGGACATCTTACCAGTGTATACTCTTCGCTTTGCGGTTGTGAAAATAGTATCTGCTGCATCCAAGAACAACCATGGTGATTGATTCTGTTTTGTGGAACCAGGAGGTGGTTGCGACGCTGCCAGTACTGTGTCGAGATACTTGTTGAAGCTAATCGCGTCGTATGTAAGTAGTGCATGGAGGATAGATCGAAGCAAGGAAAGATCTCGAACGACCTGTCTTGTCTTGAACGTTGTTCGATGCCACACCGGGTCCAGCTGTCGCCTGATAATCTGATCAAAGTTCTTGTGTAGCGCACTGTCAATGTTCCAGTCATCAACCTCGATACCTGGGTTTGCCTTCTTGAGTTCACTGATACTGGCTTCAACGCATTCGAGCACAGCATTTTGTATGTCTTGCATCGCGTCTGTCATGGGCACTTCCAGCTCGATGACTTCTGCCTTCTTCCGCCCCTCCAGCGACTTCGCCACAGCCACGTGGAATCTCGGATACAGTGCCGGCTTCTGTAGGAATAGATTCTTCATCATGTTCGTAAGCGGTGCGAAGCCTGTAGTAAACGGCTCAGGTGTGTCCGAGAATGCTTTTAAAAAGCCAGCCTTGTTCTTCTGTCTGTATATCCGCAGAATGAACGCCTCGAGTGATGTCGCGACGACTCTCTCAGCGTGCAGCACCACGACACCCGTCACCGTCTCTGGGTTTAGAAGTCCGGAGAGGAAATCTACAATCAGAATTCTTGATGTGATACTGAATATGCCCCCTTGCGCATACATCTTCTCACGCGTTCCAACGCTCATCAAGTCGGTATTCACCAGACTCAATCCCCTGCACTTTGGCGCGTTGCTGATAGCCGCGTGCTCGGCCAGCGCCTCGCCAATCCAGACATTTTCGCGGTCTTCGGCACCCACGAGGAGGATCAGATTATTTCCGGCGGCATCGTACGAGTGGAGGAGATTTGTAACTATGCGCAGCAGGCCGAGGCCCCGCGCCAGGAGGACGAGTTCATCCTCCTCGCGCAGTTCATTGAAGATGTCTTGCTGAAATTCCTATGATGTCATCAGTACTGGCATTTGTAACACGGAATTAGGCTCGTACTAGAGGCAGCGAGAGCTTCACGGGGGCTTGTGCATCGCTGGGCATTGGGTGCAGCTACGTTGACAGTGGTGGTGGGGCGAACGATTGGGGTGGACGGTGGAAGCGCGTCGAGCTTTGGTCAGTTCTTGTCGCGCATCCCGAACGAGTTCACGTGCACATAGCGAGCATCTGCAAGTGGTCTACCTAGGTACTTCAGCCCACACACACCTCAGTACTGCTTTCACAGAAACATCATGAAGCGCTATTTGCCCATCGGCCTGAAACGTGGGTGATCGGGTAGAGATGTTTTAGCACAATGCATGCGAGGGATTTTGTGTGATTCCTCGCTGTGAGTGAAGAAAGCGTAGATTCATTTTGTAGCCGTAATGTCCCTATATTTATACACAAGTGAAAGATGAACAATCGTGCAGCAAAACTGCTTCATTGCGAGCTGGCCCTGATTTCTGCCTGTCGTCTCCTGGACTCTGCTGCATAAGCATCACGCTCGTCTCTTTTAGCCTGGGCCTCTGTCTCTGAGCGGTGCGAGTCTGCTTCCTTTTGCGCAATCCAAACTGATACAATTAGCACATGAGCATCCAGGCCGTGAATGCCGTGCGGAGTAAATCACGAGACAACTTACTCGGCTTTTCCGACTTGGAAAGTTCCTTCAGCTGGGTTGTGAAGTTGTCAAAGTCCTGCTGGGTCTGCTCTCTCCTTGCAAGCGCCTTCTTCTGGAGCTCTGGACTGTAACGCTGTGACGTGTGAGATTATAGTCATCGTGCGATGCTGTGGCGAGGCCCGCAAACCTTGAATATCTCTTCCTCTGTGGGAGTCACCCACATGACCAAGGCTGGTCCGCCTATGCACAGGATCGCGCCTCTGCAGGGAGTCAGAATCAAGAATCGATAGCGCAAGGCCAGGACAAACCCTGAGATGGCCTTGATGTATGTCCCCATGGAAGGCATCGTGGGCAGTTCGGTGCTATTCTTGCACTTGTGATGACGTATGGAGTTCCGTGCGTGAACGACTGGAGATTGCAATCGTTATGTGGTCTAGCTCGTGCAGTAAAGGTTGTTGCTTGGGCACAGAAGATACAACATTAGATCACGAGCCCCATCAAGTCACAAAGTCGATGATTCCAAGCGCGCGATATTGGGTTAGCGCCGTCAGCCACGGTGGCTGTGCGCTGAGGCCGATGGGCTGCCGTGGGGTTGCATGCGGTAACGGGCGTTCCGAGCACGATGAAGCGAGAAGATCTGCGCTGATAGCCTGCTTCATGGCATGACGGTCATTGGTGCGTGCTCTGCGCGGCTCTGCGACTGTTCTTGTGTAGAAGCTGCTTGACATAAACGTATCTGTCCAGAGTTGCATAGAGGTGAAACTCGACGTCACAGCACGAGCTGAAAGGATTCGGGCTGCGACCAGGCACAGTCAGGAGAGTTAATCTGCTTCTACTGGCGAATGTACCATGCAAATGCCGGGATCATATATTCGAGGATGCCGTTTCAAGGTCTTCGATGGTAGCGAGATTCGCCGTGTCATCTCGCTGGTAATTCCCGAGTAGTGGACCACAGGTGGCCGTGTCGCCCTCAAGCGCCCCCCGTTGTTCAAGCAAGGTACGGGCAGCTCCTGGGGGCGTCCTTCCGATTGAAACGGCTGGGCATTGCGCGCAAGGGCGCCCTGACGACGCCGTTCGTCGCTGCAAACCCACTTATATGGAGCGTGAGACTACCAGAGGCGCTCAGATGCTGCGTGTGATGCGTCTTGCTGTTCTTTAATTTGTAGACCCCTGCCAAGTACCAGCTCTCCATGTAATCCTTCCCGCAACTCCACCCGCAGCTCAGGAACAGCCTCGACGGTCGCGGCTGCCGTTAGAAAAGCGCCTGGACGCTTATTCAAAGTGCGTGATTCTGCACGTGTGGCTGTGCCCTTGGTTATATTCAGAGTGCCTCCGGTCGCAGGCGATCCACAACTTCTTGTGCAAACACCTCGCCTAACGACGCGTCCTCGACTGGCGCAACGATCGCCGTCATGGCATACCAGCAACAGCACTACGACCAATACCCGCAGCAGCGACAACAGCAGCAGCACGGCCAGGGACGCCCACGACAGGCCCAGCAGCAGTATCAGCAACACGGCGGGTACGACAACCAGTATGACCAGCAATACGACCAGCAATACTACGACTACGGCCATGGCCAGGGCAACTACGACGAGTGGAACGACGGCTACTATGACCAGCAGGGCAGATGGGTGCAGGCACAGCAGTACGCCGGCTATGACGGCATGAATGGATACGCGCAACAAGAACCGCAAGCACGAGGACAACGGCCCCCGCCCCAGCAACACCGCCAACATGCGCAAGAGCAGGCCTACGACAACTCGTACCAGCAACGCCCCGCGCAGCGACAGGAGCCTCGCCCAGACCCGAGGAGCCAGCCGTCAGGGCGCGGCAATGGAGCTCCCCCAGGCCAGCAGCAGCCACGGGGAGGGCTGAGACCGGCAGGTGAGTTGCCTCAGGCTGGAGATAGTGTGTGGTAGTATTGACTGACTGGAACAGGCTTCGACCGCTCCTTGTTCAAGCCCGTGGTCCCCAAGGCCCAGCCCCTAGACAACCCATTTCCAACGTTTCCGGCGAAGAAGCCGCCCCAGGCAGCTCCAAAGGAGAATCTGGACCAGGCCATGTCGCAGATGAAGATCAAGGACACGAGGAACGGGCAGGAGAGGATGCAGGCGTCTCCACCCAGGTCACAGCCTGGGCCCCATCAGCAGAGAGGCCCGCAGCAGCCAATGCCGGCGCCCACCAACAGACAAGACTCGGGCCATTTCGAGAGTCAGGGATACAACAACCAGCGACCTCCGCCAAACCGCGCACCGCCCAGCCAGCGACAACCCCCAATGAATATGGAGGGCGGCCGAGCACCGCCTCCCCGACGCCCCTCTGACCCGAAATCACCTTCGCAGCGAGCATTCGTCCCAAATATGCAGAGGTCTGCGACCATGCCGCACAACACGCCTGCTGGAGCGCAGGGCAGGGCCTATGATAATCGCGAACAATGGGCCGAGCCTGGCGCGTCTCCGGGATACTATGATGCGCCTCCCAGGCCTTCCACGGCTGGCGGCACACGTCAAAATGGGCCATCAGGGCAGCCACAACAAAGACCGCCAATGCCACAGATGGCACCACCTCAGCAGCAGCAAGCTCCGCCTCATGGGGAGATTGACGACTTCTACGACGACTACTATGGCGAAAGTACCGAGCGCAAGAGTATGGCATCAGCGATAGACATGCCCAACTTCGACGCAATACCGGAGACCAATACCAAGCACCGGAGAGGCGACTCGATAGACAACCATCTGGCGTCAAATGCCCAACCTCAGCACTTCCAGCAGCAAGCCCTACGAAGCCGATCCCAGGGTGATCTGCATGGGCAATATGCCAACGGCGCCCATGGGATGCAAGGCGATGCTCCTCCAGTACCGATGCTACCACGGGCAAACACTGGTTTTGACGGCCATGGCGGTCTGCCAAATGGTCCACGTGGACGCGGACCACCAACTCGGGGCATGACTACCGATGACATGCAACGACGACCAGATCAGCACTATGGCCAAAATCAGCCGCCCAACTTTGATTCCCGGTATGCTCAACAACCGCCTGCAGTCCAGAGGGGCTACTCAGACGACTCTGCCCGTTCTGCACCCGCAATGAACGGCATGAGAAACGCGCCTTCGCCAATGGCTCCTGGCAATCCCATCCAAAGACCTGGTACAGCAGCACCTGCGCCTGGACGTATGCCAAGTGACCCTCTAGCCCGACGACCGGGCACGACACAACCCATGTCGAATCCAGATGCTCTACCTGCACACCCAGCTCCAGTGCGTCTTGGCCTAATGCAGCAAAATGGACAGCAGCCACCACCACAATCACAAGGCCAACCGCAGAACGCAAGGCCACCGCCAGTGCGACAGTACAACAGCGAGACCTCACGCGCCAGCTATGAAAGCCAGCAGTCAGAGGTAAAGAGGCAAAGCGTGCCAGCGCACCCTGTGACTCACGATGAGTTGAACCGCCTCCGAAACACTCTGCGGGCTAATCCTGGCGACCACGCCACTGGACTGTTGCTTGCGAAGAGGCTTGTAGAGGCAGCTAATGTACTCGCCGATGAGGGTGGAACGGCCGACACGCGGACTAAGAACAAGAATCGTGAAAAGTACATCATGGAAGCTCACAAGACTCTGAAGAAGCTGGTCGCGAGCAACTATCCGGATGCCATGTTCTACTTCGCGGACTGCTATGGCCAGGGACTGCTTGGTCTGCAAGTGGACACCAAGGAGGCGTTCAGCTTGTATCAATCCGCCGCGAAGGGTGGTCATGCTGCGAGTGCATACCGAACAGCCGTTTGTTGCGAGATGGGACATGAGGAAGGCGGTGGTACTAAGAGAGATCCACTCAAGGCGGTGCAATGGTATCGACGTGCGGCAGCACTTGGCGACACACCTGCATTGTACAAGATGGGCATGATTCTTCTCAAGGGATTACTCGGGCAGCAAAAGAACTTTGGCGAGGCCATCAACATGCTCAAGCGTGCTGCCGAGCGCGCAGATAAAGACAACCCTCACGCCCTGCACGAGCTGGGTCTCATCTACGAAGCATCCACTGGAAACCAGCGGATCATCCAGGATGAAGCATACGCCCTTCAACTCTTCCACCAAGCCGCGGACCTAAACTACAAGTTCTCGCAGTTCCGACTAGGCCAAGCTTACGAATACGGCTTGCTAGGCTGCGCAATTGATGCACGGACCAGTATCGCATGGTACACCCGAGCAGCCGCCCAAGAAGAGCATCAATCTGAGCTCGCACTTTCAGGATGGTACTTGACAGGCACCTCCGGCATTCTCGAACAGAGCGACACCGAAGCCTATCTTTGGGCCCGTAAAGCCGCATGCGCGGAACCACCGTTACCAAAAGCGCTGTTCGCAATGGGATACTTCACTGAAGTGGGAATAGGATGCCCGCGGAGTTTGGAGGAGGCGAAGAGGTGGTATGGAAGAGCTGCTTGTAAGTTATTCTTTCTCGTTGGAGACTTGATCATGAGACTAACATTTATGCAGCATACAAATTCCCCAAGGCGCAAGAGCGTCTCGAAGAGCTGAAGCGCGGCGGTTCGAAAGTGCAGATGAAGCGCGAACGTCTTAGTCGGACGAACCAGAAGCAGCAGGAGGAGAATTGCACGGTCATGTAGGATATCGGGCGCATACGGAAGTGAAAAATCGGGGCAAAATGGTCGGTCTGAGCTCAGGCGGCTTTCTGCAGCATTGGCGTTTTCCCAAACTGGCATTGCGTGGGGCATTGCATTCGGCGCATGGGTAGTTTGCATTTCGAGGAAATGCTCTGGTGTGTACTTTTGCATCAATGAATTATAATGTCGTGAGCTGCGCTCGTGAGAATATCTCAAACATTTCGCGAGATTCTCGCTCCTAATAAATTGGCCATCACGAAAGCCGAGAAAGCATGCGGAAAAAAAGTACGGATGTCTTTGCGTGACGACACACCTCCAAAGGTGGGGCGTAGTATGGCGAAATAATACCATGATACGAATCAGTGATGATGACAGAAGCACCAACGACACAGCTTAGATCGATTACACTGAAGACTCTTCCCTCGCCACAGAGATCGATCGAAGGCCACTACAGTGTCACAGACCATTTGCAAGAGGGGACCATTGACGCAGAGATTTACAGAGACGCCATTGTCGAAATCAACGACGATAGCAGACCTCGAGCAGATTTCGCTTCTGAACAGGGTGAGAATCTTCCAAACCCGGGTAATCCATAGTTGTTTGTTGCTAGATGCTTCTTCATAACCTAACGGGATAGGGGTATGGAAAGGTCGCTTTGGGCGTGTCCGCAGCCACTTGAGGCCGCCTACTGATCCATTGTACGTCACAGAGACCCCATATGCAGAAATTTAAGAAATTCTACTTCCGGCTGTCATGTATGTGTTAGTATAGATACAGTATCCTCAGTGGGCGATTTACCCAACGGCTTTTCACGTCTTGCAGCTTTCCAAGCTGTCGATACTAACTTTTCTTTAGATCGTGGTTTCGCTTATCTACACAGCAGACTACTTCTCGATCTTCAAAAGGAGCTGACACAATTGGAGCAAGAGCTGGAGGAAATAGACTCGGATGATTTTGAAGATAACCCCGATCGGCTACGGTCCAGTGACATTGATATGGACATCACAGCCCAGGAGGGTGATGTAAGATCTAGGAGAAGCATATTAGCATAGGTAAATATTAAGCTTGTAGAACATGGTATACACTTACCATCTACATCTGCCGATATCCTCGCTTATCATCTGGAAGATGAGCTCCTCATCAAGGCTAGCACAATTCGTGCTCTCCAGAAACCATCGGATCAGATGTACACCAAGATGAGGCGCTTCCAGCACAATACTCGGCCTTTGATAGGTTCGGAGATGGACTCGATCCGTTGTAGAGAAGATATCATCACATTACGATCAGGTAGAGCGCTAGCCAGCTTTGACTCCATGATCGAACGCAGTATTGAACCGACGGTGATACGAATCCATCGAATTCTCCAGGCGAGCGGCTTGATTTGAACGAGAGGAAGGTTCGGGCTTCGCTCACATAGCCCAGAAAATCTTCCGCATGAATGCGCCGCCATCATTGGTATGCCAGAGCCCTCATTACCGTTGCTGCCCCTACCATCACAGCAGTGCAATGAAACAATCTAATCTATAGTTTAGAATGTCGGTCTCACCGCGCAGCGGTCCCGAAGGGCCAGTAGTTATCCCGAAGGGACCGTCTAATTCGCCCCTACTAGAATATCCAACTCCGGAGGAAAAATATCCTCTGTAGCCCTCGCCGTCGCCGTGCAAAGACGACGTTTTTCGTCCGTGCTCGTGGTTTTAATGTTCCTCGCTATCGATAAGGTGGCCTAAGCGCGTCACGTAAGGACTTATGAGGATCTATTCACAGCCCCTAGCCCGTTGAAGCCCCTAGCCCGTTGAAAGCATATATCCTCGTTAAAGCAAGTCTCCTCGTCAATGGCCTGGCTCCTCATCAATGGCCTAGGTCCTCGTTGGTCACGTGCACGTCTGATTCCAGAGTCCTTAGTGATTTGGCCCAACAAGAAGCCTTCTGCTCATTGGCCAATCACTAGGCATGAAAACTAGCGATTGCTGCGCACACCAGCACTGCGCCGTTTCGCAGAAGGCGGCTTCGTTTACTTCTATTCGTCCTCCCGCATTGACGAGATCGCCCGTGCTATCGTATCTGTCGTAGTCCTTGCGTTACTCGTAGTTCCTATCGTGGCGATATATCGACTTATCCATCCTTACAACCGTACATCGGTGCTTGAATCCCTTCTTGTCCTCACTGCCTTTGCGCTTGTCTTTGCAGCTACCATTTCTACGGATACCATGGGTACGCGTTGCGAGATCTTTACATCGTCGGACGCATATTGCGCACTTCTCCTCGTGTTGATCAGTGTCTCCAGTAAGTAGCGAACGCACCGAAGAAAGGAGATTGCCAGATGAGTTACCAATCTGTAGCATGCAATGTCAGTATGCGGTCACTCGACTCGTTGCAGTAAAACGATCTACTTCGTGGTGTTGTTCACTCGGAGCTGGCCATCTTGTAGACCTAGACACCAGCATGCACTTCGAGCAATAACCAAGTATGCCGAAATTTTACATGCTCTGTATATGTTCGAAGAGTGTTGAGAACCCCATGTATTTGCCTTGTAGTATCCGTGCGACTCTATCAGACAGGCTTCTTTCCTAGAAGTAGAGAGGTCATGATCGAAAGCGGATATACCTATGGTAGAGGACGATACCATGTATCGTAAGGGGAGCATATTCTGCAGGTCATAAACTAAGACGGTGGTAAGTAAACAGGGGTACCCATAGCTCTAAGCTATAAATGGTAACGCTAGGCTCCAATTGCGGCAGCAAGGCCCTGTATACCTAGGTAGCTTCAAGCTGTGGGATGAGGTGCTATCTGTCTTGCGCCGCTTTCCATCATATTTGGACGACATTTTGTAGGGATTAGTGCGCTCGACGATGGAAATGCTTCGCGGACAATATTTGTAGATGAAATGCACTGACCAGGCATCATGAATCAGCGTATCGACTGCGATGATTGGAAAATGTGCTGTCGCGGAGTTGACATGAAGTTTGGCGGTTCGCAGGCACGCGACATGCTAAAGCGACCGCGCATCTCACCGACATCCGAGCCGTGAAACCTACAACCACAGGCCATGTCTCTCCCATCACACGATATCTGACATCATGCGCGACCTGTGCGCAGCCGGATGACGCATTCTCCGATCAAGATCATTCCAATTTGCCGAAGTCCGCATCGGACAATCCATACACTCCACGGACAAGGAAAGCCCTACGCATTGCGTTGGCACATGGATCGCTTAGTGCAGTCACTTCGCGAAAGTTAACAGCGTCTAGATGGTATGTGATCATATTCTCAGATCGTTCTATGTACATGGTGATGCTGAAGCATCGAATATATTTACAAGATAAGATTCCTCTAAAGGCGCATCCCAAGAGATGCCTCCTACAGCTCAACCTGGCCGGTCACGACTCGTTTGTTACGGGCAAGGGCGGCAATTGCTTGTTGATCGCAAGATTGGGAACCGACCGCCGTGGCTTGACCTCGTTCGCGAGGCCTGTGATGCATGTTCGTCTTATGCAGCCTTCTGACGGCATCGACTCATTCCATTTGGATGGGAGACTCTTGTTCGCCCCACTGGCGGGAAATGGCTCGCTTTTCGATCTGAGATGTCCGCGAGCTTCCATCGGCTGTTTTGCATGGCGGTCTGGAATTCCAGTGGATGAGTGCTTTGTCGTTTTCTCGCTTGTCCTACCACTTTTTCGACCCTTCTTCCTGTCCCTAGGCCTCCTCATCGCTTCGGTACTCTGTGGAGTGCTGCGCATGGCTTCGAGGATATGACCCGGCAGAGCCGAACTAGGCTGAAGAGCCACTCCACTATTGGGGTTCGGTGTCTGCTTCGAGCTCGGCACCTGTGACCGGTTCTTGGAAGAGCCCGGAGTCCTCCACGAGTTCGTTTTGCTACTCTTGCTGGGTGCGTTCAGGTCGAGGTGTAGATTGTGTATATTCCTCGACCGCCGCATGTTCTCACCAAAGCTTTTCGGGAACCCATTGCTCAGTCTCTGCATCAGTCGAAGTGGATTTCTTTCGGGTATTGGAGGCGGCGATCCGATCTCCTTGTTGACTACGAGCGGCCTGGGCTTCCACCACACATGGTCCGGCTCCACTGAGTCTTCGCCAGCGTCCGAGTAGACTGATGAACCCCAGGAGAATCTCGATACTTGTGTTCCCGAAAGAGTGTATGTCCAGTCCATTTCATCTGGCAAAATATTCAGTCGGGGCTCTTTCGCGTCGTTAGAGACGCTGTAGAAGCTCCCAAATCTGCCGGCCATGTCTTTTGGCAGTAGGTCACGCATTGATTCAGCTGGCGTCAAATGCTTTGCCATGAGGTCGTCCGAGTTGCTGTGTCCACTGTCCGAAGATTGGTATTCTCGGTCGAGTTCTGGCAGTGAATCAAGAGCCTGCAAGCCTTCCATGTCTTGGTTGTATCTCAGATTTGAGCTGGTCGCGAAGGTCCCCCTCTCGAATTCTTCTTGTATCGATAAAGTACTGTCGCGGTGATTCTGGATATTCTCTCCATGGTAGGCTCCATTTCGTACACTAAAGTCGCGGTGCAGAGACGTTCCAGCGTCGAGCCATTCAAGGTCCGATCGTAGATCCACCATCGTCGCTCCTAGCTCAGGTGCCATATTGTCGTTCATCTTGCTCTGCTCGACAAATTCGTTTTTGCTCGATGCAAAGTTCCCTGGTGCAATATATGTAGTCTGCCGCTTAGTTGGATCTTTCGGAGTTGGTGCACTGCGGCGATGCGCGACGGCCGTTTCAAGGCGCCGATTGCTTACAACCCCGACTCCGCCGTCTTGGTGCGCAAGGCCACGTTCATGCGCAACAACATCATCGCTGGTTGCCTCGTTGTTGTCAGGCGCTCCGCCGCGGAAAAGATTTTCATGGCCAAATGTCTCTGGCTGACGCCCAAGGTTGATGATGCAGCTGACTACCTTCAAGGCTCTCCCATGGACGCTATGATCGGGCGTGGCTGACTGCGCCGCGGTGGTCGCCTCGCACACACATTTCAAAGACCCGCCGTCTTCCTCAAGATTCTTGCCTCGCCGCAGGTGCCGCAATTTGTGGATGAAGCTATCTCGTAGGTGTGGTGTGCTGTATACTTGCCGCACGGTCGCTGTTCGTGGAGTAAAGCCGAGTCTCATCGAGCGCCGTTTATCGAAAACCTGGCCTGTTTCGTTTCTTTTCCTGTCTTCAAGCATTATGCATGCACGACATCGTCCCGGCAAACACACTAGCTCACTTCTAGTTGAGTGTGGAGATCCGGGAGCCTCTTCCAAAGACTCCATCATGATACCAAGACAGACTGCTCGGCCAAATGACTCAGGGGCCTGTTCCAACACTGTCGTAAATAGCACGCGTGGAAAAATTCAGACGAACTTCGTGTATGTGTGAATGTGGCGTTGTGGTGTGAGCATATCTTTGCCGCGCTCCTGCTGTTCACACAGCGTAAGTCCCCGTAGAGCGTGAAATAGTACCCGGGCACAGGCAGGATCACGAACAGTCACATAGCCGGCGCAGTCATAGAATGTTGGTCACATTCTTGCAGTCATGGCGCGTTTGTGCGACACGTTCTCACACCTCACACATTCTTTACAGCGGATTACCGAGTCGATTGCTTGGCTTCGGTGATGTATGTTGCTCGTTACATATTGAATAGCTCGTGTCCACGGCCAATCATATTTGACCCGTGTGTGCCAGTTACGCCGCACGGTCCGTGTCTCACACATCTTCCATATCCACGTCGTTCCTAGCTGGGTCTGCCTTGGTCTTGGAGTCGCAAACCATGAGCTCAGCCAAGTCGTCTGACATCTCGCGATCCTTCCATTGGAGCAAGACTGCGACTCTCGGTGATGCTGCCTTGCTCTTCTGTCCGGGCGTCTGTTGGTCCGTCCTGCCGCAATCGTGCTTGCTGGTGGCGTTGATAGTTGTTGGATTGGATGATTCCGACATTACTATATGCTGACTGCCCGGACGGCAGTGTTGAAGATCACTCCAAGCTGGGTAAGTGTGCTTGACTCTTTGCTCAGAAGTGATACGCTGTTTGCATGTAAGGGAGAGTTGAGTTGTCAGGTTGTCAGTGTGGTTTATAGACATAAACCGACATTCAAAGAATCGGCTAAATCTGGGACTAGTCTCTTACTAGCAATCCATTCCCGTTTGTTTGCTGATCACGCAAACTACATGGCACTGTCTGCACTACAGGAGCCTGCACCTTTGAAGAGGTTGGAGATCTTGATACCGTGCTGTTGTATTGTATTACTGCTCTGCAATGAATATGAGGGACAAGGATGAAAGGGGTATATGTTGCCATGCCAAAAACGCCTTTTCTATACACTTTCCAAGAATCTGCGATCTGCGTACAGCGGTATTGACATCGAAACATATGCCTATTTCCTGTTGATAAACGCTCTTAATGAGCCGTAATCGAGTTGTGAAAATGTGGCCTGGCACTGATCGCAATGTCTGGAGTATATCCCAAGTCAGAGATGATGTGAACTGTTCCAGCTCCGTCTGCTACGGTATACTTGGCTTAGGCTCCATCCCGCGTCGATGTGACAATCATGCTGTAATGATGTTTACGTCTTTAAAATCACTAGAAGTTCTCTGCTTCCCTCAACCTCTTTTTTTGCTTCCACTCCGTCTATTTGAGCATTTTCTGCCACATACAGCCACTGCACAGACCCTGACTGCGATTAACAACTTTATGCTCTCTTTGAGTTTCCGGACAGGGATGCCCCAATCGTAGTTTTTCGGCTTCGTCACAGATCCGTAATATCGGGCCGTTGTCCTTCTGCGGCTGCGGTATCCAGTGGTTGCAAACATGTATTGTGTAAACAATATAGCACATCGTCAGAAAAAGGCCGGTGGCGTCCTCTAGTTTGACTATATGTACTTTGTGTCGATGCACTTTGCAAGAGCTTTTCCTGACACGAGCTCCAGCAATGGCGTATGGTTTGCGGTTTTGGTGGTGATGTTGTGTAATCGCGAGAAAGGGACACGTCGATGTTTGGTTCCTCGATAGCGGGTTTGAGATTCCAGACGCAATTCGCGGGGCTCCTGGCGTTCCGTCTGATGGCGTGGCTCCTTTTGATGGATGATACTCTGCGACTCGACCAAGACCTTGCACGACCTCCTCGTTCTCCGCGCAAATTCGTGTAATCGTATTATTTCATAACAGTAGACCTCTTTATCGCTCTAGGCAATGACGCTGATGGTGCCCAGGATCGTGAGGTCGATTAGTCCGTTGAGTAGCGACTATAAAAAGAAGATGGTTTGACTATCGCACAAAAGCGACTAACTCGAAGCCAGGTAAACGGCGAGCGCGAAGAGAATGGTGATAGAGAGAAGAAACAAGAAATCCCGCGCACTTTCAAGAAACTTTGAACCGTTCTCGTTCCGCAAAAAGCAAGTGCACTGGAACGCAAGTGCCTTGTTGCACTGGCATCCTCGTCAGGCCGACCCTTGCTCCCGATATCCTCCCTGTCTCCTGTTCTCTCCGTCACAAGGTTTGCGGTCTTCCGTTGGAAAGGAAGAGTGTCAAGGGATGCGAAGTGCGTACCACGGTCATGGGTCGCAGCGAACGTCGTACAGCTAGGGCTGACCCTTCAAGGTCCTGCCGTAGAAAGTCATCGCAATCGTTCCCGGCTCAGTCTTCGTCAATCTCACTCGAATTGTAATTGCGGTGGATACGATGACGAATTGAACGTATATGGGATGTAACGGGAGAATGAAGGTGACAGGAGATAACGTGGAGACGGTTGCTCGGTGTCCCTTACCGAGCGATCGGCGCCAATACCTTTCCGTACATGTATGCGTAACTACTAATTGCATTGCCCGCTCCCGTGCGCCACACAGTCGGGTATCATGCAGTTGATTTGAAAAGAGAATAGCATGTTGTGAAGATACTAGGCGTCCACGCTGCAGTTGTAGGTTGTTTCAGACTTTCTTATCGAGTTTATAGCGCAATAGTACAACATTATGATACTCAATCGTGATTGCTTAGATTCTACTTCTACATTCTTTACAATCGCCGCGCTATGCATGTGCGTCGAAAGACTCTACGGCAACAGGCGGTGAACGATGGCTACCTACATTGCTACGTCACACAACTCCGTCGCCACCAAGACCTCCAGTAAGTCCTTTCATTCTCCTTCCTAAAAGATCATCGTCACTGGCCAAGCTCACGAGACTTTTTCTCCTACCGCGGTCACTTTTCCTTATTCTGCCTCTGCCTCTGGCGTGACCACTTGCTCCACCATTTGCGTCCGCGCCAGTCGCACCCTTGGGAGGACTTCTCGTCTTCCCTTTCGAAAGCACGGTCATTTCAAGTGGCCTATCTTCGTCGGCAGACGACGCAGTACCGGAGCGGTGATGATGGCGTGCCCGTTGCGAAGAGGCGAGACTGTTCACTGCCTCTGCGAGGCCAACTGTTGCACCCGAACCAAAGTAATCCGAGTTCCGGCGATTGAGGTGCTGAATATCCAAAGGGGTGATGAGATCATCGAATGCATCTCTTTGCTGTCGCTCTTCAAAGGCCTCTTGCATCCACTTTGCGCATCTGAAGATATATTTCCATCCTTCGGGGAAGACAGATACGAATTGCAAAAATCCGTGCGAGATGCCTGGTATGAGATCAACATTCACCCAATCCTCTTCCCTAAAAGTGCCCCTCGCCCAATCCAGCCCTAACTCTCGCGCTGTGACCCATTCTGCCCGCTTTGCTTGTCTCAGTCTACCTGCAAAAATGACCGTATCATCGACAAGAGGGTCACGCTCGCCTGTCAGCATCCACGTCCGAGGAAACTTGGCCAACAAACTCTCAGGAGCTAGAAGGGGTGAAAGAAGGTAATCGGTGCTAAAGTCCGGACGATGATGCGGGCCGATGTACAGAATGATCATAGCACGCATCATCTCTGGAGTCAGAATACGATCGTTGAAGTATGAAATCATACTCGATGTAGCGAGACGAGTCTTGATTGCCGTAGCAGGCGGTGCTGGAAGCGCTTCCTGTGGTACGCCTGGTGTTGGCGGCTGGGTTACACCTGGAGTGGGCGGCATTCCATTAAACATAGGTGTCATTTGGTCAGGTGTCCGAGTCGTTTGACCATAATCCGCAATAGCAGTGTCGATATGAGGAAGAGAGCTGCCATCTTTTCCAGTGTGTGCTGCGGAGAGCTTGATCATTGTCTGCGGAGAGGTGAGGACGCGTTCACTCATCGGCTTGGAGCCACTGGACGTCCGATTGATCTTGTTGGAGCCTTCATCTTCGCTGTCTGAATTATCAGAGACACCAGGAGTATTTGGTGCAAGATGCCGATAGTCATCGCTCTTGTGTCGCAGGATTGGTTTGTTGGTCTTCCTTACTCTGCGGTCGCGGATGAGAGCCATTTGCTCGTCTGTCATCCAGTTGCCTATGTTCATATCAAGCGCCGGGTAGATTAAGACTACACCGGCTGGGGGTGGCATTGCGTGTTCGCCTTGCCATCGTCTTGTAGCTGTCGAACCGCTCTGAAGAATCATGAGAACCATCGCTACGGCAAGATTGCCACCAGCTGAGTCACCAGATACGACAATCTTCGGTTCTTGTTCCCCTGAAAGCCCCATACATCTTCCCCGTGAAGCAACGATAGTGTGATAGACATCATAGCACTCGTTCAGTGCGTATGGATATGGAAACTCTGGCGCTTTCCTGTAATCCAGGCTCAGGACCGGCAATCCACTTCTTCCGGCCCATCCCATAAGCTTGTCGTCATGGTTTCTGGGGTCCATAGCGACAAAGCCACCACCAGGAATGTCCAAGACAACCTTGTCGTGTTTCTTCAGGGCGCTCACTGGCCCGTTGAAATACAGCCATCCTATCACTGGCTCTTTGTATGAGCTTGCCTGCGGCCTAGGTATGCGGATTTTACGCGGCGGATACCACATGAGCCGCGGGCGCATCAGGTTTGTCAGCCCAGCTAGGTATGGTGTTGTGCCTTTGTTCCACGCCACGCGTAAGTGGTCGACTGTGAGCGTGGCTCTGATCTTCCTGACCTTCTCGTCTGCCTGCTCAGCGCAGATCATGTAGTATACACTGAAGATGACGCTCATGATGTCCCTGACGCCCTTCCTTTTGATGCGCATAGCAGACCAAAAGCCAGCGTCCAGCGCTGTCGTGACCCATGTCGCACGGAAGTATGAGCGCGAGTATAGATTTGCAAGCGGTTCGGGGCATTCGAGACCGAGGAGCTTGCCGAAGTTACGGGCAATGTAGAGATATATGAGCGTTATGAGGACGGATTGCCAGACAGTGAGCTTCCGGGACAGAAGGGCAGAGATGCGGCGGAGGATTGGCGGGCCGTGACGGTCACCTCTAGGCTTGCATTAGTTCTGTGAAGACAACATCGTGGTCTATGAACTCACCTGTAGAGATAGAAAGACCAGAATGACACGACAGCCAGCACTTGTATCTTACGGAACTGGACCGAGGGCCGGCCCATAACATGATCTATCATGATTGCTGGTGTAGAGCAGCCTCTGTTTTTCGTGCCCGAGGCTGCTGCTTTACTACCATAAGCTTATGTTCTAGGTACGTTCCCAGGTATCCGCGTGAACGCCGGTTTGCGTCATGAAAGGCAACCAGCCGAGACAATGACCACGTTTGGGAGACAAATTCAAATAAGGGCAGTCCGAGTTACAACAGAAGACTTCAAGAGATGTCGAAGGTTGGTTGTGCTCCGCCATGCTTCTGAATATGGATCAAAGCCGTGGTCAAGCGCATCGCATTACCCACAAATGTGCTGTGGTTGGCTGGGCGTACAGCATGTGACAGACAGTGAAGGGCCATGCGTCCTCATGAGCATGTGAAAGCCGGGCTTCAGCCGCAATGACATCGCATCGCCTCGGCTTTTGTGTCCGTGCGCATCCCTCAGCCAGGCTTGACACTCGCGAAAGCTGCCAACAACAAAACGTCCGGTGAGTGTGTGGAGCAAGCAAATACAGACCCTCCAGCCAAAGGTAGCAGATATGCTTTGGAGATGCTGTTCCAACATGGACAAAGATAGTAGCAACATCCAGCGCATACCTTCCTTCTGGCAGGAACACGCAACCGACTTACAGGACATCGTGTTGTTGGAAATGGTTCATCTCGGCTTTGTTACCGAAAGAGATAGAGAGACAGCTGGTGGAAAAGTCGGCACTCGACACCAGACGATGTTGGGGGTTGAGCGGGCAGTGCAGTACAGTGCAGTACAGTGCAGTGCAGCGCAGAGCGGCGGGCAGAATGATCGAGCTCACAGACATGCTGAAGAGACACGTTGGACTGTGGCGTATATTTTCATTTGCTTATTATCGTCGTGCTTTTCGCGGCGACACGCGGCAGATACGGATCTTCAGTTCTAGGCCGTCTACGACGCCTTTCCGTCTGCAGCTATCAAAGTCTGTTTCAGGATTGCAGTTCGAATACAATCTTCCTATCGATACTGGGCCTGTGTTTAATTACTCTGCATGCACTAAGCGCTCGTAGATCGATGAGTATGCGATGCGCGGCGGCCTGACTTCCGACCGTTTCTCCTCGGGTACCTGACGTCCAGGGACCAGGTTACCCAGAAGCAAAACTGTCGCAAGGAGAGCTGTCATGTTGGCCACGAAAACGCCGCTGCGAAGACATCGGCTCCCAACTTTGACATGACATCTGCCGGATGCACCCCAAATTGCAGGTTGTGATACAGCGTACCACTGCACCAGATTCGAGCCACGAATGTTTTATAAGCATTTGCTCCAGATAGGCAAAATAGACATGGCAACAGCTGTCATAGTTCTCCTGCATTTACCAGAACGCTATCGGCAAGAGCTTACATGTCTCCTGGCGAAGATCTGGTTCGTCTGACGGGAACATATCTGCCCTATCTGAGTACTATTCTACGCGACCCGATGTTGAGGGACTGCAGCGCTGTACCGGGATCAATCCTGCAGCGGCCAGAATTAGGTGTTTCGGACTCCAAATAGCCTTTTCGTCGGTGAGATAATCTCAGGCAGGGGGGCAGCGATGTTTCGAGATCAGCCACTCGTTTCTCGCGTGTGCTGATCGCATCGTTTAGCGCCCCGGGCGAACGCCAGGTACCCGCAACCCACTTCGGTCCTATCGATTCCTCATCATTCTCTGAGCTGTCGAACAAACAAAACAACAGTGCGGGCGGTTGTGCTGTTTCGTTTCACGCCGGTGTGTAACAGTGGGCTATAGGCTTTGATGCCCTGTGGACTACCGCCTCAATGAATCGAGCAAACGACGGAGTCCTTCAGCATGCCCCTGACTAAAATGCGACTCCATCCTTCAACAGCGCGCGGCTCGCCCTGGCTCAGATCCCGCTTGCGCCGCCCCCAAAAGGCGCTGCAGCTAATCAGTATAGGGAAGTGTGGCAGCCCCAATTATCTCGTTTCGATAACGGTGCATCCTGCACATGGCCTGGGTCAAGCCCACGCAATTTTGTGACTGCAGTAGCGCCTAGTACACATCACCAGGGCCGACTCCTACTTATAACGGACCTTGCAACCTTCGCTCAGCTCTGCAAACCGCTCGTCAACTTTTTGGTACAGGAATACCTTTCATTCTTTCAGGTTTTTCGTACATACACTCCTTTTTGATAGAGTCCGAGACTCAATTCCCTTCTTTATATTCTTCACACTTATCGATTGATCTGCGATTCCCTCCACATACTACCCAAGCATCATCTTCTTCAAGAAAATCACCATGCTTACCAACCTTGTCGCCCTCACAGCTGGCTTGGCCAGTACCGCCTCTGCCTTCACATGCACTGGCAACTACTTCAGCTTCTTCAACCGTGGTGGAGATGCCATGACCTACCAGCGTCTCGATCCAATCCTTCAGCCTGGTACGCAGGGCACCCACATGCACTCCTTCGATGGAGGCAACGTCCTATCCGCCTCGATGGGTTTCGCCGATACGCAAGCCGCAACATGTACTACTGCTCGTATCAAGACGGATAAGAGCTTGTACTGGCGCCCCACACTCTACTGGAATGGCAACGGAACTGGGTTCCACCGTGTACCAGAGCAGTCGACAAAGACTTTACATACAAGTACGGGGATGGAGACAAGTGGGCCAACGTCACTGAATTCCCTGGGCAATTCAACATGATTGCTGGAGTTCCCGAGAAGCGCGCCGATGGTGACAACCCAGCCGGTGTCCGCTGGGGATGCCATAACCCCGACGGCCGCAGTGACAAGATTTTCGCCAACGGGTTTCCCACAGGCTTCCAATCCTGCGACTACGGCTTCGCTTCTGAAGTCACGTTTCCTAGCTGCTGGAACGGAAAGCCACTGGATCCCGAGAACCCCAACGCACACATGGCGTACCCTACCAACGGTGGCGGCGTCGGCGTCGAGAACTGTCCCATCACTCACCGCGCCGCGCGCTTCCCTACCGTCTTCATCGAGTTCTGGTACGACATCTCCTCGTTCAACAAGCAGTACGCTGCAACCGACACCCATGGGTCCTGTCCAACGGCGACCCCACTGGATACAGCTCCACGCCGACTTCTTGACGCTGGGAGAAAGGCGTCCCTGGCAAAGGCTACTGCTGAGACCGGGCGGTTGCAACTGCGGCTGCGGCTGCGGTCAAGAGGAGATGGAGCAGTGCTTCGGTTCTGAGAACGTCAACAAAAACGAGGACACTGCTTGGGCTAAGTGCGGCTTGGAGAACGCCGGTGGCGAGTCTGCGGCGGTTGTCGAGAAACTCCCCCGGTTGCAACCCCATCCAGGCTGGCCCAGGTCCTGCCACCAAAGCGTCTGGAGCTGGCTGTGATGCTAATGACCTCCCTGCGTCAGGCGGCGCGAAGTCTTCGGCCGCCTCATATGCTGTTGCCAGCATGGCGTCTGCCACGTCCTCCGCTACTGTTGCTCCTTCTGCTTCCTCTTCCAAGGCTGTGAACAACGATTCCAACACCAAGGTCTCCTTGAGTATCAGCCTCGGTAACAAGGGTCTATCAGAGGCTCCAGCTGCCACCCCAGTTGCTTCTCCGGAACAGCAATATGGCAATGCACCATCTGTCCCATCTGCGCCTGCCAAGCCTGACACTCCTGCTGGATCTGAGCTTCCCTCTCTGTCGCTCGCCACCACTCCAGCTGCCAGCAAGCCCACTGGTGGTGCCAATGGAGACTGCAAAGCTCCCATCTACGTCACCCTCACTCCCACCGTCTATGTGACCGCTGGCTCAAACGCCACTTCTTGTGGCATGGGCACGGTCACCAAGACCATGACGGAGACTGCTACCGTCACTGTGGCCGCGGCTAGCGGTATCCAGTACGGCTCTTACTAAACACTGCAAAGGGATATTGTGTTGCAAGTGCCAACCTTGACGTACCGTAACGATTTCTTTTAGGTGTGACTGGTCAAAAGTGTATAGGCTGGATGGTGCCTCTTAAGTTCTAAAGTACATATTTACGAATTCACAAACAAGTCCTCACAGTGGATCTTTTACCGTGCAACATCTTTGTATAAACATATCAGTCCCTGCAATGTGATGTTTTTGCCTTGAGATAATGCCGTGATCCTGATTCACCTGATTGAGTTCGCGTGCTTTTCCGATGATCATTGTTCAGCTATGAAGTAGCCTATATGTCTCCAAGCATTTTCAGAGTGCAAACTGGTATACATCAAAGCCATGAAGCGATTCAGGCTATGGCAAACACTTAGAAAACAGGAAAACAGTGAGGAATTAGTCACATAGCGAGACGAAAGAGGTCGGACTTGAATCAAAAATCGTTCATTTGCTTTCGGTGCGCTTCTCAGAGTGCATCAGTCATCTCATGCGCAGACCTCTTGGTCACAATCGCATTGCCTCCATCTTCATGAGTCGTATATACATAGCATAACCATTTCGCCTCCGTTGCATTCCAGTGCAGCCATCTAGTAGACGAAGAAAGTTTGCACCTCGTCGTCCGACTCGCGGAGCTTCTTGTTCCTGCGCATAAAGACAATCTTTGCCACCCACGCCAGCGCAAACGTGGCAATCGAGAACGCCGCAGAGGAGCTGAGCGCAATGACGTAGCGAGGCCCATCGGACTTGGGCCACAAGTAAGGAGTCCAGATGAAGGAGGCGTTCATGATAGTCGTTACGATACCAATGGCGACAGCCTTCTTCTCAGGGGTTTGTCCACATGTCGATCCGCACCAGCCGAGAATCAGGGAGTTAACGCCATAGGTACCGATGGTGAAGATTACCATGGCTGTGTAGCGACCTGCGACGCTGATGGGCGCGCAGGCAACAAGGAAACCGACGGTGGCGACGCACTTGGAGATGGTGATGTGCCACGTACGTTCGTTGAATTTACCAGAAGACCAGGATACTGCAATAGTGACAGCACCGGCGATGAGGTACGGCGGGCATGTGAGTACAAGCGTGATCAGCTCCTCAAATCCAAGAGTTTCGACGACAGTAGGGAAGAAGTTCTTGAATCCGTTCGCTAAGACATGTTAGAAACTTCCAAAAGCAACGTGTATATAAGAAACCTACCTGCTAAGTGCATGTGCGCCATAAATGCGAAGACCTTTTTCGGATAGTTAGCTTTAGGTGTGGCTGGCATTGATGATGAGCATGCTTACCCAGACCATAGGATCTTTTGCAGCTTGGCGGAAACCTGCCCATACTGAAGTCTCGCCCTTGTTGCCAACAGTGTCAAGAGCCATCCGGTTGGTTGCAAGATCGCGCTCTTCCTGCGTTAACCACCAAGTGTTGTGTGGGAAGTCTGGAAGCAAGAAGAAGCCGACAACAGCGATGAGGAAAGTCACAATGCCCTGGAGGATAAAGAGCCATCTCCATCCACTGATTCCAGCAACGTCTCCAAGGCCATGGAAGATACCAGCAGCAATGAGACCAGCGAAGGCGGTTGCGAGAATGTTTCCGGTGTAGAGAATCGCAATGCGCGTAGCGACCTCCTTGCGAGTGTAGAACATGGAAAGCAGGTAAACGGCACCAGGGTAGTAAGGCGCTTCAGTCACTCCCAAGAAGAATCGAGTCAGCAAAAGACCCTTGAAATCTTTGGAAAGTGCAGTCAGGGCACTGACAACAGCCCACAGCATCATGCAGGTGCCCATGTAGCGCGAAGGACGAGTTCGGTTCAAGAACATGTTGGAGGGAATCTGGCCGAGGAGGTATCCCACGAAGAGGATGGAGACACAAGTTTGGTATTGTGTGCTGGAAAGGTTGAGGTCCTTCTCGAGGTCGTCAAGACGCGCGAGAGCAATTGCATTACGGTCAAGGTAATTGAGCCTGGTATTCTTTTTAGAAAAGTCACCGAGGATATCGAAGAATACGTTACATACCAGTACATCGACCACAACATAGGCATGATCCATCGGTCCAGCTTCTTGACAAGGGCGATTTCCCTGGGGTCGGTCTTTTCGTAGGCACCAGAGTAATCTGTCTTCTGAATGATGGGTACGGGCTTCAGGATGCCCTCATCCCTGGTCTCTTGCTGCTCGAGCATGACGACCTCATTCTTTTCGTCTTGACCCATGGTGATGTGATTTTGTAATTCAAGTCACAAGTGAAAAATTGAAACGGGGTAAAGATGCGGAGAATATAGCAGTGGACCACCAGAATCTAGCTGGATGATCTGGGGAAGTAACAATCCGGGGACATGGTCCTAGCCTTTATACAATGACCTTCTCCATCCCCCCACAGTCGACTATCACATTCCAACAATCATAGTGCCATCTCCCGACAAGTTCTCGAGTCAACAGGCCCCGTGGCGAGGTCCACCGAATCCACCCATGCATGAGAACCAAGACTTTCTTACCGGCCGCGTGAAGCATTTGGAGGCTCGAGATCGGAGCGGGCGGCGCTGCCGAAGCACATGCCCAGCATCGTTCCCCATGTTGGGTGCTTGGTATGGGACATGTGGCGTGGTAGGAAGAGAGTAAGCTCCAACCCAATCACTAGGCAGTATTTGCTTAGTGCCGCAGCACTGGCAGAACGTGTCGAGTGGATGTTTGCAGCGTTCCAACGATGGAACTAGCGGTTCTGGACCGCATCCGATATGTGCGACACCCACTCAAAAACTTTGGTGGCAGTCATGGCATTAACGCCGGAACTGGTCTGCTTCTCATTATTGTTCTTCTCATCTGCATTTCATATCTTGATGACGTGACGGCAGTTCGCGTACTGTTTCGAGGAAGGTGTCCCGCAATACCAAGAATCTCGTCAGCGACCGAAATTGCCATGATGTGCTGGTAAGCGATTCTGCCGAGCGTAAGACGAGGAAGACAGGCACGTCGGATGACCACATCTAGAAGGAATCCTGGTGTCCTCGGGGTCTTGTCGCGAGAGAAGAGCCAGGCGTAAAGTCATGGCAAGCCACGAACTCTTGGAAGTGCGAAAGTCCAGAGTTTTGAACACAGCGAAAGCTAGGATACCGCCGGTGAAAGCGCTAAGCCAAGAAGGCCGAGATCAACGAACTGATCTTGATTCAAACGGTGCCGCGGAGTCGAAACACATTGTCGGATGTTATGCCTACTTCAATTTCCCAAGATCAATTTCTAAGAATTCCATATTTTCAAATAGTTTACATTCGTCTCCAAGCATACGTACACGCGCACATATCTGTCATTCTGCGACGTCCAGGATTCGCCCAGGACCGAAAGTGTGTGACCATGGCAATCTCTACAGGCCAAGAAGCCGAGATCACTATCCAAGATTTGAAGACAAGGTGTTTTGTGGATCAGCACCGGCTCGGCCTCTTTTCGGCATCTTGGTGTCAGTGGTGGGGGCTTAAGTGAACTGGCGCGCGTGTAGCCCATGGGGAGAGGCGGGGTTTGGCAGATGCCAAGCGACACAATCTGGGCTTTGACTTCGTCTCGAGCCCACTTGCGACCCAAAAACTAATTCCTGGGCACAGTAGCGACCTCCGCGAAAACGTGCCGATGGTTACTACGTCCAATCACGCACAAGCCAAGTTGGGTGATTGTGCATACGCACCGGCTTGGCCAGCAAGAGGCTGAAATCAAAACAAGGAACTGCGCGGAGAATGTCGGAGTCCTCACAGCGTACCCCAGATTCAGGCAGAGATGGCCTCGTTTTGCGCGCGGGTGGTAATGTTCGGGTAGATGGCTCCAACTCCTTCCTCCTGGGCACTTGACGATCCCGTCCTGGAACATCTTGTCATTGGTGACAGAGGCATCGGAAGCTATATTCGTCTGAACTAAATTCACCGGAACTTCCTACCCACGTTTTGGTCAACAAACTTCGAAGAAGAATCGGAACCTGGGGTAGAACTATCGAACGTTGCGTCCAGGTGTTCGGTGGCCAACAGCGATAATGCGCTCAACCTACTGACGGACACTGGCCACGAAGAAGCTCGTGCATACCCCACGGGGTTTTGCGGAGAACAATAACGGTCGACCAGAAGGTCGGGCAAAGTCGCGTGTGCATGCGTTGCTGATCTGAGATCGGCACAGTTGATGTAGACTCCTCATTTTGCGCGGCTGGAGACGACGTGATGGTGGATAGAAGTGCTGCGGGCATTTTGATGTTGGTACGGATACTTGTTTGATATTATATGCGGTTGGTGTGAGGCTCGGAAAAGGTATGGAAAAGGTACCCGCAGTGAAACCACACTGACTGATGCCAGATTGGCTGTCGGCCTTTCTTTGTGCGAGAGCGTGCTTAAAACCGACTGTATACGGAAAGGAGCACTACCAGGCAGCGGCAAGATTCGTACCCGCTCTGCACTTACAACATGGGCTGATAGCACTTAGAGCTACGCTGTTTAGTGGAGCCTGGCTGTACAACCAGCTATAAGATTCTCTACATAATCATGTAGAGATCCTTGAATATACACAGGCTACGCCTTCACCTTTTTTCGTTAAGGAAGGGCAGGCAGGAACTTTGCCAGCGCTTGGTAGCACTTTTTATTTCAAGAGAGAATGTACTTCGATACTGATCGGCTTGGCTTCCCGGTCTCCATCTCTCGAACAGCCTCCCCGTGCATGTAACCATCGACGTAGATGTCTCCAACGTAAACATACTCGTTTCGCTGCCCCACTGGGCGAAGCAGGATCGGTGTCGAACATCCAAGTGGCACAACGACAATGTCCCCATGCGTCATATACCCGGAGCCCATACAGATCATTCCCTGCTTCGTGATGCAGAATCGTCGACCCATCATACGATTCCCGAAATCAGCCTGCAGAACTTTCCGCTGCGCACCATGCTTGAAAGGTACAGGGGCATCCGCGTATGACCACAGGTCCTCATCTATCGCGAGACGAGGCAGCCTCTCACGAATTAAGAAGGAGAAGACATGATAACAAATATCATGCCATTGCTGCTGCCGTTGTTGGTCTTCGGGAATCTGGCCAAGACACAGTGTTCTGCAGAATGCTTTGTGCAAAGGATGATGCAAGTCTCCATCTCTGATATTCATTTCATGGAGCAGCAACGCCCGCCAATGCAGAAAGGCTATAAGGTAGTCTTGGGCCTTGCAAAATGTCCCAACTGCGATGCCTGTCGCCCTGATGAAATCGAGCTTGATCGCGGATATCTCAAGCGTTCTTCTATGGTTTCGAAACCGGTATAGCGCTTTCGTCGACCCTGAGGCATTGAAATTGAAGCTAGGACCAAGGCCAGATACATCAGGAATATGAGACCCTATACCTTGATGTCAGTTCAATTTGAAAAAAAAGAGCATCGGATTTCTATCATCTGTTACTCACAATCTGGGCACCAACTAGGCAGTCCAGTAGTGCCGGTGTGGAGGGGGAAATGTATTGATTCGCGGATCACATCGATCCGGCCTGTCGTAGATAGCAAGAGGTCCACAACATCGGTGTAAACACCTTTGGTCGGTTGGCTGTAGTCCACCCGCAATTCACGTTGTGTGGCAGCTGGTAACAAACCCAGAATGCCAAAAACTTTGTCGCGGGGGTTCTCGCTGAGCTTCCTCCTGCATGCGCGCATGACTTCAAGGAGCGACTCGTCACCCAGCTGCAGAAGCTTGTTAATATCTGGGAAGCTAGACGGTCCTTCGCGAACATGAAGGTCACTATCGCCACCCCAAAATGCGTCTGCAGCCTGTTGGTAGACTTCCCAAGGGAAGACAGCATCGCCGCAGTACACCATCTTCTTAGAAGCTAGAAATACTTCTTGCACCACCTACATAGAGGTAAAGGGTTAGCGAATGTTGCCCAAGCAGTCAAAGAAGTACGCACCCATAGCCTCTTCCAATATTGTCTTTTAAAGAGGGCAGCCAACGCCGCGGAGCCCCGAGCATCTTCTCGTGATCGAATGCTTTGAGGAGACATAGTTTTGTTGGCTAACTTATCCAGCAACTTCATGGCCGCGGGACTGTCGTCTGCCTCTGGACCTAGGCAAACGGCGACAGTCTCCGCTTGGCTGTATATCTGTCCCATGAGACCCACCTGTTTTGCTCTCTCAAACTCATTTTCCTGATCGATGGACAAAGCATCAATCCAAACCAGAACATCCTGGTGTTTCTGACGGACCGATTCTAGGGCATCATAAAGACTCGTTGCTACCATAATTATCGTTTCTTCTAGCATGAGTGGCTTCCTCTCCACGCTGTCGCCCCATGCATATGATACAGCAGTATATTTCACCGAGTCGTTGAAAGATTTGTGGAAAATCTCACATTTCACCGTAGACATCCTCTCCGGCAGTACTCTGACCAGTCTGAACTCCGCTTCTGCCAATGGGAGATACTGATAGGATGCGGCACCAATCATGCTTGAGCGTGGAGATGAGATGGGTGAAGGCAATGAGTCTCTAGAGGCTTGTGGTGGTCCCGTTCCCTGTATGTAGCTTTCCGTAGACCCCCTGGTTGTGACTCTAAAGCTGCCGAACCGTGCAGGAGGAGACTCCAAGCTAATCCCGTTCGAATCACGAGGCACAAATATACGTGGAACCGGGGCGTTTGAGGGCCTGTCGACGTTGGGTTGATCGATATTCGACGCCGATAATGGGCTTTCTCCAGGTGTTGATCCCGACTCCGAGAAACCGGAAGTAAATATGTGTGGGCTTGGAGGCATTGTAACGGTCGAAAGTGGCCTGTCATTTCGTCTCCGCCGCGTCTCAACAGCAAAATCATCACTACATTCCACTCCAACGTCATGGCTGGAGTGACCGCCTTTAGGTTTGCGTAGATACTCATTTTGTGGAGACGGCGTAGGCTCAACCGCTACTGGTGGTTCAATGCGCATCTCTTGCGTTCGCGAAAGGTTCCCCATAGAATCTTGCTGAAATGCATGTAGCTCGTCATTGGTATTATAGGCGACCTTCTCCGTTAGCTTTGAGGTTTGCTTGACACGTGCTCCTTCTCGTGGCGCAGCTTCGCCCTCCGGGGTGTATGGACTGTTTGCATATTTTCCTAATTCATAATCCCTTTCATAATAATCAGATTGGCGGCGATCCTCGAAGTCCTTGTGATGTGCGCGACGCGACGACTCTGCACGACGACGGGTTTCCCTCTTCTCGTCGCGATGTCTGGAGGAATCATTATCAGATCGATACCCTCTGTCCAAGGAACGCCTTCTTCTTTCCCTATCATGGGAGTCATGATTACGCCGGTTCCTATGCGTTCGGTCCGTGTCCGCGTGACGAGGAGTGAGATGCTGACCATGGGTATATCGTTCAAGCCGGCGCCGCACGTTGAGCACGTCAGAGATGTTGATAGGGGACATTATGATTTGTTAATTGGCTTAATTTGTGCTGAATTGAGGAGACACGTCGCACTTGTGTGCTCTCCGGTTCTTTGAAAGAAGTTCAGCAGTTCAAAAAGTGGCAGTCTTCAGCCTCGAGGGGCCGGTCAGCTCATGCAGGACGACAGGGATGCCATTGGACCCGGTTCATATACAAGATGCAGTGCATTGTAAGCAGCCAATGTGGCGAACTCAAAGAAACGAAAGCCGCAGTCATGAGTGGTCGCAGAGCTTGCGGAGTGAAGTTTTGGAACCAGAGACGAGGTAAAACAGGTCCTTTTATCTTGTGAGCGCGTTGATGGCTAATGGTATCAATGTCAGTTTGCGACACTTATCAGGCTACACGCTGAGAATGAAGGACTTGTATAATGAAAATGGTAGAGCATCCAAGGCGAGCACGTAATCGTCGCATCGAATAGTGGGCATCTTTGGACATCGCTGTCGTGAACAGGTAGTAATCATCGGATAAATTGGCGTCTCGACCTAGCTAGCCAGAACACCTTCTCCAAGGAGCAAGATGCCTCCAACCCAAGCCTCTAACTGTTGGAGAGGCCGTAAAATTCGTATAGTGTTGATGTTACAGATGCGCATGTATGTGGGAGAAGAACGGGTATTTAGTCTGGTTGGGACTCCTTCCATCAACAGCACGCCTTACCGCATAGGGCTAGCGCTAGCGACCGAATATGTCCGCGCGATGTGACCACCGAAACACTTTCTCTTCTCTTATGGACATCCATGCCGGCATCCGGAGAGCTGATTCAGTTTATGCCGACTCTATAGATGGCGTCTCGATCCGTCTGCTTCGTCTTTCATGGCGTGAAGATGGCGACTTTGATGGCAAACTTCAGACCTTCCTGATCTCGAACGCCCCTCCTTTCTACACGGCTAGCTATGTATGGGGAGCCACACGAGACTCCGGTATCAAAGTTCATCTAAGTGGAGGGCCACTACCTGTCTTACCCAGTCTAGCCCCGTTCTTGCACATGATTACTGAGAACGGAGAATTCAACGAAAATGATTGGTGGTGGATTGATAGCCTGTGCATCAACCTCACTGATGGCAACGAGCGCGAGCAGCAAGTTCGTATCATGGCAGACATCTACAAGAGAGCTAAACGAGCTGTGATCTGGCTGGGAGAAGAGAAAGAGCCTGGTAGTGACTGCACCGGCGCCATCGGATTTCTTCACAAACTCGCCAGCTTGCAAGTTGCATTCAGCGGAGACGACCGCGCAATGAGAGAAAGCCTCGATGACCCAGATTTCATCTCGAATTGTAAGGCGGTTAGCAAATTGCTGTACAGACCCTGGTGGACTCGCGTGTGGACTTTACAAGAGTTCGTTCTACCAAAGGAAGCCAAGCTATACTGCGGTTCGGAAAGCATAAGTCGTGGAAAGTTCAAAAGTGCTGTATACAGCATCTTCCTGTGCAGTACAATTAGCAACGAATTTGAACACGAGCTTGTTCCGCGCGACGCCTTCACCGGAGCTTTCAACAGGAGAAGAATCCATCAGTTGCACACCAAGGCGGATGCCCAAGGGATAAGCCTGATCGCACTCATGGCGTACCTGGGGAACCATGCGGCAACCGATAGCAGAGATCGTGTTTTCTCCGTGCTGGGCTTGGTGACCGGCAAAGACCGTAGCCTTGTAGGACCGGCGGAGTACAGCTCAACTACACAAACTCAATTCGCTAAGCTTGTCCAGGCATACTGGAACACATATGGTGATCTGGACATCATTTGCTTCGTGCATCTTTTCAGCCGCTACGGTGGACCGTCCGAAGCTATCTCCGAGGAGGAAATGCCTTCCTGGGTACCAGACTGGAGCGCAACGATTGATTTTGCTTCGCCTGTTCCACTCATGGTTTCTCAGAGTCCCACTACGCATATTGGCAACTTTCGGCCTATTCACTCCGTAATATGGAAAGCGAAATATGACGCCCCCGGTTCTTATCTAAGAAAAAGAGCAAATGTAGAATTTTCAGAAGACATGAAAGATCTGTGGTGCGAGGGAGTCATCTTGGATACCATACATGGCCTTGCTGCTCTAGATGATCGCGAACTCAGGTGTCGGAGCTTTGTCTGTGCCGAACAAGGTCACGTTATCGTCCAATCAAGAACAAGCCAAACACAGGCTCCGAGAGCCACCATGCTGCCTATGGACTGGCTGGAAGGAATTGCTCAATCGCTCGTTCTTGGCCGAAAGGACAAGTATCTTTGCGACTATGCCCCACAGCACTACGTCTGGGACTTTGTGTATTTGTGCCACGCCTGTATCGCAAATGACCCGGTGGATTGGAGCTTCGCAAGTTGGTTCGAGCTAAACCGCAACATGAAATTCGGATCTCAGACTCTTGAGGAGCTGGTTCGAGCTGTACCTATGGAGGGACCTATATCACCACCTCCGTTACGACGGCCAGCTTCATACCCCATTCGCCGCGCAGATGATAATTACGCTCATAGACTGGACACGTTCCTGACGCGATTCCACGACACCGCTCGAAAGAAGGCTAGAAGGTTACTGGTAACGAACGAAGGTCTTATTGGGGCAGCGCCGTGTCGGGCAAGAGATGGCGACGTGGTTGCGGTGCTGTTCTGCTGCAGTATTCCACTAGTCCTCCGGAAACAAGAAGCAACAGACGAAGCCTGGCAGGTGATTGGTGAAGCATACATGCATGGCTCCATGAGTGGAGAGACTGCAGGTCTATTCAAGAGAGGAAAGAAAAGCATACATCGGATACACCTAGTTTGATTGGAGGAAGCCTTCATCTTCTGACCCCACTCTGGTCGGACCAAGAGCCTCACTATGCGACAATCTGCGGGCCAACGCCGAAGATGTCTCGCGTGCGATCGTGGAACCACATGCCATGATCAACAACACAGCTCGTCCAGCCTGTAAAGCTTGCACCGATCGCAAAAACCGTCCATGCGAATCCTACCAGGCGCCAAAATATAGAGTCTTTGAAACCCAATCGCTTGCCGAAATCGATGACATGGTCTTCTACCATAATGATAGCTGCTTGTCCTATAAAGCAAGCAAAAGCACCATCGTCTTCCAAAGAGCGATGGACGAACATCGATGCGCAGCCATGTACAATCGCTGAAATACCGAACCCGATGAAGAGCTGGAAATACTTTGAAGCAAACGAACCTCTACGGAGACGCAACACATCTCGTGCGATAAAAATGCCGGGTGCCGAGCAAATGCGTCTGCAATGTTGATGCCACACAGTCCTTCCGGTATTAGTCTCGGGAAACAAGAACAAAAAAGTTGAACGACTTACGACCACGCCTTTCTCAAACTCATCAAGTTTCTAAGATCTCCAAACGCGCTCGGGCAGTCTCGCGGGTTCGCCAAACCCGTTGCGACACTGAGAACGCCATACGCAGCATTCGCCTCCTCCATGGCCGAATACGTCAGGACGATTCCCACCCATGACCACCAGAAGCGTGTCCAGAATGGCTGGGTCGACAGGGTACTGATGGGCTTAAGGTGGACAATATCAGACCATGCACCATACGGGGAGCCCGCTGTGTACGAATACATGAATTCCCTGAGGACATGGAAGAATGCAACCCGCAGCGACTTGCGAAGGATGAAAAGCCTACCCATCCCCATGATCAGCAAAGCTCATCCATGTCGAAACATCAGAGACTCACAACCGCGGATACTCCGGACTAACTTCCTTGGGCACATTCTTAACTTCCTGAGTCCACCCGACATATCGATTCCCCGTCAACAACCTGAGTGCCCACCACGCGCGTTGCAGGAAGCTCTGCGGTACACCATCTTCTTTCTTCTTGATATGTCCGTTTCCATTCACAGCCGGCTCTTCCGCGTCGTACCGGATCTTCCGCCAACGCTCTCTATCGGGACTTCCAAGGATATTCCAATCGAAGTAAATAAACATCTGCGTACACACGTTTACCTCAAGCGCATAGTGCAACCCCCACCCACCACTCCAATCGCGATACAGCGACTGGAGTGCCAACAAGCTGAAGAGCGGGAGCGTGATGCCCAAGCGCAGGACCTGGTGTCTAGGACCGATTGCTAGAGCGAGGGCGTTGGTGAGGTACATAAGCGGGATTTGCAGATCGATAAAGATCTTTGGCAAGGTGAGAGATGCCATTGCTGAGGTTTAGGAGTGAGTTCAGAACTATCTGTCAGATTGAAGTTCCGTCTCATCTGCTTTAACATGGTTGCGGTGGTAATTTGCGCCGAGACGTGCTCCGACGCCAGTGTTGAGCGGCCAATCAGATTAGTCCGAGTACGTTAGCGTGGTAGGATTGAGTTGTAGCGCAGCGGAGCAAGCTGCGAAGGATGCATCGTTGGCTTACTGTTGCTGTGGGTCAGTGCTGCTCAGCGAAATGTCCTGCTAGATTATAGTGTAGCCTCAGGGTGACTTGTTTTCTATATTCTGGAATCAGTGTTGGTCAAGTGCCGTAGTAATTTATTTGGCTGAATGCCTCGGGAGCAACCACGGAACGTGCAAAGACCAAACCAAGCTCTTCACACTTTCTTGATGAGATCCGGATGAGAGAAAAATATTGGCTAATAGTGGTCTGTGGATTGAAGGTCACTAGACCCAATGTACAACCTTAATCGTATCCTCGTATAACGATGGCTGTCATTGGCGCTACAGGTCAACTTCCTGGAAGCTATTTGCATCACCCTCTTCGTCTTCCACAGACGCTTTTCCAGGCTTAGGTCTGCTGGGGATGCCAGCCTCCAGTGACTTCTCATTACTCGGCTCTGGCTCAGATTCGTCTTCACTTCCCTCTCCCTTCTCCTTTTCATTCTGTGGCTTGACGTCCTCTGTCCTCACTTTCTGCTCTTCTGCTTGCGACTTGGGCTCCGGCGTTGTCGTGCGGCTCTTTTCGCTCACATCATCTTTGGGGGGTGGTGGAGGTGGCGCTGATGCATCCTCGTCCCTATCCTGTCGAGGTTGCTCGGGTGTTGGGGGCGTTACTTCGGTTCTTGGGCTGGCTACAGGACTTCGAGGCTGTTGCTGCTGTTGTTGTTGCTGTTGCGATTGGGCTTGCTGAGGTGGTTGCTGGGACGAGCCTGGGCCAACGTTGCGTAATCGGGGGTCCGCGTTTAGATAGTAGCCTCGTACGCCGACAATTCTGCCCTCTCTCTCACACCCTATGACCCAGTCTGGTACAACTACGGGGATGTTGTTCTCCACCGCCTTCTCCCATGCTGGCCCTCTGCCCTCTGTACAGACGAAGTGGGTAGTGTCGATGCGGACATTATCTGCAATCTTCGCTCCAATTCTCTCGACAGATCTTTGCAGTGACTCGCGTAACGCTGCTGGCATGTGACCTGGTGTGATTGTGATACCAGACAGATCTGTCATCTTGTGTGTCTGCACATTGAGCTTCTCGCTACTGAATGTGCCCGCACTTGTCTTCAATACCAGGTGGAAAGTGTATTCCGAGTCGACAGCCAGACCACTCAGCTTCGTGCTGTGTACCTCGCCGGGCTTGGGTATCGTGCCTGCCTTGCTGCCGTTGCGGTACAGTGTGAGGCTCCGTAGTTCGGCAGTCGCGACGTCTATGGGATCCCATTCGAGGACCACTGACGTCTGAGTGGCATTCCGGCAGCGCAGGTTAGGCGCTGTTGGGGTGCGCTGACCAAAGGTGCGGAATATCTCAGACTGTAGCTCGTGGAATGCTTTCGCAGCGTCTGCTTCGGCTTCGTAGTTCCGCCCCACATTGATGTCGACTATACTACCAGATGAGATATCCGGAGGCAGTAGTATGGACGGGAACTCGATCTGCGCGGGGGTCAGCCCTGAGTGAATACAGACACCAGCTTGGGAAGCATTGGGGCTGATGGGCGCGTACGAGGCGTTTATCTTCTGTCAGAAGAACTGCGACGCCGGCGTCGACTTTGCCGACTGTGAGAGAGACGAGCATCGCGTGTGTTGTGTGAGGGAGTGTAATTGGCGACGTAATGTTTATGTGAAGCTCAGCTCCCTCGTTCCTGACTATGGCGCGGCCCGAAGTTTAGCCGTCCACAATCGATAAGGTCACATGCACTTCACCTTGCTCAGATCATGCCTAATTCTTGCTCGATAACATGCGTGACGTTGGTGACACCCAGGCAGATGTGTCAAACCGCTTTCAGGCGTAGGTTATGAGAGCAATATCCTCCATCAACGGGGCTTCACAAACCATAGCTGGCAAGGACCTCTGGGACAGGAGAGCCTTCAAAAACATGGCTACCGTAACGCCCTGATTCCCGATCTGCAAGCCTGGCGATCCATATCTGTACATCCAGCCCAGCTCCCAACTACTATCTCGATGTTGTAGGCGAAGCAGCGCCTGGCGATCCATGCAACAATCTATGCCCAAGGAGTCACAAACAGCGGCGTCTGGCTGCAAAGAAACGTGTACCTGAACAAATACTTCAGCCATCTCGGAAGCATCGAGGCCGAGTTGCTGAGCTATGTGCTCACAGCACCCTACTTGAGACAGATGGCCACATGCGTATAGGTGCCAAGGAGGTGACGAGGCTGTATTTCCAATCACCGAGGGTGAGACGGTGGTTCTTGTATTTCGAGACCCTCTGAAAAGAACATCGCCCAATTCGAAGATCGAAGATGAGTGCCTGTACGGGAATGTGTGAGGACATTGTGCAGAGATGGCTGTGGAAAAGTGATGATTGAGTCTCTGAGATTGAGCTCTGATTTAACCACCCACAGTATACGCGGCAAATGCAATGTGACTACCACCTCTAGGATCCGAATTATTGGCAGTGGAATGGGCTTGGAGTCAGTAGTGTCATGTTTACTGAGTCGTGCTGTGTTACACAGGCCAACATACTGCTTACTGCAGGTATCCGATAGCTGCTTCCCAGCCGTTATCTGTGGCTTGTCTTCCCAGAGTCATGGATACGACTTGATAGCACGAGGCGCTGCTAACTCAAGAGCTGTCGATGCAGCAACACATACAGTGTCCAGTGCCTCAAACGAACGGTGCCGGAAACTTTACCATAGTGCTCCGCAAATGTTTCACCTTCTTCGTATTCGACATCTGCAGTGACTTTGTCTCTGGGCTTGAAGATGTATTGTCGAAATTGCCTACTACATGTTGAGGCGGTGGTCCAGGAGACACTGGGGTAGAATCCACTACTTACAAATGGCTTTACCAGAGTCGTTGGATGTACGCATGAGAATGGCGCAGTGATTATCAGACATTGAGGCCCTAGCCAAATCTTTCCTTTCGCTAGTCCAGCTTCGACCTCTTCATTCTGAGAATTGAGACCTTCATGGAAGACGTGCCATACATAACATAGCACATTGGTCTTCACCAAAAGTCCCTGCTCGAATGCCTTGTGGGGCAATTTCTAATCATCTCTTTCTTTCATCCCAGAGTGCTGGCTTGGTATCCTGGGGTCGCTTTGGAGAGATGTTCCGGAAGGATTGAGGCTTCGCTGAAGGGGGTTTCTGAGAGAGGGACGGGCGTGACTGCTAAAATCATGGCGTGGTGTGAAGGGGAAACCGAGCCTTTTGTCTGAGCATCACTAGGTCAACAGGTTCAGGAAGTCAGTGAAGGACAATACAACCGATGTTACTGACATGTGGGTTCCAGATTACCATGAGCTTCCAAAATCAGTATCGCCAAGATATGCGCCCTATTGTATTTTCATATATCCTACCTACAGCGTATCTTTCTCCCTCTGCCCTACAAAAAACGCCAGCCCATACTCATCCGTGCGAAAAATAATTCGACTGCCCTTTGGAAACAAAAACACATCGCCTTTTTCCGCCTTGACTTCTCTGCCCGTCTCATCTAGACACAACTCATTAGCCCACACATCGACTTCCCTTGGTTGGTACAAACGACGTACCTTTGATGTAAAAATGCCCCTCGAGCACAATCTTCATCTCATCATACGAGTACGTGTAGTCCAGCGGCGTGCCTTTTTCGAGACGGTAGAAGCCGCCGGATATCGGGGTGGATGGGGATGTGGATTGACTTTAGAGATGTATTAGCACATACATGCTTTCTGCATCCGGAAACGTCTGGGAGGTGTAGTGTGTGAGTATGTGAGTGTACGTACGAACTCCCAACATCACCCAAGTACGCATTTTCATTCGCGACGAGCGGCGGCTTGAAGCTCGATTGGGCTTTCTCGAAATACTGCATTGCGGGCATCGTGGCGGATATGGCTGATGTCGAGTTTATGGGAACGTGGCGAGAGGAGATTTCATGTGCAGTGAGGAGTTTATATACACTCCGCTTCATGCTCAGCCTGATGCTCCCCACTCTACATCCATCGCCCACCCCTGTTCACACTTCATGCATGTTTGGGATCACAACACCACATCGGGAAGACGTGCATGCATGTTCCCGCATCGGCACGTGCTGCTAAGCTTTCGGTGTAAATCCAGGCCGTGTGCTGCCGCGACTCTTTGTAACAACGTTGAGCGGGTATGATGGCGGAGTTCTTGAGGTGCGTGGTGGGGTAAGCCGTGCATTCACTGTGGTTGGCTGGGGGCTTATCGCTAGGATACAACTACCTATCTGGGCTGCGTGGACTATTGCGGGCAGATACCTGTTCGATTAATAAGAGGAAATGTCTTGGCTCACAGCACCTCTTGCAGGCTTCAGAAAGGTAATATAAGTAATGTATTCTAGGGTTGCGAGGTATCTGGATATCATCGTTCTTCGTGTTCTTCATGCTCGTCGCCTTCCCGCCAGCGCTTGCGCCACCACTTCAATTTGAACCAGTCTCCTAATGCGTCCTGGCTTTGGCTTCGTTGCTGGCCATAGCCCCATGTTCCTCGCCTTTGTTGGGTAGAATCAAGCACGTTGTCCGTGTCGGAATGGTCGTCGTCTTGCGGGTCTGGGTGATCGAGTAGTCCTGACGAGCTGTCTACTGGTTGCTTGCCCTGGGATACGCTTCTATTCGACTGACCTCGCAGGCTATCGAACCATGAACGTCTTCGCGTTTGCGTCAGCCAACTCGATTGCGAAACTTTTCGTCGGGCGGGTAGTGTCCCAGATCTTGGCCGCCTCTCTAGATCTACAGATCGTACTGCTGGTGAATGGAGCGAGTCTCGGTCATTGAGTTCCGCCCAAATCTCATCCGTCTCTTCAGATATTGTCATTCGCCGCCTCCGGTTCGGCTTGCGCACTGAAGGACTTGCGCGCCCGCCGCTCTGTTGCGACTCCGGTGCCGACCGCCTTGATGGACGAGGTGATAATGTGAGTGCTCCTGGGCCAGTACCAGCTCGCTGCAACAGTGGTGTTCTTTCATCGACTGACTTCCGCTTGGCTTGTTCTGACAAGGATCCATGCTGACCTGGCTCTTCGGCTTCAATGTCGAGTGGTTCCTCGGGCTCATCGATGAGATGGCCGTGCACAAGGCCGATGCCCGGTTGCAGCGCGGTCTGCGGCATTGGCACCTTGCCCGTGTGTTTGCTCACCACAGGCGAAGTGGGCTCATCCTCGGCGTCCTCCAGTCGGCCAACTCAAACAAACCACTCCTGCCAGTAGAATGACCGTCCCAAGCGCAATGAGACCTGCATGGAGGCCCGACAGTCGATCGCCCTGGTGGAAGTAGATCAAGCCGTCAATGATGGCGATGATGTTGTATATACAGAATACGAGAGGGTACAGCACGCTGGTACTGCACAGCTTCAAGCCACGATGCATGTAGTAGAGCTGAGTGAGAGCGAATACAACCAGACCAATCAGAATCATCCACGACTGCCAGCGGTCGAACTGGTTATGACGGTCCACGATAGTGCGCACGAGCAGTTCGACTGCACTTTTTGCAATGAGGAGCGAATGCGCGGACAATATACCGCTTATGCATCCAAAGAACATGCCTCGTACCAGTCGTAATCGAGGTGTCGTCCGGGGATATACACGCTTGAGGAGCCAGTTGGCGATGATCAAGAGAATAACGACGAAGAGGGTGGAGAACATCCATGCCAGAAAGTTCTTTCGTCCTAACAGGACGAGCAGCTGATCGAGGTTGTGCGACGGTTCTGCGATGGCGCCGAACAGTGCTATGAGCAATGCGCCAATCGCAACGAGCGTGGTGCCGATGAAGGAGTAGCGCGTGAAGGGTTCGCTCAGGATAATGGAGGCGCAGATGGAATTGAAGACGAGGCCAGAGGCTTGGAGGGTGGAGAGCACAGGGAGTGGTAGGGTGGTGATCTGGATGGTGCTGCCGACGATATTCGCCACGACGAACATGAGCATGCCCAGCTGGGTGCGTTAGTGGAAATACTTTTGGATGCGCAGTGTCATGCTTACCTGCCATCTCCGCCGCTTGTAGGGCGGTCTCCTGTCATAGTCGTCTTCCTTCTCTTCCTCGAGTAAATGCGATTTGCGTTGCAGCGTCAAGCCGATGCTCTGTATGCTGGTGGAAAGGAGGCCCACGATTACTCCTAGCTGCAGTACATGTTAGAACGATTCATAAAAGAACCCCACGCAACAAAGTCGCCGCATGGTGTAGCATACTCACAGCAACGCTGGCGCCCGGCGATAGTTCCACCATGTTTCCTGGCCGTGTGGTGTCGCCGCGAGAAGCCGATGCTACCTGTACTGCGAACGCATGCTGTGAATATGCAGGGCGAAGAGGCGGCCGGGGTGAAGGATGTCGGTGACTGAGGGCGTGTCTCTCTCGTGTCCTGTGGCTCTCGATCAACGTCACACTGCGGTGAGTGAAGAAGGGCACGGGACGATTGGGGCAGCCGAGCCGACGCGGAGAACAGGGGTGCGCGGTCTGGTGATGACGATGAGTCTCGAATGCGCAACGCGACAACGGACTGCTTCTTCTTCTGCTGCTGCAATAGAAGCGATGTTTATAAGGGGGTCCAGAAGGTTATATTCGCCGCGGCGGACGGCTAGATTGCATAGCGACACCGCATGCAGGCCTTCTGTAACCCTAGCGTCCTGACATAATCGCTGGCCAGCAAGCATCCACCGGCGGGCTATCGCCAATCAGTGCTCCGAGAGCTTGCTGGTGGCCCGTGAACCTTCAACTCCAAGCTCCCACTCCATCATCTGCCTGCGCCGACCAACGCCCGCTGCACCACCCCGAGCACCTCCGCCACATCCAGCAATCTCACACACACCCGCCATCATGTCGCAAGCACACGCCCTCTCCGACGACCAGGTAAGCCTCAGACAGCTCGCACCGCCCGCAGCGCCATAGCTCCCCACCAACTACGTCAACAGTAGGTCCCAGGTACCTGCAGCACCAGCTAACCACGCTCGCCATGGCAGGTCGCCGGAGAGCTGAAGAAGATGACGGCCTTTATCCGCCAGGAGGCCATGGAGAAGGCCAACGAAATCCGCCTCAAGGCCGACGAGGAGTTCGCAATCGAGAAGTCCAAGCTCGTCCGCCAAGAAACCGCGTCCATCGACACGTCCTACGAGAAGAAGTTCAAGCAGGCCGCCATGTCCCAGCAAATCACCCGCTCCACCGTCTCCAACAAGTCGCGGTTACGGACCCTGAGTGCGAGGCAGGAGCTGCTCAACAGGCTGTTCGAGGACGCCAACAAGAAGCTGGGCGACGTGGCCAAGGACAAGAAGAAGTACCAGGACGTCATGAAGAACCTGATCCTTGAGGGCGCATACGCACTGAACGAGGACAAGCTGCAGGTCAAGGTCAGGAAGGCGGACAACGACCTCACCAAGAAGGCCATTGAGGAGGCACAGAAGGAGTACAAGAGCAAGGTCAACAAGGACGTTGCCATCACCATTGACGAGAGCGACCCGCTTCCCGAGGGATCGTAAGTTTGCGTGGTCGTATGTGGGGGTTCCTAGCTAACATAGCGTAGTGCTGGTGGTGCCATGATTGTTGGCACTGGCGGAAAGATCGACATCAACAACACCTTCGAGGAGCGTCTGAGGCTCCTCGAGACCCAAGCTCTGCCATCCATCCGAGTCACGCTCTTCGGCGAGAACGAGAACAGGAAGTTCCACGATTGAGCGGACGACCTCGACTTTGTCGACAGTAGTATCCTCACCGCGTCTGCACTCGACCACAGATGTGATACAGCGCGAGCGTCTGAGTTGTTCATGCGAGCAGTAATTCTTCGGGCTCGCGCATAGAGCCTTCTCTTGTGCAAAGGCATTGGGTGTAGAATATTTGGAAGATTTAGCGAGTTTTATACAATCCATCATACTCGACATGTCTCGGCAGGCGCAATCAGCTCGCGTCTATCACCATTGGTGAGCAATTGTGCTTGTAGTGTCTCTTCGACTTTATACCTCTTGGTTGCGGAACACCTCTCTTACACACGTGGTAGGTCTCACATGGCAGAAACCTTACTTACATGAACTACAGGAAGCATCTTCTCACATTGCAATCGCAACGCCGCGATTTAGTGGTCGAGGTTCTCGTGGCACGAGCGGCTAGACAGCATGCATCGGTCACTCGAGCTCCGACCTACATAGCCACCACCAGTCCATGACACTCAGCCTCCCATTCCGATACCCCACCAAACAGGAGCTCAACGCAGCCATGTTTGCTCCACCATTGTTAGACAACCGCATGAGGCGAAATTACTGCGACAACGTATAGAAATGCACTCCTTTACGAGGTTGCTCTTTCGCTTGGAGCCGAAGCCATAGGCGCCACCATTATTTCGGGCCAGCCACTAATGTCAGCCGCACGAAACCCGTCAACAACGCCAGTGTGCAGCATCTTACATGTGTGATTAGGGGATGGATGCCTTACAGGGCCAGACTAATATATCGTCCTCTGGCCTGTTTCTTGCTCGCCACGTCCTTGTTCCCAAACTGCACCATGTCGATCACCACTACTGTGGGTAGCTTACCCCAGTACATAGCGACCGCAACTGTTCCTGCTCTTACTACCTTCTTCACACCTCCTGCTTCGTTCAATTGCGAGGATAGATATGTCGCGGCAGATACAGCGGGCATAGCTTGGAGCACGTATTCTCGCGATGGCTACGCTCCCCCAGTCGACCCGACATACTACTCATGTCTACCTGAGCGGATAAGAGGCCCGCATTTCAGTCCAGGCGTGTGTACACAAGGCCAAACAATCGCAAGCATTACCAAATATGAAGCCGGCACAAGAACAATGTGGCAAGCGCAGTGTTGTAAAAGGTACCATACCATCTCCCATCCCAATTACTCTATAACAATACTAACACCACAGAGTGGCCAATCCCTCTCCCTCCGTACAATCCAAAACAGCCCCATACCAATGTGCGTCAGCGCCATCTCCACCCCGCTCCCTGTCCGCGCGCTCTACACAACGACATACACAAACGGCGTGTCTTCTTCTTTCTACGAACAAGTCATAAACGACCAATCCACCGTGTCAAACATGACAACCATGACCCGCGGCACCGCCATTGCAGATCCGCTGTATGTCGCCTGGGAAGCAAAGGACTTGTCGCTCTTCCCCGTCGCATACGCAACCTCTCTCGCGCAGAAGATCGGCGTAGACTTCACGCCGACGCCTACACCAGCGTTGACAAACTCTGCTGGCCAGCGCGTGGAAACAAACCCACCCAATACCGCCGACACCGACTCAGGTCTCTCGAGCGGCACGAAAATAGGGATAGGCGTTGGCGCGGGTGTCGGTGCTGCGCTGCTCATCGCGCTCATCGCGGGATTCTTGGTCATGTGCCGGCTGCGGCGGCGCAGGCGCGCGGTGGATGTGTATCCGAATGAAAGCACGCCGGCGATCGAGAGCGGCGGGGTTGTGAAGAGTAAGTGGTATCAGAGGGGGAGGACGCAGGAGGAGATGGAGATGCATGATGCGGGGGGGTCGAATGAGTTGGATAGCATGCCTGTGCATTATGTTTCGGGAGAGCCGGTGGAGTTGGAGGGCGAGGGGGTGAGGGTGAGGTATTAGGGAGGAGTGGTATATGATGTTGTTTGTGTCAATCTGAGACTGTTGCCTATATGTTGAAACATACCAGAGCTTGCAAACAACAAGTGAGCTGATGTACACATATAATCTGACAGAAAGGGAACGTCAGAGGCACAAAGGTTGGTAGTGTCATCAATTCACAGAGGCAACAGTGGACATAGATAAGCTTCAATATATGCATTTGCGCTGTTCAGCTAGCGACTACCTAAGTAAAGTACCTATGAAACAACAAACATATACCAGCAGTGCGATTAGGCTTTGTAACCTCCGATGATTACGAAAAATCTATGCAACCATGTTAGCAGATGTATCGCTGGATTGTAAATGCAACAAAGGTTGTGCGTTGTACGGATCAGACATCCAAGGAAGGTATTCGCGCTCATGGCACATCGGTTGTAGGTTCAATTGATGGCTAGCGTGGAAACTGCGAATGTGGAAATGTTTCATCATGAAAGGGGAGCGGAGAAAAAAAAAGTGTTGGCACTAACCCGGCAAGCGATGAAATGTCGCAGGCACCTATTGTTAGCCATCCACTTCTCGGAAGTGCTCGACCCAGGCAAACCATGCCAGTGTCCTGTGTCGTGACCGACGCATCCCACGATGTCCTCAAGGAGGCTTATAGAACGCAACGGATAGTATAGGGTACATGCGCTGCGTCTCAAGCTTTGCGCAAAGCTAGGTAGCGAATTTGGCGGACTAAATCTGTGCGACGCAAGTTAGCAGGCTGAACCGGCTAAGAAGAGCAGTGCAGTAGTGGTAGAAGGTGAGGTCAGACGAAAGTACTGGCAAGTATCAAGCACCCTGCGAGAGGCACCCGGACAGCATAAATTTCTTCAAGGTCGAATCCGTTGGAGAAAGAAGATGTGTAAGGTATCATCACTCCAGGAAAGAGCAGAGAGGTGGTGCAGAAGGACTTACCAGTGGTGTATAGACGCTCACCTGCAACTAGAGCATATTAGCTGCAACGTGAGCGTCGCGCGCCAGAGACGCGTTGTTGATGTTCGGAGAGGAAGTAACGAGGAAAGTTCCTGGTCAAGAAAAGTTCCAGGTCGAGCAGTTAGCGCGCCAAGATTTCGTTTGCACGTGATGTGATTGTATCAAGACTAGCGCTAGAAGGTTTTGCCATCGTCGAGTGCCACGATTTGGGCCAGCATCGCGAATAGAAAAAGAAACTGGCGGATTCTCAGCATAGTGCAATAGACGTATCCTGTTACGGCCGAAACACATTTCCTGGCGGTGAAGTTTTCCAAGTGGTAGGAACGCAATGCAGTCCGGATAGATTCGTGTGCCCAGCCACGCAGGACAGCCCGCCCCTAACCTGTCGCCGATCAGCACCCACCCTCATCACATCTCACTGCAAGACTATCCACGACCGCGCCCGCGTTCCTGGCTACTTCCTCCCCAGGCCCTGCACCCTCGTCGCGAGTGGATGCACCGTCGCATACGACTCCATCGACGACTCACGACTTCGTCAAGTGCAGCCTGATCCGACACCGCTCCTGCCCACCTCACTGCGCTGGCGGCACGGATGCGACACGATAGCACTCGAGACGACATCGCGCCATATCTGATCTGGCTGTAGCACCCACCAACATCGGTTGACCACCCCAGCGTCATCGTGAACCTCTGCGCTGCACTCTGCGCGAGGACACGCTCTATCCTTATCATCCCATCTCCGTCGTCGCGCGCTCGTTCGCCGGCCTGCCCCCGGCCAGTGCCCGATCGCGACTTTCACGCTACCGGCTCCGTCGCGGTCTGCCACCGCATCCTCAACGCGAACTTCGGATCTGCGTCCATCTCCCGCAACACTTTTTGGACGTGTTTGCAGCCGGCGCGACACGTTCCTCCTGTACTGTTCGTAACGTGACCGAGACCGCCCCCACCCGCATGCATCGCGAACGATAGCACGCATCTCGCCCGTAATCTCGAAGCGCAGTTCCCGGTCGCTTTTGCACATTTCTACCACCATTTCTGACCTTTCGGTGGCACCTTGATAGCACATTCTGCGCCTGCCCGCACGCTTTTGACTGAGGAGCCCGCAAGATGATGACCACAAGCTATCCCCATGGCCCCGGTATGCATCCGCAAGGCATGCCGCATGGCCACCCCATGGGCGGCCCAGGACCAAATCCTGGCCAGCAAATGCCTCCTGGTATGCACCCAGGCGTATCAGGCCCCAACGGCGCTGTGAGCCAAGCAGGGCCCATGATGGGCATGCAGCCTGGCATGGGGCCAAACGCGCATGCACTGTCGCATCTGCCAGCCTCAACAGGCGCATATGTTTGCGCAACAGCAGCAACATCCCGGAAATGAGTAAGCTCACAAACTCCTTTCCCTCGTATCATGCTAACGTGAGACAGTGAATCCTACAATGTTGCAGCAACAGCGGAATGCCCAGCAGCAATACATGCGCCAGCAACAGCAACACATGCTCCAGCAGCAAGGTGGCATGGGCATGGGTTTCCCGAACCAGATGCCGAACATGACTCCGCAACAGGTGGCCACTATGAGGCAACAGATGGGAACACAGCCTTTCGTGAACCTTCCCCAACACCTCCAGCTTCAGCAACAGCAGCAGCAAATGCAGAACCAGCAGCAAGGCGGCCCACAACAGGCTGCGGCCATGGCACAAGCGCAAGCAGCGCACCAGCAGCAACAACATCAAATGCAACAACAACAGCAACATCAAGCGCAGGTGCAAGCCATTGCAATGCAGCAAGCACATTCTCAACAGAGCAATCACAGTCAGAATGCGAATTCGGGACCTCCAACCTCGCAAACCCAGCAAGGACCTCTTCGTCCGCCATCAGCCATGAGCCACCAAGGGCACGCCTCTCCTATTCCTCCTCCCACCCCACAACAGCCACCACCTCAACAGCCTCCGCCCCAACAGCAGCAGCAACAGCAACAACAGCAGCAGCAGCAGCAGCAACAACAACAGGCACAACAGGCACAACAGGCCCAACAACAAGCACAACAGCAAGCCCAGCAACAGGCGGCTCAGCAGCAGGCACAACAGCAGCAGCAGCAGCAGCAGCAGCAGCAGCAGCAAGCCCAACAACAGCAGCAACAGCAACAGCAGCAGCAACAAGCCCAACAGCAGGCACAGCAACAACAACAGCAGCAGCAATCTGGCCCACAGCCAGGACAGCAGACACCGGCTCCCTCGCAGCCCCAAAGCTTACCGCAGCAGCCAAATCAGCAACAGCCAAACCCTGCACAAATCCAGCGAAATCCAGCCATGGCGCAACAAGCGCAACAGCAAGTTCAGGCACAGGCATCCCAGGTTCAACAAGTGGCGGCCCGGAACATGGCCATGATGAAGCAGGCACAAGCTGGCGCGACTGGCGGCACTGGCATGCTGAAGCTGATGAACTTTGTCGCCGAAATGGGAAAATTTGGCACTGCCGATATGCAAGGGAACACTGTGGAACGATGGCAGTCCTTCGTCGAGAAGTTCTTCTCGGTGACAGGGTCATTCATACACTGCGTCTTTTCCACTGGATCGGAGAGGACCAAACAGTTCGAGATTGTGTATGCTGCTTTGCCGCGCTACTTCTTCACATTGTTCAACACCGACGTTACCAACCTTCAAATCACCCTGGACGGATCTGCGGAAAAGGCATCAGGATCTGAGCTCAAAGTCACCTGCGACCGCGCCAAGTTCATCTACACTTACAGGAATCAATGCCAAGTTGTCTATCGGGGAAAGCTCACAGCTTTCTGGTCCGAATCAGAAAAGATGGAGTGGCTGCAATTTGAAGGCGAAGGCCATCAAGAGTACATACCCCATTCAGTGCTTAAGAGCCTGATTGTTCACCCCTCGCCAAACCAGCAAAACCCAAATCAATCGCCACGGATGAGCAAGAACGCAAAATTGAAGCAGCAACGAGGCATGGAAGCTCCGGAACCCTTTATTCCAATATCCAAATTGCCATCCGCTGGCGTGACGGATCTGGGCTTGCCACCTGTGCTGCAAAGCTACCTCGAGGTCAGTACACTGAAGAGGAAAATGCACAGCATGGATGCTGACGACGGCAGATATACGAAACGATGAACAACATGACGAGCCTAATGGCTCACTATCAAGAACATAGCAACATGGTCCCGACTGAAGCCCTCGAGCACTGGATATCAAGTAGAGACCCGGCGTCCATGGGCCAAGCGAACTCAATGCCGCAACCAAACATGCCACCAGGAGCACGACCACCCGGGCCTGGTCAGCAAGGCCCACCAATGTTCATGTCCCCACACCTGCAGAACCAGCTTCTTCCGAATGGCATGAACGGATCCCCCGGCATGATGCACACTCCGTCGCCCAACTCCCATGCTATGGTTAAGCAGCAAAGTACAAGCTCCCACACTGCTAGCGTCAACACATCGCCAAACATGGCAGGCAAGCGGCGGAGAAGTACTGCCAAAATGGACATGGACGATGGTGACGGGATGAACGGCACCAAAGTCAAGCAAAGCCCACGGGTGGGAGGCAACAAGAGGATGAAGAACTAATAGTCGCCCTTTCGCTGTCTTTCCTGCATCTGCGTTCACATCTAGACCCCGGGGTGCGGCATTCTCCTACCACATCATTGTACAAGCGCGGCGTTCATCTCCATATTCCTCACCTCTTATATCCTAACCCAATCTCCTTTCCAAGTACCCCATCCTGTTTCCAGCGCTCCATGGGCGGGCGGTCTTTGTGCGCTTATTGGTTTTTGTTTCTCATCGTTCACCGGCGCATTGGGCATCACGCTTTTCCTCCCCCGCCATCTAGTTTTCCCTGGGGCTACATAATCTGTTCTTGTACATTACATGGAAAGGGAAAAGACGTCGACTTTGTGGTTGACGCGTGTGGCTGCACAGTTCATTGCTTCTATTGGCATTTTGCGCGAGATTGGGATGAGATATGGGCCCGTGAGGAGTGAGGCGTGGGAGTTCCTTTTTATACGAATTGACATGTTATGACTTCATGCACTCTTCCGAACGTGCTTTTGCTTGCTGTTGTTACGTGAGACTCAGGTGTTTGAATGTGTGCATGATAGGCACGTATGTCGGCTTTGCCTGAACCACATTCCTAGAAAGGTCGTTGCTGTGCTCATTTGCCTGTCCAACGACAGCTATCCATCGATAACAGAGAAATTCGGAGTGGACATACTGGCTGAGTGGCAAAGAAAGACGCTTGATGAGCTAGAGATTATGCATGTTGGTAGCCTTGGTACCCTCACAAGCAGGTGTTTGCTTCAAGATGTTTGGTGCAGTGAATGGTAATTGGGGATAGGTTGGAGCCATGAGGAGCACCAGTGGGGAAGATCCATGACATGCATTCTTACGGTTGAGTTAGGGGCATTGAGGGATAGAAAAGGGCAAGATATTGGAGGAGTAGGACTTTGGGATTGATGAATCAAAAAGCTACGCCTTCATTTAGTGGCTGCCATGGTGGAGGGAAAAACGGAGTGTGCGGATAGAAAGACTCCTTGTGCCTTGATTCCAGCTCTTTGATGTAGTCAGGTGTTGCTCAATACTGTTTTAAGGACAGTTAGACTAACGTTATGGTCTCCATGTTGACTCCCTTGAATCGCAGAAACAAAGAAGTCCGGTCTTTCTCGTCGGTGTCTGGTTCTGTTCGTCGTCAGCCAAAGCCTTTGAATGATTTGAGGTAGCCAGTTTCTGCCCTACCTTCGTGCTCAATGGACAGTGTAGTTCCAAAGTACTGAACCTCGACTACGCCTTTCCAGGAACCGACGCGCCTCCACGTACCATGCTTTTCTCCGGGCTCGAGACCTATTCCAGTCATCCTGTACACCTCGGTCGTCCTTCCTGATGGAAACCCGAAAGATCTTTCAAGTTCTTCAACGAGAAGAGCCAGAACAACGCTTTCCGGTGGACTTTCTTCGTATTGAGAATGGTCGCAGCGATATTCAAGACTTGTAGATTCAATACTTGAACCTCGTGGATGGAGATCACTGCATGTTGACTTGACCTGCTCTTCAAACTCCGTATAACAAAGACTCCGCCCCTCTGGGGCGAAGCTCTTGGCATAAGCAGTGTGCTGTTCCCAATTCATTCTCAAAATATCCTGTTTATGTAGCTTTGCTGGAAGCAAAGCCAACTTGACACTCAGTCGCAAACCAGAGAAATTGTATAAGAATGTTTGCGGCAACAGGTTTGGCGGCTGACCCACCCATTGAAAATGTAAAATCTCAGCGCTGAACAGAGTTGTATCGTAATACCTCGGGTAATTGTGATGAAGTCGAGCGTTGCCAGACTTGAAACTTGTGAATCTGAACCACGACCATGAAGGCGTCGATGTGGTATCCGCATCCTGTGCAACTGTTGTGTAGTCTCCGCGTAGCCCAGTTGCAGAGACTGACCAAGATAGATCGTACGGCAATGACTCTTTCCATATGCCGGCAAGATAAGTGAGCCCATATACGTTTTGAAAAGCCTCCGCAACTCCTGCAAAAGCCATGATCCTGTCACTCGCTTTTGATAGATGTCGACTTCGATAATCTTCTACCAATTCCCACCAGCTCGACAAATGTCCGTTTAGGATTTTCATCCCATTAGAGAGGTGTGATTTTCTAACTATTTCTTTCGGCCACCAAGGAAGGTGGTAGTTCTGAGCGTAATTTGGAACCCATGATCCGAGAAGCTCATCAGAAAACGTCTCTGAGCATTCCCACATGAGATTCTGATGTCCATACATGATGGTACGTCGGCTCAAGAGGTATTCCTTGAAAGATCCAGGCTCGGGACGACCAGGGCCAACTGCTACGATCTAGCCACACGTATCCCTTCGGATCACGAGCTGCAGAAGTGTCTCTCAATGGTGATATTGAGATATAGCTAGCCTTCGAATGCCCCCGTCGAATGATACAAGGGGTTGAGCATCTGGGGTCCTCCCGAATTTGATCAAATCCCATTGTAGGTGGGAGCACAAACGCAAGGTTGCAGACTGCATTACTATACACTGCAGACATATTTGCAGCCTCTACTGTCCAGTCAGACACCGAGTCCTGTATGATGCAGATCGAATCAATCCATAAGTGACGGTAGCCTAGATAACGGACGATGCGAATCGCTTCTCTGAAGTTTCGTGGAAGCTCGTCAAGTGGTATGGCATTTTCGAACTCTTCCACCCTGGAACTGAGCAAGCGTAGCTGTTGTGATGGTTCCGTGCCCCAAATGTGACTTAGAGTGAAGTATTTCAAGTCTCGGATTGTTGATGTATTACTCACCAGCCTCACACCGTCCAAGGTAATCTGGATAATTCTCGTTGGATACTTGCCATTTGATCCGTAACTGGTATTCCAAGTACTGCATTTATGATGATGTTGAATGCACCCCTCAAGCCATTGTTTAATTTGATTCAGATTGTCAGTGGAGCGTTGCGGCACGTTGTGGACAAGTTTTGGGGCGTCGAACATATCTTCCTGTCCAGCTACGCCTCGATCAGTCAGTTTCGTACAGCTTGAAGGGCGCGACAAACTGTTGTGAGTTCTCAAGAAGAGGAAGGGACTGGCGAAGGCTTCCCATTTGCAGTATTCTGATTCCGTCTCTCCTATTTGAACCCTTAACGGAAAGCTGTCGATCCCATAATCATCCATGGGGACCGCAGACAAGATCACCATGGCCATCGGCTTTGACTTTGATTCTTCCGGCAGAGAAGAGAGCACGATCATGCAGAGATGACAGCAGCCTTGCGATTGCAAAAGATGCTCAACATAGCAAAGTTTGTAATCTTTCACCTCTGTAGACATGGTGTCTTTTGTACTCTCCTCTTTTGTTTGATCATTTCGTTTCCAGAAATCGGCCCAATATTTGCCAGACCCCAACTTCCAATTCACAATATCCCATTCCTCGACAAAGTGCGTACATCTATCGCAAAGCTGATGGAGCGGTACTGATCCCTCTGGACAAGGCTCTCGTTCGGGACGCAGTAAAGTGTTGGCAGGATCGTGTTCTCTCAATGGCAAAGTTGTAGCCATCTCATAATGTACTGCGAGAGTCGATGAGAAGGAAGTGGGGTTATTCTGAAGAGAAGGTGCAGCCTGTGTCGAGCAGGCTGAGACTTCGAGTAACTGCAGCTGACTCAGCAATGCCTGTTATGGCTGGCTCAGCCTTGCCGTATCACACCCGTCGCTAGATAAGAAGCCTTTGAAAATTCATACTTGATGGCATGTCTATGCGGCTGAAGAGCTTCACACACAGAATAGGATTACTTTTTTTTAGCTCAACACATACATGCAAGTAGTCTGCAAAGAATGAACTTGTGGAAGGCAATAGTGTTGCTCCAATATATGAGGTAGGCGGCATGTGTAAGGGAAAGTATTAGTGGCATCACTGACGTTCACTGAAAAGTTGTACACTAGGGCTTGCGGAGCGCAGTCCTCGTTTCCGGGTTTGTGGTCGAATAACCCGACTTTACCTCCTACGTAAGCATCAAATGATCAACTGCTGGCTACAATTAGACAGTCTCTATCTTTAAATTTGGTTGGCAACTTTCCGTGCCAGTGTAGGAGCACGCTTCTACAACCTCGCCTTCGCCTGTCCATCCTCATCGACCCTTTTACCGTCCCTGCCAAAGGCGATCTTCCTCCCGCTCTTCAAGCTATCCTGTAGCGCAACGCCAATCTTGACGGCCTCCATACTGCTCGTCAGATCGACTGGTACTTCCTTATTCTCCAGAACCGCGTCTGTGAACTGTCGAGCCTCTTCCACGAAAGCGTGCTCAAAGCGCTCGTAGTAGTTCTGTGGAATGTCGCGATGAATGCCGGTGCTCAAGTGCGACTCCAGTAGTCCGGTTGTAGGGTTGGCATTGACACTAAGTTTGCCTTTTGTGCCGATGATCTCTGTCGTGTCGTGCTGACCTGGCGGGTTCATGCGCGAGCTGTAGAAGTAGGCGATTTGACCATCATAGAATTCAACGACACCAACGCCGTTGTCAACGTCGCCGTGCTTGGCGAGATCGGGCTCCACAGCTGTGACGCCGAACGCAATGACGCTCTTGACCTTAGGCAAGATCTTGCTCTCCGCGCTGAAGAACCATAGAGCGAGATCGACGTCGTGGATATTGCAGTCCACGAAGATGCCGCCGGAGAACTGAGCATACTCGACAAAGAAGCCACTGGGGTCGTACTTGTCACAAGTCTGGCTGCGTAGAATGGTCGGACGGCCGATGGAACCGTTTACGGTCTGGGCGTATGCGGATAGGTAGGAGGCGTCAAAGCGGCGCGAGAAACCGCACATGACCTTTTGCTTCGGGTGACTTGCGGCAACATCAAGGAGTTGTTGGCACTGTAATCATGTTAGTGCGTCGTCTCAATCTATCTTGGAAAGACATTATACATACGACGTCCAGCTTTGTGCTCAATGGCTTTTCACACAAGACGTGTAATCCTGCCTCAATTGCCTTGATGCTCTGCTCTGCATGTGCTGTAGTCACGACCGCAACACACACTGCTTCAAGTCCCTCGTGCTTCAGCATCTCGTCGTAGTCAGAGTAAATCTTAACACCCCACGGCTCGAGATTCTCTTTTGCCCATACTAGCTCACTGTCCGCCGGCGTAAAAGCAGCAACTAATTCGGCTTTTGGGGTGCGGTGTAGGAAGTGCTGGGCATGGCGAGCACCCATGCGCCCAAGGCCAGATACGGCGATTTTGAGTCTACGAAGAGTTGGGGCCATGGTGAAGGTACTCAATCGGGTGCTCCTTGAGAAGTAAAACTGAACAAAAACCTGGCAAGAGGTTGAGGGAAGGCAGACGCAGTGTTGCGTTCTCAAGGAGATCCGTCGTACACCGCCGTGGCCATAGCTTCCAATCAGGGTCCAACCAGCCCTTGGTGCGAGATGCCGATCGACCCGTCTCCTTTCCCATCACTTGTGACGGCAACATCATCGACGACATCATCCCAAAGCCTATTGTGGACACAGACTCTTCGCTCCCGTTCAGTGTTATCTAGCAATTATGGCGATTATGCCCGCATTGCTATTTCAGCAGTGGCATTAGCTTCCAGATCCGGAAGAGACACGAGATGCAACAAGTAAATCACAGACGCGTACTAAACATCGTGATGTCTCCAAGCACGGTGTTGAGTTTGTGTGGAGTCGAGTTGTGGAGTCGCGTCGCATCCCGGTCTTCATTTTGGAGATCGACGTATGGGGAAATTTCCTCCGCTCCAAGATCATTCATCGCCTCCCGCGCGGCATCAACTGCGAACGCATTCCTCAATTAGCTTATAGTGCACAAAGCGCATCTCCCGAAGCATGACGGCATCTGGTGCAGAAACAGCGGAATCTAGCAAGGCAATTGTAAGCGACTTTACCGAATTCCACACATCGTAGCAAGTCTACTTGACTCATGTTTGGTTCTCTGAACGAAGTCGTTCGCAGCGATGCCACAGGTATAATTTCGTTTCGAATTCGACACAGACCTGTTGGGCATACCAAAAACTTGGGACACCTCTATTCTACAGATTTGCCTTATCCTCACCTGTTTCTAGCACTACCTTGATAACCAGATTTCCTTTGTCGTCTTTGGTCTTGCCAGCCATGTCAAATGCCTCTACGGCCGCTTCCAAGCCAGTGTATCTATGGGTGACAAGCTTCGCGAAATCTGGGTAATCTGTTCCCTTCTTAGACACCACTTCGATGCCGCTGGGATACGTATTGGCGTATCGGAAAACACCCATGATGTCGACCTCGCGAAGAGCTGCGGCGGAGATTGGGAGTGTTTGAATGGGCGTGCCCATACCGATCAGTAAGACTCGACCACCCGGGCGCGTTGCCTATGTATTGTTAGTAAAAATTCTTGTGGCAAATACACCTCAATACTCACATAAATCGATGCCTGGACGCAGGACGGAACACCGGTGCACTCAAACACAGCATCAACCTCGCCAACTTCGCCACCACTCTCTTTCGTTATCTTGCCAATTGCTGCAGCGGTCTCTTTCGCGATATCCAGCTGCTCCTCTATTGTCGCGCCCCGCTTCATTGGGACCGTGAAATTCCGATGCGCGAACTTGTTCTCCACTGCGAAATTTACCCTTCCCTCGTCTATGTCCGCTATTACAACTGTGCTGGCGCCTGAAATCTTCGCCATAGCTGCCACTAGAAGGCCTACAGCACCAGCTCCGAAGACTAATACTGTTGCGCCCGGCGCGAGCTGTGCTCGTTTCGATGCCTGGATTGCTACACCTAGCGGCTCGAGTAGTGCTCCAAGGTCCAAGGACATATCTTCTGGCAACCTAGTCCAATCAGTATGACATACTTCTGCTCAGTGAGCTTGAATTACTTATGACACCAAGCAGCAGGATGGTTTATTCTGTCTTGCAGCGTTCCTTGCGCATGCGGAAATGCCTTTGCACTACTCCTAAACCGCATCCCCTTACAGATGTTGTATCGCCCCTCTTTACATCTGTCGCATGTATCACAAGGCAGTCCGACTTCCAATGCGACCTTGTCTCCAACTTGGAAATTCTCAACATCTGATCCAACGCCGACTACGACACCTGCGGACTCGTGTCCGAGAGACATGGGCTCTTGTACGATGATATCGCCATTGCGGTAATGTCGATAGTAGTGTAAGTCTGAGCCGCAGAGGCCTGTGCTTCGAACACTGATTTGAAGTTCCGTCGGTGCTGGTGGGGAAATTGAGCGATTCTCCTAGGATTGAAGTTAGAAAGGTCATGGTTCAAAAGGTACAGGACTGACGATTCTCAAGTCTTTCGCGCCATGCAGGACAGATGCGCGAATTTGCCGCTTGCCCTGCGACACGTCTGGGCTTATATCATTCGACATTGTAATCAATCTCGAGATATAAATCCTTCTGCAGCTTTGATCTAGGCTGTGTGCTTAACGAAGCTGTGGGTATGAAACAGAAAAAGTATAGTATAGCTACAACAGCTACAATGAACCAAAGGAGGAATGAAGCGAACGAAGGCGTTGTTCAGTCATTCCGCAGTATGTCACAAGCCACTACGAATAGCTATCGCGCCTCCACTCGGCGCGTCTTTCCCCAGCAAAATATGGGGACATTTGCTGCTTCGGCCTTTGAATGGTGGGACATCAAATGCCGACGTCAGGCGGGGCAGCTTTCCGAGTGCGTTCCGAGTGATCAGAACAGCATCGATGTTTTGTGCCGATAAAAAGTCCCGCAAACTTCAGTCCCTTTCCTGGAATCTTCTGGTGGTTCCTTTGGAATTTCTAGCTTCTGGGTCGGCATATTGTAGCCCTCAGCTTATTCTATCGTGCTCCTAAAGCCAATCTACCTTCACAACACAGTTCCGAACACTTACAGTTGAGCAGTATTTCGACAACATGACGACCGTGCCGCAGCTATTTTCCCTTGAGGGTCAGACAGCACTCGTCACAGGAGGCACACGAGGTATTGGTCAAGCCATGTCAATTGCGCTGGCAGAAGCAGGAGCAGACATTCTCCTTGTCCAGGTACCAACTCTCAACTTTCCGTACGAACTTCACAAGACTAACAACCACCCAGCGCGATACGTCGAACCAAGAAACTAAGCAAGCCATCGAGAGACTCGGTCGCAAAGCTAGCATATACACCGCCGACCTCTCCTCCAACGACTCCGTCTCCTCCCTCGTCCCCGCAATCCTCAAAGACGGCCACAGAATCCACATCCTGCTCAACTGCGGCGGTATCCAAAAACGCCACCCAGCGCACCAATTCCCCGATGATGACTGGCAATCAGTCCTGCAAGTTAACCTAACATCCGTCTTCACACTCTGCCGCGACGTTGGCGCACACATGCTCTCCCAACCCGCCGACCTCCCCCAATCCCGGCGCGGCTCAATCATAAACGTCGCCTCACTGCTCACATTCCAAGGTGGCATCACCGTGCCCGCGTACGCCGCGAGCAAAGGCGGCGTCGGCCAATTGACCAAGGCGCTGAGCAACGAGTGGGCAAAGTCGGGCATCAGCGTCAATGCGATTGCGCCGGGGTACATTGCGACAGACATGAATACGGCGCTGATTCAGGATGAGAATCGGGCGAAGAGCATACTCGAGCGCATTCCGGCGGGGAGGTGGGGGAAGCCGGAGGATTTCAAGGGCGTGGTGGTGTGGTTGGCGAGTGCGGCGAGTGCGTATGTTAGTGGTGAGGTTGTTACTGTTGATGGAGGGTGGATGGGAAGGTGAGGGTTGGTTTATTGCTAGATAATGTATATACAAGATGTGGAATGTCGAGTGCAAACTTCATGCCTTCATGGCAAACCTGCGGAACACTAAGTGCGACTACACTTATCACAACCGCGGTAGCAGAGGAGCGAAATTTGCTTTCCGCTTGCTCAATGAATCCACTTCTCCCTCTCAGCATCTAAACCTCCTAAGCAAACCCTTACCATCACACAAACATCACCATGTCCCTTCGAATCACCTTCTCCGTCCCTGCCCTCAACACCACTACGTCCATCTCTCTCCCACTCCACACTTCCGCGCAGATAACCCGCACCCCAGCCGAAATTGCTGCCAAGTTCAAGAACAACACGAAATATGGCATGAACGCATAGCTGTTATAATAGAGTGCAAGGAAGCGACGATCAGGCAACTCCGCGAAGAGGATCGTGAAGCAAGGCTAGAATTTGCGGAACGCCGTGCAGAGATCAATGCAATTAGATAGAAGGTAGGGAAAATCGAAGATAAGATTGAGAGGGTGAGAGAGAGGTTGGATTAGAGGAGGGAGAAGTAAGGGTGTGGTTGGAGTTGAGATATGTCGTGCTTGTTAGTGGTTGTTGGAGCTGGATCTCTTAGCCGGTCTTCCCCTAAGGCCTCAATGAGTTGACTCTCACGCAGCGAGAAAAGCTTGAAGATAGACAGGCTCAGTAAACAGTTATAGACATTGGGTATAGCTACAGTCTCATTCTTTTTTCATTTCCTTCACAGTTTACTTCCGACATCTAGTCAGCCGCTCAGATCGATGCCATCAGGCTTGTCCGCGAACCCGCAGTTGACACCGAATGGAGGGTACACGTATCTCGTAATGCCCTTCGTCTTGTGGATGCTCTCCAGCTTCTCCATATCCGTGCCGTCGAGCTGGATAAGTTTGCGGTTCTCGTCGATGCGCGAGGGAGTCACGGATTTAGCGAGGACGGAAGCGCCGCGGGCAACTGGTGCATTGTCAGTAGAGTAGAGGGAATTGAGGGGAAGTAGAACTAACGGTGGTAGCTCAGAAGCACGGTAGCGGGACCGACGTCGTGTTTCTTCGCAACTTCCAAGATACCCTCATCCTTGAACAGGGGCGAGCCTGTGCTTCCCAATGGGCTGTATGCTGTGATATGGATGCCCTTGGATTTGCAGAAATCGACGACTTCTTGCTGGGGCAGAAGTGGGTGGTTCTCGATCTGATTGGCGGCAGGAACGATGGTCGCCTTTGCGAGGAGCTTCTCCATGTACTTGACGGAGTAGTTTGCGACACCAATGGCCTTGACTTTGTCAGGATTTGACTGGATGAGTTTCTCCATGTTCTGCCATGTCTGGATGTGTGTGATGCTGTGGTCGATGTCGCGGGAGCCGTCTTCGAGCTTGGGGAAGAGCGGGTGGTTTCCTTCGACACTATCAGCGCATGTTGAGGATGCGGAACGAGATACATACCTTTAGGGTTCATGGGGACAGGCCAATGTACTAAGAATAAATCGACTATACGATGTAAGCTAGGTTGGAGAGTGGACTGTGGGGAGGCTACAAATGCGTACCGTATGGTGTCTTGAGCATGTCCAAGCTCTTTTGCAGTCCTTCTTCCGCACGAGTGTGGAATGTGCACCACAGCTTGCTGGTGATGAAGAGCTCCTCGCGCTTCACGATGCCGCGCGATATGACATCTTGGAGTGCTTCGCCGACCTCATCTTCGTTCTGGTAGCAGAATGCGCAGTCGATATGTCTGTAGCCGGACTCAATCGCATGCACAACGGCCTTCTTCACTTCTCCAGGCGCAGACTGCCACGTTCCCAGTCCCAGGGCAGGGATGGTCGCGCCAGTGTTGAGAGGAATAGCAGTGTTCATGTCGGGCGAAGGGTTCAAGATGCTGTCAGGGGTCGCTTTCAGGATGAATTTAGAAAGGGCGGGATTCATGGCGGGCTATCATGTATATGTAGTGGGGTTGTTTACCACTACCACTCTACCCATCCATGCTCACTGTACGCGTAGAGATGTCTCGTCATCTGTGATTGATGAGATTAATTGTTCCGACAACCGAGACTGCCCCGCCAGACGTGCCCCGCCGGCATAGCTTCGGGCGAGCTTCAGGGTCGCAGTGCTGAGCCCCACGAAAATTTTACTGGAGACGACGACCCCAGCGGACGCCATCGCCTTTACGGTCTGTGTCGGGGGAAGTCCAGACCGAAGCATGCTCCGCCGTCACCATGCAGCGCTTCCGCATGATCAGCAACCCTTCCGCCAACATCTCAACGTTGACGAGGTTTGCGTCCCTTAGCCAGCGGCGAGAATTTCCTACTTGAGCGAGAAATGGGGAATGTTACGCCATCCGGCTCTCACCAACATGGGAAGCCCGTTGCTAGTCCCAGATCTAGCAGATCTCATCCAACCACAGGGACCACCACAACGGACACTATGCTTCGACTCCGTTTTTCCAGAACACCAGATCGTGTCATGGTGGCGGTTAGAATTTCCTCGTGTCGTGCTTTTGCCTCTTTTGAGCCCACTGTTGCGGATACGAGGCTTGGGGCATGGAGACGTGAGAAATCTGCTGACGTTGAGAGGCTGGCGCTTCATCGGTCTGGAGGGTGGTACTTAGTTATGGCATCTCCGTGGTGGAGTAGATTTGCGGGGTGTTGAGGATAAGTATCTGTCGTTCTTTGCTTTGATCGTTCCTTCCATCATCCAAATCTTCTTCGCCTCACATAGTTCTACGCATTGTGCTGTGACTTCACTTCGTCCCTTTTTCTTTAGAGAGATACCCCAGAGTTTGCATATACATACATCAGCATGGCACCAGGCGCGATTTTCGAGACGCCCAATGTGGCCGAAGACTTCAACAACCACCGCGATGGCTCCGCTCTCGAGGCCACTTCAGACATGATCGACGATGTCAACGTCCTCAAAGCAGCGATGAAGGTGAAGAACGGCACTGCCACAAAAGAAGAGAAAGACATTTACCAAGCCTCACAATTCGACGCCGAGAAAGACAAGACACAGTTCAGACAATACGAAGACGCCTGCGACCGCGTCAAGAACTTCTACCGCGAACAACACGAGAAGCAAACCGTCGCCTACAATCTCAAAGCCCGAAACTCCTTCCACGCGAAAACCCGCGCCGAGATGACCATCTGGGAAGCCATGGAGAAGCTCAACACGCTCATCGATGAATCCGACCCAGACACATCACTCTCACAAATCGAGCACCTGCTGCAATCCGCCGAAGCCATCCGCCGCGACGGCAAGCCGCGCTGGATGCAACTCGTCGGGCTGATCCACGATCTCGGCAAGCTGCTATTCTTCTACGAAGCGCAAGGCCAATGGGACGTCGTCGGCGACACGTTCCCCGTGGGCTGCGCGTTCGACAAGCGCATCATCTACCCGGACACATTCAAGGGTAACCCAGACTACACGGACGAGATCTATTCGACTGAGCACGGCATCTACACACCTGGCTGCGGCATGGACAACGTGATGCTGTCGTGGGGCCACGACGAGTACTTGTACCACATTATGAAGGATCAATCGACGATTCCTGACGAGGGGCTGGCGATGATCAGGTATCATTCTTTCTACCCCTGGCACAAGGAGAATGCGTATCGGTGGATGATGAACGAGAAGGATGAGCGCATGTTGGAGGCGGTCAGGGCGTTTAATCCGTATGATTTGTATAGCAAGAGTGATGAGGTGCCGAAGGTTGAGGATTTGAAGGATTATTATAGGGATATTATTGAGGAGTATATTGGGTGGGATAGGAAGATCAAGTGGTAAGGGAGGCGGCTGGTTTCTGTTACGAATTTCCTTTGGTTATTGCTGGTAGTTGTGTCTAGAAGCGGAGTGCCAGAAAGGCCCGCGATGTTATGAATTCACTTTTACGATCCCGATCAACCCACTTGCCCAGTAAAGTATGTGTAAGTGGATATAAATATGCCCTCTAATTTTCTAGGTGTGGACGAAGGCGGTTGATATGTAGCTAGAAGTTCACTTTATCGTGGCATTGATTCAGCACATATTTGCACGACAATCTGTGAAAGAAAAGCTCCGATGAAACATGGCGATATAGACGGTAGACGTCATTTGATCTACACTACGTGTAATCGCCTGCTTGTACACTCTCTGGACGAACTCATCTTCAGTAGGAAGATATAGCCATCTTACTCAAACTCCCTACTCTCCTTTCACATCAAAACGGTAACACCCGCCATCATCCTCCCAATCTATCGCATCCTACTCTTTCTCAGTCTGTTCCCCAACAATCTCTTGCTCCTTGCCACTATTCTTCTTCCCATCACCCTCGCCAGCACCACCATCTTTGCTGCCGTCTCCGAGACCAGGAACATTAGCAGCGCCGTCCTTCACCGGTGTACTGAACATGTGGAAAGCTGAAGCGGTGGACGCATCAGAAGCTACGCGCGCCAACGCAGTAAACGGGTTAGTCGAAGCCACAGGCGCCATTTCAGCGAACGAGTTGGCCAAGTCAGCAGGCGGTGGGTTCGGTCGTACCCATGCCACACCATCTTTATCTACGGCGTAGACGATCTCAGGAATCTTCGGCGGCTTCTTAGCATCACCAGTACGGTAGTGCTCGAGACGCTCGTATCGCGCAGACCACACCTCTTCCGACTCGTAGTTTGGGTCGAAGTCCTTCGCCTTCATCTTCTGCTTGCGCTCGGCTTCGGCTTCGCGCTCAACATAATCCTTACGCTGCGCCTGTTCCTTTTGTTCAGCCTTGTACTTCCGCTCCGAATGCTTCTTGCGCTCAGCCTGTTCCTTGCGCTCAAGCATCGTAGCATTAGACGCCTTCACGCTCTCATCAATAGGAAGGTCTTGAAGTGCCTCATATGCCCGCTGATGGGATCGTGAAGGGAGGTCAGTCGCGGGGCGTAGTATGTCCATCGTACTCAGCTGCTTCGTGAGTTCAGTAACTGATGAGTCTCTATTTGGGCTGGACAGGCCCCCAAATGCAAGTGGCGTGCTGCTATTGTCGCCTAGACCACCCAACACGGGAGTTGACTTGAGGCCGAAAGTAAAGGCTGACGTAGGGGGAGTAAGCTTCGCGAACAAGCCCGGGGCCGGGGTAGATGCGGGTTGACCGACAGAGTCTGGCTTCGGGGTAGATTTGGTCTGACCGGACAAGCTTGGAGTCGGGATAGATGTCGACTGACCAAAGAAGCACGGGACTGCAGCTCCCGGTACAGTACCGAGTTGTTGGCCAAACAAGCCCACGGACTTCGCACTATCCGTCTTCTCTACGAACGAGAAAGCTGGCTTCAAGGCAGGCTTGACACCAACGTCCTTGGTGCGTCCGGCCTTGTAATCCACGACCCGAAGTTCTTCAAAGGATTTATCTTTGTACACACCCAAGGTGGAGATGGACATGTACTCTTGCATGTATGGCCCGACAGGTCCGTCCTTTTCTTTCAAGAAGCCAGGTCCGCCGAGGACCTGGGACTTGCTTCCGTTGCGGTACATGGCAGTAGTGGGGAAACCTAGCGCAGGCGCAGGGGGCGGTGGTGCGGATGCATTGGTTTTGGCGAATGGCATACCGAAGAACGAGGACGGGAATGTTGTTGGGGCAGGTGTAACAACCTTTGCTCCCCAGCATGGATACTGCCTGCCCTCCTGCTTTACCTCCAAGCCGTCATCTATCTTCTCCGCCCTAGTCTTAGCAACAAACACCACAGATTTCGTCCTAAACGTGCCCATCTGCGTGACTAAATCAACATCTGCTCCGAACAGCGCCGACACAAGTTCGCCCTTGCGCTTCCTAACGCGTTCCTGAATGATGCGGAGTTGGTCTGGCAAAAGCTGCGCCACGGTCTCGATGATGGAGGGCTGCTTGGCGACGTGGGCTCGCATGTCGCCTTCTTCGAGGTGGATAGGTTCGATGGCGTAGGTCATAATGGAGGAGTTGTCGATGGAGTGGACTTGGGGGCGGAGGATGTAGGCTTCCATGTGGGCTTTAAATTTGTCCATGGTGGCGGCTGGTGGGGTGTGTGTTGATTCTTGGAGTGATAGTGGAGCGCCGAGATGGGGGAAGAGTGGGGATTGGGGTTGTGGTGGAGGGAAGGCTGGTTGTTGAATGCACAAGGGATTGGGTTGATAGAGCGGAGAGTGTTTGTAGGACGGAGAAGACTGGGAGAGCGGAGAGGTATTTATGTTCCCTGGGGTGAAATGCCCTCGTTGTGTCGACTCTGGGAACTTCTCATTGTGTAGTAGGGCTAGGTGGAAGCGAAGCGCCTCGGATGATTCACTATCAGTCCTATGAAAGAGTGTTAGCAGCTGAATGATATAAGCCACTGTATACGTACAATGTATCACGGTGAGAAAGACGCTCAGCTCTAGCTGTCATGATCATCCCCATGAGTACACGAAGGCAATCGTCCAAGGTGCGCAAAGGACCCTCCGCCTCGCCATGGTTGAACGCATTGAACTTTGCCTGCGCTCCAACGCCTTCGGATCGTGGTTCATCCACTAGATGTGAGTCAAGGCTCTCTGCAGATGTTGTGATCTTATGAATGAGAGGTCGGCAGGTGTCAATGCTCTTCGATAACAGTTCAAGATCATGAAGATACAGTAATGATATCTCGGACTTCGAATCCAGGAGCACGCTCAGCAACGTTAGAGCAGTAGAGATAGCCATGAGTTTGCTTGAAATGTCACGTTGTAACTTCCCAGCACCAAATAAAGACATGCAGACATTACTGATTGTATAGAGCGCGATTGCAGCTTCATTCGTCTCGTCGATGAACTCAGCGATTTCACGACGCAACTTGTCACGGCCTGGTACATCATCATCACTCGTGGCAACAGTACGCTGCAGTTTGATTTGCATGACGGCGATGAAGCACGAACAGACGCCGGACTAGACAGACGAGCAACAAGTTGAGTATAATGACTTGCAAAGCAGCTTGGATGAAGAATGCAGAAACATAACCAGCAGTAAAAAAGAGATACTCTACCATCCATTTATACCGTGCGCTGTCATTGCCTTAGCAGGCAAACACCAGGCAACCTCCAGGCACCAACATTACCAACGCTGCGTCGAGCACTGCCACTCCCATCCGACCCACCCGACGTTGCAACACATTTATTCCAAAGAACAAAACCCCTCACCATAACACATAGTACACTCTCGTTCCGCGGCTTCCATCCCCAGCCCCCTCCAGCCTCGCCCTCACTCACCCAACAAACAAGGATCCCCCCATCCCATCCGCTCCTCTCCGCTCCGCATCCACCTCAACGTCGCACAACCCTCTCTACCCGCACGCATCCGCATCCGTGCGCGCAGTCCAGCCAGGGACCCGAGTTCGGTTCGGATCACCTGGTATGCGAGATGCATGTCAGCGCACGCACGCGTTCCTTGCTCTCCCGGATCTGCAGATGCGCGGATGCGCGGATGCCAAGAACGCGTGGCTTGCACGGGAGGTTACCTAAACTCGACCTCACTTCATAGCTTGCCCTTGCTTTACTCCATGTGCGCTCAACTCCTTGTTTTTCGTCGTTGGGTCGCACCACGTGTGATGGTAGCGTGGCCGTAACTACTTCACGACAGGACGCGGTTGCTTTAGGCGCTTGATACCACGTGGTACAGACAACAACAGTTGCGTGTTTCACATCGTGATTGCACAGCGCGGATGAAAAGAGCTAGTTCAGGGGAAGGTGGTGATGAGAGACGAGAACGGGTGGAAGAGGCAAGTGTTCAGATGAGTGTATTACGATTGATTCATTTTCTATGTACCAGCGCCAATGCTGAGGGCCACCGAGCCCATATCCATCCCATTTTCGAGGGTATCAACTGTTCAAGACATCTCCGCATGATTCGTAAACATGATGCCTTTCCGTAGTGTCCGTGAAGAAGGTAAGAAAGATGCATCACCAATTAAGGTATCCAAGGCCTCGCGTCATCGCTCCGTCAATCTCTCCATTATGCACATTACTCCGCCAAGCGACGACCTAGGGTAGGGGGGGTGCGATGCGCTTATAGGAAGAAAGCGGCAAAGGCACCGACACCAGCGAGAACGGGAAGACCCTTCTCGATGGATGCACCGCCGGTGGTAGGAACAGAGGAGGCAGCAGCCGAGGTGGCGCTGCCAACTGCGGAGCTGGCGCGGGAGAGGAGCGACGATACGGCGCCGGAAGCAGAAGAGCTGGATGGTGTTAGAGAGATGCCGAGCAGGTGATCAAGAGGAAGACTTACGCAGCAGAGTTGGCGGCAGACGAGGCAGACGCAACAGCGGAGCTGACAGCACCGCTGGCCGAGGCAGCAATGCTTGAGGCCTGGCTTGCTGCGCTCTCAGTTAGCGAACCGTAGACAGTGCTGAGACCAGTGGTGGTGGTCGCAACAGAGCCGTCAGAGTTCGTAACAGTGGCAAGAAGGGGAACGGTGGTGACGGCGCTGCGGGCCTCAGAAGCAAGCGAACCTGTAACTGAAGCAACCACAGAGCTGGCACCAGCGGGCAGAGTAGCAAGAGCAGAGCTCAGGATGGGGAGCGCGGCAGGGACGCTGCTAGCGCCAGCGAAACCTGGAGAAACTGTGAGTGAGAGATGGGAGCAGGGTCTGTGGGCGACTTACCCTGGCAGATGCCGGCGGCGTAGCTAACAGCGGCAGCAGACTCTTCGGCACCGCAGGCCTGTTGGGAGCAGTCACGGATACCGTAAGCCCAGTTGGACTTGGTGCAGAAGCAGCCCTGGGTCGTTCTGAGCGCACTGGAACTGGGACTGGGCAATGGTGGCCATGTTGCCAACGCAGAGTTGCTGTTACAATTAGCTTTGGCCAGGGATGGCATTGAGCGCGGTGGAGATCAACGTACAGCGCACTGTCCAAGGTTCTGGGCAGCGGCGGCACCAGCAAAGGCGGCAATGGCAGCGAAGGACTTCATCTTGAGGGTTGGTGGAGAAGGGGTGAAGTGATGTTGACTAGGTGCTGAAAGGATGATGCTAGGTGGCGAGCTGGTCAAGGTTGCTGATGTGCGTGGATGAATGCTGGGTGAGGAGGTTGAGAGGCGGATGGGGGGGTTTATATCTCGCGCGTGCAAACAATCGTAGCCGCAATTACCTGTTTGCTGGGCTGGAGCTGCTCTGGCAATCGCTGGGAGAGGCTGGTAGCTCTCTGCACTAGTGCTGAACGCGGCAGGGGTACCGGATGTGCGACCGGGGTATTCATTGGCCCGGCCAGATGCGCTAGCGATAGCGAGCCGTCACTCCCAGTTCCAAGAAATCGATTATGATGCATGGCCGGAGAGGTGCAGGATGCATCGACAGTCGGGTCGCGCCTGCTTTCGACCACTGTTGGCCTCGCAACGCTGCACCACTCGTACCACTCGTCATCCTGTCCTTCACCCTCGCACAACCGACCTTGGCCGCCTGTGAAACGAAACAGACAACAATTTCTCTTCGCGCTGACATGGCACAACTTTGCCGCGGCAAAAGACGATAAATTAATCAAATCTTGTTTGCTCCCGCAGCCACCAAACAGCGCCTGAGGTTTGAGATGTTCGCATAGTGTAAATGGCGTCCGTGCTCTAGCTGCCCGGAGCCTCGCCCTCTCATCTTGTTCCCAGCCCCTTGCCCTGATTTTCCTAATGTTTGCAAACTTCCCACCCCGCGCGAGCACAGATCGATCTAGTTCCAGATCCATGCTCGCGAAGTGGTTCTGCCTATCAGCCTGCGCCCATGACCATGCTAGACACCCCCAGCACCTCAGCCTCCTGTGGCTGTACTTTACCCAGCCACACAAGAGATACGTGTTTGTGCGTCTCCGTCCAGTCATCTCTATTGGAGATCCCCGTCCGCGCCGCCCTCGCCGTCTTCCTGCTCGGCCAGATGCTTCTCTTCAGCTGAGGTGATGCAATGCGTGTTCGCACCTGCAGACCAGCGGTCAGTCGACAATCGCTCGCCCCGGCGGTGAAAGTATTGAAGAACGTACCTAGCTTATTGATCGTCTCCATCCACTCATCGTACGGGTCTGAATCAAACACAATGCCGCCCTGGCCAATCGTTAGCACCTCGCCAAAAAGCAAGATTTCGCTCTACTTGCCCCTGCTTGGAGGTAAGCGATGCCGTCTTTGAGGAGCATGGTCCGTAGCGCGATGCACGTCTGCACAGATCAGCCTCCTGTAAGGACCAAAACAGCCAAACTCAAACTCACGTCCATGGCGCCTTCAATCTCCTTGTCGCCGTCCACGTTGCCGTAGCCAAAGTAGCCAACAGCACCAGCATACACGCCGCGCTTCTCTCGCTCGAGTTCAGCGATCAATTCCATGGCGCGCACTTTTGGTGCGCCGCTCACAGTCCCTGTCCTACGTTGAGCACCAAACCGGCCGTTGGGGCTTGTGACGTACCTGCAGGGAAAATGGAGCGGAAGGCGTCGAAGCGCGTCTTGCCCGGGCGCAGCACCCCTGACACTTCAGAAACCAAGTGCTGGACATGTGAAAACTGGAAAATCAGCACTAGGCCATCTCCTTCACTGACGCATAACATCCAATGACGGAGAGCGTACCTTTTGCACCACCATGAGCTTGTCGACGCGAGTGGTCAGTGGGTCGCAGATGCGATTGACGTCATTCCGGGCAAGGTCCACCAGCATGACCTAGCTTCATGTAAGCATTCAACGTTGACGTCGCATGGCATACAAAACGCACATGTTCGGCCCGGTCTTTGAGTGAGCTGGACAACTCATCAGCCAGCGCAGCATCCTCCTGTAGCGTCTTGCCGCGCTTGACGGTTCCGGCAATGGGATGCGTTATGATCCTGCCTTGTTCTTCTTTAACCAATAGCTCCGGACTTGCTCCGACAATCTGGAAGTCCTCGCAATCTACGAAAAACAAGTACGGCGACGGATTAACGTTGCGCAGATTTCTGTACACATTAAACGGGTGTAAAGAAGTCGGTCTTGCAAAACGTTGTGACGGCACGGCTTGGATGATGTCGCCTACGTTGATGTGCTCTTTTAGCTTCTTAACGTGGCCTTCGTAACCATCCTGGCCAATGTTGGATTTATACTCGTTGCCAAGCTTAATTGGTCCTTGTTCTGGCATGGGGACATGAGGGTCCCTGAGTATCGCCACATACCGTCTGAGCGTGGTCTTGGCCTGCTCATATGCTTCCTCTAGCTGGTCCATGCTGTCAGGGACCTTGACATATGTTATAATCTTGACGACTTGGGCGAAATGATCCAGTGCAACTAGAGTATCGAAAAGCATGAAGAAGCTCTCCGGTACGCCCAAGACGTCTTTCATGTCATCTCGCCGTGTCTTGGGCTCAAAGTATTTGACACAATCATATCCAACGTAGCCAACTGCACCACCAGTCATTGGAGGCAGCTGTATGGAGGGTATCGTAGCGACTCTGCTCTTCGCGAGCTCCTTCTCGAGGCCTGGTAACGGGTCGGTTTCTTCGCCATGACCGGGCCCAGTCTTGATCACTTTTCGGGGGTCTGCAGAGCCGTAAGCCATGTCTTTACACTCTGAGACGGCCACTGACCTGTGCCGACAAAGCTGTATCTCCCTATCGTCTCTGTGGTCGCGGCGCTCTCAAAGAGGAATCCGAGCTTCGACTTTGACCTGCCCGTATGCGTCAGCACTCTGTCGACTGCCAATCGACATATAGCTGGTAACTGCAGTCTACATCGTAGTATGCAGACATTGCCGCACGTGTCCTTTGTCGACATGGCATGAGTCACGCACTCACTTCGCGGAAACCTTGAGGTAAATGCTCGAAGGCGTCAGGAACTCGGCTGGGATCGAGGAGAATACGGGGACGAGGTTGGGCGGGTTCGGTGACTTGACTGCTGCAGCCAGGACTTCTCGAATTGTGTCCAGCGACGGCTGTACGACCAACTACACACAGGCGCACACGATCAGTTCTTCGCGCATGCAATCGGGACAGAGAGAAGAATGACGCATACCTGGGGAGCCATCTTGCGGAATTGCAGCTTCTGAAGCTGCACTAAGAGTCTGTCCTGTCGTGTGAAGAGAGTGCAATGCGACAGAGTCAATGGTGTGTTCAAAGCGACATTGAACAATATATTGTCAGCCAATCGGTGCTCGAACTGCTCCTTCCGACTTCCTGCGGTGACTTCGAGTCCCATGTGCCCCGCCATGCTCGCCAAGGACCAGACTACCAACCCCCTCCACGCTACTCGGCCTAGTAGCGCCAGAGTGTTCGTGCACGTCACGGACAGCCGACCGACTTTTGCGCCGTCGCAGCCTCACATCTCTCACCACACTCGCCTACGGTGCGCAACACGTATCCTTTCCTTTCGACATTTCTTAGAAGCAGTTTGGGTGTGCACAAAACAGTCTGGACGCAAGAGGAGGATGTGGCAGCAGCGCCAGTACGACAGCGCAATGGGCTCACCGCTACCAATTGCACGACCGTGGACTCCTCCGAGCGACACAGGCGATATGGCCGCCGACTCGAGTCCGCACTCAGACTACTTCTCCGACCCCTTTCGACCACCGTCACACTATTCGTCCCGTGTCGAGAAGCGCTGGCCGTTATCGCCTAGCCGTCCCGGCACGCCTTCGCAGATGAAGCAGCGATGCGACACACCAACAGAGCAGCACGACCAGCGGCGGCCCAAGGCTGTCGGGAGGCTGACTGAGCCTGCGCCATATACGCCAACGAAGAACCTCATATATGGGCATGGACAACAGGACGGCGCTCTGCGATACCCGTACACTCCCGACTCTTCGCGCATGCTCAGGCGCAGCACCGAGATTCCAGCATCGCCCGAAGCATGGGACACGTATTCAGAGCACTCTTCCTCACCCGTGCAGGATGCGCTGTCGTCATGTATCGCGCATTTCGAAAACCTGATCCACTCGCAGCAGCCTGATGAGGACCAGATGGAGTTCATAGTGCGCCAGTTCGAAGCCATGACCTCGTACCTCTCAGCACCAGACGCGCAGTCCCGGCAAACAGACGACCATCTCTTCTCCGAAGACGCACTCACGCCAGGCACTGGACTGGGCATATCAGAGCCGGATGCGCGCAACGCCAAACTCGGCTACATCTCGAACGAGGCGCACGACGCCTATGTCACCCACGTCGGCACCTACATTGCCGGCGTCAAGAAGTACATCGAGGACCTCAAAATGCGCCTCGACGAAGTCAAGACGCTCAACAGCATCCAGCTCGACGTCATCACCGACCTCCGTCGGCAAATGAAGACTGTGCGCCGCGATATGCGAAGTACCCTCGACATGCGCGACGACATCAACATGGTCGAGGAAGAGCTCGAGCGCATCGCGGCAGCCGAGACCCGGCAGCCTGAATTCGGTCTCGACAGCTGGGTCACGCTCGTCGACGAAGACCGCGGAATCCCGCAGTTCGACGGCGCTGACGAGAAGGTTGTCACGGCACCCAAAGCAGACGTCGAGGCTCCGCCCAAGTCCCGCAGACGCGTCATCACCATCGTCCACAAGCCTGAGCGCCGCAGCTTCTGGGCCTCCTTTGGCTCGGCATTGGATTCTTTCGGCGCCCTGATTCACGAGCAGTGATTATTTTCTCGTCCTCCCGATTTTTCCCTTTGAGTACATCGCATTACTGGACCGAGCGTGGGATGGGACATATACGGCCGCGATTCCTGACACGACGAGAAATGATTTGAGATATCATGTTGCATAGCGATGGAGTTTTTTTCTTACTTTTAATTTCGTTTGTTATCACGATACCACGCTGCATGGGATGAGCGCGCTTTGCCGCGGGCGCTGCATCTTCTGATATTGTTGCTTTTCTTTTTTCTTCATGTATATACGAGAGAGGGATGAGCATGAGGGTCGAGGGCCTGGAGTCAATGAAGATATTTTCCACTCGCGATTGTGTTTATTTGGGGGAGGGTTTGTGAACTCGTGAGAGATGAGCTTGGTTTGGTGGAGTGTACGTCGCTTTTCAATCGTGCCTTTGCGTCGTCTGCTACGGCATTGTACCGCTGCGAGGGTAGATATGAAGATGAAAGAGGTCCTCCGACATTCTCACCCATCTCTAATTACCTGTGCAGAACACAGATGATGCTGTATCCCGTGATGGCTAAATAGTTCAAATTCACAGGACCAGGAGACATCCTATGTTCACAGTGAAAGCCGAAGCTTTGGTCTATACAACTGCAACTGCATCTTGCATATTTGGTATCTCAAACTCCCCAACACATACCCGCATCCCTCAATCTACTGCACCGTATCCAAAGTACCCTTCCCCACCGTCGACGGCGCTGCATCCGGCCCCTTCTGCTGCCTCAACTTCTCTTCAAACTTGGCAAACTCCTGGATCGCAATCTCCTCCTCCTGATCCAGCACCTGCTGCACGCCCTTGACCTCCTCAATATAATGCATCAACATGCTCTCAATGCCATTCTTGAGCGTCACAGTGCTACTATCGCACGTCCTACACGCGCCCCTCAACTTCAACAAAACCTGCCCGTCGTTGAACCCGCGGAAATCAATATCGCCGCCGTCCTCCTGGATAGATGGGCGAATGCGCGTCTCCAGCAGTTCTTTGATCATCTGCACAACTTCCGAGTCGTTTTCGTCGTAGGCGAGGGAGTCGACTTCGGAGTTTCCCTGGCCTTGCTCGTTGCCCTTGTCCGCGATGGTGTTGACGAGCGGCTGTCCCGAGGTCATGAATTCGTTGATGATGGCGAAAACTTCGGGCTTGATGTGCGCCCAGGGCGTAGACGTGTCTTTTGTCACGGTGATGTGGTCGAGGCCGAGGAAGACAGAGGTTACGCCGTCGATGTTGAGGAGTTGGGCGGCGAGGGGGGAGGGGTGCGGGGGCGCGAGGGTGGAGCGCGGGTTGAGGTATTCGAGGAAAGGCGAGGATATTGATTCAGGGAGGACGCGTTGGTTGGGGTTGAATTTGAGGGCCTGCGTGTGTTAGAATCATAACTGTGTCTGGCGGGGAGGAGCGCGTACATCGTCGTTTGGCGTGGGCTCTGTTTTGGATTGATCATATTTCGTCGTGTGACGTTCGCGGCTACTGGGCGCGGCATTCTGTGTACGCTGCTGCATCTTTGCACTGTGCTGGAAGGGTGTATCTTTTGATGGGGGATGCTTTCTGGGTGTAAGACATCTTGTGGCAATGTCGTGGTAGTTTTTGCTGCGAACGGGATGGTGCAACTTCTGAAAAGTTTGGCGCATAGCTATCTCGAATGATTCTTGGTTCAAGCCCTATTCGCGTTTGGTGCTTGGTATGTTGTATTGTGTAGTTTTTCAAGTGCAAGACAGCGTGGTTGCAATGGCGAGAGTTGGTAATTGTGATTGAAGTTTCGCAACCTCGGCCTATGACGTCTTTGCATTACTCAGCCACCAGGGTCCAACACAATCACACCTTTACTTACTCTCCTTACAATTGCAAATACATTTCATGTACAATCAAAGGGTGATTTTGAGGCATCGTTAACTCCCAGGATAGATTCCTTGCTTCCGACCACACCATCCGAACGGCCATGCTTGATGCAAATGGGTATATTGCCACAGCTCCGTAGTTCAATCTTCCGGCAGCTTAATTCGGTGGGCATAATTCATATGCGTGTTGCTAAAGCCGGCATATGCTTTCTACTAGAGTTCTGTTATGACTGCAATCTTAAAATCACAAGGCACACCGTGCAGGGCTCATGGCCGTGGTTGCACCTGTCCAGAGAGTACCATAGGTATACATAAAGTTCCACTTAGATTCAAAGCTTCTTCCGGTTGTCTCATTCCTTCTTTCTTTGCCAAAATACATCAGTATCGCCAGTCCGTTCGGCTTGACATTCACTCCACTTTCATGTTCTTTTCAACTGTTAACTTTCCTGTATCGAATGAGCTGATCAAGTCCTCTGTTGGCTGAGAAATTAAATCGGAACTCGAATTCCACTGCTAGGACACTATCTCAAGATTCCCATCAATTAAGGCGTAAATAGAACAATCACGAGCAAGTATTGTGTCTATGTTCCGCGACACCATTATTCTAGTGACTGAAGATCTCATCAAACTCTTCAAGCATGAACTTCATATATATCATTATGGTTACCGCCATGATTCGGTACCAGCGTGGAGTTCGCCACAACTAATTCAATATTCGTCTGCAAACCTGACCACTTAGCAAGAAAGGGTACCAGCTTGATACGGTTGCAGTGGATTAGCGCGGACGACTATGCAAGCCGAGCCCTGCATAGTTGTGCGAACAAAGAAGATCCAGAGAGACACACAATTAATAACATTCAAGTCATCGTCAATTTAGGTGAAGCTACCGAGGCGATACCGCACTGGGTCACATTGAGAGATGCAAAGAAAACACCGGAATTGAGGCATCCAAAATGGTCGCTCACGGAGCGGGTTGATTGCCACATTATCCAACAGCATCTTAATACTCTAGATGTGATTCGATGAACTGAAACCCGGACGAAGCATGATGTGCTCAACATGAAGAGGCAGAACGCAAGTAGATGCTGGAAGATGATGAGGGCTTTACTATTTGAACTGTGAGGGTGTCAAGCGAGGATGCATCAATTACAAACTAAAAGCTCTAATCTCCAGCTTCACAATTCTCCCATGACGACGAGTTGTGGTTACTCGAAAGGAGGATGATATAAGGTGGGGAGCGACGGGATGATGCTAGTTCGGACCCCTGCATGGGATCGCTCCCGAGATCGCTAATCGCCCGATCTCACATTTGCCTCACGACTCCAAACATTAACAGTGACGTAGACGCGAAGCTCAACGCGCTAAGTTCCTGAAAGATGGGTCTGGCAAAGCAATTCTCGAGCCGCAGCCTCCCCAGCCTTCATATTGCAGAAAGACTGGGCGAGAATACTTGACGGTAAACTTTGATGCTCCAATCTTTGTCCAGCGTCAGCCCTCGCATTGCACTTCGCGCACCGTTACGCGCCTCCTCATTCATTCAAACATTATCACTTCCAGTCATGCCACCCAAACGGAAGAGGTCGGCTCTGGCAGCTGCATCTCCAGCAGCGACTGAGAGCGCGACCAGCTCCAAGGTTCCGCACACCGCGGTACCTTTGCCCGCCAATGTTGCAGGCGATGAGCCAAACCCAACGCGTCGCCAGTCGTCCCGTGGGGGCAAAAGTATGATCACGAACCCCAACACAAATCCTGATGTACTTGATGGTGTTTCCGCTTTACGTGCCTCGCCAGATGGACACGAGGAAGGTGCGCCAGAGTCTCATTTGGCTCCCGATATGAGCAACGGCACAGTCAATGGAGCGTTGAAAGATAGTTCCAGGGGCACGAAGCTCGTCAACGTTGGAGGTAGTGAGGTCCCTCCTGCGACTGATGCGCCTACTGGCAAGGGCAAGCAAAAGAAGGCAGCGCCACAAGTCAAGACTGAACCCGAAGAGAGCCATGACGTTGCGAAGATCCCACCCACTAAGAACAACGACACGAATGGTGATCCTGAAGACGTGGACGGGCTGGAGGAGGAAGACGAAGGGGAAGTGAAGGAAGCCCTGTCAAGGCCCCCACCGGTCAATTCCGAATATCTTCCCCTGCCTTGGAAGGGGCGATTGGGATATGTATGTACTTCGCATATTCGCTATATGACACCGACTAATGCATGCATAGGCATGTCTTAACACGTACCTACGGAGCGCAAATCCTCCCGTGTTCAGCTCGAGAACATGCCGCATCGCAAGCATCATTGAACATCGCCACCCCTTGAAAGATCCATCTCAGCCCGAACATGCTACGAAGAACCGCCCAGACAAAGAGCAACCTGCAGATGTCGCTAGGGGCATGCGATATGTTGAAGAAATAGGCCTGGCGAACGCGCGTGATATCGCGAAAATGATACGTTGGAACGACAAATACGGCATTAAGTTCCTGCGTCTCAGCAGCGAAATGTTCCCGTTCGCAAGCCACGAAGAGTATGGCTACAAACTCGAACCGTTCGCGGGCGAGACCCTCCGCGACGTGGGCAAAGTGGTCGCGGAGCTGGGACACAGAGTCACTACTCACCCAGGCCAGTTCACGCAGTTGGGTTCGCCACGTAAGCAGGTCATTGATAATGCTATGCGCGATCTCGCATATCACGATGAGCTGCTGTCACTCCTCAAGCTGCCTGAACAGCAGAACCGAGATGCTGTCATGATACTGCATCTTGGGGGCGCATACGGAGACAAGCCAGCTGCGATTGAGCGTTTCAAAGAAAACTATGCAAAACTGCCACAGAGTGTGAAGAACCGTCTTGTGCTAGAGAACGACGATGTCGTCTGGTCGGTGCATGAGCTTCTGCCCCTGTGTCAGGAGCTGAACATCCCCATGGTGCTTGATTACCACCACCACAACATCATATTCGATGCGACACAGCTTCGAGAGGGCACGAAGGATATCATGGATCTGTATCCCGCGATCCTCGAGACGTGGACTAAGAAGGGCATCACACCTAAGATGCACTACTCTGAATCACGTCCTGAAGCAATTACTCGCACCACGAGGAGAAAGCATTCTCCTCGTGTAATGACGTTTCCACCATGTCCAGATACTATGGACCTGATGATTGAGGCAAAGGACAAGGAGCAAGCAGTTTTTGAGTTGATGCGGACGTTCAAGCTGCCAGGCTTTCACACCTTCAGCGACATCTTGCCTCATCAACGGCAAGACGAAAATAAACCATGGAAGCCCAAGCCCAAGAAGGCAGCCAAAAAGGGCAAGAAGAAGACAGAAGACATTGATGATCTTGACGCAAAGATAGAAGATGCCGAGGAAGATGTCCCTCCACCGATTGTACCTGACGAAGAGTTAGGTATGGGAGGGCCCGAGGGTCGAGTGTACTGGCCTCCTGGAATGGAGGACTGGCTGAGACCCCCAAAACGGATCATCAAGCAGAAGGAGGAGAGTGCCGCTACACCCGCAAAGAAGAAGCGTAAGACTGCCCCATCCGCCGCCGACGAGGGGGCTGCAGTCACGAGTGAGCCAGCTGTTTTGGACAAAGTCAGAACACCAGCCAAGAAGCCAGTGCCTAAGCGGGCAGTCAGCTCAACGAAGAAGAAAACGCCGAAGTCTGTCCCCACGCCGTCGCCTTCGGACGATGAAGAACATCTCAGCTCTCCACCGCTTAGTGATCTAGGCACGGAGGATGAGACTCCAGCGGTGCAGAAGCGAGCTGCACGACCTGCTGCATCACGCAAGAAGTCTGGCAGGGCTGCGACAAGGGCCAAGAACTACAAGGAGGAAGATGCGGACGAGATGAGCTTGTAGGGGTCTGTATCACTATATCGATTAGCATCTAAAGAGAGCAACAAGGTATTGTGTTGGTATATCATTGGGCGTGTGCGCATCGCTCCGAGCCCTGAAGGAGCCCTGAAGATCAATTACCACAGACAATCCTGTTTCACTACCGTTAATAGACAAATGCTCCGCGATACGAGTAATCCTACAGCCTTCCCGCTTCAAGATCTTTCCCGACCATGCCGGCTAGCCAGCCACATTCTCCTCACACCGTTCTGGTCTCCAAACGGCTATCTCCTCTCTTCATGCGAAACTGCCACCGCAATATAGCAGATGTCGAAATGGCCTTTGCACCTTCCGCATTGGGCCTAAAGCTCCGCGATGACTGAACGCCTGTTTGCTATCAGGCATGAACGAAGCTCATGCTCAACAAAAGCCAGCAAACACGGCCAATATCTCGCACAGGCCTGTCGTAAAACATAGCCACAATGGTTGTCAGTTGTCCGAATCGAGCACCCACACCACCTTCACGCTCACATCCCGCCCTTCGAGAACGTTATCGAAGCACGGCCCCTTACATGGCCCGCTGCATCCCTGCGTAACCGAACGTAGCCGAGGCATTCCGCAATCCTTCTGACCACCTTCCAGTGCATATCCCACGTCCATCCAGCTTACTCTGACCTGGCTGGTCCGCTGCCGATCGTCTTCTAACAACCCCGCACACTGCACGCAAGTGAGCTATCGATTAAGCTATTAATGCATCTGCAGGTGTCCTATGCGACTTGTACCGTACCTGCCTGGACATCCATGCGCCGAGTCGTCTAATGAACTGCAGACCCGGTGGCTTCAATCTCCAAAGTTTCCTGCAATGAGTGCAGCGTGGGATGGTCGGCGGCAGATTGCTCCGTCGAATCTGACTTGCTCTAAGCCATGAAACGAAAACGAGAAGGACCTTGTTCTCGTAAATTACAGTGGTCTTCTCGCTACTCTACAGAGTGTATGCCATATCACTCCACCAATTGCAGCGGCACGCGTCAAACAAATCCTCGTTCTTTCGACATTTCTAGACCAAGTGATCCACGGCATCGTCTGGCGCATGGGCTGCTACAGGAAAAGCGCCATCTCCATGCTCCGCTAGCTGCTTCCAGACACCCGAAGCGTGCATCGGACTTGTATCTCAATGTGTATAGGGCTGTGCAGATATGTAGCCGCGGGAAGCGTACAGGGATACATACCACACTAGCAACGAGACCCACAAACTGTCGAGTGATTCGGAGCAGGCAAGAGGATCGTGTTCGGTAAAAGACAAGAGGGAAAGCAAGATGTGGGACGGAACATTTGGCGAGGGTCGAGCGGTGTGGCGTGCTTTGCGAAATCCAGGAAACGATGTCAATGCGTTGATGGTGAAACGGGCGGCTGGAGGCCGCTGGGTGCCTATGTTGAGGACCCATGCGGTCACGATGCTACTTCCCTTCGTGCTGGGTGATTGGTGTCTGCACGTCAAAGTCACGAAACATGCGAGGAATTGGTGATGCACTGTGGATCGTTGGATTCGGGGGAGGGACCGTGACGACGTTGGCTCACGTACATTGTGGGGAGGAGGTCAGTGTGTAAAGATAAGGATACGAAGACTGTGGGATTATGGTTCTTGCGAAGATGCGGGTTCTGTCCGACAGTATGGTTTGTTGAGCGGAGAATCTCTCGATGTGAATGTGTTTGTTGCGACGATGGAGAGATACAGGACTTGGCGGAGGATGCGGACGGGAATCCTTTGCTGATGTCAGAGGCTTGCTGGATGCAAGAGTGAAATGTGCATATGGTTATCGTCTGAATCGTACTGCATTCAAGAATTCGTTTGAGGACACGAGCCTGGTAGTATCTAGGGGAATACCTATTGCAGAAAGTCGATGCAACTTCTGGGCTCGACAAATGTCCCAAGAAATGATTCAAGCGCGTATGATACGTCATGAATGGCAATTTACAACTGTATCTTTCCAGAATAACACATGCTTAAACCGTGGGCGATGCTGCAACGAGAAGCCATTAAACGCAGTTTTGTCTATTTGCAGCATTTGTGATCGATACATGCCACTCCATATCTCGTATTACCTTTTCCTGTGAGTAGAACAACTGGTATCATGAATCGACCAATGCAAATCGCTATACCAGAAGCCTTCCCTTCGTCTGGACAGCAGATGCTGCCCCAATCGAAGCTCCAGGCAATCTCGTGCGACAATTCGCCCGAAGTCAGTGTCTCCTGATACTTCTCGCGACAACTACAGTAGGATGGCGACTCTTCGTCCCGGTGGTAGAATACTGCTGGCTGTTATCCAGCATGACCTGACGTCCAAACTATCACCGTGATAGTGCCGACCGACCGCAACGGCACTGCCCACAAGTCAAGGGCAGCCTCCCGCTTTACAGGCACACCATTCAACGACTTTCTGAGGACATGATTCAAGTAGCAAAACTTTGAATGACCGCCAGTATGGCCGGAGAATTTAATCTGGACGTCGCTCGTATCTTTGAGAAGGGACCCGCGTTCGGCTGTATTATGGGTGTTGGTCGGTTAGTTCGGCAGAGTGGATGGCAAGAGATTCGGTAGCGGTGAGTGGGACGTTTAAGTCAGGTCATGCCTGACAGATTGTCATGCTCACAATAAGGCCGTTAGTCGAGGCGGCAGTCCGTAGAGATAGAACGTCTACTGTGATACATGGATGGTGAAGAAGCGCAATGTGAGGCTAACAAGAGACATGGTAGGTGTAGCGCAAGAAAGCCCACCAATCAAAACCACAGCCAAGAATACGAGCTGATTGATGGAATCGTCTTCGTTTTTGATGCCTCAGGCACAAAAGACTAGTGTTACACAAATTTGTGTTTCGGATGGATAATTCCCAAACAAAGTTTGTGTTCATTTTCGCCATATCTCGCTTCGCTGCCGTCAGTCTCTCATACGTCACGATTCTGTCGTGTGTGCGCCAATCACATGTCTGCGGCGCCTCAGCCATCGCACCATGCCTGAACCAGCATTCTGAGCCGGCACCACTACCACGAAGAGCCTCTTCGCTTTCCACTTTGCCTCCACCGCTTGCGGCGAGGTGACACTTTTGCAAGCCACAGCGGAGACACATCTAGCGGCCGTGCGCTGTGCTCCGCAGATGCGTTCGTGAAAGAGTCGTGTGTGCGGAACCTGATTCCCCAGACTTTCACATGTAGATGCTCAACCATCTCGTTTGTACCCACTGGTCTGCCGCAGTCTTGGTCCAAACTTTACGAGCGCGAAGGGTATCGCAGCGCCCAAGATGCTTAGGCAGCCGAGTAGTGTACATGCCCATTGTGGACCCATACCGCGGAACATTTGGACTGCGAAGAGGGGGAACGTGCCTCCGAGGATGTATCGCAAAATGGCATTTGAGGCCATGGCGCTGGCGCTGTAAAGAGGACCATATGTATCCGTGATGTACATCATGCAGGACATGAAGATGAGCATGTTGCCGATGCCAAAGAAGGCTTCGGCAATGGTGGGGACAATCCAGTGGACCTGATATGCAGCCGGCCAGCCGAAGAGGAAGAGCCCGATTGTGATGCAAGGACCTCCGACCATGGCCAGGGGAAGACGCTTCTCGGGTGCGATTCGAGAGGTTGCGAATGATGGCTTAGGTTCTTCATGTACAACTGCCTCATGGACGCGAGGTTTGTAGTATCCCTTGCTAAAAGTAAGGATCGCAATTGCAGCGATGATGACACCGGCGCCGAGTCCGAGGAACGTAAGGCCAGTGGATAGGCTGTTAAAGCCATATTGCGTCTTGAAGACATATGGAAACGCGGCAAAAAAGGCATACAGAAGCCCAAAGTTGAAAGCGCTGTACGCATTGAATGCAGCGATGATAGGCTCGGTGAGCAGCATGTGCATCGGCCGTGTGAGTGTCTTGGATACATAAGTGCTGAGGACCTTATGCCATGACATGCCTTCCGTTGGCGACCGCGGTACAGGACGGCCACGCTTCTTCGCGCGTTTGCGAAGCAAGACCGGCTTGTATGATTCCCAGTAGAATGGGGCGGGAGCGATGACCAGAACGATGGTGAAGAAGAGAATGAGCCATGATGTCCAGCGCCAGCCGAGACTCCGAGATACAGCTGCACCAAGCAAAGGTCCCAGTGCTGGTCCAAAAAACGGCGTCGATACGTATAGCGATATTGGACCGGAGCGTTTCTCTGGCGGCCATATATCGCTGAGCGTGCCGGAGCCCATGCTCAGGCTGGGAGCGGCGAAGAAGCCTGCAAAGAACCTCAACACAACCAATGTAGCCATGTTGTGTGCGAATCCGGTTCCGAGAATGAATAGCGCAAAGATCGGCAGACTGATGAAGATGACTGGCCGTCTCCCAAACGTCTCGCTCAACGGTGCTGCAAAGGGCCCGCCAAATGCAAGACCAAGCTGGTATATGGAGAATGCCAACGTTGCAATTTCTCTTGTCGAGTTGAGCTCGGAAGCCGCGAGCTCAATGCCCGGTGTGAATACAGATGAGGCAAAGGTTCCTACGAAAGCGACGCCCGAGATCGTGTATGTTTGGAACCATTTTCGCGCAGTGGACCAGTTGTGTGGGTTCAAGGGGTCGCCAGCACCGTCCCAGTCGAGCGATGTAGGACGTTCCTGCGATGATGCATCTGGTGCCGAATCGGATTGGGCACCTTGCTCTGGGTCTATCGTTGCGTTTTGTTCTGCGATTGTCTGTTTTTGGGGTGCACTTGTAGGCGTAGACGAGTCCTTCTCAGAGTCCACAAAACTCGCCGGTCGTGTACCAGCTGCAGTCGTTGCCGACCAGCGATTCGTTCGTGGTGCACTTTGCTCAGCCATATTGCGGTCCTGAAAGATAGAAAATGACTGTCTGCTGCAAGCAGAGCAGCATGCCACCTGTACCATACGTCAGGTACTGACTTCGCGCCATACTTTTCGTTGAATGCACTGCTGCAACAATTTTAACTTCGCGACGTCATTCAGCGATGGTCAAAGTTACAACCCACCACACGTAGCACATGGATTCGCACGCGATAATGCATTTATTTTATAGATTGGCGATCATGATGCGGCTCTTAACGCAACCTGGGTCCGATCATTCAAATAAAGATTGGCGAGCTCGATTCAACCCAAGATTTGGGCGACGCTGTCCAGATTGGGTGACGTGGTGTGGGCTCTCTGAGGCAGATCAGCCCCATTGGACAAGCGACCGTCGATTTGGTAGCGCCTGTCATGACAAACGACAACCACGACTTCACTTCGAAACATCGTAAGGTATCTGCTCGACCAGATCTACGATTATAGAAAGAGGCTGCAATGCATAAAGAGGCAATGCGCACCGTGGGCTGCCGAGGTCCTGTTGAAGGCCCAAAAATAGTGAAGGACCGACATAGACACCGCACGTCCTTCTTTCGTTATCTTGAGCGAAAAAAAGTAAGGAAAGGAAAAGTGGGAATTCGGATCGAATCGAATCGCGGAGCCGAACAGCGCAGAACGCGCGAGTCAGTTCACGCATGACCAGTGCTTCTACAACACACCGCGAGAAGAGGAGAAGCACGTCGCTGCGAGTATGAAACTAGAAGAGGTGAGGCGTTCGATCGACAACTCCTTGGATGCCCTCCCCGGACTGTCACATGTCCCAGGTCATCCGAAACGTTCACTCGCCGCGGCACTTGTGTAACGGCGGCCAAATTTGGAGGCCCCCAGCAATTCAATGTCCGTTCCCACATCCAAGGAACAGCAGCTCACCAAACAAGCAGCATGTAAGACAAACGACGCCAGATCAACAGGGTCATGCTCCGAAGATGCGTGTAACCCCAGATGTATAATCAGCTCGGACTAATGCCCTAGTTGGAGCTCACGTTGCCGTCGTCGATTGGTTGCGTACTCGTCGACGCCAATCCCGCCTTGTCCGTAGCGGGCGCTTGGGATGAAACTCGCCATCCAACGACCAAGTTCCGAGGACGACGCACGCACGGAGATTGGCTGAGTAGTGTAAACAATGCGCTGAGTGAAGCAGCTGGAGACGAACGGAACAGGTACGGCGGACGAGTATGGCTTTACTCCTGGCCATCTCGCTAGTCGAGCAGGCATCGGGACGTGGGGTAAACGGCCAAAGTTAGAGTTTCGGACACTTCCCGTTTGCTTTCCCCTCTCTTGTCACCATGTCTGGCGGCAGGATGCATTTTCGTGCGCTCCTGCAATTCCCGTCAGGATGTGGAACATGTAGAGCGGCATACAGTGTATGTTTATCAATTGCCGAACGGGAATCAGACGATGCGGCAGGTTACGCTCGGGGTAGACCTTGCTATTCTAGGCCCCGTGGAAGCAGCAACTCTACACGATCCACACGTGCGACCATTGGGCTACCTGGCAGCATGTCACCGCACCAAACCTTCCGCAGTCCCTGATCAACCGTACCTGGCATTGATCACCTGCGATTGCACGCCAGGGAATGTGGTGGGCGCCGACGTGATGCCGTGAGATTTCGCCGTTGCTGTGTACAGTACCCGCAGTTGTACGGGGCGAGTGAGACATTGTGGCCATGAGGTCGTCGCCTTTGTCCGGGGATCTTCAGCCAAGAATATAGGAAGTGGAACAGCGGTGTTGGAGGCGAAAGCGAAAGTTTGGCAAAGCAAGTCTACACGGCGTCGCCGAAAGGGGAACCGCGGCGTCAGCACCTTATTTCCGCGGCGCCAACCACAGCCACAGACGTGCGCTGCAGCGTTGGTGGTGCGCCTTGTTCTGCTCGATACCTGGTGGGCTTTGCGATCAGCACGAGTGAAGGTCAGCTGGATGGAGCATGTCAACAGGACGCTGACGGACTGTCCGAATGATGAGCCAACGCTGGGCGTGGCTGCAGATGCGGTTGTCTTTGCTGTGCGATAGCATGTGAGCCCGGGCGTGTTTCTTCAATCTGCGCAGGGCGAAGGTTGAGCTGCGACAAGAGTGTACACGGACAAGGCGCACAGGCAAAGCTGACCCTTCTACCGGTGAGCTGGCAAACGTCTCCGTGACGCTTTTGTGCGACCACACCATATTGCCGGTAAGAAGCTTATGCCGTGCCTCGTGTATGCATGTGCTCCAAACGTCGTATTGAATGATGATGTCGTCTTCAGCATGTATGATGTCGTGAACAGGTACGCTCGATCAGGCTGTCAGCTTCACGCGATGATCATGCAGAAGAGGGGTCTCGTGGATGAAGCTGAAATGAACATATTGCAGGGCTGCCTGCGTTTCATTTGTGGAACCAGTATATGTGCTTGTTCTTTTGTTGAAGTTCGACCGAGTTTCCCATATCTTATCAGAGCGTATATTACATTACCCACCCAAAGGTTCCGGTATTCTCCCAACCCATGTAGACCCGACCTGCAACCTGCAGTAATTGCACCAGACCGTCCAATCGTAAGAAATCGTTAAACCATGACCACTGCTCCCTTACATGCTAGATCCCGGAAAATGTATATGCACAGTCTCGCTTTCAGATCACAATGTACTCTCCATCGATACGATTCATTGCTTTTCTCCACCTGAACGCCTGTTGTAGAGTGCCGAATGGCCCGGGCCTTTGAGGTGGATGCATAGGCACGTCACCGTCGCCTTCGTTGGCGACCCAGTCGTCATCGTCGCGCCACACGCGTTCAAGGACTTCCAGGCCGCTGAGATTGTTGAAGAAACCACTCTCACGCTGGATCTCCACGCATCGCTGTCGTACAACAGCGCGGTGCTCGTGGTCCACGCACTCTGTGCCTACGATGAAGAGTGGCCAGAGAAGAAACTTGTTCACGCAGCTTGTGATGCCAATCTGCGAGATGTGGTACAGGCCTTGCGCAACAAGGTTTTGGAAGTTGTGTGCTCCGGCCGGCAATGTTGGGTGTGCTAGGCGCTCAATGTAGAGGAGTGCAGCATAGCGGAAGCTCTCACTGATGTGGAACAAGGCCGCCTGCGCAGGTGACATGAGAAGCATGGAGGATGTTGCATCACACGAGTCTGCAGGGACCTCCCCAGCATCGCCAAACTCCCACTCCTGTAGTCGGATTCGGAGGTCATTCCATTCCGTCCAGAAAGCAGAACGGGGATCCTCGCGCGCAGACGGGGACATGGAGTTTGGCTGCTCGGAAATTGGCGTACCCCAGCCGTTGCCGTCAACGTTGTCAAAATTGAAGGAGTAAAAGTCGTTGAGCTTTTTGGGCCGGGGTGATGAGGTCGGCGTATCATCATTGTCGCGGACGGGTCGGTTCTGGCTCAGAAGATTGAGTCTTCCGAGTCGTGCGATGAGCTTGAATAATCGACCCTCGCAGCCCGAATGGTGCTCCATCTGACCCAAATTGGAGCCCAAATTCATCATGTCGAGGGAGTGCCCTCGCACCTCGATCTCGCGATCGTTGACAGCAGCTGTCATTACATCAAACCACGTAAAAAACGTTTCAATCCATCCAACAAAGTCCGATTGTACACTCCTGTCCCGTAAGCTCAAAAGCTTCTGAACGCCCGCTAATTGTGTCTTGAACTTTGTAAATCCCGAATCGCAGACGTGAAAAAGACATAGTATGAGAAGTGTGGCAAGTACAGAGTCGTCTTGCGAGCCGCTGTAGTCGACCAGTTTCTTGTTGAGGAGTGCGATGGAGTTTGTCTTGTAGTGCTTCTCTTCGGCGGTAGCTTGACCGTGCATCTCACGAAGCTCGCGAGCGGTCATTTGAGAGTAAGCATGATCTGGGATCAGCCGATAGTCCTGTGGCAGACTCAATCGTCGTCCCTCAATGCCACCTCGCATGCGCATGTTGTTTGTCGCCAGAGCCGCAATGGCGTTCTGGAGCTCCTCGTGTTGCATTGCTAGACGTATGATGTGCATGCGATATGGGTTGGTTGGAGTGTCAAAAGCCACCAGTACCGGGCATATAAATTTGTCGTAGTAGTCCAGAAGGTATGACATCCGCGGGGAAAGGGGCGTAACGGTTGCAAGACTCTGAGGAATAGAAGTGGTGAGCGCGAGAACGTCTAGAGACAGGGGGCCAGAGCCATAGGAAAACGTACCCTCCGAGGGGAGAAAGGAGAAACCTGGTTGGAATCCAGTAAAACTCGAACTCATCTCTCCTTCACTGAAAATATCTGGGTATGCTGGTGGGCCCATGTTTTGCTGAGCAGAATTGACTTCAACGTAGTCATGGATGCTCTGATCTGAGCTTACACTCGAACTCATGTCGTCAGCCATGGGGAGCGAGCGAGCAGCTTCGTTGAGGAAGAAACTATCCAGTGAGCCGAACGGCCCTTGGTCGTGGGAACTGACGGAAGAGTAACGAGGTATGGAAGGGTCCGCAAATGGGAACTCGTCGACTGGAGTCTGTGGGTAGTCACTGGGAGAAGGAAAGTCACTATCGCTATAGGTGCCGAGCGAGGCTGACGAGGCTGACATCCCGTTCTCTTCGTATGGCGTGTGAAGCGTTGTCTGCAATCTCTGCAGAGGACCGCGGCGGGCTTGAGGTCGGTTCATCTTGGACTGTGGACGTAGGAACTCAAAATGATCTCCATGATGTTGCATGGGGAAGCCCATAGGTGTGGAAGGCGATGGGATTGCTATCGGGCTTGTAGCACTGAAGTATTGGTATTCTTGTGGGGCGGAGTACATAGGCGTGGTCGGGCTGGTGGGTGAGTGGATCCCGAAGTCCATGCTTCCTCGAGTGCTGAAGTTGCCTGCATGTTGTTGTGTGGTTCCTGTTGAGGTGGTGCTTGCCGATGCCGTTGAATTTTTGCGAGTTTGGTTTTTTGGTTCTTGTGAACCAACCGCGGGTGGTGACTTTGCAATTGGCAAAGACATGCCTCGAAGCTTGCCACGACTTGCCACGCCAACACCCCAGGTCAGAGTCGTGCGGTAGCCAGAGCATTCTTTGCCAATCTCGACACATTGGCCACAGTAGGGGCGTCGACGATCACACTTGAGTTGTCGTTTCTTGCAGGAAAAGCAATCCTCGGTGGCTCCGGTGGCAGGCGCCCTTCTTCTCCTTTTCCTGGGTGCAGCAGCGGCATTGTTGGTGGTTGCCTCGACTACTTTCTGGGGCTCTGCAACCTGGGTGGTAGTTGGGGAGACAGCCATGGTTGTTGGATAAAAGATGGAAGTTATTGCAGACGGTTACGAGGTAACATATGCAGGATGTGGATCGTGTATAGTATGTGTATAAACAGATAGATGGAACGGCGAGGGGCAATACTCAATGGAGCATAGAGGGCGCGTCACGGTGGGTAAGTATTATTTTGTCGACGGGTAAGGGTAGGGAGCTTGGTCCTGGTTAGATAAGGGCAGGACCCTAGCAGACAGGGTTTAAGGGAGCCAAGAATTAGGATGCTAAATACCGCGGCATTTTGGACGCTAGCATGTTCAGAGCGGAGGAGGTCATTCTTGAGATGTGCATGAAGGATGTGGCCTGCAGCGAGTAGGCCCTGTGCCCGCATGTTCAAGCAGCCGCTACGAGGCTATGTTCTGTGGCAACCCCTGCCAGCACCCCACACACGGACGGCGTATTGCACGTCCGAGAGGGTCATGGTCGGGTTACATCGCGGACAGGTGTCGCACCCCTGCAGAACCTTGGACGGCGGATGGCGACAGTGGTTGTCTGCAGGACGGAGAGGGCTGGACGCCACGGTGCATCCACCAATCAATACTCGTACAGGGCCCGATCTGCTACCGGCCACTAGTCTCGGAGGTGCTAACGTCTCCAGCCACTGAGAGAGCTTGTCTCGAGCCTTCTGGGGTGGTAGCGTTCGAAGGCTTGCTCGGCTGGCAGCCTACTGCTGCCATCGCTGATAGCGTCAGGTCCGGTACAGACAGGCTGCGCAAGCCGACGAATGACCGGCGCGCAGAACAGGCGACGGAGCCGACCGAGCAGATCAGTGTCCCGTTGCGAAGCTGCATCGAAGCTGTGTGGAAGATGGCAGGCGCTTGCTGCCCACCATTTGGAGCACACAGCGAAAGCCGCCCGCCGTGAAGCATCCGCCAAGACGAGGCCCCCGTACGCAAGGTGAAAGAGACGGCTTCGCAGTCGCAGAGGCAAAGGGCAGCACCCCGCAAACAACCGTCGTCGCGTAGCTTGCATCTGCCGCGTTGCGCATGGCATGAAGATGGTAGTCGTGATGCAATCTCCGTTGGGACGCACGCGACTGCCGCACACTTTGGACGAGTGTTTGACGGGGGCCCAGATGAGGATATTGCGATGACATCGAGGACCGCACGGGAAGAGGCGTGAATGATGCAAAGCATGCAAGCAGGGCCTGGGGTGTTTGTCAGTGCTGCTGGCAGCGCGCGGTCTTTTGCCCGGTCCTGCGAGTGTGCTCGTCGCCTGCTCCGCAGCGTCTTGGCGAACCCGTTCCCCTGGGACACTGACTTGATAACAGCCTGCGGGTCTGATGAGAAGGAGATATGACCACCGCTGTTCACCGTGCCCCCACGTCCCGACGATTCGCGAGCAGAAGAGCAGCGGCGAACACAACACCACCACCACCATCACCACGCGCACATGGCCGTGTCTCGCGGTCGCCGTCTTCGTTCACTCTGCCATGCCCAAGGTCCCTCGAGAACGGTTTGCGCCCCCGCTCGTGCAAGCTGGACGATCTTTCGCTGGGTAGCCAATGAAGAGCGCCACTACGCCCTGGCTATTTTGTACTTGCATGCAAGTTGCGACTAAGAACTTGCCCACGACACCTCCTCGTTGGGCAGAGCCAGGTGACCAAAACACGGCCGGCGCTTTGCTCTTGCAAGCTCTTGCAAACCACACTATGCAGTCCGTAGCACTTCGTGAACATTCTGATCATGAATCGCGCCAACTCGTGCTTCACCGTTCGCTGTTGCGCTACTCTGCTTGCAGCAATGCGCACGTGAGTGCCAAGACAGACACGCATCGGCGAACAGGCACCTTCGGCACCCTGCGCACACTCCACCATTCAGCAGTTTGTCTCAAGTAACAAGCACCACAACTCCCGTCAGCAGGTGCACCGTGTCCAAATGACCAGGGTGCATTTCCGCATGCTAGCTTCCTGTTCCTGGAGAACGGGCTCCTCTGGAGATGCGACGGCGCCCTCTTGCACGCGGGGTAACAGTGCTGTAGTCTGGGGATACGAGGGCATCCACCAGGCCCCGCTGGTGTTGCAACGAGAGCGACTGCAAACCTCTCTGGTGCGTGCTAGGTGAACTTGCCGCGAAAGACCCGTTGACAATGGCTTCGCCAGCCTAGACCGTTTTGCACATCAGTGAGCTTGACTCGGACAGAGCCTCAGGCGGATGTCGGCAAGCTGCCTAGATCTGATGTCGGGATTGATAGGGAGCTGTCGGTAAGTTAAGCAACGTCGCTGTCAGCCCGAGAGACTCCACCAGCGGCAATGGCTCCAAGTGCAAGCATAAACCATGAAGATCGATGTCGCAATTCTAGACAAACAAAGATCATATGCCGGAGCTTAGCGCTAGGAACAAATAGATCTCGTAGCGAGCGGCCTAGGAAAGTCCGTACGCGATATATTTCGCCGAAGCATTCTCCCGGGCCGCGATAGTATTGAAACACTTTTGATCTCGCTTCACGGACACTCTTCTGTATCCCAGGAAACTGTTGCGGCGACTGTCGAAAGTCGTCCGGACAGCTACCGAGGCACTGCGTATGGTTGCTGGCCCCGCGGAAGCATGTGGGAATGGCATAGTCGACTGGCTGTGCAAGCCGCAGCGGTAAAACTCACGCAAGCCGGCGGCTACAAGGGATATTGGTCGTCGGAGGCCTCTTTTGCGCGTCCCACATTCGATTTGCAAGCTCCAGACCGATCTCTAGAGCATGACTCTTTAGCGCATCATGTCTACCATAGGCAGAATGTTTCCGATTGTTGACCACGCGAGCTATCGCAACGATTGTTGGAAAGCGGCCAGCGGTCGAGTTTGGGGGCATCCGGGGTACTGGAAACTTTCCAACTGCTCGACACGTGAGGGATCGATTGGGCATGAATCACAACGCCTGTGCTCATTTCGGGCTTCTAACCATTTGTGATCTAGGCGCGCACACTGAAAATCAACCTCACTCCGCTGCATGAAGCTCATGGTAGTGGTATATCCTGCTGCATGTTGTTGTAGATTATACATTGATGTGATCAGCCGTGGAGTAACTCTTTAGGTGTGTAGACGGCCTGTATATGCTATTCTGGCATACTCAGGAAATGAGCTCCTGCGTCGGCCAATCTTCATCGTAAAGCCATCGTGCGAGATGTAGCTGCTATCATTGTGCATGAACCGCTCACATGAGCTAGTGATTGAGAATTCGATCCAGATGTTTACTGACGATCGGCTTACCCATGAGTATACGTGGCTCTTGGTAATTTTGCGACCAGAGTTCTGCGGTGATTGTATGCATCAAAGCACGTTTGACACGGCTGTGGCTGAGAAAAGCATGAGGCTGAGGCGTAGTGGTCCGAGCGCAAGCTGCCTCGCTGAAGCGTCATCCCCGCAAGCTTCCCCACACGCATCAGCTCTCCAGTGCAACTCCGCGTATAACTCCACTCTTAGAGAATTTGGTAGCCTGCAAAGCCCACAGCTGTCTGTCGATGTCTTCAAAATTCATCTGCCTCCGAGCAGCTCGTCTCGCTGCCCGGCACCCGTGCCATCGAAGGACTTTTGCTGCCGCCGCATCTAGCCGCGCAGACCACGTTCGCATTGTAGAAGTCGGCCCAAGAGACGGTTTGCAAAATGAGAAGCAGTCGATTCCAGTGGCGACCAAGATAGAACTGGTTGAGAGATTGGCACAATCCGGGCTCGAGTATATTGAGGCGGGATCGTTCGTGTCGCCAAAATGGGTGCCCCAGGTAAGAAATGTAAGCCGCAGTAGTTTTATGCCACTGACACGATCCGCAGATGGCAAACTCTTCCGAGATACTAGAGCACGTTCTGAAAAACAAATCGAAGCTGCCACAGAATGTCGTATACCAATGGCTCTTGCCGAACGTCAGAGGCCTGGACAACTTTCTTGCTGTCATGAAAGCAGAAGGAGAAGGACAAGACGCGTACCCTACGCCTCCTCCGTCACCGGGAGTAGAGGACAGTCCGGCACTCAACACCTCGTCCCAAGACCCGAACGCGATGGGCAGCACTTTATCTTCGTCCGGTACCCGTCATGAGGTCTCGATCTTCACAGCCGCAACCGAGTCCTTCACACGAAAGAACACAAATTGCTCGATAGCAGAGTCGCTAGAAAGATTCAAGCCGATAATGAACCGAGGGATGGAAATGGGCTTCAATGTACGGGCGTACATCTCAGTTGCGCTTGGATGTCCTTACGAAGGCCCGAACGTCGACCCACATAGAGTAGCGGAGCTTGCTGTGAGCTTGCTAGAGATGGGTGCCAGCGAAATCTCGGTCGCGGATACCACGGGTATGGGCACCGCAATAAAGACGGCGGAACTTCTGAAGGCCTTGGATGCTGCCGGCATTGATAAGACGGATCTGGCACTCCACTTCCACGATACGTACGGCCAGGCTTTGGTGAACTCGATGGTTGCGCTGGAGCATGGCATTCGCACCTTTGACTCTGCAGTGGGAGGTCTTGGTGGATGTCCCTATAGCCCAGGCGCAACTGGCAATGTCGCGACGGAGGATCTGGTGCATTGCTTCCATAGCCTGGGGTTGAAGACTGGTGTAGACATGGAGAAGCTGTCGGAAACGGGAGAGTGGATCTCACAGCAGCTTGGAAAGTCGAATGAGAGCAGAGCTGGGAAGGCCACGATGGCACAAATGCGGAAAGAGAAGCAGTAAAAAGTAGCATTCGAAGCATATCAAGGATGATTACCTTCCCCCAGAGAGTGTGTGAGGTACGATCAAGTGTCGAGGAGATGTCACGCGCGATCAATAGCAATGGACGTCATGGCTCCTGCTGCTCTTTCCTCTCACCTACCCACTAGCGCGCTTTCTGGCCCAACATTCGCTCACCTCATCTATTGCGCGACACGTCCAGCTTCCATGCAACATTGCGCTCCTCTGCGTTTCACTAACTTTGCGAGTAAGGCCTCCGGTAAGTACGATAAAAGCGGCTGTCTGCGCGTCCTAATCACATTGCAGGCTCACCGAAGCACAAGTCATGGCGGCGTCACTGCCTAGCTTGCCTGCCGAACTACTCCTCTACATAATCGAATGCGGTCCGGATCCAAGACTTCTGAAGGGCGGGTATAGAGGATTGCCCTTCCACATCTCCGGGATCATGCCAGATAATCAGAGGTCCATGCTCATCGCACTCCGGACTACATGCGTCGAGCTCAATGCGAAACTTGCGTACTTCTTCGGTTCCAAATACCTCAAGGATATTATTGGAAGCCTCTGAGAACCAGGACTTCTACGACTCCAAGAAATTTCGAAGGGGCCTCTTCGCGTCCATGTTCAACGCGTCACTATTGCAGTTTCTACACTCTTTCAGCAACATTTCTATGAAACTGATTCAGACAGTACTGATGCCACCCAATGCTCCTGGTACTCAAAATCCGCACTTGAGGAAATGGACGTTCAGTATTGTGAATGCAACTTTGTCGAGAGTGTCGCACAATTTGTCGCAGATGGATCCTGTAGCCGTCTACTTCGTCCAGTATTTTCTGGACTAGTTAATCTAAAAGCTTTTACTATCGAACCGCCTTGAATAGATGTCAACTTGATCAAAAAGAAGTCTGCAGAGATTGAACGCCGTTGGTTCATGTCGTGCAAGACGCTGCTTGCTGCCGCGCTCGCTGGAGCTATCGCGTTAGAAGAACTCTCCATCGAGTGTATCCCAGGAAATTCACGGATGCCACTCTCTGCACTTGAAGTGATCGCTTCAAACTGGCCTCAATGGGCCACTTCTCTAGTGAAGCTGCGACTCAATCTAGTCAATGACCTTCAAGAAGGTATGCTTAGACACACCAAGACCGATCAAAGCTAACTCTGTCTAACTATCAAGATTCCTTTCCCATGAGCGTTCGAATGATGACTGCGCACCTTGTCAACTTTACTGCCTTGGTCCGTCTTCAGCTTTCACTTCTGAACATACCTGCGCTCTACTTCAAACAACTGGCCAAAGCACTACCGATAATGGGATTACAGACTCTGGACCTGCAGAACATCTCCTCTCGCTACAGGTACATTGCGAAATTCCTGAAATCATGCAAGGACACTCTGCGCTCCTTCAGCCTGTCGCAAAGTACCTTCGTTGAGCTCAAAAACTTCTACCAATTGATACGCCAATGCACATATAGGCTAGAGCTACGCAAGTGCAACTTCCGAGGCTCGAATGCTGGTGACAAAGGCCTACATTTCGGGGATTTCAACGAATTACGCCCGCAAACGGTGGAAGGTCTGTCTCATTCACCTTTCCACCTCGTATACAATTTACCTCTCGAGTCCGAAGATCATCAGTGGGTGTCGGTCTACACGACTAAACAGGATGCTTACGCAATCGAGCTCGACTCTGATAAAGGCGATGACGTGAAATACTGGTTGGACCAGGTGCACGATTGTGTGGAGCTCAAGTGGATCTGGTCCCAGGAACGCTTTATTTGATCAAGGGTGAGGCAATCGTGAAGCCTAAAAAGGCTGAGGATATATCATAGTCACATGTACTTCACAACGAGAATCGTCTATACGACGTCTTTCGACCTTCGCTAGTCCCGATACATTAAATTAAGCCGAAGCCATCCTGCTTTCGAATGGCAGAGCTTCCAGTGTTTACATTCTGTGCTATGAATACGTCGCGGAGCTAGCCGTCAGACAAAGGTTCGACCAATTGATCCATGGAATCGGACTAGCTGCAAATCCGTAATCTCTCAACCCCCCTCTCGCTCGGACCGAACCTGCCCCATAATCCGTGGACTTTGATCCTACATTTGCCTGTGCTAGCCCAATACTGCTTCTTGGGTTTCATAGAGCCCGCTTATTAGCTTTACAACAACATACATTGCTTCAGTCAGCGCAAAGTACCACCAAATTCATGCGACAAGATCGGCATCAGACGCTGTGATCGATCAGTCTACTACCAGTGACTCCGCGACCAGTTTCTCCCCAAGTAAATTCTCCCTGGATCCGCTCAAGCCGGTAGCCCACATCGTCCCCATCATCCCGCTTCAAATTAACCCTGACCTTGCATCAAAACGCTCGACAAATGCTCACTCTCTATCTTCTTCAGCAGGTATCCGCCATTCAATATCTGTAAATATTGGGCTGTCTAAAGTCATCTTTCCAAAGCACGCTTCTCATCCGCTAACGTTGAGATTGTCAACTTGGACTTTATTTGAGCAAGAGTCTGCGCAAGAATGGTATCATCGACTAGCCAGCGTCGAGAGATATCAATGTGAGCCCTGGGACTTCGAGCGTGAATTGAATTAGGCGCATAAACTAGCGGAGATCTCTCCCCGCGTAGTGAGATCGAAAAGATGGAGATGCCGAAGCTACAAAGGGCGCAGGAGCCTGGTAAGCTGTAGACTTGTATCGGCAAAGCCTAATCCAATGCTTAGATCGTCTGACTTAGTTGCGTGATACAATGCTGCTGCCACGATGCGAGCATGGTGAGTACTTGTGAGTACGCGTCTAGGTATGATATCAACACATCGATGTAGTTCGTGATGTACCTTGTTCATCGCTGCCGCGAATAACCACACGTGGCCGATGATCCTGGTGTGAAGAATTAGGCTGCTCGAAAAACTGATCATAATGCATAGTGAGTTCCTCAGCGCTAAGTGGGTTTACCAATAAGAGGAAGTGTTGGCACAACTGATTAATGGTATAGCCGTTAGGATCGGTACATATGCACGTTGTAATAGTGCAAAATTTGGAGTGAAATGATCCCAGTCTTGATATGCTAGCGCATGGCTACGATCAATTTGCTCTCTATAGTCCCAGGTATTGCAAGCCTTGAGCAATGTTTACTGTCTTTATGAGTGGACTGGCATGAGCTCACATCTTACCGAAATCGCCCCAAACACATATTCTCTTGTCCTGAGCGGCACCAGTTCGATGGCGCTTAAGCACTAGTTGACTCTGTCCCGCGCATCCCAAGTCCAAACCGCGCCCCAATTGACATCGAAGGCGAGCCGTCCAAGCCAAAAGTCGAGATCGTCTCCATCTTCATACTTTAATTCTACTTCATGCCGCTTCGTGTCGTGCTCAATGATGACCCAGTCGCTATCCTCAGAACACTGCGATAGCGTTCGTCTGTACGATGCGATTGGTCGTTCCCGAGAGATGAGATTGAACAACACACCAAAGCCCCCAACGTTGAGACATCGAAATTTGATTTCCTTAATAGTATGTAGAAAGTTGTGGCGTAAAAAGTTGGGTACGGTCCATTCGTCTTCCATAGTGATGCTGTCGAGAGTTAAGGCTTCGAGCGTATCTTCTGCCGAGCGCAAGAGCCTTCTAATATACTTCTTACGAGTCTCCAGCTGAAAGAGATGGAGCCGTCGAAGTGGAAGTTTACCAATGGCATTTGTGAATTCTTTGAATAGTTGTGATGCTCGAAATGCATAGGCAAATCCGATCGTGAGATCTTCCAGTCGATGCGCATTGCTCAATATCGAGGCCAGCATGTGGGCATGATGTTCAATATCTGCAGTATCTGTTAGGTCTTGTACTCTTACAACGCCCTGAAAATCTACCTTGCTTGTCAACTAGCGCGATATTTAGTCGCAACTGCCCTAGTGCCTTCAGCGGCGTTCGATAGATGCTTAGATGTTCAAGAACAGATGTATGAACCGCCAAGTTATGACAGAAATCCCCTATGAGGAGAATCTCTAAAGGAGCCGCCGTGGTGAGAACAGCTGATATGACGGTTCTTCCCTTAATTGTCCAACGAGCCTGAACCTCTTTTAGCTTTCTGGGCTTAACCCGTTCCTGGGGACAGGCTCTTTGATAGCAACACGCTTCAAATCCGGGACTGTGGACATGGCAGACCCCAAGATGTCTCCATACCCACCCCCTAGCAGGAAATCGAGGTCGGGTTGTCTGAAGGTGAACTTTTCGCATTTGTCTGAGCCGTTGAAGCCGTACCATGAATCTGTCGAGATATCTGAAGACTCTGGCGACTGATCGAGCAAGAGCACATTAATCATATTTGCGCTCGAGAAAGTCACTGATCATATGTGAAACGCGATGTCTCCGCGAGCCACCACCTGCAGCTATTCAAGATCAGCTTCTTGAAGCCTCACTGGCAGTTCCGTGAACCATGTTCGTCCGTACTGTCGAAGGAGTTTGGAGTTGACATTCTTGCTGGTCAGGCGCAATGTTTCGTAATATTCTTGCTTGCGGGACATCGGGGCGTAGCCGCAGATCAGCAAAAGCAGTTCAGCAGGCAGATCTTCGAGTGAAGTCGCCATTTTAACGCGTCGCTGCGCCGATCACTGCAACAAATCAGCCTCGTCAGTCATGTAAGCGACGGTATTTGTGAGTACTTACCGGGTCGCGTTGTTTGCAAAGTGTGGTGCAGAAAAGCTGAGGTCGAGCAGGGCAGAAATCATATAGCGCAAGCAAACGACTAGCGCGGCGCTAGTTGGAACCTGGATGGTGAAGGTGAAGACAGTTGCGACTGCCGCCGCAAAGATTTTGGGATCGCAATGTATCGAATGATGTTGTATTTCGGAAAAATTTACAAAGTTGTCGCTGGGATTGAAACTCGTTTTCTCGTGGAGTCGGGGCGTTAACGAAGGAGTATTTGATGACAAAGCGTGCATGTTGGAGGCGAAGGCTGACTATGATAATATGGGAGCGCGAAGGGAACGAACATATACGATCGAACGGAGAAGAAGGGAGTGCTTGGAAAGCACAAAGACAAACTATTGCGGCAGTGAAATTATATACGATCCATTAATTATATCGCTACTTCTCTTCTCTCGATAATAATAAAGCAACCCAACTCGAGCGTTGAGAGAGTTGAGGCTGCATAAAAAGTCGCTGAGCAAATTCCCCCCTGAACGCCGTTTATTCCTTTTCCCCCGGGGCCAACCTGTTATCCTCAGGTTGTGCTGCCCAGTGACCAGTCCATCCTTGCGTAATACTAAACTTTTGTGTACCCCTTGGTGCTCCAGCCGTTGCGAATGTTAAAACGGGTTGTATGCGCAAAAATGATGAGAACGAAAAATCTTTGTGTCGGCTGTGTCGGCCGTGGTCGATGACGTGCCTCACAGATGTGTCGGTGTGTGAGTGCTAGCTGTGAGCGGCTTGACGCTCAGGCTGCTAAGATGATGTGTCGTGATGGTCTCAGTATTCTGTTCAGACCTGTTGCGAGCAAAGATTCGATTGGGTGCTGTTCTGCGCACAACATCGAAGACGTTCTCTGACACTTTGTTAGCTTCTCTGGCACGCGCGACCTGCTCAAGCGTCTGGCCATTTCGAAGCGCCTCTTCTTTGTGCTCTCGCAGTGCTAACCAAGCCTCATTTGGGATAGGCTGGGGATCGTGGTAATGGTAGTCTTTTGATCCCTTGGCGCCAGGGAGTCCGGGGGCCCGATAGGTTGCCACACCATTCTCATACGACTCCATGGTAGATACTAGACGCTTGCCGCCGCCGCCTGGCAAGTCGATAACGAACGCTGGCATCATAAATCCCGATAGTGTGCCCCGTAACTGCTTGTCGAGGTCGATTATTTCCTGCAGTGGTGTGCGGAGATCTTCAATACCCTGTACCATGTCGCATTGGTACACGTAGTACTGCATGTAGGTCAGCAGACGTCGCAAGATAACGTTGTGGGATCCCAAAACTCATTTCATCGGGACTAGAAACCGGTGCTAGAGACGCCAGTAAACGGAAAAACTTACTGGTTGAATGTTGATGCTCGAGAGTCCTTGGATAAGGTCAGACATTATGACCGGGTCGTTGTTGACGCCTTTGAGGAGCACCGACTGGTTGCGCACAATCACTCCGTGCTTGAATAGGTAGTTGGCAGCCGTCTTTGTTACCCAAGTAATTTCGCGAGGGTGGTTGATGTGAGTGTGAAGACAGACTTGCTTTCCTAGGCTTCTGCCAAGGTTCGAGAGTTCGATCAATGCTTCCGTCCACGGATCACCCTCGCAGATCCGACCAGGGGCAACAGCAAGACCCTTCGACGCAAATCGCACTCGTTCGATGTTGTCCATGTGAAGTAGTCTGAAAGGTGTTAGTTGCTGTCAGCTTAGTTGCGCGAATGACCTCATACCTTCGACCCATCCGGAGAAGATCTTCGGGCTGCAGGTAATATGCATCGCCTCCAGAAACCACGATATCTTTCAGATCTTTACAGTTCTCAACGTACTCAAAGACTTTCTCCCAACGTGTAAGACTTGGCTTCTGTGGCCTCTTCGTGACTGTATCGGTACCTCCACCGACTGCGTACGACCGGGTGCAGAATCGACAGTAGACTGGACAGATAGAGGTAGCTGCGAATGGTCAGCGACTGGAGATCATGTACGTTCTCTTCCAAGACGTCGAATATAGGATAGGTATAACCCACCTAGAAACAGAGCCCTTCCAGGGTAACGACAGACCAGGCCCGGAACAGCTGAAGCAAGTTAGAATCAGGAGTAATACAATTACTTGTAAACATACGACTGTCTTTCTCTTCTTCCAAAGAGTCGAGTTTAAGATGCTCGTGGTCTGGAATGATGCAGCTCGCGAGAGGAATGAATTGTTTGCGGATCGGATCGTCTAGAGGATTGTTCCAGTCTATCCGAGACAAAACGTGTGGTGTTATTCTGATGGCCATGGGAGCCAACTTGGTGGCAGCCACGGCATCTTCGATGAATGCTTCCTTGTGCGTGATTTTGCGCAACAGAGGGTTTGTTGACGGGCCCAGCTCCTCGGGCAGCGCTTCGGAGAGGAATTTGTACAGCTTGTGTTTGTCTGTTACTGTGTTACGAACCTGAGAATGTTAGAGACTTGATCAGGTTCTAGTTGCAGAGCCCCTCCATCGACAAATGGTTGACATGAGGCACTTACTTGCCAGCGGTACGAAGTGAACTCCTCCGCAGAGACATCTTTCCAAGGTGTGTCCTTCCAGTACCTCTCCCCTTCTATGAGGGTCGAGAGTGCTCGTCGAGAGTGCGTCCATGGTGTGAAACGCGGAAACTCTAGAGATCGTAGAAGAGGTCGCATTATGTTCTTGCTAGCTAGAGCCGCGGTTTTGTACAGAACTTGGTTATATTGAATAAGGCCAAGGGTCTGCGACTTGTTGATAAAAGGGAAACGTGAATCAAATAAGCTGTGAGACCCGGGCAGAAGTATTTTAAAGGCTTTTCATTGTGATGCAATTGCGGGTCAATCCACATGCTAACAGGATACGCAATACCATATGACCATGTCGTCGGGAGACAGTGTTTCCTAGGCGATTTCTCGCGAGAATCATGACAAGAACCTGGGTACAAGGGCCGTTGGCGCGTCTGCACTTTTCTCAAGCTCCCTGATGATCCTCGCACCGCACTCATACTAAGCCAAGAAGGTGCCTTTGGCGTCAATTGAATACGCGTAATTGGCCCAGGGACACGTCGACGATACAGGAAGCTTGGTCGAGAGTACTGGTCGCATGTTGGGCATGTTCGCACAGCCGTCTTAGCGCATGGAGTGGAGCGGAAAAGGGAGTATGTGCCGACGAATCGTGACGAACGAAGGGGTCATGGGTTGTGTGTGTGTGTGTGTGTGTGTGTGTGTGTGTGTGTGTGTGTGTGTGTGTGTGTGTGTGTAGCGACGGAAGTGGTCTCCAATCCCGGGATCTGGAAACGGAAACATTTGAGAGAGGCGGTAAGGGAGCATTGTTTCGTGTTGAGAAACGGCAAGGCTCGTTTTCATGTGACTAGGTTCAATGGGCCTGGTTGCACACAGTCGGGAATTGAGGACGCTGGAGAGAGCTTCCTGTTCTCCGAGGAGCGAGAGGTAGAGCAGCATTTCTCGTTACGCGTAAAGGTTGCGATGGGATGAGTTGGGGATGTGTGGTCCTGGAAAAGACAGCCGGGCCAAACAGACAAGGCCAGACTACCAAAGCTCTGTGCGAGGTGAGAACCAGAGGTACGTAGGGCGGGTGGGCGGTTACATGAGGTGTGGTCTAATGCTGTGTCACCTGCAGGGCACGCCATGACCCATGAGCTGTCCACATTGCCGGACGAGCAAGGCGGCGTCTTTGGGGAAAGGGAAAAGATTATCTGCTCAACAAGCAGTTCCCAGCAAGCAATTGCAAAACAGGTCGCAAACATGGCGGCAGTCGATTAGCATCATCGGTCAAGGTGACGGTGGCCGGCGGAAGGAACGGCCCGCCATGGTGTAACCGTGTGGCTGTGAAGACATGCTGCTGCCATGGCATGAAAACGTCGTCGGGTCACACAGCGTCGACGCGTCCAAAGGACCCGATCGTAATCCCGATAGATACTTTCTGCCTTGGGTGAATGCTGGTGGTGGTGGCGCTTTCCAAGAGCCCGAGGCCAGCTGGAGGGAATGCCAAGCACGATGACCTCAGCCCTCCCAGAAAGTGACAATTCATCGCGCTCCCGCCAGCACAGCCAAATCACGACCACACCACACCACCCACACCTGCACCATGGCTGACTCATCCGCCGCCGCCTCTTCAACGGGTGCTGTGCCTGGCGAGACGCCCACGCAGACCAAGGCGCGGCTGCGGCGCGAACGTCTTGCTGCAAAGAGCGGAGCTAGTCGTCTGCAACAGATATCAGCGTTGCAAGGAGGCCCGCCCAAGGCCCTTAGTGAGATAGAGAAAGATGTGCCGGGTACGTTATTCGCCATTCTCCGCGTCGTCTCTAGCTGCAGCTGCAGCAGAGCTACTTCACACCTCCCCCGTCGCCCATGCCCCTCGATCCTCTCCAGTATCTGTGCTCCTAGCTAACCGCAGTGCAGTCAAACCGGCACCCACGCCGTCTAGGTCTACTGCTACCGCCTCTGGCACAGCAACGCCAGACCCAGACGAGATCGACATCTCACAGCATCACTTCCAGCCCACCTCTCAAGCCCGCCTCCCTTCACCCTTTGCATTTGATGGCAACCAGTCTGGCGCCTTTCCAGGCATGCAAGTCCCAGAGGGCTCCGAAGATCCCATGATGGCCATGCTGCAGCAAATGATGGGCGGTGGAGGAGGAATGCCTGGCATGCCCGGTGCTCCAGGACAGCAAGGCGGTGCACCCCCGGGTCTGCCACCGCATCTCGCCAACATGTTCTCTGCCATGCAGGGTGGTCCAGCTGCCGAGCCGTCACCGGAGCAATCGTCTGCCTGGATCTGGAGGCTTGTGCATTCCCTGTTTTCGCTTGTGCTCGCAATCTACATTGTCCTACAGACACCTTTTACTGGCTCCAAGATGGCACGACATTCGCTTCATGACGATGACTGGACTGTTCAGCCTACACCTGTTCAGAGTTTTGCCCGCTTCTTCTACTTCTTCGCGACCTTCGAAGTCGTCATGCAGTCTTCGAGATTCTTTATCGAAAAGGGCCAGTTACAGGGAAGCGGCATGCTCAGTACTGTTGCGGGCATACTGCCACCACCTTATGGAGGCTACGTGCGGACCGTCGGCCGGTACAGCGTCATCTGGAGCACCGTCGTGAGCGATGCCATGGTCGTCGTCTTCGTGCTTGGCGCTACTAGCTGGTGGAAAGGTGGTGCTGTTGCATGAGCAGCATGCACTCGCCCGTCCGCATAGGTAGACTAATGGTATGATTGAAATCAACGACCCCGTCCATCTCTTGGTGACAGTCACACCGTGGCCGATCGCTAATCAGTCAGATGTGACCTCGTCACGCTGAGCGACCAACTTCAATTCCGGAAACCAGGTCCCGCCAAACAAATCTCCATACTGTGCGGACAGACACATGCACATCATCCCTAGGCCGCAATCCATAATGGTAGGCACCAGCATTAGCGTCGTGAGCAGAAAGAGCATCTGCAAGACACTTCATGATACTCTAGCGTCTTGCTTTCGTACCCCCTCATGCGAGACATATCGCCTACGGAGCCACGACATGTTCGAACACTACATCAATGGCACTGGAGCATCGTGCTTTACGTCATCATCCTTTCGTCAACCGTGGTACCGGCGGAACGCGACATGTTGTTCGAAACAAGCTACAAGTACTAGCGCCCAGGTGACTTGCAAGGTTACATGCAGTTATCTCAGCGTGCATGTCATGCATGGTCACCTCGACTGAGATGACATGCATAGTGCATTTCCCCAAAGCCTTCCTGTGGTTCCTGCAGCACGTCGCCGCGGCTGTTTTCGTGATCGGTAGGCGAAGGGAGCACGAGCTGCATCTTGGGCAGTCGAAGCGTACCAACTGCTTGGGTATCGGTGGAAGGCGCAAACCGATCTGATGGCGATCTCGCAAACAAACGAACCGATTTTTCGTACGTGGAGTGAAGTGTCAAGATCGGTACCCATTTTCGTAGCGTAGATATACATGAATTGGTACTATACATGCTTTCGTAACATTATTCCAGCGTGACTGCGCCACAGAACGCATTCCAATGCAGATGATACTGATACATCCATATCCCACCCCTCCATCCCAATCTAATTCGCAACCGGCACCTCCCCCCTCGCCAACTTCAACAACTCCTGCTCCCTCCTCTCTTTCAAAAAGTGCTCCCTGACCTGCACCCGGTCCCTCTCCGCGCGCGCCTTCTGCTCCTCCAACTCCCGCATCTCCGCCAGCTCCGCCTCGCTCGGCTCTAGCGGCGCGTTCTGCGCCTGCACCGTCTTCAACAGCAAGTCAAGAATCTCCGACTCGTTCTTTTCGCGGATGTTCAGCGTGTGCGTGGGCGGGCTGGTGTCGGGCACGAGGGTGGTTTGCGCGTTGGGCGTGGCGCTGGGCGGGGCGCCAGGATTTGAGGGCGCGGGCTGGCGCGTGTAGATGTGTAGGAGGGAGGGGCCGTCTGGATCGTTGTGAATTTTGATGGAGATGGGGAGGGCGGGGTTGCGGTATTTTATTCGCGGGAGGATTTTGTGCCAGAAGTGTCTGTTTGGGAAGGGGAGGGGAGGTTAGCTGGTTCGTGGGATAGAATGTATGCGTGGTGAGTTTGGTGATGTGTTCTTTGCGCTGGCCATGGAGGGACGAATTGTTTTCTTGACTTTTTATCATGTCTTTTGTAGCCTGGGAGGGAAATGTGTAGTGCGTACCTTGCGCCCAAGTGTCCGCCGTATAGTTTCTTGTTGAACTCGAGGCCGATCTTTGACACTTCTTTGGGTAGAACGACGGCGCCTGGTCCATACTTTATCCAGTATAGCTATTGTCAATTCCGTCAGCACGTGTAAGTTGTCTCGGGAGCTTTGTGACTGGGACGTAGAGTCGTGGGCGGCGTTTCGGAGGTGTCTGCGGAGGAGCAAATTGTACCTTCTGCAACGGAGGTTAGCTCAGGCCAATGGCAGCGTCGTTCGCATGGTTGACGAATCTCACCTCTTTGAGCCTTCGCACTCGCTTCATTATGTGCACCATGGCTGCGGTGGATGTGTGAGCAGTTGTAGTTGCGGGAGCTCATCGAGTCGCAACAATTCGAGATCACTAGCGCGAACATGTCTTGGCACATGATCATTGAAGGTCTCACTATCACTTAGGTTCGCAGCGCAGATGAACTGAGAGAAGCAATTACATTTTCATATAACGCCATACTCTGTACGTGATTGAGATATTCACTCTCCCCCCCAAATCTCGTCTCACCAGATTACCCACATACATGGCCGTGAGTTTTCCGAAGACAGATAATTACAACCTGGTATATATCTACCCTAGATTCTTCATATGAACACGCGTTGAGCCCATCCTAAAGCAGCGCAGGCCTAGGCCAAAATTTACGTACGCCGAAACAGCTGATGTGTTTATCGGGCGGGAGCGGCAGCCTGTGCTGGTCCAGGAGTGCCTGGGTTCATGCGCTTGCCCCTTATACAATGTCAGCATGTTTCCAGGTATTAAAAGCGAACGAGACTTACATAAAGGACCTGCTAAGGAACGAAACCACGATCATCGGCAGCCATGATGGCATCTTGGAGAAGCCCCAGGTCACGTAGCCGTAGGGGATAGCCAAGTTGAACTTCTGCAGCTCGCCGTTGAACGGGTGGAAGATACCCTCGTAGGGAACGACCTTCTCAATCTCGTTGTCGACAATCAACTCCTTCAATGTCTGCGCGGTGGTGCTGGTGCGGTTCAGGGGCTGGTATCGCACGGTCGGGACAGGCGCCGACTGGTCAGCCAGAGGCTTGGGGATGGAGAAGTAGTAAATCGAAGGCGCGCCGACGGACCACGAGTTGCAGAGAATGTTCTCCTTCTCGCAGTCGAGGTAGGCAAACTTGGGCGCGTTCGACTTGGCCGCCAGGACGGGAAGAGATGTCTGGTCTCATGTCAGCACGCGCGGAAACAGTGCAGAGGAAGCTTCACGTACGTTCCAGGCCTTGGTCGCGTTGGCGCACATGCCAAAGCATGTCGAGTTGCCGCCAGTGACAAAGATCAGCCAATCCTGGGTGGTGGGCGGGCTGGCAGTGGGGTCGACTGTCAACACCTCCTTCCAGTTCTCCAGTGTGATGGGATGCTGAATGGCGGATGCAGCTGCTGATGCAGCCTTGTTGGTCGCGGCATCGATGGGGTTCGAGGGAACAGCCGGAATAGACGAGGACACGGCAGCGGTGGCCTTGTTGAAGAATCCCTTAACCTTGTCGAGAAGAGGAATCTGCTCCTCAGCGACGGCGATCGCTGGGAGGGCCAGGAGGAGACTCGACGAGAAGCGCATTGTGGCGATGTGTGGTGAAGGAGTGCTGCCTGGGTGGAGTGGTTGTTGTGGGTGATGTACGATTATATCACCAAGGGTCCGCAAGCAAGTGTGGGGTTAGCGGCTTAGGGAGCGATAGCAGGTCAACGGGTGTGGATACGTGTTTACAGCCGCAGCAATTGTGACACGATGTTGTCCAATGCAATTCTGATGGAAGCAGCCCGTGAAAAGGGTTAGCGATGGCCAGACAGCTCTCTCCACGCCTTGATAAGCGCTCCAGTTCCCCAAGCTTACCCAAGTAAGCCGCTGCTGAACTTCGCCCACTAGTTCGCTTGCGACCGCATCCACCAATCACCCAAAGTCTTGCTTTCGACTGGTCCGAAGCACTTGTCTATCCATCTAAATGCAGTCACCGAACGATGAAGCTTGTCTCAACGACCAAAGACCGCAGATGCGCAAAACATATGCCGACTACGTCTCCACACTTTTCGAATGGCCCCAGCCCCGGCAATGATTCCCGATCGGTGAACAATCAACTTGAAGGATTTCGCGAAATCTCGACGCGCTCAGTGTAATCTTTCAAAACCCTGAAGCTAATCGCGCGATGCCATACTCCTTCGAACTGGCATCTCATGATGCATCGAGAAAATTCCAGGCATGCATTATCATAGAAGAATTCTGGGGCAACCACAGGGTCTTGTTGATGTATCGCAGACGTATCCAAATCCTATCGCACCGAAAACACATCAATAAAAACATCGTCCACAGTAAAGCAATAATTCCAGTCAACACTCCAGACTACTTGACCAACTTCACCCCGTTTCCCCAGCGAATCATTCCCCAAAATTCTTCTTCAACTCCCTCCTCCGCTGACTCTCCTCCTCACCATCTCCAAACCCATCATCACTACTCCACGTCTGTCTCCTTTCCCTCTCCTCAACAGCATGACTATGCCCCGTCTTTTCATACACATGCCCAGCCGAGTCCGGCGTGCTCGCATCTCTCTTCTCGCGACTGCGCACTTTGCGCAGCTTTGGCGCATTGCCTTGGATCTGCTCAAACAGTGCAGCGTGGTTCGGCGTGGCTTTGGGCATGGGAGGAAGTGGTGGTGGAGGCGGTATAGCAGAGTCCCCAGGCGGTGGTGGCATCTGTATGGGGGAGATGCTCCGGTCGGAAGGCGATTCGGGGTAGGGAGGCGATGGTGAGCGAGATAGAGACCTACGGCGCTCTGGTAAGGGAGATGAATATGGAAGTGAGAGGGTGATGGACCTTTCTGCTGCTAGGCGTGACTCGAAGCGTTCACGAGAGGGGGATCTTTCATGCCGAAGACTTGGGGCTGGACGGGCAGGAGATACGGGTCTGTCTTTTCGCAATGATGCTGGAGTGTGTGGTCGTGGCATGAAACTTTCTGGAGTAGGGGCCCAAACCGGGGCTCCGTCATGGTGGAATGAGGGAGGTGTAGCCTTCTGGATATGCACTGACGGTGCAGGACTTGGATTTGCGTGCAAACCATCGTGGGATGTATGAGGGGGCGCCCGAGTAGGAGAAGGGTAATGTAAACTGGTGCGATCAAGAGGTGTAGCCGCCTGAAGATGCACTGGCGGTGCAGGACTTGGCTCTGAGTACAAATCATCGTACGCTACACGAGGATGCCGCCCAGGAAGAGGACTATGTGGCAACTGGGCCTCACCAAGCGCTGTACGATGTGGCGAAAAGCCCCGTGGAGAAGTGTCTTCATCCGGCGCCCTCGAAAAATCGTACACATAGCGAGGATTTCGACGGTCAGGTCGGTCAAACTCTCTTTCGCCATTGCGACGCCCATTCTCACTTCCAACGTCCGCTCTACGACTTCTTTGGTCGTCTTTGCGCCTGGGGTGATCTCGGTCCTTCCGTCGCCCTCGATCTGTCCGACCCTCATCACGCCCGCGACGGTCATCTCTACGACCTTCCTCCTGAGCTCTCCGCCCATGAACCTCGCCCTTTCGATCCTCCTTCGTCAACTTCTCAGTCTCACGCCGTTTCTCACTACTATAACCACCGCGAACAGTAGGATCTGGCTTCTTCCCCCTCCACCCATCCAACCGTCCTCTCCAGCATCCCTCTTGATCGATGCCCAGTATCATGCTCCGCCTTGATATGCTTATACGTATTCAGAGCGTGCGCCACAAATCCAACACCTGCAACTTTCTTGGGTAATTGACCAAAGGGTGTCTTGCCATCTGGACCGTGGCGACGAGTAGGAGATCGAGATACGCCAGCTCTTCCCGGCTTTGCGTGATGGGGTCTAGAAGGAGATTTCGGTGTAGGAGGTAGAGTGCCTGCAGGTCCAGCGCCGCCTGTCATCATGAGGTCTGGATTGGGATCTGGACGGCCTTCTGTGACGAGGTCGGAGATGCCGCGATCATTTCGTCCATGACGACCCTTGTGACTGGAGGCATCACGACTTCTATCTCGCGATCCGCGTCTTAGATCGCGTTGTCCCGAGCGATCGCGTCGACGTCCATCTCTATGCCGCTCTCCTGAACCACCACGGTGATGACGCCGATGTCCTCTTTCCCTACTCCCACTCCTACTCCTCCCAGCCATCCTTCTCTTCTCCCTCTTTCTCCTCTCCTTCTCCCTCCTCGCCTTCTCTTCCTTATCCAGCCGATAAATCCGTATCTCCTCCACAATACCCTCGATGATCAGGCGCTGCGTACTCACCGTGCTTAGATGCGGGTCGCGCGGCCTGTTGCCGGAGACTAGGTCGATGATGCGAGTTTGGACTTGGTTGCGGTACGCCTCGGAGCGTGGGGAGGGCATGGGGAGTGTAGGTGTGGAAGGGAGGCATGGTGGCTATGGGGGGAGGTGTCGGGGTAGTGGTGTTTGACGAACGTGAATGATGTGTATGTGACAAGCAGTTGTTCGCCGCTCAAGCGGGAAATGTGTGAAGGGGGAATGTTGGGCGTTGGGCCTGTGAAGTGTATTGGAAGTGCAAAAGACAGGTCGAACGGACTTGATCTTTGAATCGCGATGCCGTGTGAAGCAACTCGTCACAGGGAAGTATCATGTCTATCTAAAATGATGAACAGGCACAAAACACCTTCAAAGATCTCCTACATATTCAACCCATTCCAAACCCTATGCCTTCAACCTCCTCGCCACCCTCCCATCCTTCTCGCCCTCTGCACCACTCGCTCCCGCCTCCTTCGCAAGATTCGCAAAAAACTGCTTGACCTCTTCCTCCGCCCCCGGCCCCAAATCATTCACCACCATCGGCATATCCTCCAAATTACCCACATGCTCACCCTCGTTCGTAGCTGGCCAGACACTCTCCAAGCCCGGCGGTGCCGATGGGCCCGGGCCTAAGAAGAACGGAGGTAGAGCATCCACATCCGGCTTTGTCTCTGGCTTCGATGTAGAGTTGGTAAGAATGTGTTCATTCTGCATTTCATCCTTAGCCAGAGCGGCTTCAAACGCCGCCTGATCAGCCGCGTCCTGCAGCGGATTGCTCGAACTATTTGACGCAGCTACTACAGGCGCAAGTTTCCTTGCCGGCAGTCCAGCATGTGGGACAGCATCGTCCTTGGCCATACCTAATGGAACAGTGAGAAACTGCATGTCTGAAGTATCCCCACCATCTCCCTCAGGCCTGAGTGAATCGTACAACCGCTCGTAGTCCAGCCCGAGATCACGCATGCCAGTGAACACATCGTCGTCGGCTAGTTCGTCGTCGGGGAGGTCCGCGGCGTCGAACCAGCCAGTATTTTGGCGTTTCTGTAGGGTGTGGGTGGAAGAGTCGTCTTTCGCCATTCCGAGAGGGATGGTGAGGAATTCCATGTCTGATGTATCTTCGCCTGAACCTTCGGGTCGGAGGGAGTCGTACAGCCGCTCGAAGTCTAGCCCGAGGCGGCGCATGCCGGTGAATACAGTGTCAGATTCCAGTTCGTCAGCCGGGAGATCCGCAGCATCAAACCAACCCTTCGTGGGGACGTCAGGTCGTCGTTTCTGCACCGGTTTGAGCGCAGTCTGCACATTCGCCGCCGCATCAATAACCGCGAATGTCGAATTCACCAACGCCGTTGAATTCAGCAATGTTGACCCACTCGAATCCGTCGTTGTCAGGTTGCGTATACACTCGATGACCGTCGTCTGCAGTCTAGCCAGATACGCGAGAAATAGATCAAACGAGGACGGAGCAGGAGGCGCAACGATGAGCGCATCTTGCCTCTTGACCAACCGCGATGTTTTCCGGGGCGTCATACCTTGTACGAGCGTGTTCAGGCTTGTTTGGAAAGCCTTGAGATTCGCCTCCGTCTGCTTGCTGGTCGTGGCGCCTTTAACGTACACCTCAACAAGACGAGTGATGTCGGTGTTGAGCCGGGCGAGGTTGGCGTCGGCGTCCTTTGCGCCTGTGCTGGTGGTAGATCGCTTTGCGAGGATGAGTTGGACCATTGCAGACATGTCGGCGCCGAGGGTTTTGAGGTTCGATGCGACTTCTTTGCTTTCTTTGCTCTGAGAGGTGGCGGACTTGGTTGGGGTGCTGATTGTCTTGCCTTGTCGCTCGCAGGACCATGTGCATTCGCCTTTGCGCATCCAGCGGCCGGGGGAGGAACAGCCGCCAGTAGGGGGCTTGGTGGAGCTGCAGGCGTCGCGCTTGCTGGGGCGGGAGCCGCCGTAGAGGTTCTTCAAGTAGGCGTCGAGTTCTTGCTCGACTTTTGGTGAGGGTTTCTTGCCGGTTTTGACGTCTTGGACTTGTTGCTGGTCACTCGATTGCTGGGCTTGTGCTTGTTGCGCTGGCTTCGCGCTTGCGGATGCAGATGCAGTGGAACCACTGAGTACTTTTTGGCTGGAAGGGCCTCCATGGCATTCTTCGTGGTACTGGCCATCGTTGCAGTTTGACGGGCTACCTGTATTTGAAGGTGTGGTTGGCTGCCATTGTCCTTGGGGACTTGATGGTGAAGAACTGCCAGCATTCTTGCCCCCCTTTCCGGTACACTGGCTCGCACCGAAACTTGGTTTCCCGGAACGATTTACGCCATCGGCAAAATCGACGCTCTTGCCTGGCGTGTCGAAAACGACGTCCTGAGTCTCTTTGGTAACACAGTCGTTGACGCTTTTGAGGTTCGCGACGAAAAGCGGCGGGTAAGACGAGAGAGATGCTTGGGCTGCAGCATTGGTCTTCTGCACATCCCTCGCCTCGACATGTTCTGAAAGGTCGTCCCTTTTGTCGTTGTCTTTCGGTACGATCTCGACGGGTGCGCAATTCATGTACATTTCTCGGTTGCCGATTTTATTGAACCTGGTGGAACTTGTCAGCCTCTAGTGACTTGACAAGGAGATTGACTTACCATGTCCAAGCAAATAGTCCTCTCTTCCTGCCGCCTTTCGCCAGCTCCGGCGGCACTGTGAAGCTATACTCCTTCTTTTCAGGACAGCCGCCCTCGATGCTTTTAATGACTCTGAATTCCTTGCCCTCATCAAAACTCATACTGAGCTGGCAACTGCCCCCACCGTGTGTTGCGCTACCCGTGAGCTGCATTTTGTAAGTGCCACCGGCTTCATAAGTAGCGGTTGTAGTCCATGGCGTGTTTAGGTGATACCCCTTGCAAGCAAAATCACTGCCATCCGCATGCAGAGGGTTTAAGATGTTGTAGTCTTTTGGCTCGTTTGGACGATTTGCGTGAGGGTCACGAAAGGGAGAGGGATTTGACATTTGCATGTGTGCATGAGTGAGCGGAAGGGCACTGAGCGCACCCAGGAGAAATCGTGAAGCCATGATGTCCAGCATACAATGGTATAGAGAGTGGAAGGCGGTGATCCAATGCACACTGGAGATGAGCGAATTCAGCCATATTGATAAAGCCTGATGGTGGGAAGCAAGGGAAGGTGGGTCGTTGGGAGAAAAGTGCGCGTCGAATTCCAAAGTAAGACAGCGCCGATATAGTTCGTGTTGGGGTCGGAAGTGGATGAGAGGGCAAAACGTAGATAAAGTAGTAGATGTGACAAATAAGTGAAAACTACGCTTCAAGACCTGACATGACGAAGTGAACATAGAAGGCTGCATCAGAAAACTCTCTGTTCTATCATATCATTAGTCGAGTTGTTGCCGGTCTCCCAGCTCTTCTGCTATTATCAATATTCCAAACCCACATGTCAACGCCCACGAATCCCCTCAGAGATCGGAATGCATTTCCCAACCTCATCGCCCTACACCACGTCCCGCATTCCGAGCAGTATTGGTACAACATCGCATAGATCCGGTTCGTTCGTGATTCAGGAGCGCCTCTAGACGAAGACACGCACATCCAATAAAGATGCGCATCAGATGAGAAGCGAAACATGTGCGGCCATAACCCTGGAAAACCCCTCCTCTTCACCTATTACACCCGCCTTATTTCCGCTGCTTCGCCTTTCCCTCCCCGCTGTCCTTGACTTCGCCCAGCACTTTCCCGCCGCCGCTCTTCTTTGCGCCTCCGCGCAGACTATTCGCATCTGGCGCCCTGTCTTCGCCGAGGCCCAAATCGTCCGCCTCCTTCTCGAATTGCGCCTTTTGTCGCTTCGCTGCGAAGCCTAGCAGGTAGGGGCGTAGCAGCATGTAACCGCCGATGATGACGATGATGCGGATCCAGCGCTGGGCCGTCATGCCCTCGAAGGAGGCGATGGAGTTTGTGACCAGGCGGTCCTTCGCGATGTTGAGATTATCGAAAACATAGTCTACGTATTCCATTATGGCGGCGTGTGAAGTGATTCGAAGGGGTGTGAGGGTGCGAAGGATGTGTGATGTTTGTCGCACGCAGAAGATGTGGATGCGCCAGGTGAATCCGAAATTGGGTCGAGTGTTGCGGGAATGCGCTTGATAGTCGAGATGAATCAGGCAGCTGTAACCTCCAGTGTGTGTGTGAATACACTTCGTCTGTTGTCGAGCGTGCAAAGTTGGCAGTAAAGGAGCAACAACAATGCGGTCCAAATAAAATGTCTCAAGCCTCAACACCGACCCTGGACCCTTGCCGGAAATCGCCCGCCCATGACCCGAGGCCGCCCCACCCTTCACTCTACGCGTCGCGTCATTCTGCAACCCACGTCAACGCTGCCAGGACAACATATACACCACCACAATGGCTTCCACAGACGCCACAGCCGAGCGCGAGGAAGTAAGCCTACGCTTCCCAAAAACTCGCGAACGGTTCTCCCATACTAACAAAATAAAAGCGCCTCAAATCCGCCCTCTGGTACACAATCGGCCAATACATTGATGAAGAATGCCTAACCTCGGACCTCAACGCGACACCACAATTCATCGGCGCATTGACCGAACTCGTTTACACGCAAATCGGTATCCTCAACCCCCACCACCAATACCCCCCATACCTCCACCACCCGCTAATTCATATCCAAGCAAACACCTCCCACGACCTCGAAGTCTTCGCCAAACACGCGGGCCGCAAGGCGATTAATACCGACGATGTCATGCTGTTGACACGCCGCAATGATGCGCTGGAGAGTATGTTGAAGGGCGAGTTAGAGAGGATGCAGAGCGCGGAGGGGAGGGGGGATGTTGGGGGTGGGGAGAAGAAGAAGGGGAGGCCAGTTGGGAAAGGGAAGGGAAAAGCAAAGGCATAGAGGTGGATTGGGGGCGTTCTGGCGTTCCGGTGGACATGATATATGATACCCAATGGTTTGAGCAATGGAAACAATCATTCGAGCAGTGGAAGACGGTGCAAAACCAATGCGAACCGCACGAGGCTGTAAATTTGGCGATTGTCATTCACCACGAGCCCTAATACTGTATTTTATGTGCGGTATTTTAATGGCTGTGGCTATCAAGGTTACAATACGGCAAACTGACGCAAGTGCGGCAATATAAATAAAAAAATTCATTTGAAGTATATATTCTCGTATTAGGTATTAGGTTCATAACTAGCGTATCATACAACAATCTGTTTCCATGGCACCACTCTCATCCATTCCGTCTGATAACGTGGTATAATGCGTAATTCGTAAATAGCCTCCAGTAAAAGATACCTCACTGAGGCATTGTCATTCGTATCCAGTTTCATCGTCTACCAAGCCATGCTCAATCGCGGCGGATGAGCCAATGGCAGCCATCAAGGTCGAATAGCTTAGTAGTTGGTAGCAGGAGTCTGGTAAGTACCAGTAGGCGCGGTGTGGTATCCACCGTTCAAGGTGCCCGTCTTGTGGTGGTCATCAACACAGTTGGCATGGGGCACGCCGACAGTAGAGCCGGTGTAGGCAGTGTCGTGGCTGGGGCGAACGTCATGAGCAGGGACAGCAAGACCACCAGCGGCGACAGGGGTAGCGGCAACTTCGGGGTCTTGGAGACCGCGGTTGCGCTGGTTGCGCTGCCAGAACTTCATGCCGGAGCCCTTGGTGTAGCCGTTGGAGGGGCCAGGACCGTAGCGCTTCTCCTTCTTGTGGTGCTTGGTCATGAAGAGCTGGAAGGGGATGGAGATCAGGAAAAGGAAGCTAGTGAGGAATTAGTAAGGGGTGGGAATGTAGGGAGTAGGAGGAAGACTTACGCTCCGACAATGGAGACGGCGAAGCAGGCGGTGTTGAGCTTGCAGATGGATCCGAGCGAGGCGGAGTAGGTGATCTGGTTGTCGAAGCCGTCCTTGGAGTTCTCGTCTCCGTTGCCGAGAGGAGTGTTGACGTATCCGGAGCATGAGGATGCACCGTCGCGGGTAAGGACTGCAATGGCAATCATACCACCGCAGCAGAGGAGGTCAAGAAGTATGCCGAGAAGAGCGAAGAACTTCTTTCCGCCGAGGCAGCATGTCAACAGGACAGCGAAGATGGTGTAGAGGACAACGGCGCCCGAAATACCCTCGACGGCCTGCTGCCAGCGTGGGATGGTGACATCGCGGTCAGCCTGGACAGCCAGGAAGTACGAGTAGATTCCGAGGATGAGTCCAGCGCAGCAGAATGCGAGCGCATAGATGAGCGTTGAGCCAAATCTCAGGATCACGCCGCCAACAGCCATTGTGAAGGTAATGTGTATATCACAAAAAAGAAGTGAAGAAAAGCTTTATGATGAGCTTGCAAGGTGGGCAGTAATTAGTTGTGAAGTTCGTTTCGATAATGGGACATCAATTAAGCCAGGCGCAAGGGATGATTTATGTCTTACCACAACTTTCCGACAGCTGCTATGACGACAGCCTCGCGGCTGCAATCCTTCCTTGTTCGCAAGACGCAGGTCGGCGTCGATCTCTCGGCTGTGGCTGATGCGACGTCATCTGCTCAACTTATTCCAAACTGCAACCAACCACGCCGCCTGGAAAATCGCCGACGGCTTCACATCTAGCGGCTAAACCTCTGCGCCAACGCCAAACCAAGAAAACTCACAGCCCTGAGATCATCCCGCTCGCCCTCTTTCTTTGCCAACAGGGAAATTAATCCTGCCCATGACATGCTGTCCGAGCCACACCACATCGGACACACGCGCGATGTGGATGCCCCTTGCAGTGGTCGAGACTGTAAAGGACCTGGGGCGTGGCCATCGGATCGACGGCATCAAGATTCTGACTGCGTTCGGCTGCTGCCGAGAGTTATACGAGTGTGCACCCACTTTGTGAAAGGAACGTCTGGATTGTGCTCTGGACACTGTCTTGATGCAGACAACGTTTGGAAGAAAGACAGGCTCGAGTCCAGTGCCCATGTCGCACAGCCTGCAACACCGCCTCGTCGCAATGACGATGTCTTCCGCGCACTTCCTTACTGTCATCGCGACAGCCACGCTTGACGTCGACCTGTCTGACGTGTGCAGACCCTGCATTGCACAAGTCGTGCTGTTAAAGTTCCCCCGGATCGACCTCCGCATGACGCTGTGCAGTAGCGTTGTCTGTTGTTGTTGACATTGTCGGAATACCTGCTGTCCGAGTGGACGTGAGCTGCTTAAGTCATGGCAGCGTCCAATTTCCAAGGAAGTTTGGTAGACACCATGTTCGACCCGTCGGTTTCATGGGCAAGCACGTGAAGCGACAATCAAGCTGACTGCCGACATTGCGATGTCATTCGAGTCTAGCGGTCAACGCCATCTTACCGTCGTACCGCAGATACCTGCGGGCCGTCATGCACAAGTCTTGCTGCCAATTCAAATACCAGCGCGTCAACGTCAGACTGCCAAACATGACGCGAACTACAGTCTGCATCCAGCTGATATACCCGCTGGAAAGCAATAGCAGGACCCCTACTCGAGTCAATCGGCGATGAGCAGCATTAGCACATTTAAAGTTAATTCGAAGATTTGAGATGAGCAAGTAATGGGTGTATTGAAGAAGGTAAAAGGTATATGTACAAGAACGTCAGACAGAATAGCCTACATCATCCGGTCGATCCCTCCGCAACGCTTAGAAAGCACGAGCATGGCGGCGCGCCTTGGTAGAAGAGCCAGCCTTACCCTCAAGCCAAGCAATGAAGGTGTCGAGGGAGAAAGTAGCAGGCAGAGCGCCATTGTTACCAGCGCCGGATGAAGGAGCAGGGCTCGAAGAAGCGACGGGAGAAGGTGTGGCCTCGGCGACAGCAGATGCGGCCGGGCTGGGGACAGCAGACGGGCTGGCACTGACTGAAGGCACAGCGGGAACAGTCGAGTTGGAAGGCTTAGGGGCGGAAGGGGTAGTAGGAGCAGAACCGCCAGATCCAGCACCGCAAGACGCAACGGGTCCACCAGGCGCCTTGTAGGTGGTAGCGTCGTAGCCGTTGTAGTAGTTGGGGATGTAGATGTTGGCATCGTCCTTCTTGTACGCGCCAGGAATCGAGATGGTAGGGCCGCAGGAACCGCTGCCTGTGCCAGCGACCTTGAGCTGTGCGCAGCCAATGTAAAACTGACCACCGCCGAGGGTCTGGGAGGAATGCAGGGCAAGCATCTCGGAGCGGAGTAGGTACTGTCCGCTGGCAAGGCCAGTAGGCAGCTTGAATTCATGGGTCATGTTGTTCGCGCCCATAACCTCGCTGGCCCACTTTCCGCTGGCATAATCAAGCTCATCGATCTTGAACCAGCCATCGCCTTCACCAGTAGCAGTCGCAGCATCGTCGACTGCCTTGAGGTAGTGTGTGATGGGACCTGGGTGGCCGGACTGGTCCCACTGGACCTTGATGGCGTCACCAGCGCTGGCATCGAGGGTCTTGACAGCAGCCCCGTTGGTGGACGGAACATTGCAGGCCATGTCGTTGCTCGTCACATCAACCACCGGGCTGTTGCTTGGTGGCATCCGGATGCCGGCCTGGTTGCCAGCAGTCACATCGTTGATCCAAATCTGGTGGAAGTTCTGATGAGCCGAGACGGCAGAGATGAGAGCGGTGGTAAGGAGTGCCTTGGAGAACATCTTGACGTTTGAAAGAGCTGTGGATGTGCTGATCTGTACAGTGATTGTGGTTGAAAGTGATCCCGGATCACGTTGAATGAATGTAAAGAGTGAATGTGGTATCGAAAGAATGAACGTTGAAAGAAGGGCTGGCCTGTTGGAATGATGATTGTACACCAGACCGACGCTCTACATCTTATATACAGTAAGATGCGATTCAGCGCGCGCCTACAATAATTCTTCCGGTCTGAAGGGTTGACACATGGGTACCTGCATCAGCCGTGCGCGCTTACTGTGAGCAGTATGCACACCGACCCGAGGCGCGCTCCAGGTACTATACTTGAGTGCCATCCTTACCCAGACGAGGATAGACGTTCTCGAAAATTGTTGAAAAGAGATGAGTGGTTCGCTGTGTGGAGACACTGTTGTTTTGAAACTCGACTCTTCCGGAATAGCGAATTTCATGCCGCATACCTTAGCGCTACGGGTCGTTTCAAACACCACTTCGCAAGCGAGCGCTTGTCTATGTGATGAACACCATGCTAAGAAAATTCATGCCTGCGCCCTTTATACTAATAGTCTTTGCGTGTTGTTCATGCTTTCCGGCGCGACTATGCGAACATCGAAAAAAAAGCGATAAGGAGGAACAAGAAATGAGATGAAGTTGACGAAATTCGAGATGAATCGTCTGGAAGGATGCCCCACCCAAGGAGATCAAACGTGGGATTCATTGATTTTTCCGTGGCGCTGCACGTCTTGACGCGCGCGCGGGCTACATCAGTAGAATGAAGAGCGACAGCTCGAGACGCCGCTGTGGATCGCTGCGCTTATGATAAATCATTGGATTGCAGGTTGTGATGCAGTTGTGCTCGAACGACTCTGGGCGGAGGGTGTAGCCGTAAATAGCGCCTTGGTCTTGGTGTCCCTGGTCTTACTCCGTCAGGGCGGCAGCGGTCTTCAGCTAAACAAGAGACTCAATATGCATGCGAAATATATGCACGAATGCCTCAGCATGCGGACAGAAACCGATTGAGCTGAGCAGTGCGCAGGTTCATAGGACAGCTCGATGACCCCGCCGCAGGACCTCGTGAGTAAGCCGCAGGTGGCGTAGTAAGCTGCGGAACAGTTGCTGCGCACCTACTGATAAAATCACACAACCACTTCTCAGTGTCTCGATCTTTGCTACCTCTGTCTTCACACAGGGACGTGTTTGAGATTTCAAGACCGCACACGGTACTCGAGTGCTCAACATATTCATACTTGCCTCACACAGCAGCTCACACACTCATGGATTCACAAACTATAGACCTGGATACGATATTCAATGACCATAGGTGTGTGGACGCGCCATCAAAACGGATACCTATGAGTGTAATGAGGCGAGGTGTCGAAGCCCATTGTCCAGTTTGTCGCTTCATCTCAGCCTGTATTGACTGGGCTGTACCGGATTTTATGGCGTACAGAGATGCTGATTACATACACCTTGAGCCAGGGGGCGTATTAAGGATTTTGAATGAGCAGGCTCAATCTCTGTGCTGCTTGGAGCCGTTCCGGCCCAATAGTAAGCTGATAGATTACTTGTATGGTATGGACTAATGTGTACAGCTAGTACTGATTATGAATCCACAGACCATACAGGGGCAACAGCAAGAATACTTCCTGGTACAACGTCCTCTGCTCAAACGTTCGCAACTATCGAGGCATGGCTCATGAAGTGCGACTTGAAACACGTTAAATGCGCAGAGCAAAGCTCGAGGACCGCTGGGAATCCGCCGAAAGGCATTAGGCTCCTCGAGATCAAGAGAGACACTTTGTTGCTTATCGAACATGTCCAGGACCTACCATCTACCAAGTACGCCTGTCTTAGCCATTGTTGGGGTTCTGGTGAAGGTGTGGTGAAAACGTTCGCAAAGAATCTACAAGCCCACCTGTCGATTGGAGTTGAGCTAGATTCACTTCCACTTACTTTCAAAGATGCCGTGGACACATGTCGACGCCTTTGCATTGACTATCTTTGGATTGACAGTCTCTGCATCATACAAGATAGCGATGAAGATTGGCGCTTTCAAGCTGCTTTGATGGCTGATGTGTACGAAAACGCACGCGTTACGATCGCCGCAGCCGCTGCGCACGATCCTGGAAAAGGTTGCTTCCAAAAGACACATCGGTCTTGCCTGGGTCAGCCGCTGCCGGAGTATCCGGGCGTGTGCATTCGCTGTATGCCAGAACGCCCTTCGGAATCTGCTACACAGTGGCCTTTACAGCTGCGGGGCTGGGTATTCCAGGAGCTGTGCCTCTCTCCGAGAATTATACACTTTGGCACCCAAGAGGTTGAATGGCAGTGTCGATCAACATATGAACGCGAAAGCCGACCAAACTTGAAACCGTATAACTTTCCATGGATCGTATACTCTCCTGATTTCTTCCGTACCCCAGTTGCTAAATTGCTACATGAATGGCACGTCACTGTCACCGCATATTCTTGGCGGGCTCTTACGTTTCCAAAGGATCGTCTACCAGCAATTGCAGCGATGGCCACACGCATGCAAGAGTGCAGACCTAGGGATCGTTACCTTGCAGGTCTATGGCAGTCTTCCCTCTGCTTCGACTTGATGTGGTACACTAATGATCAACCTGGCGGCACGTGTGATCCAGCTACCATAGAAATCATGATCGCTCAGCGCATCGAAGACTATTCAAGCTCAGACCGCATTGGAGTACCCTCATGGTCATGGGCATCCACGCCACGCGGTGTAAGGTGGTGGTACAATGCCACATTCGAAATGCTTAGCAATGCCGAAGTGCTCGATATTTCATACAGCATACGGGGTCCAGAGGTGTCTGGAGAAATCCAAAACGCAGCCATAACCCTTCGTGCTCCGCTGATCAGCCTTGAGGGCATTCGCTGTGCTGATCATACGATTACTTGTGGCAGTCAAAGTTCCCAGCTTTCCTTTGCGCTAAATGAGCCACAGGCAGTGACAGCGGAGCATCTCGTCTATGACAAGTTTTACTGGGATACCCACGGATCCGAGAAGGGTTATCCTGCCCAGCAGGAGCTGTTCTTTCTCGTAATTGTAGTCAATACGTATCCAGGTCGTTGCGGTATGGAAGCAATTGTGCTTGGGCAGACTCAGCAACTGAACACATTCTGTCGCGTGGGCACGGTTGATCTCCGACTCAAAGACTGTTGGCTCGAAATGTGTGCGTGGGAGAGGGAGGGCAGGGAGGTTTGGGATTATCCGGAAGACAGACAACAAGTGTACCAGAAGACTCTCATTTCGATGCTCGAAAATACGGAGACACGAATCATCACGCTAGTATAGTTACTGGTCTTTGCAGGTCTGCTATCGGCGCGTAAACGTCAAGACCACATATCTGATCAACGTCACGAGCTATACGAAATACCCGACCATCATACCATTGCGTGTAACAAATTCACTATACACGCCTCTCATTTCTCTCCGATTATCGTTAGTCAACCTCCGACAATATCTTAAAACAATTGCTATATCACCAACTTTTAAAATCGGACAAGAAACACGAGAATTTCATCTGACTCCAAAAACTGCGACAGATTCAGCTGCTTTCTAGGTAGCGCTTGTCCAGCACTAGATTCAATACCCGGCAACCCAGCATGCGAAAATCACAGCCGACAAACTTGTCGGTTTACGAATTGCACCGAGCATGAAATTGTCGACTCAGCGATACCAACATACCATACCCAACGACAACGAGGCTTACTGACCAGCTCATGCACGTAACATCTAGTAGTGTTTGACGAGGTGTCAAATGAATCAAGTGAGCGAATTTGAAAAAAAAAACATTCAAGAGTAGCGAGAAAGCACCTTGCAAGATACGCGCATGAAAATCACGTTCCTCTGTTATCATACTGTCGCTTTGATCCTGCATCACACTGTACAATTTGCATAGTCTCATGCGCGCATATTCCTGTCACATCGTCCGTAGCAAATTAAATATCTATTCAAGTTTCTACATATTGTGAGTATCTTTGCACCTCCACCACCCAGACTAACCAACCCCAACGCCCATCAATCTCGAAAAACCGTAACAAACCCCCTCTTCACCCCTTTAGCCCCAACATCCACATCCGGAAACCCCGTCTGCGCAAGATGCATCCGCCCCGTATACGTCGAGCTCGCCGTCGGCGCCACAGTGACCGTCGAATCCGACGTCGCCGTCACGCCTACCGTTCGTGTCCTCGGCGCCGGCGTCGGGATCACAGCAGCCGTCTCCGTCACGCCCCGCAGAACATCTCCGTTGATGTAGACTTTGATCTCTTGGGCTGGCTGAGTCGATGCGGTGGGGTGCATGATGCTGAGGAAGCGTGCGCCGAGCAGGATGGATGTGAACCAGAGGGTGGTGAGGAAGAATACGAGGGCGAGGAGCCAGGGGATGAGGATGCGCTTCTTTGGCCATTGGCGACGTCCGTAGGATCTACGGGGAAGGTGGTCGTAGAATTTGGATGCGGGCTCGATGTAGTGGGGGTGGTTAGGGTCGTCGTGGTCTGCTTTTGTAGGGGCGTCTTTTTCGGCGGGGATGCCTGTTATCGTGGCGGACTGGAAGTATGGGTTGTTTGAAGTGCTGTCGGTATGAAGGTATTGCTGGTTCTTGAAGGATGACATGTAGGATGGTGCTGGAGATGTACGGAGCTCGATTGAAGCCATGTCGATAGATGATGCTCGTTCATTAAAAGTCATGATGATAAGAAGAAGCAGAGAACTTTGGAGAAAATGTTGAAGAGGACCAGCCTCAGAGAATAGATCGTCAAAAGGAAAAAAAAATGGGAGTAGGGAAAACTGGCAAACTGGTTGCTTCACTGTGCAGGATTGCAGAGATAAAGGCTGGAAATATGACATGTAGACAAAGACAACTACAGCTAGTTCAAGAAAACAACAACATTGTTTCAAGTTCGCTCTCTGCAGAGCACATCTCCTGCTGAACACAGCTCTTCAGCAGATGTTGTGGTGACGATGCTGTGTCATGGTTTGGAAGGCGCACATGCCGCAGGGAGTGACTGGTGCACGAGCGCCTTCCACGCATGCAGGGGCCAGAAGTTATGCGGGGTCATCCCAGTTGAGGAAGCCACCTCGACCACTGCTTCGATGACCGCATATGATTTTCGGTGATTGGGAGAACATGGTCGTGCCGAGTTCGCGAAAAGTGTCTTTTTCCATGAACACTTTGCCATGATGCATGAAAACATGTTTCGTGGGCAATCTCCACGTTATTACCAGGGATGTGAGATATAAGTCGTATTGCGACCGTGCAGTTCCCTCAACCTGGTTGCTGTAATCTACGATGACTATCTGTAGGCTCGTTGACCGAGCTCAGCGATATTACGCGTCCTCGGGGTGGTAACGTTTGGCGGAGCACGAATCAAGATGTGCGGGAAGGCGACGTTGGCTCCTGGATGTCGACAAGTCAACGACGAACAACGAGGGATAGCCTTACAGAGGTTCGGCAGTTTAGCGGCGGTGAGAGCAAGCATGGAATTTGGAGAGTGGCGTCGAGCCTTCGAGGTCACGAATCTGGGCCGTAGCCGTGCGGCAGACCGACAGGCGGCAGCCTAGCGGGTGTTTCATGTACAGTCCCAAACAGATGCTGCAATCGAACGGTTCGTGTAACAGTGTGCCATTTGGCCAGCTGGCATGGAGGGCGAAAGCATGTTTCCTTCAAGGGAACACATCGACGACAGACCAGGGCCCAGCTGGCGTGTAACGTGAATGCATTCCGGAGTGTAAGAGGAGAAGCCGACCCAATGGTAGATGAAGGCCTAATTTTGGTGTCCACGGGTGGCTCACCGTACCTTCCCTGACTACTTACGCTTCCTGGCCGCGGCATCGACCAACTAGCAGCTCCACCTTAATTCACACCTCCATGCTCAACATTCACCTCCCTTTCCTTCACAATCCCCCGCCTATGACCGCCTCACGAATGATTTGAACGCTGCATTCTAATCTCCTTAATTCCTACACCGCAGCGCCGCCGCACCCAAGTTCTGCGCTACCCCGAACGCCGCTTTCTCTGAGTGCACCATCTGGCATTCCGCAACATTCACAATGGCCGACACAAACAAGGCAGAGGAGAAAGACATCCGGCCGACGAGCTCACACAGCTCGGATAGAGAGGGTGTAAGTAGGAGTCCTGGAATAAACGTGGCCTGTACCGAGATATGCACACTTGCTGATTTTATGTGTTCCTGCAGGACGACTTTGAGGACGCATCGGAGATTACCCCTCGCCCCGACTCCCACTCCGAACGCTCACGATCCTCACGGTCGCTCATCAGCAGACCCGGCTCGTCGTCTTCCACCGCGCAAGATAGCAGAGCAGACTCGCCAGTCCCCGAAGTACCGAGCATACCCAGAAATGTAGACGGCAAAGCAGAGCCCGCCAGCGGGGATGCGGCGCCCACAAAATCGCCGCTGCTCACAGCACACCGGATATCCGTGACATCAGACATGGACGACGTGTCGCTGGACGGAGGTGCGTGCCTCCCTTCTTATTTGCAGCACGTGAAGACGGACTGACATTGTACAGAGGGCGCAAAAGCACTCCCAAAATTACCCCCGCGAGACTCCCGAGACTCAACCACAATGCAGGGCTTGTCCGGCCGCATGTCGCCCGTCAAGTTCCCTCCACCACCGCCGCCGCCTGCACAGGAGAAGCCTGCCCCACCACCCCCAGCCGGACGGAAACTGACTAGCCCCTTCTCGTGGCTGTCCCGGAACACCTCAAATAAGAAGGCCGACTCACCACCTGCGCCCTTGGCCGACAGAAGAAACACAAATGCTTCCGTAAACACACTTGGCAGCAACCCCGAACTCACGCTGAGCAGAATCGACGACGAAGGCGATATGCGGTCGAACAACCGGTCGAGCCAGGGCAGTCTGCGCGACCGATTCAAGTTCTTGAGGATGCGGGAAGAGGCTGGTATAACCATGGATGAGGGCATGACCGAGTCTGGCGAGGCTGGGCTTGTTGGCCGTACCACCAGCATCAACCTTGGAATTGGCAGCCCCACGGGCATCGCTGCAGACGACCACGCATCAGGACCGACAAGTCCAGCTGCTGGACCTACCCGACAACCGACAATCAACCCGGCTTTGGCTCCCGGTACCGCTGCAGGCTTTGCGTCTGGTCCTGCTGGAGATATCGCTGAGCCTGTAGACTGGGACCTGTGGCAGTCTGTTGTTAACGAGGGGCCGACCGCCATCGCACGCACCAGTTCCGAGGAACTCAGTCGTGCCATTGCCAACGGTATCCCTCAGGTCATTCGTGGCGTCATCTGGCAGGTCCTTGCGCAAAGTAAAAGTGAAGAACTGGAGGGCATGTATCGGGAGCTTGTTGCGCGGGGAACAGACAAGGAGCACATGACTGTAAAGACACCCAACACGAGCGCTCCAACCAATGGCAACGGAAGAGAGAAAGACTCCGTTGCTTCATCCTCCTCCTCAGTACACTCGGACGCCTCGACGCCCGCAACTACCAATGGAAGCTCAAATGCCCCTCTTCCATCACCATCAGTCACATCGGATTCGTTCGAAGATCCTCTCAAGGCGCAAGCAAGGCTTGCCGCCGAGCGAAAACAGAGCGCCATCGAAGTATCAAAGTTGGAGAAGACTATCAAACGTGATCTGGGTGCAAGGACGAGCTACTCCAAATACGTCATGGCAGCCGGTCTTCAGGATGGTCTTTTTGGCATCTGCAAAGCCTATGCCCTGTACGACGAAGCTGTGGGCTACGCTCAAGGCATGAACTTCATTGCCATGCCCCTATTGTTCAACATGCCAGAGGAAGAGGCCTTCAGCCTGTTTGTCACTTTGATGAACAAGTATGGCCTTCGCGACCTTTTCGTCGCGGACATGGCAGGGCTCCATCTTCATCTTTACCAGTTTGAGCGTCTTCTCGAGGAGTTCGAGCCCGCCCTCTACTGCCATCTTCGCCGAAGAGAGGTCAAGCCCCAACTCTACGCCACACAATGGTTCCTAACACTGTTTGCGTACCGCTTCCCTCTGCAGCTGGTGCTACGTATCTACGATTTGATTCTCAGCGAGGGCCTTGAGCTGGCCATCTTGAAGTTTGGCATCGTGCTTATGCAGAAGAACGCCGAAGCACTGCTCGGCATGAAAGACATGTCGACGCTTACGACCTTCCTCAAGGAGAAACTGTTCGATGTGTACATCGACAAGGCTCCCTCCGCCAACTCCATCTTGGAGAATGGTTTCTTCGGTTCAACGGCCGGTATCGACAAGGAGGTGTACCGCGCTGATATGCTCGTCAAGGACGCTGTCGCCATAAAGATCTCACCCGAGATGCTTAAGCAGTATACCGCAGAGTGGAAGGAACAACGGCGGATCGATAAAGATCGCGAGACTGAACTACACGGCCTGAAAGACAGAGTCGCATCTCTGGAGACGAAGGTGCGACTGCTTGAGAACCGTGCCGAGCAGTCCGACATGGAGCATGTTCAAGTCGCGTCTGAATTGATCAAGACCAAGGTTGAGAACGAGCAAATAGCAGAAGAGAACGAAACCTTGAAGACAAAGGTTGAGGAGCTGCAAAAGATCGTGGACACTCAAGCCGAGGAGGTCGAAGCGCGGCTGAAGAGCGAGATGGAGACAGTGATGCAGAAGAACATTGTGGTCCACAACGAAAACCGAGCTCTCGAAGAACAGATGGCAGAAATGGAAAAGGAGCTGGTGGCGGCGAAGATGGAGTGGGCAACCGTGAGTTTACTGCATGCATTCGGCAAGCAGCGAGCGTATCTAACACAAACGCAGATCAACGAAGAGCACGAGAAACTCACGCAAAAATGGAACAGCATCTCTAACATGATGAAGTAATCATGCTGAGTATTGTTCTGTTTATATACACGCTGAGATTGACTTGCGTTAGCAAGCCAGCGTCGTATCCGAGCACCATCTATTCGCCAACACGGAAAAGTTCATGATTTACATTTCATGTCAATATTCGCTGCCGTTCTCGCAGGACGCATTCGTTCGTCCTCTTTGCTTAGGCACGTTTGGAACCAGCGTGGTCCATCTACCACACGTTCATCTATACCCATGACATCGAAGACTCAACGCGTTACGATAAGTTTCTTTTTTTTCTGAATTCAAGTGTCTCTGGATAAGGCATAGGTGCTGGAGTAGTGCATGAAATGGTGTTTGGGTAACAATTTCGCGATATCGCTGTGACCGCGACGCAGCATCGTAGTGATAGTTTCTAGTTTCTAGTTATCATAGAATGATGAACCATTCAATTATGTTATTATCATAGCCTGTCTGCATTTGCATGACCGTTACGTGAATCTAATATCTCAACATACCGTGCTCGTTCATAAGTAAAGGTGACTGCGTCCACGTGACGCTGCCTTGTTCTCGACAAAAGTGGGGCACGCTAAGCAAGCTCCTTCGACGATCAATGGGCCAGGTCTTGCTTTTCCTTTGAGCGCACCAGACAAAGACCCGCCCACGACACAACACCGCGCACCCATCCTCAACTGCGGCGCAATATCCACTTGTCCCTCATCTGCTACAACCAGCAAGCCTTACCTCACTCCTCAGGTTGTCGCACAGCGCAGACGCCATGGCTGCCCCGGGACCCGACCTAAACGCCATTCTCGCGGCACTGGGTAGGCGCATTGTTGTTGTCGCTCATTTTTACACAACATACTGACTGCCATCTAGCTGCTGGAGGACACGGCACCCCATCCCAGACACCACAACAAGCCCCGCCCGCGCAGCACCCGCCGCCGCCGCAAATGCAGCAGCAGCAGCAAATGCCTCCAGGCTACCCAGGCGCGATCCCCGCCGCGTCTCCTCCCGCTATGCCTGGCTACAACTTCCCCCAGCCCACACACTCCGGTAGCCTCGACCTCAGCGCAATCAAGCCTGTCAGCTCCGGCTCTGTTAGCATCCAAGATGCGCTCGCGAAAGCGCGCGGTTTTGCAGCGCAGAAGGGTCTTGCCTTCGACCCCCGTCCAGGTACAGACCCGTGGGCTGGTATTGGTAACCCCTCGCAGACTTACCCTATGACAGCTCATCAAGAAGATCCCCGACTGGGCGGCCGACCATACAGGCGCTCCAGGTCACGGTCACGTTCGCCCCAGCGCCGAGATGGCGCGCGTGAGGGCTACAACCCTTACCGCGACGAGCGCCGTGATGAACGTCGAGGCGGTGGCTACGCACGTGAACGCTCCCGATCCCCTCCTAGACGTGAGACCTTTTCTCCGACGAACCAGCAGTATGGTGGTCGTACCTCCCCTCCCAATGACAACTCTGAGGTGATTCTCATTGATTCTTCGCTCGTTGGCCTTGTGATAGGACGTCAAGGTGAGAGTCTTCGTCGCATTGAACAGGAGTCAAATACTAGGATCCAATTCATCAACGGCCCTGAGGCCGGTCCGCAGCGTCAGTGTCGCATCACTGGCCAACCCAGCGCGCGCATCAGCGCCAAGCGAGAGATAAACCGCATCATTGAAGAGAATGGCGGTAACCCTGCTCGTGAGACTGGCCGCAATTCAAAGCCTGGCGCAAAGCCTGTCGGTCAGCAACAGCCTGCTCTTCGCGAAGGTGAACAATCGTCCCAAATCATGGTGCCTGATCGTACTGTTGGTCTTATCATCGGCCGTGGCGGCGAGACCATCCGTGATCTGCAGGAGCGCAGTGGTTGCCACGTGAATATCGTCGGTGAGAACAAGAGCGTGAACGGACTTCGCCCTGTGAACCTCATTGGAAGCCCTGCCGCTGCTGCCCATGCTAAAGAGTTGATCATGGAGATTGTCGACAGTGACACGAAGCAAATGGATGGATCGGCGCAACCTCAGCAAGCTGCACCTCAGCAGCAGGCAGGCAGACGTGATAACTTTGATCCGTACAGCGGAGCCGGAGCTGGTGCCGCAGCCGGCGCTGGTAACAAGATCAATGATAGCATGTTGGTCCCTTCAGACGCTGTTGGCATGATCATCGGTAAAGGTACGAAATAGCTCTCCTCCCACAACTGCTCGATGACATAACATACATGAAGGCGGTGAAACCATCAAGCAAATGCAATCAGAAACCGGATGCAATGATCAATGTCTCTCAAGCTTCTGGCGCCGATATTGAGCGTGAGATCGGTCTAGTTGGATCTCGTCAATCTATTGATGATGCCAAACGTGCCATCTGGGAGAAGGTCGACTCAAGTGGTACGTTATTTCTGCCTGACATTACTTTTTGCGTCAACTAACATCATTCAGCGCGAGAAGAATAACAGCTCGTCGACGTGACAACGGCAACGGCAATGCTAACGGTGGTTATGATAACAACTACTCACAACAGGCTCAGGCTCCACAGAACGGCTATGCTGGTGGCGGCGCGCCAGCTGCACAGCCTGCTGCTGCTGCCAATCCTGCTGGCGGTGCAGCTGCTGACCCTTATGCCGTCTATGGTGGTTACCAGAACTATCTCGCCATGTGGTATGCTTCGATCGCCCAACAACAGCCGCAAGGAGGGCAACCCCAGCCGGGACCTTAGACTGTCGCGTGTCCGCTTTGACGTTGAGCATGCTGCTGAGACTTCGTCGATTGATGCTTGCTTGCTTGCATGACCGCTGTTGGACCCTTGCTGCGCGTGGCATGACATGACGAAAACCTGGACGATCCTCGATTTCTTAATCTGCGCTATGACGGGCTCACTTTGATTGATCGATGAACTTGAGTGCGATGCCAAGCGATGCTATATCTCGGACCCCGACATACCCATTAATTGGCCTCGTCTCGCCTATGCAATACCTCTGCCGCCGTCACTGCTTCATCTGCTTGACATGCTTCTCGCTTGAGCTTCCATCGTCTTCTCGACTAGTGACTACACCCTGCGATGCTGGTAGACAATCTTCGACTACATCTTAAGCCATCGGGCATAGATTGTGACCGTACTTTTCATCTCTGCTGGGGTAGTCGAGCTTATTGCGTCGAGCTGCACGTCTTTGTTCTTCTATTTCGACACCATTGTTTCAATACGACACTTTCAAAGAACATACTTTGACTCTTTTCCCGGACAATCACGGATTTTTTACATCAAAAGCACATTATACGTTTCAGCAAATCAAGGCTAACGTTCTCTGGGCGAGAACAGGAGGATTGGCGCTGGACATTCCTGGGGGCTAACAATGGATTCTTTCGGGCAAGTACATGGCACTCAGTTTGGCCCTCTCGTCCAGTCCATCATGTCTATCTTGTAAGCACCATAGCAAACTAATCCCTACTTAAAACATCAATGTCTACCTTTGCGTGATACCATAGTACTACAGTGCTTGTTCCAGCAGACGGCTACCGCCATGTCCCTACACATGCGCGGCCCTCGCCTCCAAGAACCGGTCTCACGTGCCCCAGACGCTAGCATCGCACGCAGCAGGTGGGGCACGGGAGGAGGGGCAAAAGCCGCGAACAAACTAACGGCCATCGGCGAGCTCCTGCACACGGAACGACAGCATCTGGCGCGCGCCGTCAGATAAGACACAACATGTTGGTCGTGATTCGTCGACTTGCTTTTCCAGAAATCTAGTGCCGCGGTTCAGATCTCCTTGATACTTAGTTTACTCCGCTCGCTCGCATTTCTCCACAATGAAAGGGTCGTGAGCAAGCTTGAACCAGGTCTTCTGACATTCCTTCCGTGTGTGTACTTTGGTAGCTTGTGGCGAAAGAATTTCTGGTTGTGTTCGCAGTCTTTTCAACTTTGAACTTTAGACTTTTGTGAATCTTCTTTTCTTGTACAACCCAACACAATGGCTCCAGGTCTCGTCGTGCCCGAACCTGCTGTCCCTGCCTCCGCCACACGCTCACTCGCCGACATTACAGCTTCCTACGACGACACGCTACGCTTCTACCTCAATGGCACAAAAGTCACGCTCGACGCTGCGGACCCGGAAGTCACGCTGCTCGAGTATCTAAGGGGCATTGGGCTCACGGGCACGAAGTTGGGATGCGCGGAGGGAGGCTGCGGAGCCTGTACTGTCGTCGTGTCGCAGCTGAATCCCACCACGAAGAAGATCTATCACGCATCTGTGAACGCATGTCTAGCGCCGCTGGTCAGTGTGGATGGCAAGCATGTCATCACGGTAGAAGGGATTGGGAATGTCAAGAAGCCGCATCCAGCGCAGGAGAGGATTGCGGAAGGGGAATGGGAGTCAGTGTGGGTTTTGCACGCCGGGTAAGTTTGTTTGCTGTTAGATGAGATGGGGGGAGTTATTGACGGTGGGGATCTAGGCATCGTCATGAGTCTCTATGCTCTCCTACGTAACACGGACGTCCCGACCGAACACGAGGTTGAAGAAGCCTTCGATGGAAACCTTTGCAGATGTACAGGATATAGACCGATATTAGACGCCGCGCAGAGTTTCAGTGTGAAGAGTGGGTGTGGCAAAGCGTCGGCAAATGGCGGGAGTGGATGCTGCATGGAGAAGAAGGGCGCAAATGGAGATGGGTGTTGTAAGAGTGATGGCGCAGACGATCAGCCCATCAAGCGGTTTACTCCTCCTGGCTTCATCGAATATAACCCAGATACCGAGCTCATCTTCCCGCCACAATTACGGAAACATGAATTCAAGCCTCTCGCGTTTGGCAATAAAAGGAAGAAGTGGTTTAGGCCGATGACGGTGGAGCAGTTGCTGGAGATCAAGAGCGCGTATCCGTCTGCGAAACTCATTGGAGGTTCGACGGAGACGCAGATTGAGATCAAGTTCAAGGGCATGAACTACAACGCGTCGGTCTTCGTGGGTGACATCGCGGAACTAAGGCAATTCACGTTCCATGAGGATCATCTGGAGATTGGTGGAAACGTGGTGTTGACGGATCTCGAGCAAATTTGTGAAGATGCAGTCAAGCACTACGGCAGAATCAGGGGTCAGCCGTTTGCCATGATCCTAAAGCAAATTCGGTACTTCGCTGGAAGGCAGATTAGGAATGTTGGCACGCCGGCTGGTAATCTGGCGACGGCGAGTCCGATTTCAGATCTTAATCCGGTGTTTGTGGCGACGAATAGTACGCTGTTGGCGAAGAGCTTGAAAGAGACGACGGAGATTCCTATGGCGACTTTCTTCAAGGGATACAGACAAACAGCTCTGCCTCCTGATGCGATTATTGCCGGATTGAGGATACCAGTTGCAAGAGAAAAGGGCGAGTTCATCCGCGCGTACAAGCAGTCTAAGCGCAAGGACGACGACATTGCCATTGTGAACGCTGCGCTCCGCATCTCCCTAGACGATGCACACACCGTCGAGAGCGTCGACCTAGTCTATGGCGGCATGGCCCCAACCACCATCGGCGCGAAGAAAGCCATGGCCTTCCTCAAAGGCAAGAAGTTCACAGACCTTCAAACCCTCGAAGGCGTCATGGACAAGCTCGAAGAAGACTTTGACCTCCGCTTTGGCGTACCCGGCGGCATGGCGACATACCGCAAATCCCTGGCGCTCAGCTTCTTCTACAAGTTCTACCACGAAGTGCTCGCGGAACTACACGCAGAAGAAGTGGAGATTGACACGCAGGCGATCGGCGAGATCGAGCGCGATATCAGCAAGGGCGAGAAAGATGGCAAGGCGGCTGAGGCGTATAAGCAGAAAGAGGTGGGACAAAGTAAGAATCACGTCGCCGCGATGAAGCAGTGTACTGGCGAGGCGCAGTATACGGACGACATCCCGCTGCAGAGGAACGAGCTCTATGGATGCTTGGTGCTGTCGACAAAAGCGCATGCGAAGATTCTCAGGGTGGATGCGGAACCAGCGCTCAACGAGCCTGGCGTAGTATCCTATGTCGACCACAACGACGTCGCGTCTCCCGAGGCAAATTGGTGGGGCGCTCCAGCCTGCGACGAGACCTTCTTCGCCGTCGACGAAGTCTTCACCGTCGGCCAGCCGATCGGCATGGTACTGGCAGACACTGCGAAACACGCCGAGCAAGCCGCCCGCGCCGTCAAGATCGAGTACGAAGAACTCCCGGCGATATTCACCATCGAAGAGGCCATCGAGCACGAGAGCTATTTCCAGCACTTCCGTCACATCCAGAAGGGAGACACGGAGAAGGCGTTCGCCGAGGCGGATCATGTCTTCACTGGTACCGCGCGCATGGGCGGCCAGGAGCATTTCTACCTCGAGACGAATGCGTGTTTGGCGGTTCCTAAGCCGGAAGATGGCGAAATGGAGATCTTCAGCAGTACGCAGAATCCGGCTGAGACGCAGGCTTATGTCGCCAAGGTGGTGGGTGTTGCGGCTAACAAGATCGTCACCCGCGTGAAGCGTATGGGTGGAGGTTTTGGTGGTAAGGAGACGCGTTCGATTCAGCTTGCTGGTATTGTAGCGTGCGCGGCGAATAAGGTCCGTCGACCTGTTCGATGCATGTTGAATCGGGATGAGGATATTGCTACTTCTGGTCAACGCCATCCTTTCCTGGCTCGCTGGAAGGTTGCTGTCAACAAGGACGGCAAAATCCAAGCCCTCGATGCTGATGTCTTTTGCAACGGTGGGTGGTCACAGGACCTCTCCGGTGCGGTCGTCGAGCGCTCGCTTTCGCACATTGACGGTGTCTACTCTATCCCCAACATCCATGTCCGTGGCCGTGTTGCAAAGACCAACACCGTCTCCAACACTGCTTTCCGCGGCTTTGGCGGTCCTCAAGGCTTGTTCATCGCAGAGACGTACATCGAAGAGATCGCAGACCAGCTCAACATCCCCGCTGAGAGAATGCGAGAAATCAACATGTACAGCCCCGAGACCAACATGATCACGCACTTCAACCAAGAACTCAAGGACTGGTACGTCCCACTCATGTACAAGCAAGTCCAATCCGAATCCGCCTACTCCGAGCGCCGCGCCGCCATCACAGAGTGGAACAAAATCCACAAATGGAACAAGCGCGGCCTCGCTATTGTGCCCACCAAATTCGGCATCTCCTTCACCGCCCTCTTCCTCAATCAAGCCGGCGCCCTCGTCCACATCTACCACGATGGCTCCGTCCTTGTCGCCCACGGCGGCACGGAAATGGGACAGGGCCTGCACACCAAGATGACGCAAATCGCCGCTGAGGCCCTCAACGTACCCTTATCCAACGTGTTTATTTCCGAAACCGCTACTAATACTGTGGCGAATGCGTCGTCCACCGCTGCGTCCGCTAGTTCTGACCTCAACGGCTACGCCATCTGGAACGCGTGCGAACAGCTCAACTCGCGCCTCGCACCGTACCGCGAGAAACTCGGCAAAGACGCGAGCATGAAGGACATTGCACACATGGCCTACTTCGACCGCTGCAATCTCTCTGCCCAAGGCTTCTACAAGACACCTGACATCGGCTACGTCTGGGGCGCCAACACTGGCCAGATGTTCTTCTACTTCACGCAAGGCGTGGCCGCCGCCGAGGTCGAAATCGACACGCTGACCGGCGACTTCACCGTGCGCCGCGCGGATATCAAAATGGATGTGGGGCGCAGTATTAATCCCGCGATTGACTACGGCCAGATTGAAGGCGCGTTTGTCCAGGGCCAGGGACTCTTTACGACTGAGGAGATGCTGTGGCATCGCGGCAGTGGAGGCATCTTCACCAAAGGACCAGGGAATTATAAAATTCCTGGGTTCAGGGATATTCCGCAGATCTTTAATGTGAGTCTGTTGAAGGATGTCGAGTGGGAGAATTTGAGGACGATTCAGAGAAGTAGGGGTGTTGGTACGTCATCTTCCCCTGTCACGTTTTTGCGGGAGAGACACTGATTATTTCACAGGCGAACCGCCCTTATTCATGGGCAGCTGTGTCTTCTTCGCGATCCGCGACGCGCTCAAGGCGGCGCGAGCGCAGTTTGGAGAAAACAGCGTGCTGCATTTGCAGAGTCCGGCGACGCCTGAGAGGATCAGGATTAGTTGTGCGGATCCGATTCTTAAGAGAGCGTGGGTGGAGCCGCAGGAGGGGGAGAAGAGCTTCTTCGTTAGCATTTGAGGAATCATACACAACAACGACGAGGCGAGACGAAGCGGTGGTGCAACTCGGCATAGAGAATAGATGGAAGTCTGCAACAGCCTGCCTGCAGCTGAGCTCCGGATGGGTTGGGGAGACGTATAAGGAGGGTGGGAGTGGTGGATATACCAAAATACCGCAATGAAGCACTCGTTTAAAACGTGTCTGAAGAAGTGCTTCATGTCGCTCCGTGGGATCTGACTGGTGCTTCTTGGCTGACGGTATGTCATGACTAGTCAATTTTCACCTACGTCGCATTGATTTGTATGGTGACCACAGCAGTGTTGTCAATGATGAATTTTTTAGCGGTTCTTACAGAAATACTCCTACTCACACGCGCTCCTCCAAGACATCCACCTGTGTCTCATATCAATTGATGCTGGGCCTCTAAAATAGCCAGCCATTCGTCCAAATTGTCTCCCTGTTCATCGTCCAACTCGACGATCCTCATCCCTCTAGTGTTATGCACAACCAAGATCCAGTCGTCGGCAAGGAGTTCCTCTAGCTCCTTGCCTCGTGCCGCCTCATCGTCTGCCTCAACCATCGGCGGTGGTCGCATCGCCAGTATTGCATTTTCCCAGGGCCCAAAATCCGTCATATTCTCCAGGTCTACCACGGTCGGTCGCTGTCGGATGATCGGCTCAAGAGATACATAGAGCTCTGCTTGCTCGAGATCCATGAGTTCGACAAATCCAAGATACATATATTCCCGCAGGTAGTGGAAGACTTCGCGCCATGTACCTTGGGCCAATCGAATATCTGCGAGACACAGTATCGTCAGAGTCGCGTGGCATCTTTCCAAGCCTTCTACGAGGACATTTTTGGTGAGGGCCAAATCCCCGAGCGAGAGGCGCTGAAGTGTTGGATGATCGCGTAGACTTGATGGGATGCTGTACATTCCGGGGAACATACTGCCTCTCCCGTCGTACTCCAAGTCTCTCAGTTTGGGTGCGATAGTAAGGAGATCCAGCCAATTTATGGTTGGAACTATGGTGCCGGATAGTAATGAAGAACGATGATGGATCCCATGGAAGACGCTCTTTAAGCTCAGCTGATCAAGCTCAGCAAATACAGTCGCGCTTGCTGACATACGCAACAATAGATCTAAGGCCATTGGAACTGCAGGTATTTGTTTCCCTGGAACGTAACCGCAGCCTAGGCTCAAATTGTCAAGTTGCAGTTCCTTTGATGAAGAAATAGCCTGCAAAAAGTCTGTGATCACTTTGTAAAATCCATGATGGATCATCTTGAAAATCTTTATGCTTGCTCCTTCAGGTGCACATGGGCTCTTGATGCTGAGAGACTTCAGACTTGAAGGAGGATGTGTCACTACTCTTGCAAAGTCTGCTGCAAAAGTCCCCTTGATGATGTAGGCGTACGTAGGTACCTAATCAACGTTCCGTGAGGGCAGAACCCGATCAAATTGTAACGGCGGGAGTTTCGGACCAATTTCAATGTCGAGACTGCAGACAGATTCACGGAATATCGCATCGTCGAGGATATGGTGTGCAGTGTCGAAACCTCCAGGAACGATCCTCGCAACCAGGCGAAAGAAGAACTCCTTCCCAAAACGTATACGGGTTCTCTTCTCGAGCTCTTGACAAACTAGACGAAGCTGTTTGACGTCTTCTCGTTTGAAGTGCTTGGTAATGTGATGTTCAGGTAGTCCATCGATGACAATATCCAGCAGCTCGTTGGAGATGTCGAGTAGTGCGGGCGACATTGTGTATACAGTGTGTCTGAATGTAGCAGAAGTTCCAAGGCTCGCGCCGCGTGTATCATGTGAAGTGTCTGAAGCAGGTCTTCCTTGACATCAGTGAGTGTTGCAAAGCGAAAGCGATCACGCAAAACATACCTCGCTCAATTTCTGATTCTACTAGACAATTCGTGAGCTTACTTTATGATGTTAGCGCGAAATAATAGAGTGGTGAGCGGAAGGTGAGAGCAAGGAAGAAGTTTGTTGTGGTCGGGCGCGCCAGTTTTCAAGTGGAGTGTGGAGAGAGGAAAGAGCGGCTGTGTTCAACCCGGAACTCCGACAGCTTTGATGTACAATTGGCAAGAGTCACATCGGTTTTGAAATGACGTCTGTCTGGCTTCTACATGTGACCGCAAGGTCCGATCGCTGCCGAGCGCCCAAATCTATCGAGCCTCCAGGACAAAATATCAACACATTCGTGTGTTACCTGATGCTTCAGTGAATTCTATCGATAGACATTGTGGTATGCATCTCGACTCTAGCCAAGTGCATGGTACATGATGTAATCTGCAAGGTGTCAGTGCTGTAACACAAAACTAACGAGTCTATTCATTGTACATCCTGAGTAGGTCCTATACTTCAAACACGCTAATGATTAATTGCTGCGCGCCAGTGCGACGTCTAAAAAGTCATGAACGAGAGGCCAAGCTTATATTCTATCACGGGCGAACGCACTAGTGCGCACGTGAAGTGCAATGTAAACAAGCCAATCTCGGATGTTCGAGGGCCAGTGGATGTGAATACGTGAGATTGCAAAAGTGGGAATATTGAGTGTAAAAATGGTCGTATTGAATGGCACCGAGAACGGCGAGTAGTATGGAACATTTGAAATAACAGGTATATCCTTCACATACGTCAGAACCTCCAAAGTTCGTGAACGTGCTCAATGGACGAAACCCACGCAGTGACATCGTCCCCTTCTTCTGCGTCCAGCGTGATACGATACTCATTATAAAAGTCGCGCAACAACCAAACCCAATCATCAGCAAGAAGTTCTTCCAACTCTGCCTCTGCAGCCTTATACGCATCGTCTGGAGGGCCCCTCTTGCATGACAATTTCGCAACAGCGCAGTTCCAGTCGTCATCGCGTGCTCGCGCTGTCTCTGAATCGATGATCAATGGTCGCTCTTTGTTCACCAAGTAAAGCCCGAGCCTTCGGTCCCCTTGATATAAATCCTCTATTGCAAGGTAAGTGAGTTGGAGGTTGGCTCTCATCATCCTGAGGAGCGGGATCCAGGTGCCGGATGTCAGATTGATATTCCTCAGGCCAATTTCTTTCAAAGTAGCGCTCAACGTGAGGAGGTTCTCAGCGAGTAACGTCTCGCTAATGGCAAGGCCTGCAAGAACAATCTTCGTAAGCGCCCATCGTGGTAGTAAGTTTCTGGGAAGGCTGTCTAATCCTGGATATTTGGATACCAGAGGATCGCCCAGTCCTCCTCGATATTCCAGGAACCTTACTTTGGGCGCCAGAGCCAAGAAGTCGTCAAATGTGCGAGTTGCATCTCCTGTACTCGGGTGTTGTACAGGCTCAAGGGCATCTTCGTCGATGATCGTTGCCAGAGTAAGCTTATCCAGCTTGGAGAGAAACTTTGAGGTTTTTGGTATTCCTTGGAACATATATGTTGGTATTGGTAGTGCTTGAGGGCCGCCGACGCCCAACATCAGAACTTTCAACCGAAGTCCTTCATCTGAGAATGCAGTCGTGAGTATGTCTCTGAACGCCTTCTGCCAAGCAAGATTGATCTTTTCCTGGAGTTCCAACGATATACCCGAAGGGAGAGGCGGGCCGCATAGGTGCAGCGTCTCCAAGTTCGCGCAGTGTTTGAGGTGTCGATCGAATTCTCCCTTGAGACTATCGTCCATGATGAACTCGGTGAAATGCGTCCATGCACCAACATCCTCTGGCGAGAGATCGAGTTGAGCGAGGCAGATCGTGTACGCTTGAACAAATTCTTGAAATTCGGGGTTATCGTACATGTCCGGATAGTACTCGCCATCTTCTTTGACTTCTCGATAAGGTACATCTATCTTCACACCTCGGCAAAATTCACGCAAAAAGCGTCTCCGTGTTTTGGTTTCGATCGTCTGGCAAACTAGACGTAGGTTCATGAGGTCATCCCGATACTTCGCATTTGTTGGCCCGATGTTGGGTAGCTCGTGGATGATTACATTGAGCAGTTCTACAGGTAATTCGGCGAGCGTAGATACCATTGCGCTTTCGCTGACTGGTGAACTGTTCTCAAAGCTGTCTCCGTGTAAACGTCGTGTGATACCCTAGAATGCTGTGTCCGTTCGAAATAAGTACAATTCGTCTTGAAAAATAGGTGACACATACCTTGAAAAGATGCAGGTGTAAGACTACTACAGCACAGTACAAGCGGCGTGGACCAAACGACTTGAGAGAAAGTGGTCGTGCGTCTAGTCGAGAGAAATCTGTACTCAACCACCGTACTTCGATACTATAAAAACATCAGCCTCGTCGCGCCGACTGTTGTAGAAGACGTACCTTGCAGATATAGATATACAACAAGCAGAGCTCAAGCGTCATGTACCGAAATGCCTAGACGTGGGTACCCGTGCGGTCAGCGCAGATAAAGCTAACTGTAGTGTCGCACAGTCAGTGCTCCAGAATCTCAAGAGTCATTCAGTATCCCGAAGCGACGTATAATCAGCGTAAGACATACCTCGCAAGTAGGACTAGTATCTTGGTAATCCAGGTAGCCAAATCGTGCCGTGTCGAATTTCAGTGCAAGAAAGTAAGAGCAGCACTCATAATCGAGAAAACCATATGAACCACCAACGCACTAGCGCACACGTGAATTGCCAGCCACGATATCCGTTTACCACGTCCGTGACCTCAATCATGTATTCATTCAATTATCTCACTTCACTTCTACAAACTTCCAGCGCTTACCGCAGCCCACGAATCTACTCAAATATCCCCTTCTCAAACACGACCTCATACTGCTCATCGACCACCTCACCCTCGCCCTCATTTCCCCCACTCCATATCTTCTTCGCGCCCATCTTGCATATCTGCACTCTATCTATCCTCACTTCCTCAGCCCAGGTAAAGTCCTTGTACTTGTCGATCAAATCCCGGGCATCGAAGCGCATCCGGTCTTTTGCATCGGGACCGTGGCCTTCACTCCTTGACGGATCGTCTTCGCCAGAATCCGCCGCCGAACCATCGTGGTGATGTGGAGAAATTTTATGCTCAATGTGCTTCAGTGTCTCTTTCACATGGCTTTTGCGTCCTCGGCGTGCGCTGGACTTGGCGTAGATGGTGTTAATGATGGTAGCGTGGAGTTTCAAGGGCCGGGAGTCTTCGATCATGAAGCCGTTGTTTATAAACTCTTTCCGCAGTAACTTTGCGAATGGGACCAGTCTCTGATGTGAGTCTGTTGGGGTCGCGTAAAGTATGCTTGTGTTTTGCGGCGACTGCATGGGTGTTAGTGCTTCTAAGTTGATGGTCAACGAGTCTGTGTCGGGCATGGCGGCTGCGTTGAGGTTCTCGGATATCGCGCCGTCTTCGGCAGCTTGTTCTGCGACTTTCCGCTGTGTGAGGTCTCGCAGGATTCTGTGCAGATGAAGCTCTTGTAGGAACTGCTTCGCTTCTTCTAATTGAGCATTGTCGAAGCTCATAACACCCAGTGTAAGATGCAGAGTACCGGGTGGTCGCACTGCTTTTGCTGGAACTAAGGGGTCTCTTTCGAGATCGCCCTTGAGAGTCTGCAACCCACTCTGAAGTTGATGTCTATTGGCATCTGTGACCAGAGGTAAACATAGGAAGTGGGTTAATCGCGGCCTCTTTGAAGCTCCTTTGCTGTTGCCAAGCTTCTTGCTCCCTTTCTGGTCATGGCCTATTGCTATCGGCGAAGGCGAAGCATTTGTAGTGGAAGTGCCTTGCAGCGAAGTTCGAATCTCCGTGTTATCACGCAGCTTCTCGCCATCTACGAAGTCGTTGTACTCGCCATTCGCCTTCTTCTTGCCCATGATCGACGATGTGGCGTGGGATCGGGCCGAAGATAAGTGGGTCGCTCGTTGTGCAAGTGGAGTGGTAAAGTCTTTGTTGATGATGTGCGAGGGATGCAGACGGTCGTGCAAGCAACGGGAATTGAGACTCGTGACCGTTGTTAAGATAACTGCGTGATGGACGATTGGTGTAAGCGCGGCTCGACGCGTCGGGACAAGCATGCAAGCCACAAGCGAAGACGTTGGGCGAGTCAAGGTGCAGCAGTGGCTGGTGCTTGGAAAGATGGTGTACGAGTGTTTGGGTAGATATTAGCAGTGGCGGCGCATCAAATGACAGTGCTTGTTAATGCCAGTTGCGTGCCAACAAATGCTGCAACTGCGTTTAGGCTAGTGAATGACGTCGCCCCTTGTAGTGGGGATGTTTCTGACAGGGCGCCGTCCCAATCGCTTCACATACTCCCGGGCCCAAGATCATCGTGTAGGGCTGAAGAACATTCCATGGCACGAGACAGCGGTGGGGTAGTTCATGCTTTTGTGATACGCTCAAAAAAGTCTATTCAAAACTGGAGGAGAAGTGAGGCATGTTCTAGGCTGGCTATGGAATCCGTCCCCGCAAATCATGACGGTATTCTTACGAATGTCCCTAGAGAACAGAGGCGGTGTCATAGACGAAGGAAACTCGTGACTCGCTGGGCGGCAAGATGCGGTCGCTGCGCAGGACGCCGTGTCGCATGCCGCTCCCCTTGACGGCGTGCGTGCTCGCGCGTGCTGCCGGAACCCACACCGTCGGCCAGCGCTCATGACGTATGGGCCGTCGCATACCGATAGGGCCCTTGTGCGCGGTGGGCGGCTTATGGCGTGTCCTTGTAGAACTCCTTGAGCACGTCCTTGACCTCAGTGAACTCCTCCTTGGCCTGCTTGATGATGATGGCAAGCTTCTCTTTGGCCTCCTTCTCGGTGATGTCCTCTGTGCCTGCGTCATCCTTGAGGGAGCCGTAGTGCTGGATCTTCTCGCACGAGTCCTTGACTTTGGTGAGGCCGAGCGTGGCGGAGGAGCCCTTGAGGAAGTGGCCGAGCTCGCTCAGCGTCTTGAGGTAGTCTTCCTCTTCCTTCTCACTGGGCCGTGTCAGCAGGGTCGCATGCGGGGGGCGAATGAATGCACTCACAGGCTTGTGTCCATCTTGGCAAATGTGCTGTCTGCCTGGCCAAAGAAGTCGAAGACGATGCTTTTGCTGAATTCGCGGTCGACCTCGTCCTCGTCCATCTCGAGGATCTGCTCAAACGTCGCAGGGTCGATGGTGTCCTCCGCACCGGGGATCGACATGATGCCCTCGACGCCGTTCTGTCGCGATACGTTAGTTTAGGGTAAGGTGCGTAGGCGCGCAATGATGCTGGTGTGTCTGAAGGAATAGGATGCACATGGGCGGCTTGCGACACCCGTGGACGTCGTGGAGAGACCCAGAAGGCGCGATGCGAGCCCGCGAGTGGAGGAGGGGCACACAAACCTTGTCGTCGCTAACCGACATGGCTTAGAAACAGCACTGCAAGCTGGAACAACACAATAGCTCTGCGCGCTGAGACACAGGCGACACCCTTCGTATGCTCGGTGTCGCAAGGACGCAGACCAAGTTGAGCACGACCGGTTATTTTCGCGCGCCTAGGTTGTCCGAGTAAGTTTCCGGCCGGGTCCTGCACTTCACTGATGCGCTCAATTTGGTTAGATTATGACGAAAGGGCCGGCCCGCCGAGATGTGAGAGCCGTTGACGTGTCGAGGCTGTCCTGAAACAGAAAGATGGTTGTCGAACGCAGATGCAGATGGGATGGCTGACCTGTGGTTATGTTTCGTTTGTCTGCTGCTAAGCAATATGTTAGCTCCCCACGGCTCGCGTCAAGCCTGCAGAATCCTCGGAGTCAGTTGCCGAATTTCTTGCGGCGGCAGCTAATCCACTCACGGCAAAATGGTACGATGGAGACTGGGTAATGGCGACGTCTGATGGGAATAGAGTACGAGTGCTGGGGCTGCGACGCTCACGGGAGGAGAATCGCTCAAATGTGCTGTGCTGTTGTGGTCTAAGAAGCAGAGCGGGCGGTTGTTTGCATCACTGCGGAAGAGGGGCACGCGGCGACGAGCCAGAGAATAAGGCTGACTATATGTGGGTGGATACCTCGACGTCAATCGACAGCCATCACTCGCTGTTGATCATCCCTCCCCGAAGCCGCTGCTGGACCTCCCACCGCCGGCTGACAGGCGACGGCCACCATGACCACGACCCCTCGCACCTTGAGCAGTCCGGCCAAAGGCAACACCCAGTGACATGTGGAGTCATGTCTGACCTGGCGTCTTGCCCGCGCCGTGGTTACCTCTGCGGCTGGTGAACCTAGCTTCGTGGACCCTTTTGGGTGCGTGCTGGAAGATTGTCCCTCGTAATGCTTTGTTCTGCCAACAGAACGTGCAGGAATGCGTGGAATGAAGACGGGCACCGCACGCCAAGCGGGTCTAGAAGCGTTCGAAAATGGTGATTTTCGCTGTTCAAAGGTCAAGGAGGGATGTTAGACGACGCATTTATGGGGGTTGCTTTTGGATGATGACGCTACGTCATTCTTAGCAGCCGCACCATCGTCATCTTGCAGGGTAAAAGTACCCTGCGTCACCAGGGCCGTCCAACGCCGCTAGCACATTCGCGGTCAACATGAAGCCTCAAATTGTCCTCACTCAACAGCTTCCAGCCACCCGCGAGACGAACACCAAGCAGCAGACATATCTTGTCCATGTCTGCCGTTCGACACAGGGTGCAAACAGCATCCCTCCGGGCGTAGGCGGCAGGCATCTTCCCACCATCGCTCGCTTTTTCGGACGTAAAACCTGCAACATGCAGCACAAGCGGGTGAATAGCGTTCATCCGGCCTCCTCCGACCAACAGGCTATCAATGCCCTCCCGCAGTCGACATGGGTGCATGCTAGGACTTCTTGCCTGAGGCAGTTGGGATCGACGTCCGTGATCCAAACTGCAGGGTCGTAGAAGGCCCGTGAATCGCAGCAATTGTGTGCCCTCGGTCTGAAGCCTCTGCAGCTGTAGTCGTACCCGGAAATGTGGTTACCACTGTCACGAGCAGCATGCCAAGGATATGACACTGACAAACACTAGATCGCACGATCAGTTTTCTTACGCAAGTATTACGTTCTTACGCTGATTTCCCTCGCAGTCAGAGTCAAGTCCATGTACAGAAACCTCAACGATCTCAGCACTCAGTTGCTTTTAAAACAAGGGTCACGCCATCGACCGCTTGATTAGCATGTAGTGTAGTAGACTACGTGCTATATCTGTGTAGGAAGTGATCTGCTCAGCATGAATCGTTAACTTTTCGTTTTATGACTGTCGCGATGTGGGGTGTGGAGATCGTGCAGCTTGTAACAAGGGTCGAAACACTTCACGAGAACCAGGAGGACGTTGCCGAACCTGGTTGCAGTGCCGAGAGCCGAACGTGGGCTGCGCGATCGACTAAAACTTTTGGGAGTGCCGTAGCGCCAGACTTTATTATGTTCGCGTCGACTAGGTTTGTAATGCAATCTAGCCTCCGTTGTAATATAGTACAGTCTACTGCTATGCTGTGTCGTGCTGATTTCATTTCAATCGTCGGGGAAGAGAAAGTCAACGCCAGTACCAATAGCCTAGCCCTTGACCTTGTAGATGGCCTCGGCGAGACGACCAACGTTCTCGCTGGTGATGCCGGCAACGGAGATACGGCCGTCCTTGGTGGCGTAGACAGAGTGCTGATGAGTAAGTTAGTGAGATGAAAAGTACACGGTTTTCCTGTCACTTACCTCCTTAGCCAGAGCATCCATCTGCTCAGGCTTGAGTCCAGTGTACGCGAACATGCCAATCTGCGAGGTGATGTGGCTCCAGTCATGCTTGCTGCCGAGCTTCTCGAGGTTCTCCTTCAGCAGAGCACGCATGGTGATGATGCGGTCAGCCATGCCCTTGACCTCACCAAGCCACTGCTTGTTCAATGAGGGGTCGTTGAGGATCTCAGAAGCGATGCGGGCGCCGTGTACAGGAGGGTTGGAGTATAGTGGGCGCACAAGGATCTTGATCTGAGAGTCGACACGCTTCTTCTCATCCGCTGATTCGCAGACGACGGAGAAGGCACCAACACGCTCTCCGTAGAGACCCTGAAACGTTCGTCAGTGAGAACAACACTTTGAGCGAGGCTATGCTTACCATGTTCTTGGCGAAGGACTGGCACAGGACAGGGTAAAGACCCTCCTTAATGAAGTGACGGAGCGCAAAGGCATCCTTGTTGGTGTCGCCACTGGCAAAGCCCTGGTAGGCCATGTCGAAGAAGGGAAAGTGGTCGCCTGCCTTTACAGCATCGGCAATCTTGACCCACTGGTCCTCAGTAGGGTCGACACCGGTTGGGTTGTGAGCGCAGGCGTGGAGCAGGATAATGCTGCCCTTGGGCATGGCCTTGATGTCTGCAACCATTCCATCGAAGTCGAGGCCGATGGTATCCTTGTTGTAGTACCTGTACTTCTCGACCTTCAGGCCAGAGTCCTTGAAGACGGCATTGTGGTTGGCCCACGAGGGAGTGGGGATGTAGATGGCCTTCGCGCCGGGGTAGTGACGCTCGAGGAAGGCACCGCCAATGCGGAGGGCACCGGTGCCGGAGATGGTCTGGGTGACGGCGATGCGGTCTTCGCTGAGAGGAGCAGAGTCGGCGCCATATGCGAGCTTAAGGGCAGCCTTGGTGAAGTTGGGGACACCGGTGATGCCAGCGTACTCCTTGTCGAGGTTCGCTTCGATGATCTTCTTCTCGGCTTGCTTGACTGAAGGGAGCACATAGGGCTTGCCCTTGTCATCGCGGTACGCACCAACACCTGTACGAGTCAATTGGCGTCTCTCAAGCTGGACATGTCATCTACAAACCCAGGTTGATCTTCTTGGGGTTGCTGTCGGCCTTGAAGGCTTCGGTAATACCCAGAATGGCCTATGCGGGGTGGCGGTGAGCAAGAGTCAGTGTGGAGTCTCGACGGTATACATACATCCTAAGCGGTAATTAGTATATTGTGTGAGTTATGGACAGCGCAATGCCCTGTTGCACTCACCGGAGGTCCCTGAGCGATCTGCGACCATACTGAGACAGCTCGGACGCTGCCCTTGACGGAGATGTGCTTGGTGGCTGCTTGACGCAGTGCGGTTCTTGAGGCGAGCATGGCGAATGTGTGTGCAAAGGAGATGGTCAATTGCGGAGGAGGGTGGAGGAATGATGGAGACAGAGCTTGGTCGATCAAAGTGGAAGCTGCCTAGGTGGTCTGAGTATAAATTGTCCCAGAGTAGCCAATGAAGCCAGTGGCTGTTTGTACGACTCCAGTGGCCCGGGACTCGAGAGCTTGACTGCGTGGCACGTGCACCATGGGGAAGCTAGTCTATGTAGCCTAGCATCATCGGGAGGTAGTCACGCTGCTTCACAACGAAGTCTGCGTGCTATAGATGAGCTGACGGTATCCGGACTGCATACTACTCATGAAAAGATAGATTGCGCGATGTTTTGAATGTCTACAGCCCATGCTGTCGAAATATAGAAGAATGTTGCGAATCACTGCTACTTCCGCTTAATTCCGCTGTCACCAAAAAAAGTCGACCAGACTTTGATACACTGCAAACGTCACCCACGTGCACGCAACCCTTGTTTAGCCGAGTACATCTGGAAGAGTGCTGCGGTCAGTGCAGGCAAAGTGTCATCTACTACAGTATGCGACCTGCGTTTCGCCGGGCAAAGACGCTACTTGATCACGATGTTCATGCATTTTCAGTACCTGCCTTTCTCTGTCCTGCGCTCCTCAGGCCACCGGTAGCCATACCTCACCGCCATGCGCCAACCCCCAAGCGCTCGAAGAAATTCTCAACCCTCGGTCGAGCGCGACAACACGCCACAGCTGCCATCCCTCCAGCCGACGCTACTGAAAGTCAGCCCACAGACACACCACAAGATAATGCACCAATAAGTGGAAGATCGCTCCCACGGGCTTGTCCAGGATGCGGTGCGCCTAGTCAGGTCTTCGACAAGAATGAGGCTGGGTTCTATAATGTGGACAGGAAAGTGGTACAGGAGTACCTGGGATGGAACTCAGACAGAAAACAAGAAGCCAGTGAAGAGGACGCTGTGTATGCAAAAGCGCTAGAAAGCTTAGACTCTACTGTACTGCGAGAACTTGGCGTGTCGAAAGAGGAACTCGGCGCGTCAAGAAATGGTGTCGACACAACGAGTCTGGAAGATGAGCAGTCAGCGACACCGGTATGCGACCGCTGCCACAATCTGATCCACCACCGGGTCGGATCACCCATACACCACCCCACTGTCGAAGCGATTCAGCAGACCATCTTTGAGTCTCCGCATCGACTGAATCACATCTACCATGTCGTCGACGCCGCAGATTTCCCGCTATCTCTCGTCCCTCGTCTCCAGTCGTCTCTACGAATACCGAAGCTGCGAACGCAGAACCGGCGAGCGAAACACAAGGGTTGGGTAGCCAACGATAGGATCGCAGAGATCAGCTTCATCGTCACAAGAGCAGATCTGCTAGCACCCAAGAAGGAGCAAGTGGATGCGCTGATGCCCTACATCAAAGACGTACTTCGTGATGCCCTAGGCAGAGAAAACAAGTTGGCGCGTCTGGGCAATGTCCGTCTTGTCAGCGCCAAACGAGGTTGGTGGACGAAGCAGATCAAGGAGGACATCTGGGAGCGCGGCGGTGCGGGCTGGATGGTCGGCAAAGTCAACGTTGGAAAGTCCAATCTTTTTGAAGCAGTCTTCCCCAAGGGTAGAGGCGCCGACTTTCAGGAGATTCGCAAGATCCGTACCGCGGCTGAGCGTGAGGAGATGCTCAGCAGCGCGAAATCACTCGAGGACCTCACCCGGGTCCAGCGAGAACTCGCTGAAGAAGACGCCGAGACTGAACGTCTCGCAAAGCAACGCCAAGAACATACCCATCAACCGCCTGAAGAAGATGATATCGAAGACTACAACGACGATCCGGACGCTCTCCTTCCTCCAGCACAACCGTTCACGCTGTATCCTGTTCTCCCCGTCGCCTCCTCTCTCCCAGGCACCACCGCTTCTCCCATCCGTATCCCCTTCGGCCGCAACAAAGGCGAACTCATCGACCTCCCCGGCCTCGCGCGCACATCTCCCGGTCTCGAAACCTTTGTCCAACCCGCCTCCCACGACGACCTCGTTATGGAAAACCGCATCACCGCCCAAAGACACACCCTCAAGCCCGGTCAATCCCTCATCCTCGGCGGCGGTCTCCTCCGCCTTACGCCCGTCACTGAAGACCTCGTCTTCCTCATCCACCCCTTCGTCCCCATCCACGCACACGTTACCCGCACCGAAAAAGCCCGCGACTTCCAGCACCAAACCTCCGACCGCCAACTGCAAGTGCCCCCCATCCTTGCCCCCAACGTCGGCGACAAGATGCAGTCCGCAGGTACATTCCAGCTCAAATGGGACGTCACCAAACAGCTCGCCGGGCCCGTGACATCCTCCGTCGCCGGCAAAATGAAGCCCGAAAACCTCCCCTTCCGCATCTGGAGCACAGACATCCTCGTCGAGGGCGTCGGCTGGCTCGAAGTCAGCTGCCAGACGCGTCGCCCGCAGGGCTGGAAAGCACCCGGTATGGTCAAAAAAGACCCGAACGCTTTGCAGAAGCAGAAGCAGGCGCAGCAAGCAGCCGAGGCGGCGCGCAAGACGCGCAAGTTCGCGGCGATTGCGCGGGCGGAGGAGGAGGGGAGACACGTGGATGAGGTGCTGGAAGAGGAATTTGGCGACGAGGATTGGAATGCAAGCGGTGATCAGATGGCCGAGTGGGAAGACGATTATCCTGAGATCGAGGTGTTCAGTCCGCTAGGCAAGTTTGTGGGTGCGAGGCGCCCGATGTGTGCGAGTACGGTTAGTGGGCCGAAGCAGATCAGCAGTAGGGAGAGGAAGGTCAGACCGCGGCGGAGTATGGTCAGTGTAAAGCGACAGCGGAAGCCTTGTGGTGCATCGTAGATGGAATACGTTGTGTAAACAAACATGTAACATTAGGGACCTTTGTATATATGGTTGTGTCAAACCCTACCAGCCAATATCGGATTTTTCGCATTTGAACATAGTTGTACAACATGACGCCGTTATGCGTTTCATTCCCCATATCTTTGGTCGCCCGCCTGGACACGTATGATGCGCAGTAAAAGTAAGTCCCAACGCCGTTTCGCCTGAATCGCCATGAATGCTCCAGATGTCCCCTGAGTTGTCCCTCGAGGTTGCTTCGTCGTTGCCCATGGGCTTCCAGCTCACGGTGCTGACGCGGGGCTCTATGCCCTCTCCAAAGCGTCGAAAAACGGCTGGTGTTCCTTCGCGCAGTCGCGACCGTCCTTGTCGCAGCCGGGGAAGTTTGCGACGAGATCGCCTTGCTTGTGTATGCCGTTCTCAGGGGCTGCGGGGCCGTTGGCGTACGAGTTGATGAGGTTCTGCGGGACCATCGCGAGTTTGGCGAGGATGGTACCATGCCATCTATTGGTTGTTAGTCACTCATGCCTACAGTCTTAGAGCGTCTGACACGTACTGCACGATATGCTCCAGCGCATGGAACTCGGCCTTCTGGAAGTTGTAGCTCCGGTAGATGGGGTCAAACCAGACGTCTAAAAAGTACTTGGCCCACTCCCCATTCCTGACGATGAAGCTGTTCGGCGCCAGGCCGTCTTTATCTTGAGCGATGACAAGATCTATGCGGTCGCCCTTGAGATTGCCGAATGTTTTGATCACACTGTCTGGTGGCACGACAGGCGCATTCGTGATCATGGTGGACTCGAGCTTCGCGGGGGTGAGAAGAGACGTGTGGATTGGGATGGTGGGGTTCGTGATGATGGCATTGTGGTCCAGGTACCAGAAGAAAGTCGAACCTGGGTGGATGGTCATGGCATGGCGCATGGCGGGGACGCGTGCCCATGTGAGAGGTGAGTTGCCGAGGGGGTATTGGTCGTTGTAGGGGAAGAAGGTCTTGTAGCCTGTGTATTGTCAATCACGTGTCCTCCAGTGTGAGTAGAGATTGTAGCCATACCGTGCCTCTTAGCATACCCCTCGCGGTTTTGCTTGATCTTCGCTACCCATTCTGGATTCGCCTTGGGGTCCAGTACTGTGACTATCACCACTGGCGCTCCACTTCCAATAGCAACCTTCGGTAGGTTTGGTGCATTCGAGTCGCTGCTGCCGCCCAGCTTTCCCAGTAACCAGTACACGGAGAGGAATCCTAACATGGCTACTATTACCACCCGCAGCTTGTCTCGTCGCAACAGATTCTTCAGCGCCGGGGGCAATCGTAGGCCGCTCTGTTGCCGTGCAGCATATGGCGGTGGCCGCGACGTCTTTCGTGGGGGCATCGCGAAATGCATTGTGGTGGTGCGAGTGGGAGCGGCCAGGGAGAGGCCACTTTTAGATATCGGCGGCGGTGGAAACGAGGGATGGCAGTTGGAGCACAATTGAGAGCACAAGCGGCGCACTACTTGTGCATGCTGAATCTGGTGTGCGACTAGGATACAGGGTGGAAGGAAACGTTCAACGCTGCTGGGTCTACACAACGGCAAGAGGATATTGTGGAAAAGGGAACAAAGTTCACTCCCGTCGCGATTCGACATGGACGGCTTGTCAGTCTTGGCAAGTGCCGGACCCTTGCTTTCCCACCTTAGCGTCCACGGGTGCCTCGCCTCGCTCATCACGGCGTTTGGTTCGCCATAATCTTCAATACGTCCTTTTCCTTACCTCTCTACACTCTTCTCGACCCAATGGCCTCCTCGCATTCTACGAACGGCCTTTTCGCCCGTGCAGCGGAGCATCAACCTCGGCACCATGAGATATGCTAGCCCCGACAGCCTTGCGATAACTAAATCACGACCTTTTGTAAACCTATCATGTCACAATAATCTTCAAATCTCCAAAGATATGTTCGAGCTTGCATTCCATGCCATGGTCGCTCTCTCACAGTGCTTCGAACTTGGATGTTGCGTAAACAAAACGTTTCCTAACTTCACCACTATGACTTACTTCCAGAACACCCACCGTGCAAAAGCACGGGCATCGGAAAAAGCGAATTCGAGCTTTATGGCGAAATTGATATCACAAACTTACTCTGAGCCGTATTCTACCGATCTCCTTCGGTGATAACAAGTCTCCTTCTCAATACCCGCTATCCAAGCCAGGACCCGATTTTAGACCTACTGGATGACGTTTGACGTGGTCACAGCTACATATAATCATCTTACGAAACTTCAACACAACCACAATTCATTCATTCATCTTCATCCAAAATCAGCAAACATGGTTCAAAAAGTACTTCAACTCAAATGTTCGTGCAATTCATATCCGTGGGGTCGGACTGGGCGCGAGTCTCTGGCTGCAACGCTATGCGAGAAGACTCCGGGTACTGATTTTAAGCTCGACGAGAAGAGTCCGTACGCCGAAATGTCAGCCGTGAAGAAACTTTGTTCCTGGTCATCGACTAACCAACAATAGGTGGATGGGGACATACCCTGAGCTTCCGTCATATGTTCTGGAAACTGGTGAAGATCTTCAAGATGTCATCGACAAATACCCAGACGAGCTGCTCGGCAAAACGGTTGCTAGAAAGTTCAACCACACCAAGCTGCCATATCTGCCCAAGGTTTTGTCGATAGCGAAGGCCTTGCCTCTACAATTACATCCTGTACGTCTACTCGCGCATCGAATTGCGCTATGCTCATGCACTACTAGAACAAAGATCTCGCTTCCAAGCTACACCAGAAGAACCCCGATCAGTTCACAGACCCAAACCACAAGCCAGAGATTGCACTGGCGCTTGGCGACTTCGAGGCATTCTGCGGCTTCAAGCCTCTCAAGGACATCGAGCGCACGCTGCAGTTACCACCACTTCAGGCCTTTCTGCCGCAAGTCAAGAAAGCCGAGTTCGATGACCAAACTCTCAAGCACGTTGTCAAATCCATGCTCGAAGCCTCAGACGATGTCGTCCGCAAAACCAACGATGCCCTCATGGCTCTTCCCAAGGAGAAATTTGGCGAGGACTCCTACATCCCAGAAATGATCCCACGTTTAGCGGAGCAGTACGACAAAGCCGACAACGGCACCCTAGTCGCGCTCATCACCATGAATTACCTGCAGCTCAAGGAAGGTGAAAGCATTTACATCCCCGCAGACGGTATCCATGCATATCTCTCCGGAGACATCATCGAATGCATGGCGCGCTCAAACAACGTCCTCAACACGGGATTTTGCCCACGTGCTGATCGCGACTCGGTCGAAATGTTCACGTCGTGCCTCACATTCACGCCACATGACGTCAAGGATTGTATGCTGCCATCGCAGTCGTTTGGCAAGAGCAGCAACGGCAAGTCAAAGCTCTACGCTCCACCGCTCAGCGAGTTTAGCATGTACGCCACCACTTTGGCTGCAGGCGAGTCGGACACGATCAATAAGATTGGAGGGCCGAGTGTCATGATTGTTACAGAGGGTGAGGGAACGCTGAAGGCTGAGGGCAAAGAGCACAAGCTGAGCGCGGGATATATTTTCTTCGTTGGGCAGGGTGTTGAGCTGGAGTTTAGCGCTACGAAGACACTTAAGGCATTCACGGCTTTTGCTGAGTAGTCAAATGAGGGAGGCGGCTTGGTATTCAGATGAGTTACTCGTAATGAAATAGGACGATAGATATGGTATCTGTAACTCGCAATGTCTAGTGATGCCGCAGACTATGTGACCTTTCAACTCGGCCATGATCGATGTTATCTCCAGTACATATGAACGCCCCGCCCCGTAGCGCTAAAAATAGTTAGAAATACTCCAGTTTTACACGTCCTGTCAGTTGGAGGCATTTCCGTTCCCAAAAATGCTTCCCGCAAAGGGCTGAAAGCCAGAAGAAGCGCCCTGCGAACCTTGAGCAGGAGCAACTGCTCCCGAGCCCGAAGCAAGCGGCGACTGAGCAACCGCAATACCTGGACTCTTCGCCTTCGCCTTCCCCTTCCCCTTAGGCGCAGCCCTCACACCTGTCTTCGCCTTCTTCCTCGCCCCCTCCATCTTCTTCCCCTCCCCCGCCCCAAACTTCTGAAACCTCAGCCTCCCCTCGCGCCCAAAAACCCGCTGCGGCGTCTTCAACTTCGCAAACATGCCTTCACCCACTTCGTCTTCCTCAATCTTCAAAACCTTCGCATTCTGGATAATCTCTACAATGCCCGCGTCGTCCTCCAGCTCCTTAGCCTCAAGATGCTGTGCGCGTGACATTTTCTTCGCGTGCTTGAAGATCGCATGTTCGATCGTGTTCTCCAGCACGAGCGTTTCGACCGTGACTTTCTTGTCCTGCCCGATGCGGTGCGCGCGCTTAATGGCTTGGGCCTCGATGCTCGGGCGGTTGATGGGGTTGACGATCAGCACGATGCTGGCGGCGTTGAGATTGAGGCCGAGCGCGCCGCAGGCAACGTCGATGAGGAGCACGCGGACGTCTGGGTCGGAGTTGAAGAGTGCGACGTATTCGGAGCGCGCGACGTTGTTGAGGGTGCGCGCGTAGATGCGGTGGTTGATGTAGAGCATTTCTAGGCACTGGGCGATGTAGAAGGCGGCGTTGTCGCCGTCGTAGAAGATTATGATCTTCTCGGTGGCTTGGTGGGCGACTACTTTGTCGAGGAGGTATGTGAGCTTTGCGGATGTTGTAGCGATGATGCGGGTTTTGAGGAGTGGGGAGTCTGCAGGTAGGTCTGCTTGTTCCTCAGGTAGGGTGAGTTTGCGCTTCTTGGGGCGGGCGGGTGATGCTGCGAGCAATGGTATTTCTACATCCTCTTTCTTCTTTCCTGGAGAGGTTTTGCTTGTAAGCGGTTGGTCGCCGATACATGAAGATGGCACGCCAGCTTTCCGTATCTTCGACTCCGCATCTTTCTTTGCTTTAGCCTCTTTCTCTGCTTCCGCTAGGGCTTCAACCTTTGCCTTCGCCACCTGTCCCACCGCATTGAGGTCTTCTGCAGGATCCTGCGACGATATATTGCTGTCAACGTGGAGTTGACCCTCGCGGAGTTGTGTGATGCCCATCATGGTAGGCTTTGTGGGGTATGCAAGTGCAAAGTTCTCCTCTGAGTCCTTCGGCCAGTCCTCAACAGCCATACCGACTTCGTGCGCCTTGCTCAGGGCGATCCATTCTTCAGATTTCACGAGCCTTGAGATAGCGTGACTGCTCTCCAGAAGCGAATCAACATCCGCCTGGTCGCACTTCTTGTCGTCTTTGTCAAGGTACTTTTCCGTAGTTTCGAGAGTATTGATCACGTCGTCGAGACTGAAACCCGTCCAGGTAAAGTTAGACTGCCTTAAGTTTTGTATAAGACTATAGCGAGCCTTCGCACTGTTCTTGTGGAACAGATAATCGACATCGCTTCGTTCACTCGTAATCGCATTGGCCCTCAAGACCTGAACAAACAGGTTCGCGGTCATCTTATCATACCAGCATGGCTTCAAATATATCACGCGGTGCGTCATAGGCGGTAGAACGATGTCTTTCTCCACGTCTTCTGGCCTTGTCTTGACGACTAAACCCTCAAGAGTGCGAAGAAAGCAAGAGGAGAATCCAGAATAAGTCTTCCTGTACTGCTCCTCGTGTCGATAGATGTACTCGTCCCAGTCAAGCCTTCCCTCGGCGGTGGAATCGCACCATGGGCGTACCATGAGGAAGTTGGAAGCTAGCGAACCCAATGCCTTCGCTGATTTGGCACTATCAACATCGTCGATGTTGAAGGCCTTCCTCTGCTCGATGGCTGACTCTCGGAGGGCGTTTGTATCAGCACCGTCAACTTCGTCCGTGGCCAGCTCGAGCTCGACGCCGACCAGATTCTTTGCAGGTGCTGAAAATTAGTACAAGGTGCGAAAGACCACTGATGGCAAGTCAAACTTACTTCCTGACACCACCCATCGTCTCTCAGCATGGATCTGCTTGGCTACTAGTACCGCATTTGTCGATGAGGATGAAAAGCTGTGCCCTTCATCGATGATGATTCGGAGCCAGTGAAGCTTCATCAAGGGCGACTGGTACGCTTTTCCTGATTCGACACAATTACAATCAGTGAGCCGCGTAGAGCCAATGTATGGGCAATTGCAGATACGGGACACGCCAGTGGCTGCTCGTCGTCCTTGCTTGTCGGTACCATCCGTGATCTCCTTTTCAAACCTGGAGCGAGTAAACAAGACAACATCGAAACGCATGAGCTCGGTAGGTGCGGGCAGCTCGCTAACAAATTTCATGGTGGCGGTATCCTGTTGACGTTGAGCTTTGCTGCTGCGCTTGGACTCATTATCCACCACGAGGACCTTCAGGCCATCCTCAAATACATGCTTCTGTATCTCAGATTGCCATTGGTGAAGCAGATTTCTAGGCACTACAATGATCGTGCTGGAGCAGAGCACCAGCTGGCGCGGTGGAGGCATCGTTGTGTTCCTGTTCATACGTGGCACATCGGACGGGATCTCGTAGAACGGGATATTGTGATCCAAAGCTTCTTTGATATGAGTATACTGGACTTGGTCTTTCCACTCCGCGTGCTCGATGAGGGACCTTGCGGGTATGGAGCGACGTCCGCTCGTTGCAATAACCATATCTATCAAACGTCCGACTCGTGGCCGCACTGGTGGCAAAGTCAAGTAAGCAGCCGGTATCTGGGGATAATGGCCCTTCGTAGTCAGTATGACGGCCAAGCTAATCAACGTCTTGCCCAGCCCCATGGTTTCGGCCAATATACCACCTCGATTAGCCTCATAGTAGCGAGGCTCCAGCAAAGCAGAGCCATCTCTTGCGCCGAAGTAGAACATCTTGCCGTCAGGGGACGTCCGAACCTCAAGCCTAGGATCCAGCTGCAGCTGGGGTGCAGCTTCTCGTTGTAGCATGAGACTGGCCGAGCGCGCTTGGTAAGGGTAAAGTATCGTGCGAAGTCCTGCAAGAGGCTGCTCTCCACACTCTTCATCGAGTGAAGAAGCCGCAGATGCAAGTAGTTCGCGAACAGCTTTCCGAGTGTAGCGGCACTTTATAGACGCTGGATCTGGAGCAGGCGAAGGCAGTTTGTTGAAAAGGTAGTAGAGGCTGAAATTCTCAGCAGTTGCCCAGGGGTCGAAATGGCGGATGTCTGCTTCTCGGCGGTCACCAGCCCAGGCGCCCGGGGACGTGTCGATCCGAAAGAGTAGTTGCCGCAGGGCTGTCTTGAGGCTCTTACTATTGCGATCGATGAAGCGTCGATTCCAATCTTCCGGCAATAGGTAAACGCGCAGAATGCTGTGTAGAGATTGCGTACCATGGCTAGGATGATGCAAGAAGAGCCGGATCCAACGTGCATCAAGTAGCCTGGAAGCCTCATTGCCAATGATAGACTTTACCTCGTCTGGTAGGCCGATCATTTCTGCCCAAGAGCGCTCAAGATTCGGGCTACTCTTGCTCGGAATAGCATCGTTGAAGAAGAGACAACCCAAAGCAATGTAATGATCAAGACCAGCCAGGTTGCTTGTGGTGGAAGATGAGGCTCCGGAGGGTGGCGATGTCAACTGTCCTGCACCCGATTTATCTTGTACATCAGATGAAGTGAGGTTGATGTGGTTGTTTTCGAGGTCGCTCTTCTGCTTTCTATCGACTACGAGAGAGCGCATTGGTTCAGCAGCACGACGGGTGCCCGCTGCGGTCGCCCATGGCCTAGACGGTTCCAAGATGGCACTCATAGTCGGAATGATGACATTGAGCATAGAGCGCAATGTTTCAGCATGCAGCCAGAATGGTGATATAGAGAGATTGTGAGCGACAAGACCTGATGCGTTTGCTGGAGGCAGCACTGAGCACTGGCCGACCCCAAACAGGTTAGCGGGCTTAGCTTAGTGCCAACCAGCCGCAGCACCCTTCACATTATCAAACACTCGTATCTCCGTCACTCTGTCCTCACGTGTAATTATGCGTCATCTCCCGGCAAAACGAGGCTTCATATGTAGGTCCTTGACTTAGTATTCTAGTTTAGTGCATCGCTGTATAACATAAGTTCCATACTGCATAGATGGCTGTGAAGTGATAGGCTTCTGGAGTAAGTGGATGCTTCGCGTGCGTTTATGCGGCCATATCGTCTATCGCCGCATGCGAAGCGACTTGAACTACGCTTGGTGTTTGATGTCCCAAGATTATTTCAGGCAGGAGAACTTTTGACAGCGGACTGTACAGTCTACACTTCCGAACATACGATCGATCGTGTTACAAGGTCGCTTTCTTGTGGCTCTATCGAACATAGAGGCAACATGAAGAATGTCTCCTGAACTCATGTTACAATGTACAGTTCACACAGCCAAACTCCGCACCACCGATCAAAGTCATTTTAATAGTAACGCAGCCGACGGAGGACCGCAATGAGCATTTTGTCTTTTCATACTTCCATTTAACTGCATTTTCTAAATCTCCCTGGATATGTGCTTATCGTGTAGCCACCGCTCCTGCAAAAAGTAGGATGCTGTGTAGCACATCAGCAAAAAGAAACTCTTCGTGTCCCGTGCCAGACTCGAACTGGCGGCCTTGGGATTTCTACTCTGAGAGCAGTCATATGTGGTGATATGAGACCCACGTGATAACCAACTACACCAACGAGACTTTGCAAACTGTTCATTTGCGTTGGTGGCGGTCTGGCAATTTGATAGCTTTATCAATGCTGCGGTCTACAGACCTCAGCAAAGCGACGGAGGTCATTGTGGCGGTGTTGTATAGTTTTGGGTGAAGTGGGGGCTGGGCCGGCTTCAGTGACAGAGTTTGCATGAGGGGTGGCTGCGGCTAAAACTGGTTCGCGTCTAGGGCGTTACCGTCCCGTGGAAGTATGGTGGAGCGCTATTGATAGTGACTGCATCGAAGTGTAGCAGACTGTTTTTTGCCAGTTATTGGATCCTTCGGGTTCCTCATGCCCTCTTTGAATAATGCCAGCCTCGCCGCGCATGGTTGAAATTGTTCGCGACTCTCAGACTAGCAAAGTACGCATCATGAAGTCCACTGCGCCTTATGCTCAGACTGGACTTCGAACGTTTGGTGATTCATCGGAGACATCGGAGATGGACAAATTCGACTCGAGGAAAGTCTCGGTGCTCAAATGTACAGCTGCCCTGCGTTGCCCCTTCTCCGACCTCGGCCTGTCAATAACCTTATCGATAATGCAACCCGAAATTTTGTGGAGTCATGTACATGCGCAAATGACGCATAAACAAGTCGTTTCCTCGCTCTTTACTTCTTCACATTAACAATGGCGTTGCGACTGTCGTCGAAGCGGGTCTGCCTCGCATTGCGAGCTCCTCGCATCAACTGCGTATCTACACGCTTCGCTTCAGCGGCCTCGGCCGCAGTCCAGGGCTCAAGTCTGCCGCAAGACCTCCTAGACTCAATAGCCGTAAGAGAATGACAGGCTCTTCGCGACGTCTGATGTTAACACAACCAAGCGCGATGCGACACTGGCTACACCCGACCCGCACTCGAGTTCAAAGACTGCGGGTCTCGTGAACCAACAACTCCCGTACATGGTGCCGACATATGTCCGCCCACCACCGATGTTCGAGAAGGGCGAGGGATGTTATATGTGGGACATTGAGAACCGGAAATACCTAGACTTCACTGCTGGTATCGCTGTCAATGCGCTTGGCCATTGCGACTCAGGAGTTGCGCAAGTAATAGGTGAACAGGTATGACTTCAATCCGGGCGCTGTGCAAATCTCATGCTCACAAATGTCCAGGCCAAGCAACTCATGCACACCTCGAATCTCTATCACAACCCACACACTGGTCTGCTATCGAAGCAGCTGATCCAGCTTACCCATGCGACTGGCGGCTTCGAAAGCGCGTCCAAGACCTTCATCTGCAACAGTGGATCCGAAGCCAACGAGGCTGCTATAAAGTTTGCGCGCAAAGTCGGAAAGTCAATTTCTCCGAACAAGGACAAGCATGACTTCGTCTCATTCCACAACTCTTTCCATGGCCGGACTATGGGCAGTCTGAGTGCAACACCGAACCCAAAGTACCAGACACCCTTTTCGCCAATGGTGCCCGGCTTCAGGTACGGCAAGTTCAATGACATCGATGCAATCAATGACTTGGTAACGGAGTCGACTTGTGGAGTCATCATCGAGCCGATCCAGGGTGAAGGTGGCGTGAATGTTGCGACACCAGAGTTTCTCCTCGCGCTGCGCAAGCGATGCACAGAGGTCGGTGCTGTCTTGATCCACGACGAGATTCAGTGCGGCCTGGGCAGGACCGGAAGATTCTGGGCGCATGCTGGCTACCCCAAGGAATGCCACCCGGACATCGTCACCACAGCAAAAGCTCTTGGGAACGGCTTCCCCATTGGCGCAACTATTGTCAACGACTTTGTATGCGATCACATCAAGACTGGTGACCACGGCACGACTTTCGGTGGAAACCCACTGGGTAGCCGTGTCGCATCGTACATCCTTTCCCGCTTGTCGTCTCCAGAAATTTTGGACTCGATACCTGCGAAAGAAGCAGCGTTTCGTAAGCACTTTGATGCACTACGAACGCGATTCTCAGATCAGATCAAAGAGGTTCGAGGCAAAGGTCTCATCTTAGGTCTTCAACTCGACACTGATCCAACTCCCATCATCACCGCTGCCCGCGAGCGAGGATTACTTGTCATTTCCTGTGGAACGAACACATTGAGGTTCGTGCCACCGCTGGTCATCACAGAAGCCGAGATTGAAGAGGGTATGCAAATCCTGGGTTCGGCAATGGAGAGTGTCTGGCGCAAAGGTGAAGACGTAGAAGGTACTCCAGGTCAACAGGAGATGCAATAGTGGGTTTCTGGGGTCTTCTCTTGCGCGAAAATTAGCATGGCGTTTGGTCAAAGAATAGATATATGCTGGAAGTAATGCAATGAATCTTTGTAATCTATCAAGAATACGCGCCGGTTCCTGTCGTGCGAGCTTCACCGCTTGTGACGTTGGCGAGCCTGAGGTATCTGCCTCTGCATAGCCCTTCCACCCTCCAGCCAAGGACTCCTTGGCTGTAGGGTCAAAGTACATCATCAGCCCTATGAATGCTCTCTGACACTTTAATTGGTCAGAGTTTGCGGCGATGCAAAAGCAGAAGAACTGCTTTAGAGAGCCATTCAACGCTAGGCTCGAAAACACCTAGTTTCCATGCTGCCATAGTGAAGCTCATAAAAGGGCATGGTCCCGAGGCTGTATGTTATGCTTGATCTTCTGCGAAAGCACTTCATGTAATCATATGTATTCCCAGTTCAGTTCATTTCCTCCAGGAGTGACACGGTACTAAATTTGGACGATCATAATGTCGCCCCTGTTCGCTCTTCTTCACAAAGCATCACTTTCTGAAAAGGCGATTGAGGATCTCATCAATTTCAGGATAACACTACTGTATCGAAAAACTGATTGACATGCTAATTTTGCTTTTCTTCCGCCTTCGAAGAACTTACAAGCGCCTGCCTATCAGTATCGGCCACTGGAAGTTTGCTCCTTGTGGGACATAGCAAATTCTGCAATGATGTCAGCCGACGAGTGTCCTCTGAATTATTGCTACACATACCATGATTTCCTGTACTCTGTTTGAATTATGTTCGTCTTTGACGAAGCCAAAGCCTCCACTTGCGAGTTGGAGTTTGCGTAGCTGACGTGACTGGACAGCCTATAACCTGTGAGTCTTGAGATTCTAGGAGCCTTTGAGAATCATACCTTTTCTACTGTGCCTTTCATGATGTAGCGAGTAATCCGGACAGACTTTTCTTGGCCCATGCGAAGAATGCGGCCAATGGCTTGGCTTTCGACTGAAGGGTTCCACTGTGGCTCGAGAATGTGGATATGATTGGCGACTTTGAGCTTGTTTAACCTGTGGTAAAGTCAACGAATGAAGTTCTACGACGCCTTCTTGCTTGGTACACTCACCCTACTGCGCCAGTGCCAAGTGTTATCAGCAAGATCCGAACGTCGTTCGAACTCTCGAAGCTAGACAGGATCTTGCTTCGCTTGCTGGCCGGTATTTGCCCATGAATTCGGCTATATCGCAACGACGCTGTATCGAACATGTGTGCCGCGATATCCAGTGTTGTTTTCCAGAACGAGAAGACGATGCTGTTTCTATCATCAGCCAAATACTATTGAGGTAGCTTTTCCTAGTAGGGTCCAATACCATTTGTCGTCGACACTTTGCCTTTGTACGTTCTTCATAAGAGCCAGAAGTTTGGTGGAAGGCTTCTTGGTCATTGCGACCCCACGATCTTGAACGTCTGGCTTGGGACGTAGAACGAATGCCTCTCTATTTCCAGGAGTCTCACACACTGGACATCGAGTGCGTCCTTCTTCTTGGCTCTCATCAAGTTCTTCTTCGTATGCGGGCAGACATTCACCACAAATAAGGTGCTGGCAGATCGTGAGATGTCCAGAACTTGCGTCATCGTTGGCGTACATGGTCGTTATATCGGTGCCGCACTGAACGCATGTCGATCTTCCTAATGTCTGGAGATAACTCAAAGCTTCGTCCGGATCGGATGGCAGACCTAGCGTGTTCATTCTTTTGGTCAAAGCATATTCACCGTCGTTGCAGAAGAGACGCATTCCTAATATAGCCTAATGTGCTATAAGTTCAATATTCTAGTCGATATGCGTACTTAGGAGCACTCACCTGTATGACATGTTGGTTTGCTTTTCTTACGCTGTGGCCGGAGACAGCCAGATTGATCGCACGTTTGCAAAGATCGCCAAAGTCACGATACATGGTACTTTCGGGCGCTGAGAGCTCAAGGAGTTCGGTTTCAGTGACTGGCTCAGGAAGATTCAGAAGCGCCTTTGTACGGCGCAAGCATATAGCTTCTAGAAGTCGCCTCAAGTTAGTAAACCGACCCGACACATTTGAGACGACAGGTGTTGTTATTTGCTTTCGAAACAAAGCAAGGTCGTCCAGGACTGGTACTTTGAGAAATTTCACCAAGGCTCCAAGATCCTCCAAAGAGTTTTGTATAGGCGTTCCTGTCATACACCATCGAATTTTGGATGGCAAAGCATTGATCGCTCGAAACTGCTTCGTGGTAGGATTTCGTATGAAGTGAGCTGTGAATGGTTAGCATCATGGCCGTTTCTAACTTTACTAAGATGGTTTCTAATGAAGTAGGCCCAAAGCACTCACCCTCATCAAGAACTAGACGGTACCATTGGATGCGGTGCAGCCTACTACTCCCGCGACAGAATTCGGCGGTGATGCTTGCATAAGTTGTTAGGACAACATCATGCTGGAGTAACAAACTTATGTCAATCGTTTTTCCCTTTCCATGATACCGATGTAAAAGGAGGGTTCCATGCACAAAATGTCTACACTCGTCAGCTAGAATCCGGTTAGGCGAGGCATATCTCACTTCTCCACCTCATCGAGCCAACTGTCCATAAGCACTACTAGTGTCAGTACTGTAAAATCAAGCCATCTGTGGTTAAGTCTTACAAGCAGACGGCACAACTACAAGCGTACATTTTGATGGGATTATATCCCGCCAGTATGACGTCGGAGCTCTGGTGCTGCTGAATGCATCTTGGACAGCTTGGCTGACCGACGCGACCACCGCAGCAAGCATTGACAAAGTCTTGCCGAGACCCATATCATCGGCGATGATGCCACCAGGTGCGTCTATTATCTCGCTGCTCTTGGCTCCTGTGATAGCATGCTTGAAGCTGAAAGCCATATCATCAGCGACATGTCTTCACAGCAATAAATAGACAGGCAAGTTGCCAGAAAAAGCCATTCGGCGAAACGTTGGGCTTCCACAGGCTGAATGAAAGATCCTCGGTTTCCCTCCTTGCAATGAAGTCAACGGCTTCACCTTGATGCCTAAATGTGTGAGCGTGTATGATTGATTCGTCTGGATGCAGACCTTTTAAGGACAGTTATTGTATGTCGGTTCGTAAAGACATCTCGTAGAATGCTAGGCTGTGGGATGTGATCCAATAATGCGTCGATCTCCAGGCGTGATACTTCCGGCGGTATGTCAAATGCTTGCTCTAGGCTTACCGGAGTAGGTATGTCCAAATTGAGGTCTGCAACATCCAACAATCTTAAGTCTTGAGGATTGACGTGAACCAAAGATCTTGCATCATACATGGGAACCTGTAAGAACAATCTCATGCTGGCGAGGGTGTCCCCAACGATCTGTGCAGAATGATCGTGGCCGTAGACGTTGAAGCTCACACGCAATTCCGTAGGATTTCTGAGCGCTTTCCACTTACCTCTGGCTGCATCAATATTGGAGGAAGTGGCTATACAGTCCAAGCTGACACATGGAAATGCTATCAGTCGCTTGAGGCTTCGGGAAAATTTGCTGCCCAGACATCCAAAAGCGTCACCATTGCGCAATCCAAGCCAACAGACATCTCCCTTGAATGTATGCTCCAGAACTATTGTATCAGTTCCTGATTTGGACAGAGGAAAATTTTGAAGCGATAAGTAGGGGTCATCTCTGACCTGCACCGATAGATCGAGTAGCTAGTTAAGGTCAAATTCTATTACGATTACGTCTACAGCATCAGTTTACTGACCGATCCGTAACAAAACGTAGTTCCGTTGCTGCACCAGTCTGAATGAGGTAACGGACTCCTGCTGGAATCGCGAGATACGTCTTGTGATGCTGTGTAAATGGTCAGTTGAGTCATCTTCTGTTCAGCGACGCCATCATGCATTACAGCATTCTACGAATAACTTCTAGTCTGAAAGTAACAGTGCAGATCCGAATACGCCTCAGTCTTACCTGGGAGTGGTGATGTAAATCGCCGCTTGGGATCTGGGGTATCATGATGTGGCTGCGATGGCCTCTTGTTCTGCGTGTCTCCGGAGTTTTCATTGGGTAGTAAAGAAACTGGAGTGGCAAACTTTTGCTGGTAAAGTGGAGGCATAACGCTAGTTGGGTAGAAGCAGGATGTGCCCAGGCGGAGCCAAAAGTGCACACAACCCCTCCCCTGCCTAGGTGAAGAAGGTCAGTGATTTCGAAGGTTTGGAATCGAGTTTCTACTAGCTAGACAAAGCATGCCAGGGCAATGAGAATAATGTGCGTTGACTAACTCCGATACGGTCGGAGGTCAAGCGCGGCATGACGCGCAAGGCAGACAGGCTGTCGACCGGTGAGTGGTGTTGCTGCGCCTTCGGATGCAACGCGAACATGATTTGAGGCTGCAGGTGGCACTCGACCCAGCCGTACCAGCATTTCCTTCCCCGGCACAACCTTAACAGCTGTCTATCCAACAATCGTTGCATCCTTGGATCTCTCTCGGTGAAGCGTACACGAAACCTCCATCTATCGAAAACATGTTCTCATAACTACGCGCCATCCTGATCGCACTCGCATTTGCACTATGTTTTATTTTGCCGATAGGTCCATATTGTCAGCAGACAAAGCAAAAGTTAATACGGGCAATTCATTCGTCTCCGTCCTCGTCGCATCTGCGTAGTGTGATTCGAGACGATCATATCTGAGCTGGATTAGAACGCGGCGCATCTGCAAATGCGGAAAACTTCATATGGCAACTCAACCACCAGTCCAGGCGATTGTCTTCCAGTTGGGTCTACAGAAGTTCAAGGCCTCGCTTAGCGACAGAGAGAAGAGGGAATTCAGCGTTACAACACTCCAAGACCTCAAAATCGCGATCGAGACCATACAGCAGAAACAGAGATCTGAGAGGAAACTTCGAGCGATGAGCAAGCTTGGCAGATTCTTGGAGGGCATGCAAGAATATGACAAGATCGTAGCAGTGTTCCTCAACACTAGCGAAATTCTTGCCTTTGTCTGGGTGAGGACGCATTCCCACGATATCTGACTGTTTTGAAGACGCCTAACTAACGTATGCAGGGTCCCATGAAATTCTTACTGCAGGTACGTATATACTTCTTGTTATTCCCAACCTTTGCGTCAGCTCTGTTAGGATACTGATGTGCTAGGTGGCTTGCACATTCTACGAAGCTTTCGATACACTCCTTGATGCCTATCAACGTATTGGGGAACACATCCACCTCTTGAAGCAGTATGAAGCCTATTTCCAGAATCAGCTACATATGTGTCATCCTTTGGCACTGGTCTATGAAGATATACTGGCCTTTCATGGCAAGGCCATGCAATTCTTCAAAAAGAAAAGTAGGTTGGCCACGCAATTTGTGTTGTGCGAATGCTGAAGACGATTAGTGTGGCGACAGCTCTTCCATGCAATCTGGAAGACTTTCGAGTTCGAATTCGGCGCGATACTTCGCAACATGCGGGGGCACATGACCCTTATCCAGTCACAGGCCACTATTGTACAATTCACTGAAGTCCTTAGGGTCCAGGAACTCGCAAAGGCCTCAATGGAAAACCAGGAGAAGGCAGAAGTGCACCGAAGGCGTGAAGTTGTACGTCAATGGCTATCGGCTGCCAATTATGAGGCTGATCAGGAAACGTTCTTCAACATACGTCAGCAGTACCCTGGGACAGGTCACTGGTTATTATCAGATAACAAGTTTAACTCTTGGTTCGACCCAATGTTTTGCTCAAATCATCTCCTGTGGCTGAACGGCATACCTGGAGCAGGTCAGTGGTACAATTTAGAGCTTTGTACTCCATGACTGACCACCACCAAAGGCAAAACAGTTCTTGCATCCCTTGTCATCGATGAAGCACAGAACCCAAAACAGAGACAGCAAGGGATATCAGTAGTATTCTTCTACTGCAGATATCTAGACAGCAAGAGAAGCACATTCCTGGGTCTCGCCCGCGGCCTCCTGGCTCAGCTCTTATCACAAGATGACGATCTGCTCTCATATTTGCATGACAAGGCATCTACAAGCGGCCAGACGACACTTTCAACGACTTCTGTTGCCAGAGACCTACTTGAAATCTCTGTTAGAAACAGCGATAAGCTTTATGTGGTGATCGACGGGCTCGATGAATGTGAGAGAGATGAACGCAGAAAGATCGTAGCTTTCTTTGAAGACATACACGCTTCGTTACCGCAAGATGAGGCTGACTCTTTAAGATGTCTGTTCCTAAGTCAGGACGATAGCATAGCACGAAAAGATTTTGCAAAGGTTTCATCTCTCAAGATCACAGAGGCACACACTCGGAAAGATATCCAGTCGTATTCTTTGGCACGAAGCAAAGATATTCAGGCAAAGTTCAGTCTCACAGCGGACCGACAGTACGATGTATATCAAATGATAGTAAACAAAGCTGAGGGTCGTATCTTATATCAAATCGTCGAACGCAGAGACTGACATATAACAGGCATGTTCTTATTCGCACGCCTCATGACAGCTTATCTGTACGACCAGACATCGGTCGCGGACCTTGACGAGCAGCTGTCCCCGGCAACTTTTCCCCAGGGACCTTTAAAACTTGAAGAAGCGTGCGTATAAGTGCACTTGTATGCATAACTTGCCAACGATTCCAGCTACTCGAGAATCATACAGCGCCTGAGTGCAGGGGCTCCGACGCATGTGCAGACCCTGAAGTTGCTCAGATGGATGGTGTGTGCTAAACGACCGATGTACTGGCGCGAGATTCAATGCGCCGTATCGGTTGACTTGGATGACCAAGTCGTGGATTGGGACCGTAGGAAGTTCAGTGTAGACTCCAAGGAGCTTGGCGGATCGCTTGTTGAGACATCTGCTGACGGCACGATCATACTTGTGCATCATACAGCCAAAAGGTAAGTTTCTGACAACAGTGATCATACACCACAGACATTTACTAACATATGGTAGATACCTTGTGGATGAAAAGGTTGTCGATATAAATGTCGGTGAGCTTGAGCTGGCCAATCTGTCCATTAGTTATTTGAGCTTCGCATGTTTTGAGCGCAACATCGACGGAAAAGATCTGGAAGTGTTTATATCACTGGGATGCTACGCATTCTTCGACTATGCCTACGCATATTGGTCAAATCATTTGGATGCGTGTGCTCGCTTGGGAAATTTGCAGGATGATCTAGAAGACATCCGCGAAACAGTAGAGGCGTTCATCGAAATGCACTGGATTAAACCACGAACCAAAACGACTGTCCGAAAGCCCTTCGAAGAGCGCTGGAAACCACTCGAGAGGAACAACAACCTCGAAAGGCTTGTGATAGCAGGCTATCTTGCACAACGAACGCTGATCGCTTCAACGAGTCCTGAAGCGGGCTGCGAAGTTCTGTCACTTCGACAAACAATGGTGAAAGTGCGCAAAATCCTTGAGCAGGCATGGACGACGACAGCTGACCAGGATCGCTTTCGTTCAATATATGGGGATAACATATTCAAATGCCCACGCGTGAACTGTGCGCGCTTCTACGATGGATTTGCAACGCAACAGCTCCGCGATGAGCACGTACCAAAGCATGAGAGGCTGTTCTTCTGCTCCTTCCAAGGCTGCGTAATGGGCAAACTTGGCTGTACCACACTCAAAGAACTACAGAAGCACGAGACTGAGTATCACGGCACGTTCAATATCGATGAGGAGGAGCTCGATTTTCCAGAGGCGCCAGTGATGAAATTATCGTTCCAATGCAGTCAGTGCGATGCTAAATTCACACGGAAACACAACCTCAAAATTCATATGCGAAAGCACGACGCTACCCAGCAAAAACAATTCATTTGCCCAAGTTGCGGTAAGAGCTTCGCAAGACTGGGTGACCGGACCCGACATGAGAGCACGACACACTCTACGGCAAAATTCTTCGCGTGCGGTGGAACGCTCAAAAATGGTTCTTCGTGGGGTTGCGGGCGTGAGTTCAATAGGGGAGACATGCTTGCCAGGCACTGGAAGAGCGAGAAAGGGAAGACTTGTATTGGCCCAAAAGAACAGGAAGAGGCATTAGAAACCGCGGGCACCAATGCACCTGCGCTTTCCTAGAACGCAGCAACACCGACCGTCGCATAGTAGCCTGATTATACTGCGGATATTCTCGTATTTTGTGTTTTATGTATACTCATTTCGACTATGCTGGCCACTTATCTACCCGTAGTCTTACGTACTAAGTGGCCTCAGGCCAGCTCGGTCACTTTTGGCTTAGCGCACAAAACAGGCTCCAAAACACCACCTCACCCATTTGCATCGCCGCAATAAGATTACACTGGCACGGCGGCTTAACCCCATGAAGTAAAGGCGGATCTCGGCGAATAATATGTGCATTGCGACTCGAGTGGTCTGGTGGAGGACGCATGCTATCACCTTTCCAGTTCACCGGAACATACTGGTGGCGTTCGATAGACGTCATATTATATCCTCTAGCCTGATGCGTCCAGCCTCCATGTACCGCAGATCACACTTACTGTGGTTGGGTGCAATAATCTTGTTTGAAGTATCGAGGCATGACTTGACTCAGCCTTCCAGTGGTATCCAGTGTCAACACCAACTGCATTCTCAGGCGACCCATCATTATAGTTCATCTGCTGTTACCAAGCCGACCAGCCGGGTTTCTAGAATCTCAAGTGGTTCTGTTCGTAAGGTAGATGAAGTGAATGGGACCAGTCTTCGTAAACATCATCATCGTAAAATACAGCACACCTAGATAGGTATGTCTTGGTCATAGAACTTCCGAAACAGGCTATTCAACATCACGACAAGCATTCGCGCATCTGTTGAGAGAAGTGCACGTCTGCTTCCAGATCATAGAGATGGATTGTATGGCGACGGCCGAGACAATCCTCATATACAGCAGTTTTTATATGCTCTTCAAACATTTATCTGGGGACTGTTACTCTAGATATACTCTACAGACTCGCCTCCGAAAAGCTATGTACACCATTTTGCTTATCACCTGGAGGGGTACACACACGATAAGAACTATCAGCTGCGACAGTATGCATACAACTAGGATGTCACTGTCATAAACAAAGCCTGTGGACCCTGTGTATAGATCAGACTATCAAATGAATGACTTGTTGTCGTTTTAAGACACGACCAGCCGAAATTAATGCATAGAACACTCATACCCATAACAAAATCAGCACGCATTACCGTTCAACTTTTACTTTGCCTTAAAAGTCGAGATCTCAGTAAAGAAAAGCGGTCTTACTCACTTCTCTTTGTACCAGATCGAGTATTTCCGAAGTTGAGTGTACCACATCTCTTTGTAGCGATTGTGCGCTGGTTCAAACACAGCTCCACTGCTAGCCCTATAATGTCAAGATCTTTTTGCAATTGCCATTCCGTTACCAAATTCTGAGTCTTCAGATAGCACTCCCAAGTAGTTTCGCATTAGCTGTCGACACTCAGATCTCAAATGTCACCACTGCATCAGGATTCGATAACGTTAGTCCACCAAAACTAAGACCGACCACGAGAACCTCATTTAAAGATGACAAAAAATGATTCCGCTGTATGTAAGCAGAAACGGAGGATGACACAACCAGAAAGCCACGACAGGAGCACGAGCCTCAGTAAGACGGCTCAGTATTTCCCCGACTATCCTTCCGACTCTGCTTACACCCATCCCCTGTTAGCAAGTTAGCAACAAAATAACACTTCCATGCCAACGCTCGAGAACGATGGATCGGTCCGAGGGTGTTGCTACTCCACTGTGCGGCTACACTTGCTTCATTAGTTGAAGAGGCGAGTATGATGCGGTTGATCTTGCAACCAACGTTTCTCGCCGACGATGTATACACTCGTGACCGACATGCAAGAGATGTGTTGCAGGCTGTAATCTTACGTCTAGAGCTGGGCGTCTCCCAGTGGCTACAGTGTAGGGGTACATGGGCTTGGAGATTTTGTTGGAGAGACGAAACTGACGCGTCTAGGGATGAGAGGAGTTGGAGTAGGTAGGCCTGCAATCACATCAGACGTTCAGCGTGTCAAGATAGAATCACTAAGCTTACTGGAAATTGATGCCTCAGCACTGACGTGACCCTTGTCGTGTGTCCGGCGTGTGTTTGGTAACTCAAGGCTTGAGCGTTCGGAGACGAAGGGTACTGGTGTGGATAACATGATCTTGATATGTAGGAACGTCTAAGCAGTGTATACGACAGAAATGATATCAACGCCATGAGATGCAGGTCATATGCAATGGAGAAGTAAACAAAATCGTCAACAGACTCCGCCCAAAATGGTATCAAACAAAACGTCATATGTCCATAACAGATCCAAAGCTCTTGACGCCCACCTTTTCCATCTTTGCAGAACCTTCTATAAGTCCTTGAGTTCTCTATACATCTTTTTGTGTTGCTCGAGGAAGAGGAATGTAAGGATCGTGTGTGGGCCCACGCGGATAAAGCTCGGCACCCAGCCCTTGAACATCCAGCGAATGCCTTCTTGCTTAGTAATTTCTGTGACCAGACTGACAATGCTCTGGTGTGCATTCGAACTCATTACGCGTGTCTTGATAACATCCACTGGCGAGCAGATTGTTGTTGCAACGAAGCCGGCCAAGAAGGAGGCAGTGAAGTGTGTCGATAGGCCATCTTTCAGTGGTGTGTATTCCAACAACGTCCGTTTGAATCCATCATATGTTGCCAATTGTCCGACGGTCATTAACACGGCTCTTGACGAGTTGGGCCATACGCCTTTCCACAAACTGCCCACGCCTTCTTCGCGCGCCATGCGCAACACACCGTCTACTGCGTTCTTGTAGTTTCGCCGTTGTTCCCGTGGTAGAGCAGCATCGTTTTGCATTCGTACGTTCAGGATGTCTCCAGGGTTGCCAGCAATGCCACCGAGAAGACCTGATATCGATGCCATACCGACAAGTGTGAGGAACGAGGGCTTCTTTTCCGTTGTAGTCACACGCGCTTTGAGAGCTTCGTATACACCGAATCGGGTCATGCTGTAAGTCGCTTGGCGAAGTTGTGCCGCAGATATCTGCAGGCTGGATTAGCCACGCTGGAGTCCAAGGGTGTGAGAAGCATACACCGCGATATAATGCCATGACGCCGTCATTTCTTGCAACATGCCCGAACATTTGTAACATATTCATCCGTACTGCGCCATGTGCTTGTGTTTGTAGTCGGACCTTGGTTCGTGAGTGTGATGGCGCGATGGATTTCATGGCTTTAGAGTACCTTGACTGCATTTTAGTTAGCCAATGTCATGACATAATCCTCAATAGACATACCGAGATCCAATGGGTGTGTAAAGAATGTCGCGAAGCAACTTGCGCTTCCACCAAACCAGAACGGATATGATATCGCTGTGACCTTCACATCTTTGCTCTTGTTGATTTCAGGTGCGCTCACCTTCTTAGTGAGGGCCGCCATAGTAGTCGCAAAAGATGCAGAAGCTGCATGTAATCGGCACAGAGACCAGTGACCTTAATAGCGAGCGATGGTGGAGTGAATGTTCCAAGTCGGCTGTTGTTATGTGACCGAGCGAATTCGAGAAGCGAGCTAGACGTCATTCGGCAAAACATGCGTTCGGCAATGGGCCGGGCTTGGCAGCAGATGAACCGCGTTGGACGCGACGAAGAACTCGAAATAATCGGCACCTAGATATGCGAATACTGCTATCATCAACGGCAAGCTGCCGCAACTCAAGTCGTTGTGCATTGCTGCATATACAACGCTTGTCATTGTCCTCGCGCCCGTGGCTGCAGGCATTGAGACACAATTCTTCTGGTAAGTTTGCTGTCATGTGATCCAGCCTTCTGGGCCGCCAACACCAAGGACGCGTGCCGACAGACAGTGTCATAGCGAGGGCCGTGGAGTGAATGTCTTACGACGTACGACGATCTGCCCTCTCACAAGCTCTCGGTCCTTCAACAGATAATCAGAGCACATAACTGAGTCTGTCAAGGCATTGTCTAAAAATGGCTAGGCACAACACCAAAAGAGATCAAGATCGAAGGCAGGACTTACAAGACGGATGAGTGGGCAAACACACCCGCGAGCATTCTTGATGCCGTTCCTCGAAAATTGCATCTTCAACCAGACCATCCGTTGACCATTACCCGGAAGCTCATCGAATCAAGATTTCCTGGGTACAAAACTCACAACGACCTCTTTCCAATTGTCACAACAGCACAAAACTTCGACTCTCTAGGCTTTCCACTGGATCATGTCGGAAGGAGTCGTACTGACACGTACTACATCAACAAGGAGACTGTACTGCGAACTCACACTTCGGCACATCAAGCTGATACTTTCCGCAACAACGAAAGCGAGGGCTACCTGATCAGTGCGGATGTCTACCGGCGAGATGCGATTGATCGAAGCCACTACCCCGTCTTCCACCAAATGGAGGGAGCACGGACATGGGACAGGCCACCAAGCAGGAAAGAGATGGAAAAGTCAGTCGGCCGAGGCGATCCTGAAAAGATGTGGAAGGAAGCTACCAAAAGCACGGATATCCGCCGGTTGAGGACCCCAAAATCCCGCCGTATCATATTGGAGACGCCAATCCATTTGCAGTCCTAGGCATGCTCCAGAGGAAGGCTGAAGGCCATCGCGGCCCCATCTGGAAACAGAGCTTAGAAGACATGGTCGTTACTATTTTCAATGCAGCAAAAAGCGCTACAGACACAGCCACCCCCCGATGAACCACTCCAGGTGCGCTGGGTAGAAGCCTACTTCCCCTTTACTTCACCCAGCTGGGAGCTTGAGGTATTTTGGCAAGGAGACTGGCTCGAAGTTCTAGGTTGCGGCGTCGTTTCACAACCTATTCTCGATAATGCTTCAGTGCCGAACCGCGTTGGCTGGGCCTTTGGCATCGGTCTCGAGCGCATCGCCATGCTTCTCTATTCGATCCCTGACATCCGTCTCTTTTGGTCCAAGGACACGCGCTTCCTATCCCAATTCAGCGAAAGCCAGCCTATCAGACGCTTCGTGCCTTTTAGCAAGTACCCAGCGTGCTTCAAGGACGTAAGTTTCTGGCTGCGCAGCAGCTCTAGTGCAGCTGGTGGCGCCTCTCCAATTCACCCGCCGGCACCTCCTGCCTCGCAGCACCAAAGTCAATTTCCAAACCCGGATGCCATCGCAAACGATCGCGCACATGCTGCATCCTGGACACAAGCTAGCGCAGCCACTGCGTCGACATTCACAGGAACGACATCGACATCGGCACTCTCCGCCTCGCCATCCGTGTCTAGTGCAGAAGGTGCGAACAGCGATAAGAATACCAAGCCGATTCCGATGCCGGCTGCACCCGCACCAGCAACCCCAGCAATCTGCTTCCACGAAAACGACGTGATGGAAATCGCACGTGAGGTCTGCGGCGACTTAGTAGAGGACGTGCGCCTCACGGATGAGTTCATCCACCCCAAAACTGGCCGCAAATCCCTGTGCTATCGTATCAACTACCGGAGTTTGGAGCGCACCCTAACCAACGAAGAGACTAATGACCTGCATGAGAGGTTGCGCAAGCTACTAGTTGACAGGCTGGGCGTCGAGCTACGTTAGCGCTGTCTGAAAGTACGAGGGCTGTGTACTGTGGTACGGTGAATGAAGGTGTGTGTGGAGAGGAACCGGCCTTACGGGGCTGCCGACGTTGAGCCGGGGTCTCCATCGCATGATTTTACGTGCGTAGAGGAGCCATGTCGGCGCGATAATCTTGCATACCAACAGTAGTCTGCTACACTGCTCAAGATAACAGTGTGTAAGAGGTTTACAGGCCCCAAGACCAACAGCGCACAGGTTTGGCATGGAGCTCCCAGTTCTTCGGACCGCGAAATGGTCTTGGGACCTGAAGTTTTCCGGTGTGGCGCCAAGATGACCTGATTTTTCAAATGTAGGCAAGACAAACAATGTACGACTACTGTAGGAAGAAGAGTATAGCAATCCCCTCTGTTCGGCTCTACTACTTGTTCACGCATATATGCGCTACCAATAGAAAGGTCGTGGTTACAAGTGATGCCAGCGCGCCGTTTTGCCCCTGCATAGCGCATTCCCCCGCACCCGGCGCCTGTGGTCGGTTCGGGACCGGTAGATAGGTCCCTGTTCAAACACGGTATCCAACTCCTTGAAAACCAACACCACGTCTTGAAATGTCAGAGCCGGGAACCGTTTGTGTGGTGGTAGTGGTCAGGCGCCGACACTTACCCACATATAGCCCCTAGGCATACTCATCGGGATATAGGCGCTTGGCCGATGGCGCTATGGCCTTGTTGCGGGGGATTGGCGTGGTGGCGTTGACATGGCTTCACAGGCTGGATGATTGCGAAAGTTTGGATATTTGAGGGAAACGTGCCGCCGAGAAAAGAAATTAGAGGCCAAGAGTGTGATGTTTTTTCCGTTGAAGCAGTCTGTATTGATTGTGACGTGCAGACTTGACAACTATGGAAGTTAGCAGAGATGCAAAATTGGCTGACTTTTCTTTCCTTTTCTCGATATTTGCGATCCGATCTCAAACTCTATCTTACATAGCTTGAATCTCCATCGACCCTGTTCGTAAGCCGGCTGCAGGTGCCTCCCAGGATTACTCCCCTTACCATGGTGTACCATGTCGTTTGACAGCATGCTCAGTCCCCGACGTAACGGTTAGATATCCTACTACCTCAGGGTCTTCTCTACCACTATTGTATCGCGTCGTACAAGACGGGAGTGAGAGCGGGAGTCCGTGGGTCGATCAGACTGAGATCTCGCATCCCACCACCTAGTCAGCGTTCCTCGATAGTAACGATCTATTAACCACCAGCTTTCCCCGCAACATCTTGAAAATTAGCCGAGTTAGTTTGTTGCAGGTCGCTTGGCTGGCCAGGCGTCGGCGAATCTCTATTTCTGCCTAGTTCACCTTGCCTTACACTGGCTGATTGATGGAAGAACGTCTGCAGTCTATTGTGCGAGCATGCTGCGAGTACGGAGTGTCGTCGAAACAGGATTCCTGGTGCAGACGCTGGTGCGATTGCGACTTGTCGCTGGCAGATGCGAAGTGCAAGGTTGTTCGGCTCTAATAGTGGATAATGTGTGCGTGCTACGTGTGACCTGCAACAAAGTGCTGACTGCGTGACTCTGGTAGCGAATCGGACTTTTTCTGGTCGTCGATGTGTACAGCGTGACCGGTAGTATGGATGTAGCGCTATCAAGATCGTATTTGTAGAGCCGAAGGGTCGGTCACCACAAAGTCCTAGCAAGAAATCTGCCGAGGATGACGTGCATATTCGATATCGAGGGCTCGCACAGCCTGAACTACTCAAGTACGATATCTGTATTCTTCACAGGCGGAATCGTGGATCGGCGTGAAATGCTTGCCCAATAAATGTAGAGCTATCGTTTTGAGAACATGTGCACCTAGAGCAAATCAACCACGACCCAGAGTCGTCCAGCGTGCGCGAGATGTGGATCTGCCATGACACCATCCTCCTAAAATGAGCTGCTGTCTTCAGGAAAGTCTTACGGGCTCAGTTGTCGGGTCACTCTGGCTGCTGTGGACATGGCCTCGCCCGGCCTACTTGCACATGCCATGCATCGAGTGTTACTTCGGTCCTACAATCCCCGTCGCATGTATCCGCAGCGAAATTGTGTCGGTTGACTGGTTGATACGGATGTGGAGATTCCGGCCTGACAGTCGGCGAATTGAGTCGGCCAATTCTGCGACAACGAGCGATGCCTGTCAGGCACACCTGCAGATAGACCTAGCCAGAGCTGGATAATTGTACATTGCTTGAATGCGCCTCTTGGTGTTGCGTGGAGTTGGACACTTTGCCCACGTGTAGTCAGTCTCAGGCTGGAGCAGACTGCGGGTAGTCGATTCCAAGGCGGAGACCATCTAGAATTAGCGATGAATACTCGGTGCCCATCAACATGGCGCATCCGTTCGCCTATTGAACTGACGGGTCGCGGTCAATATCCCATTGCTCGCCTCGAGGATGCCAACCGGTTAGAGGAGTGCAGAATCGCGAAATTTGGATTTCAGATTGTCAAGCAGACATGATCCAGAACTCGGTACCCGTCTACTCTTCTCTGATTCGACTGTCGGCCTTCTGGTAGGGGGCCTCAGTTGCTTCCGGGTCTGCTGCACGCAGGTACTTCTGTCGCCTGCATTCTCGGGTGAGTTGTCAGAGTGAACGTAGTCTGGCGAAAGCTAAGATCCACGAGCGCAATACAGGTAACATTGGCGTCAGTACGACGCGACGATTTTCTCTAGGTAGCTTAGTATTGACGGGTAGCGAAATGTCAGGAGAATTTTGAATGCTCCAACATACATGCAATCATGATATGTGGGCAAATATTATGCAAGCGTGGGGTGAAAATGACGGGTGCCTATGCTGTGCCTATCCGCGCCACTCGCTGAGAAGTGCGCTTAAGTTGCTCTTCTTTGATGGGCCATATTACTACATTAATGGGCTAGGATATCCACCCGCCAAGTAGTGGAATGGTCCTCCCACATCTCCCGTCAGATCACCGTTAGATCACCGCTGGCAGGAAGGTGAAACGCATTGACAGGCACAGAACGACAGCTCTCTGTCATGTTTGGACAGCCCTCTGCCATGCTTGACAGCATCTAAAGGCGATCCACGCGGACCGGCGCACGCGTTCAAGTGGATGCACCCGCAGTCGGCTGCCTTGCATGTGCTATGCGCAAGCCAGTAAGCTGTTCGAGTCGACGGTCGACGATGTCGGGTACTGGAGCTGACCCGCAGAAAAGCTTGGCAAGTCTTGATGTTGATAGCGCGGGATGCGCCGTTGTCCAGCGGTGATGTGCTCCGAAACGGCAGCCGACTGGGTGGATTATTGACGGTGATCGGGCAATGAAATGGGGGTCCAGTTCGCGCACATTTGAACGATTATGCTATGGGCAGCGGCGCATTGGGCATCGACGAGCGGCTCTAAGCTGCGTAGAGATGTGCTGTGCGGCGAACCCTTGGGGGTGAGGTTTAAGCGATGGCGGCCGGGTATAGGCCCCCTCCCTCGCGTATACGTCCCGCCCTGGGCACTGGAAATTGCGTCGTGACGTCGAGTAAGTACAGCAGGCCAGCTCGGACACAATCATTGCATCGGCTGAAATGACGGTGAAGCAGTGGGAGGGGTAAGGGCCATGTGCTCGCAGCATGCACGATGATGGGCATGGAAATGCAGGAAGTGGATGCTCGCACTGTGCGCGCGCAGCAACCTGGATAGCTCCAACGGAGCGGACCATGACGAGGGCGGGGCTTGGAAGACTCGCTCCATGGAATTCTCTTGGAACGCAGTGCTTGGACGGCACCAGCGGCAGCTGCCCAGCTGTAGTGGGTGTCGAAGAATGGCAGAAGCGTCGCTTGGTGTGGCGTGCACCTCTACGGGCAGTCGACCGTCAGTACGGCCGCACGTCCGGTGGGCTTCCAGACGTCAGCGTGGAAAGAAGACCGGAACGGCCTTTTTTTTGCGCAGGATTTCAGGATTTGTGGATTGGTGCGCCAGGGTTCATGCAGCATGCTCACCCTCACCTGGCCTCACGTGTGCGGGTCCTTGTTCGCCACGAGGGCTCGCAGCGTTCCCAACTCCCCCCGCCAATCAAACCCCTGACAGTCTCAGGAACGAGCTGCCAGCCGAACAGTTGGAGCTGGAGCAACTTGGACTCTTGGAGCTCGTTCCTTGACTCTCTCCCCCCCCACCCCGCACCCAACCTCTGCTTGGTTCGGTTTCGGTGAAAGGCCGCTGTGAACGTCACGACCTCTGGTGGCAAAGAAGCATCTCCACCACCAAATGCGCGGCATGCGATGACACTGCCGATCCCTGGCGTCTCCCCGTGCAGCTACTGTATGTTTCTGCCTGCGAGCGCGAGCGATTGTCACTTTGCGTGCACTGCTGGTGCATCGCCAGCTTCATCCAGCACCCATGGCCGGCGCTCATACCCGTTTTGTCACCGTGTCCGATCGCCTCGCCTCGCTGATGCTAGACCGCCCGCCTCTCAACGCAGGCCTATCTGCAGCAAAGAGATGATTTCCTCCTGTTTGATGCGTCAGGTGGCCCAGGTTGCTGCGCTAGCTACACGACACTTGAGCGCCATTCCCTCGCTTCGAGCATAGTAGTCTATCCTGCAGATCAGAACCCCTCTCCCAAAAAAGACACGCCGGCGAGCCTCTAGGCGTGGCAGCGGTGCGCTGCGAGGGTGTTGCCGTGCTGCACGATGCGCAGATCACCCTGGAGCTATAATTGTGACGTTATAGGTTCCCCACGAATCGTCCGACAGGGGAGGTTAGGCCATGTTTCACACCAAGGTCTGCTCTATCCATCCTTGGATACGCCGCCGACAGCCTAGACGCACCGCTGTTATTGGTACTTTGCCGTAGCAGGGGACCTCCTCGCTCCTTGCAGCTCGCGATTCCACGTTAGTCGAGCCACACTTAAATCCCTCCATTGCCTTTCGCCGTCTCATGCAGGGAACGCCTTCAGGTTTGAGATGCCAGTCTTCCGAGTCTCATAACCTTGCACTTCAGACAGTGACCCACGGCATCCTCAAACGCCTACCATGAATCACATCGCCAATTGCATGAGGCCTGACGGCGAGAGGACCCCCAATTATATAACTCAAGAAACATCCTTCTTCAGGATGAGCGTAAGTGCTCCCGCTACTCATACCTGACATGAGTTACCACCTACCCCGCCGTTCACGCTCACTGAGGGAACTCCAGGCCACCGAAGATACCATCACATCATCCAATGCCGACTTGACTAAGAGCCCTTCATTGGCAAACCTCAACCAGCCTACCACCTTGTCCTCCTCGCGGTACCAACTCTGGCCATCTTCAAGAAGCCCACAAGGTCAAATCAGAAATAACTCATCATTCGACAAGCTTTCCGCCCTGTCTGTCGGGCGCTCTTCTACTTCATTAAGTGACACTGCTGTGCTACCAGAAAGTGTGCCATTCTGGCAACGCACAAGTGCATTAGCAAGGCGTCGAAAGGTCAGCGTACCAGAGCTTGGCAACACCATGACTACTGTGCAGGAAATGGCTGTTGATTCACGTGAGTTCAGTCTGTCTTGACATCTTCACACTGGCTAACACATCCAAGCTACAATTCCAGGCAGACCGCCGCTTCGCCAGTTGTCATATGAGGCTTTCGGTCATGAGAGATCTTGCAGCGCACCGGGCACTAACTGGCGAGCTGGTCCATTTGGCGATGCAATGGTTTCCTGCGTTACAGGTCCCTCTCCTGGCACCTCTTCACAGCAAACCACTCCTGCTTTCTCGGATACCCCAAAGGCTTCTGCAAAGCCATTGTCTCCCATTCTCAGTCCTATTACGAGCCCTAAGCCACTCCTAAAGGTTGACACCACCAATTTTGGAGGTGATCTAGAGCTGCCACCACAGGTGCCTCCAAAGTCACCCACTGTCGAACGCAAAGGCTCACCCACCCCTCTTGTACTCAACTCAAAGGCCAGCAGAACACAGCTCATGACGCCAGCCTCTGTGACATCAGGTGGAAACACACCTCTCAGCGCAGCCGACACTCGACGATCTCCTAATGCCATCCCACTACCCACTCCACCTACCACATTCATCAACCCATTCAGCACAGCTTCACCGGCATCGAGCCGAGGCTCGCCGCGAGTCGAGAGGAGGGACCCAATATTAGCAGTATCCTCCTCACACAACAGGAACATGTCAGAATCGTCCGTCATGGATCGAGGTCGACCATCGCGACGAAACAGTAGTAAGCGGCAAAGGGATAGGGCCATGTCAGAGGCACAGAATGCTGAACCGCCGACACCAGACCCATGGCAGCTACCCCACGGCATGCGTGTGCCTGAGGCATCCAGACGTATGAGCGACGCGGACAAGTCACTACTCCACAAACAAGCCTACGACCAGGCCGGCAATTTCGAAGTTTTGAACAAGCGCGATGTTGCCTCCTTGTCCAGAGTAAGAACATCTACTCATGCTTTGATTTTGCAAATTCTGACCTATTCCAGGAACTCAGAGCTCTCGACGAAAGATGCGACTACCTTCGCAAGACCTATAAGTCTCTGCGAGCAGGTCGACAGAAGCTGCATGGCCGCATGATCTCCTACCTTAGACGAGGAGAGACCGTCATCTTTTCTCGCGAATCACTTCTTAAACAAGAGGAAGCCCTAGCTGAGCTGGACGTCTCGATCGATGAATTCATCCTGAAGCTGGAGCAAGCGGAGAACCGACGCCTTCGACTTCGACAAAAACTTCTCGAGCACGTTGCAGCAGCCATTGTTCTTAACCCGAGTGCTGCACGCGAAGACATTGCACAGACTACACCTCCCCGCAGCCCGACCAAGGTCGCAGTCAGCCCTTCCGCGGGTGACCGCAAAACCACCGAGTCAATTAAGATCTACGCTGATGGTCACGTTTTGAACCTCTTCTCCGACATTGAGAAGGCAATTGGCAAGATGTGCGAGCAGACTTGTTAGGACCCACCTGATTCTTCATCATTACAACACGACATCACACCAGCGCCCTATGTGCCGCTACATTAATCCTCTCACCTTGAAGCGTTTTAGACACATTTCCTTTCCTTTTTACGGCCTTTGGACATTTGCTTTTCCGGGCTTCCCTTCTCTACTAGTAGCCTCGGCTTCATTCCTTCTTCATCCTTTTGATTGTTTTATATCGGGAGGACCATTACTTTCCTGTCCTGATTTGTACCCAAAATACCCAGGTTGTTTTAGCACATCACTTCAGTACATGGCGTCTCCTTCCATATTTGTTGGGCGATGGCGATCCTCGAGAGGGGAATCGTTTCATGTCCCCAGGATTGACGAGAGACGAGGGGCAGCAGGATGGCATTGTGGCGCATCACGGTACGGCGATACGACCTGCAGGGGTCGACGAATCAAGAAATGACATTCCAAGCCAAACTTCCCGACCGTTCCAATATTAAGTCATGTGTGGCGCGCTGAACTCCGACCAGCCTTCCCATGTCACAGTGCATGTGGCTCTCCATGAATAGTGCCAATCCACTGATTGCCAGATATCGCCACGCCTTCCGTTGTCTCAGTTTCGCGAAAGCGGCAGCGACGGCAAGGCTTGCTGGAGATCAGACTCGGGCAAAACCTCTCTGCGTGACAGATACAAGTCTGGTGGAGCTGGGCGGTAAGTTCCTTTTGCAGGCTGCAACGTGACAAAAGTCATTGTGCATGCCAAAGAGTGGGGCTAAGCGTATCATTGTATATTACCTCTGCTATAGTCTGTTTCAACGGCAACGGGTCGCCTGCAGCAGGACCCGTTGAAACTATTCCTTGGTGGGGCTCACAAGTAATTGGCAAGCTAACTCGAAACCTGCCCGGCTGCATGAACTCTCTGTTCCGACGGAACACTTGCTTAGATGAGAATGCTCGAGCTATTGCACAGAGGAAAAACAATCATTAGCTTCTTGTCGCCTTGCGGAGATACACGTGAGCACTGTCGTCATTTAGCATTTCCGACCGCGGGAGTATCAAACAGGCTGTACACATCCGGGCAGCCGCATCACAGGCGACTTCATCACAGGCGACTTTATCACAGGCGATGCGCAACGGGCTCGACCCTGAGCGGCCGGAGATTGCTGAAGTTGCGCAACCGTTGGCGATAAAGTTCGGCTTGGAGGATCGGTACAGATTTGAAGTATCTAGTTAGTCACTATCGCTGCGCTGCGGCTGCAAGCGTGAACGAGCAAATTTGAGGTTCAGCCCCTGCCCGCGGTTTGGACTCGACCGGACACTTCGAGTGGCTGCGTTCTCGCTCGGCGCCACCTTTCTCCGCATGCGGCTCAGAGGTCCGTGCCCGTGAATCGCGAAAAAGCTGCACCTTTTCGGCCTCCCAGTGATATGACGATACCTCCACATTTTCTCGCACCACCATGGCAACCAACAGTATCAAGTTGCTCACCGGCAACAGCTACCCGGAGCTGGCCAGCAAAGTGGCCGACAGGTAAGTCATGTCTTTTTTTGGAATCCTTGATTTCTGTCACCTCATCCGGCACATGTACCGTTCCTGAGTGAGAACTGGTCGTCGCACTTATATTGCGCTGCCAGAATACATCCCACGCAAATCTTCTTTATCTTTCACGGCCGTAAGGTCAAGCATCGAGAGCGTCATCTAGATTAGATACGCGGCTCAAGTCTGTGACGACACTAACAACACACGGCAGACTGGGAATCGAACTCACGAAGATTCTCGTGCTCCAATACTCGAACCAGGAGACTTCTGTTACCATCGGAGAGTCTGTCCGAGACGAAGATGGTAGGCTTCATGGCGTGCTCCCACTTCGAGGCCAAGCTCAGCTTACCTTGTAGTCTTCATTTTGCAATCCACTCCTCCGGGGGACATCAACGACGCTCTCATGGAGCTTCTGATCATGATCAACGCTTGCAAGACGGCATCTGCACGCCGTATAACTGCTGTGATTCCGAACTTCCCGTACGCCCGGCAAGACAAGAAAGACAAATCTCGCGCGCCGATCACTGCCAAGCTCATGGCCAACATGCTGCAAGTAGCAGGATGCAACCATGTAATCACGATGGACCTTCACGCCAGTCAAATCCAAGGCTTCTTCAACGTCCCGGTGGATAATCTTTATGCAGAGCCAAGTACGCTACGATGGATTCGCGAAAATCTTGATGTCAAGGACTGCGTTATCGTTAGTCCTGACGCAGGAGGAGCTAAGAGGTAAGAGAGTTCAATAATTTGACATTTCGTTCTCGAAGCATGTTGGTCGCAGTATGCGCCACTTCCCAGTGGAGACCCTCGACGACTGTTTGCGCTATGGTCTAGGGTCGGAGTCGCCCTCCGTCACTTTTTCTTCGATCAACTTGCTGAACTAACACTCGCGTAGAGCAACTTCAATTGCTGATGGCTTAAACCTTGGGTTCGCGCTCATACACAAGGAGCGAACGCGACCCAATGAAGTTTCCAGAATGGTGCTAGTTGGAGATGTTAAGGGCAAGACGGCCATACTGGTTGATGATATGGCTGACACCTGTGGTACGCTTGTCAAGGCCGCCGATGTGCTGATTGCAGAAGGCGCTAAAGATGTGCTCGCCATTGTCACACACGGCATACTGAGCGGAAACGCGATCGAAGCACTCAATGGCAGCAAGCTGAAGAAGATCGTCGTCACCAATACTGTTCCTCACGAGGACAAGAAGGAGCTGTGTGATCGTATCGAGACCATCGATATTAGCCCAACTGTGAGTCGATTGTAGATCTTTCACTGTCTCTACTCTAGCTAACTAGGCACAGCTTGCCGAAGCCTGCAGGAGGACACATAACGGCGAGAGCGTGTCTTTCCTTTTCAAGCACGCACCAGTCGATTAGACTATGTCTCTTTTGCACTAAGCAACACTGTTTGCCGATGTATCACCGGCGTATGGGAGTTAAGGAGCGAAACCAGCATCTGCTACATTTTCATACATATCATTTGATATTAGGAAAGCCGATGGTGAATCTGATCTCCATCTCTGCAAGGTGCGGAAGCACTGTAGTGAAGCTACTGCTGCACCACGTGGTCGTGCCACACATGCATTAGTGGTTTCTGTGTGGATAGAGTACAACCTTTCGCTAAAGCTTTGGCAGGTTACGGAATCCGCTGTCAGCCTGCATCCCGTGTGATCGAGGCAGCCACTTTTTGCTTGCTAGGACCTGAATTGATGTGTGTCCTGTACTACTCACTAGCCACATGCTCTAGGGCACCATAGTCAAACTCTATCATGGCGTCAAACCGGTCACCACGAACTCAATTACCTCGCGTAACCATTACGATCTGCCATGCGCCCTGATCACTTGCGCAATCCTATCACTTGCGACATTTCTCTCGTCCGGATCACCATTGTACCGTGGACCGCCCGAGCGTATCTACAGAAAGAAGACCATTATTAGCAGCTTAGCCAATTTCAGCTACACTATTGCAAAGCTCGGACCTTTGAGATCCGCGAACGGGCGGTGTGTTCACGACGCGAGTAATGACCATGGCGGCCCCGTTGAACATACGTTCACCAAAGATGCTCGAAGCCGCAGCATGCTCCGAGTTGAACCCGCACTTTGTGATTGGCGATCCTCTCATGGGATGCAATTCGGAATCTAGCATCAGGAATTTCCCCCTACGGCTAGTCCGCTGTTTCCGAATCTATTGCTTAGATGCATATGCGGATCCAAAGATCACCCAGGGTCTGCTCCATCTCCTCCACACTCTACCCATACGTGCAGCCATGCCTGCAGGTTACTATTTTTGCACTGCGACACGGAATACGACCGCAAACACCGGCGAGGTATCACATCTGAGTGCTTTGAAATATGCAGAGTCACCAATGACCGTCGAGTAGGAACTGACCAAGCTTCCCTCAGCTGACCAAGCTTCCGCAGCTCCCGCTGATCATTCGAGTCAGAATCCAGGATTGTGAACACCGAGATGCAGCAGCTCAACTTGATTGCTCGCTTGTGGGATTTTGCTATGACCTGTGATTTACGATCTGGCATATCGCTGACTCCGCACTGGCCATTTGAATTGCAGCGTCTTCTTCGCCAAACCTACTCCGCCGGCACCATCCGCCGAACAGTGAGACTGGACTCGGAGGATTATTGAAAATCATTCATCATCCATCACGAACTACAACAATACCAAAACCCACGATCCAACAGCCAAAAGTATCTCAAGACACTCAACGCATATCGAGACGCGGCCAGTAAGCCGAAACCGTGGCTGCAAGTATCCGAATCTGTGCGTTCTCCTCATGTGCGGCGCTGCTTCGGCAAACTCAGGATCAATACATCCTCGCGAGAAAGACCCCCCCATCTCAGGGTCTTTCGTACCCTGGAAGAAGATCCAGATCTTCACACTAACATCTTAGTTACCTGCGTGATCATGTCGCACATCATACCTTACGCAGTCAGTCGATTTAGAGTTTGCGGGTCCGGGAGTCGGCGCGATTGAACGGAACTTTTGGGGGATGTTCCTCGTAACGAAACATGGTTCTGCAGCGATTATGCAGGGTAAGTGAGGATGCTCGGAATAGGGTTGGAAGATATCGCGTGAGAGGGGTCTGGCCCGGTGAAGATGATGGATGGCCCTTTGTCTAAGAAGGGTTGGGGTCTTGCCGGAAGGTTTGTGTGACAAGGGGCTGCACAGCACCCCTTGAGAGATGGATTGACTCCTCGCGTGAAGAGTCTGGATGCAGATCCTGTCTGGCAGGAAGTGGTCTGCCGTGGGATTCGGGCTTCCGTTCGAAAAGTTTGCAGAGGAGTATCGATTGCCTTCACAACCGAGCCATATGTTTTAGCTTGAGGTGGTTTCATGGTTATCTGACGCTCAGTTGAAATTGGTCATACTTCGATGCAGTAACAATTAGTTGTAACTTCATTCTTGGAGTGACACACCAGCCGGGAGCTGTTCAGCTGCTCCATGCGCCATGACAGACTGCAGATTGACAAGGTTACGTCCATTCTACACTGTACACTATACACTATACACTTCACACTTTTCAATTCTGAGTTTCTCGCTGCAAATACTGGCTAGATCATCTATTTGTCTCCCACAATTGCAGCAGATTGCTACTAGCTACGATCATACTATCCCGCTCCTTGTACATTCTACTCGGTCCATTGCCACAAGAACTTTTACTCTCATATCCCCAAAACGCCACACCACGACATCATCAGTTGCATCACCCAGACGCTCTTCTCGTTCACGTGCCTTCTTCCAGCCATCACCCTAGGACGTAGTACACTCTCCTAGTATCACTGCTCACGTTCTCTCAGCCTAAATACATACATAATAGTAGCTACGACAGAAACAAGCAATTCAAGCCACTGCCGCCCTGAGAAAGCTCTTCTGCAACCCTTGTGTATATCCACACAGCACACCACCCCATCTGCTCCCGCGCGAAACTGTGCGTCCCATCGATGCACGCAAATCCCGACACCTATCCCCAAACAGCACACAACAAGGAGAGCGGTGTGCAGTAAACACGACGCACACTGTACCACGTATATCGCACGTCGGAAAACAGGGCATGCATCCCCAGTCCATAAGCACACCTACAACACGAAGAAGCAAAAGCCAGCGACCAAGTCTTCGGGTCCGTAGCACCAATATACGGAATAAAGCACAAGTAGGACGGCACGTAGATTGATCGCCAGATCGTGCAACACCAGGGCATCGACCGGGCTCACGGGTACGTGTTATTCATGCGCTCCGTGTCCTTGGGTCGAGCGTGTGGGTGTGCGACAGTCGGGATAATATACGTTGCTTGGCGGCGCTTAGGGTGATATTATCGTGGTATGTATAATACGCTTTGTGACGGTGGGGTGTGAGACTGTTGTGTACTGCGCTGTTTGTGATGAGGTGGGTGGTGTGTACCCTAGGAATGGATGGGTGGGAGGGGGTCTTTACATCGGCTTCCAGGGATTGGGGGCAGGGGTGCGGCCTTGTAGAAGAGTGAATTCTAGTCAGGGTAGTGTATATTCGTGTTCGACGAAGAACTGGTGGGTTAGTTGTTGGGATCCGTGGCTCTTGGTCGTGATACTGCAGGTGGGAAGTGATGCAAAAAGCAACCATGTGAGAGCCATGCTCGAGAACGATGTGCTCGCGCTGCGGGAAGAAGACGAAGAAATAGACATGGAAAGTCCCTCGTGCTGCAATGCAGCTCCAATGCGGCGGTGAAGATAAATCGCCCTATCGATTCTGCCTGTCAGAGCCAGTTTATAGCCCTGACTATCGCGAGAAGTCGTGCTGTTGATATACAATGTAGACGCGAGAAGTGATGTGATTTGGACCACGTTCTACACACTCGTCTCAGTCTACGACTGTCCCGCAAATAAACTCGCTCTTGCAGTTGCCGCAAACACAAAATCGCCTGCACATGTGTGCAAACGCTCAGAAAAACTTCTCCCTCATGACATGCGCACAACTTGATGCAAACGGTGCTTCCCCAATAACAACAACAATAACACCGCACCGCACTTCACATTTTGGATCTCTCAAAATCTATTTTTAAGTAGTACTTATAGTACAAACCTCAGAATTCTATAAAAAAGAGTTCGGTCGCCTCCTCTGCTAAAGTGGTTCGTAGGTACGCCTCATGGCTTGCTTTGAGAAATGTGACCGTCTTCCTTTTTTGACTTTTTAATGTGAGTGGGTTCGGTTTCTGGTTGATGGTAGAGAGTACTTTTTGCTTCAATTACTTTTGATCTGATCAGCAAACAAATGCTCACTGCTCTGTCCTCGACTCTCAAGTACAAATGCCATGCCAAGAGAGTGCTTTCCACCCACGCCGTAGCTCATTCCATCTTCATGATTGTATTCTCCGCGATCCGTCCAGAACGTGTGGCCCTCGAACAGTCTCTTTGCAGTCCGATAGACTGTTGCTTTTGTTGGGATTAAGCTGTCGTTCTTGTCCATGGTTGCATTCACTTGTATGCGTCCACTGGCATGGCCGATCGTAATTGCGTCTTGCATGACAGGTGCTGTCGCCAGAATTTGTTCGACTATAGTGCCAGGAATGCGAGCAGCTACGGCTGTGGTCAACGCTGCAGTGAGTGGGATCGCACGATGTGGCTGTCCGTCAGAGATGAAGCGGACGACGAGATCTGTCTGGGAAGACTCTAGCGTTTGACCCGAGAGTACTACATGTCTCGAAGACCTGGAAACGAGGCCAATTTTGGGCACTGTGCGCGGCGTTGCATCTTCGGTTGCGGTGATTCCCATGGCTACTGCGGCTGCTCTGCGGATGCAGTCTAGTTGGTCAAGCTTCTCTGGTAGCTTATTGAAGTCGTTGGGCAGGATGGTGCCGTCGACACCGATATCTTCTGCGCGGATGAAGATCGCGGGATTGGCGCCGTCGACACACGATACCTCGTAGCCCGCAACGGTGTCGACTTTGTTACCAGTCGGAAGCACCTTGCCCGTCTTGCTGCCATAAGGGTGTTTGAAGTCGAGTTTGATCTGTGATCCGGGACCGGTCACGCCGTCGATAATATAGTCTCCCGCAACTGCGGCCTGGCCATTTACAACCTCGAACGTCGAGTCAATTATCTTTTCCGTGTTCGTATTTCTGAATTTGACGGTGACGTTTCCGTCTCCCTGATCATACACTTGCGGTGGAAGTAAGCCGGCATTGTACGCATAAGGTCCGATGGCAGCACTCATGTTGCCGCAGTTGCCTGCTACATCAACCTCGTTGTTCTCAATGCCCAGTCCAACGAAAGTGTAATCGACATCTAGAGCTAGCTCTTCCTTAACATCCCAAGACTTGTCTTCTATCATGCGCTTGCCATATGGTTCGACTAGACATATCTTGCTAAGACTTGAAATGCCAGCGCCCATACCATCTAGTTGCCGCCCGTATGGATCGCCACTTCCCATAATTTGACGAAATATGCTTGGCCATTTTACACGCTCTCCTGGTAGATGTTTTGGCTGGATCATTACGGCTCTTGATGTGCCTCCACGATAGTATGCCGCTTCAATCGGCTTCTGAAGCGGCATCGAGCGCGGACTGCCATTGTGCAACGAGCGTACAGCCTGTGGGCCAACACGAGGCACTGAAGAGATTGGTAGACGCATTGCGTCTCAAAAAGAGATCGGTTCACATTCTGTGTTGCAGCTGCAATCATTGAAGGACGACATCGGCATCTATACCGAGGCTGGACTGGACCCCGTTTTCTCGGCGCGCTGCACCAAAGCTCCGAAATTTTCTAAAAGAAGCTTCGAGGTCCAACACTACATCATCGCATCTCAGTCACCGCTAAGCCTGACCTTACCTTACTTTTGCCGCCCCAAGTCCGCATCTTGCTACCATTTCTTACATCACAATGCTGCAAAGAACAATGCTCCGCGCCTCAAGGCAACGCATCGCCGCCTTTGCGCCCCTCAGACAACCACTCGTGACCGCCCGAGTAGCCACCACACCCGCCCTCCGATGGTATTCCGACGCCCCGGCAGCCAAGGAAGGCGAGGCAGCTGAGAAGAAGGACGACGCCGCTGCTACACCCGCAAACGACGAGGCTTCAAAATTGAAGACCGAGATGGAGAAGAAGGACAAGGAAATCGTCGAGTTGAAGGTACACACATGCAACTCTACCCAGACCGGTAGAAGGTTTCTAACAACGCTTGTGTAGGACAAATACCTCCGCTCCGTCGCCGACTTCCGCAACCTGCAAGAGCGCACAAAGCGCGAAACACAAGCCGCAAAGGACTTTGCCATCCAGCGCTTCGCCCGCGACCTCGTCGAGAGCGTCGACAACCTCGACCGCGCGCTGGGCACCGTGCCCGCGGACAAGCTCAAGCCGGAGGACGGAAACGCCGATTTGATCGCGCTGCATGATGGCATCAAGATGACGGATAGCATCCTGATCAGCACGCTGAAGAAACACGGCCTCGAGCGCTTCGACCCCAGTGATGCGGGTGAGAAGTTCAACCCGAATGTGCACGAGGCCGTGTTCCAGGCGCCGCAGCCGGACAAGGAGGATGGAATTTGCTTCCACACGCAGCAGAAGGGATTCCTGCTCAACGGGCGGGTGTTGAAGGCCGGCCAAGGTTGGCGTGGTTAAGAACGCTTAAGAATACTACACAGTAAATCTCTCTGCTGTGATTGCATCTGTACGAATATCTGCGGGGAACCTGGGAATGGCGGGGCATGAGCCGGCGTTTTGTTCGAATTTTTGTGGATCGTGTATATATATTCACCCTCTCACGCATCATGGAAAAAAGTTGCTGCTGGCTGGATACTGTAATAGTAGTCATGACGAAACGGTACAAGGACGAGCATGTAGAGCCAGAGAGTAGACGTGCAATACGAAGCCAAATGAGCTCTACGTAATGTGCTTCACTGCTCCTTCCTAGTTGTGAATTCGTTTTTGTCCTGCCTCCCTTCGTCAAATTGAGCTTCAATTTGGTAATTGTTCGGTTACTCCATTATTGTTCAAGGTCATTCGGAATACGCTGCTTTGTCCAGCGGCTCTTGTATCGACGCCTCCACCTTTTGAACGCCAGCCCATGCAATGTTTTACAAGCCAAAGCTTCCTTTGAGATCGCCGATTGACTACCAGCTGTTACCGTATGGCGTAGCTCCATACGGCGTCGTACCGCCCTGCGCCGCACCGCCAGCACCACCCCACGCACTTGCTCCGCCATAGCCAGGCGTAGTGTAGCCACCGTCTGCACCAGGATAGCCCGCCCCATTCATTGTTGGACTCTGTGCGCCACCAAGGTCCATGCTGTCTGGGTCGCCACTGTCGCCATGTAGTTCCTTGATGACGGAGGCAAGCTTTTGCTGAAGTGTCTCGATGCCTTTCGTGACAATCTGATCCGGATCGAGGCCGCCGACAGTCTCAACGTCGTAGAAGAAGCGTTCCGGGACGGCTTTGTGGTCGAATTCTGTGTCCGGCAGTTCAGGGCCGCCGTCGAGGTTAATGCGTTCTTCGTCCTTGGGCCTAGAAAGTCACGGTGAGCGAAGCGCTCTGAAACCACAGTCAAATCTGGGAACTTACCATTCTGCGGCAGCATTTTCCTCAAACCAGTAGTCCAGGTGGTGCAGCTTGTTCGCTGGATCGTACTCGAACCCTATGGCGCTCGCAGAGGGTGCCCATTTCGCATGCTCCTTGGCGATACCCTTCTTCGCGATACATCGCATGTTTATTGCCTGTCCTCTCCGTAGCTTCACGATACAGCTGCCTGTGCCTTCCGAGTCTGTGATGACCGGTCGTCCCACTTCGTCATTCGGCCGGTTGCTCTCGATGACCAAATCGCGCGCAAACACCTTCATGATCTCACTTCCCGTGCATTTCGCGTTCAGCGAGAGCACTACCGCACAGTTGTCGCAGTATCCTTCACAATCACAGTCGCGCGCGTAGAGCAGATCGTCTACGCCCCTTGACGAAAGTGGAATCAGACCAAGGCGATGACATACGAACTCGTCGGCGAGCACTGAGGTGTTGTCGAGGACTTCGACGACATCGATGGCTAGTGTAGGAATCTCAGCCAGCATAACCCGCCGCAGCGAGTTGGCCGTCTCGAGGTTGAAGTTTTGGACGATGAAGTTGGCGCGTTGGCTGTTGGCCTGAGCATAGCTTTGTTAGTATACAAGTCACTCGGGCGCGCAGAGCCAACAAAGCGGGCGGTGTACCTCTAGGAAGCGCACGTTGATTGCGCCGCCTTCTGGGTCGTAATCCATCGCGTGTCGGCTGTTGAGGGTTGCGGGCTGTGTGGGTGTGACTTCGCTAGGAGGGCCGCCGTGCTAGGGCGATCGCGTTGGGAGGCGGAGAGGGACGTGTTGGCGGGTACGTGAGCTGGAGGTGGAGACAGGCGACAATTCCAGAAGTTCTTTGAGAGGAAGCTCTCTGGAGTTGTCGATACAAGCTAGGACAGAAGCGGCGTGGGGGATTTGCGCCACAGCACCCATCAGCCACACCCTCCCACTTTTACTCTCACTGGTCAGTAGAGTCTATGCTCGCTAACATATGTCTGGCAAGAAACTTGAAGATCTCAGTATGTTATGATAGTCAGTGAGATATAATTTGGCCTCATACAAGCATCTGAGCGAACACTTGTTCATAGCAGAGCGCCTTAAGTGGTTGTCAGGCCACTCCCACCAGAATTCTGGACATGCAATCACTAAGCGTCATGCTGTCTACACAGAATGTGAGACAGCCACGAGCTATGGCACGATCACCACCTACAGTCAGCCTTGCCTTGCCCGCATTGAATGCGCAGGTTGCGTGTGGTATAGTTGATCGTCTGGCCAAGCAAGCGCACCAAGCTTTCCGCGTACCATAGACTAAAGCTGCAGGCTCCTGAAGCAGACAGGCGGGCTTGACACACCACTACGGCTGATGACACGAACGCTGCGGACAGGATATGGATGGGTGCGCCTTGGCGAAGTCGCGATATGCTGACTCACATGAGGATCTAGTCGTGCGCAGCGCAGTTGGCGCTTCTGCGCCCAAGACACTATCGAAGGGAGACATTAGAGGAATGGGACCGCAGTACGGAGACGCTGGTGATGCAGCCGAGGCGGGCATACAGCGGCCGGAGTGGGTGCGTGCTGTACAACATGTAACCAGGATGTGTCGACCTGGCTACATACCAAGACCTGTCAATGCTGAAGCATTATCGTCATGGAAGCATCTGGATGATTGTTGACAATTTCTCGACGAGGCTGAGTTGCAGCAGCAGTCATGCGTCATCAAGGCGCATACCGTGACCTCCTTTTCATTGTGGGCACGTTATCCGCCACGGCCCGGCATCTGTTGAAGGCACTGTTCGCTGTGTTGTTAAAGAGAAGGCAGTGCAAAATGCCGAGGTGGCCAGAGTTCGAGACAGTCTGGGACTTGCATGCACGCGTTGGGCGAGTCGGAGAAACTGGACTTGGCACGCCGATATGATGCACTGCCCCAAAGATTCGCTCTCTTGCGGAAGCTCTCGCGCTATATGCCGTGGGCAGGCGAACTTGATATAAGACAACGTCTGTCTCTTGTTCTTCACTAACTTCAACCACGTACGCAAGCAACTTAACACTCAGCATACTCTTGCACACAGAAACCATCTCAAACATGCAGGTCGCCGTACCATCACCACAACGCTCACGAGCATCATCGCGGAGCAAGTCGCCACTATCTCTCGACCTCTCAGACCTCCCACCACTGGTTGAGCCGTCACCTCCTTCAAACACCCTCATAATTACAGTAAGTCTGACTTGGAATAGTTCCGTGAACCTAGCTAACATTCTCAGAACCTCCTCGCGCCAGAGATCTTCCACATCACCACCCTCACAGAGCTCCGCGAGACGATCGACCAGCATGGAAAGATTCACACCTGGGCACCACTCAAGTCTTTCCGCCGAATTGTGGTCTCCTTCTTCGACATCGAATCGGCCATCCAGATACGGCAAACCCTCGATGGTTCACAAATCATGGGCTACCGGGTGCGCGTTTACTTCGGCATGAACACGCCTCTGAACCCCTCGGATCAGCACCTTCCTCTGCCCAAGTCTGACCGCCTTTTCTTCATTTCGCCGCCGCCGTCACCACCCATGGGCTGGGAAATGAAGGAGGAAGATGCACCAAACAAGATTGTGCACCCAGAAGATCTCGCAGCAGCGCTGGCTCGTTTGCATGCACACCCCCACAACGATGCGCTCTCACCTGTAGACTCAGACTTCAGCCCAATCGGACGGAGGCGGACAGGCAGCACGACGATCGTGTACCACCCTGAGGACCACGGCGACTCGCTCACCTTGCCGGCCATCGCAGTGGAGGACACCACCGAGACACCTGGCTCCTTGACACCAGATTGTATGGGAGGTGTTGAGGGACCCATTCAGTCACAGAAGGCCCAGGGCAAGACACTCAGCACTGCACGTCCGCCGCTTGAGTTCATGAACTAAGATATACGAGGTCGATTTCTTTCTTCTTTTCATTGTAAAAGCATTACATTTCATAGTATTGGGTTGGCATGCAATGGCGTTGGTGGTAACTCTCTCTCGTAGAGCGGGATCGTGTTTTGGGAATAGGATGAGGGAGGACACATTGTTCTGGCGGAGGCATATTTCATGGCTGAACATTTTATGGGCCATGATATGAGCATGAACGATAAATTCAAATATGATTGACACCAACTTCATCGACCTTATGAGTGATTTACTTATCTGAATGGAGAGAATTGAGTGGACGTATGTGGGAGAGTGGCCAGCAATTCCATGGCTGGTTCAGTCTCACCATTGGGTGACCTTGGAGCTCGAGTCTTCGGCGAATCAGCTCGTCTTGATTTACGGGGGTCTGGTTGCATGACAGATCGCGAGCTCTCGTGACAACAATCTCTAGTCCCAGCCGTATTGTGGTCTCTTAGTAGGATCATTGTTAGTCGGGACGCGACACACATAGGTTTCCACCGTTACTGCAAGTCCTTAAAAACATTTGATCGGTGAATCAAGCAAGATTAGACAGAAGATGAGTTGGTGTTGTCCACGGGTCGCAGCTTCCAAGTTGGGGTCAGAAATGGCACGTGACCTCCCTTGCGCTAGCGCCTGCACAAGCGAGCCCGCACTACTGATCGAATTCGACCTTCAGCCAAATTTCTCCTCTGAACTCGACCACTACTAACGTTGCAGCACAACACACGTCCGTCTCGACGCCGCCGTCAAGATGAAGCTCAACGTTTCCTACCCCAACAATGGCACCCAGAAGCTGATCGAGATCGAAGATGAGCGCAAGCTCCGCGTCTTCATGGACCGTCGCATGGGACACGAGGTTCCTGGAGACTCTGTCGGCGACGAGTTCAAGGGCTACGTTCTCAGGATCACCGGCGGCAACGACAAGCAGGGTTTCCCGATGAAGCAGGGTGTTATGCACCCCACCCGTGTCCGTCTGCTCCTCGCTGACGGCCACTCCTGCTACCGCCCCCGTCGCACCGGCGAGCGCAAGAGGAAGTCTGTCCGCGGTTGCATCGTCGGCATGGACCTCTCTGTCCTTGCGCTGAGCATCGTCAAGAAGGGCGACAACGACATCCCCGGTCTCACCGACGTTGTCCACCCCAAGCGCCTCGGTCCCAAGCGTGCCACCAAGATCCGCCGCTTCTTCGGTCTCAGCAAGGAAGATGATGTGAGTTTTCTCATAGCTTCTTCGCCAATCCTTTTCTATGCAAAGGGTTGAGTCTGACGACCATTTTCTATAGGTTCGCAAGTTCGTCATCCGCCGTGAAGTCACCGGCAAGAAGGAGGGCGCAAAGCCCTACACCAAGGCTCCCAAGATCCAGCGTCTGGTCACTCCCCAGCGTCTCCAGCACAAGCGCCACCGCATCGCACTCAAGCGCCGCCGCGCGGAAGCCTCCAAGGATGCTGCCGTACGTTGCACCTATACCATACATTGAAGATGGATACTGATGACATGGCAGAACGAGTACGCTCAGATCCTCCAGAAGCGTCTTGGCCAGGCCAAGGCTGCTCACGACGAGGCCCGCAAGAGGAGGGCTTCTTCCATGAGGCATTAGGAGAAGGTCTTTACGAAGGCATGATAGGGTCGTGGAATGATTACTTTGGCGTCGGCATGAAAAACAGTGTGGGCTCCTGTATCTGAACGAAAACTTCGGGATTCTAGGCATAGGCGCTTCATACCACTGACTGCATAAGGCAGTTGTCTCTTTGCAATAAAGCAATTGCATCTTCACGGCCCCGACCCACTGCAAATGTGCTGTATGCACTTCATCCTCGTCCCATAGTACTTGCGTTGCCCGTGACTTTCATCTCTTTTGCACGAAAGCACTCTGCTTCATCACATGGTGACCACGTTCTGAAACCAATATCACTGGGTGTTACTCAAAGAATACCTACCTTCCCTGATTCCCCACCTTAATTCTGAACCACAATAGCATACCTGCGAGATACCCATACAATCCCATCAGAAAAAATAGCTGCCTCCCAAGCAACCCTGCTGTTCCACATCCAAACGTACCCTGCTACGCCAGCGTTGCCTCGCTTGTCACCCCAGATCTCATGGAAGCGGATCGCCATGTCGCTCGCCGCAACCACGATACATCCTTCTTCCCTCCTCGCCGTACTACCATCTCGACCATCGTCATTTGTAGGTGGACTCGTCGGACCGCCAGGATATGCCACCGCGCACAAGGCTCGATTCTCGTCCCACCACGGCACCGAGACGACTTGCTCGCAGCTCGGCCAAGCGAAAACGGCGATACGATATGGATGCTCGGGCTGTGCGAATCCGAAAGTCGCTGCAATCTCGCGTCGTGTTTGAGACCACACGAGACTTGTGACTTGGGCAGCACAGTCAATGGTCGCGAGACAGGTGCCGGATCTTGTGTGATAGAAGTGGATACACCGGTCGTTTGACCCGCCTCCGACAGCAAGTAACCCGCGCTGCCACGGGCAGAATGCCATGGCCTTGACAGCTGCGTTGAGGGTCCACGTGTGCCGTGCGGTCGTGTGTTGCAAGTGAAGGACAGGGCCAGAACGATCGGCGACGGTATAGATGGCTTCACCACTTGGACCTTGGCGCACATCGAGGTCGACTGGTGGATTCCCGCTATTGCTTTCGACACGCAATACTTTTTTAGTTTCAAAAAGGAAACAGTTGTTGTCGTTGCCACCACTGGCGAACAACTCGCCGTCGGCAGCCCAAGCAAGTCCGCAGATTTGCTGAGTGTGGATGACCATGCGTGCAAGTAGTGTCATTGCACCATGCCAGCCAAACAGGGCACTCTGGTCCTCGGACGGCCATTCAATGCTGTAAAAGTAAATATGTCCGACCTCATCCCCGATGATCAGCTCTTCTGTGGTCACGGTCATTGCCCGATCACGAAGTGACGGACGTTGAATGGTTGTGGGTCGCCACGAGACACATGATACTGGTTTCGGCTGAATAGCATCGAAGCGTGGTTCAGAATCAAATGGACTCCAGAGAGTTATTCGACCGTCAGCTCGCCCAACAGCGAGAATGGCTTGACCACCCTGTGCAGAAGAGAAGTCCAGTGATGTGACATGCCGTACATCTAGAACAGACCCTGTTGGAATGGCATTGAGAGACTGGGGAGTATCTACGCCGGATCTTTCAGACCACAGGTGCACAAAATTCCCTAGACCAACAGCGAGACATTTGGCAGTAGTGGAATAGGCAAGCAAGGTGCAGTAATAATCGTCTCGTAGCTGAGGAGCATCTAGCACTGTACACAAGCATTAGCATTTCATGGACGAAGAGGCTAAGCAACATATCTGAACGGCAAAATGGGCACTGGTCTTTGTAGGCCTTGTCGAGACTGTCGTGGAGCTTTATTGTATAGTCAGCAAGACCCAGAAGTATACTATTGATGCGCAAGTTGACAAACTCAAAATGACACCATCCTTGATCCAAGCACCATCACGCCAGGCAGGTTTAGCATGTTTTGCCATTTCATTTTGCATGGACTTGCACATTGCAGTGGGCAACGGGGAGTGTTGTAAGATGCGGTCCGTCTGGTCGACGTCAAGTGCTAGGGCAAGACGGCGCTCGTACGCTGCGAGTTCGGCCTCAGGATCTGCACGGTTGAGGAAGGTGGATGTATAGAGTGGCGCGTTGGTACCGCTCCCTAACACGCCGTTTCTGCCAGTCGAAACTGCAGTTACCGTGTCGCTTACAGCAGATGGCCCTCCTACGTTCCAGACAGCACCAGCGCTAATTTGGCGGGCGCCAGTCGTTTGAAAATTGCGCCTTTGGAGTAGACTAGTGTTCCTCCGCCGTGCACTGACTCTTCGGTTGAGAAGAGAGTGTGCTTCTCTGAGGCCATTCAGCTCGTCGTTCAAACGTCCGCTCCTACGCAGTCTTCGACTGAAAGGATCCACAGTTGGTCGGCTACCACGATCCGCTTGGTCCGCCTCCCTACGCTGGTCGGGCTTGTTCAATTCGAAGCTTTCGCGCGTAACAGCGGGCGGACGACGACATGCAATGTAGCGGTCCGGCGTGAATGCTTGACCTCTGCGAGGCGATTGCGACAGGCCACCACGTATTGCCCATTGACTTGGTCTCAAAGGTGAGCTTGACGAGCGATGAGGCAAACGACGTAGATTTGTCATGGACAGGCTCTGTTTGTCCGTGATGTCTTTGATTGTAATATGCGGTGCTTGACTTTGCAGGGACGGAATGACCACGTCTTGATCATGATTGAACGAGCATGGTCTAGTCGCCTCCGCCGTAATGCTATCTGATACGGTCCGATATGAGGTTCTGCGTATTGGTTCTAGCCATCGTTCTGTGTTCGGAGCAACAGGGTCTGCTACGCTGAAGACTTCAGAGTTCTCGTGGGGATGTAGGATTGAACTGGGCGATGAAAGAGAGTTCATACGAGCGGACGTCGAAGAGCTAGGCGATGACGATCGGCTGATATAGGAGCGTGTGCACCGCTTGGTAGGTGAATCATTGTCAGCAGTTATCGGGATTGATCTATCCGTAGTACGAGGCAGCTCTGGAACGGTAAGAGCGCCAAGATGGAAAGTAGACTTTGACTTCGTAGGAGAAGCCGGAGGAGTGAAGAAAGGAGATTGTTCATCGGCACAGATATTGCGAGAGAGTAAACAGCTGCGGATCTTGCGAGGAGACCCTGGAGTTCTAGGTGAGAACCAGCCCTCGGTGTCGACCGTCTTCGAGGGTGACAGAGGCGGAGTGACGAAACCAGAACGATATGAAGATGTTTCATCATCACTATCGCTCATGATGGCTTGCTCTCGAGATTAGTGGTGAGCCGGGAAAAGCTTCAGCACATGTCGAGCCGCGCAAGTGTCAACGACTCGAATAGGAGCGGAGACGTGTGGTGATAGAATCTGGTCGAACGTCTGCCGTGTCTGTTATTACTGCTGGGTTAGTATAGCAATGGAGAGTATGATCATCTAGGGTGTGTGAAGCGTAGGATACGTGCAGGTGTGTTGGTGTGTCGACCTTCCTCGGCGAATGACGTGCAGGAAGTGACGCGACGCGTAGTGGGGCAATGTTTCTCCGATGCTGCAGGTACAGCGTTGGGTAGTGACAAACCACGACACTAAAGCTGCGACCATGGCAAGTGTAAGCATACGACTTTACGGTACACACACAGGGCCAGGAATGCTGATGTAGAGTAGCATGGTGTAGCGCGCGGCTCAGGTCCAGTGGTACGATCCGAAGAAGCGCGGCAAAAAGAGCTTCAGCAGATTGCTCAGTACAAAGATCTGGTGGATCTGGTAAACACAAAGGTAGCGTTGCTCGCTTTCAATTACATGCATGAGCTGATACTAATATCGTTCAGATCACGGAGAAGCAGTATACCGTTGAAGTACTCGGTCATGTCACGAAGCTATTAAACGAGAACCCCGAGTACTACACCATATGGAACCACCGGAGACGAGTGCTAAATGCCCTCCTATCAGCGGAAGATTCGCCACAGCCACCAGATGATCTTGTACAGGGCGACTTGCAGCTGACCTTCGGACTGCTGCGCAAGTTTCCCAAGTGCTATTGGATATGGAATCACAGAGACTGGCTTCTGCGCAGGGCAGAATCTGCCATGGGTGAAGAAGCTGCGTACAAGCTTTGGTCCGGTGAACTGCAATTGATCAACAAGATGTTGCACGCCGACAGCCGTAATTTTCATGCTTGGGGCTATAGGCGTTTCGTTGTCTCGCAAATCGAACGCCTGTCCACAGCTTCCGCAAACCAGACTTACAGCCTAGCCGAGTCAGAATTCGAGTACACAACCAAGCTGATCAAGACCAACCTGTCCAACTTCTCGGCCTGGCATAACCGCAGCCAACTCATTCCTGAGATCCTCAAAGAGCGCAATGCCGATGCGAAGGCACGCCGCATTTTCCTTGGCAAAGAGCTGTCCCTTATGTGCGAAGCCATCAACACCGATCCATTCGACCAGTCTATCTGGTTCTACCACCAGTATCTGCTGTCCACCTTATCACCATCCTGTCCACCACACCAACTTATTGTCCATGACCTGACCAACGGCGAGCGCCAGAAGTACTATGAGCATGAAATTGAATATATCAAGGAGATATTGGAGGACGAGTCGGACTGCAAGTGGATATACGAGGGCTTGCTGAGGCTAGCGGAGGCGTATATAGAGGTAGACGCAGGGACAGGTTCTGTGACTACGAGGGATATGGGCGCCTGGCTCGAGGAGTTGAAACGTCTAGATCCATTGCGACGGGGGCGCTGGGAGGATCTAGGACGGAGGCTGAATCTGTAAACATTCGTATACTTGTTCAGGGCTTGCCTGGCTTCGCCTCTGCGGGGCTCTGTGCTGGAGCTGATGTCTGATGTCCTTCTGGTGCCGCATTTTCCTTCGCGCCCTCCTTCCAGGCCCACAGCCCAATCATCGACGACCACGAAGACGTTGCTTCTGAAGATGAAGCTTTTGCGTCTTCTTTCACTACTTCTTGCTGCACGGGTATTTGATGAGGCGATGGAGGCGGAATTGTGGTCGACGGTATAGGTGTACGACTTTGGCCGGTCAAAGCAGCATGAGCGGCGACTTCGCTAATGAGAGTGTGAGTGATGGAGTGAAAGGGATTTACCGGAGCGTGTATACCGTTCATATTCCTCTTGAAGCCTCTTCCGCCTTTGCTCCTTCAACTCCTCTCCAAACGTAGCAACACTAATTGAGACTCCCGCAACTACCGCTAGAGCGAGTGGCAATATTCGGCCTGCCATCTTGTGACTTTGACTCAACGTGCACTCTCAATTGTGCAGTAAGTGTTGGGGTGAGGTGTATGACATAATTGAGAACACAGAAAAGTCGTCGGCGCACTTCCGCTCCATTTCGCGCTAGTAGGCTGCACGGGTCGACGCGTCAAGCCTTCGAGCATATGCGGTCAACCAACAACCTCACCCCGCCACCATCGTACTGTACACCGACATGCAGACGCGGCCAAATGTCCAAATGGCGCCAGAAAGGATTTGTCCAGGACTCGGATGAGGAGGAGGAAGACTCTCAGCTCGAGAGCCAGGGTTCGAAGCGAGATGCTTCCTTGAATCGACGCGTCGAGCGCGTCGATGGTTCTGCCTCACAGGGAGAAGAAGCGGACAGTGTGGAAAATGATTCCATAAGGGCAACAGAAACTAGAGAGCAGGAGACGAACGGGGACTCAATTTCTTTGCAAGGGACGGGCAAAGTTGAACACGCAAGTCCAGCAACAAGACGTCTCTCGCCCAGCCGACCCACAGCTTCTCCATTGACGCCTGCCGCAACGTACCACTCCACAAGGGAACCGACAGACAGCCCCGATCCTCTACAAGGTTCACCAAGTCCAAGGCCTCAGAAGCACCGCCGAGTTGCTCCGTCGCAATTGTTAGAGGCACCACTCTTGGACGATACCTTTCCACCATTAGGAGCACAACAGCAAGACAATGCTCTGAGATCTCCACATGTACAAAGCAGACTTGTAACTGAAGTGAACAGTCCCACGCCAAATGATACCAGGACAGACAGGCCTCCCAACATTCTGGACGCATTTGGGGTCGAGCCACTATCGGAAGACTCCGACGATGAGCCTCTCTCGGATCCACCCAGCGACTTGGAGTCTCCAGAACCTGGTTTTCTGGTACCTCAGCCTCATCGTAGGACTGCCGTTCAGGTCGTCATACCAAGTTCCACTGCATTGCAGAGGCACCTTTACGAGGAGGAGGCGAGACGCGAATTCCGCCAGCGCAAGCCTATTCAATTACATCCTTACGCTCTAGAGGGTGAGCTGTACCGGAGGGAAGTTCAGAGTAGAGGGTTGAAACCGGTACCTAGGCCGAGGTCTCCTGAGCAAAGAGTAGCGCCACAAAATACAGAGACACAAGAGAAGGACTTTGACCCGAATGCAACACCTGACAGTAGCCCGCCTGAAGTTGAAATACCGGTGTCTACGCCCGCGCCACGTAAGCCTCGAGCAGACAAGTCCGATATAAGTTCAACTAGACGCCCCGTCTCCGACCTAACACGACGCAAGCTACCTGCAACTCAGCTCCATCTTCCAAATGCGACCAAGAGGAGGAGACTCAACGTTAGCTCGACACAAGCTGCAGCCGCCCCAACAAACATATTTGACGATGAGGCTGCACGTCACGACATCTGGTCAATCCCACCAAATTCACCACCTTATTCGAGTAGTCCTCACTTGCTGGGGCAACATTCCGGACGGAACTTTGGCAAATTTACTACAGCGGCCACTACTCAGAACCTGCCCACACCGTCCACGTCTTCGATCTTCCAGGATGAACCTCCACAAATGCCAGACTCTGATGTTGACCGCATTCCGCGAGGTACAGCACAAGCAGATAGTGAGCTGCGCCGACCCGCAAGGATCATCCTCAGTGACCTAAGTTCCTCAGAGTCAGATTCTTCATCAAGCGAAGCAGAGAAAAGCGATCACGAATTGAGGCAAGTGAGCAGAAAGATAAAAGGGGTTCTACCTGCTTCCTGGTTACGATTTGATCAACAAGCGCAGGAGCGACTGCAAGCACAGGCAAGAGAGCGGGAACGAGCACGTCAGCTCTCTGAACTATCTCCAGACCCTGAACCCCAGCGTGGCGTTGCCCAGAGGATTATCAAGCGAAACGTGTCTGGAGGACGGCAATCTACCCAGAACATGCCAGCAAAAGACGTCGTGCTAATTTCTGATGGATCAGGCGACGAGCGTCAAGCTCAAATTTACAAATTTACACGAGATGTACGGACGTCTGTGGATGATGCGAGAGCGCTAGCTGCAGAATTGGACCGCAGATATGCTGAATATGATTCAGATAACATGGAGAACGATCCTTTGCCTCTCTTCACTATGGGCGGCACTGGAAGCAAGAGAAAAAGGCAAAGCAAACTCACAGACGCCTTCACAGCAGCCAAGAGACGAAAAGCGGCGAATGGCACTGCAAGACTTTCACATTCTATACAGCCAAGGAAGAAACAGCATAACGGCAGATCAAAGCATACACGGCGCACACCTCCACCAGCTCTAAGCGTTGTCGATGTGGATATGTCATCGTCAAAAGATGATGGCAGTATGCCACAATTCCTGCGACTGGCTAGGCGGCAGGCTCTTCGCAGACCAGATCTAGCTCGCCAAAGTCCCTGGATGAAACAGGTCCGATTACATAATTCACGCGACACCGAGGAAGCAAATGCGACTCTCCAACAGTGGCGCAAGGGTGGTCTGAGACCGAATGCAAAAGTTGCACCCCGAAAACTTGAGAATGTGCGGTCCCCACTGGCAGACAGGAGCGACAACCAACAACATGCCCAGGGAAGTACGCAAAACCGAACATCACCAGGCAAGGATTTGGATACGATTAGGATCTCAACTAGTCAGAGGCTCACAACAAGACCATTGACATTGGCCATGTTCCAGCGGACTTCAACGCAAGCATCAAACCCTTCCAAACGGATCAAGTCAGCGCCCAGATCGAACACGATCCTGCAGCGATCCGCCCATACAGCTCGACCACCCTTCAGGGTTGGCCAACTAGAAGGCGACGAGCAAGTTTTTGGACATGGACATCGTAAAATCGCTTTTGAAAAAGGCTTGCGCCATGCGGATCGCCCGACTGCTGGCCAAGGTCCTGGTAACCATGTTTACATGAATCCCCAACTGGCAAGATTTCTAGCGGATGATGACGCTGTATTGCCCCCACTTCCATCAGCGAAGGACATTGGAGAACAGCGAATCGAGCGTGAGAGAGAACCAGTTCCACCTTCCAGAAAGCGTCTCACTCGAAAGAAATTACAGGCTCAACGGGTGGATGTCGATGCACGAGAATTTCGTCAACCCAGCGAGCAAGCAGTCCAAGAAGTACTTTTCAATCAAGTCCACAATCGCTCGCACGAAGCTGCATCAGAGGAAGGACCGGCTATTCTCCGTGGCCTGGGTCCTTTTGGCACTCGATATCCCACTACCTTCGATGTGGTACCTCTCCAAGCTGACACCTACTTCCATTCTTCCACCCTCGTTGGGTCGGAAGATCTTCGACGTGCATTATCGGTAGCTCAAGCTGATAGCAGAAATCTGGATGATCTTGCTGGATACTGCACCATCACGCATTCTGGGCTGTCTGTACGGTGTGGACCCTGGAACGACGAAACGAGCTCCGCGCTCGCCAATCTTGTGAGGAGTATCACAGCACCGTTGGACTCCGACCTCGCGCGATCTGCGGAAGAAGGATGTATGTCTCAACGAGAAGTTCTGCGTAACCTGGCACAATTCGTGCGTTCAATGACGAGTTATGTCTCCACAAATCTGAGCTTCTCCGATCCTGTAGATCGAAGGTCTTTCGTGGTGAAAATGCAGCAAGTACTCTTCACCTTGTTCGATCAGGTCTCTGTCTTACATCACAACATCATCCACAATGGATCTGGTTCAGATGTTGTGAACAGTAGTCTTCGAGCCATGATCTTCCTGCTCGTCTTGAGCGTCCAAACGAGTCTCATTGCCCAAAACACTGTTGTAGATCAGCACCTGTTGTTGGAAACACGCCGCCTAGCCCAGAATAAAAATCTTCAGCTTGCCATATTCGCCACATTATCCGTTTTCTAACGCATCCGATCTCGGGGGAATCACTTCGAACAAAAACAAACGACACCGATGTGAGACAGAATGGTGTGCGAGAGAAAGATGCGGTCGTGGAAAGGTGTGGTGATCCTGCATGCCACGCTTTGGAAACGTTAGCACTACACAAGCAAAAGAGTTTCTGAGATATTGTCAGTCAAGAACTCGCTCCAGCCGCTTACCGTCACGAACGTCACCGTCTTTGAAACTGCATGGGCTACGCTGTTCTCCCTGGTTCCATTCATTGAGGTGGATGTCTCCGGTATTCCCGTGAGAAGTCGAAGAGAGAGTTTTTCTTTGGACAACTGGACTTGCATCAGCACTATATTGAGACGTCTGTTTGAGCTATACCAAAGCAGTTACCGAAAGCACGGTAGCTCGCTCAATGATTATGTTCGTGCCAGTCTGGCAAGGTGCCACAGATTGATCAAATTCTGGCATTGGCGAAAACCGGAACAGATGCTGAACGTTGTTTTCGACTTTTTTGGAAGGAACGGCCTTAAACAGCTTCATCGGGAATCGACCAGTGGATCGGTAACATTTTTCGATCATGCTACAGCCGAACAGCCCTTATCTCTGGATGTGAATGAGTGTTCATTCCACGTCGCTCTGAAATGTCTTATGCTGGGTCTCTATGGTATGAGGAAGAGTTATGCTGAGAAGAAGATACGCAGTTTTGTCTTCCGCACAATACCAAACCACGGTCGAAGCTACCCCAAGGACCAGCCTCTTGACGAAGAGAGCCTTGCTGCGTTACGAAATCACCACGACCTTCTTTGCACGCTATACTGGGCTGCCCCTCCCCCTTGTCGACCTAAACTTGAACTGATCCGAGGGCTTGTGAGCCACGAAACCTCTCATCGCGAGGCCTGCAGGGTTAACGTTCGTGCTTGGGCCAACCTTACAGCCTACCAATTATCCACTGCTGAGCTTTATGAGGCGGCCAAGCCGTTTGCGCTCTGGCACAAGGACATCATGCATCAGACGCTAAAGCAGTATCGACTCGCCAAAAGTGAAGCCGATGACTATATTAAGTCTGGGGCGCTGGACGGAACGACAGATGTGTCTACAGTGATGGTGCGCCAGACAATGGAGCGTAACCAAGAGCAAGTCATCGCCACCCTGCGCGACTGTATTCAAGGAATGCAAAAAGCCATGCAGTCTGCGGCTGACCAGACTACCCTGGGCGTATTCCTCGTTAACTCCGATGTTATGCAGTTACTGGAGCTGCCTCACCTCGAAGACGGCCGTCTTGTCAACGTAATCAGGGATGTCCTTGCATTGCTGCAGAAATTTTTGAGATTACAGAAGTCCACTACGACCCACAAAGAGAGCCAGACGGCGAGTGAGGATAGTCAAGATTATGGTGATTTTCCTGACATGGACGACCTGGACGATCTGGAGCAGCACAATGACATAGCTGCACCCCAGCACAAAGGCCTTGATTTCATACAAAGCCCGTTATGGCATCTGTTGTCCAACGCCTTTGGCGCAGAGATGTCACCAGACGACAATCTACTTCTGGATTGTGTGGATACTTGGAGCCTCTTCGCTCAAGTACAAGTGACAACTGGAGCGAGATCATGGTCATATTTTCTGGATTCGTTCAGTCAAAAGTCATGGCAGCAATTGCGACAGACTGAACAAAGTCGCAAATTCGCCCCGTACTTCCTCGCTCGTCTCGCTGATAGCGACCGCATGGCCTATGAGCACCACCAGCATGACTTCAACAATGCACTGCTGCTTTCATTAGTAGACCGGGAGTCGATGCTCAGGTTTCAACACCGCCTCCTACATGCTATCGTCACAGTCGACAAGGCCAACCCGCTGATGAAAAACCTCCCGTTTTTTTGCGACCCCATCAGTGGTAACTGGGACATCACTTCCGATACTCTGCGATCACGGCGTCTTGCCCTTATCTCGAGTATCTTGTCAAACATGCGAGACGAGCTACACTTAACAGCGGTCGAATCCATGGCACAAGTGTCAGAAGTGCGTAGGGCTTACACAACAATGTTGCAGGAATTCATGATGAGGATGAAGGGCAACTACCTACAGCTTCAGCAAGGCGCCACAGTAACCGGAGCATACGTGGACTTCGTCCAGAAGATTGTGCAATTTCTCAAGCAGTACACTGGGGACATCTGTCCAGTGATCCCATTCTTCACAGACTCGGTCGCATTCCCGTTACCATCAAAAGACCCCACATATGTTGTAGGCCGTCTGTGTGGGTATGCACCTAAAGCCATGGAGCCAGGCACATCCAAGCAGCTGTCTGTCTTCATACAGACCGTTGCACAACAAGCCGCAGCCGATCATCAGCAACAGTACCTTGTGACCCAGCTTACCACGGCCGTGTGCTCGAATGAGACTCCAGCCGCGGACAGGACAGCGCTTCGTTCAGTCCTTCTTCAGAGCATCTTCCCGTCCTACCTTGAGAGATCCTTCTCAACCGGTGCCGCATTCCTCATCGCAAACCCGATATTGCAATGTCTGCGGCCAATACTAGATACTATGATCTTTGATCTACGCATCACCCGACCAGACAGCGTCTCAACCATCATGAATTCCATCATTGCGGTTGCACACGCCTTCATCCGAGGCACTGAGCACTTGACAGACTCACCGACGCATTTTAAACAACCATACGTGCTCGCTGCTTCAACATATATGCTTGGAGCCATGGGTGTGATCTTACCAGTCTTGGAATACATATGCAGCCAAACCGGAACCAAGACGCACCCACTTGTCGCATACATGAGAGACTTCAGTATGTTCGTCATGGAGAGACTACGAGATATGGAGCCGCAAACGATCCCAGACTACGAAGGCGATGCACACACCACGACGGCGGGCGAGCAGCACAGTCACCTACTAGCGTTCTGTAGAAGAGGGTTAGAAGACAGCTTGAAAGCCAACTGGAGCGAAGATGCAACTGGGACAGTACACTTCGGCCAAGGCCATGCGAGGAAAGAAGTTGTCTTCGACATTGGGAGTGTGGAGGAAGAAAGGGAAAGACTATTGGCAGCCGTCGAGGCATTCCAAAGTGCCCTGTGTAGCGTTTATGGAGAGGGAGATTATCATGAGAACACCGTCGACTTGGCGTATCATGTTGTAGTTTAGCATTTGTGTATTTAGCGGCATAAGCGGCGTTTCTTGGAATGTGATGTCTCGCATCATCAGCATAGTAGCATCGAATTGATCATGACCACTACTTCTTCGTCCCGGACTGACAGCTCTCACGCGTTCGTCTTTCTCGAAAGAACATGTGCGCCTGCAAAGGTGCCATGCAGTCTACAATCATCACGTCTCACTAACATACAGCAGATTATTGACAATCGATGGGGAATGTACCAACAGCATCCCTCTCGCTCAAGCCATTGTGCGCCTACTCTCAAGCATAGCATCCACGCCCAAAGGAGCAGACACTTACTCTCAAGCTAGCACATCGCTCGAAAGCAGGCATTGAAAACGAGGTGATGATGGGATGCCAGAGGCAAAGTAGCAAACCGCAAGTCCAGACGTCAGAACAGTACAAAACGTAAAGTAGCGACAAGGACAAAAGCGGGCTGGGTTTGATCTTCGCACGTAGACTAATCGACACGGTATTGAGGAATAACTTGTGGCAATTTAAGAATGTGCGTGGTCTTGTCCAAGAGACGGACGGATGGGCCAGTGCATGCGGTTCACGGTACGAGTTTGAGGGTGGCATCGACATTGATTGCTGAAAATCAGCTATTCATCGTCGTCCTCATCGTCGTGCTGAACGTCCATGACTCTTTCGCCGGCTCGCTCAAGGGTCCTGCGACTCCAGACGCGGACGCCTTTGTATACAGCCTGTATCACATAAGCACCGCGCATGTAAATACACTCGAGATGGGGAGACCTACTGCAAGAAACGTGCCTACTCCAACTACAATGATGATCCAGCTGACTTGCTCGACTCGGTCGCGACCAGTTCTGGCTCTGCCACCACCACTTCCAAACCGGAAGTAATTGAATGGGTTCGCTAGCAGGACCTTGAGGAAGCCAAGTACACCCATGCTAGCGAAACCTTTCGCAAAATGCTCGTACCACGTGGTTGACTCATCCTCCTCGAAGTAAAAGCCTTGACTGCGTCTTGACCAGCTGTTCCAGGGCATATAGCTCCATGGGTCGACATAGAGCCCAATGATAGGGTCGGCTACAAATCCGAGAACGAAGATGATCACAATAAGAATTAGAGCAGTGAGCGCGATCTGAGCAGCTGCAAGGTGTGTTAGCCTCGCTCGATAGATGATAGGTAATCTCGGGTCTGTTCGACTTACCAACACTACCCACGAAGCGACCAGCTCCAAGGCGCGCTAACCTATATTTGAAACCGCAAGTAGGACATTGCCAGTAATTTCTCTTTCCATAGCCTGGGTCTGCATGGCGCCATGCTTGAAGGCAGGCATCGTGGACGTATTTGGATGAGCCTTTGCACAAGCAGGGTCGAATCAAACGGCCGGTCTCGTCCTGGTACACGACTCCGGGCGACTGCAGAAATCCCGGAAGACTGTCCGATCCAACGTTGAAGGTTGGCTGAACCGTTTCAAGGCAAATCCTACATTGTCGAGGTGGCCAGTGGGTGCGTCGCGACCGCGATCCTGATCCTGTGCTTGGGTTCGCGCCACTAGAAGTGCCTGCTGGCTGCTGGCGCGAGGACGAGGTTGAAGATTCTGGCTGTGCAGGTTCATTCTTGGGCAGATCATCTGGCCAGCTCCAGCCCCCTGGCGTTTGATATCCAGAAGAGTATGACATCGTGTAGTGAGTTTGTTGGTGCTAGGAGCGCAAGCGCAGTAAGTTGATTCCGACTCTTACCATGAAAGCACAGATACAAGTGGTGATGTGATCAATCAATCATGCGGGCGGGGAATGCATCATAAGCAATTCGGGTATCGGATGTGTTTCCGACACAGCCTCGCAGCTTTATAGGCGTTACAGAAGACACTGTGGCAGACAGAGCAGGAAGGTGGACGAGAAGGTTCGGTCAAAAGAGCTGAACGTCAAATCGGCTGGGGAACATCGGAGGAAGGTATCGCCGACGGATGGTCCGTGCAGCCGCGTCAATCGATTGCCTGGAGCTACCGCTACAGCTCGGACAGCTTCAATCCCCACGTCTGCAACCCCACCAGCCCTTCTTCCTCTTCTTCTCCCTCCATTAGCTTGCCGATACCCTCTGCTTGACAAAGAAAAGACAGTAGCCCATCATGGCTGACAGATATTCCTTCTCGCTCACCACTTTCTCGCCCAGGTAAACATACAGCGCCACGAGCGACCGCTTTGAGACCTTTTGCTAACAATCTACAGCGGAAAGCTAGTACAAATAGGTTCGTGCCAGGAATCACGTGAAGGGAGAAGACCGAACTAATGGTGTACAGAGTATGCTCTGAACGCCGTGAACCAAGGTGTTACCTCACTCGGTATCAAGGGTATGTTGGATCGCGAACATGGTCAGTTACGCAGTATTGACCGATAACGACAGCTACCAATGGCATTGTTCTCGCAACTGAGAAGAAGTCATCCTCGCCGCTCATCGACTCGCAATCATCATCGAAGATCAGCCTCATAACACCTAACATTGGCATGGTCTACTCTGGCATGGGCCCCGACTACCGCGTGCTTGTCGACAAGGCTCGCAAGGTCTCACATACCGGCTACAAGCGCATCTACAACGAGTACCCGCCCACGAGAATATTAGTCCAGGACGTCGCACGAGTGATGCAAGAGGCTACACAATCTGGTGGTGTCCGGCCATACGGCGTCAGCTTGTTAATCGCAGGGTGGGATGATGGTATTGAGCCGGAGGCCGAGGGAAAGAGTGAGGAGCAGACAAGCGAGGAGAAGAAGAAAGTCAGCGGCAAGACGGGTGGCATTCTCAAGGGCGGACCTAGCTTGTATCAGGTCGATCCTAGCGGCAGCTATTTCCCTTGGAAAGCGACAGCAATCGGCAAGAGTGCGACGAGCGCGAAGACATTCCTGGAGAAGAGGTACACCGAAGGTCTGGAGCTGGAAGACGCCATCCACATCGCCCTGCTCACGCTCAAGGAGACGATAGAAGGCGAGATGAACGGCGAGACGGTCGAGATTGGCATTGTCGGCCCGCCAGAGAACAGGTTGCTAGGCTTCGAGGGTGTCGAGGGTGCCGTTGGCCCACGCTTCAGGAAGCTGACTTCATCGGAGGTTGAGGATTATCTGACGAACTTGTAAAGAACGCTGGTCTCGGGTGGACCGACATCCGCAGTCTATGGACATGATTATAGCGAACTGAGCTGCGGCAGGGCGGTCTCGATCAACTGTGCGAACTTCGAGCCGTTCTCAAGATAGCACAATGCATGAGATGAGCTATGTAGCACTTACGAAAATGAACCATTAGATGCCTATGAACTGCATCCTGTGAATAAATGTTGAAACTCCTTACGCCACCAACGTTGACTGCGATGCACTTTGGCTGCGCATATTGCGAGGCTCAGCAGCCAATTCTGGTTAGCGCAGATCAGCACTGCCTTCGTGGCACCCTCCACCTTGAAGCTCACTGAGGACGCAAGGCTGCGGCGTCTTGCATGCCAAAATAGAAACCCACGAAGAGTGTGGCCTTGATTGCCTTTGCTGAAATCATAAGAGACGCGCGACCTCATGGAAAGCTTCACAGATAACCTGCAGCCGGCAAACGATGTGGGTACGCACATGGCTGATTCCCATGATGCACCCTTTCGCCTGCGTTCCTACCAGGCGGAGATGGTTGAGGAGAGCATGCAATCAAACATTATTTGTGTAATGGACACGGGTAGCGGGAAGACGCACATGTGGGTACGCCACCGCAGGTGGCATCCAAGGTTTCGAACAAGGTTAACATCGCTCAGAGCTATTGATCGAACGCGCGCAGAGTTGGAGATTTGCCGTCCGGACAAGGTACGAATTCCTAGGCCGATTTTACATTCACACAGAACTCATTTATCAAGATAGTATGGTTTCTTGCCCCAACCGTTACACTTTGTGAACAGCAATTTGCAGTATTCAAATCGAATCTACCCGGCTACGGTATTCAGCTCCTGAGTGGCAAAGATAACCTTGACCACTGGACGGATCAAGGGGTCTGGGATGATGTGCTGCTCAACATTCGCATCGTGTTGTCAACGCATCAAGTACTTCTCGATGCACTTAGTCATGGTTTCGTCAAAATGCGCAACTTATCTTTGCTTATATTTGATGAAGCTCATCACTGCAGTCTAAAGCATCCAGCTCATCGGATCATGTCAGATTTTTACAAGCCCAGGATTGGAACTGAGCTTCCTAGGATCCTCGGCCTGAGCGCCAGCCCGATCAAGACAGCCAAAGTCACATCAGAAGATCTCCAGTAAGCAATTTCAGAACCGTAAACTGTTGATGTCAATCTCATTGATCAGGCAGATTGAGCGGAATCTGTGTGCCACCGTCAAGACTCCGAAATTGCATCGCTCAGAGTTGCTGCGATATGTTCACCGGCCACATCTCATGCGGATAGACTATCCAGTAGAACCACAGGACTTGCAATCCAACATGCTATCTTTTCTGAAGAGCGCCTACACCAACTACGACCTCCAGAAAGATCCATGGGTTTCAGAGCTCCTTCAGCAGCGACAGCAAGGCCACGATGTTACGAAGAACATACACAAAGTATTCATTGGTGGCAAGACGTACTGCAGGGATCAACTCCGATCACTTGCTCTTAAGGCAGAAGCAATGTCACAGGAGCTTGGGATGAGTGTTATGGACTGGTATCTTCGTGGGTGCATAACACAGTTCAGCAAGATGGTTCATATGTCGGACTCCCAGTTGCTCGACTGGTCTGCTGATGAAAAGAGACATCTCCTTGAGATCTTGAGAACTTTGCCCTCAATCGACCTGAACAGTCACGACATTCCACCGATGTCCTTGGGTTCGATGTCGCACAAGCTTCAGCTGTTGATCAAGTTTCTGGTCGCCGAAGCTAAACATGACCCTGAATTCACTTGCCTGGTGTTCGTCGAGCAGCGGGTATGGGTGGCTTGTATTGCAGAAGTTCTCGCAATCCACCCAGAAACAAGGGATTTACTAAGAGTCGGCACTTTTGTTGGCGAGTCGGAAAACAGCAAACGAAAGGCAAATATAGCGTCAATTTCCGAGCCACGAAATCAACAAGCTACTCTGGAAAACTTCCGCGCGGGCAAGCTTAATCTCATTCTCGCAACCAGTGTTCTCGAAGAAGGCATCGATGTGTCCAGTTGTCACCTCGTTGTCTGCTTTGAAAGTCCTAAGAACTTGAAGAGCTTTGTGCAACGACGCGGACGGGCGAGAAAGGAAGAGTCAAAGTATGTCATATTTGTGCCTCAAGCGGGTCGTAGACGGGATCCAGAATCCTGGCAGTCGCTTGAAGAAGGGATGAAGGCTGCATATCTTGATGATTTGCGGCAGGTCAAACTTGCTACGGAGAAAGAACAGCAGAGTGAGACTGGCCATCGAAATTTCGAGGTAAAAAGTACTGGGTAAGTGAGAGCCTACGTTCAACTCCAGACACCGCGGGTAAAAGACGCAAATAGACAAACGACTGACAATGTCCTTAGTGCGCTTTTAACCCTAGACAACGCCTCCCAGCACCTGCACCACTTTTGCTCCATACTGGGAGCTGGACCCTACATCGATAATCGACCGCAATTCGAGTTCACAGAGATACGGCCCGGCGTAATCACTGCGCGAGTAATACTCCCTTTGACTGTAGATCCTGAAGTCAGAACTGCTTGCGCTTTGGATACTTGGGCTACTGAAAAGATGGCCAAGCAAGACGCGGCTTTCGAGGCGTACAAGGCTCTGTACGTGGCTGGCTTGGTCAATGACAATTTGTTGCCTGCGAGACAAGAAGCAGATGATGAGTTATCAGAACTTCAAATACCAGATCACCGACCATCGTTGGTACCGGTCTCACCAACACTCGATCCTTGGCCGCTCTTTGCTCGTCACCAACAGCAAAATCCGCACGTCTACTATCGTACTCGTCTTACTTTGCACACGGTAGACGACAAGCCTAAACACTTAATCCTTCTTACCCCGAAGATCCTCCCCGACATTCCTGAATTGCTACTTTACTGGAATAGCTCTACAAAACTGAAGATCGAAAGCTCGTGGCTCCACGACGTAGTTTTGAATGACGAAGAAATCTCGGAACTGAAGTCGGTCACCTACAAGATACTGTACTCTGTCTTTCATAACCGAATGGAACTCAATAGACGAGACTTCGTATGGCTGGTCGCTCCGTGCGATGAGTCGGGTCTCCTCGATAGCCGCATCTGGCTTTCGGAGTGGAGACAGCACACTTGCCTGGCAACAGAGCTTATCGCGCAAAACTCTGATTGGTCACTATGGGGCTTGGTCAATCAGAAAGGTGATGCTCGAAAGTACACACCGAGGTCTACCAGTATGAATAACCAGTTGTGGTTGCTCCAGCTGATGCAATTGCCCAAGCGGCGCGACTTTCTCCATCCAGTCCTGGAGTCCGCGAACATAAACGACGCATACACAAAGACCGACGAGATGGCAGCAAAGGATTGTATAGTAGATCCAGTGCCTGCTCCATACTCTGTGTTCGCACTGCTTTTGCCATCTATCCTGCATCGATTTGGCATGGCCATTATCGCCGAAACTCTGAGGACTACACTACTCGGCCCAGTCGCCCTGGATTCAGCGCATTCGCTCCTTCTTACAAGAGCTCTGAAATCTTCCGCAGCAGATGGTAATGACAACTATCAGCGCTTGGAATTTCTTGGCGACTGTATCCTAAAATTCATCGCTACAGTACACCTCATGGCCGCCAATCCGAAATGGCCAGAGAGCCACCTCACTGCGAAAAAAGGAAGAATTGTCAGCAACGGCTTCCTTGCCCGGGCTACTATAGCTGCCGGACTGGACCGTTTTATGATTACGAAGAGCTTTACTGGCGCGAAGTGGGCGCCTCGCTATGCTGGAGACCTCTTAGCTGAGACAGGACCAGCGGTAAAGGAAGAGAGATCATCGAAACTGATTGCTGACATAATTGAATCACTCATCGGTGCTTGTTATACCGTTGGTGGGTTCGAGAAAGCTGTCTTGTGCGTTCAAACGCTATTGCCACTTGAACCTTGGATTTCTGTGCCGGCTGCCAACAGCATCCTGCATGAGGCAGCACCGGCTGAAGCTGATTTGATGGGCCTCGATGTCTTGGAGACACTGATAGGGTACACGTTCAAGAAGAAGCCGCTCCTTCTCGAAGCCCTGACTCATGCGTCCTTCTCGGGCCCCCATGTGCACTGCTCCTACGAACGCCTGGAGTTCCTCGGCGATGCAGTTCTCGATTACATCATTTCGAAGCGGCTTCACGCACACAGCCCCGAACTATCTCATCAGAAGATGCATGCCATCAGAACAGCAACGGTCAATGCATCCTTCCTTGCATTTAGATTGTTCGAGACTACCATCGACGAGGAGACGATCAACAAGACCAGTATGCGGCCAGAGAGTCAAAAGAGAGCAATCTGGCAGTTCCTCCGGTCTGGAAGTCCGTCGCTCAACGCAAACCGAGACAATGCGCTGAGACAACACGAACAAGTGAGGGACGAGATCATCATTGGCCTCAACGAGGCGGCCAGGTTCCCTTGGCATCTGTTTGCCCTCACAGACCCACCGAAATTTCTGTCCGACATGGTAGAGAGTGTGATAGGAGCCGTCTACATTGACAGTCTTGGCGACATTCTCACTTGCGAGGCGATCGTCCGACGTCTCGGGATACTCGACTGTTTGGACCACATACTGTGCAATGGCGTAGATTGCCTGCATCCCAAGGAGCGACTTGGTCATCTTGCTGTCGACAAGGGTGTGCAGTATGCGCGCGTGGGAATGAATACCGAGCCCAATGAGGGTGACAAGATGTACAAATGTCAGGTCAAGGTGGGCGGCGAAGACGTTGGTGATGTCGCCGAGGGTTTGAAGAGACTGAATGCAGAGACTGTGGCTGCATGGAAGGCCGTCGGTGTCCTCGAGAGCCGGAAAGACTCGGCCATAGAGATTGTTAGCGATGTGGAGGAGTTCTTCGATGCGGACGATGGCGGGGGAATATCACTGGATGACCCGTGAAGCGATCATGCGGCATGGGACGGCATAGAACTGCTCGGGTGTATCACGCGGCAGTTCGGAGACGCTGTTGATCGTGGCCTTCACTGTGGATGGGGTGTCAATGTCTCAGTGAAAGACATCAGGCTTTTTAGCATCCTGACTACCGGGACGGGTTCAGCATGATAGACGTTTGCCTAGCCATGTTCCGACCTCGAGCCACTCGGGTAGCCGGCGCTTGCGCTTCTGCGATGATATTTCTGCCTTGGACTGATGCAGTCTTGGCCTTTGCGGACAAGGATGAGTAAGGTCCGATAGCCCCATTAATGCCAGGGAAGATGGATGATCAAAGAGCAAAATCTTTGAGGAGGGGTAGCTGCCGTGCTGAAGACGGAAGGATACCATGGAGGCGAACTGATGAAGGGGTTATCTCAGTATGCTAAGGGCGCCCTCGTAGTCTAGCTTTCTGACACCCTAGAAGTGAATGAGAGAACCAAAAGAAGCCCCAGTTATGATTTAGTGACGATACTCATTGCGCCCCTTTCAGCCGTGTGGCGGTGATCAGTACAACACTTCACCCCACTCTCAGCCGTCGCGCTACTAGCCCGCACTAATCTCTACTGATCCGAGCAGCGGGTGTGGCGGAGGCACGGTCGTTTAGACTCCATGAAGTTTTCATTCCGTGGCCATCGTGAGGCGTTGTGTGGCGTCACTGGTCCGAATCTACAGAGAATGCCTGGCCGGACGCCTCCCGAAAGGCTCCCCGGTAAACTGCAATGTGACCGATTCCTTCAGACGAATGACTGGGCTGGTTTAATGGTTGTTCTTCGTCTAGCACCTGGTTGATTGAGGCACAGAGACATGTTCGTGGACTTGGTCACTTGGGAGGTCGAGGCAACTTCACCGAAAGTTATAAAGCCGACGAGTTTTGCTATCATTTTACCATCCACACAACTCAATCATCTCCTCCTACCAGTACAATCACTCATACTCACCCAACTCATACATCCACTTTAAACGACTCTCCAACGAAAACTTTGCAAGATGTCTAGCACTTCCGGAAGCGGAGCTCAATATCCTGGACAGCCCTCTGGCAATCGCTCAACCGGAGCAATGGGGGGTGCAGCACCCAAATTTAACTGCAAGAACTACTTGCAGTCCGGTCACCCTGTTGGAGTAACGGTTGATCGCAATGGAGCAATTTGCACACACTGTCAGGTAAGTCATCAATCAACTCGTGGTTTTGCTTTCGGCTCATGAGCATGTCAGTGTGCACCTATACACCCGAGCCAGCTGCAACAACGCCGTTAGCTTGTCTGGATCATCAAATACACCGGTGCAGGCGAGTTTTCGATGCTCCACTCCTGTCTGCACCTACACGGGTCCGATAATGCAGGCGGCTCTTTTTATGGTCTCACACTGAGCGCTGTGGTGAGGGACCGCATATCTCATATCTTTCAGCGAATCAATCTTACAGAGCTCCGCATCCTGCAGTCACGATACATGTACTGTAGCTGAGAAGATTCACGGGCAACTGGCATATATGTGGTGGTTTTCGTAGATCAATATTCATTACACTCATTACATTCTACAGTCTACACTTCTAAGGCGCCTTGACTAAATGCATAGTTTTGTGTGACCCTATGGCGACTGCCATGACTCGACAGTGCCCAAGGAAGAGACTGCCGGACCACATCAGAGCACGACATACCTGCACTAACAACCCATAGTTGGCATCATCTTTCCCGTACCTACCGTATCAACTCTTCATGCTTGCCGCAAAGGTATATCATCCCCCAAATTTGCTGTAATTGGTCTCCTTCCTTGCAGCATGCAAGGAAAGGCGCTAAATTTGCCGGAAGGGGCACTGCGGCAACTTTCCGGAATGCACCAACAGAGGCCAAACTCATTTCTTTCAGCCTAAAACTCTGACACGGTCAGTTGTCGCAAATCATGTTTAACGTCGCAGGACCTCGGTGCATCTGTCTTACACGGCCCGCAAGCCTTCATGGCCTACGCCAGTTCAATTTGGAATATCCAGCCATCGATGCCTAACACTCCATGCTACCTATGGTAAGGAATGCGATGCAACCGGAGTGCAGGAAGAACCAGGACTAGAATACGGTCGCGTTAATTTGCAAAGTAATGGCCCGGCCAGCATATTGCCACTGACACTCATGAGAGGCCCATTGGCTCTGACCCAGAGTCCAACACCGTGTACTTTGACGATGCATATGTGCCATGGACCGTTCCGGAAGCCGCTCTTGCTGTGCCGCAGTGTTCCTCTCGGCGCAACAACGGATGGCTTGATGCGGGTAGACAAAGTCAAAATACAGCAAAATCACTCGTTAGTAGGTAGCAATGAACGCCGAAGTCAATAAGCGAGTATCCCACAGTTATTCTTGTAGAAACATAACGAGTTGTTTCTATTACCAGGATAGATTCAGTGCAGCCTACAGCATTTGGCGAGCTTAGCACACGACCTTGAGGCAGAGACACCGATCTTCGGCCGGACCAGCCCTGAGGGATTGCGGTCTTTGCAATCCCCGAGGCGATCTAGTGAGCGCCCCATCAAGCTGAGTGACCCTATCTCTTAAGGTTACTTTGCGGAAGATCGTTGCAAGCGAGAATCGCCAGTAGGTGTTCAATCATGCCGATAACAGGCCACATGGGTGATGGTGAATGAATTCCAACACTCTCTGATCATAATGATCAAGCACTAGGCACTGCATGACTGCCCAATGTCCTCTCAGCCGTTAGGTATGAGATTGATATCACTGACCATTCTGAGGGGCAAGGTGTCACGTTGCAAGCTACCTTGCACTGCTCGGATGCTGCATTTCGTACTCATCTACACTATGCATCAGTAATGGCAATTGTGCAACGCAAGATGAATTTACTGCTATCGTCAGCTGGCAGATATGGACATGCGCGATCAATCTTGTTCGCCGAGATGCGATTTGGCCTTTTCTGCAGCCTCAGATAGCCTTACGCACATGTCCCCTCCACACCCCCTTCTCCAAGCCACGAAAAATCAGGCGTCTAATCAGAGGAAAGCCTCAGGTCGTACCCGGTCGCATCGAGGGTCCACTGCGCCACTGACAACATAGCACCTTGGTCTATCAGTGACTGCTTGAAGATTCAGATAATTGAGTAAGCCACTGAAGAAAGGCGTTATTGTATCAAAAACGTGTACTGCACGGAAGGGCAAGCCGGCATTTCAAATTCGTCCTTCTGTTCATCACCCTTGCGAATTTGGTTCCGAGGACATTGCAACAAGGATCCTATGCCATAAAAATCCGACGTATGAGGTGCGTCAAAAACATGTGACCAGAACTTCATGCATGTGTATGCATGCAGGGTCGGCAGGAAGCGTCACTGTTCTCGCAACCTGGTCCGCACATACACCCCAACCCCAACGACGCGGAACGCCAGTTTCTAACACGTCGACCGCAATATTCCATGTAAGTTGGCTGTTAGAAGCGGACCAAACCAGAGGAAAGCAAACTCGGACCATTGTCCCGTGTTGCCTTCAGCTCTCGTAGATTCGCCGGGAAAGCCTGCCTCACCCTGTCGCCTCGTCATGAAGACCAGAATACCGGGACACGGGTTTGCCCAAGCCATTCCAGTGTCATTACGGGCGCTCCGACTGCGACTAGCCTCGAAAAGTGATCTATGAAGACTGCGCATTCGCGATTGCTTCAGCAGAGGTGAGCCGCATCAGCCTCAATACCATATATCTACTCAGCCCCTTCGAGTTCTGGCGATCCGACCACAGCTCAGCAAGGCTGCCACCGATGGGGACGCCATGTGGTGGTGGTGGTCTCTAAGCGCGCGCCTGAAGCGGCACAGCACACAAGCACGACCCTTGCATTGAACCCATGACGATACCACCGTTGCACACGATCAGCCTAGCGACATATTTCGTGTCCACTCTCGATATAGTACTACGGTGATCAAAGTGTTGGGGCTCTTGCGCCATTAAGCGCTCAGTGAAGCGAGAACTGCAGGTGGCTGACCACCCATAATGTCGGTTTGTGGGGCGGAAACCTGTGCATGACAACGTCCTGTATTATTCTAGGTCGTGCTGAGGCAGCTGGCGCAGTAAGAAACACCATGCGCAATCATAAATTTGCACCATCTTGCCCCGACATTGGGCCGTTTCTGGGTCAGCATTCATCCTCAAGATCTCCCATGAGCATGGGTCCAAGAACACGCACGGCGGTTACGGGTTACGCCTTGCAGCTGTGGGGTGTGACGAAAGCTGTGACAATCCTTGCCGTGCTGCATGCGGTCGCAGTAGGCTTCAGTTACATTTCTTCGGCAAGGAGAAATGATATGAAGGCATCAGCGAGGCACGGGTGCATGACTCTGGAATCGTCAGATCGGGCTTTCGTTATACCGCTCATTCCCATGAAAAGCAAACTTTATTGCAATGGTACTTCGGCCAATCTAGTGGTGGCGCTCAAATCCGAGCCGGGCACTGACGAAGGGCTCACCAGACTCGATTCGTGCGAACTTGGCAAGATTGGTAATTCTTCAACCGTCGGATCATCATTCATTCCGCTTCACAGAATTATTGCCGTGGTCGTGTTTCAGTACTGCCGCCTACATCATACACCAATCGAGACGTTTGTTCCGCAATGGCAATCTCGTAATGCTGCTTGGAGCACTGTAATGTCATGCATGCGCTACGCAGCAACCTCACACAACCATACTGATTATACACTTCACGAGGATCCACTCTCCCTACTGCATCCAACAGTAACAAGCTATCAGAGGAAGCCGCTTTAGAGCACAAGAGCGCTTCCAAGCTTAAAGGAGACAGTCAAAGCTACGCAGTGGCTCGTTGCTCGCCAAATGAACACACAAGCTTTCTTTCCCTTCACTGAACTTCATAGTGAACTGTAGTCTGATGAATAGAACCTGAGCTCTCGAACACCTCCACTCGAACGAACACTCTCAGAACAGAACCCCCTCTCCACCAACACCTCTCCAACGCACACTCGAACAACATCTCATCAACCCCAACCCCCCTCAGCGCTACAAACACAAAGCACACACACTGCCGGCCCATCCCCTACGCCCTCTTCACACCCATCCAACCCCCACAAGATCAGCGCTAAAGCCTCGACCGCCCCTACTTCGCGTCCACAGCTCGAATCATCATGAACGGACATCATTGGGCGAGGTGGGCACAACCTGGGCATGTCTCTACTGTGTCCAGCGGACGTCGAGAGCGAGGAAAGGTCAGCCACAAGAACAAAGCGTACATCTCAATGAAGAATTAGACATGCGGATTTTACATTACTATATACATGCCATACCCATATTTCGCTCGCAAAGAAAAAATGCCAACCAGAGCCCCCAAGAACGCTTGCTATACCTCAAAAATTCATGCATGCTTTGATTTTGTTCATCTCAGCTCATCCATGTATCCATGGCGTCGTCGTTTGACTTTCATGATCGTTACGTCTCAGTCTACTGTCCAGTTTCTGCACACCGTGTTAGTCGCATGTTCTCACATACCAGCACAACGAACAAAAAACTTACCAGTCTCAACACCCGGCTGCCTTCCATCCAAGCCGCCCGTGACCTTCTTCTTAAGTTTCGATAGGCCGATCTTGGCTTCGTTCTTCGCGAACCGCGCGTTGCGCGCGGGCTTCCACTGCATCAGGCCGCGGTGTTTGCGCTCCTCGGTGCGCTTGTTCTGCTTCTTGTAGTCTTTGCTTGAGCCGGACGAGCCGTTTGTGGTTCCGGTTGCGGAGGTGTAGGCGGTGGTATCTGTGCGGTCTGTGGCGTGAGATGCACGCGGGTCGTCGTTAGTTGAGTTGGGTGACAAGTCGGTGGGTTGATGTCGAATGCCTTGGTTAGGACTGCCGGGGCCGCCGCTCATGGCTTGAGCATTGCCAACATTGCTGGCGTCCTCAACACCTAGGTCGGATGAAGAGTATGAATCTTCGTCGCTGTCGTCATCGTGGGCTTCGTCAGAGGAGGGGTGGAAGCGGTCGTGCAACGGCTCTTCGACACCGGGCTCCCTCTTCTTCTTGCCCTTGGTGTTCATGTATGCCTTCGGGTCGTCTCCAAAAGCACCAGACCAATCTTGACCATCTTTGGCGAGCCATTTCCTCTTCTCTTCCTCGTCTGCATTCTTGAGAATGTCACGACCTGCGGTAAGTGATTCCTCGTGTAACTGTTGGACGCGCTCTGGAAGCTCCTTGTCAACCTTCCGAGTACGGACGCCTTCTGTAAGACACGCCTCCCAAGTCTCGTATGTCTCACGAGAGTTGTTGTCGGACACGAAAGCTTCGTGCGTCTCATCTGTACCAGCCTTGAAGCGGGCACGGAACTGAAGTCGACCGACCTCCTTAAGATCTTCCAGTCCAGGCTCCTTTTCGCAATTATCCTCAGTTATGTAATTCTGTGTGAGACGCGCAGGATGTGCCGTCGTCCAGATGGGTATGTTGATATCTTGGTCTTCGTTGTCGATGAAGTGCTGTAGCCAGATGACCGCATAAGCATCTGCCTTGCGCTTGTTCGCAACGTGGAACTCGAAGACGATAGGCGACCTGTAGCGATGCTTAACTGGCAGGCGCACGTTGTACTTACCCTCGTGCTCTGCAAGGTCAAAGTAGTAGCCATCGCCCTCGTCAAGCTTCTTAGCATGGGCGCGACCAAGTTTGCCAGTCGAACCGCCGGTTCGCAGCTTGATCTTGGGCGCATGTTGATAACCAGTGGCAAGGATGCGCTCCGAACGGAACTCGAAAGTACCAACATCCCAGCCAAGCATTTGTGGTGGCAAGCGGGTCTCGATGCTGCGGAAAAGTAGAGAAATGCGTACACGTCCAAAGCCGATGCCGCCGTCAAGTGGGTACCAGCGAGTAACTTGCGAAGAGGTCTCTAGGATGTCGGACAACTTCAATGGCACAACACCAAGAATAGGGTCATGTTCACGGTTTCTTTGGTCTCGAACAGTGACGGTAATGATGCCCGAACGCCAGTCGCGGATGAATCGCTCCGTTCCTGCGTTGAAAATTGGCTGGGATGAGACTGCCTTGGATCGAGTGCGGTACACAAGCTCATCGTTGTACAATATAGTGCAGTAGCTCGTAGGTAGTTCACCGCCGGTCTCTTCCTTGGCCTCACCGTATGGCTTTGCGGGCTCGTATTCACGTCCCTTAGGACTTCCGGTGGTTCCTTTAATATTCTCGAGTTCGAGGTTGACAATCTGGTGGATAATAACACTGCAGATACCGCTGGGCCAGAGTGGGTCCGGTGGAGTATGCATGACTGCATCGTCTTCCTCGCTGTTAATGACGCCCTTGTCGTCCTGTAGTTTGGGGTCGTTCTTGAGTTGATCTGGGAGCGCCTTGTTCTTGCCGTCTGTCCTCATTTCTTTGCGGAATTGCGGCTTGCTGAAGTATCCAACCTCCCAGTGGAGCTCTCCAGGCATTTCGCTTTCAGCGTCCATACCTGCCAGTTTTGAGACCTGAGGGTACATCTTTCCAGGGTGTTGGATCATCTTCTGTAGGGAAATCTCAACTTTTCCGACGATGTCATCCGAGGTGTGTCGGTCGGAATCCCAGAGCTCTACGCTGAGGTTCTCATCGGCCTTGATCAGCTCAGGGCCAACAAGGAGAGCAGCTGTCTCTTCCCAAATTGGATTGAGGTCGTCGGTGATAACACGAGTGCAGTACATGGGCTTTCCGTACTTGGAGAACGCCAAAGTGATGTAAGGGTCACTGCCACCATGTTTGGACCCGCGACGATCCTGTTTGCTCAATCCAGTAGCGCGGTGAATTCGGATCCAGAGAACACCAAGAGCTTCAGTGTCTTTCTGGACAGAATCACCCTGAAGAATCGCACGCATATCGATTGACATCGACTTTGGTGCAACGTACATGCTCGCAGCCGCCTTGATGGCGTAGTTGACGAAGTTGCTGATCAAAGGCAGGTTCAGGATGTTTACGCCCTTCTCTACCATGGGAATACAGCCAGCAGTAACCTGCGGTGCTCCCATCAGCGTGAACGTCAGTGTCTTTAGGAATGGCGGTTCTGGGGTCATAGCCATGCGAAGTCGGACTGTGCCCACCAGGCCCTGGAGTTCGACGAAAATCGGCAGCGGTACACCGAAGAGACCCTTAATCCCCAGATAGAAGACCAACTGCATATGCATGTTGCGAGCCTTATCCGATGCGCGCTTGCCGCTAGGCTTCGCGTGGTACGCAAAAGCCACTTCCAGGTTGTAGTAGTCTCCGCCTTCCTCGTCTGCAGCTGCTTCTTGAGGGTCTTTTGTCTTCTTGTTCTCCTCGTGGATCGCCTCCTTCATCTCCTTCATGTGTGCGTCTGGAAGAGCTCGCAAGCTGAGGATTCGTAGAGGGTTGCTTCCCTGGTTGATCTCGGCGACTCGTACATTTTCGATAATGCCCGGTACGGACGCTTGCATGACATCTTCAAGCATGTCCGCGACGCCCTGGAACATGTCAGGGTTGATCAAGCCCCAGACAATAGCCAAGAGAGTGTTCATCCATTCGACCGACTCGGGAAGGAGGTTGAGAGTAGCCTATGCGTGTGTTAGTGAAGTCCCGCACAGCCAAAAAGAATCGTGTTCACCATCTGACCGCGAGTTGCCTCACTCTCCCACTCGACTTCTCGTCCACTGCGGACTACTTCCTTTGTCCACAGCCACACGCCAGACGACAGACACATGCCCAGTGGTATCAAGCCCTTGAGCGCGCCACCAAAAAGTTTGCCAACAACAATTGTAGCAACGAGAAGTCCCACGCAGAGGATGCCGGCGCGCTTCTCTAGAGCTGCGAAAGTCGGCTCATAGCTGACTGACGGTGTCGGGTGGAAGAGGACGTTGGTCTTCTCGCCATGGATAGGCACATCTGAAGTCGTGCCTTCAGCAACGGGGTCGGGCGGTGCCGTAACGTCTTGGTTGTATTTGTAATCTTCGAGCGATTGGTTTGCGTCTGTCTTGATGGGCTGGAAAGCATTAGCCAGTTTCCTCAGTTTGTGGATCGATGTACCTACTGTGTCTTTGTTGAGGTTTGCGTTGGGAATCACAACGTGTGGGTTCTCGACCTCGTCCATCATAGACTTGTCGACATCCGAAATGGTGACTTGGTTGCCAGTTACCGGGTCTGTCACCGTCTGCTCTGTGCCCTCTACCGATCGCTTCTGCATCTTGTGCGGCTCAGCGCCACTTGATGCGGTAACATCGCGTCCAGTCGAAGTCGCGAGCCCCTTCTGGCCCGGCGTCTGGCCCTTTCCTTCTCTTGCTTGCTGGTCAATCTGGCGATCGCGCTCGGCCTTGTCCTTGTCCAGATTCTCGATAAACTGCTTGACCGTGGGAATGGGGTTGTGGCCTGAGTAATGCCCTCCAGGCGCGTGCTGCTGCTGGGATGCCATATTGTGGGGATCGTGTATCCACAAGGCCTTCTCAAGAGCAATGGAGCAACGCGAGCCTCACCCACAACAATTGGGCTCAGAGGTAAAATCACGAGTATCGTGAAGGAGGGGAAGAAGCGTCAAACGATGCGGAGAAGCCTCCGTGGGCACGCGAAAGCAAGGCAGATAACCTCTGTTCAAAGAAGAGGTGCTACGCGGCACACAAATGACATCATACACAGCTTGAACCACTTCGGTGTCACACTAAATCAAGCAGCCGCCGCGTTGCCGTTTGCGCAGAAAAGGCGCGACTCCAGCTCTTGCTTCTACACGGCAGGAATCCAACAATTCTCCACTGTGGCTGCTGCATCTGTCAAGCTAACATGGCACGCATGTGGCATCGTGAAAATCATCCTGTGAGCTGACGTAGATCTGTCGCTCTGCATCCTTGCATTGGCCAATGAGAGCCGTCGACGCGGGGTCGTCTAGACCACCTTTGGACGCCCTCAACCATCCCGACTTCCAAGAACCAGCCAAAAAGGTTCCCGCTATCGCCATCCACGCATTGGCAATTGTGCACTGACAATGTCGGGCTGGTTCACCCTCTTCACAAACTGTCGCTATATTCTCAATGGCGAGCTCGTCGAAGACCACCTCGTCATCTCCGACGAGACGGGGCTTATCTTGAAAAGAGACGGGTACATTGGCGGCGAGGCTGTAGATTTGGAAGATGGCATCATCGCACCTGGATTTCTTGAGCTGCACACAAACGGCGCGAATGGGTTTCATTTCACGCACTTTGACGATGAGAAGAGCTATGCGGCGAAAATAGACAACATCGCAAGATACTATGCGACTCAGGGCGTCACTGGCTTCTATGCCACGATACCTACTGTCAAGAGCGATGAATTTCGAAAGGTTAGAACATGTCTCCTAAAATCCATACGTTGTGATTGCATAGATGTGCAAGGTGTCTTGGTGGTTGCACTCAAATGTGACAACATTTGAGATAGTCTAAATATCCTCAGGCCATCATGCCTATCCAACACATGACATGGGCTCATACGATCCACGGAAACTCACCTCTCTCTACGAAGCTTTGCAAAGCCTGTCAGGAGCATGCCCTCAACCCATCGTCACCACTTCATCAAACCACCTACCCCAACCCACGCCATCAAACCCGCATCTCAAAATCCAACTGACAACCCACCCAGATCCTCCCTTCCCTTACCCCCCGCGCCATCCCAAACTCCGCCTCCCTCCTCGGCGCCCACGTCGAAGGCCCCTACCTGCACCCCACCAAAAAAGGCGCGCACAATGCCTCCCTCTTCGCCCCCAGCTCCATTTCCCCATCCACCATCTACGGCTCCTCCAACCTGCGCAACGTCGTCAAGCTCGTCACGCTTGCGCCCGAGCTGCCCGATTCCTCATCTCTCATCAAGACGTTGACAGCCCAAGGGATAAAAGTATCCATGGGCCATTCAACCGCGACGTATGAGCAGGGTTTGGTGGGTTTGAATGCGGGCGCAAGTTGTTTGACGCATACGTTGAATGCGATGCCGGGGTTTGGATCGAGGGAGCCGGGGTTGGCTGGCCTGATCTCCTTGCCTACTACGCACAGCTCACCCCCGCCGTATTATTCGGTGATAGCAGATGGCCAGCATCTCCATCCGAATACCGTGTCGTTGTTGCACCGCGCGAATCCACGACGTGCTGTTATCATCACGGATAGCATCGAGCTTGCTTCGCTGGCAGATGGCACGTATCCAGGGCATGCGCAGATTCCGTTTGAGCAGACGAAGGCGGGGGATAGGGCAACCATTGCGGGTACGGATACGTTGATTGGTGGTTGTATACCGTTGCAGCAGAGTGTGAGGAATCTGATGGAGTGGAGTGGGTGTGGGATTGCGGAGGCGGTGGGCACGGTGACGGAGAATGTGGCGGGATTGATGGGGATTGATGGAGAGGGTGGGAGGGGTGTGTTGAAGGAGGGGAGAAGAGCGGACTTGACTGTGATGAGTGACGATGGGGAGTTGTTGCAGACGTGGATTGCGGGAGTTAAGGTGTGGGATAAGGAGGATGAGGTTGCGAAGAGTGAGGCAGATGGGGAAGTACGAGGATGATTGAAGTCGAATATTATTATACGAGACTATGTAACGAACCGTTCGTCATCGACTACTCTCGAAACATTGATTTTGCAATGTAACTTGGCAAATCTTCTCTTAGCAATACTCATTCGCTTGAGCATCTAGAGAGCGATTCACTCGCCCCAACCGGAAGGCGTGATTGTGTCCGAGGCGGCAAGCTGCATGAGCTTTGGCCAAGACTCCTTCGCTAGCTCTAAACGGCTTGTCAGCCATATGGGTTGCACGAAGCGAGTGTTGGTACATACCTTTGCTCTTGGATTTCAGCGTTTGCTCAAGGCAATATGGTCTGTCCCAAGAGTGGATGTCATAGCAGGCTCCAGGACAGTCGCCATCACGGCACGAGCAGAGGTAGGCCAGATCTTCATCTTGGATAGGATGGACTATAAGCGGCTCCATCTCGCTCAGATGGTAGTGCGGCTTGAGGTTCAGCTTCTTTAGGGTTCTGGTGAAGCGACAACGCTGCTGTTCCGAGATGATAAGAGTAGACGGATCAATGATCTGACGAAAGGCAGTGTGCACAATATTGCTCTCCACATGTTGATCTTGCGAATTGGCGCTGCCACTACTGGCGAAAGTGGAGGAAGCTGACTCCTGAGGCAGCGTAAGATAGCACACGGTGTAGTACGCATGCTCTTCGCTGGTTTGGTGGTTTGGGAGGAAATCGTACATCTGCTCCGACAATGTTTCATGATATACGACTGCTTCGAGTCCAAATCGGGCTTTGAGGATCTGTGAAAATCAGAGAAGGTACTTAGAGGCATTGGAAGACATATCTTACTCATGGGCCCAAAGCTGCCAACTTTGCGAGTGTCTCCAGGCTGGGTCTGGGGACATGTACAGCAGCGGTCGAGCCAGCGGAACATCGCATCAAAGTGCAGACAATGGCCTTCCTCATTGTCAAAGATGGAAGGGTCGCTTTGCACCCAGTCCTGTACCATGTCTACTTTCTCTGCCTCGGTCTTATTATCAAGGTTGGTCTTTTCAAATGTCTTCCCATAAGCCTTGTCAACGAAGATCTTCTGCCAAAGTTTCTCGACTTCTTCTCCATAGACCTTGTAGTGGTCTTCGTGTCGACAAGTTCCCTGCCAGCAAATGGAATCTTGGTACCATCCAGGCAGGCACTTTGCTCGCGCTGCGCCTTGGATATTGTCAACAATGTGCTCCAAGAGCTCTTGTGGTAGCTTTGAAAGAGGACCATCGCGGAACTTGTGGCAGAGACGAAGCGTTGTAGTTTGCGGCGCCGAATCCGTAAGTGCTTGCAGACTGGCACCCAATTTGTTCATATTGACCGGTAGTGCCCAAGCTAAGCGCGGCCTTGCTCGAGGGAACGGATAGTCCGGGCCATCCTCGTCGTCAATGTCAAAAGGAGAGAAGTTTAGCATGCACATCGTGCTGTGCTGATGCGCGGCACCGTTCTTAGGGAATTGGACTGGATTCGAAAGCAAGGAGAGTTGAAAAGTGAGAGCAAGGTGAGTGTAACGAAGCTGGGGAGGAAGGAGCAAGCATCGCCGCGCTAGCCCGGATACATGTTTTTCATGTGTACGAGAAGGGAAAGAACGAAAGACATGACGACCGACTATGGTGGAGAAAAGCCCTGTCCTGGACCTCATGAAATCATCCCATAATATTCTACTAGTTGCTCTTCACACAGCTATACAGTGCACTGATGGGTGCATGCAGGCACACGCGCTGTCATAGTATAGATGAGGCGTCGAAGGTGAAGTTGCGTAGGTATCGAAATATGAGGTCAGGCTCGCCATGCATATCCGATGCATACTACTCTTCATTGACTTGATGTTTAGTTTTGCAGTGCAATGATGGTCTGCGATAGTGTTGTTCTGCTCAATACGGGCTTACAAGCTGCTCTGTTTCGGTACATTGCATGTGGTCTGTCAAGACGTGATCTCGAAGCGCGCAAGACGTTGTAATCGCCGAAGCTGGAAAGTCACAGTGATGGAGGGCAAACCCGGGGATAGTGCTTAATCATAAGCTTCGACGCCGAAGAGGCGATTGGCCGTCGGAAGCGTCCGGTGAGTGCCTCGGAAGAGTTCGCGCTACCAGAACACAGCATCGCGACTTCCGTGAATTGCCGCATGCTTCCGCCACTTTCCTGCGCCATCCACGACATCGCTGCAAATTGCTTCCAAGTGAGATTGCACGCGCAGGGAACAGCGTTTCGAAGCGTAAGAAAGATGCACGAATGCCGGATATGTTGCGCTGATCGAGTGGTTATGCGGGGAGAAGTAGCGGCTGGGCACCGTCACAAGCTCAAGCTCCATACCTCCGAAGCTGGGGTCTCGAACTCACCATTCACAGCAGCCGGCCTAGCCTGCATCAGTTGGTAGACAAAGCAGATCCTCGGCCCATGGTCAAGATGGGTGACGTTTGCAAGAATTATATCATCGCCCGTCGGCCCCATCCTCGTCTCTGCATACAAACCTCATTGCATTCCTCTCGTCTTGTACCGTGAGCACTCAAACAATTGAACCACTGACAGCATAAACTCCACCATGGCAGCCAACCCCGACACCATCCTGCGCGAGGTCAACATCCTCGGCGAGCTGAACGACCAGAACCGTCACATTCTCAGCAAAGATGCTGCCGTCTTCCTTGCCCTCCTCCACCGCACATTCAACGAGCGCCGGAAAGCTCTCCTCCAGCGACGAGTGATCCGTCAAGCCGAGCTCGACAAGGGCAACCTGCTCGACTTCCTCCCCGAGACCAAGCACATCCGCGAGAACGCCACATGGAGAGGTGCACCACCAGCGCCCGGCCTGGTCGACAGGCGCGTCGAGATCACCGGCCCAACCGACCGCAAGATGGTCGTCAACGCCCTGAACTCAAACGTCTGGACATACATGGCCGACTTTGAGGGTGAGCATCCGTACAGTTGAAGTTTGACATGACCTGAAGCTAATACCTGCCAGACTCAAGCGCGCCGACGTGGGACAACATGATCAACGGCCAGCTCAACCTCCACGATGCCATCCGCAGGCAAGTCGACTTCAAGCAGGGCGAGAAGGAGTACAAGCTCCGCACCGACCGAACACTCCCTACACTCATTGCTCGTGCCCGAGGCTGGCATCTCGAGGAGAAGCACTTCACCGTTGACGGCGAGCCCATCTCCGGCGGTCTCTTCGATTTCGGACTGTACTTCTTCAACAACGCCCACGAGCTTGTCAAGCGCGGAGCTGGCCCGTACTTCTACCTGCCCAAGATGGAGTCGCATCTTGAGGCAAGGCTGTGGAACGACGTCTTCAACTTGGCGCAGGACTACATCGGCATGAAGCGCGGCACCATCCGAGGCACTGTCCTGATCGAGACCATTACCGCTGCTTTCGAGATGGATGAGGTATGAAAGACTCTTACGAGCCGAGAAACCTGTTGCTAATGACATTACAGATCATCTACGAGCTTCGCGACCACTCTTCTGGTCTCAACTGCGGTCGCTGGGACTACATCTTCAGCACCATCAAGCGCTTCCGCCAGAACCCCCAACTCGTTCTGCCCGACCGAGACTCCGTCACCATGACGAGCCCCTTCATGGATGCATACGTCAAGCTGCTCATCAAGACCTGCCACAAGCGAGGTGTGCACGCTATGGGCGGCATGGCTGCTCAGATCCCCATCAAGAACGATCAGCAGGCGAACGACGCCGCCATGGCCAAGGTCCGTGCCGACAAGCTCCGTGAGGTGCGCGCTGGTCACGACGGCACCTGGGTGGCTCACCCAGCGCTCGCTGCCATCGCTTCCGAGATCTTCAACGAGCACATGCCTACACCTAACCAAATGCACGTGCGCCGTGAGGATGTCCACATCACCGCAAACGACCTGCTCAACATGAACGTGCCAGGCAAGGTCACCGAGGAGGGCATCCGCAAGAACCTCGACATCGGTCTTAGCTACATGGAGGCCTGGATCCGCGGTGTTGGTTGCGTACCAATCAACTACCTCATGGAGGATGCGGCTACCGCCGAAGTGTCGAGGAGCCAGCTGTGGCAATGGACAAGGCATAGCGTGGAAACTGCTGAGGGCAAGAAGGTCACCAAGGACTACGCCCTCAAGCTGCTTCACGAGCAGGCTAAGGCATTGAGCCAGAAGGCACCCAAGGGTAACAAGTTCCACGTTGCCGAGAAGTACTTCGCAGGCCAGGTCACTGGCGAGGACTACGCTGAGTTCCTTACCTCGTAAGTTCTTCCTCTCCATTTGCAGCTACGACGTTCATGCTAACATGCGACAGATTACTCTACAACGAAATCACCAATGTAGGTCCCCCCAAGGGAGCTTCGAAGCTCTAAGCTCACCAACCCCTAATCGTGTTTCTGTTTCCTTGATCTACTTATGTAACTATACCACACCACATGTCCAGACAAACCAAATGAAGTTTAGCCTGTAAGCACCAATGCAAAAAAGCGTTATAATTCATCCACCACATCACACACTCTTTGCTTGCGTTACATAAGAAGGCCCCGTAAGCATGTGAACATAAGCTAACGCGTGTCGCTCAGGTCGGTTCCCCGGTTGCGGCTGCGAAGCTGTAGTGTGGAGTGTGCCGAGGTTCGTGGCTGGAGTTTATTTGGACCCGAGGGTGTGGTATACCAGGTGCAGGAGGAGGGGTCTGAGGTGAGCTGACATGTGAAACGAAATGAAAATGTCGGCATGTGAATAGTCGGGACGGCCGGGAGAAATAAGGAATGCTCGATTGAGGGATTACGTACGCGATACCAGTTGTGAGGTTTGAGCTTACGTGCACGTGTATACGACATTTTGACGACTTTGTTACAGACAGTGTACTCGTGAGCAAATCTATAGCATTGATTTGATTGTGTGTGTATTATCCAGTGGTGTCTCTAGTCGACTGAGCCTTTCTTTCGCTCTGATTATATCCCAATCCAGATTCCCATCCTTTTCCGCATCCCAAGCCCGACTATCCAGTCTTTTTCCATTCCAATATTCGATCCCCATGTTATCTATGTCCATCCCAGAACGCCGCGCTAAAACAATGCCCAAAATCCATCATCAATCCACGTCATTTAAACCAGCAAAGCCAACCACCCCGCAAAACCAACAACAACCCCTTCAACCCACATGTCTACTCCCCTCGTCCTCCCCTCCGCACCCGCTCGACTCGTACTCCCCCCAGCACCCCCTCCAATCCCACTCCAAATAAAATCCCCTACATTCCTGCTCCCCGTCGTGCTCGCGCTCGTACTCGCCGGGCCCCTCGCAACACTGCTCGTCTGCCCGTTAGCCACCAGCGCCGTACCCGCCGGGTCGAGACTATAGGTCGTGCCACCGAGGGTGACGGCCTGTCCGGGTCGCAGCGTGGTGCCCTGGGCTAGGACGTACTCGAGCGTGCCAGCGCGGGTCGCGGGGGTGTATGTTTTGCCTGCGATGGTAAGTGCGGGCGCGGGGGTGGTGCGCGCGAGGGTGGACGTCATGCCGTTGATGATGATAACGGACGGAGCGCCGGGGGGCATGGAGTATGTTGTGCCTGAGAGCGTGAGGGCGGCGCCGGGCGTGAGGGTTGCGGAGGGGCCGAGGATGTATGCTGTTGTGCCGTCAAGGACGGATGTGGAGCCGATGGTTTGACCCGTCAGTGGGATGCCGTTGGCAAGGAGTTGGGTGCCGCTTGGGAGGCTGTATGTTGTGCCGTCCACGGTGATTGCAGGACCGCCGGGGACAAGGGTCTGGCCGGCGATGACAAGTTGCGTCGTCCCTCCTACTACTGTCGCGGGGATGATGCGTCCATCGACAGTGATGGCGGGTGGAGATGTGATAACGGGCGCATTTGCGAGAGTTTGTGTTGCGCCGTTGATGATGGCGATGCCGCCGCCGGGTCCTAGACTCACTGTGCTGCCGTCGATGGTGAGGGCTGGGCCGCCAGGTTTGAGTGTTTCCGAGCCTACGATGAATTGACCTTCGGGGTTGGCGGTCACTGTGCTCTGTCCGACGGTCAGGACGGGGGCAGCTGTTGGGCCATTGTTGACGGGATATGATGTGCCGCCAATTACTACTTGCGAGCCACCAGCGTCGGATGGCACGACGACAGGGACGCCGTTGATAATTGTCGATTGCCCCTGGGTAAGTGTCTGCGATCCGATGACGACTACAGGTGGCGGCTGATTCTGATTACCTGGCCTGTCAGGGGCTGGGGTGGACTGTCCTGGCCTGACTGTGAAGGTGCTACCACCGATAACAACTGGGTTACCGGGCGGACGCTGATCGTTTGAATTGTTACCATTCGAACTACCATCATTCGAGTTGCCGCCGTTTGAATTGCCCCCGTTCGAGTTGCCGCCATTTGAATTGCCGCCATTTGCATTGCCCCCGTTCGAATTTCCATCACCAGCGTTTGGTCCGCCCTGTCCGTCACCCTGCTGAGGTGTGTTTGGCTTCGTTTGTCCATGCTGATTAACATCCTGTGTAGGCTCAGGCGCAGCGTTGTGTCCCTGCTCCGAAAAGCTCTGAACGTTTGGCGTAGCCGCAGGCGGTGGCTTGGTGTTCTGGCATCTGAGGCATCCTGCTACAGTGACGTGCGTGGACGTCGATTCGTACGTCGTCTGCAAAAAGGTGTTCGTAGAAATTGAGGGAAGTGATGGAGGAAATGGGGGAGCTGCAGGAGGCTGGGGAAATTCGGGCTGCGGTTGCCCCGGTACTTTACTGGGCCTGGGATTCGGTGCAAGCATACCACTGGTGCGTTCTGTGGTGCACGTCTCGATATTGTGACCGTGGTATTGCGACAAGATGGCAGGATTTTGCTTCAGATACTGTACCAAAGCGGTCGGCAATGGATACGGCAGGTTGGTCGCTGTGCTCGTTGGTGTATTGTTCCTGTATGAGGTAATGAAATACATCCAATCTTCGGTACGCGCTGGCTCCCAGTTTTTCAGCTTGGTCGGCTCTGCCAGGCACGTGTTCATCGTAACCGTCTCCTTGCCAAAAGCCCACTCTTTGCTGATAGTTTTGTCGAGAGCACCATATAGCTTGTTATAGATGACATACGTTGGCCCCGCATCTACAGTCAAGTAGGTCCCTGGTGCTGGCTGAATGGTAAAGAATGGAGTCGTGTGCGTGATCGGTTGATCGTCGCCATCGATTACCGTCTTCGTCACGTTTACCGTTTTTGACTGCGTTACCACTGTATCGTTATATGTGATGAAAGATGTAACTATCGTGGCAGTGACAACAGTACTTGTCCATTCGCTGGTTGCGGTGAAAAAGGTAGTCTTCGGGTTGTAAGCTTCAATCACACATCCCGTGCAGGTACCAGCCGCAGTGCCGTTTTGAGAAACATGCAAATTTGTCGGTTGTAGACTTGATGAGTTTGAGAAGCTTGCAAATGGTCGTGAAGTAGTGAATGGCCCTCTAGGTGTATGTGTTGTTGTGGCTTGGGGCTGTAAGGATTGCGAGCCTGGAGGAGTCCATTCCACAGGAGGTATGGGCTCATCAAATGTTACAAGCGGAGTTCCTGTGCCCTGAGGGTCCTCTGATGAAGGCTTCACTCTTAGATCGGTCAAATGGATTATTTGCGGGGGTGCAGCTGGTTGTGCAGTGACAGAAGTCGACTGTGAAGTCGAAGTCGAAATTAATGTTGAAATGGTATCATCTGTTCAAGTTAGTCATGATCCAACAGGCCGTGCCAGAATCAATGTCCTGTCAAATATGTAGATCTCAGGTGTCTGAAGGCACCGAGAAAATCGGGATGACATTTTTAATGCACATGTTTTACAAACCAAGTTTATACACTCTTTCTATCACCCTCCATTGCATTACATATGCCGAGTGATGTGAATGGGGTTTAACACGAGAGAATGCAATCGTGGAAAGATGTGTTGGAGACAACTTACAATCTGATATCGTTAGGATCAGATCATCTAGTATTCTTTGGGACTTACAATTTTCGGCTTGTGAACTGTTGTCTGGACCGGCCACGACGAAACGCGACAGCGCCAGCAAAGTAAACATCCACATTATCTTACACCTTCACTTGAACGAGTGACAAAGCGAAGGTTAGAAGCGGTGCCGCAATGCGACGGAAGCGAAGAAATGTCAGAGCGATAGGATGAACGCACGTACATTAGGGAGAAGTAAGACCAAGGTGCTGGAGGGCAACCTTCGACGAGGACAGGACATCATGCGTCCCATGCGCGCTCCCAATAGCACCCTCTTGGCAGCTAGACCATGGCATGCATCCAATCGATGTGTCAATTATGTGGCCGTGCTGACGGGAGGAGGATACTTAGTGCGAGCGTTAGGCAGATGGCGCGCGGAACTATGACATCGGTGACGCCTCTCGCGGTTTGAGGCTCGCTGGGCCATGCCATCCTCAAGCTTTGGCCGCGACACTTTGACTTTCTCAGAGCACGTTGGCAGATTTTGCAGGGTCAACGGCCTATGGGATTGGGTTCCACAAGGCTGAGTTGATGAGGATCAGCGTCGTAGCGTCCGGGGCACATCGGTCGTCAGTCATTGACCGAATTGAGAAAGGTGAAGAAATTGCCAGTTCAGGCGATTAACCAGAGCCGGCAATTGGGGATCTGATCGAGCAAGGGCCAGGTAACACAGCTGGTATGTGCTGCGGTCCGTTATGCCTGCTTACTCAATTCTCAAACACAATGCTGGCAATGTCCGTACTTTGTTGAGTTGATGTCAGCAGTGGGGAGGCTTCCAAGCTGGAGGTCTGGGGGCCGGATGAGGTTGAACCTTGGAACTGCGACTTCCTTGCGTCGGTTCGCGTAATGGCGAACGTGCAGGACCAAGTCGCCCTCACACATCGGAATTACAACTTTCTGTCGAGGAAGATGCCCGTAACGAGCGGAGCACGTCCCATCCGACAGGCGCTACGCACGTTGACGGCCGAATCATGTTGCTTCCAAGGCCGACCGCGTGGTTGCCGTCCCATGGGCAGGTCTCTAGGGTCACATCGAGACTCGCGCGCAACAACCCGGCTGCCGGTCGGTCTATCGTTTCGTTGTTGCCCAGATGACGGGAGCCATCAATGACTTTTCCTGCGCGAACCACGCGTTCTCGTCCGAGTATCGCTTTCTTACTCCGTCTTGTAACGTGAGGCCCCTCGCATTGCTTGCCCTGCCATGTTGACTGTCTCTCGTGCCCCGTAAACCGTTACTCGACCCGTCCGCATCCATGCCTGGGAACTCGTCGCCTGGCTTACGCCCAATTCCCCTGCTGCGCGCTCCTACATGATGCACATCTCACCGCGAGACACCGCCGTGGCCCCGGAGCCATACGTCGTACCGCCCTCGCAAGCTTTCGATGGAAACGATGGGAGCTGGAGCACATTCAAGATCAGTGTGGGGACACCGGGCCAGGACTTCCGGGTCCTACCTTCAACCAAAAGCGGAGTGATACAGGTCGTGGTCCCAGACGGGTGTCAGAAGGGCATCGATCCATCAAATTGTCCGCAGCTTCGAGGCGCCGAAGTCTTCAATTCTGCGCAAAATCCCGGCTTCCAAGTGAGCGCCTCAAATTCGTGGTCTGCGATTGGACAATACGATGTAGATTTGGAGGATGCGCTAAATATGACGGCACGTGGGCTGTTTGGCTTCGACAAGATCACACTGGGACCCGCCGCGGATAGTAGATCCAAGTCGATGGAACGGCAGGTTGTTACTGGAGTTGCCGAATTGGACTACTTCATGGGCCTCCTCCCACTCGGCCAGGCAGAGCAGAGCTTCTCGAGTATTGGGGATTCCATCGACTCCATGCTGTACCAGTTGCGTAACACGTCGAAAATCCCCAGCTTTTCCTTTGGGTACACAGCTGGAGCGAAATACAGGCTGAAGTCGGTTTTTGGCAATCTGGTTTTGGGGGGCTATGATTCGACTCGGTTCAAGCCAAACGACAACGATTTCTCCTTTACCTTCTCCACTGATCCATCCAAGCTCTTGACTGTTGGTGTGGATAGCATACTAGCGACCAACAGTCTAGAGGGCACCTACTCGCTCTCATCTGGCGCACATTTCTCTGTCATAGACTCGACAGTCCCGCACTTATGGTTACCAATTGATATCTGTACTCAGTTCGAACGCGCTTTCGGACTCACATACGACCCGCGGACTGATCTGTATCTTGTGAACGATACTATCCACGAACAACTGGTCTCGAAAAACCCTACCTTGACACTCAAGCTCGTCAATTCACTCGAAAACACGGCAAAAAACTATGCGAATATCCAGTTGCCTTACTCTGCGTTTGACCTGCAAGCATCATATCCATATTATCCAAATGCAACGAACTATTTTCCCATTCGCCGCGCAGCGAATAGTACACAGTATGTTCTCGGGAGGACGTTGCTACAAGAAGCATATCTCATTGTCGACTACGAGCGGGCCAATTTTACCGTAGCGCAAGCCGTGTTTCCTGACCCTCTCCCAGCTGCCAAGATTGTCACCATCAAGTCGAAATTAGAGCAAAACTCTAGTTCTGGCAGCGGGCCAGGGCTTGGTACCGGAGCAATAGTGGGCATAGTAATAGGGGTTGTTGCTCTGCTTCTGGTTGCCATCTTCGCCTTTTTCTTCTTCCGCAGAAGGCGCACCAAGCAACAAACCTACGAACTCGCCAACAATCAAGTCTCGGATGCCGGATCATCACGCTTCCTTAACAGCGCAGCGCCGATGAAAACCCAAGGGCCGTCAGAGCTTAGTGGCACTCCATTGACCGAGCTCGATTCGCCGCAGGTTGCTCACTACCCGCCTGATCAGAAACTGCCAGTGAGCATCAATGATGAGCCGGCTGAGCTGCACGCCGAGTCGCGAACCCCGGTCACACCACGATGGCAAGAGGTACATCTACCACTGCAACCACCAAGCTTTCCATACGATGTGGATCAAGTAAGCAGTGGTAGCCGCTCAATTAGTCAGGTACCCAGCGATGATGGGTATGCCACTGGATCGAGGTCGGGGGTGTCACCATTGACTGAGCACTTCCGTAGAGAATGAAGCTAGGGGATTGGGATGGTTACACGGTCAAAGGACTATTTTGGGCACAGGCGCAAGGGAGTTTGGACAGCTTTGAAAGCTAACGATGGCGTTTCATTGAGTGTACACGATACCGCGATACCACCTGTATATACTGACTTAAGATCTTTAATAGCAAACAAAACTGCCACATGGCTCATTGCGAATTCGATGATAAGAGAGACGGCGCATTATCAAGAGAAGGTGTTGCATGCATGCATGAGCCAATATTATATTTATACGACCGCTTCACCGGTAATGGATTGTAGACTGCACATTCCATACGCCGTCACACAATTCGATAAACTTTATGCAAACCCTGGCTATAGTTGCGAAAAGGGTTACTTTGGAAGACCTCACGTGTGCGAGGATCACCCGCAAAAGTGGGTACATACGCGCTGAGGTTTGGCAACGCGTGTTGCACCACACGTGAGGGACAACGAACACGAAGAAGTGAATCCCACGACAATCAATCGCACCGCCCGCTATGCATTCACAAACCCAAATCCCATGCACAAACACAAGGCCCCACATGTCTCGCGTGCGCGTGGCTACGTAATGGATGCAGGGCCGGGTCACTACTGCCAACTCAGCTTTCAAGCCACAGATGAATGGGCGATGACGTCTGCACATGCGGGACTACGACCCCTTCCCAACCCCGCTCCTCACTAACAGCTCGCATTATTGACACCTTTCTCGAATCATAACAAATCCTACTTGCTGTAATCACATAGCAAATCACACCACACATTCACAGCCATGGACAAGATCAAGGAGAAGCTTCACATTGGCAGCAGCCGCCGCAAGTCGCAGCCCGAGAACGACACCATCGGACACTCGTCCTCAGGCCATGGCGTCGGCACCATTGAAGGTCCGCAGTCCCCTTTCCACAATCCAATCCAATCCAATCCCTCTCGTGTTACATGACCAACTCACACCATGTGTCCCTGATAGACAACCGCGACTCAATCGACTCGGAGCTCGCCTCGATGCCGCCCCACGAGCGCGTCGCGTACCTCCAGGAATTCGAGCACAGCGACAAGCACGACGAGCCCAAGAAGGGCGGCCTGATCGAGAAGCTGATTGCCCGCGGCAACAAGCGGACCGAGGAGCAGTTGGCGCTCGAGGCCAAGGAGCGCGAGCAGGCGCAGGCGCAGAGGCAGGCGCAGAGTGCGGGTGTGGGTGCGAGCACGTCGGGGGCAGATGGGGTTATTCGTTAAGGGTTGAGGATGTGGAGTGACAGAGTTCAATGGCATGTGCTCTTTGGAAGAAGACTGTACTTTACGATTTCGACGGTGGATTGGACTGGACTGCCAAATGTGTACATGATCGGTATGATCCGAAGAATGATATTCCTACAAGCTGGCTGTTACTCCGCGGTGCATGTGTGGCTGGGGAGCATGCGTGTCTTGGTGTGAGTGCCGCATCCGTCGACGGTCCTCATATCATATCGGCTAGCCCCCTTCTTTGTAACTTGCTTTGTTGTACTGTTATATCACTGTTCGCTGTGTAAAGACACCGCGTTCCAGGACCAACAGGCATGCTACAGTGACCTAACTAGTCTCTGTGTAAAACCACTGCGTTTCCAAGACCAACGCACATGGCACAAGTCACTCAGCGAGCGCATGTGCCGTCGTCGTACGCCAAGCTTCTAGCGTTAACCCGCTACCCAGACAGTGCCCCGATGCCCCAGTGTCTCCCATCAAAAAAAAGACTTGTATTCGCACGTGAAAGGCGCTGGAGGAATCAAGCTTGCTCTAAACCAGAATCCCTGCGACTTCGGCAACTTGCACTGCAATCCACGGCGATCTTGTTTGGTACTTCCTGATTAGGCCTGTACCTTCACTCGTCTAGTCTCCCACCCCCGCCGAAGCAAAGCCTTGCTACTTTCCCGGTATGTCAATTCCAAAGTCCGTTATTGTAATGATGCCTATCTGCACAAGGTGTTTGTTGATAATACAGGATTTATTGTTGTATCTTGACAAGGTAAAAATGCACCGCACCAGCTTCGCATGTGTCGTGTGCAAAATGTGTCACAGGGGCTCATCAGGGGGGATTAGACACATAAATTGTGAGGTTGGTATATTACAACTCTGCTACCCAGACATTTCATATACAAAGTGTGAAGAAACAAATAGACTTTTGTGGACAAGTCGTGCACAAACGCCAAATGGCCGATGCAATGCAATGCGTGGTAGTTAATCAGACCGGCAGACCCTCTTCGTCCATGGCCTCTGGCGCTCCACTAACTGCGCCGTAGACCCTAATCGGGACCTGGATTTCAAAACTCTCCGCAGGCAGTCTTTGCGCTGCTGCTAACATGACCCCTCTATCGTCGCTTGATATCTCTTCTAGTAGATCGTCCCACTGGGCTTCTTCCCCTTGCTCGTGCATGAGTCGGGGTGTGATGAATTCGACTCTGAGCTTCCACTCCAGGCTGACTCCGCTGGTGATGAACTCCGGCGTCGCGTTCGGGGGTATGGTAGGTGCAAATGTGAGTCTTCGCGCGAAGAGCGCGTTTTCTGAAAACGACGCGTATACCTTCTTAGTCACGCGGTAGATAGAGGCATTCGACCGCAGGGCTATGGCAGGGTCGACTTTCTCGGATGTCTCGAGTGAGACGTGGACGGAGTAGCACGGTATGTGCGAGTCGGTGAAGTCAATCACCGCCGACATTGTTTCACCAAGTCGGTATGCAGGTCGAGCGAGCATGATGACTGCGACTCGTCGGCCGCTACGTGCAATCTCAAAGCGATTTGCGCTTTGATTCGCTGCGCCTGTCAAGTTGCTCCGTAATATGGCTGTATCGATGGAATCCTTCATGGTTTGCGGCTCTTCCGCTATTGAAGACCTACCAGGCATGGTTCCAGTTGGTGACAACAAGCCCATGCTCGAATTTTGCCGCGGTCGTTCGAGAAGGTTGTCGACATACTCCAGGAAGTCGTTAAAAGTATTGGTGTCTGACTTTCCAGATGCAGCGCCTTTTTTAATTAAGCTGGGAGACTTGTCACCTGCGGCCGCGTCCAAAGTCGTTGTCCGCGCTTGGTCACGCAGTATGATGTACGGAGACATGAGATCATGTCCGAGAATGTCGCCACGACCTGTGTTCATTAGCAAAATATCTTGTTTTGAGAAGAAATACGCACTGTTCACGCTGCCGAAAACCCGGAAAGGCACCTCGACCTGTTTGACTTGCTGATCCTGAGTCGAACCAGTGCGTTGGGTGCCGATTGTCAGGTGATACGACACTTTCATCGACTTTCCCTTGTGCGAGGGAGGCAGGCCGCGTGGGACAGTAAAGCTGTATGTATAGCTCCGACTTTCCCCAGGTGCCAGTTTCAGGTCGACAAACAAAATAGACTGCGGTGTGGATATTAGAGGCACTGTCTTCATGCTGGCGATTCGGTTCATGTCGCGCATGCTGGACGGTTCGGATGAGCCGATCAAACCGCCCAACGACTCTCCAAGGTTTCCCCAGCCCAATGCGCCGAATAAGCCACTTTCGCGCTTCTTTCTTTCCACGCCAACCACGCCTCCGCCTCCTTGGCCTCCGACGACACCCTTTCTCTTCACTTCCTCGAACGGCGCCTGGTTGATCAGAGATCCATCCAGGGTGAAGGAACCCATGATCTGCGCATAGCCCATCATGATTGACTCGGGACGACTCTGCCTTACGGGCGGCGCCAAATGCGAGCCTTGCCGTTGATGCATTGGTCTTGGTAGGAGACGTGCGTGTGAAGAAGCCTGGCCGATATACTCGGAAGCGAGTGTCTCGGTGGAGTTGTTGCTCATGGAGTAGAACTCTCCGCTGCTGCGTGGTGTGCCATCCATGCTGGAGCCTGATATGACGCGTGCGATGGGTGACAGCGAGTCGACCATGGAGTTTGTCGGCGCCTTTCGGTGGTCATTGTGCAGTCGCGGGGACGGTCGTCGGTTGTGGAGGGCAGGTGTTGGTGGACCGTTGGTCACACTCTGTCGCTCGGGAGAGGTCTCGTCCTCATTGGGAGGCGCTGCGGGAAACTTGAAGCTTTTGGAGAAGGAGTTGGATGGCTTGCGCGTTGTGATTGGCATTTGCGGTGTGCTTGGTGTAGTTGTGATGCCCGGCCGCCGTCTCCCCGATCGGGATGGGAAGGCGAGTTCGCTCGAATTGTCGTGGCCTGCTGGTGGAGAGGAGAGCCCGCCAGCAAGAGGAGAGGGATGTGTGGCTGATCGATGGCCGGGTGAGTTCACTGTGGCGCTGTCAGCCTTGGAAGCGTGCCAATTGGACTGGACATACCTGGATAGGAGCTGGGTCTGCCCGGGACAATCTGGAGACTGCCAGACCGGGCGTGCCCTCGTGCTGGGCGAGCGGGTACTGAAGTCCTGTCGCGGCTGGTCTCGGTCGCGCCTTCGGTCCCCATGGACATGATGGACAGTGACCTGCCATGCCTCTGCCCGCCCGTGTTATTGCCAAAGGCTCCGCTCGGCAGCACCGGTGACTTGCGCTCTCCGGGCGTCGAGGGCGTGTGCAGCGAGAGTGCGGGGCCATGTCCGCGTACGTTGGACGGCGGCTTGTGGGCGGTTGTGTACGACGAGTTCCGGGAGACGGTCGGCCTCGTCGTCGAGGAGTAGACTGGCGGCAATGGGAGCTTCCGTTGCCGCTCCCCGCCAGGCGCAAAGCCGTTCTGCTTGCGCACCGGCGAGCGGTCGCGTCCTTCTGGCACGGCGACATTCTTGAAGGTGATGGTGCATTCTACGTCTTCGCCCGCGAACACGGTGGCATTCTTCCATTGTACAAACACGCGGAGGTTCGAGGGGGACATGGTACGGAGAGGGTGCGGCGCGTGCGGCGGTGTCGTGGTCGGCTCATGGGGCGGGGCCTTCAAGCGACATGACGCCTGCCTGGGGATCGCAGAGGGGTGACGGCGATCGCAATTGGCAGGTGAGGGCGTGAATGCGACGCGGGTGGGTGGTGTGAAGGTATGACGGCGCACTCCCGAGCTCCGCATCCATGATACAACACCCCTAAGAAGGGCATAGCGCGAGATCTGATCAGGGTCCACAGCACGCATGCGGCATGCATCTTCCTGGTACCATCTCGACGGGACTCGACCACCATGTCCCACTCGGAGCAAGGATGGCCAAGCAGAGCAACAATGGGGATTCTTCCCACCCTTCCGTTCTGCGAAGCCAGTCCCGCCCATGCTGAACTTTTCTTTGTCTGCACATCGAACGACGTAAATCTCACAATGCCCGTCTTTGTCTCCAGACCTCGGAGACCTTCACAATGCCCGTCTACCGCCTTCTTGTAGCGACCTGTGCAAAACATCTCGCTATATGCGTAGACAGTGTCGCCCTTTCTTTTCCGTCCCCTGTAGATGCGCTTGGTATAAGTATGAATTTCCATACTGAGTATGCAAGATATCCTGCAGTACTTGAAGCATCTCGCCTCTTGAACTGATCAGTCATGTCTACTGTATCCTCACTGGCTCCTTCGCAAGCGTCCAAGTCAAGCTTCTTTAATCGCTTCCAGCGTACTCCTTCCACTTCCTCGGTTGTCTCGACTGCGACTAATACGTCAAAGTCGTCTTCGGAATCCACACTCTCTGCCAAGGTCACCATACTAGATGCCCGGAACGAAGAGCTCAGCCAGGTGAATGACCTCAATCGACTCACGCTACAGAAGCTCGCAGAGGATCTGGAACTCAAGGAGCTGGAGTGTACAGATCTTCGTCGAACGACTAGCACACTTGAAGCGGAACTCGAGCAGACCGTCCATCTCAACTCAACCTCGTCCTCTTCATATATACTGGACCTTGAAGCTATGCAGGAGAAGCTTGAACTCTCCGAAGGCTGCCAAAAGGAGCTCAAGTGTAGCGTTCGCGCAAAGGAGGAAGAGATTAGCGAGCTTACCATCAAGATTGCAGAGCTTGCTGGAGCAGATGAGTCCGCTGCTGCCGCAGCCTCAAACCTGACGCGCTCGCTCAGCGATGCACACCAAGAGATCACTGACCTCCTGAACACTATCAAGGACAAGGACGTGCAGCTCTCTGCCGTCTCCAGCGACTTAGATACCGCCAACCTTTTCCAGGAAAAGCTTCTTGAGGAGCACTGTGAGTACTCACACAACGCCTGCAAGCAGCAGGACCAGGTTGCCTCTTTGCAAAAGGAGAACGATACCCTCGCTATGCGCGCCGCAGCCGCCGAGTTCAAGAACGCCAGATACGCTACACACATTGACACATTTACCAAGCAGTTTCAGTCCCTGAGCACATTTGCTGCGGAATCGCAAGTTAGCCACGACGCCCAAGTCGATGCCATGCACGCTCAGCAGCAAGATGCTTCTGCCCGCTTTCAGCGGCAGCTTCTCGACCGAGACAATATGATTGCCTCTCTTCAACAGCGTCTCACAGACTCCGAAGCTGCGCAGGACGTGGCTGGTTTGAAGCACAAGGACGACGTCGCGCGTTTGGAGAACCAAGTCACCCGACTGGATGTTCAAGTAAGCGAATCCGAGTACCAACACGCCGTTTGGCAGGATTATGCTAACGAACAAGTCGTTAGGCTTGGGAAGTTGTAAGCGCAGACCGTGGCGCAATTTTCAGATCGTTTCGGTCGCTTCATAGGTGTTGAAATCACCAGTATTTATAGTCAGTAAGATTGATATATTTGGAAGAACAGTAAATATGTATTTCAGTGTTTGTAAGTGTCTGACAAGTGACAACTGATATTCATGCAGTCCCATTATATATACTACAACCAGTGCGTGCTTGCAAATTCAGTAATGTCCATTTACACTGCGATGTACCTTGTCTACATACAATCTACGCTGTCCCCAAACAACGCTATCAAACTCATCAATCTCACATGTATATGCAGGGAATATGCCCACCTTCCTACCAACCCATACAGAAAGCGCAAAGAACCTCTCGTACACTATACATATCACACCCATCGGCAGAACTAACCATCTGAAGTAGACATGAATAACCTGATTTCAAGCGCATCATCACCACGACCCGGCTGGCTTGGTCAGTTCATGAAGCAAGTCCGCACCCAGTCCTCCTCCCCTCCAGCATCCTCATCCACACCTTCTGACGACATACCAGACACTCCACCAAAACCCGCATCCTCAACCACTTCAAGCTCATCCTCCGTCCCCAACGAGGACAATGACTTATCCAACCTCCGCGCACAAAACGCCTGCCTCCAAACCCGCTGCTCCGAACTAACCACGCAATCCCACCTCAACCAGGCTATCCTACACCAATGCACCTCCGACCTCTTCGTCAAAGACGCGGAGATAAAGCGCCTCAAAGCGCACATATCCGCGCTCCAATCCTCTCTCGAGGACCAAAAAGCCAGCTGCCTACGTCTCCAAGCCATGGGCTGTTCGCCCGCGGATCCAGCCCACGAGCTGGACTTACTCCTCCGCATCGAGACGCTGGAAGGGGAGAACGTGGCGTTGAAAGACAAATTGGCGGTGCAGAAAAACCGCATGAAAAGCAGAGTCAAGGAGTATGCGGACGAAGCCAACGACTTATCTACGCAATTGCGCCGCGCTGAACAATTTGCTCGTACATATGCGCAGCACCTTCGTCGCAGTGAAACGACGTGCCAGTCCCTGAGCGCCGAACACGCACATATGGCGAGGGAATTACATCTCGAGCACTCGGCTAATAAGGAGTTACAGAACGCGCTCCTCCAGCGCAGCAGTGATGCACGCCACGTCGCCGTCCTCACCACACAGCTTGAAAAAGCGCAGGCCTGCGCGTCGGCGCGCGCAAACTTGCTTGCCACGCTCACGCAGCAGAGTGAGGAGGGGTTGAAGGTGGGAAAAAGTGAGCGCGCCAAATACACTGACAAGATCACGTTTCTTCATGAAGAGAATGAGAGGGATCGGAGGCGCTTCGAGGCCAAACTCACAGCTAGAGATAAGAGGATCCGGGGGTTGGAGATTGAGCTGCGCTCTCCTGCTGCTGCACCTCACCCTGACTCTCTGAAGGTTAGGGCGCTGCAAGATAGGCTCGCGGGCGCGGAATTGGCGTTGGAAGAGGACTTCGCGCGCAGGGGGAGGGGCATGCAGGTTGAGGCTGATGATGCGGCGAGGGAGCGTGTGAGGGAGTTGGAGGGGGAGGTTAGGGCGCTTAAGGGGAGTTGGAGGGGGAAGAAGGGGAAGGGGGTAAGGAGGGAGGATAGTGTTGTGATGGGAGATGGAGATAGAGGGGAGGAGTACTAGGTCAATAGACTGAGGTGGATCTGGATAACATTGATTAATCAACTACGCGGTAAGATGTAGTCAAGTCGACGTCGCGTCTTAAGTCGTAGTGCGGGATGCGAGCAAGGAATAAGTGATGGGATTGTCTTTGTTTTGCATGTTGCTAGTGTTGGGTCTAAGACTCGATATCAAAGAGTAAAAAATAATACTCACACTCCATAATTCCTGCTTGTAATTAGTACTACACGAACGAATCTCACACTCGTAATGAGTTGAAAGTGATCAGATGAATATCAGCATCTCAACAAGTTAATATTCTAACCAAGTCTCTTTCCTCCCGCACAACGTATCGTGATTTCAAAAAAAAGACACAGTCAAATTTCGAACGAAATAATACCAAAGTAAATCTTTCCCAAGACGTATCCAACGCCATCGCTATGCCAGGGTATAAATTCGCACGAGTTACATCTCCAGTATGAACCCCCCCTCCCCTTCCAGACCTAAATCTCACGATACGTCCCGTCCACGGCCTTCCTCGCCACGCCCGTCGTCTGCGGCCCCGTCTGCCCAGGATTGAACGCCTGGTACGTTGGCTGGCCAGGGTACGAGTTCTGTGCCTGCGGCGTGTACGATCGCTGGCCGGGGTACGCACTGACCGGCTGCGCGATTGGCTCAGGTGTTCGTGCTGGTTCTGGGGGGTACGAGTACTCTGGAGATGGCGTGCGTTGCCGGGCTGGTGCTGGGGCGAAGTTGTCGTATGGCGCGTTGTTGTAGCTTTGGGCCGGGGGTGGGGGTGAGGTGTGGTAGGATGGCGGGATGGAGGCGTAGCCGCTCTGGGCGTCGTGTTGGTCGTAGTGGTCGTAGGGATCGTGGGGTTGCTGTTGTGGTGCGGGGGAGTGGCGGTCGTAGGACTGGTTGCGGGCGTAGCCTTCTCCTGCGCCGTAGACGGGCGAGAGGTTCTGTGCGGGTGAACCTCGCCTGTAGTCGTCTTGCTGGACGTATGGCCTTGCGTTGGAGTATGGCGCGGGGCTGGCATGCGGACTGCGGTGTGGCGCTGCGCCTACAAGTGGCTCGTTCTCGAAGCCCTGGTTGTATCCATAACCGTCTACTGGCGAGACAGGCGATCTGGTTGGTACAGGGCTCCTTCGTGGAACAGCGGCCATGCCTGCCATGGATGTGTTTGTCACGCTGCCGTTGTGATTCAGCCTGTCCATCTCCATGTCACCCCTCTTCTCAGGCACAGGCTGTTCCTCGACTTCGACATGTCTGTCGCGAGCATCTCCCCAGCTCGGCATGGCAGGCAGTGCATCCTCATTGGCAGGCTTACTGGGGCTGTCGAATGTCGCAAATTGTGGTCTCTCTTGCACATGAGCATAGGTGGGCGCTGGAGCGAACGCTGGGGCAGCATGCGAGCGGTACTGCTGGTTCAACGGTGCAGGTGGCGCGGCAGCATGCGCCTGAGCGTAGGGATTCGCGTTATAAGGATTCGCTGCGTGAGGGTTCGGCGCATATGGAGGATACGTAGGCTCGCTCTTCATGCGCTTGTGTCCTGAACCACTGCTCCCGCTTGGGCAGCAGCATGTACAGCATTTGCAGCAACAGATGGTGCATTCAGCGGCGCAACATAAGCATCGTGCTATGCAGAAGATGACCGAAAACGCAATGAGCCCGCCGACAACGATGCCGATTATTACTGGCCACCTGTCGCATGTCAGTTTGCGTGTAACGTGGGCTCGGTCTCACGAACTTGCAGTAGGCCTTAGCCATACAGTTGTCCCATGACGAGAGTGTGTTTCGCGCATCATCCAGCGGGTTTTGACGCGCATAAAGAAAGGGCATGGTTGCGAAGTATGATGTGGGAACACTCAAGAGGGCGCGCGCTTGATATTATGAGAGTCTTCGATTGCCTTGGGGGCGGACTTCGCAAGGCTATGTTCCGACCGGCGGTGTCGCGCGTTTCACGATGTGAACCTTGGAAGTGCGGATGTCAGGGGGTGACAAGCCACTTTCGAGGTTATGATGCAACAAACGGTCTTCTATAAGACCAGCAAAGTAACGAGTAAAGAGGATGCAGGAAACACATGAGCCGTGATGTCCCCCAAAAGATGGCAGGTATGAGGTTAATGAAGATCCGCGCCGAAACGCCTGTTCTGCTGCACAACGGCACGCACAGACGAGGGGAGTGGAAGTGGAAGCGGAGAAGCCAAGAATGTTGCGCGTTCGTGGCTGAGTTGCTTCCGCCGCTAGGAATGCTAACCACGAATTGGCTCATAGTCGTGGACGCCTTTTAACATGTCAAAATCATGTTTGCCGACACGCACACTTGCATGCAGAGCTGCTTTGTTTTCGCATGCGGAGGATGTTGGTCATGGACGTGAGTGGGTTAGGATGGCCCTAGCTGCTGGTTGAGACGCAGGAAAACCCCCATGATGAGAACATGGATGGCTTTGCACACACCGCTTGGGGCCCAGAGTAGGCGTTGCAGGTGCAATACGTCGTCATGCGCTCGCCACTAAACTCTTCTTTCTCTTCAATTGCTTCTCCTCGCAGGAAAACCGCTAGAAAGGCATCTGCCGCATGTACTAGTGCTTTCGAAGGATCGAGATTCGTCACGAGCATTCGTAATGCACAGAGTTGTTGCGGCACATAGGTTGTATAGAATAGTGAGAAGCATTCAATTACTACTAGTGTCGCCCAAAAATAGATGGCGTGGTATCATAATGTCGTTAGAGAGAAATTCGATGGTTGCATGTGCCCGCGCGCAACGCCCAACTTGCCGGCATCAGCACTTGATGACAACGAATGTGCAGATGCAATAATGCAGACGCTTCACTTGAAATCCGCCAGGAAGTCATCTATAGAGCTTCCGCCTCCTACCCAGTTCATGGATTGCCGTCGGCTCTGCTTGAGCTGCTCCACCTTCTTCTCGCAGTGCGTCGCGCTCCCTTTCGATCGACTTGATGTAATCGATCGCGCTTGAGAGAATCATGCCTTTGCTTGGCTTTATGAGAGCCTCCTCGCTCTTTGACAGTGTTGGTACAGCTTTCCGCAGCCTTTCGAGCTCAGAGTTGAGACCCTCTCGGTATTTGCGTTCTACCTGGTTGTGTGGCAATCGGCTGGATCGTTGGCATTTTGCCGAAGAAGGTCCAGCTGATTGGGACTCGGTATCGAGCTGGTCGAGTCGAGGGCGACCTCTCTTTCTAAGCGGTCGCTTTGGTGTGGTCTGCTCTTCCTGCGAGACGGGAGAGAAAGGAGACTCGCGTTTGATGAGGCGTGGTGACATGGACGGGGAGCCTGGCTGCTGGCCGTCCCCACAAAGCGAGGGTGTTCTTGAAGACGACCTAACAGTGGGTGAAAAAGACGCTGATCCAGCAGGATTGATCGCAGCTAGATTGACGGCGGCAGAATCGAACGAGGGCCACGGCGCGTAGCCCTCCATTTGTACGGATGTTATCTCGGGGTACACTGTCCCATCATACTGATTACCGACAGTCGAGTTGCTGGTCAGCGGTAGTATTGGATTGAACGATTGTGGGCGTGAAGACGAATTCGAGGATTTCTTCTCCAAAGTTGTGGCTGCTTGGTCGAAGAACGATTCAGTATCGAAGAAAGTTGACAATGAGTCGTTGGGAGACATGGTATAGGCGTCGGTAAGATAAGTCTTTTCGAAAGGTTGCTCGTATCCGAACAGATCTTGCGTTGGTGAGTATTCTGCGTTATTGAACACCTGGGAGTAATTTGACAGAGGCATTGTGGGCCAATGGCGTGGGTGTGTTTTATAGGTGATGGTGCAGTGCTGACAGTGTGTGTATCGAGCCTTCGTTCAGAGAGGCAGGCTCGGTGGAGTTATATCAAGGCCGAGGTACTCCTAGCGCTTGTGTGGCACAGTGGCATACACGAGCTCCTTGGTATATCGACGATTCTAGTCGGGACGAGACCCGAGTTGGTAATGTTAGGCGTGGTAAGGCGGCGGAATGTCGGGAGCTCCACTCTGGAAGCCTTGATGGGATTCGCTTGTGTTTATTCGGGAAGCTTCTTGCAGTAGTCCTGCGATGCAAAACTGTTACTGCAATGCCAGTGATGATCCCGTGTCAGTCTTAAATCGAAGTCGCAGCCGCGTCCTTCCGTCATTCCCGTGTCCAGGAGACCCAAGAGAATAGAGTCAGCAATTGGAAGCTAAAAACCTGTGCATGTCGAACGATTAACAGCCCATCGGGAAGGTCCGGTAGAGGGGCAGTTGTCCCGCATTGCAAGGATCACGAACTGCGTCCTTGTGTCTCTACAAGGGCGCATGCCGATGCGCCGAATATCCACACAACAACATCGGGCCTAAGGATGCATTGTATGCTCGGTGTGAACGTGGAGGATAATCACTGATATATCCACACGGCGTGCGTTGATCGCGATTTCATATGGACTGTTCTTTGGCATAATGACCTGTGGTGCGGTACCCAGGTAGTGTTCGATACTGGAGGCCATGAGTGTAATCCGAACTATGGCCGACTATTCCTGAGGAGCACGGGACAGTATCGAGTAATTCTCGCTGGCATAGCCCATGCGTATGGGAATAGAGTGGAAGAGAATTCATCCCCCTTAGGCCACCCACAATGACATGAGTATGCCAAACTCTTCGTGACAGCAGACGACCCTGCAGCGGACACTCCCGCTGCCTTGCACGAGGCTGAGAGTAGGCCTCGGACACGACAAGAAGTTATCGACGAAGAATCGATCTCTGTAGTGTTCTCGAGCTCGGTAGGAGGAGTCGTGGAAAGTGGCCTGAGAATGGTACGACTCGGCCCAATACGGTTTAGTGTGTCAGCTTCCGGCATCGACATCTCTCAACGCCAACATATCCGTCCATTGATGCTTGCACCTTTTTTTATTGTCGCACACACTGCCAATGTTTTTTGGCTTCTCCTGCACCTCCGCCCGCCACTATCCTGCGGATTACTTATGTCGTGTATGTGAAAGAGACGTGATTTCTAGGGAATTGAACGCGCGCCGCGCTGCCTCGTTAGCGAGCATTCATTATCACAAATCATGAACGGCGGTCTGAGCAGCCGGATGGTGGAGTTGGGAACCGTATCAGGCAGAAGCATATGATGTCGAGGTGGCTGCGTTGCCAGTACCTCTTCAGACCCCACTCTCGCCTAGGCTCGTGGCTCCGAAGCTCCAGACAGTTCAGCCAACCAATGTCTACTACCACGTCAAGACCAGAAGGCGATCGCATCAAGACGCGATTTCTGATCATTTCAGACACGCATTCGGCCGCGCCTGGACAGGTCACGAGAAAGACCGATGTTGTCGCCAGCACACCCTTGCCGAAGGCAGACGTCCTTTTGCATTGCGGTGATCTGACCATGGTCGGACATTTGAGCGAGTACGATAAGACTTTGAACATGCTGGAAACCATTGATGCGGATCTGAAACTGGTTATTGCTGGTAATCACGATATTTCCCTGGACGAGGTCTATTATCGCAGAAAGGGGCGCTACATGCACCGCTCTGGTGGCTACAGCGAGGATCTTCCTGAGAAGGCACGAGAAATGTGGTTGGGCGAACGCGCGAAATCCGCTGGTGTGACCTACTTGGAAGAAGGCACACACACTTTCACGCTCAAGAATGGCGCCAAGCTACGAGTAGGTGCGCGATGCAATTTGTCGTGTCGATGGCTAATATTTGAAGGTATACGCCTCTCCATACGTAAGTAGCTAGGGGACGAAATAGTCTCAACTACTGACTTCGCAACTTTTATAGCAACCAGAGTTCTGCGACTGGGCCTTTCCATACTTCCGCAACGAAGACCGATACAACCCTTCTCACCAGTGTACGCCGAATGCTGTACCCATTGCCGAAAACCCGGTTCCCGACTTCCCAGCTATCGATGTTATGATGACTCATGGCCCACCCCTGGACATCATGGATGTGACGTACAAAGGCGACAATGTTGGTTGTCAACATCTACTCCGAGCTGCCAGACGATGCAAGCCGCGGCTGCATTGCTTCGGCCATATACACGAGGGCTGGGGTGCTCAAACAGTAACATGGAGGGAGGGTGAAGAGCTGGATGTGAAGATCGAAGAGCACGTGGAGAAGACTGAGGTCATTCATGCCTACATGGAAGACGTCCCAGCGATTCGGCCAGTCGAGGTTGACATTAGCTGGGAGGGTGGCACGCCGTTGAAGTACGGCAAGGAGACTTTGATGGTCAACGCGAGTATAATGACTTTAGGGTATAAGCCATGGAACAGTCCATGGCTGGTGGATGTGGATCTTGAGAAGGCAGAATAAACGATTCCGCTTAACCTAGCTCTGAAGTTCACGATGGTTCTGGCTCTTCTCCCTTCGCTGATGGTGGACTGATACAAGCCGGCAGTCGAAAAACCTCCAGCTTTTCACTCAAATCCTCTCCTACCTAGTGTCCATGAGTGTATAAACGTCATGCTACCTATTTCCGAGCTATCTTGGCGCAGAATCGATGTCATCCCGTGGAGAAAGTTCATTTGATCTTTGCAACATCGAAAGAAAGCACGTGGTGTAAGGAACGATTCTTCCGCACGCGCATCGGAATTGCGAAGCGTAGAACGATAGGCATACTCATTACTTTGCCGCTTTACATCGAAATTTCTTGTTCCGCCAAGTCAGCCAAGCCAGCGGACGGGTTGATTCGTACAAGTCCTTGTCACTATCCTTCCTTCCTGGCTCGGCATTTTTATCGTCGTCAACACACCAATCATGAACGACCTATTGAGCACATGCGTCCTAATAACGACCGTATCAAGAGCAGTGAGGCTAATACGTTCGCAGAAGTGCTGAAAGATATAATTTCGCTTCAGAGCAGCAAGGCGCGGTGGGCGTTCGATCGTACTCATTCCCTCTTGTTTTCGGTGGAAGAGCCCTCGGATAGCCAGTATGCTCATCAATAGTCTTCTCTTGGCAGGATGGGCAACACTTGCTGTAGCGAGTTGGGATGGGAACATCAACTATGGCAGTCCATCTCTCGGGCATGCTCCGCTCGGTATCAACACAGATAAAGTCAAAAGAAGAATGCTGCAAAAGCGAGACGGATCATACCATCACTCCTCGAACATCACTTTCACCCATGGCGTCGCATCAGTATGAAGTTTCACCCGAAGTCTGTCTACCGAGAATTACTAACAGCACACAGGGTGACCCATATGCAGATTCTGTCATTCTCTGGACACGGGCTTCGCCTGTTCTGGAGAATGACAGATCGAACGTGACAGTCGAGGGATTAGTGCCGTACTTCAGTCATGAGACGGAGAAGTACATCAAAGCATCAAAGTCTCCGATCTGCTTGGACTGGAAGATGTCATCTAGTCAGGACATGTCAGGTCCGGTGGTCTCAAGTGGGAGAGCTTACACAACATCTGACATTGACTATACGGTTAAGGTACGTGTGCTCTAGCAGTGAGATCAATACAGGGCCACTTAGCTGATCTGGCTAGGTTGAAGCAGATGGTCTCAGCCCTTTTACAACATACTTCTACCAGTTCACAGTCTGCGATACCAACACTACTAGCCCAGTCGGAAGAACCAAGACCGCGCCTGCTGAGAACGACGATGTTTCCTCCGTCAGTCTCGCAGTCTTTTCATGCGCAAATTATCCGTTGGGCTATTTCAACGCGTACGGCAATGCTGCCCGCAAAGACAGCGTCGATTACGTAGTCCATCTGGGTGACTACATCTACGAAGACGAGGTCGGTGTTCCTGGTGAAGACGAGCGGGCTATGGTACCAGCCAAGGAGATCGTGACGTTGTACGATTACAGGACGAGATTCGCGCAGTACAGGAGTGATGAGGATCTGCGGCTGGCTCATCAGGTTTACCCGTTCATTACGGTTTGGGTATGCGAAAGAGCGAAACGCTTTAGTAAAGTTTTACTCTGCTAACGAAATTCGTAGGATGATCACGAAATTGCCAACAACAATTGGCGAGACGGGTCAAGTGTATGTACACATATCACATTATCCAAGAGTCACGGGCTAATCTTGTTCATCGCTTGCTTAGACAATGAATAACACTGAGGAGTCTTTTAACGAATTTGGCGGCATATCCTTTGATCAACGCAAGATGAACGCTGTTCGCGCATACTTCGAGTGGATGCCTCTGCGACAAGTCGACATGGATGATAACCTGCGCATTTGGCGAAGCTTCAAGTTGGGCAAGTTGCTAGACCTTGTTATGCTTGACACGCGTTCTTATGACCGAAGCATCACTCGCGTCGGATGGTAAGACTCCAAAATCCCTCCTCTGGGGCGATAGTCTAATCAAGACTAGGAACGATGAGTATGTCTACGAGATTTCAAATGACGCAGGTCGCTCAATCATGGGTTCGCACCAGGAGAACTGGTTCTTCCGCCAATTGTCCGAGTCCAAAGAGCGTGGCACTGCATGGCGCGTCATCGGCAATCAAATGATCTTCTCCCGCATTGACAGAATGGGCGAAGATCCCGATCGCAAGATTCCCGTCGATGTGGATGCATGGGACGGCTATGTTGCCAGCCGGAACAGAACGCTGCAGCACCTATACGAGAACGGGATTGACAACACGATAATGCTGGCTGGAGATAGTCACCAGAACTGGGTGTCCGATCTGGTATGGCTTGATGAAGTCGAATATGACTCCATCACAGGATCCGGTGCTATTGGTGTCGAGTTCGCTGTCACAGGCACCACGAGTGATGGCCTCGACGGGCCGATCGCTGCCACTGAGGAGATCAGTCAGAACCTTGTTCGCGATAATGCGGAGTTGCTATGGCAGGAAGGTTACTATCGTGGCTACACTGAGCTGCACATCTCCAAGAATAAGGTCGAAGCACAATACTGGGGCTGTCCGACTGTAGAGACGCGCAATGGGTTTGAGATATCGTTAGCAAACTTCACCGTAGCTGCTGGTGCAAATCACGTTGCGAGACCGATCGGCGGCAGTATTGTTGAAGCTGGTGCGATCAAGGAAGGGCAGGGTGAGGTGAGAGGGACGAATGTTACGAAGGATACTCGGACTGGCGAGTGGAGTGTGCACGCATTCGATAAGATGTTTTTGGAGTGGGCGATGGAGTGGTAAGTGAGGGATCTTGACTGTTGTCAGGGATGAAGTAGGCTTTATCGTTTGCTCCTGCCTTCACTAGCTGGTGCCTCACTGTCGCCGCTACTTCATCTCGATTCCTCTCGCTGCTTCACGTTAGCAACAAATGATTCCAAGGACCGAGCTCTTGAAAATCATGGCAAATATTCTCGTTCTCCTGGCATTCCTAGAGCTCGCGCTGTGCGCTTTGCTGAAGTCTGGTCCGAATGGCGAGGATGGCCTCAGCCCCAATGACGACTACATGCAAATGGCGCTACACCACAATGAAATCAAGTCGTTCTCCAGAAAGCGCCAGAGTGGAAGTCCGGTGTACACCAAAGGACTTAGCAGTTCTTACTTCGTCAACGGTGGGTGTATCTGCTAGACGTCTTCGAATTGTATAGCCTGACAAATTACAGTTACTTTCGGAAGCAACAATCAGACCATACCGCTTCTACTAGACACCGGCTCTCCTGTCACATGGGTCAATCCTAATTGCTCTAAAACGTCTGACAACTCTACACGCGCAAAAGCAAAATGCTTCGGACAGCCACGATATGACCCGTTCGATTCAGCCACGCCCAAAATGCAGGAGAGTTCCTAGTCACAAGTAGGCGGAAACCATAATTTCTGATTCTCACACTAAGAAATTTGCAGCTACCGCGCCAACCTCACCCACATTGGTATAACATTGCCCAACAAGACACATGTCGAATTCGACCCTTCAATGTGGAGGAAGAACAAAACAAGTTTGCCGGTCATTTTCGACATGGGAACTCCAACAAACCTACTTCCCAACAACCTCTACTTTGCCATTGGAGAGTTATATCCAGATGCGGTACCTTACAAACATCGTTTGGGCTTTACCGCATACAAGGTTCCTTGCGATGCACCACTTGGTACTTTCAATTACACCTTTGGCAGCTGTACAATCAAAGTGTCGTTCCTTGCCTCCCTTTGAAAAGACCCTACCAACGGACAATGTACTTTCAGTTTCGCTCTTGGTCCTCAGGATGAGGGAGCGACACCGCACATACTCGCTGACTCCTCCATGCGGGATGCTTACATGGTGTTCGACAGAGACAATGATGAGATCTGGATAGGGGAAAGTCCTAATTGCGGCTCGGAAATTGTGCCTATTGGTAAAGGGAAGGATGCAGCACCTAGAGTTCCGGGCTGTGAGGCGAAGTCTGAGCCAGAGCCGACAAAGTCTGGATACGCGAATCTTCCTTCACTTGCGGCCTCGAACGAAGAATACATGGAGTAAACATCTAGAAATATGGCATAGTTGACGTCTACGAATGATGCAGAACCGGGAAAGCATGAATTAAACGGTAAACTGTCGTGCCACATCTACATAAGCATGGACCGCCATGTTAAAGAAGCCTTGCTCAAAATCACCCGCATATAAATCGTGATACCAATTGTATCCACTGTCGTTTTTCTTTATTTCCCCCACAAGTAAGGTCGGCTAGGCATTCGACTACGAATCAACAACTTCGATTTACAGGACTTGATCAGCCACCATGATCTTGCCGCAGAAAGCCAACTACTTGTTTCTTACGCTGTGAGGTGTGAGCTCATGTAACTACACGCTAGGATATATCCAACTTACCGGTATTCCTTAATTGTTGCAGTAACACTCAAATTCGGGAAAGGCGTCTTCCGGCCAGTCGTCCAAATCATCGCTGCTGTCCCAAGCTACTCCATCCTTTTCCAACCGCACCTCACTTATCAGCTGCCTGTAAATAGTCTCTATCTCGAGCCCTATGGCCGTCCGATCGCCGTCCAGAGGGTCAATAAAGGTGACGTTCTCGATAGCGCATGGCCAAGGATGATAATGGGTAGCGTGGCCCCATTTCACGAAGCCGTCGCTGCAGACCACGCGGATCTCCTGTACGTTGACAAAGAATACCATGTCTCTGCTATCTGCGTGGGTGAAGGGCTCTTCATTCCTCGCCTCAAACTTGAGCCGTCTGATCGTTGGCGCGACAGTCTTGTAGTATCTGAACTGGCAGTCCAAGATGTCGATCATATCAATATCCAAATTCACCCATACATAGCGATCTCCATATTGCGTTCGATCTTGCAACTCGCCGAACTTTTTTTGGTACAGACCATGGTTTCGGGCTTCCCGGCAGGAATGTAGCGTGGCTGGCACAGGTGTGGGCGTGACCAACCGCCAAGCACCTGATCGAAATCCATTACTAGTTTTCACATAGACTGTAACGGTACGAGGCTCGACAGTCATCTCCCATATCTGAGCACGGAGTTCAAAAGGAAGTCTGGGGAAGGGGTGGAAGGTTGACATGGTGCTATTTGAGGTCGGGTGTACGATTGACAATTTCTCCACGATGATTGAAATGTATGCTCGATGTCTGGAGAAGGCATGGAGCGATATATAAAGGGGGTAAAATGTCGAAGGACCGATTTTGATATGGGTTGCCTTTGGCTAGGCACCCGCAAGCAGTGCTAGCTGTAAGCTACATGGGGACCTGCGAATTAAACGTGAATGTACACTACGCTAGACGGAACGCTACCACTGAAGCTGAATCTTATTCAATGCTCCTGGACTAGAATTATTTGAAACAGCATCGCGGCGGGTTGAAAGGACATGGAGTTTCCTTGTGAGTATTCACGTGCGCGATGGGACAACGGGCTAGCGCCACGCTAAAGCAAAAGGTGGGGTCACAATCTCGCGCTAAGTAGTGAATCGTTCCGTTCAGCATCCAAACATGTCAAAAGCTCTTTCAAAAGCCGTCGTTCACAAACCTCCTACCAGGCTACAAGTCAACAGAATCTCTGTCGTCCTATACGGCGGAATTCAGCCCGAACCAGCATGGCAGACTAGCATCGCTGCTTCACTCTCAGACCTGCCCGTGGACATCCTTGACCCGCGTCGCGATGACTGGGACAGCAGCTGGATCGAAGATATCTCGTTCCCCAAGTTCAAGGGGCAGGTGGAGTGGGAGATGGACTGCGCGAAAGTCGCGGATGTTATTGTCTTTTACTTTCCGCCTGGGCTGTTGACGCCTGTCGCGCTGTTGGAGTTGGGCATGCATGCTGGGACTGGCAAAGCACTCGTGTGCTGCCCTGAAGGCTTCTACAAACGAGGCAACATTCAGATTCTGTGCTTGAGATATGGTATTGATCTTCTGGATACTCTGGACGACTTGAAGGATCAGGTTCGATCGAGACTGCTGGAGAAATTACAAGAGTAGTTATTAGTGAGCATCAGTTCCTCGAGCTGAGCGTATATTTGTTTAGATACACGCAATTTGCTGCGATATGCCCCCTGCTTTTCAGCCTGAACTCGTCGTCCGAGACATTTGAGATCCACTGATGCATTAATATGGTTCCGACCAAATTGCCTATAAGAAAGCAGTTTGCTTTGCGGCCAGCTGCCTACTTCGCAGACTCGTCGCGATTCCCTGCCCAAAAGCGGTAAAGCTGGCTCATAAACTCCCATACCTCAAATCGGCTTCATGCGGAAAGCAGCGCAGGGGTCTGGCTCGTTGACATAGCTTGGCTGACGCGATCGCTAAGACATGGGCGCACTGTATCTTGTCTCAGCACCAGTGGTTGGCGCAGCGTGGTGTGTATCGTTTTGCGGTTGCACCGGATAACTCGGGGGTAGTGTGGTATCTTCTGTGGAGTGTGCGTTCGAGGCATCGTGCCCAGTGTAGGGTGGTGGAGGTGGAGGTGCGGGTTTGGGTTTGGGAGGGTATTGGCCATTCATCAAGTCTGCCAGGCTCACGTCTTGTCCGCCGTTTTGTTTCCTAAGCTTGCGGAGTTGTGCAGGATACATCAACAAGACGACGAGACCTAATCCGACAACTAGGACAGCCCCAGGGATGCAGATGCCCAAGGCGACCTTGACGCCGGTAGAAATCTCGCGCTTTTGAACATGTGTGGATCGTGTTGAGAGGTCGGCTTGCGGGATCGAGAGCGCGCATGCTACCTGCACCAGGGCGAGGTACACGAGAGTGGAAAACATGGTGCAACGTGTGTGAAGAGTCCAGCGTGCGCGGTCGTGTGAGGCAAAGTCTTTGGAGCGAACGAGCCGCGGTAGGCGGACGGAATCAAGCCGCTTATGACCGCCATTAGAACAATGAGGTGGTCTCGTATATAAATCACACCTGCCCCATAAGGTAGCGGTTAGGCGACCATTACCGATGCCAGATTAGCGCTGACTGGTTGGAACAGCAATCTTGCGGTTGAGCAAGCCTATGACTTGCTGGTACGCCTCGATCTTAACTGTTGTTAATCCGTGTCAGTAAGCCACTGCGCGGAACGCTGGGACGAGATAGGAAGGTCAAAGGTTCAACATGGCGGAGGCTAACGCGAAGAAGGCACCAAGCCTTCGCCAAGTCTCTGCAAACATCTTCGCCGCGTTGATTCTCCCGGACAAGCTTCATCAAGCCGAAGGCAAGCTCTCAGAACATAAATAATTTGCTTGTACCGCAGGTGTTCCCCAACTCCTTCCTTAATGAACGTTGTCGAATTTGGTGACTTGCGCATACGCAAGTCGTGCGACTTGATCTGACGTCACCAACTGTCTACTAAACTTTGGATATTAGTAGAAGTAGATTGAAGACAAAACGTTGCATTATCGATACTGGATTTCATTATGCACCTCAATCCTTCGTTTGCTGGTCATACTCGTACATGTTCACGACACGGACCATATCCGAGAAAAAAGATATTATTTTGTGACTGTAATCAAGGTAGTCTGAAGCACCCCTAAGAACCATAAAAAAGACAAATTAGAAAATGAGGGTATCTTCGACAAACTAGAAGGAACATTCTAAGAACTCGCTCAAAACGCACTTCAAGCCATGCATTTCAGCATGACTGCACCTTCTCTAATTCCGTCAACCACACCCGCCGTCTCCTCTTCACCGAGTTCTCCCATGATTTCTCTTAGTTCCACTTCACTCTTTTTTAACGCGACTTGCCCTGCCAGATATACCCAACTCCACTTGTTCAGCACGTCCTTTTCCACCTTGAAGTCGAAGTAAGTCTCGGGGAAATCGAATCGCAACTGCAGCTGCCTGACCGGAAGTGCAGCAATGGCTTGTTTAAAGCGTGAGCTGTGGTCTGCATATTGGAAGCCGGTGATGAATCTTGAGATGTCGAGAGAGTTCTCCTCTTCGTTTGTGGTCCTGACGTATGGCCGAACGTCTGCTCCTAGTCTTATAGTCCGCAAGTTTTCCTTGACGCCGCCAAGGAGGTAGGACAAACTCGTTATGTAACGATCAGCTCCGTTGCACATGGGTTTCCATCCGCCATGATGATTCCTTGAAGTCGTTCTCGATGTGGGTTGATAGTAAAGAAGGTCCACTTCTAGATAGCGGATGAGATTGAGATTCTGGAGCTGAAGTGGCGGTTCGAACGCGCCACTCCCCTCATCACTGTCGTTCTGGGGTGGGATCGAACTGATGCGAAAAGTGTTCATGCCAAAGAAGACATGACGAGCTTCGGTATAGACTTGTTTGTTCGTGCGCATGACGGCTGTGTGAATGTCGTATTTCTCATCGTAGACCTGGCGTGCAGTCGGGCCTTTGAGCGGCGTGGGGGCGACAAGCAGTTGACTGTAGATTTGCAGGCGCAATTCAGGAGGGAGAAGAGAAAGGAAAGGTGTACTAGTCGCCATGGCTGTGTAAGTGAAATGGTGTGAAGACTCAGTTTCCAGGATAGGAAAATGTGGCTCAGGCGCAATAAGTAGGCAAACACCACGCACTGCCTTCACAAGCGCCAGTGTTATATCCCACCCCCTTCTCTCCGCGGCTTCCGTTTCAGCACACACAATCTCAAGCACTTTCTCGTCATCCCTTCCACATCGCGACACCTAACTGTTCCGGCCGGGCAATACCATGGCGCTGGTTACTAGTGGCTGCATGAGAAGCGCCGACTCGCAAGCATCGGTACCGCAGATAGCGGTGCATCGGAACAGCTCCGATCGTAAGAATTGGTTCTAGCGTAGACATGGTGTTCGAGAAGACAATGGATTAAGCTCCGCGGGAGCGCTAGACATGTCGCGCCATATTATTCATTGACGCGTCTAGTCTGTTCGAGCAGGCTTCTGTGAGATGTTCCATGAAGGCAGATCTCCATCTAGCTTGGAACATGTGAGCTCGTGCACACCGGATCCATATGCATGTGAGCATTGGCGATCCATCAGGAGGACTCTCGACTCGGCCATATTTTGGTGAGGAAGGAGAGACGATGCAAATGGCTTCCTACCTGATCCGAACAGCGGCGAACCTCGCCAAATGACGATATCGAAAAGACACGGAGTCGTGATGGCTCCACATTGATCTTCAGATACTTTCACGCCAAACATCCACAGTACCAAACATTGACGCCCCAGACGCCCCACAACCCGCGCAGAACGCGGCTACATATCGGCACGTGTATGAGATGAAGAGGCGCGATGTGGCCGAGCTACTGCCAACTAGCGATCACCATTCTCGGCATCCTCAAACATTGGTACGAAAAGCCGATGCTCACAAGTGGGTAAAATGACAGGCAATTTAAAAATGCACCACACACCAGTCTACGTGACGTGAAACTTGTTTTCCCGTAGATCAACAATATCTACACAACGCACGTGCCGTAGAAGAAGAAGAAGAACATAGTTGTCATCACCAACACTCGCCAACGAGGCCAACGAGGTCAAAACGGCGGCATCTACCGAACCCAAGCAGTTCCAAGGTTTTACATTCACAGTAGGCTGCAAGCACCCGACATAAAGCATTAAATGTAAATGAGGCTCTCGGATCCAACTCCGAGCAAACACGTCAGGCGTTTGTCTAAAACGGTCCGATGGCGAAAAGCTCGATTTCGCCGATGCGGCATTGGCGTGGGACGAGGAAGGCATGCCGAAGTATAGCAACTAATGCCTCACGAAGAAGACCAATGCCATGGCGATACGGTGAAGGGTTAGGCGAGACGTTTGTCAAGTTTCGGATAGCACGGGTTTGTCAATTACAACTCGAGTGTAACGTCGACGAATGTTGCTTTGCATATTGCTTGCCTGCTGACTATTTACCACTGTGCCGGACCTTGAGTTGGATACACAGACGAGGCAAGTCCAAGCGGAATATTGTCCGAGAAGGTTTGCTAGACTACTACTGTGCCGTAAAGACCTCAGTTTCCAGGATCCAGCATCATGATACATCCCGGCCATAGGCGGCAGTGGAAGCTCAGGCTCGCGCTTCGAACACTAAGCTTCGTCCGCGTAGCATGGTCGGGCTTTGCTATCACTTCACGCTATCAATCGTTCCGTTACCATTCCCACGGGACCGTCTTAAAACACTCACAGAAAATCACGCAAGCTCCTTCGACTCTTCGACATGCTAGTCGCGAAGATCCGAATTCCAATGGGACAAGGGAAACCTCGCTGTGAACCATCAACAACACACCCATCTTGATTACCGAGCAGCAAGCCAACCCACCCCAGCACCCGGAAGAGACTCCATACAAGCCCATGGTAACCACACATACCAGGATTCGACAGGGCATAAGCACACCTTTGAATCTAATGTGAGATGCAAACACAATCACAGCATCCTCTACTATCTACGCATAAATTATGAGCTACGCGATCGTCAACGACAAATTCGCACCCGACAACGCAGCCTCCTCCAATGACATGGCCGATAGGAGTACCAGTACAGTTCCCGGAATTCGAACAAAGTCCGGTGCACTCACGAACAATACGAATGATACGAAGCCTTTCTTTCTCTTCTAGACGGCGTATCTAATCGATTCCATGTCTCAATCAATGCTAAGAGTAACGGTACGATAGCAGCACCGTATTAGTTCCCTGCTTTAAAGCATGCAGTCTGACACACCGGCTTTCCGAGATGCTCCGAATGTCCGTAGTATCGTTGTCGCCTACCAGTGCTGAGTCTGAAATAGCACGCAACAGTCGATCATGGTGAAAGCTTTCGTCATATTGCTACATGCCATCAAGATTTCGGGGACGACAAGGTAAACCTCCTCATTCAATCCCCTTTGATTGCGGACGATGCAAGAAATCCCTCTCTATTAGTTTTCATGCAATCTCCAGTCCCCTTCATTCAATATCGTAAAGTCGTTAAATGTCGTCCTCATATCCATGCATATACAAGCAAACACGCAGGCGAAAGCAGAGAAAAACATGAGTATACAAATCAACCATTTCATTCCCGCTCCCTCAATCAGTCAACGAAATCATCTACCTCCTCCGATGTCTGCGCGTGTGCACAGGACTTCCATCGCCCTCACTCTCGGAGCTGAAATAATCATACTCATCCCCTCCACGACCGCGCTCATATCCATGATCGGGCCGCGAATCATATCGATCTTTGCGCGAGTCGCGATCGTCCGGGCCCCGAGACTTGCTGCGGAAGCGATCAATAATGCTCCTGCTTCTAGCGCGGAGACCAGAGGGGCGATCGCGCTCGTCGTGTCGGCGAGAGCGGGACCGCGAGCGAGATCGTGATCGAGAGCGGGAAGGGGAGCGATGTGCGCCTCTGCTCCTGGTGTTGGTGTTAGCATTTTCCAGTCTCTATTGAATGGAGATACGCACTTGGATCGTTTATTCGCAATAGCCTGCCCACCCAACGCACCCGCCGCCGCACCTGCAAATGCCGTTAATCGCGATTTTCCCAACTGTCTGCCCGCCAGTCCTCCCGCCAACGCACCTCCCACCGCCGCTGCGAGCCCGTTTGAATCGCGCGCGAATCCTTCGTCGAACCTTTCTCGCATTTTAGTCATGCGCGAAGGGTCTCGACGAGAATCACGCGAGGAATGGGTATCTGCAGACCTTGCTCTGTGGCGATGTTCGCGACGAGGCTTGGTGCTGCCACGGCGGCTAGAGGTACTCTCGTAAGCAGCCATGCGCTGGTCGGCGCTGGGTGGTATGTATGTTGGGTAGGGAGGACTCGCGGGTTGGGAGTTGGAGCGTTGGCGATTGAATGGTGGTGGAGATGGGTAGGCGTTGCCGGGAGCTTGATAGCCTCCAGCGTAGTCGGACGGATTGTAAGGTTGGTAGGGCGAGGCGGGCTGTGCAGGGATATTCGTGTTCACGGCAGGAGAGGGCGCATATCCGGGACCAGGTGTATAGCGCGCTGCAGAAGCAGAGCTGTGTGGTGGGGGAACTGCTGCTGGCTGAGGAGTGTTAGTACGTGGGCGGGAGAAGAGTGCCGCAAGAGGCGGTTCGGTAGACGGAGAGAAAGCTGCATAGACTGGCGTGCCACGACGAAGGAAATCAAACATTGGAGGTTGTTGTGGCATGAAGGGAGACGGCACTTGCGACGATGGTCTACTCATCAGCATCGGCGGACACGTCATTGACGACGTCGGTCCCCGTGGTGAAAAGTTGGCCATCGTCGGAAAGGTCGCGCTGTGAGAACGAAAGGAGTCATTTACCTGTGGCGGGTAGCCGTAAGGCTGTCCTGGTGAGGCTGGCCGATAGTCGCCCTGAGGCCGCTCTGAAGCGTATTCTTGTGGGTTGTACGGCCTATATTCGGACGTGGGCGGTGGGGGGAAGTAGGGCTCTCCCTGTCCGGGTTGGGCCATGTCCCTGTTTTCGCTGTACTGCCCGTCCAAGTCGCTGCTGCGTTGGTTGTGTCTTCCTCGACTCAGGCTCCTACTAGAACTGCGTCCTACGCTCTTTGCTCGCCTGCTGCGGTCCTTCTTCCTGCGGTCGCGCTCGTACTCGCGGCCCGAGTTGTCGTAGGCGCTGTCGTCGGAATAGTCGTTTTGCGGGTTGCGGTCTTGTCTCGAGCTGCGCTTGCTGGAACGCTCTTCGCTGCGGTGTCGGTCTTTCTCTTTCTCTTTCTTGTCGCGCGCGTCTTTTCTCTGCTTCTTCTCTGCAGGCGTGAAGAAACCACCGGGTATTTTCTCAAAGAACTTGTCTGGAATCTGCTCTGCGCCGTAGCCGATTGCTTTGAAGGCTAGGACTGACATAGTGCAATGGGGCGCACGCCAGAAGCCTGATGTACTGATGCTCGGTCGGTGACGTAAGGCTCAGCTCACTCTCGGCGCTTTGATTGGAGCGCAATCAGACCCAACGAAAGCTCGAGGCAGACTAGATGAGGATAGCGTTTAGGTGTGCGGCAGTGAACGTCGTCCGGATATGCCTCCGAGGGGTGTGTGGAAGTAATGTGTGCTATCTGTGGAGATGTGGTGAGAGCGCGTTGTGAATTACAATCTTCTCTGAAGCTAGATGGGATGAGGGCGCAATAGCTGTAGGGGCGGTAGTGGCGACTGGCTTCTTCTCACGCGCAAGCTGGGAAGGAAGCAATTATGTCCGTTTGGGCACCTACGCTTAATCCTACGATGGTGACTTGACGCATCGTGCTACTGCGCTACGAGGTGCAAGAGGCATGACATCATGCCAACTTGCGACCCTGGATTTTGCCTCGCATGCGCCTCGCTTGGCTCTTATTGGAGCCGCATTTGCAGGGCTATCCACAGACATCAGCATTTGCCGGCAAGATTCTTCCTTGCGTAAAAAGCACATTGATGCAATTGCTGATGGCAACCGCTTTATGAGCTTTGTGAGTACTCCAGTCAAGTCTGCCCAAACCGCCCCGCCATACACCACGATGCGATGACGCGGGGTGTCCTCGTGCCCACTTGCATGACCCTTCCCGAAGAGCTACCAGAGTACAGTGCCGAACCGGCATTCTCTAGACATTAGTAGCGGTCGTGTAAGGTCTCGAAACAACCCTTGCTGGGGCGCCAACCTCTTCCAGGGCTCAACCCAGCCTTCCACCTATCGTGACTTTCTATGAGATGCGTTGGCAAAAGCCTCAGCTTCCGTAACCCGAACCTCGGAAGTGCGATGACGCCATGTCAAGACTTCACCGCCTCACACCGCCATCATGAGAACATCTTCGGCTAAGACGGATATGGGTTATCCCGAGATTCTTATGTTCACGGCGTGGCCGCACTTTACACAAATTCATCTTTCAGGGACATTGTGGGGTAAGGTGTAGTCTGACTCGCATATGTTATTTGCAGCAACAACTGTGGCTGGCCGGCGCGTAGAACATTCGTCATGTAGGAGAGCGGTAGATCTCATCGATCTGCCGTCTGCGGCAAACAACACTCCAGTACGTGGCCTCGGGCGATCCTGTCAGATCGACGATGGGAAAGGAGACATTACCATAGCTAGCTAAATGGGTATCAATGCATAGACGATCTCTGCACTTTTCCTGTGCCAAAGCTGTAGAGACAAGTAGCCAATCATACGTCCTTGGTACCACTTCACACCTCCGCACTCCCTGGCGCCGGGCTTCGGATTTCCCCTGAAGGCCTGCCAGCGCTGTCCGGTACCTCGACCATGTCATCGACCATCCCCAAGAATCTCTGCCTGTACTCGTCACTCGTAGTCGTGATACTCATGGGACCATGGTCTTTTCCCCACTTGAGTGCATTAAATAGCTTCACCAAACCAGTGAGAGTTTGTGCCTGAAGCGCATCCTTAGCCCAGAAGAAGTCCAGCACGATGGCTCTATACACCCACTTGCCATCTAGCGAGACCACGCCGCTTCGCCACGAGGAGCCACGACCTGGCGGTGTAGGGACGTCATCTAGATCGGCTGGGTAGCGGACAAGGAACAGTGAGTAGTCTACGGCGTTGGCATTCTGGAGGATTTTGGAGTCGCGAGATAGTTGTGCAATGAGTTCCTCCTTCTGGTCAATGGTCACTCGGACTTTGTCAGGAAAGTCATCGATGAGACGCTCCTTGACGCTTTCCGAAGCAAGCCTGCCGCCAGCAACATCGCGTTCTGGGTAGAAGTAGTCGTTTGGTTTCAGGTCGTACGTCTCCCATTGCTCTTGGTGGTGTTTGGTGCATGCAGTCTTTCCATATAGAATGTTCTCCATGATTATGTGGTGACTTGGTGCCGCACCCAGCGCCGAACCCAGTGTAGCTGTTGGAGAGTATAGCAAGTCTGTGATGCGAACGAGTAGGGAGTCCTCGTTGAGCTCCATGTGTTCGACATAAGGACCGAGTAGGCGGTCGCGGAAGAAGTTCTGTTCAAAGGCCCGAGGTAGCGATTTGATGAGGTATTTGGAGTTTGGGGTCGTGAAGAATGTCTACAACACATTAGCCTCTATATCAGCCAAGCTGAAGCACAAGACATACTGAACCAGAATATCCAAGATCGCCGATCGATACCAGGTCTGTTCGCTTGTTCTTACTCGGACTTCGGAAGCTCTCCGTATACGCCTCCTCTTCAATCTGCCATATTTCGTTTCGCAGCTTCTTGAAGAGCTTTGCGCGATACCGTGAAAGAGTAAGGCTGAAGATGGCAAAGAAGGCTATGATGCGCGCAAGCAATCCTGGACGCGCTTCATCTTCATTTGGTGCAGGTCCTGATCGGAAAATTGCCCGCAAGATCGATGCGCTGATAAGGCGATCACGGAAACCCATGTCGAGAATAGGAAGATGTAGGTTTGTTGTTATATTGTGCTTGCACATCGCGAACGCGTTGAGCTGCGAATTGTTGACGTGACGTCACCCACGCTAGCACATGCTAATTCATGCCTACCTGTGCACGAACTGTATCAGTGTTCACACAGCAACACATCTCATGGGAATCTTCATATCCTTCATGTCGGCCATTATCATGCGCTCTTAGTTTTTCTAGCCAGGGAGGTTCGTAAAGTACTAAGCATGGGTCGCCTCCGGCAATTTCACAATGTCCGGAAAACACCTTACTATCTAAGCACCATGAACTCCGCGGACCAACCACCTGCTTCGATATTGTCCACAAACAACCCTTGGCCTCTATGGCGAAAGTCCAATTGGACGCGACGGAGACCAAAGAAAGCATGCCATGTTCTAAGACTGCTCATTAGTATCGACTACGGCGCATGCAAAGCTGACCTTGCCAATCATCGTAAGGACGTTTCACCGGTAGAACAGAAACCATGGATCTCAGCAAAGACGACTCGTGGAGCTGACCAAGGACTGCCAATGTATTCGTGCTTACCTGCAGCTAATTTTCGTTAGTGATAATCTGCCGTCGATGTCGCTAATCGTGCCGTCTCCGGATGAATCCTCAAATTCGTACGACAACCCGAATAGCCGTTAGACCGTGGCTTCAACTGCGTGCAAGCAACATTGATAGCCATGGGACTTCCGTTGTTACATCTTCGGCGGCTAATCGATGATGTCGAAGGTTTAGGCCAAATAATCTCAGATGGACAGCGAGTGAGCAACAATATTCTCATCCGGCAGATCAATCTCGCATGCTTCAAATCGTCTGCCGGTTTGAGAGGGGAGCTGTAATCCCGAGGCCATCTAGGTCCGATGTTATGCGTCTGAGTTTGACACGACTTGCAGCATTGTAGACGCTGGCCAAGCTTTGCCCTGTTGCCACAGCCTACACTTCTCGCCTGACTAGACCATCTCGATGCTTTTTGCGATCTGTCAGCTCTCAAGCTGGTCTCGAGCACGCTGACCACAGACGCCACGCTCTATGCAGCCTCCTCGCGAAGCATGCTCGGTCAGTATGTCGTTTGGCTAGACTCGTCCGTCAAAGTGTTGGGCCGAACGGCGAACGGATGGTCTGGCCTCAATGAAACAAGACGAGCTTGAAGCGATCTCCCGTGCGGCTCGCGATCCGCATCGATAGCTCAGACCCTGGCCCACTTTTGACGGGACGACACTCAGGTAGCACAACGAAAGCAAGAAGAAGCCGCAGCATGAGAAACGAGGAACCACGTGGCGGACACGAGCATCATGTTGTGCTATTTCTGGTGTCACCCGGTGAGCTGCAACCATCCCAACTTCGTCTCGCAGTACCAAAAAGTAGGTTTCTAGATGGCCGCAATACCATGCTAGAAATCGTATCTAGGGTCATCCTGGCATCTGCAGCTTGTGTTACTCCAGACCACACAATCGATTATCGCGTTTTCCGCCTGCCACCCCGGGCTTGACCCCAATGAGAAGAGTCCCGCCCCATAAACCTGGATTGTTGGTTCCAGCCCTTGAAGAGGGCTGTCCAGATTCAAGCTTCCAAGCATGAGAAGCGCGACTAGCTACCTCCTTTAGCTATTTTCAACACCGGCTGCATGGAGGTGTCTAGCTCAGTGTTACACCGACCCACGTTAATATGCACGTACGTCTACTAAGCCGGAGACAAAGGGAAGTTTTCATGTTAGGCTGGTGACGAGTAAACGTATAAGTGGATAGCTTCGTCCAACGTGGCCGTTTTGCAAACGCTCTTCCATCGCTGAAACTTAGCCTTAGATATCATCTTCGTCTGCTAGCCAGAACCATTCCCAAGTTTTCACCACCATCAAGACTATCGTCCTTATATATTTTGCTCGTAGCCACAATTAACTCTACTGGATAATCAGCCATGGCAGCAGCCGACGTGCAGCAACCACCAGCCCAGGAGGCAGCACCTGCGTTGCCGGACTACCTCACCAATCCAGATGCGGTTCTCGGCGACAAAGACGCAAAGTGGCGATATGGAAGGGCACCAGATTACTCCAAGACACGAAAGATATTCGCAGAGAGTGAGTGAAGCGACTTGTCTGAATCACGGGCTTCAAGATTGACTTGGAACAGCGAAGCAAAAGAGTCATGAAGCCGGTTCTCTTCCCGAGCTTGTGCAAAACCTCGTCAAGAACTGGGAAGTCGAAGCATCTTTCAAGCCTAACCTTGACGACTGGCGTACCGTCGACCATGAGAACTACTCCTTCGCCATCAACGGCTCTGAGCCCCAGGGCGCGGAGAACAGTGCTCAAGGTAAGCCATTCATTGACCGAGTAACACCAAGCTCACAAAGACTACAGGTGGGCACATACAACGCCATCATCGCGCCCAACGAATATTACGACCCCACCTACTCCGACTTCGCCTCGTCGCACAAGACGTTCAAACGCATGATGCCCACTTTCGCCTGGGAAGTCCTCGAAGTCTACAGCGGCCCGCCAACCGTCGCATTCCGCTGGCGCCACTGGGGCGTCATGAAAAACGACTACGTCGGCATCAACAACAAGGGCGAGAAAGTGACGGCCAAGCGCACGGCGGACTCATCGACATCGAAGCGTGACTGTCGCGAGCGTCACGATAAAGTACAGTTACAGGCTGTCAGGACGTGATCGACCCGCTGGATATGTTCAGGCAGATTGCGCCGGACGGCGTGGTGCGGAAGAGGATGTGCCCAAGGGCGTGAGGCCGGAGGATGTGGTTGAACAGGCGCAGGAGGGGGTGAAGGTCCCCGCGGAGCAGGAGTTGCCCGATGCTACGGTGCAGAGTGAGAAGGAGGTGCAGGAGACGATTAAGGAGATTGAGAGGAAAGAGGACAATGGTGAGGCGCTGGGTATGCCGGTGGGACATCCGGAGGTGCAGGAGGGGGCGGGATGTCCCATGGGATTCCGCTGAGGGGATACGAAGGGGGTTTGTTGTGAGTGAAGGAGGAATGATACCATGTGAGATGAGATGAGTTCATGTCTCAGCGACCGCATTTTGGTGGTTCTATTGTTTTCGTCTTGTATGAGATATTAGATAGTTCCTGTCTGCGTAGACGGCCGTTTCTTCTCTTTGCACATATTTGGTAGAATGAAAAGACATCAGGCAGTCTTCCCACAGTCAAGTGTCCATGCACTTTAGAGCTGCTTTACTTGCACTGGCCGGGTCACAGATGGTTCTTGCCTCATTCTGCGAAGGCGGACGTCAAATTTTGACTATGGTTCACGGTTCGAGGGATCTATCACGTCAACGTCGTCCAAGTCAAGGTTCCCACAGCTCCTTGGACATGTTGTGCATGCGCGAGGCGTGCAACCATGTGCCATCACGTCCGTGTCCACAAGTGAGGCTCCAATCGATCGCGAAGGTTCTTCACCTCGTCTTACCACTGTCATCTAGCGCAAGCTTATTGGAGCGCCGGAGCTACTGTACGGCCACCCATGCACGACATTGCTGCCTACGCTTACATTTAGAGCCTCGTTCGATATCTGACATGCTCGATGATCCATTGTCTTACCCCTCCACACATGTGGACGATTCTACTGCAAATGGGTGGTAAGATGCAGGCCTGGATGCCGGGCATTTGCTGACCAGTGTGGTTCAGTCTCATCATGACTAGAGTCGTGCCCAACGGCTATTCGCGCAACCAAGTTGTGATCGAAGCGGCGCGCTTGCTAGGCATGCAGGATCACGAACGTGTCGTCAAGCTCGTGTTCGCAACGGCTTCGATCTCATGGCGACCCGCTGTGGCCCTTCTGCTGCCTTGATGGATTGCCGTAGTCGTTCAGCCTCGCGACTGGCTCGTGGCGCGCCCTACCACTTCAGGGTTGCGGATACTGTGCTCTGGTACTCCCAATCAAACCTTCTAGGCAGCGAAGGTGACTCACTTCCCTTCATATCCATATCATCATGACCATGGCTCGGTCGCGTTTCATACTAGTGTTACGCGCCGTGGACCTCTACGCGACGCAAGCGTGGACACGGTGTCAGCAGACTCCGTGATCGCAGGTCACATCGGTTGTGCAGGGTTTTTCAAATCGCTGGGGCGATGTCGTAATGTCTCCTCTGCCTGCGACAGAACGATAGTCCAGTTGGATACCACAGTCGGACTTGCAATCTGCTCGAGTGACTCAGCCCTGGCCAAGCCCCTGAGTAGCCGGAGGCAATCGGCGCCGAGACCCAAAGGGAGGGTTGCGCGTGACGTTGAGTCGTCAGCTGTCGCAGCTTGGCGCTTCTGGAAGCGCACTGGCGGCAAACTCTGTCTTGTGTCGCAAGAGGCGCAGGATTCGACGAAACAGAAGCAAGCAAGCTGGAGAATTTTCGGCCACACCTGCACTGCGCCGACGGCTCATCAGAGGGAAGGGTTGAGCGCGATAATCCCTGGGTCAGCGTCACGAAGGCCAGCCTGCGACAGGAAAAGCGTAGCGAAGATCAATGCTCTCCACGGTAGCATCCGAGGGCGGTAGACGCCGCTGCGGGCATAGCAACTGTGAGCTGGCAAGCTGGCACGAACGACTGCGAGCGGCGTTGGCGTCATGCCCAGCGGACACAGCACTGAGGGATTTGGATCAGGCTGCTTGCACGACAGCCGGCGCATCCAAATGAACTGTGTTGCGGGCTGGAGATGATGGAGGGGTTCGGCCGCTACAGAGGGAAAATGAAGCTTGACCGCTTTGAGAGTGGTGGCTGTGGTGGGCCAATCAGGGCGCGCGTGTTGAGGGGAGGCGTGTGCTTGGCACCCAGCGCGCTGGAACCTTCATCAAAGGGACATGAAGGCAGCTGAAAGGGAGGAAGGGAGCAACCTGGAAAGGCCAGACTGGCAGTGCTGCGCCGGCGCGAGCGCGTTCGAGAGCAAACACGCGCCAGGGCAGGTGTTCGCGCGCTACGAAGAGAGAAAAGGAGACTCCGCAAGTTGCAGGGCCGACTGAACGGGCGTGCATGAGCGTTGGTTGCTAAAGTGCGTCTGTAACTCGCTGCGGCAGACACAGCGGCGGTGTTGGCTGCAAATGGCGGGCTGTGGCCTCGGATGCGCCATGATTGCCTTCGCAGCGTCTCACCCTCGCGCTCCCCACATGGGACCGCTGCGAGATGGCTCATGGCCTTCCCCACGACGCAGCGTCTGTACGTGTAAAGCAAAGGGGCCACGTTGCCACCTCATGACTGTGAAGATCTTGCGCGCAAACTTGGCCATGGCAAAAAAAAGCCAGCCAGCGTTCGCAGCCCGATGAGTCTTGCAGCGTGTGGCAAGAGGCAACGTGGCCCGTGCACAGACTGGCTGCGCGATGACTGGACTGGGGGCTGTAGACAGCGGGCGAGTGCCTATTAATCGCCATGTCCGCCCAGCCTGTTCGCCATCACCAAAGCACAGCAGAAATGGACTTCACGATACCCTACAGCGCGCCCTGGGGCCTGATCTAGGTCACACGCAGCTTCCACGTCTGTTCACTGTCTGTTGCCATTTGCCATCACACCTGTCGCCTACCGCAACCGAAACCTGCCACCCGTTCCGTCTTTGTCCAGGTAACAGCACCGCACGACCAACGTCGCCGCCACACTGCCGCCTACGCCAAAGACTCATCTCCATAGTCTCCCGTCACCCATTTGACGAGAGGCGCATCTATTAACACCTCCCCTGCCCGTACCTGCGTGGTTCTATCGACCTTCGATTTACCGCCCTCTTCCTCCTGCCGACCTCCCGACCGCCACTTCCCTAACACGTCAGACCTCCCATCTGCAAACACCTCAAATCACACATGTCCCTAAACAACCAATAATAATACAACAAACAACCAAACAACCACCACTCTCCACTCTCCACTCTCCACTCGCCACTCGCCACTCTACACACCGTTTGCGCGCTCGACATACGAAGCTGCTTCAGCTTGGTGATACCACTCCGCGGTAGCCACCACCCTTGAACACTGAGTATAGCAACGTCAACGATCAACATGCTCATCTCGGTCAACACTACTCCAGTCACTCGTCGCTCAGAAACCACCAAAACTTTCGGAAACAAGGCCTTCGTCGGAGGCTTCGCTTGCTAGACCCCCGCACCCACCCCGACCTTCCAGCCTTTGCGACAGTCCCCCACTGTCCAGGAGCTGTATCTTCAGAGTGCTTGCGGACGATCTCTCTCCACAGTCTTGTTTCGGTGATTCTGCAGCTGACGGTGACTGGAGTCCCCTCCGGTGCGCACTTGGAAGCTATTCGACCACTTAGACCTGTTCGAAGACCACTACCATCTGCGAACCCGTCGCAACCCTCAACTTCCATCGTATATCGCCGATATCGAAATCTACGCTCTTCTCCCGTTCAAGACCGCAATCTCACTTCGATCACACCACTGTCTCGTCCACGACCAGACAGCGCGATTGAAGGGTACATTCCGATCTAGACGCGACCGAGACACAAGAGATCGAGAATCTTCGAAATCATACGACAGAAGCCACGGGGTCACTTCCTCACGGTTTGTCTATCGGTTCAAAACTCGGTCACACCACGACCACCCGATCACGCTCTGCGTCATATCTCCTGGTCTACCTAGCGGTTAGCACTTCGGGACGTGACAACAAGCCACCACCAGTCCTTATCATCACATCTTCTTTGCACTCTTGCTTACTGTCACCTTTCTTTCAATATGAGCCTCGACATCTACCCCCACAACTTCGGCCTCTTGCCCGAGACCCACCCTTACGCCGCTACTCTTTCTTCTTCTGCCTCTTCCTCTACCTCTTCCGTCTTTTCCGACGCTGCATCACAAGCGTCGAGCGCCAGTTCAACATCTCAACACTCTCAATGGGAGTCAGAGGAATGGAGCTCTCGGACTGGACCAGCTGGACCGACCACCGTCGATCCGGCCAATCTTTCCGTGCTCCAGCCAATCAGCAGAGTCAGCACCTTCCCCCAGTATCAGCCTTCGGCATGCCGCGAGACTGTTCAGGAGAGGTTGCCGTCCCTGCGTACAGAGTTCCTTGTGCCTGCGGAGCAGCGCCAACATCCACGACGATCGTCAACTACCATC